GATGATGCTGAGAAGAATCTTGTAGCAATTCTTCCACGTTCAACATTCTATGTGAGTGGATTTCGACACCGACATCGTAGAGAAACAGCAAGAACGAGCCAGGCTGCTCAATGACAGATGGGGTTAATAATATTATAAGATAGGCTCAGGGGATTTATTTTCTTGCCCTCCACCGCCACTACCTTGTGGCGGTCAGCAGCAGTGCTCTGTCTTCAAGCAGAAGTGCTCCATCCCACTGGCCACTTCAGATTCGAAGGTTGAGCATGTGAGGCAACCGGGAGCAGAATTACCTTACAGATTGTTACATGCATGATATCTGGTTACCGTCATGATTGTTGCGCACATGTGCAGAGAGGGACAAGTGAGTGACTAATATTAGTTGCGTAGAGCGCATGGATGTGCAACGCCTTGTAGTGAGGCAGACTTGGTCACAACCTACTACAGTCCTCATTGCAATATCAAATTTAGGACATAAAAAAAATTGATGCTACATTTGCGTCATGCTCACACGCCAATTCTGACTAAGCTTGAAACTGACTTAGCTTGAAAGTGCAAAGATCACATTGCAAGTCACTCTCCAGCCGCCGGTGGGCGCCTCAGAAAGCGAAGGCACCTCTCGGGAACTGCCACCATCTGATTGCCCCCAATTGCTTCCAAGGGTGTTCTGCCTGCTCTGACTTCATCTGTGTCGCTCAACCATGCCTTCTGGTGTCCAGCCCCAGTTGCGTCTGTGATGGTGAGCCCGCAAATAACACCAAACCCCTCAAGCTCAGCACCGTGGAACCGTGTGCCAGGCCCAATATGCACCACCTCTGCCGTCCCCACTATCCTCCTGTCATCTGTTAGGACATAGACTGTGTCATCTGGCAGAATCTGCACGTCACTGTGCGCGCTCGAATGGCCTCTGGCTTGCGGCGAGGGGTTCAGCTGACATGCCAGCCCTGCGATGACACCCATTGCAGCTTCCATGTTGATCCCAGGGGAGGAAACTTCCAGGGACGGTCGACCTGCGCGCACCAACACACAGCTGCTTACAATCCGCGATTATTACCGCATTCAAGCAATATCTTCCCTAGTGTCTTGCTAGGATGTCAAGCTCAAATTTATTCCTGTTGTTAGTATTACCCAGATGACCCTTAGGTGCGGCACTCTACCACATCATATGTAGCAGGGTGCGTGAGTGACAGGCATGACTCAGGCAAAGGGGCAAGCACAGCATGTGGAGCAGGGTGCGTGAAAGACAGGCATGGCTCAGGCAAAGGGGCAAGCAGACACTTCAGCATTGAGAGACAAGACATGAACAAATCAACTACACCAGCGTATGAGAGCAGTCAGTTGACAAGTTCACAGGAATGACAGAGCAGGATTTTGTACATGCCTGCTGGGCCATCTGCAGAGCGGTAGGAGGAAGCTGGCTCCTCATCGGCAGCGAGCTCCAGAGCAGGATCAAAGAAGACCATGGCGCCAGACAGCGGTGACTGCTCCAAGGCTGACTGCGACTGCTCCGCTGCCGTAGCACTCCCACCTAGACAACACATGCCTGTCGTCAGCTTATTGCTGACAATTACCTGTCGATAAACCTTCGGGGTATGATTCGCATGGCATTATAACTTAGAAACTCACTGTGAGTGGAATCATATAAGCCAGGACAAAGAGAGCCATGATGGCTCCTCACCTTCTCCGGCGCGCGCCGCATTCTGCTCCTCAGCCAGCAACATTGCCAGCGCCACACCAGTTGCAGCCTCTTCGACGTTCATGGGCGAGCTCCCGGCAGCGCCTCCGAGAGCCACCTTCAGCCGTTTTGGATGACAGAGGGCCGCTGCAATGTGCCGGTAGTCGATCACCAGCACAGCCATTTTGGCCGGCGATGCGGCATGCCCCTGCATGCTCAGCCGCACGTTGGGGACTGGCACAGGCTGCGGCGACTCATCTGCCAGCAAGCAGCCGTGCAACGGCGACTGGCTCGCACAAGCTGTGGGCTGCGGCGGCACTTCGCTGGCCTCAGGCAGGACACCCTCTGCCTGCCCTTCTGGCTCTGCTGGGTCACTGTGCTGCTGCGCTGGCTGGTCATCCGCATCTGACTCAGAGAAGAGGTTCCCAACCTCGTCTTCGTCGCCCTCAGTGGGGGGACCCCAAAACTCTGCGGCTCTGGCGGTTGGGCGCCTGAGCCTGCCTCGGCTGCCCCTTCTGGGCCGATTGCTGCCACGCGCCCCGCCTGTGCCGCGGCGGCCACGCTTCCTGCCCCGACCCCGCCCATGCCCTTCCTGCACGCCCCCACCGGTGGCTGCCTCTCCTGCACCCCGTCCCTCCACATCTGCGCGTGCCCCACCGCCTTCCCCTGCCACCGCTGCCTCGGGCTCCCCCTGGCTATCTGTCTGCACGCGCGCCTCGAGGAACCATATCTCCATATGCAGCTGGGTGCCATCGCTGCCTGGCTGCACAGCGCGCACCAAACCAACAGGAGCCTTGGCAGCACGACCCAACTGGGACAAGTTGCGTGCTGGGAACTCCCCGTCGCGGTGCAGCGTGCTTGTGACGGCCCAGAGAGCGACACCAATCGAGGGAGTGCTCTCCCCCAACTGCGGCAGGTAGTGGCACTTGTCGAAGGTCCAGAGCAACTCGTCAATCTGCTTGAGTTTGACCACGGGCAGGCCGCTGCTCACTCCTGCAAACATGTGAGCGCCTCAATTGACTGGCTATCATTCCCTTCCATCAAATCTGCAGAAGTTAAAGCCTTCTCGGGTGTGCAACAGTCACCAGGTGATCAGAGCTTCCAGCTGAGAGCGCCCACTCACCCTTGTTAACAATGGACTTGGCCGCTTCCATCTGAAGCTGTGACTTCTTCGGCGCCTGTAACAACAATAACTTACAATCAGTGTGTTCAGCCAAACTCGCTTTCACTGCACCAGCAGCTTGACAGATGAGAGGCGTTCACAAAGCACATGCAAACATAAGGATCCTCAACAAGATGCCCACCTTCTGCCTTGCTGGTCTTTGCCGTGCCGGTTGGGCTGCGGCCTCAACAGCGGCTGTGATCTCTTCAACCGCCGCCGCACTCGGCTCCAGTCCACCTGCATGACAGCATCCATTAGCTGCCAGCGCATAAGATGTCCAGAGGAAATGGTGAGGACATGTTATTAATTTGCCAGGCATAAGATGTGTAGGCGCTGATCGTTACAGCCATCATGGATAGCTACCTTCTGGATGCTCAAATCTAAGCAGCCCTTCCACCCTGGCGAGCAGCGCGCTTCTGGTGAAGATCACTGGCCGCTGGCCTCTGTCAAGCAGGAACCGCTTCAGCTCTGCAACGGTGGATGAGGCCTTGAGGCTGAACGCAAGCCACCGTTGGACGATGTCCTGCTCGGCTCCCTGAGCGCTGAGCTGCCTGCGGCTGATCCCTGGCTGTGGCGCTTGCGAAGGTCCTGCAGCTTCTGCCTCTGGGGCTGCGGGACCCTGCATGCCGCCTGCTGCAGCTGTGGCGCCCCTCTGCGCCTGTCCTTGGGCTGTCTGGCCTGCCTGAAGTCCACTGGCCTGGAGATACGAGGCTGCCATCACTGTCCTGTTCAGGTTGGGCACTGCTGCCAGCAATCTGCTGGCGCTCTTGCTGAAGCTGACTTTCTGATTGAGGTGTCTCGTTGCAAAGATGGCGGTCGAAGTCGTCCCATTGTCTTCGAGGCGAGCCTGCTGACCACCAATGATGCCTCGAATCTTGCTTGATCGCCTATCGGCTCTCTTCCTCTCCAAGTCGCCGGTCTCTGCCTCTGAACGCAACGCAAAAGTCAGAGTTAGTTACTCTGTGTCAAGGTCATGGGGAGATTCAAAACATAGGTGTTCCCAACCTTCAAAGATGGAGTGCTTATTGAGACCTACCAATCACTCCTTGATGCATGATAAAATTCAACTTATCCTCATTGAGATCCTTGCCCCTGGTTTGGGCTGCAATGACGCAGTCCTCACAGCATTTGTGGGTAATATTTCTGAGCTCTGGATACTTTTCGCTCTCAATCTTCCCGCGAATAGAATAGTAGCCATTAGCTCTGGACAATGCTGAAGGTTCATCTCGGCCAAGGCAGCTCTGATGGAAATATCTGACCCCTGAGTCCACGGCATTGCAACGTTGCAATGGCACCCTTGCCTCTTGTTTGAAGACCCAGTCGGCAACAGCGTCGTGGCCGTATTCGTCCTTTGTCAGACCTTCTGAATAGAATCTGATAATATAATCACAACCTACACAGCGAGTCAAGCGTTCTGAACTTGCGCAGTTCGGATGAAGCTTCTCCTTGTCACTGCCACACTTGTAACACGGGATCCTAGCAATAATAAGTGACATGCTCGGTACAGAAACACATCACTGATCATTCTCCATGCTTACTGACGAAAGGCCTAATTTTTATTACCAAAATGGCATGCTATGGAATGTGTTACCAGGTGGCATGGCCCCTGATTGCCAATAATCCACCACATTAGTAGCGTTTACATCCACTAAAGTAGTGGATTTTGATTACTCGGGTGCCCTGGGAGGTCAGAGGAATACGAGAGCCCATGAATTGCCGGGTAACAACAGCGCCTAGGATCACAGTCCGTGCAGATCTATCTGGGTTACGACGATGAAGCTTGTTGACATCAATCACTGACTGCCCACTGAGGTCAGATAGATTCCAGTGACGTCTCAACGGCGTGCCTCATACGTCACTTCCTCATGGGACGAACTGTCCCTTTGCCGAGTGAAGGGGCTCATCTGGAGCATGCCACGCCATGATCAGTAATGTAAGGATGACGGACGTCCGTTGTAACCCTGTATCGAGCCTGGAGTCAAAGCTCCAGATGATTACATGTGTTACTAGGGCGGGCTCGCATGCAAACCCTGCCATCAGCGCTTGCCGATGAGTGGTACTAAAGTGGCAGTTGCAGTGAATGAGTGGTTGAGTGACAGCCATCGGTACTGTCCGTGACTGCAAGCCTTCAACTTGAGTGGATGTGACACTTGCGTGCCTGCAGCTGCATTGTTTTCTCCTTTACACAACAAACAGTGCACACTGAAGCTTGAATTCCAATGTCCCTGCAAAAATATCCTGTGATCACATACATTTACCATGAATTCCACTGTACTACTTCGCGAAATCCCAGATTGGCTGACTCAGGAGGGTCCGCCACGCCTGCGTATGCTTGCTGCTCAGCAACAAGGCACATGCACATTAATTGGGCACTGCATTTGCATCATGGATCCATGGATACAATACAAGTCACTAAGCTGTTGGCTTCAGCTTTGCGGCACATACACACTCCGGATCTCATCTGCCGAGCGCAGGAAGAACCGCAGCGCCGGCAGCGGGAGACTTCTTGTGGGCAGAACGCCCCCTCTCTGCAAGGGCGCCTTTGAGACTGCAAAGTAGCCATCACCATTCCCATCTTCAGGTTCAAGCGGTGCACCACCTCTTGTCGGAGTCTCCCACATGAGCCTGGATGGCACAGGCATCCATGCCGGGGCCAGTGATGCCGCAAACCTCCACTTGACCTCACGCTCAGTAGATCGGCCTACTTCAGTGGCCTCAAAGTCAGAGAGCCAGCTTTGGCGGTGCTGCGCGCGAAGGGCTGCTGGGGAGCTGGGCAGAACTCTGCAGGGCCCTGTGCCTGGGGCGCCTGTTTTGGCGGCCGGTGCATCCCGGCCCCACCAGGCGATTATCAGCGAGATGCGCTGGCCGCCAGCTGGGGCACCCCTGGACACCTGCTGCCCTGCACCAAACTTGCCCACATGAAATCGATGTCAAATATGCCTATATGTCTGCTGGACCTGGCTGGCGGGGGGCGGTACAAACACTGAGCACCGTGCCCACAGTTCATTGGGTCTTGCTTGGATTAGGCGAGTCCATCAAGGGGTAGGAAAATGAGACCACCAGACACCGATGAGTCTCATTTTTATTTGATGCGTTTCAAGGGGCAAGCTGCAAGGGGCAAGCTTTCTGCTATGTACAGCTCCAAGGGGTTCAGAAAGATGAAGAGCGAGCTAAGCGCCTTTGCTTGTGCTTGCAAAAACACCGCTATTGACAGAGCCACGCAGGCATGGGACACAGGATCCATCAGGGGTGTTTGCTCCGGCACTTGTGGCCTGCCATTCTTCTGAGGGGAAAAGTGCAAGATCAGAGTCACAGATGACCTGGCAGGACACCATGCAGGTAGTTGCCGGGGAAGCAGAAGAGCGTGTTCTCCGACGGCGTTCCCAGGAAGGCCCGCTGCGCCAGCTCATCCGCGGCAGACTGCTCCAGGACAAGCGTTGGACCCCCGGTGTCCGATAGATAGAGCACGGTGCTCAGCACCTGCACCAGGGGTGGAGTCATTCACGACATGCACACAACGGTGGATGCAGCTGCTGAGCAGCCCTTCAAGGGGTAGTTCCAAATGTTTTAGGGCAGAAAAGCAACTTCCCAAAATTTCCAAGGAATACGCCGAACGGAAGGTAAAGAGGACCAATGTCAAAATATGCACGTGCATGAGACAACCATTTTGTTGTCTCATGCAGGCCAAGCAGGCCAAATTTCCTCGCCGTGCGCATGGAAATGCTCTCCCCGAACCCGAAGGACCGGCAACTCTGGTTTTTGGCATGTATGCAGATGGCACAAAGAGCCGGCATGCAAACAGTGCAGAGGTTGAGGGGATAAAAAAGGGACGCACTGGTTGCACTAGGCGGTACTTGGCTGCTCCAGCACCAATTCTGCCCTCATCAAGGTCAAAATGCAGCTGGTGTGCGCTGGTCGGATCCCTCATGTGAGCCCACCACTCGGCTGCCAGGATCCCCGCCATGCCCAAGTGGGACTGCTTCAGATCCTGGTGCAGGCTGCAAATGGCCGCTTCTACTGCGTTGCTCGGCTCCTGGTTCTGCACAAAACACTGAGGAAGTGGTCAGTGGGTTATGTGGTGTGTGGCTAACATGCAGTCATGGCCTGGTAAGGAATCATCACACTTGCAGATGGAGAAAAGCTGTTTTGTCTGGGACATACCAGGTCATACAGGAAGGAGGAGAAACGGGTCTGCTGGCTCAGATAGCCAGTCTCAGACCAAAATTTCGCCCCGGTAGAAAAGACGCCCTTCAAGGCAGGGTAGATGCCCCCTGCGCAAATGCCAAACCGCCAATAAGCTTAAAATATTGACTATGCAACTTCTGGGCTTGCAGAATGCATTGGGAAGAGCTGTACCGGGCAGAGCAGGAGACAGAGTGCATGGATGGCCGGATTGCAGAGGGCTGGCAACTGCAGATGCAGTTGCATCATGGCTATCGCTGCGCAGGACTCCATCTGACAGCCTATGGGTGCACCCCAACAACTGCAAGATATGTGTGCTCTCCGATGCTGCTCTCACTTGCAGCAGTTGCAGTGCCTGACAGCATCAAGATCGGGGATCAACAAGCTGCAGCTGGATGGTAGGCTTATATGCGCTCTTGGGACAGACACAAGGAGAAACAAGAGGTAGAGCCTTTTTGCTAGCAACTTACCACCAGATAGGCGATCTGCCCGATTCTAGGAGCTAGAATTGCTACTAGTGCGTTCTCTGATGAATCTTGACCAAAATTGCCCGCATTCAGGATATGGAGGAGCGTCACACAAGTGCTAGCTGCCAGTTCCAAGGCTCCCTGCACACCTTCTTGTCAGGCCCTGTCGTTGCTTCTTGAATTCGTTCAACAAAGATACATTGATTTGGACGCCTACCGCGCTCTGAAGATCTTCTATGAGTTGCACGAGTTCCAAAATAGATTGCACCATCACACATTGTGCTCCTGGTCTCAGGAACTTGCACAATTCCCGAGTATAGCGTTTGGACCAGAGACCTATGTCACGTGTTGCTCGCAATACTCATACAGGTATTATTCAATTCAAGGCAATGTCTGCAATGTCTCAGCGATCCACCGATCATTTTCGTGCTTTGCATGCTGTGCCAAGTCATGACCAAGACGTCCTGTGGAGATCGGATGTTCTACACAATCCCCAAATATTCGTGGCTACTTCAACACACGTCTATTGTTGCAAGGGATCAAGCTCCTTTACGGTTGCGATCTCTGCCGCAGTTGTGAGGGATTCTTAGCAACTCATCACATCTTGTTCTCTAAAAAGTGCTGATCTTCCCCATGATGCAGGGTTGAAGGAGCCCTGTCAGCATCAGCAGCAACAATAGATTCAAAAAAACACTTTTATTTGCCAGTGTCAGCTTTAATTCGGGTGTCGTTGCCTAGCATCCTACACGAGCTAGAGGAGTAGAGACTGAGGCATGAAGAGCTGCCTGTCCTTGTCCGTCTGGTAATTTACCTTAGTCACTTGAAGGATCAGTACAAGGCCATGAGCGCCCGAATGGCCCGCGAGATCAAGCTGCTGACGTCAGAGCCACCTCCTGGAGTGTGTGCCTGGCCCATTAACGACCGCTATGATGACATCAAGGCCCAAATACAGGTGCAGAAACAGTCATTCGATGCAATCATTTCTCCAACCACAGGCACGACCATTGGAGATGCTGGTAATGTGCTGCTTGTTGAGTAATTGACGCTGAGCTGTTTGCTGCAGGGCCCGAAAGGCACAGTGTACGAGAAGGGTGTCTTCACCTTGTCTGTTCACATCCCACCCCGCTACCCCTTTGAGCCGCCGCAAGTCCGCTTCATCACACCGGTCTACCACCCCAACATAGACACCGGAGGAAGGATCTGCTTGGACTTACTCAACATGCCCCCCAAGGTAGGCATGCATCTGTCTCTTTGATAACCCTGGCTTATTCCTATGCTATGGTCCGCTCCAGTGCTCTATGTGCAGTGCACTCCTGGTGGGCTTGTCTTGAAACAAATAAAAAGTAGAAACAAGTAAAGAAGAAATAACAAGTAAAAAGTAAATCTGCCTGCAGGGGGCATGGAGGCCTGCTCTGAATATCAGCACTGTGCTGGCAAGCATCGGTCTGCTACTGGCAGATCCCAACCCTGAGGACGGCCTGATGACAGATGTGGTAAGCGCAACATTGACCCGGATCATGCATGACAGTGTTTTCTGACACTTGCAGTCTGATGCCCCTGCTTGGCCAAGCCAGACCATCTGATCCTTCAGACTGAAGATGAACAGGGGTGCAATAATGTAGCGCTGTAGCATAATGGATTGATGCTCACCCACAAATTCCAATCGTGGTGGGTGCAGGCAGCAGAGTATAAGCTCAACAGAGCTGCATTTGACATGAAGGCCAAGCAGATGACTGAGAAGCATGCAGTGGAAGCAAAAGAGAGCGCTGCTGCAGAGAGCAGTGACGAGTGTGGGAAGGACAGTGGTGAGGCCTCCCCATCTGCAGCAGCAGCCCCGGCAGAGCCTGCAGCTGAGACTCGTCGCCCTGACTGTCAGGTAAAGGCAAAATACACAGTAAAGATGGGCTAAATTGACTTTTACCAACAGTAACATGGGCCCTCTGTTTGCACAGTGGACAGCAGTGAACTGCCACACATTTGATCATCAAGCAGGACCTTTGTCTGTCAATTGCATGAACTGCAATCTCCAATCTGAAGCACCAGCAAACATGTTCGCGCTTCAATGCTCTGCTCAGTTCTGCTGCAGGCTACTGCACCACTACTTGCAGAAGATGGCCCCATCGCACCCGGCCCTACAGCTCAGCAGGAATGCAGCAAATCTGTTCCTGAAGCCAAGGAGAATAGCGACAGCCTGAATCAGCAGCATCCAGAAGTAGGAAACTTGACAGAAGAGAAGCCGCTTGCAGCACCTCCAAGAAACAGGCTGTCCCTCAAGAAACGCATGCGAGTGTCCTGACTGCAGTGTCTGATCTTTCACTGGCAATCCTCCCTGGCTACGGTAATATTTGGTAATCAAGAGAGTCTGCACAAGATTATACAGCACAATTCCTTTCAACTGCTATCAATCCTGATATTATCAACTGCCTTGACGTCAGACACTTGTAAAGTACTGCAAATTTGTCGCGAGATGCACCTGGTTGGGTTCAACCTGTGTTCAAAGACCTGGAAAGACTTCAAAACCTTCCCTCAGCCACACTTCAAAACTTTGTCTACAGGCTGATGGTCTCCCCGCCGCTGCTGCACAGCAGGCAGGGGTTGTTGCCGCGCCCGGCGCACACCTTGCACTCAGTACCAGCCGTCTCCCCAGTGATCTCATTGATCTCAGTGCGCTGCAGCCACCCAGGGGCCCAGGCACGCCGGCTCTTGAGCACGGCGCTGTTGAGCCACAGAGTGGCGCCTGCAGAGTTGTGCTGCCCGCATGTGCTCACCAGGCACACAAAAGTCTCACCGGCCGCCTTCCTCTTGGCTGTCACATGGAAGTGCCTCCAACCCAGCGTCCTCTCCATCGCCGTCCACTTGGATCCTGCGCATGGAAACTCTGTGAGTGAACTGAGTTTTAGTGCTGTGCATGCGGGCTCTGTGAGGGGACTGGGCTGCCTGTGGATTTGCCAGTGTCATTGTTGGCATTGCATGGTTGCCAAAAGTTTCGAGGATCATGATTAGACGTTGCGTGACTGTCGATTAGCAGCCGTATGACCCAGTGGGGTGTCCTGCTCTGAGACCACGTTTGCCTCGAAGTGCATGGCACTTGTGATGAATGATGCACTCACCGACGAGTCTGGCGCTCATGACCGGGTTCTTCTCATGGTAGCCGCCCCTCCCCAGCCTTGCAGTCCCATCACATGCACTGCATATGAGCTTGCCTGCACCGCCGCACCGCTGACAAGGCAGACTCTTATCCCGCTTGAACTGCACCCGCCACTGCCCAGAGCTGAACGCTCCTGACCCTTCCCTGATGGTCACAGGTCAGCATGGAAGTCAAAATGGCATGAAGTAGATCATATTGCCTTCTTCCCGCCATGTGCGGTTCCAGGGATTGCAGACTATTAGCTCAGAGGGTATGCAAGACAAACAAGGCAGTGACTGACTGTTGAGATCTGAACCAACCTGCGGTGGAATTGCTGCTCTTCTGTCTCGCGATCCAAAGTAGCTGTGTCGGAAGCCGTAATCCTAGATGCAAACGGACGTGACCATCTCAACGGAACTAGTCGACAGGCCCTGAAAAGTTCAGGCCTTTGGCAAAACCCTCCGAAACGGAGGTTCATCTACAGGAGATGCGATCTGCCCTGCAATTGAAGACTATCTACCCAAGCACAAATGTGTGGCGATGTAGCAATTGAGTGAACAGATTTATGCAGCAATGTCCCGAGAAACACTCCAAGGTACAAGATGGAAAGGCCCCAAATCTCCTACAGTGCCTTCCAATTGAAAAGCACAGCCACCATCCGATATAGAAGATCAAAAGAAGTGATGATGGATGGTCAGATGCGTTGCAATCCGAATTAAGATAATGCGATCGTGTCCTATGTCAGAGTCAAAATTTCCCCATCCTATTCAAAACCCTGCCCAGAGAGGGGATTTGACTCAGCATGCATGTCCAGAAAGTTTTTAATCTTTGGGATGGCCTGCACAGGCACTTGCTGCAGAGGTGCCCTGGGGTTGGCCCGCAGTTGCGTCCTGGCAGTTGTGTACCAGATCTAGGCTATGCCGATGACTTTGCTTTGCTCGCCACCACACCTGCTCATTTGCAACGCTTGATTGATGCAGCTGCTGAGTTTTGTGAACAAACGGGAATGGTCATCAGTGTTGACAAAACAAAGATTGTGGTGTTCTCTTCAAGTTTGCCAGGACCTTTTCAATGGCTTTGTGGTGGTGCGCCTTTACATTGGGTTCAGCAGTTTGAGTACCTGGGTGCCCCTTTTGACGGTGCCCAAGGCATTAATCTCACCTTTGGCAAGCTTCACAGGAACATGTGGGGTGCGTGGGCACAGCTCAGGCAGCAATATGGGAAGTTGCATTGCAGCATGTCAGCTGGCCTGTTGTTGCGCCTATATGATGCATGTGTGCCGCCGACTGCCTCCTACGGTTGTGAGGTGTGGGGCCTGCGCAGCCTTCCTGGTGGCGACAGCCGGCGGGGCCGGGCTGCCTTGGCCTCCTCTCACCTGAAAATTCTGAGAGACATTGCTGGCGTCCCCACCTCTGTGCATGGTGCCATCTTGCTTAAGGAGTTGAATCAGCAGACCCTTGATTGTGTGTGGTGGCGGCGCATTATCAAGTTCTGGAACAATTTGGCTGCCTTGCCTGCAAATAATTTTCACAGGCAAGTGGCCCTTGATGATTGTTGGGATGCCATAACCCGTAATGTTAAGAATTGGGCTTGGGCCTTCATGCGGGGCTTGCGCCGGATTGGGTATGAGTTTGTTATTCGGTTTGACACCCTTGTTCCTGTGGAAGTTGATGCTGTGATGCAGCTGCTAGATGCGCAAGCACTGCAGGTTTGGGATGACATTGACATTTGCCCTAGGACCTGCCCGTCCAGCAATGCCACCTTGTGTACATATCACAGATGGTTTGCTAGGCCAGCTTGTGTGCGCCACCCTTGCCAGCTCTTACAGCAGCCTTTGAGTGCCCGTTGCTTGCGTATACTGTTGAAGTTCAGGATGGGTTGTCATAGTCTGCCCAATGTCTCGGGCCGCTGGGCAAGGATTCCCCGGCCCCAGCGTTTGTGCATGCGTTGTGCCCAGCAGGTTATTGGGGATGAGCGCCACCTTGTGTTTGAGTGCCCTGCCTTGCAATCTGTTCGGGACAGATATCCTGGGCTGTTTGGTGCAGCCATTGTGACGATGCAGCAATTCATGTGGCAGTTGGACATTGTTGGTGTTGCACATTTTGTGATGGATTGTTTTGATTATTTGGATGCTGCCAGTTCATCCAATCAGCCCTAGGCGGCTGGAGTGATGTAATCTTCCTTCCTTCCTTGGGAGGGGAGGGCGGCAACTGTGGGCACACAGGTCATGGAACACGGTGTAAGGACAATTACTTGGGGGGTCGATGTTTACACATACAAGTTGCATGCATGTCGCCTATTCGGGTTCCACGGGTGCACCACCCAGAACCTGCAAAGGAATTTAAACTGCTACGTGCATAATATTAAAATAGCCTGCTCCGTCTACATCAGAGATATACATACGATCGTGATCCCTTCTGAGGCGATCACTAGATGTATTTGGTCAAGTGTAATGGTAAAAAAACGATGGCTGCCCAGCTGGAGCAAATGTTATCAAATCCCTGACCCCTAGCTACGACCAGGCACTCCTCAGCACGGTGCTCAGCAGTCACATCTGAAATAAAAATGAAAGACGAAAAGCGCAAGCAAGCTGAGATCATTTAGAGACGCAGTATAGAGCATCAGCCTCGGCTGACACAAAATACGCACAGCATTCTCAGGGCGGCTGCATCTGTCACATTCTCCCTTGAATTATTTAAGTAATGCAGCCATGCGCCTGCAGCGACAAATAGTCATTTGGCATGCATCCGCGTGTCCATCAGACGGCGTCCTCCCCGGTGCCGGTGGCGGCTGCGGCGCGGCGCTGCTGCGGCCGGAGTGGCGCGCGCGGCGAGCCGTCGGGGTTGCTCGCCTCGTCATCCTCCTCCTCAGCCTCCACCGCCACCGCCTGCGCGCATGCACAAAAGAAGATTAGTCGCCTATTCATCAGTAAGCATTGCTACCACTCTATCTGAAAAGAGCCTGCGAGCAGACAACAGGACCCAATGCTGTCAGCAGTCATTCATACACTTTGTGGTAGAGGCAGATGTGCATCAGTTTGTGCCGTGCCGTGAATGATGATTGGATCATTTTCTGCATGTGTCCTATCCGTTCACAACCCCTGGGACTCCAGCAGGCCTCTCATCCTTATTCCCTTGTGCTTTTCTGTGGCGAGTGATTTACCAAAGCTATGTGGCAGATCTGCTCTGGCATGCTAATCGCTTATCGCATTTCTACCCGGCGCAGAACCACACAGTCATTCTCCACCCGGCCAGTCACATTCATCCACAAAGCGGAAAAGATCCCTGGATTAAAAGCGGCTGGGGGCTAGAGAGACAGCACAGAAGAGTGTGCACCTGCTCTCCCTTGAGCACGGCGTCCATCTGGCGCGCCTCGGCCATCAGCTGCTCGTGCGCTGCCTCGTCGAATTTGAGTGCGGGCGCCAGGTAGGCGTTCTCCTCGCTGCGCCTGTCATCCTCAGTCATCAGGCCTGCCAGCTCCTGCGCGGGGCCAAGGGTCATTGTCAGAGGGGTTTCAAGGTTTTCAGGCCTTTTCTCGATCCCCTCACAAGCACACAAAACTATGCAAATGGCATCCTGAGCAGATTATAGCAAAGAATGCAAGCTGCGCTGCTATCTGTGCTTGTGAGGAGATTGTTGTCTGTGCAAGTCATAGCAGGCTCCCATTGGAGGATATAGGACTCATCTACTCAATAAAAATGCCAGACTGGCCTGCACCAAGGCAAGCTGAGCAAGGATCAGCTGAAGGTGATTTAGCGAGGAGCATGAATGGCCGCCCAGATGGGTGACTTTTGAGAAAATCCCAGTACAAAAGGGCCGGCACATTTGAGCAGGAGCTGCCGAGGCATGTGATTTTTATCAATCAGCAAGTTAAAAAGCAAGCAAGCTGACCTGGTCGTGGCGGTCGAGGTCGACGGCGTTGCGCAGGGACATAACCTGGAAGGGCTTCTCGAAGATGCCGGCGCATACACGCGCGAAGATGACGGTGAAGAACAGTAATGGCACGACCACACTGCTGGTGTAGCTTCCCTTGGCTCCCAGGATGCCCACCATGAACAGCTGGAAGGTGAACAGCGCCGTGATCACCTGCCAGTACACCGTCGGCCACAGCTGCGCGCACAGGGAACGCCTCAGGCAAGGCGTCAGGGCTGTTGCATTGCTGATTGCTGCATGCGCCGTCTGACACTGCTGCATGTGCTGTGCTGATCAAGGGGTCAGTAGAGACGAGCAGTCTTCCTAGCTATTGCAGAGAGCCTGCGTGCCGCTGGCATTGGCAGCCGCCCTGACATTTTATACATTCCATCTTTGCATGCGAACCGGCAAGTTGCAAATAACATGGAGTTGTGTACTCCCACAAGGTGGTTGTTGGAACCTTGGGCGCGGCCGCACACATGCAGGCATTCTACCTCTCAGCTCCCTTTGGATATTTCTGGTTCCAAAGTCCAGCAGGTTCAGCACCGGCTGCCTTGGTCCCGACAAATACCTACCCAGAGCGCAAATCTCGCCTCTGTAAAATTAATGCATGGCAGGGTGAAGGGTCTTCAGAAAAACAGGAATGCACCTGGCCGCCGCTCTCATACTCGCTGGTGTAGACGTAGAGGAGGTTGTACTTTTCGGTGCCGGTGGTGATGAGGAAGTAGATGAGGCACATGGGGCAGATTATGGGGTTCATGATGCAGAACACCAGGCCCAGCAGGATAGTGATCGTGTGCTGAGGCAGCTGCACAGCACCACAGAGAAGTCTTCAGACCATGTTGACTATAGAAAATCGCATCGCAACCATAAAATTGCCAGTTGGAGTTTTAGGTTCTGCCAAGCACAACAAAGACATGCCACATGTCTTTCGAACGGCATAGTATAGACTGCAGTTGCGCTGTCAAAACCGTCCTTGTAAGCATCTTGCACCAAACATTTATTGCGCTGCATGCAGGACATGTGGAGCGCAGAGCAGCAGTAGACGAGGACTTGGGAGCACAGCTCGGAACCCAAAAAGGGTGAGTGGGGCGCACAATACGTCCGTATTTCATGGTCTGCCGCTGCCACAGCCGCGCCTTGGCCCGCTCGGTGGCGGCTATGCGCGACAGCAGCCAGAACAGGACCAGGCCCACGATGCGCAGGAAGCCCACAGGGGTCGCCGCCAGCGCCTGCAAATACAATTATATCTGCACAATTTGTCATCCTTCATACATTTCTACTTTCTGCGCTGACATTGTGCCTTTCTGGCCAGGTGGTGAACTACAGCGACTCAAACAACAGAGACGCTCACAGGATTCTATCATTTGAATGTATTGCGACCCGTGGCTTCCTTGCACTTTTTCAATTTGGGGGGGAATATTCAAAATCAAACATGAATCCCATGCAAGATCTCCAGGTCAAGAGAGCAATCCCTGATGGCAGACACAGCACAAGGGAATTCTTGACATGGAAACTTGCAGAACGGCTGATGCTGTGTGGCTTGAACATGGTGAGCCGACACAGGGCACTCGAAAGGCTTGGCATTGGTCCAAGGCACTGGCTGCATGTTAGCATGTTGTCAGAGGGATTGGGAAATGGACTCGTTCCCACTCATAAAGACCTGACATTTTCACTTGCTCTACCAGAACCTGTCTTGCAGCTGCATCTGGGAATGGAATGTATATGAGGATGGCGCACATTGAGCTCGATGAAGGTGAGGAAGAAGATGGAGGTGAGGGGTGCTGAGGTGCCCAGGGTGGATACGATGGATGTGGGGTTGTTGATGAGCTCGCGGGCCTGATTTAAGAAGGAGCCCGCAATAAAGGAGCCCAGGAAGACCGTGATGAACTGCGCACCACCCACACAATTGCTGAGATCAAGGCCACTGTTAACACGTCATTCTCAAAGGGAACCTGGCATCACTTGTTCAATCAAGGTGAACTCATACAAGAACTGAAAAGGGTCATTTGTATGACTCTTGCATCCTTGGTCCCAGGTAAGCCTGATAGCTTTCTGTGGCACTGACAGCGTGCTCCCTTCTGACTCCACTTTGCCTCACGCGGTCAATCTAAGGCAGCCATCACTTACGAAACACTTGGCAGTGCGCCTTCCATTTGTTGCAAGATTTAGTCAATGGAAATTCACTGGAGGGGAAATGCAGACCTGGAAGATGTAGTACTTGGTGATGACAGAGAAGTCGATGGAGCTCCTGGAGGTGAGGCCCTGGATGCGGCCCATGAACGCCAGTATTATGGGCAGAATCGCCAGGAAGATCTTCAGCACCAGGCCTGCATGCACAAGATTTTGATCAACTTTCTGTTGCTTACTAACTTGAAATCAAGCCATGCCATGCATTGATGAGCAATGTGCCAGGGCGCCAAAGAAAGCTGTAAACAATTTACTTTGTGGGGCGCAGCATTGCAGCACATGGGGCATGGAGGGCTTGATATTGCATGCCAGGCAATGGCTACCGGACAATTGAAGTCCTACATGTGCGCCAGCAGAGACATCACTGCCTCATGGCAAATGTAGACACCCTCTGCCCGCGTCTGGCATGCAGTGACGAGGCCTTTGCAGGCGCACATGTGACGATGTTGCAACAGAATATCACATGGGTATATAGTGAAGACCCCAGCGGTATAAACATGAGCACCGTGCCGACAGTTGCTTGGTCCTGCTCGGATCTGGCAAATCCATCAAGGGGTACGATTATGGCAGCCTATAACTGCACCTTGTCTGGAGGACGCGCTTTGCCTCTTGGTGGAAAAGCGTGTAATAATAAGAAAAGGAAATGAGGGCGCGCCTGGCAGGATGGCGGTGGCAATGGACTTCACGACTGGCAGGTCGATGATGACAGCGAAGACGTGGATTTTCTTGAGCTGGTCGATGTTGATCAGTCCCTGGATGAAGATGATGGGGATGAGGTAGAACGCTGTCAGCACGAAGAAGGCCGACCACACCGCCACGAAACGCGCGCTGCGCTCCCACGACCGCCACCTGTCAAGCATTTGTCGACTTAAGTAATTCCATGGAATCAAATGCTCCCCAGCGTTCCTTAGAGAAAGAGGAATGCAGCCATCAAGGCAGAGTGAGCGATAGAGGAACAGAGCGGCCTCACTATGCAAATGCAATCTCTGCGCAGCGCACATCTTTATATGATATTATTGCAGATGGGCCAAGAATATTGAGATAATGAGTGAAGGCCTGCCTGATTTTTTCCAGAAACTAGATCCCACTCAACTAGAGTCTGATCCAGCAACTGTGACGCGGTGCAGCCGCAAGTCATCCAGCAAGTACGGTAGTGAGACCAGGGAGCTGAACCACACACCAGGAGAGCAAGCGCCAAGAAGGGAGGAAGGGCCGCCTTGCAGTATCAAGTGGATTTCTCACGGAGATTGGACAAAATAGAAAAGGTGTTAAACCTTAGGTTGCCCCAGACGACCTCCTCGTGGCCGGGCGCCGCGCTGACCTTCCAGGTACTGGTGTCGTGGTGCTGCGTGCTCGTGGTCGCCTTCACCTGGGAAACGTACTTCCTGCAACAAGCCCTAATCCTAGTCAGAACATGCCAGCATTTTTAAAGAGCACATTCTGCGCTCTGCCCAAAGTCTCGTCCAGGGCACCATCTTCTGTGTAATTGCTAACCAGCAACGAGGAATTTCCCCAGGAGCTGTCGGGCGGTGTGCCCAACATCCACATGGAAGGGAGCTCCGGAGCACTGGAGTATCTTAAGCAAATGAGTCCGCAAAAAAGCTGAATAAACACCACTCCCTAGGACTAGCACCCTACTAGAGCACTGATGCAGGAGGTAGAGAGAAGCGCACTTGAAGGTTACAAATGCGCTGGGCACGCTCTTGTCTTTGGTGCGCTTCTGCTCCTCTAGGATCAGCCGCCGCACCTCGTTCATGCGGTCCCGGTAGAACTGCAGCCGCACGCACACAGCCCCAGCGTCAGCCTCCAGAAGCAACATTAAACAGACAGAATGCAATGGGCTTTCTGTGCTGCTGTAGCTCAGACGGACAAGCCCAAGCAGTTGCCAGCTATGAGAACAACTGTGTCACATGGGTCCTCGGCAGGCGGCCCACGCAACAGAGCAGTCCACAGGAAGCAGCAAGTGCGCAAGCTGAATTCACAGAACTGCACCAGTAGGGACATGTTTCTGTTCCCACCGTTAGAGAGAGCAACCTTGGCGATGACCAAAATGTAGAATGTAACGATGCACCTTCTACTTGGCCACTACTTATCTTGGGAGGATGGGGTCTCACCTCCAGAGCATCCACCTTGACGGGCTTCACGCCGTATCTGTCCCGGCCCCAGGCACCATACTTTACCCCCACCACATTCTCCTGCACCATCAGAACACATACTTCGATTAACTTTTCTTGATAGCAGTCGCAGCAAACAAAAGTGCATCACTGAACAAAGCATGCAACTTTGCCAGGATTGGCTCGCCAAAGCCATAAGACTCAGAATAGCGGACTCATTGGTCTGGCCAAGTCACTGCTCTAGGAAAGCAAAACTGATCAGATCAAAACGCAGGATGCAAAGACACCCAAGATGCAGTCAATTCTATCTAAATCTGAGAGGAGCAACACTGGTTGCGTTCATAATGAGGCGTGCCTTCTTGCGCTTGATGGGCTTGTGGCGGCGTTTCTTGGAGGTGTAGTCATCCACCAGGTCCTCCAGGTTCCTCTTGAGCTTCTCATACTCGCCACAGAGGCCGTTCAGGTCCGCCAGGTCATAGCACACATGCACCGCCTCTATCTCCCCAGGAAAGAGCTCCTGGTACTCCTGCTCCACCATCTGCATAGACAGGCCCAGGATAACTTATGTAAGGTATGCATGCAGTTTTGCAGTTGATCCTATTTGCTTCAAGTGTCTCATGCAGCAAGGCTTGCAGCTTCAATGTCAAGTATGATCCAAAATCCCTTTGTCCCAATCTGGCTGGATAATATGAGCATTCTTGCCAGCGTCAGCATCATGCCAATACAGAGAGGAAGGCCCTTCTAAACCAACCAAACACCTTTTGAAAATATTTGCTGCGGATCACATGTGCTGGCAATCTGGGCAGAGGTGGGTACCTGCTGCACTGTCAGGCCATCCTCCAGGAGAGCCTCAGCCTTGGACCAGGGATCCTGGTCTGTCACAGATCTGAAGGCAGCGTCCAGCTCCGGTGGATCGTTCGCAAAGTCCGGCTCCTCTGCCGGCTCCGCCTTCCAGGCACCAGGCGATGCCTGCGCGCCACCATCCCTCGTCATTTCCCCATTAATTTATACGGCAGAAATAAAAGACATATTATTTCTCTCATGCCACGGCGCCAAGCATGCTGCTCACTGGACACTACCCAGAGCTGCATATGGACAGATCAGCGCAGTACAGTAGTACAACTTGTCTCCAATCAGGCAGTCCTGAGTTTTGACCGGCCTGTAGATCTTTGCAAATGTACAAAAAGAAAATCCCTGCTGCAATCACAAGCATTCTGAATATAACCTCAAGCCAACACGGCAGTGCATGCTTGAGGGGCGACAGAAGGGCGGCGCACAGCGTCGGCGGGCGGCACAGAGGAGGTGGGGCCTCCCTTAACAAGGGGGGCCTGCTGGGACTCGATCATCTCCTGCCGGGCGGCCTCGATGGCCGGGTCCACGGCGTGCACCGAGGGGATGCTGCCACGGCTGGGCAGCGCCTCGGGGGCCTCAAAGAACATCGCGTCGCTCCCGCTGCGCTGCGGCGGCGCCGCCTCCCTGAAAGGCACAGCAATCACGCATCAGATTTGTACTTAGTGTGTGCAGATTTTCTGTAAGGTTGCTGCATGGTTTTCGACTTGCAAGGTAGCCCTTTCTCTTATCTCTGGGCGCTTGCAAGAAGCGATAAGGAGGGTTATCTGCTAAACTTTAAAGTGGCACCGCAGCCTGGTGCTGAGGTATTCCTGTTGAGAAAGATTTGAAGTTGGATCGTATATATGGCAGATCTGCCACAGCTGAAGGCGCTGTGGAAGTCCTACCATGACATTCATGATGTGGATGTGCTTCTGGTGCCCACCACGCCAATCACTGCACAGCCTATCGATGACGTGGAGCCTTATGTCAGCATCAATGGCCGCAAGGTGCATTGCCTGCTTCATTTTAACCCCTTTCTCTAGAAAATGTCCCATTCACTGGCTACCTCACAAACTGAGGATGGGACCTGTTTTTGCATGCATATCTCAAAGCTCTGCCTTGATGTCTTCATCTCCGTTTCTCTCCAAAACAACAGTCTCAAGAGGTCGATCTGGATCCTCTCAACAGAAGCCTTGCCCAGTGCGCAAAAGCAAGGCATGAAATCTGACATGTCATCTTCAAGCAGCAGCCACACCTGTTTGTGAGGTTGTTGGTAATGCGCCCAGTGGTGGCCTTGAGCCCCTTGTTGCCCACGTCGACCACCTTTGACACAGTCTTCTTCAGGGGCTCCTTCACGACGCCCGGCAGCACGCGCAGCACCGTGGTGTCCGCCCGGTGCATCAGCGTGCCAAATTGAATGCCGGGAATATCCTGAACAATGCGCTCCTCCCCATCAAATGTCAACCTTTGCCAGAGTATGTACAATGACACAGAAGGTCAGATGCATGGTAAACCGCAGCAATGACCCACTTCTGTCAGTTTACCACAGCCATGTAGTCTCCTATAAGGCCCAAGGCATCGAGTGATGCATGCCCGACGCAGACACGTCCACGGCACTGAAGAGAAGCTGAACAGTTTCTATACTAAATTTGTCTCTTTAGTTCAACATTGGAACCTACCTGGACCTGTGCTGTGCGTGCCTGCACCCCCTCAGCCTGCTGCAAGAAGCGCAGCCGCAGCGCCACTGCCGACTTGCTGTACTTCCACAGCAGCTGCAGCCACATCAAGCATCATTTGAGCATGCAATCCTCATGAACCCTTCATGTCACACACACCTTTCAAATTTTAGATTTGTCATAATTGCGTGACGCTGCTTGACAGAAAGTTGCAAGGACCGTGGACGCATCCAGGGGTCACCACTGCATGATGTCTGGAGACTAGCATGACAAAACCTCTGCTGACACGCATGAGGACTGCTGGTACCTCACAAGGCAATTTATGTCAGGAAGATTTCAGAGCAAAGGGGGTGGGTGGACTTACATTGAAGACTACCAGCGTCACCACCCATGCCATGAGGCAGTGGATCCACAGGAGGCTCGATCTGTCGCTCACGTTTGACATTGTCAGCTGCGCAAAAAGACAGGACAGTTAGAAGGCCCATTCTGCCATTGCGACGCACAGCACAATGACAGGCAATATCATGCATGACATGATGCCTTACAGGAGTATGCACAAGGGACATGTGGCCCGAGCATGGCACAAAGAATGCAATGCTCTCCTAAGAGATGACAAATGATTTGTAACAGGCTGCCCACACAAATGAATATTAAGAGGCAGCTCGCACCGTATCCATATTGTTGGGGACATAGTTCTTTGGTCTCCACTTGGGGTCGTACAGTGTCGTGTATCCCGCAAATTGCGGCCCGAGATCCGGAATTGGCGGGACGTCTGGCTTGAGGCGCCACCACATGAGGCCTGGCGGGGCAGGCGGCGTCACTAGGTAGAAATCAGGCGGCTGTAAGGTGCACAGAGCCAACGCATTAGGACATACCATGACAATCCAGGGTACCAGGATCAATGCATGCATCACAAGCACAAGGACAGCAGATCTATGCATGCTCTCTGACTCTTTCCAGCACATGAACGATGAACAAAACTGACAATTGAGGCCTGTGGGATTACGCACATTGATGCCCTGCACATTGTCAGCTGGAGGGGGCGGGGGTGCGACTGGATCGAGGGGCGGTGGCGGAGGGATCCAGTATGTGTAGTTGTTGGGCTGCAGGATATCCTCAGTGAACTTGTACACGTTCTTGCCCTGCACACACCATGAGCATGCTGACCTGCTTAGTGCTGGAATGGTGCAACTGAGCAGTATGACAGAGCATGAAGGCATCTGGAAGCTGCATGCATCAGCTTCAGCGCAATGGCAAGGTCTGCAGGATGCATAGGGTTTCGACTCAGAGTTCAATACATCGGTTCAAGCAGACAAGCGTCTCTTACCACCAGGTTGACTGGCAGGATGACCGCACAGCAAAGGATGGTCAGATAGAAGAAAAGCTCAATGCCTGCAATGGCAGCAAATGATTTAAGTCTAAGTACAACATGATCGCTTTACTCGTCCGATCAAAACTGCAATCAAGCAACCACTCACCAAAGGAGATGATACGCATGTAGACTGCCGCATCAAAGCCCGCAATTTTCAAGAGATCTTCCTCCGTCGTCTTGTAGACAGGGATGAGCCATCCCCAGAATGACAAAGGCAGACGCTTTGGCTTGTGTTTCAAACCTCGTGTGAATCTGCAGTGCACACAAAGCACCTTGCTGACTGGTAGTTGAGGATATAAAGGTCCAAATTCAACAAGTGACAGCCACAAGCGTGTATCCTAGACCAAGTGATGTTCTTGCTTCAGGATTCTCAAATGAATCGAAGTCTCACCTCTTCGGAGCATAGAATTTCTTACAGAGACTGGACATGCGCGCAAAGCCGAAGAAAATGAAAACCACGATAGCGATGACGCAATAGAACCCAAATGAAATACCGAAGGATCTGCCATCGGCTGCCATGGTTCAAATGCAATCAATGCAAATGAAAGTCAAGCAAGAACGGATTGCTGTACTAGGCCTCCTTGGGTTGGGAGCACGCCTGAATGAATTGACTGAACAGCTGTCTCTCAGAAATGGTCATCAGACCATCGCGGTATTTAGTAGCTCTCTGAGCTTCATTGCATCATTCATTGACGCTCCGAATCTCGGCGAGATTATCTCGCTTCCTTGCAATGCAGGGATCAACTTCCATTTGACCCCGAGATTACCACTGTACTTGGGGTTTCATGAAAGCCCTAGCTAGGTTTGCATGATTGAAATTTGAGACACTCTACTTTCCTGGTAAGCTAGCATCATAATATAGCATCCAAAAGGTGTTCTAAAGGTGCATATTGTCTATCTTGACAACCACAATACCTCAGGTCACCGGCCGCATTGCGAAGTACGGTCACAAGGTCGTCCAAGGAAGAAGATGGGGAGTTAATCTGAGGAAGACAGCTGGCACGCAATGTGGACGGGCTTGAGCCAGTTTACAAATGCGCTGAAAGAGCAAGCTGAGTCAGTTGTGCGAGAGTCAGGCCTAGACGGCCAGTTGGTGCGGGTTCATCCATCTTGCACTCTGCAAGAACTCTCAAGCTAGGAACCCCAAATTTCAAGCCATGGTCGACCCTGTCCCACCAAAAATTGACACTGTATTCACGCGATTGTTTGTGTTCTCGAATTAACTCTGCATTGAAAGCATCTCAGCCTTTCCCAATGTTGCTGAAGGAACAAGCGAGGAAAGCTGCCGCTGGTCTGCTGCTTGATGTCCCTAAACCAGAGGAAGCTGCAGATCCCGACGAGTACCAAGGATCGCCACATGCTCCAGTCAGCCATTTTGCCGGATATGCCTTTCCAACGACCTCAGGTGGGCACAGATCTGCTGTCTCCTTTGCCCTTGAGTAAAGCAAGTCCACTTAATGATGAAGAGTAGAAGCAATACCCTGAGACTGCAATTTTGTCTCAACAGGATCAGACCCAGAAGCAGAGCTCCACGACCGGGACAGGGAATCAGTGGCATGGCATGGCCTGGATTCTGGCGGGTTCAGCGATGTGCCTCTGGGGAGCCCTCCTCAGAGAACCTCACAGACCTTGCCCCAGAGCAATGGAGTGAAGCCGCGGCTACAGCAGGTCGCTCATTCGCTGTCGCACCTCGGTGGCACCAGTTCTACCGGGTCTGAAACTGGGCCAAGGCAGCATGAGCTGCAGGCAGAAAATGCCAGCCTCCAGGAGCGGCTGAGGGCCGTAGAGAATGTGAGCAATCGCTCTCATGCCAGTACCTTCATGCAGTGATGCTGTGTCATGTCATGCATCGATCTGTTTCTCACCATCCGTTGTGCATGCACTCTGGCATCGCAGAGTGAGATATTGCAGGTCGAGTGCTTCGCATGGCTTTCTTGATCAACAGTGAGCTGCCCCTGGGGAGCATGAAGTGTATTTAGAGGGATAACAATCGCTATGTTGAATGCTTGGATGAACCATTTACCCCATGCAAAACTTTCTCTGCTATAAATTGGAAAGAATGGTCTAGAGCACTCAGAGTACTCTATCCTGCACACAGGAGGCTGTGGAGGTGCTGGGAGAGCTGGAGGAGCTGAAGGACAGGCTGGAGGCCAGCGAGGCGGCGCGCGCAGCAGCCGAGAGGCGCGCGGAAGAGGGCGCTGCGCGTTGCTCCGGCCTCGAGGCAAAGGCTGAGCGCTGCCAGGACCTGGCTCAGGCAAGACGTCTGCCTATCCCTAGGAGTCTTCAGAGTTACAGTCAAGAACATTGCCGCTGCATGCCAACGTCTGCCGAACTGGAGGTCCAAAGTTGCGGTCAAAATTTCTGTCCCTGCATGTCAATGTCTGCCAAAGTAGGATCTTAAGGTACTCATAGACAACGCTTAGGCTGTCATTATAGAGAACAGCAATAATAGAGCTGTCCTTCTATCAGCTATGTGTGACTGGAATGGTGCAGGCAAGGGAAGGTGAAGCCAGGGCCAGCGCAGAGGCAGCATGCCTAGCCAGGAATCAGCTTGAGGCAGCGCAGGAGTCCTTTCAGAAGTGCCTGGCAGAGAGCGAGGCGGCAAGGGAAAGGCTGGCCAGGCAGCTGGAGGACAGCCAGCAGCTCAGCTTGCCATCACCTGTCAAGCATGTAGGACAATGCTCATCTTCTTTCTGTTGATGCTGGTGTATTTGCATGGGCGCAAGCATGCATGTAAACTGTTAATTCATAGTCAACTTCACTAGACGCCGTTCCAACCCATGAGGATCATGTTTGGGGACATGCAATTGGGTCATGCAAATAGCATTCTCAAGGTGAATTACCAATATGTTGAAAATAACTCGCATATCTGTGTAGGTAGCTGCAGAGGACGAGGCAGCAGATGGCGCAGCCGCACCAGCAGAGGATGTAAAGGACCTGAAAGCCAAGCTGGCGAAGATCAAGCGCCAAGCAATCACCTTCAAGTCAAAGTTCACTGAAGCGGCGGCCGCTCGAGATGCTGCTCTCGCTGAGCTTGAAGCTCTGAAGCAGGTGTGTAGCTAGCTCGTGATTACCGAGGCCTTGCTTTCAATGCTGCATACATCAGAATGGGAAGCAAGATGTCCTGTTATATCCTTGCCGCATATGCCTGTTTTGGAGTAATTGTGAAAAGGTCTTGTGGGGTTGTGTGACAGGTGCACGGAGGGGCGGATCCGGCAGTCTCTGGCGTGGAAAATAGCAACGCTGTGAATAAGGAGATGGAGCAAATGCAGGAGCGCTTGACCGAGGCAGAGAGTCAATGCCAGGCACTGGGAGAGCAGCTGCGGGAGTCACAGGAAGCATGCACCTCGCTGGCCTCAGAGAAGGCAGAACTGGCAGCCCAGATCTCCCAGCTGAGCGCTCAGCTCAAAGAGCAGCAGGCGCAGATGGCTGCAGAGGCCCTCAATGCACAGCAGCGGGACAGCGAGCTGGAGGCTCAGCTGCAGAAGCTAGAGGAGGCCCACAGCGCTGCCCAGGAGAGGGCAGGGGGCATCGAAGCACGCGCTGCCCAGCTCGCAGGGGATCTGCAGTGGCTGCAGGAAGAGCGGGAGGCTCTGGAAGCTTCCCTGCGCCAGCAGAGGGCGGCGGCAGATGCCTCAGAGGCTGCCCTGCAGGCAACGGAGGCATATCACAGTAGGCAGCTTGAGGATGCTACCGGCAGATTGGAAGCCGCTGTGGCAGAGCTGGAACGGGTGAAGGAGGAGAGAGCAGCGCCGCAGTCTGAGCTGGGAAGGGCGCAGGAAGCGCTGGCCAGCACAGCTGCACCCGCAGAGATCACTTTGCAGAACGGGGATGACAGGCATGCGGCTGCGGAGGGCAATGGGAGCATGGCAGACACTGGAGCCATGCAGTCAAACCCGCTGTTCTCCCCGGCAAAGGGAGGGAACTCTACTGCCATGGAAGGGGCGGAGGAACCGCCAGGGAAGAACAAGCCCGCCAGGGGCAAAGCCGCTGCAGCCAAGCGCATCGCCGAGCTGCAGGAGGCTCTCCGGGAAAAGTCCCAAGACCTGGACAGGATGACTAATGAGCTCGCGTCGGCGCAAGCGGCGCTGGCCGAGCGCTCGGCAGAGGCCGAGCGGCTGGCTGCAGAGCTGGTGGCAGCTTCCGAGAAGCTGCAGGCGGCGTCTGCCTCCAGCAAGGACGGCCTTGCCGAGCTGCAGGTGCAGCTGGCCGCGGCGCGCGGAGAGGCAAGCAGCCGCGAGGCCTCGGCGGCCGGCGCGGCCGAGGAAATTGCCGCGCTGAAAGCCGCTGCCGCCAGCGCTGTGGCGGAGCGCGACGGCCTCGTTGCGGAGCTGGCATCGGTGCAGCAAGAGGCGAAGGAAGCTGCCGAGGAAGCCGCCCGGCATCTGCCCGCTGCAAACGGCGACAGCGCCGCTTCCGCGGCGGCCGGTCACCAAGAAGAGGTGGAGGGTCTACAAGCGAGCCTGGAGGCTGGGGAGGCCCGGGCGGCGCATCTTATGGAGCGCTTCGACGAGCAGCAGAAGCTGCTGGAAGCTTCCCAAACTGAGCTGCAGGAAGCTCTGTCAGAGGCCAGGACGCAGGCGGCGGCAGAGGGCACTGCCGCCGCAGCTGCGCGAGAAGAGGCCAAGACAGTCGGCTGTGAGCTTCATTTGGTTCAGGAGGAAGTTACTCGGTTGCAGGGAGCTCTGCAGCAGGCGCAGGCTGCAGAGGCGGATGCAGCAGTGTCCAGCAATGAGCTGAAAAGCCGCATCAGCGCTGCAGAAGAAGTCACTTCACGGCTGCAGGTCAGACAGCTTCCCACTAGCCAGACCGAAGCATGCACGCGTGTGTTTTCCTGCTGTTTGTCAGTGTCCCTTTTAGTTCGCCGGTACTTTGACCACACCAGAAGGGTGCACTCTATCTTGCTTTATCCTGAAAAATGGCAGTTATCTATACAGCAAGCATCGCTGTTCCAATTGCCGACAGGAGGATGTGAGACGGAAGGAAGAAGAGCTCAAAGCTGTGAGAGGTGGCGCATCTGTGGAGTCAAATTTGGCAGCCTCTGCCATCAAACAGGTGAAGTTTATCAAGTGCAAGATATTTCAATGCCATAGCCAGGTTCAGCAAGTGCATGTGGTTTTTGCTGCCGGGGCATGTTTGAGTCAATATGCTGTAGAAACTATGACCTCATTTGTGATTAACATGTATACATGCATGCAGGGTAATCAGCGCGCAGAGGAGGCAGAGCAAGCTGCTGCGCAGGCTGACGAGAGAGCTTCACAGGCTGAGCAGCACTTGACAACAGCTGCTGCCAGAGCACAAGCTGAACTTATGGCTGCCGATTCCAGGTAAGACTCATTGAATCCCGAGTGATGTACTCTATACAAAATCAATCATGGACTCTCATAAACCAAGAGCGTCACGCACAAAACATGTTGTATGAAAGGAGTGACTGTGATGCCAAATCACTCACTTTTTCTGTCTGGGCATGGTTGAATTTTGAATACTAAATCTGCGCGTGATTACCGTGAATTTCTAATAACGTGATAAGAATTAGACCTCAACGGAGCACTCGTTGCATGTCCAAGGGGCTGCCCTGTGCTGCAGGAGGCGGGAAGCAGAGTCACAGAGGGACAGGCTGCAGGAGCAGCTCGACCAGGCCCAGGCCGAGGCGCAGGTCCTCAGAGAGGCTCTTGAGGCCGAGCGCTCGGCCGCGGCGGCCGACGCGGCGTCGATGCAGCACCGGCTGGAGCAGGAAGGCGCGTCCGCCTGCAGCCGCGCGCGCAATGAGGCGGCATCCGAATGGCAGAAACGCCTCCAAGAGCATGCCCAGCAGTCAGACGCTGTGCTGGCAGAGAAGAGCGCCGCCCTGGAGGTGCGGCAGTCACTAATGTTGTTCCAGTCGCCCTCTGATTTGTGGGTGCTTTTAGGGCGTGTGATGTACCGTTCTGTTTTTTGTGATTAGGAGTCGACTGCGTCATCCGCATACTATTCACAGCCGCAACATGCTGTGGAGGTAGTCCTTTCTGGTTAGTCATTTTTGATCAACATTCTGCAAAAGTCTAAGCATGTTTTGGGCAAACGCTGCTTCAAGGGATTCTGTATTATTATCCAAACTGCCTTTTGAGAAGCAGTCTTCTTGTGCACAGAGGGCTGAGGCTGATGTGGAGCGGCTGGAAAAGGCCCTGAACGAAGCTGGCACTGCGGCCCAGGCGCTGAGCGATACCCGTGCGCTTACAGAAGGATTGGAACGGTAAGTAATCCAAGAAAGACATTGCTGCATCGATTACTCTGATAATCTTCAAAGCAAGGGGGCACATGCACTGAACCCACTCCCGGCTGCTTGGCATGGGCTGCATCCTCCCGCCTCTCACATATGGTATATTGGTCAAAATCCTAATCTTAAGAAAAATGCAGCTGTTAGTCTTCCTCTGCCAACACCAGAGAAGTGTGTCAGATATGGTTGTGGGGACCCTTTGTTCATGACAGCTTCTGGGCTGCAGGGATCTTGGTGAGACCAGGAAGCAGCTGGTAGAAGCAACGGGCCAGCTGGACACCGTGAGGCAGGAGGCAGCGGAGGCGCAGTCGGCCGCAATAGAGCGGCAGAAGAAATTCTCCATGCTCAACGCCACATTCAGGAAAAAGGAGGAGGGTCTGCTCGCGCGCGTGGAGGAGGCTGAGTCAGCGGCCAGTCAGCTGCGGGCCGAGGCGGCCGCCGCACAGCACCTCGCGACGCTCGCCCAGCAGGTGGGCACTTCACTCACTGATCCATCACTTGCACTATCAGGCAGTTGTGGCACTCACCTTGGTAAAAGCTCTGATCTGTGTCTGCTCACGACCGCTTGCTGAGAAGAGCTGCGCAATGGTGCGGAGGCATCGTGATGTGACATTTCTTTCAGGATTGACGACACCGCTTGCTCCTCAGTTTCTCAAGATGCGGCAGCACGGCATGCTTGTGTATCGTGATGTACTGTCTTTAATTGGGTGATCTTCGCTCTGAGATGCTCTAGTGCCCACCGCAGGAGGCGCAGCGGTTGGAAACGCAAGCAGGGGAGCAGGCGGCGCGGCTGGCAGCGGCCGAGGCGGCGTGCGCGGCGGCCGAGCGGGGCCGCGAAGATGCGCAGAGGATGGCTGCGGAAACTGCCGCGCAGCTGGTGGCAGCTCAGACGCAGCTGGCGTCCGCGCAGGCTGCGCGGTCAGAGGCGGCTGCCGACGCTGCGAGCTTTGAGGACCGCGTGCATGCAGCCGTGTCTGGTGCGCTCCAACGCTCCTCTCTCACAGTTGAAGGATATCAGTCACCTTAACGTTGTGTGCCAGCCTGTCAGTGGTTGCACCCCTATGCAAGAAGCCTGTTGGGGTACTCTTGTGTATTGATTCTTATTTGGGCATCCAGTGTGCAGTAGACATGGCCACAGCGTCTGACCTGTCCTTCCTATATAAAGTCATTCTTTGAGGCAGTGTATGCCAAGACAGTGCATGCTGCCTCAAAATTGTTCAATCGATTGATTTTTTGAACAGCTGCCATCCTTATCGGCAGTTTGAGACATGCCACCAGCGCTCTTCTGACAGCGCTTGTGTGATTGCTGATGCAGTCCGGGAAGAGGATGCGGCTCAGCGAGTGAGGGAGGCAGAGGAGGCCCAGGTGGCGGCCGAGGCTCAAGTGAAGCAGGCGGAGGCGCGTGCGGCCGCAGCCGAGGCGGCCAAGATCGAGCTCTCGCTGAAGCTGGCCGACGCCCTCAGCCAGGAAGAGTCTGCTGATGATGTCTCCGCTGTGCCTACTCCAATCACCCCCAGGTATCCTCCTTCTCCCTCAAAGCTGATTTTGGACTTTATCTCACTTTCCATGGGCCAAACAATCCCATCATTTCTCACGCAGGCTTTTTTTTCTTTTCAAGTTTGCTCATAACAGCGCAAATCAGCGCCATTTCTCTGCCAGAATCAGGAAGCAGTCCAGATGCAGATGCTGAACCTGCGAAACCTGCAGCCGCGGTCTGTCTGGCGAGTCACTGTGTTTCTGTCTGAATCCCTCCTGCTGATTGGAGACTGTCCTAGAGCACACGCTTCCTCCTGCCCTGCTAGACTTCACTGCTTTCTTGTACTGTACAGCCTGAATGGCAGGTAGCTAAAGCGTTGATGCTGCAATGCAACAGGCAGACGGGGACATCAGAGGAGTGGGCGGAGCGCTATGAGGAGCTGGAGCTGGCGGCCCGGGTGGCGTCCCGGCGCGCGGCTGCGGCCGAGGCTGAGCTGCACCGGCTGAAGCAGCAGCTGGATGCCGCCGACAAACGCGCCAAGGAACTCGCATGGCAGGTGCGGGCCTCGGTACCGAGAAGTCGTCTTGAATGTTCTTCTCGTGTTCTGGTCTGAATCGCGTGCCTCTGTGTGGCAAGAAGTCAATTTGCCACTGGTTTGTTGTTGTCAGCATATGCCTGTATGCTGGTTTCAGCTTTGCACCTTGAGTGAGCCATTCTTCTGTGAGAAAACCTTTGTATTGTTTCTGGTGAGGGTGAGCTGCATTCCCTTGCAATGCTATTGCAGTATGTAGCACATGAAGCAGAGCATTTTCTCTGTTGGCGCAGATCAAGATGATCTCGGATCCGCGCCAAATAGGCGGCCAGCAAGCAGCGGGAGGCGCGCCCGCAGGAGTCGCGAGCTCTGTCATGGACATATTTGGCTGCGGTGCCAACTACCGCCGGTGAAGTCTAGCGAGCAATTGGCAAGGCATTGCACGCAGTGGAGAATTTGTCATATTGATATACTAGTTGCACAGATGCTTGCGAGCATGCAATGACCTCGGTGAGTGTTGGGCGAAGAGAGGTCTTGGCGAGATAATGGACACTTGATTTTGCTGTGTCTGGGTTTTCTGCTGGTCCTTCTGCTGCAAGAATCATGATGAGTGCCGCACAGTAGTGGGTCTGGCAGACAGTGCCAGCTGCATGCAAGGTCGGAAAGTGAGTCGTTACGTAACCATTAGAAATTGGTGAAACTCGCACCATTACCTTCGGGCCTCTGTGAACATACAAATTTGACAGAAGTGAAATTTCTACTCCTGCATCAGGGTTGCGTGCAAGAACAAAAAAGCAATGTTTTGTCTCATGAGACATGGTCATCTGCAAACCTGCAAGCTTACTCCCTTCACAATATGCACAAAGACAGAAATAGTCACGCAGCTGCTGGCCATGGCAGCACAATTGCAGCATTCTGAGTCTAATAAGGATCAATCCTCATGAAGTATTTTATATATAAAAAAAATATGCTGAAATTCAAAAAAGCTTAAAACTGACTTGATGACCTGATTTCCACCCGATCCTCTCATTTTCCTCCCTTGACACCCTGGAGAAGATCTGAACCTTTCCAAGAGCTGTCTGAAGGCCACTTGAACTGCGATTGTCCCCGGACATATTCACCCGCACTGCCCTAGTGCTCTGTGCGGACATCGTCAGGAAGATGCTTAAGGCAGCACACTGAGCTCAGCAGCCATGCGGCAGCAGCACAGCGGCATTCCCTCCAGTGTTATGGGAGTGGCTGTGCGGCGAGCACACGTGGCCGTCATCTGAGACCTTGATGAAGGCAAATTCCAGCAGGTTCTTCGCGCACGCGCCCTCTTCGCAATAGTAATTCGGCTCCACTGAGAAGATCCTGAACTTGTCCGCCAAAATAGCATCCAGGACCTGCAGCATTGTCCCAGCCAGACTTCTCTTAGGCAATGGCATCCCTGACATTTTCTTGACACACTGCAATAGCATCTGTGCTTTTTGTCGCACTGCAGACTCATTATGACCCCCATGAAGACTTGGGCTGCCTTCATGATCCTTACTGCTATTCCTTTCCTTGAAATGACATCAAAGACAGGTGGCATGCTCCACTTGAGGTGCATGCATCTCTTCCAGGGTCCAATCAACAGGGCAGTTGTGTGGTGCATGGATTTTTTCATGGTGTATTGAAAGGGGCGTACCTTCCAGACACGATCGGCGTTGCCAGGCCAGTGGAACTCGACGAGAAGCTGCGTGGCCGGCAGCCGCGCGCCCGGCGTGGCATAGAAGTCCCCAAACACGTCCCACTCGTGGTTCTCAATGTCAATCTTCAGCACGTCTAGCCACTCATGAGACAGAGCGCCCATGACCTGCTCTATGCCGTAGAAGCCTTTGTCATTCAATGACTCATCCGGCGCGCCGCCACCGCCGCGGCCGATGCCAACGGCGTGGAAGTGCAGGTCCGGCAGCGCTGCCAGCATGGTTTCCTCTGTCTCCTGGCTGAGGGTGGGATCGAACGTGTGCACCTCGCAGGATGTCCTGTTGAGAAGTTCTGACTCGAAGGAGATGTCGCCTGCGCTGCCCAGGCTGTAGATCATGCAAGGTCGGTCCTCCAGCAGGGCCCGCATGCCGCAGACCCACTTGCCGCCGTCTCCCAGGCGGCCCACCCGCTCCTTCAGCAGCGGGCAATTGTAATCGGGCGTGTAGAAGTCCCAGATTCGACGGAATTCGCCCAAGTCAGTGTTCGGCGTTGTGAAGGCTGACTCCGGCAAGGCATCGCGCTCCTTCTGCGCTCTCTTCCTTGCCTGCCAGTAGCTTACTTCAGTCTGCGCCCGCCTAGTGTGCGACAGCTCTAAGTGGATCCTGGTCTCCTGCGTGACTATTTGAGACCGTTGCAGATCCAATGTTGCCGATGCCAGTGCGACTTGGAGCAGGATCCACGCCGCTGCTTTCATCATTTGGTATGAGCTTCTCAATTTTTAAATACAACTTTCTGGCCTGCAACATCCCAAGAGAAGGTCAGGACAACAACAAGAATGCAGGAGGGCAGGTGTCTTCAAAGCCGAAACACCAAGAGAACCAATCAATGTCGCACCTTCCAGATTGGGAACGGATCTGCTGTACAAGACGATCTTCAGCACTGTATGCAACCTGAAAACTGACTGTCAGATGCGAATCCTCGATCAGCAGACCTCAGGTGCAAATTTCGATCAGCGGACCTCATAACCGTTACTTGTCAGGACTTATTGTCTGCCGACGCTGTCGAAGTTATACCTGACATACAATATCAAGCCTATTCTGAGCATCACGGACAATCGCCAATGATTGATAAGCGATCTGATGGCAGACGCTCATCTTAAGACGCTTCAGCGATGCACTCACCATCCCAGGTGTTTCTCGTTTGTAACCGTTGCGCTGTGTTTTGGGCGTTCCAGCAAGCCATGAATTCCAGCGCTTTTAGTACCGAGAATCATCCTTTTGCCGCGTTGTACCTTTCAAACAATGCAATGTCCTATGATCTACAACAGCTGTCTGCTTGTAGCACAGGGTTGCCACGGTACAGATCATCGCAGTTGCACTACTTGCAGCTTTTCTGATTCTGACACTCACAAGACCAAGCCAGCCTCTAGTACAAGGCTCAAGGAAATGGTCGGCGCGTATGAGAAGGAGCACGTCTTCAATGGTAGGTTTTGTATGTGCTTCTTCCAGCATTTGCCAGACTTGCTTGGAAAGCAGCTGACGGAAATTTTATGTAGGGCTTTCGGATTCCTTCCCCACAGACTGATCAAAACACCGCATTGTGACACGCAGGTTGCAATGCAGTCACAAAACGAGTTTCCAAAAGGGAGACAGCTCTGCAGCAACACAACAGCCCGGCAGTGGGTAATAATGGCGCCACTTGGGCCCCCCAACAGTCAGATGATCAGATACGCCAAGCTGGACTCTTGGGCTCTGCTTGTTGTGGAGCTGGAGGGCATGCCGCAGAACTGGCGCCCGGCCTTTGACAGCCTGTGGGAAGCTTCCGCAGGAGCCGCCAGCCAAGCGCCGCCAAATCTTGTCTTACTTGACAGAACCACACAACAGCAGCTGGGCTTCGCATCCGGAGGCTGCAGTGACAGCAAGGCCAGGAGCAAGAACATTGGCAGCCTGTTTGCCATCATGTGCGGGGCGGATGTGATCATTGAGGCAGAAGAGGGTGTGGAGCATGTGGAAGCTGCAGGGCAGCTGCCGTTGCAGGCGGCAGCTTCCGGGCCCTTCCTCCAAGCGTTCGGAGACCCCTCCTCGCGGCTCATCAACCCCTACGCGCTCTTCGGCCACCCCGAGATCTGGCCGGCGGTGTTCCCTCCCGCCGCCGTCAGCAACGCCACTTTCGAATTTCGAAAGGTCCAGCAGCCGCCAGATCAGGACGGCTCCTACCGGCCGCTGATCCAGTCAGCGCTGGTGAATGACTACCCGGCGACTGATGCAGTGCTCGGGCTGACTCTGCTGGCACACAAGGGGCCACAACGCTTCTACAGCAAGCCGGCAGCAATTGGAGTTCAGCCGGGGTATTTCGCGCCGTTGGGCCTCGGCAGCACTGTCTACGGCAGCGATGCCTTCTGGGGATTAGTCATGCAGGGCGCGTCAAATCAGGCGCTGGCACCAGCCTGGCGGTCTCTCTGGGTGCAGAAGCTGCTGTGGGGTGTTGGGGGCCAGCTGCTTATTTTGGCGCCCTCTGCCAGGCAGAACAGGACTGTCAGATTATTGCAGCTGGAAGCTCAGGGGCAGGAAATGGAAGGGTATTCAAAGACGGGGACTTTGGTGGATTTCCTACACCATTGGGAGGGCAATGAAAATATATTGGACTTGAAGATGTTGCAGCTGGCGAGGGATTTGAGAAGTGCAGGATTTTGGTCCCAAGCTGAGGTGGACAGCATGGGAGCATGGGTGGCAGACTTGAGGGCAGTGGGCTATGTGTTCCCAGATGTGCTTGTCCCAAAACAGCAAGCAGTCAGTCCTGCAGAGGGCGCTAGGACAAAAAAGCTGGCTGCATTCTGCTTCACTGGGCAGGCAGACAGAGCCCCAGAAGCCATACCAGCCACTCTCAGCCAAATGCAGAAGCTGCTCACTGCTGAGAGCACCTCTCAGGAGGCAATGCAGCTAGCAGAGACCCTCGAGCATTCAAGGACTGAGGATGGCAGTATCCTGTTTGCGCATGACACATTTGCTTATGTGTCCACCCATGAGAGCTGCGGTGACCACATCAGGTGGATTGCGCAGCAGCCGTTCACCTTCAGCATATTATACAATGACCCCTTGCTAGAAGTGCCATACCCCCTGGACCCCGCTAGGTTTGGGGGGAATGCAGTCGTGCCCATGTTATACCAGATGCACGCGCAGCACCGCTGCCTTGAGATGGTCCAAGAGTATTCAAGGGAGCACGGTGTGGAGTACTCGGTCGTTGTCAGGCTCAGAACAGACCACCAGCTGCATAGCTTGGCGGATTATAGCTCAAACTTTGCCCTCTGGAGTAAGCTCTCTCTGACAGCTGTGGTTGTCCCACAGCCAGAATGGGACTTTTCAGACATCATGCCAGCGACTGGGGGATACCAGGATAGGATAGGATGGGGGCCAGTGGCTTACATGCAAGTTTACATGAGCCGTTGGAGCCAATTTTTCAATAGGACACACATGGAGAGTGATGCTCCTTTCCATGGGGAGTCAAGTCTGCGATATGCGCTCACAAGTGCTGGTGTGCCTGTCAAGCGATTGAGTGACGACCAGTTGCAATACCTAGAAGTGCCCCATAGTGAATTGAAGTGTGAAATCCAAGAAGCCCGCCGCACAGTTGAATGAATGGTAAAGGGCTCCAGAAGTTTTGTTTCTGCAATGTTGAAGTATGTACTGTATATGGAACGGATGACAGAAGACAGCTCTGCTGCACAATATAGACATACTCAAGTGACCCTCCAATGCGACCTTGTATATTTGGCTGTGCAAAAGTTCAAATCAGGACGGATCACCCCTCGATGAGTAGGTTACTAATGCGTTACTATGTAACCGTTGCATCGCAGTTGCTGCCGTTGCACATGGTGCTACAGAACACCGAAATAGACGGGAATGCCTATCTGGCGACGACATCAGGAGACGGGAAATTTTGTGTTTTCATTGTATTCATTCATCGGTATGATCAGGAATAGTGATTCGAGCGCAGCCATTACCCGGCACTTTGCTCCATCCTCCCGTTGCAGAGTAAGGCCGAGCATTCACTGGCCGCATTCGTCCTCTGTTCAGATGCTAGGATACATATTGACTGCTTTTAAGGGCGATCCGATGTCTCTTTATAAAAATTTTCACGCGTGCACGGAGGTTGACGTGGGATAACATGCAGGTCGAGCCATACAGCCAGGAATGCGTGCATCCGTCAAACCAGTGTTTCAAATTTTGATCCTAGCGGGCGCCACAGCTTTGATCATTCTCTTGCTGGTACGGCTCCGTCGAGATATGCCTGGCGTTTGCGAAGGAAGTATCTGTTTGCCAATTTCACAGTCTTCGAGTTCGAGCTCTCATTCGGAAAACCACCGCGTCTGCTGCGGACAGGACGGCGGCAGCTCTTACCGATCGTCACCCCTCGATCAGAAATGGTGGAGAGGAGGGACGCAGCGAGCCAGCATGCAGCTGCGCCTGAGCCAGAGGACAAGGACCGCAGAGGCACAATACAAATCATACGAGAACATCTCGGACTATTATATCTACGACAGGCAGCCTCCACCAGGCTTCCAAGAGTGGCTGGGATTTGCCAAGGAGAAAGGCTGTGTGTTGGAGAAGTATGACAGGATTGAGGAGGATCTGAGGCCTTTCAGAAAGACTGGGATCACAGCAGCAATGGTCAGGGAGGCAGCCCAATTAGAGCATGTGGCCCTGTTTCAGATCAGGGGCGGCCAGGTGTCTTGCGAGCAGGCTGCCTCGGACCCAGCTGCTGCAACTTATCTGAGGGTGAGCAGCGCACCCATCATCTCGATCTCATGTCAAGGTTCTTGACGAAAGGAAGCATTCTCACGAATATATGGTGATCTTCATGTGTATATGGGGCTCTGATCACCTGCCTATCACAGTGTGCCGTCGGAAATATCGGATTGACTGAAACAATATTATTGATTCAGCAGCGCCTAGTAAATCAATGGATCACAGCCTGATTCAGAGACCTCCTACAGCGGCTGCACTTAGTCCTGTAAGTTGGGTGTCACCCCCAACATGGACTCCTGAGGAAGACCCTCATGATTGTGACGGAGCAAGGAAAGAATGCTGGAGAAGCTGCACATGTCCTGGTATTTCTTGCAGGTGATCAGTGGGTTGGCGGGTGCACTGCCGGACATGGACTTTGTCGTGAACTGCATTGACGAGCCGCGAGTGCTGCTGGGAGAGGGAACTGCGGCCGAGCGCATGCACACCAGCTGCAGAGGCGCATCCCAGGTGCATTCCTGTGCGGTCTCACAAATCTTCCCATCCTGATTCTGTTTCATTTTTGGCTTTACAGGTTGCCACGGTGAATTAGGATTGGCGAGGTTCCCTTCTGCAACAAGACTTCGTTCTGCTCCATCTCGCTGTGCAATAATTTTGGGGGCGGTGTTGCATAGCCGGTACTGCATAGCTATTGCACACCCCTCCACAATAGCTTTGCACAGCCTGCACAGCCATGCTATTAGGAACAAGGAAGTTGGTTACAGTCCGTTGATTCTGGATTAGAGCACTTCATTGAGAATGGAAGAAGGTTTTAAAGTGTGAAAGGTTTGGAGCTTCCTGCAGGACACTGTGCAGCTGTGGCACCAGCACGGATACTTTGTGGGGGGATGGCAGCCGCTGGTGGGCTCTCTGCTGCCAGTGCTGTCACAGTCCAAGATCAACGGCTGCTTCCAGGTGCGGTAATTCAACCCGCATTGCCACTCACGCATCCTTCAAACCTAGAGAGTACAAGCCTGTCTGGTGACTTAGTTAAAGACTGAAGACACCACAAAGATTGTCTCAGTAATTCAGGGGAGTGCATGCGTGTTTTGTGGTTCCAGATACCTTGCATGCGTGTCAATGTTAGGCTGCAGATTACATAGACCCCGCGGGTGCGGCTGCAAACTCCCTGCATGCGCGTCTGGCTTTGACTTGCTGACCTTGGAGTTGAAGATACGTTTTGAATCTTACCACTCTAAATAACCCTCCGTTGTTTTACCAGGACATTACCATTCCCACATGGATGAACGACGGCACGAACCGAGTAGAGCCAGATGAGATTCTGGGCTGGCGCAAGCGCTGCCCTAAATTATATTTCCGGGGGACCAGCACAGGTGGGCGCGTCGACAATACGACGGCGTTCCATGTCATGCACCGGCAGCGGTTAGTAGAGTACGGGCTCAACCGGACCGAGGTCATGGACGTCGGATTTGTGGGGTGCGCGCAGTCCCTGCTGCTTGTACACAGTGTTGGAGATGACTTGAATGCCCACACTGGCATTCCTGTTTCTCTCACAGCAGAACATTTGGGCTTGATGCCCCTTCATCATGTATTGCATGCCTCAGAGTACCCCAACACAGGGTGCAGTCATAGGAATGAGATCCGTCACTTTGCTGCAGGTACGTGCAGTGCAGTGAGGAGGCATGCCGAGCGATGGAGGCGCAGTACGGGCTCAAAGAGCGGGTGCCCGAGGATGAAATGTGGCGCTACAAATTCCTCATGATACTTGACGGCAACACATTCAGCAGCCGCCTCATGCGAACTCTCACATCTGGATCCCTAGTCTTCAGGGCCGGGCTTTTTAGTGAGTGGTTTGACGAGCGCATACAGCCGGGGGTGCACTACATACCAGTCGGATTGGACTTTCAGGACCTGCAGGGAAAGTTGGACTGGGCGTTGAGCCATGATAAGGAGGCGCATGCAATTGCAGAGCAGGCTGCGCTGCAGGCGAAGCTGTTCATTCGGCCGGAGGATATTCAGTGCTACTGGTACCGCCTGCTGCTGGAATATGCCGGCCTGCTGCAGCAAGGTTCTGCATCAAATAAATGATGGTGCATGTCTCCAACAGAGTGCCGCTGACCAGGAACACTGCAAGATGGGACTTGATAGCAAGAAAGGCTGATTTTCAATTGTGGCTTTCCTTGAGAAAGTAGTCCTGGAATGACTCCATGTTTATGTTTAATTATAATTACAAACCAATTTGAAGGGCAACTACGGCAAGGACAATGACAATCACAGGGGATGAAGTTTTGCTCTGCCCGCTGCGTGACGGCGGAGCTTTGCGCAAAGCCATGCATGCATAAAGCCAGCAGTGGCGGGGGTGCCATCCCAGCCTGCACATGCATAGGGGGTCAGTAAAAAATGTGCATGGTGCAAAACTCCCCTGAAAACGACTTGCTGTGGAATCAAGCTTGGCATTCTGCTGGTTGATCAGGGTGTCTCTTCAACACAATCAATCACAAGCAGAAGCAGGTGTCTGCACAAGCAGACACCGGCTCCATCTCCGTCTGTGCATGGAGCAGGGTGCATGCATGTTAGTCACCATCTTTTCAAATCCATGAATGGCATGAAGACAGAAGATTTGCTACCGTTTTGGACAGCAAAAGGGGGAAAACAAATCACACCTGTGCTCATGTCTTATTGATGTTGTCATGGATGCCAGAATTTCCGACAGGTCGCCTCCAGACTCAAGCTGCTGAAGCAGCTTCAGCAGCTTGAGTCTAGTGGGGACCTGTCGGAAATTCTCATTCCCACTACTAGGAGGTCTGCATCACAGGACACCCTGGTAAATTGATCTCTGTCCTCCCTCCCCCAAGCCCAAAATTTCCCTTCTATACTGGAATGCTTTATCGCTCTATCCCTCATGAGTGTCCCGGGGGCCCCCTTACCCTGCTTCATTAAAAATATCCAATCTTGCTGCATGGCTGCAGAGCGGATTTTGTGACGCTCTGCTGCTCAGAGACCCTGGCCCCCTGATCTCTCAAGCAATCTGCTGCATCAATGCAAGCAAGTCAGGCAAGGACTGTAGGTCATTCTTGCTGCTAATACGTTGACATAGGCAGAAACGCAAAAGGGATCCCTGAGACACAGCGTCGGGAAGGCTGTGCTCACCTGATACAACCTGACGAAGGATACTCAATGGTTAAGATCTGCGGCAGGGGAGAGAGGCCTTCAAGAGGCTCAAGGTTGACGTTTGGTCCTGAACTTGGATGATCCTAAACGTCGATATTCACCTCCGACGGGAATACGGCCGCTGGCGTGGCAAAGCCACGCTATATAAATACAAGTGCTGCCAATGCGTGTGAGAGTCAGGGCATGGGATTACTACGTTGAAACAGCAATTGAGCGACAATGTTGTGTTGACATCGAGGAAGGAACCTTCGCAACACGCACATGTACAGCAGCTGGCGTCCTACGCCTATCTTGGCAACAGGCCTGAGACCTAGGTGTTCTCAGCCCAGGAGACCCAAAGATTCCTTATAATTTGCTTCATATTATAAATTTGAACAGGACTGGCATGGCAGGGAAGGGCAACGGGACCAAGAAATACATGACTTGCTTTCATGCAAATGCTTGTATAGTGCACACTAGCAGCAACACCATGCATGGCTGCAGGAGACAGGCTGTCCCATTGCATGCATGCATATGTTGATCGCGCAAAACAGTGGTAACCCGTCATCTGCTGAATAACGGGGTTTCCATTGGGCAACAAAAAGCATTGAGAGTCCCACGCGTAAATATTTCCAATTGGGATGCAACGCGTAGAGCAAGTAATCACAGGAAATATTTTCAATTGCTGGTCGATTCACATATTGCCTCTGATCGCTGAAGTACACCAGGGACCAGTCAGTTTCCACAGCGAAAGAGGCTCTGATCTCTTTGATGGCCTTGTCCCACTTAATTCAATATTGCTCCTGCTGCTTTCCAGGGGCTCTGTATAGATTCCCATACTGGGAGCATGAACTCCATGCCTGAATGTGTATTCGACCTCTGAAAACACGTCTCTATAAAATACCTGTTCCTGCACTTTTTCCTACACCTCTATCCGCACTTTGGAGAGGACCAGTCAACATGCCATAGGCAACTCTACCATTCGCGCCTATCTCCTCTCATCAAGAAGAAGATGCACCTTTTCCTGCTCAGCAGGCAGCTGTGCACTTTCTGGAATGCCGCACTCCTTGGCTAGGCAGGCTCTGGAAGCAGCATGTCCCTAGCCAGGGTGTTTAAGCCTCCCCACCCTTGCCGCTCAGGGCACTATTCAGATGCTGACGGCTGACAACACCTGAGGAGCTCTGTTGCCGGACGCTCAGGGCCTGCGTCCTGGGCGAGTCCGACCCGACTAATATCACTGTATCATCACTGCTGACAGTTGGCGGCGGATGCTCCTCGTTCGGCCGCGCAGAGAGTGTTCCGCGCAGCCACCGCCGCCGCACCATGATCGGCAGCAGAGCCGCTGCCAAACACAGCGCCATCAGCAGGATGCTCCTCGGCCCGTACCTGCAAGAGCAAAGTTCGGCATTATCACTTCAGTAGTTGCAACAACTTCTTTTGGAAGTGGAATTATATCTAGGATCGGAAATGGCCTGGCTACGGATGACCTGCAGATTATTTCGACAGAAAGCACGCTTTGAAGAGTGTTGTTACATTGGCAAGGCGAGTTTTGCTGGGAAGCAAGGGGGCTCTGCCTGCATGGAGGCTTGGAAAGCAGGCGTGGCATCATGGAATGGAGTGCAAATTTTATTCAAGCGAGAAGGGAAGGCAGGAGGTGACAAGGGTCCGCACAGGTCTCGCCAGGAGTGCAGGCGAGTGAGGGAGGAGCCGGCATGCACCAGCATGATGTTGGTCGGCTGCAATCCCACCGCCGTCGACAGCAGGAAATGCCGGAAGGGCACCTGCACCCACACCACCCATTGTTTGCTTTTCTGCATCTTGAGCTCGCTGTCCATAACCCATCAGAAATAGCCTGGTGAGCTTCATTGCATGCAGATGCCAAGCTGCCTCACAAGAACAATTCAATCTTGACTGTGCTCAGGTAGCGCAGAGGGAGATGTTGTTTGAATTCAATTTCAATGTAGATGGCATGTGGAAGCTCGCTGAATCAAAGTACCTGGAGGATTGGTGAGGCCAGGTTGATAAACCAGGAGGGGACGACCGGGGTGAGGCGGGCCACAATAAGGTAAGCCAGCATCTGCGATTTCTGCGCCGTCAGCGCTCGGCTGAACGTCGCTATTCTGCCGGGAAAGAGCGCCACCACCACATCCTGCGCGAAAACAGGACGCCCATTTTGCTCCCTTCATTACTTTATATCTCCCTCGCCCGGATTGCTAACAACCCTCCTCGCGGGGTTCCCGGGGGATACCAAAGACTAGCTAGTCTTTAGTAACCCCTGGAGTTTCCAGGGACTACCCCCTGTAGTCTTTAGTAGCCCCCGGGGCTTCTCCCCTCGCCCATATTGCTGAGACCCTCCTCGCATATCCCGCTCCCTTGCCAGCCTTCCATTCATCCATCTGACCAGCCTCGTCGGGTGCCAAAGATGAACAGTATTTCTGCCCCTTTCTCTCACACACAGAAGGTTGGGTACGCTGCACTTCATGGGCAGTTTCAGTTAATAAGCAGGTGTCTTGGGCGATAGTGTGTTGGGGAGAGGGAAGGGTGCAGTGCACACCTTCACCACCAGCCGGGAGAGCCAGTAGCTGCCGCAAGATCCTGCAGTGCTGAGGAGCGCTATCATGGGCACGGCTGTGGCAGAGCCATACAGAGAACCCGCCAGCACGTTCATGAAGGATGACCCAGGCATCATAAATACCTGTCAGCAAGAAGAACAGACCTTTATCAACTTCTGATACCTGTCAGCTGCTGCACAGGGCAGATGGAGGTTCTTTATTTGAAGGCATGGCCTTCATGGAATTGCAGTGCAGCAATGCGGGTGGCGAGGGAGTCTGGCGCGCCTGGAGGAACAAGTAGAAGGTCAGAAGGAGCACAGCGATCTGCCCCGGGCATGCCTTCTGGTACAGGGCTAGAGTGTGCCTCACAGCTCGCAGCTCTGAGAAATTTGTGGGTACTCTGAGCAGTAATTGCTGAGCTTCCCCACCTGCATGCACTGCACCCATTCAGCCAATCACTTGTCTTCCAGTCCCAATCCTGCTGCGGCGAAATGTGAAGCATCACAGCATCTGATCCGGCGCCGATGAGCGAACTAATTTACCTTCAAAGACTGAAGGGAGGCTCTCTTTGGCAGGCAGCCGTAAGACTAGACACAATATAAATGCCAGACTGGCAAGGTACAGCACTGCAAGTGTGGCAACAGCTCGCAACCATGTCAAGCTTACAATTGTCGAGTAAGCTGAAGAAACCTGCAGACAGCATACTGATGTTATCGTTAGATCATTTTCGCTGTTCGGATCACGCTGTCTTCTCTTCAATGTAGAGAAGATCAGAAGAAGATCGGCACATGGGCATTCAAGAAAACAGGCAATGACCACCCAGCAGCGCACCTTCGGCTTAGATCCAAGAGGTGGAAGCATGTTGATGTGAATAAGCTAGCTCAATAGGCAGACCCATGGCGTTAAGGAAAGGTATTTATGATATCAAGATGGTCCGGTGTTTTGGTCAAAGCGTGCATTGTAGATGCACGAATGTCTACGGCAGCTGGTACAAGCAGTCACTGAAGTTATTATGGATAAATTAAAAAATGATAGCGGCAACAAATAAAACGTCTGCTTCCGTTACAGGAGTACCAGCATGAAGTGATGGGAAAGTGCAGATTGCGGCGATACTTGCACAGCGACAGTACAAAGAATTTATTGTGCACAAAATCTGCTTTTTAAGTTCTCTATTTAGATTCGATTGATCCTGGGACCAGGAGAGACATGCGGAATCGGCTCACGATGCACAGTCCAGATTCGGCATCGATTAGAGACGAATCAATTCCAGTTTGGTAATTCTGGAAGCCCTTGTTAGTGGCACTAGCTCCTGCCTTCACAGTAAAGGTGATCAAATAAATAAAAGGTGTCATGCGTTCTGCACTGCCACATGTGTCCAGCCGGGCCTGCTGGCTCCAATTGGAGCATACAGCTCCAAGAACTTTTCCTTCCCCGTGGGCAGCAGCGTCTCTATGGCCACAAATGTCTCTGCTGGAACACCTGTCACTTGACCTGCACATGCAGCCACTATCACAGTCAATTAACTGTCATTGATCTTTGTTGAGCAGCAGCGACCGGAGAGGGTTTTTTGGGGAAAGGGGCACTTATGAGAGATTGTCAAGATGTCACAGGCAGAAAGGGATTCATCTGAGGTCTTCACTCACCTTCCTGTTTGCGCACGCAGTCGAAAAGCACATCCGGGTTCCTCTGGTGCCGCAGCTCGATGTCCTTGCCCTCTCCTGCAGCACATGTCAATTGCTCTTGAAACGCGCATTTCCAAACACAATTCACGGCAAATACGCAATTCTGTGTGTTCATGGTACGCCTGCTGCATGTGGAGGCACTGTGCGCTGTCACACCCATTCTAGAACTCGTCATCAGCAGCAGTGAGCACAGCATACCAGTCAGGTACTCAGGGCAAACTCGCAATTGACAAATACAATGCCGGTCATCTACAGGAGCAAGCATGGGTGCGCACCGCTCTTCCTGAAGATGAAGAGGGTGAGGTGGGAGCGCTGGGCATAGGGAGCAGGAGCGGTGAGGATGGTGTTATTGGGAGCTATCTGCACCCATGTCAGATTCTCCACGTAGCTGTAACCCCACTTGTACAGCAGCTTGACTACAGCCGCCACCTGCACCCAAACACCAGGAAAAATTCAACAATCTTCTGGGTAGGAAACCACACTAGCAGGATAGTATGCTAGAACTTCCCCAAAGCAAGCGTCAGGAATGCACATGCTCCCACAACAGATCAGCGGCCCTCCCAATCCGCTCAATGGGGAAATACTCTCACTAGAAGATATTGGATCTTGATGAGCCTCCCGGATGATTACACTGTGCTGACCGAAGCACAGGTGTGAGAGCAGGAAAGCAAATTATACACGAGCGAATTTCTGGTGTTTTGTATATTTGCACTGCAAAACATTCAGGTTGCAAGGCAGCCCTTCCTCCTTTCTTGGCGCTCTCACTGCCTTGTATGTTTACGCACTCCCCCTGGTTTTAACTAGAGTAGTCCGCACACAGGCACTTGCTTGAAGATTTCCTAGTCTCAAATCATCTATCTGTGGATTTGCTGGTTGTATCGAGCTCCCCAGCCTCTGCTTTTGCAGCTCGATTAACAGTTGGGCAGGCCATAACACGATTGGGCCCATTTCCTCAGGGGCTCCTCTAGATTGGGCGGACTAATGAGCAACAATGGCATTGGAGCAGTGAAAGTGTAGGAGGGAGCGCACATGCACTTTGTCGACCCAGATGAAGACGAATCCCACAGGGCACAACTGCTGGATGGGAATCTTTGCCAGACGCGCAACGCTGCCATCCCCTTGTGCACCCTTTATCTCCCAACCCTGGTTTATTAGCACTCCCTGCACAAGAGAAAGAAATCTCTACTCAACACTACTCGACCCACAATTATCCACATCTACCCACCACTACTTTGCAAGGATGACTAACAAATTGTGTGAATCTGATGCAGCAGTGATGAATCAGAAGAAGTCTTGCCACATTCCAGAGTGAGGAACCAAGCAGTATGCCCCGACTTCAGTAAACATCAATGACATCCCTTGACATTAACACACATCAATGACCTCATCAAAGGGACAGCATGACATCACTGGGACCCGGTCTTTGGGCACAGCAGAAGCTGCAGAACCTGGTAGCTCCGGCCAAGAGACTTGAAGTCTGCTGCAGCCATGTCCGCCAGCTCTACATAGACAGACTTTGGCTCCGGAGCAGCAGCCACATCAGCAGCCCCACTCGGCCCCGGTCTAGTGTCACCATTGAGGTCTTTGTTCTCCTTGCTGCTGGCTGAAATCCCGCTCGCCGGCTGCTTTCCGCCTGCAGCAGAGGAGAGGCCCCTGCAGCCAAATGCCACTTTGCATGAGCCACCAAATGTAGCTTGTCAGGACCCTCCGCTCGATTAGTGACTCTTTATTGAGCGGCCACCATTTATAGAGCAGCCGCACAAATTGAGATGCTGATCAAGTGCAGCTAAATAGCAGTGCACTGCTCTTCTGATGACTGGCCTCATCAGAAGCAGGCGATGTGGGTAAGAAGCTTTTGCAGGAGAATATATCCTGAAGTTCGCAGAGGATCGCCAAACTTGTATTGATTGTGTGAAGTTCATTTTGGTGCCGATTTTTTGACAGCCCCGGCCCGTGTTTTCATGGCGTAAACATCACTATTACCTGGGGAAAGTGTTACTAACCTGGGCACATATGGGCGCACAGAGCGGCCCCAGGAGAGCGGCAGCGGCAGGGGCACCTGAATGCGGTAGATTGCATCCGGATCCGCCACCTTCACCTTCCTGCGTATCAGCGCCTGCACGGCACACACCACCCCTTGGCCACATCCATGCTTCTCACTCCTTTCTTGTGCTACAAGCTTGATCATTAATACGTCGGTGGTTGAAGAAGCAATCATGCACAGCATGCATGCAGCGCATTTTGGGTCCGGGATGAGGTGGGCAATCTAGCTCATTAGATGGGCTGGAAGATCTTGGTCCAAGACACGCATGGCATGTAGGGAAGCCAGAAGGGCTCTGATCTGCACTTCCCACTTTTTGAGCCAATAAATACACACCAGATTTGTACATAAAGTGAAAGGGGCCATCCTTTGGGGACTCTTGGACTTCATAATGGCCGGGGTCTGCTTGACCTTGGCCAGTTCATTGAAAGTATCCTGAGCCCCACATATAGTACGTCTGCTGAGCATGAAGGGCACCTGTGTGACGGCGTTGTAGTGCGTGATGACTGTGTGGCGCTGCCGGCCGGCTCCGGCGGCCCGAGGCGCACGGCCGGGGCCGCGGCTGCCGCGCTGCTGACCACGCCGCAGCCGCTTCCAGTGCGCGCGGTTCAAATCCCCGCCCTCCTCGTCATCGCTCCAAAACTGGCGCATCTCCGCCCACAGCTCCTCGTCCTCGCTCAGCTCCATGTCATCCCAAAACCTGCCATTGCATGCACTACTTGACAGTAAAGTAAGTGCATTTGTGGCCTCAGGTGGAAAGGAAATCCAAATAGGACACCATGGCAGCTGGCACACTGCTCGTTGTCAGCCCTCGGGTCAGATGACAGTGGCCTGTCGTGAGATGTGCATGCAATGTGGTAGAACAAGCATATGATGGCGCACCGTTCCTCATTGTCGCCTGCCTCATTAGTGGACATGAGGGCGTCGTTGTTGGCCAGGGCACTGCGCACATTGAAGATGCTGGTCTGCTTGAAGACCTCCATGAGCTGCGCGTCTGTCAGGCCTGCCACGTGGTCCTCATCCGGCGCAATGGCTGCTGCGTCTGAATCATATCCAGCTCCTTCCTCATCTCCTTCATCTCCAGCCTTCTTCTCTGTCGGTGCTGGCTCTGATGCTGCCATGACCTGCACGATGATGATGATAAAACATGCTCCCTTAGAGACTTGCGATGTCTTAAACTGTATTTGACATAGGTGTCTCCGCCAAGATTCTGGGTTCAAGGAGAAAACGATGCCTCCAAAAGAGAGTAGCCAGCTCCATGTCTTCAAGGTGGAAGGAGTAAGCGACCTGGGCCTCTCGCACTTCAAAAAAATTAAACGGACCTTTTCGAGTTCCTCGAACTTCTTCATGATCATCTCTGGCGTCTCGTCTTCCTCGACATAACCAACATAGTGTATGGCACTTGGCATTGCTGCCTTGTTGGACGCGCATCGCCGTTTCGGCCTCCTACCTCCACCTTCTTCTGTCATATTCTCTAATCAGGCGTTCTCTACAATCTTACATCGTTTCTCTTCTTGCCAATACTTTACGAGTCATTCCAATAAACAAGATGATGGAATCAAGATGGAAAGGAAGGCATTTGATGAAGTAGAGGATATGAGATCTCAATCAGAATATGTCAGAAATCAATGACCATCATTTAATTTAAGACAACCCAATCTTGTGGCAATGCACTGCAATTCAGGCCTCTCCTCAGCAAAGTCATCGGCCCCGCCTCGGATTTTTGCTGTACCTTTTCATGCAAATCTTGTTCAAAATTGATTGCATTGTTTCGTTGTTTTCATTTTCGATCCAGTTCCTTACATAGCGTCTTCCTGGTAGCAACACGATATCTGGTTGTTTCTGGCCAAATCTTTGATGGTGTAGACAGTAGCAGCACAAAGCAGTTTTACTAAGGCTCGATCCTCTTCCTGATCATACGACGTTGCTTGCGTATGTGGAGCATTGCGGAGAGATCGTGCCTGCGTTTCATTGTAACATCTGGGACCGCGGCTAGGTATTCCTCGATCACCAGAGTCAGGATGCAAAGCTCCTCTACTGCCAACATCGTGGATGATAAGAAGGTCCTTCGGAAAAAGGTTGTAGCAGAGCTCAAGAAGCTCACAGCAGCGCAGATGCACAGCGAAAGTGAGTCTTTTGTCACCTGAACTGGGCATTGGAGGCCACTTCGTGTTGGCAAATTCCTCCTACATACGAGTCCTCACTGACACAAGACACTGACTGTTATGAAAATTCTGCACCCAGGCTCTCAGATCGCTGACCATATATTGAAGGCTGATTTCTATCAGAGATGCAAGAGAATTGGGGTGTACATACACTGTGCGCCATTGAGGGAGGTGGACACTAGCAAGCTGGTCACCGCTGTAACAGAGGCAGGTTTGACGCAACATACGTCCTGAATCGTCTTGGCGACATGCAGACAGCTTCAGCAATATCGCGTGACCATTAGGCCGAATGAGTGACACTGTTTGGTGCGCAGGAGACAAGCGGTGTTACATCCCAGTAGTGCAGGACAGAGAGGCCAACATGCGCCTGATACACCTAGGTATGCGCCAATGTCTGCGCTGCAGCATTTTCAAGTCTGAGTCTCACGCCCAAGGATGTATAGAGTGGCATGCATGCCTGAAATATTTCTTGTCTTTTCCAGACACGCTTGAGGATCTGAAGCCGGCTCCTCCATTCAATATACTCGAGCCACCCCCCACCTATGCAGATGGAAGGCCTCGGGAAGACGGTGGGCCCATCTCCTCAGCTCTGCATGCATTGCAAGTCTTGATATGATGACAAGATTGTCCCTGCTAGTGTGCTTAAAATGATGCAGATGATCTGAGAGGTCTCCCGTCCCCAGCTGGCTGGCAGCATGTTGTGCCAGTCAACTGGGAGCTGCAGAGTGCACAGATCTTCTGCATGTAGACTTTGCTGCACACTAACTTTTGACATCGTCTCTGACTTGGGTAGTTGACATGGTCTCTGCACTGGGAAAACAGTGGAATTTTCTCTGACTTACTACTAATGCAATACTCATGCATGCAGTGCTGGAGATGGATGCCCCCCTGGACCTGCTGCTGATGCCAGGCCTGGCGTTTGACAGCCAGGGGCGGCGCTGCGGCAGGGGCGGCGGTTACTATGACAAATTCCTGGCCCGGTGCCAGCAGCGGGCGCAGCAACACGGCTGGGACCCACCTCTCCTCGGTGAGCAAATAACTGTCACCTCTACAGGCGTACCTTGGTGCTGCTTTCCATTGCTATGGGCTCGTATTCGATCAGCCACAATCCAGACTGAGTGCCGTAAAAGTAGGAGCAGCACAGGCAGGTCTTGCTGTTCATGCTGTCTTCAACGGCATATCCATGTCTTTAGATCATGCTGTTCACATGTTCTGAAGAGCCTGCATGCTATTGGTTGAGCAGTTCGCAAAGGCCGAGGGCGCAAGGCAATATGTATAACGAAGTATGTTCATGAGAACCATGATGTGGGGATTAATTAGTAAGCTGATGACATAATACAGTGTGCTGACAGTGCTGGGTGCTGTCCGCAGTGGCGTTGGCGTTCAGGGCGCAGATGGTGGGTGCAGTGCCCATGTGCCCCTATGACAGGTCAGTGGACATCATTGTGACAGCCGACGGCATGCTCTCTTGCAGCACTCGAAGCCAGCAACTTCAACTCTGCTAGTCACCCTCTGTGCACCTGGTTGCACTGCAGCTGTCTTCTGCTTCCCTTCAGTGAGCGCTTGGGATGGTGTATAAGCTACACTTTCAGAGGCCGCAGCAAAAAGCACGCCAATGAGTATCAGAACAGCGTGAGAATCAGGATGTGCTGGCACCTGCAGGTTGGGTCTCGCAGAAGCCTGGCACGTTGAGACTGTTGATTTTCATCAGCGACTTTGGGTCCCAGGATACATATACAAATTTGCTGGTGCAATACAATCCATATGTGGAAGGCTTTTGTGTAAGACTGCAGCGATCATGCTCTGTACTCATCGAAGAGAGGGTTGAGGCTGTCAATTTCTTCAAGAGATCTATGGATGAACTATGTGCACAGTGTTGCTGGCCTCAATTTAGTCAATCTTCATGCAAATTTTTGTTTACAATTCATGCTTATGCTTCATTAGCCTTTTCGATTTCGTTGCATCATCCCATTTGCTTCTTTGGTGCCAAATCAGCTCCTTGCATGCATCAGGCTAGTTGCAAGCAGCGATCAATGCCATGACCAAATTATGACAAGCTGCTCAACAAGCACAAATATCAAATATGGCGCTGCTAGGACATCACAGAATACCACAACTACAACCACAATTACTGCAGCTAGACTTGCGATTTCACTTAACCATGTTCCGCGAGCTTCACCATAAATGGACCAATATTCCAATTGGATTCCTGCTGCAGGCTCAAATATGCCTTTTTCACTTCCATGCTGCTGCTTTGAAGCAAATTTGCTGTGCTTAGCCCCTCCTGGCTGTGTCCTATTTAGATGCTCTCATTCCCCTGTCCCTGTATCATATATGATGATCTGAGCAACCCCCAGCCCCATTTTGAGAAAGTATGGAGACAACCACAGAAACACCCCCACTTGCTGTTTCTCTTGAATTTTATACAGCAGGATAGTGGTCTGACTATCTATTACGGCACCCTGACAAAATGCCCCGTGGCCACTCTCCAACCAATCCGCAATTTGCAAGCAACCCTTTCATGCCCACCAGCTGCAGCCAACTTCCAACATAAATGAAATGAGCAACATGGAGTCCGGCACAAGAATCTACTCTTGCATGCCATGAATCTACAAAACATGCAACAGACTTAAGTTTTTGGATATCTTCCTGTAATGTCTGAGCTGTCTATGCTAAGTGGTGTCTCTATCGAAAAGGCACAGAAGGCCAAAGTGTCAACACCCCTTTCTCTTGAATGTCAGGGCTGCCTCAGAAAGAGGGGTGACCTACTTTGCCCCATCAGCTGCAGACCCACTAAATCACTAATGAAATGCTGTGTGCTCTCTCATGCTTTATCCGACCACAATAGCTCAATCAGAGCCGGAAGCACCCTTTCAGATCTCATGCTTCCTGGCACCCTCAGTCGGGAGTTTTGGCCGTTCTGTGTCTTGCCTTGTTTTCTGCACTGCTTGGAGCAGACATCCTGTCAGCAAAGCAGGCCTTGCATGATTGACAACAATAAAAAACTGCAGCTGTCTTGTTTGTCTTGTGCATTGCTTGAAGCAGAAACCTCGCCAGCACGGCAGGTCTTGATAGCTTGTAATCTCATGGAAATCAGCTCCTCCCCGCTGCTGCCACTGCAGCTGCCAAACTGTAATACCACCAATTTTTAAATATTGCCGGGCCGGCCGCGGCCGCCCGGGGCACGCTGCGCACGCTGTGCTGATGTCAGCGGGGGCCTGTTCAGGCGGCGGCAGCCGTGGAGAGGCGTGCCATCTCCCTCTTCAGAACAGCGAGCAGCTCCGGCATGGTCGGCATGGGAGCCTCGGCGCGCGCTGCCTCCTTGCACAGGCCGCGCCTCAGCAGCTGCATGTACTCCAGGGGGGTCGCCTCGTCCTCAAACAGGTCCTCGAAATCGTCCTGCGCATTTTAATTGCCACCTTCATACTCACTCAGGTGGGCGAACTCTGATTGCTTGCAGATGCTTGAACCTGCAATTCTTTGTGTTTCTGACGGGGATTGTGGGATTGTTTATACGTCTGCAGCAATCATCAATCAGGCTCACAGGGACCCGGCTGCAAATTTACAGCAAATAATAAAAATGCTTTGAAAATTTCTAAAGTGCACATGTGGGAAGGAAGGAGCTCAAGGATAGCACGACAGCGTCAGTGCGATGTCTCAGGTGCAGGAGCAAGGCTGGTGGTGAGAGCGGGTCAGAGGGGAGCTCACCTCTGTGAAGCCGCCATAGCCGAGGAACTGGCCGGCAATCAGGCGGTGCCAAGCGTCATCCTCGCGCACGCCAAGATGCGCGGCCTCCCGGCACTTTGCTGTGATGGCCTCCTGTCGCACCAACACATTGAAATTCATGTTCATAGCATGCACCGTCAAAGTCTCACACCCGCTCAAGTCACGACAACTGACCTGCAGACCTGATGACCACATCCTGCTTGAACAGCTTGTCAGCAGGGCAAGGCACTGCCTATCTCAGCCTCATTCAGAGATCAGACAAGGATATCTGTCGCAAAGACGGATGCGCGCTCACGTTCATGTGGCGGCGGCTGTCGGCCTGCAAGCGGCGGTCCATCAGCTCGGCCTGCAGCGGCTGAGGCAGCATGCGCATCTCCAATCCGACGGCCAGAAGTCCATACATGTCGTCCTCTGGGCCAGTCTTCTGCACGTCGAAGAAGCCGGCCGGCCGCGCGTAGCCGATTGTGCCCCTGCACATACGCACCAGCTCAGCTTTATTAGGTTCAGCCATATTGAAGCTGCTCCGGCAGCTTCCCGGCAGCTGCCGCCATGCAGGTCTGCCAGACGCCCTAAAGAGCGCGCTGTGACGGGGAAGTTGATCGAGGCGGCTCTGCAAGACCTCGGCTGATTGCTTCAAGTGCAGGCATACATGCAGGGTGTGAGGTTGCCAGAAGTACAGGGGGTGCCTGACAGGAGGCTGCTACGCACTTCCAGTTCGTCCTGTCCTCATCGTTCTTGGAGGCAAAGCCCCAGTCGATGAGCAGAACGCGGCCATCAGCGCCCATGACAACGTTGGCCGTCTTGACGTCCCCGTGGGCAATGCCGTGCCTTTGCGCGTGCAGCAGCGCGCTCGCCAGCTGTTCCATTACCTGGAGCTCTTCCAGCAGCGACGGCGACAGATTCATTTCCCCATCCTTCGTCCTGCACAGCAGCACACGTGGTGTCAGTCGGCGCGCCATTTCTAAATCCCCCAACACATCATCGCACCGATGCTGCCGCTTACAGCCGCCGACACCGGGAATAAAAGAAACGCACCTTCCGAACAGTGATCCACTGAAACCGTCTCCCAAAGACAGCTTGTAGGCACTTTGGCAGGGGACCCGAGACACCTCAGCACAGAGTGCAACAAGACACTGCACACACAGGCCACAGCACGTGACTGAGGGTTAGTGATCGCACCAGAGCAGTTCCTCGAGCGTGCCGAGGGCGGCGTAGGGCATGCCCAGACCCAAGTGGCCGCCATTCCTTGGCTTGACCCAGCAGTCCGGCTGGGGGATGTTGGGATGGTCCAGGGCTGCCAGCACCAGCGCCTCTCTGCGCAGGTTCCTCGCTTCCTCCTCGTTCAGGGGCTTCTTGACTGCCAGTTGGAGGTGGTGCAAATCCACTGTCGCGCAGCCGCCCTTACCAAGCCCTCTCACAAAGGTGCACCGCTCCTGCAGCAGCACGGGAATTTTTTCTGAATAACACCATCCGCAATGACACCGAGAACACAGGAAGTGAAAGTCACATTTTGATGCTTGCAAGGCTCCCGGTGGTGGGCGGCAGAAGCAGGCATGCGAGGGACACACTGCAGCAAAAGCAGAAGCTGAAAAGCACGTGGCCGGCACGGCAGGAAGCTGCTGGAAGCTTCCTCGTCGGCTTCTCAGCAGTGAAAAGGATGACAGGTCAAGGGCGCACCTCTGGGATGACAGGGATGGCCGCTCGGCTGGCGTTCAGCCGCTGCTGCAGGCTGTCCGCATGCTCCTTCAGACACTCAGCCTCCAACATCTGCAATTAACACACCCATACTTATTCACCCCTCCATGCACCCTCAAACGCATGCCAGCCCACATGGCCCGAGCCTGGGCTGGTGCACCTCAAGAGCCCTCATGCAATGCCACAATTGAGCTTGGCGACAATTTTTCATTCTTGGAAGATGCCAAAAGGGACTATCAGGAGCGGGTGAAAGATGCTCACCGCATTGGTCGCTGCATGCATGTAAGCGTACACTTGCGCCTCCAGCTGAACAGTCTGTGCTCGGGCGTCCTCTGCTTCCAGCAAGGCCTGCAGCAGCTGCTGCTGCGCTCCGTTCAGCTGAGCTTCCTTTTCCTGCAGGGCTCCATCTACTGCCTGCTGCAGCAGCTCACAGTGCGCGCTGAACTCCAGCTGCTGCCGGGTGAGACGTGCAGAGAACCCATGCTGCAGCGCTGTGAGACGTGTAGTGAAGTCCTCCTGCTGCTGGGTGAATGCCTGCATCAGCCGCCTCACCTGCACAGCATGCCAGCACACATCAGCCTCTTGGCTCATCTGTAGCGCACAGCACAACACCTAATCTGCACGGAATCTTGGGCCAGGACTGCGTCAGACTTGCCGAATCTTTGACAAGATGCAGACACATCAGGAATCTATGACATGAAGACAGGCAGTGGAAGACTGCCCACAAGGCCAATGAGCCTCTTGTGACTCCCAACAGGTCTCTACAATGCAATTATGACTGTGCTATTGGCCCCGGCTGGCGGGGGGGGCGGTATAAATACTGAGCACCGTCCCCACGGTTGGTCCGGTGTTGCTTGGATCTGGCGACTTCAGCAAGGAGTAGGACTGTGGCAGCCTTCAAGTGCAGCTTGTTTGCAGGACCCCCCTTGCCGTCTTGGCAGGAAAAGAAGCCTAATATAATTTAGATACCTGTAAGACAATCACATACCTGCTCCCGGAGGTCTGCAGAGAGGGCCTTCTCGCCCGCCAGCTGGCTTCGCAGGAGCATTGCATCGGCGGCGGCGGCCGCAGCTACCGCATCTGTTTTGGCGCGCGCAGAGGCCAGGTCCTTGGTCAATATTTGGCGGTCTTCTGCAGTGACCGTGGCAAAGACCTCCTGCTCCATCGACACCAAATGAAAGTACTTCAGTTGCTGATGGACATGCACAAAAGGGCAGAGCCAGGCGGCAGGCCCAGTTGAAGGTTGTCATTCTTGCACTAGAAAATATATTGTCTCCAAGAAAAGAGGGTGTCATGGAAAGCAGAGATGACATAGAAGAGGGGTGACGCACCAGGTCTGCCAGATCTTCGTGCAGCTTCTGGTTGACAGTCCTGAGGTCGGCAATTTTAAGCCTCTGGGCTTTTGCCTGCACAGCAGCAAACTCATGAACATGGCGCATGCACTGCTGTAGCATCACGATGTCCACTGCACAGCAAGGTAGCAGGAAGCTGAATGCCCTGAAATGAAGCCTCACCTGCTCCTTGACGGGATTGCGCGGACCTTTCTTGAAGAGAGGCTTCCTCAGCCTTTTCTCCTGTGCAAGCGTGAGGAATGAGCATGCAAATCGCTCAAAATTTGCAATGACAGTGAAAACAGGCCAGAGTCTCGAAGCAGAACCACAAGGCACACTCTTTGAAATGTCGTAGCTGGGAATAACGTCACACCTTGGCACCCTCTTCAGAGTGCGTGCTCTGAACGAAGATGTCCTCGTCGATCACTCGTGGCTTTTTAAAGCACACGAGATCCAATATCTGCAGGTCACAGCCCCACTCAGCACGAAGGTTTACTGCAGGCTTTGACACTATGGCGTGATACTTGTGATACCTGCCGTGAACGCCAGGACGCGCCTTCCCCATTAGAAATTCTACTTTTCATGAGAATTTAAATTCTTCAAGCAGGGTGGACCTGACTCTGCAAGCCAGGGGCTGACAAGCATGAAACACACTGAACGAGCTTCAGCACCAGTGAACCATTCCACAGGCCACCTGAGCGAGTAAAGCTACGTTGCTAGATGTTTCTCTGAGCTATTTCTTACCTTGGTGAAAGCCGAAACCCGCCTTGTTGATCTGGGAGCTGACGCCATAATTTTATCAAAGGAAAGCTTCTGGCAGGACAAAGACGAACGAAGAGCTCTCTTGAGCTAGAGATCTTAACTCGCTTGCAATTGAGATACAATAGAGGCGCAGCTTGGAATTTAAGCAGCCCACTTGCACTGGTTTGAGGAGCACGAATGAGTTCTGGCGATTTATACTTCGTCTCGGTGTTCGTCTCGACAGTTTGTTTGATTGAGTCCTGCCCTCCAAATTTGGCAAGAGGAAGGGCAGTGAAATATTTTCTCGAAATCATGTAATTCAATTGTCGTATAATTGTCCATACAGACACAGGGCGCAAGGAAATGCATGGAATGCATTCCAAAATTTTGCAGATCTGGACGGCTAGTCTTCCAGAGGATCTTAAGAAGCTTCTATGGTACATGACTGTCATATATGATAGCGTCATATATATATGCCAGGCCTCGTTTCCTGCTGCAAACTTCACATCAGATGCTGCCTTATCGGCTGGCCCAGGCTTTCACCCCCATTTTTGCTAGTACTTGCACACTCTTGCACATGTCAAAGCCATGGCCTACTGTAGGCATGTAGTACATATATTAGTAACAGAAATTGCTAATTTTGCCGAGACGCCCACTCGCGTTAGAAGTTCTCAGAATACAGGCATGCAAGATTACATCATTTCCAGTGCTACTGTTCAGAATACTTTACCGTTCATGTTTGCTGTGTGAAGATTGCCATGTGCACACCACTGGGCTTTTCTACTTGGCTTCAGGGGCAATCTGCTGAGAAATTTTGCAGTGAGATTGGCCACCAGTGTTCAAAAGACAGTAGCATCGGCCTCGCTGGCTGCTCCAACCAAGCATCAAGAAAACTACAACTCAACTATTAATATCAGCGGAAAGTACAAGTGCTACAGGTCAGCGCTGTTCTATAAAAAATGTCAGTCTTACAATTGCGCGAAGACATTCCAGTCAGCAACAGGCCTGTCTGGCTAGTGCTTCCCATTCCTTCGGCTGTCCATGTATTCGTCAAAGTCATCATCTGACAGCGGCCGCCCAATGGTCATGTGCTTGCCGTCTCCATTCAGATCCGGTATCAAGCGCGAGGAAGTTCGCCTCACATAACCTGCATCACACACAGGAGCTCATTCTCACCTCAGCATGACCTGTTGCTGTGTTCTTTTCCATGGCAGCTGCATATGAGCAAAGGCAGCTAAAACCCATGGCTGCTCACAGGGCATCCAAGACACATCAGGAATATCCAAGAGCGTCTGATTGGTGACACGACAAGCAAGATGGCAAGACAGAACCGGGTTGGCTTTTGTTGATATTGAACCTGCTTGACTGGCACATAAATGCATTGCCCCTTTGCCCAAGCCAGGCCTGTCTTCCAGCCATCCTGCTGTGATTAAGTGCCCCATCCAGAGTCATCTGGTGGCTAATGACATTGTCCCAGAGGGCTGGGTGAGTTGTTTTGCAAGGGAGCAAAGTGGTGACTCACCCATTCCAGTGCAGCTGGGGCAGATGCCAGATGAACGCTTGCCTCGTCTGCCGTACGAGGTCACGCTGCCGATGCCATGACAAGCTCTGCACTTACTTTCCCATACATGCATGGGAACCTGCACAGAAACCGGTCAACTCTTCAGCTCCTAGCAGGGGGCCCCTGACATGCTGCTGACATCTCTGTGTAGGAAAGATGCAGCACACAAGCTCAGGAGAAAGGTCGCTGAGATGTGGGGGGTTGGCATGCCTGGCAATTCTGCTCCATCGGATCGCAGCTCTCCTCTGCCTCTGTGATCGTCTGCGAGGCAGCAAATATTAGTCAGCCTCAAGTGGCATGATGCGGCAACAAATCAGCAGGCAGATAATTGGTGTAGCAATATGCAGCTGCGCACCCGTCCGTCCCCTGGAAGATCCTTGTATGGAGCAAACAGGGACGCTGGCAAGCCCTCCTCCCTGGAAACCAACTTCAAGCTCAGATGGGAATCCAAGATGTCATGGTCAAGGAAGCACGCCAGATATAAGCCCTACTTGGTCAATCAGGTCTATCAACACTCTCTAATGACCAGCAATGCAAGTCACGCGGACAGATGTAAAGAGGGCTGGTCACTCAGGTGCAGTGATGGCGCACTTGTGACTCCGGTTAGTGCTGTTGCCCCGGTCAAAGGGCCATCTCCACTTCACCGCTGCTGTCGTGACTGTGTCTTTGCTTTTCCCTGAGCTGCTGCCATTTCTGAGAGCTTCTCGTGATTGCAATGGAGCTATATCTCTGTCTCCTCCTGCAAGGGACAGCAGGACAGCTTCTACTTTTTTCACAGGCAACATAAATCATTTCAAGGCCTATGTACTCTTTCAATATGACATTGGACACTACAAATATTTACTTCGAAGCGCATACAGCAGAGCTTCTACACCGATCGCGTGGGATGTGGCACCTAGATACCTCAAAAACCAATTCCAAAAGAAGATGCCAACATGTTGCGCATGAAATATAATGATTGTTTTCGATATATTTTAAAAAACACATACAACGCAAGCTCCAATGACCCCAGATCATCCGAGGCAAAGAAGATGTGCCAAAAAGGCTGGTTTCGGAACAACTTCTTTTTGGAACCTGATTGCAATTGAAGCTGCCTCTCTGCTGTAGAGTATATCGCATGTGTCGCTCACCAGGATCGCTAACAGAGAGGAGGCCGCCTGCTCCTGTCTTCCCTTGCAAACTCCTCTCCTTGCGCCAGAACAGTCTCCGTGACAGGAACAACTCCCGGCCCTGCCTTGATGCGACCAAGTGTGTGCTGTTGTGAGACTCCACGCGGCCAGAAAAACAAGGCGTGTTTGCTGCGCTGTGGGACATCGCAGCGAATACGTGCCTTGTGATTGTTTCCCTGCCTGTACTATTCTTTACGAAAATGGAAATTAGCTTTCGAACGGACTTCAATATTAGCAGAATGTCAGCATTGAAAATGATTAAATTCACAAGTTGAGTTGTTGAAGTAAATTTGGACAACAGCGCAAGGGAGCCAACATATCTTTCCATGCACATCAGGGGTCGTTTATATCGAAACTGGACAAGGAAGTTTCATTCTCTTTCATCGGGTTCTGGATTGCTACTAAACAGCCTGCCCTATTCCAGTGCAAAATACATATTGTTCACCGGGATCAGCACCAGTTGATGTGAGGTGAGGCAGGGGTTGGCTCCCTCAGGTTGCCAGAAAACGATGAGCAGGGCATATAATAGTCAGTCTTGTTGAAGCATAGTCATAGGAATCTCGCAAGGCAACCTACTGTAAAAGCAAACTGCAGAATATAATGAGTTTTTGGAAACGGAGCCAGGACCCTGAAGCAGTCTTAAGTGCAGTACCACCCCCTGAAAGCAAAGGATGGTGGACACGACTGAAGGAAACGGCGGGGTTGGGTGATGAGCCAGAGGAACTTGAGATGGTGGAGCCTACGCTACTGCAACAAGTCAACCAGGCCACGACTCTGAACAGAACCCAGGTGCAAGATGGTGACAGTTATACAAGGTTCTGTGGGAGCTGCATTCTTAGGCACTTATAAGTGTCGCGTGTCTCATCCTTCAGAATGTCACGTTTGTCGCAAAAGAGTTCTGCAGTTCTCTGGATTGCAGTCACAATTAAATTAGCAAGACCAGATTGCAAGATGTTTCTGATGTGCACCCTCCTCTGCACTACAAGCGATATCTACTGAGCTGATCGTGTCGTTGCAGAGGATTTACGGTTTCCTTATTTTCCTGGGCCTGGCTCTACTCTTTGGCATGATGGTACGGGATACACCATTTTCGCAGTGCTTTCTTGTCATGAGCCTGCAGCGTGCTTGCATTGGCAGAGGTCTGAGGAGAGTTCAATTGTCACTGCAGGCTTCTTTCTTCTTTCTGAGTCCCACCCGCTTTGCGGTGCTCTACACCCTTTCCAATGTCCTCATGATTGGCAGGTGGGTGCCCTCTGCACAGTTGATATGTGCATCTGCCTGCTTTTCTGTCCTGATCTCCACGGCTATATGTCTTTGTCCACCATGGCCAAGATAATGATTACTTCTGTCCAAGACAATGACTTTGCTTGTCATGTCTCTTGCAGCACGATGTTTTTGATGGGCCCCGTGAAGCAGATTGTGAAGATGTTTGAGAAGGGGCGCCTGCTGGCCACTGTGGTATACATAGTGGCTATGTTCCTCACGCTCTTTTCAGCCATCAAGGTATGTGCACGTCTGCTGTCCTGCTCTGGGCACTGGACAGCAGTGTGAGTCTGTATGGGTGGAACACAAATGCAGGATTGCTGGAACAAGGTTCCAACTTTGGCGGCTTTTTCTCCATTGAGTTGGGAAGCTGACATCGTTCTGCGTTGCGCAGCTACACAACTTCATCTTGACTCTCGTATTTTTCATCATTCAGATGCTTGCCATGATCTGGTGAGCGCTGAGACCAAGCAAGCATCAAGCTTGTCCGCATCATCAGCATAAACTGTTTTTGCGTTGCGCTGAGCATCTGTGCATGTGCATAAATGAAGTAACATGCAAGGTCTATGAACAATTCTGATTTTTTTGTGCCGCTGAACGTGTCTTGCAAATGCCGTGCAGGTACAGTTTGTCGTACATACCTTTTGCAAGGGAGATGGCCTGGAAGATGTTCAGCCAGTGCTTCCGCTGAATACCATATAGCAACGCAGCCGTAATTTTGATAAGAAGTCAGAAATGCAAATGCAGTATGAGGAAGCCAGAAGAAAGGGGACCTGAGTGCATGAATCTGTGATTGTGGCCTTGCTCGGGGAGTTGGATCCCATGGGCATAAGGGATAGCTTGGGAGCTGCTGAAGGTTAATTTTCAGCGAATGCTGCGCATCTTTTCTGTGTGCGTGGCGTGTGCATCTGGTGAGCTCAGTTGCCCTTGAGGCTTGATGAGAGGATTTGTTTGTTGATTTCAAGACTGATTGTGAAGTTATTTTTGGGAGGTGTTCTGTTACTAGTGGGCGTGCAGTGCAATTGTTGACCTCATCAAATTTAGCAATTGCATGTTCGAGGGTTAGGCATTGTCAAATGCAACTCGTGTAAAGTAAAGTACCTTGCGGACCTTTTGGCCATTTCAGCGGGTTTGTATACTGTGCATGCTCATGCGTTTGCTCCGCAGCATCATGCACGCATCCAGACAGGTCATTGAATGATTTTCACTACCTGTAATCAAAATTGTACACAGGATGCACTGCATTCTGACTCCCAAAGTATGTACGCCTTTCCGAATCCCACTTGATCGTCCCAGGAAAATGCCTGAGATGTCTTGACTACCATATCGAGAGTATAGTGACTTTGCACAGTACAGCCAAAAAGGAGACCTAAGTTTTGATGCTGGACTGCTGTATGTACTTTATTTTATTGCCCCATGTCCCCAAAGGTTCCTGATACAAGCCATGAATCATCAGCAGACTTTTGGAGGTCCAGCTGCGCCCTCAGCTTCAGCGCTTCTTCCTCTCTGCTCTCCAATTCTATCCTCACCCGCTGCCTCTCCGCCTTGGCAGCCTTCAGCTCCCTTTGGATCTGCACCCAGATGCAGCAACACCTTCAGTTCACACTCTTTGCACTTGCTTTATCTCAACAAACAACTCGCCTCGCTACCTCAATCCGCTTATTCAGCACCAACATTTCATCAGCATACCAGCACACCAGCTTCCTTTTGTACCTCAAATTTTATTTGGTCTCTCACCCTCCGCAAAATAGCCATCCAGCCAAAACTCTGTTTACATAATGCAAGCTGCCCTCATTAATACGTACAACCTGCAGCTTGTCTGCAGAGGCACCTTGCCTCCAGCAAGAACAGCGCATAATACACCAAAGGTATATAACCATACATGAAGGGTAAGGGCTTCGAATAGGAGGAAAAGGCAGCACGAGGCGTGTGTGCACCTCGCTGAGCCGCTGCTCTGACTCATCCCTCAGGCGGTTCTTTTCCTGCACAAGCGTTGCCACGCGTGCATCGCGGTCCTTAGCTGCCTTGCTCCACTTGTCCCCCTCTTTTGTTGCCGCCCGCACCGCCGCCTTGGCCTGCGCATGCAGCCACCGCTCAGCCCTCACAGCCTCTCGTCCGCACCAACACATGCTTTGAAAGTACAGAGCCCGCGATGCCACCACAGTCTCACCAGACCCTCACCGCAGACCTTCCAGTTGGAAAGTGACAGTCAGCTACTGCTGGTTCTATAAGCAGGCAGCAGCTGTATGAGCAGGCAGCGGGTCAATGCGCAAAGCAATAATCACCGCAAGAGACAGTCCCATGCGATCAGCGCGCCTGACATGCGCCTGATATGCAGATGACAACATATCTGGAGCCGATGCCGCTCCTGGGAAGTCAAATGATTTCCTTAAAGCTACCGCACCAGCAACCGTTCAGCGGGTTGCCCCTGGGGTTCTTGCTTCATAGTTCATAGGAGACCTGTTTGGGGTCTTTCTCCCAACTGGGTGCAGGGTGCCTAGGCAGATAGCAACAGGTCATCAATGTTTATAACGCACCCTCTCAAGATCAGCCTCCAGTTCGCCCCGGCGCTCATCGGCGCCGGCCGCGGCGGCGCGCAGCCGGCCGGCCTCGGCCTGGGACGCCGCGAGCGCGCGCTGCGCCTCAACGAGGGCTTTTCTCGAGGCCATTTCGCGCTCCTCAGCCCCCGCCAGGTCCAGGCGCAGGTGCTTCGCTTCCGACATCGCTCGAGAAACTTCCTCCTCTCCCACCGCCTGATCAGGCGCGCATTCCTCGTCAGCACATGGGCTCACTGCTTGTTTGCATATGCAATTCCCTTTTGAAGCATGCATTGGGCGCTGTGCCCACACTGTATAGTATGTGACTGCCCTGAACAGGACTTCTCCTGCAAGCCTGGCCAAGGACAGCAGAGATGCAAAAGAGGTGTGTTAGGTACAGACATGAACTCCATTAAAGTATCCTTCCATTGGCAAAGCGATTTGGCAACCTTAGCGCCGTGCAGACTGCATTTGCACATGTGCAGAAGCGCAACAAGAGCGAATGGGCATACTGTAACGAAGCATGAAAGCTGTGGGCAATAAGTAGGAACAAAGGTTCCCACCTGCATGAGGAGGGAGGTCTCCAGCTCCTCCACCTGGGCCCTCTCAGCCTCCAGCTGGCGCGAGTAATCCGCCAGTGCCTGCTCCTTTGTCCTCACCTCCGCCCTCAGGTGCTTGATCTCCTGCTCATGCCACAACATCTTGTGCATTCAGCACACAATGTCAATAACTGGTGATTCATTAAAAATATCAACGTCAGTCTTTTTGGGCCTCATTAGTCTGTGACTGCATGCTGTGCTGAACATATCATCCTCTAGCCCCTTTTGCTCAGGTGATCTTAACATGCATTGTGCATATGCGCATTACAGGCGTGTGTTGAGGACCCCAGTTTTTCTGAGCGTAGTCTCTGGACACCTGCAGATTATTCTTAAACGGGGCCCAGTGTTGCACGTTGTTCATCATTTTCTGAAAAGACCCAGCAGACTTTTGATTTGAGTCATATATGAGAGAGGATATGCAGAGTGACAGCACCTGCTGGTACTGGTGGAAGCTTCCCTCCTTGCCGCGCTCCTCCTTCAGGCTCTGCTCGGCCGCGGCGCACTTGGCCTCCGCCTTCCTCACGGCCGCCTCCCTCGCCGCCACCTCTTCCTGGGCCTTCTGCGCTCACAGCCAAGAAAACATCAGCACCCACGCATTCTGAAGCCATCCCGTTTGCAATCTAGCAGCTGTTGAGCTGCTAGCAGCTCCTCGAAGTGATAGCCACGTGCCTCCTGCTGGCATTTAAACCTCAACCTACAACTCAATGATACATTGCATGTGCATGCATGCACATTCTTCGCTCATTCGGCGTGATGTGTGCCTCCCAAGGGCACTTACTACTCTTACTATTTACTGCCAGCTCCTCTCCACTATAGCAGCACCAGCCAGGGGTGAGCGAATGCACGAGACTGGTGTAGGAATTATTCAGGCACCTGGAGGTCGGCGCGCAGCTCTGCCACCTGGCTCTTCCTGGCCGCCAGCTTGGCCTCCAGGCTGGCGCACTGCTCGTCCGCCTGAGCCTGCCTGCGCCGCTTCTCCTTCGCGTGCGCCTGCCTATCAGCTTCCGCCTGATCCTGTGTGAGTGTTAAACAACATCAATCACTCACATATCTTCAATCAGTCACCTTCAGTCACAAATCTATCGTGCTGCCAGCTCATTAGACAATCTGGGCCCAGGATGCTGTCATTCAGCTAATTGCGAGTGTCCAATGTGGTGAACTGATGGCTCATACACACAGAACACATTGCAAATGTGCATTGCTGGCAGGGCAATCCATGCATCGGCGTACTGGCAAAGGACCTGTCTTGATGCAGGCACTAAACTGCATGACAATACTGGTGCAACGCACGAAATATCACTTCTAGCCTGCCATCAAACAAAAACGGACCTTGGTGGTCTTGAGTGTGGTGCTGAGGCGCGCAATTTCAGCCTGGGCGTCAGCCAGCTTCCGGGTGAGTTCCTTGCAGTCGCCCTCCAGCCGCCGCACATCCGCCTGACTGCGCAGGAGCGCCTCTGCAGACGCGTCCGCCTCCCTCTGCAGCCCCTCGTAGCGCCGAGACATCTCCAGGATCCTCTCCTGCGCGATAGCAAATCCCTTTGCAAATCCCCTAGAACCCCTGGCGCTCTAGAGATAGAGGCAATGCCTGCCATGCTCAAGATTCCCACTCCTGGTGATGTGCTCAGTTCTGGTCGCGGTTCCATTGCTGGATGACGTCCGAGTTTGCCCTGCAGATAAGTGCATGCATGGCGGCTTTCACGAGCATTAATGCCACTCGAGAAAAGGTTATGTGAGGCTTTACTTTGGGGCACATGTAGCATGGCGTGAAAGGGGTTCTGACCTCCTTCTTGGCAAGCAGCTCCTCAGAGGACTTCCTCTGCTGCGCAGCGGCCTTCGTTGCCGCACTCCGCTCGGCTGACACAGTATTTTTCAGCTCCCTCAGCTCGTCCTGCCCCACAGCATGAATTTGCATCAGACATCTTCCTCTGTGGGGAATGTTCCACGTACAAGTATATCAATCACCAGTAAGCCAGCAGTGGTGAGTGTCATCACATTGTGACTTGTGCTGGGCAAATTTAACAGGTTTAAGGTGGGTGGTTGGAGGAGGCGGTGATGTCACCTGTTTGGCCGCCAGGTCAGCGTCCAGGTCAGCGACGCGCTGCTGCGCCTGGCGCAGGCGGGCAGGGTCCGAGTCGGCAATCTCCTCGCGCAGGGCGCCCTCCAGGTCAGCGCGCAGCCGCTCCACCTCAGCATCCCTCTCCGCCAGCCTGTCCTCCAGCTCAGCAACCTCCGCTCGCAGCGTAGACACCTGCAAACGCCGTCGCATTTTTCTCAGTGCATGCACCTTACATCCAGGTCTCATGCAAGATGGAAGGCATTTAGAACAATGACAGATGTAAGCATTCCTCTTAGCCACCCCTCAATACTGGGACCTAGTACACCGTCTCCAGCCCCCCTCAACAGAGTATGACATATCTTGTGAGCCATAAAAAGGTGAAAAACATTGTTCGTTCTGGTTGTGATCATGCAAGGGGATGAGTCACCTCTGCGTCAGAAACCTGTGGGGATTCAGTGGCCGCCCTGGCAGCTGTGCGAGGCTCCTCTCTAGAAGCCGCAGAGGCAGGTGCCACGCGCGAGCGCGCTTTGGCGGCAGCCAGCTGCTCCTGCAGGTCCTTGACCTGGCGCTGCTTCTCTGCCAGCTCTGCCTCGATGCCTGCCATGCGCGTGCTGTTGGCCTTCAGCGGCCGGAGCTCGCTCACCTGCACAGCACAGATCACCATGGCCGACTACGACATGTCCTTGCATTGGAAATTGTCCGCTTTTACGCAGGAATATGACATTCTCAGGAGTCCTTTCAGGTGGACTCACAGCCCAAAATTACGGTGGATTATAAGCAAGATACTTCGTTATGTGCGCACCTCGGCCCGCAGCTTCTCGAGCCGCTGGTCGCGGTCCGCAACACGATCCTCGAGCTCCCGCGCGCGGATGCCCGCCGGCCGCAGCTGGCGCACCTCGCCCTCCAGCTCAGACACCCGCGCTCGAATCAGCGCCACATCAGCATCCGCCACCTCGGCGCCCTCCTGAGCCGTCTTGAGCGCCTGCACCTCCTGCGACAACACTTTGTGCTTGTCTCTCGAATCAACTCCTTTTCCCGCATGCCTAAGCAGCAATTTCATCACTTACCCTGCTGTCAGGCAAAGGCCCGTTACTTCGAATGAGCGTGTGACTGGCCTGCTGCAGAGGGCTGCAGGCCGGCATATGAGAAATCACAGTCCTCACATGCCGCACAGGGGTAAACGTCCCACTCTGGATCAGAGACACCTGGGCAAGGTTGTGCGCGTCATGGCAGGTACTGTCATGATGTTGGGCGGTAAATGTTACCTCTATTGCGGAAGCAAGCTGTGCCTTGAGGGTCCTTACGTCCGCCTCCAGCTGCTGAGCCTGCTTCTCGGCAGCTCTGAGCCGCTCAACCTCCTGCCTGGCAGCGGCAGCGGCCGCCTGCGCCCGTTCAAGCTCTTCCTCCTTTCCTTGCAAATCCTGCATCAATCAGGCAGGCAGTACATGAGCAGAAAGATATAAATTTCAGCAGCAGGTTCTCAATTTTGTTCTAGTTTCATTCATGCAGAGTGACCCCAAAGACCCATGCCAAGCAGCGCGCTTGAAATGCTGAATAGCAGGCGGCTCAGACCCAGTAGCTGCCTGCCCTTGTCCCCAGCCCTGACATACCTGCACATCCCGCTCCAATTGGGCTACTTTGTTCTGAGCAGTTTGCAGCGCCTGCCGCTGCTCCTCCAGCTGCTGGCTGGGGCGCTGTGCAGCTTCCAGCTGGGCCGCCAGCTGCGCGGCGGCTGCCTCGCGCTCGGCCACGTGCGCCTCGCGCGCCTGCAGCAGCTCTGTCTCCAGCGCTTGCGCCGCAGCAACATGCGCGTCCAGAGCCTGTGATTAGCAGAAGTTACTCGATTACGTGCCCGATGCAAGTTTGCAAGACCTGCAGCTTTACCGCAAGCAGCTGGCAAATTTCCCAGCATTGGCAGCTGCAACGAAGGTGTATTCTGAATGCCTGTCGACCAGTCGCTGCACGTATGTGTGGGTGTGCCAGGTAAGGTCCGCTTTGTGGTACTTGCAAGTCCTCCTCCTGTCTTGTCTGATGAAGTCTGGAGCAAAGTCTGAAATTGTCTGAAGTCTCAAGAAAATCTTGAACTCAGAAGCTTTCAGGCGCGCACCCCGGTGGCGTGGTCGCGCTGCGCCTTGACGTCCTGCAGCTCAGCTTCCAGGGCTTCGGCGGCCGCGCGCTGGGCCGCCACGTCGCGCTGAGCGGACGCCACGCGGGCGGTCGTGCGCGTCAGCTCAGCCTGCAGCGCATCGGCCGCCTGCTGCTCGCCAAAGTGCCGCTCCGCCACGGCCGCGTGGCTGCACTCGGCCTCCGCCAGCGCCGCCGTCAGCCGCTCAATTTCCGCCCTGCAGCGCAGAGCACAAACTTATGTACAATTCCTTTGACAAAGACTTCCATGGATATTAGAATGGTCTCAAGATCAGTGGCATCTGGCAAGAATACTCAGGAAACCGCTCTTTTAAGCAACGAAGAGCAGCAGCTTGGTGGCAGGAGCACTGCCCACCTGGTTCCTTGGCACTAGTATGCTGTTGCTGTATTCATTACTAGGAGATCAGTAGCGAATTCCCTTTATTACCAGGAGCCCATTGGTCTGGTAAAAGCAAGCACGTAGGCGTTGAAAGGCGGCTACGCACCTGTCGGACGCGGCATTGGTGCGCATTTGCTCCATAGCCGCCCTGACCGCGGCAAGCTCCTCCCCGGCGGCGGCCGCGTTCGCTTGCGCGTCGGCCGCCCGCCGCTCGGCGCCGTCGACGGCCGCGCGCGCCTGCGCCAGTTCCTCTCCCAGCCGCCGGGCCGCAGACCTGCATGGTACGTTCCGTTTAGGCGCTGATGCCTTGCCTGTGTCTCCCTAAAAACGTCCCTGTAATGTGCTGGGCTCACCAACGGGTTAGCACAGTAACCCACTGCGCACACTAACAGGATGCAAAGGCAACGGCATGATGGTGCTCTCTGTTTCGTGCCAGTGCATGGTTCTGCATGGCTGTATGCGTTCATAAGCAAGATATTGACTAGGCAGATTGTCCTTCTTGACTAGCTTGTGTCATCATTGGAGGGTAACATAGTGTTGCCATCCGCGTGCCCCTCAGGTTGGGTCATTCCTGCTCATGCAGACACTTAGTCGTTCCATTCATCATTCGTCACACCTGTGTTCGCTGACGTCATGGCGCGCAGACTGGCGGCTGGCGTTGACCTCCAGCTCCAGAGCGTGCATGCTTGCGCGAGCTGCGTCCGCCTCCCGCTCGGCAGCTTCCTGCAGCTGCTTCCTCTCCGCAACCTGTGCACAAGTCTGATTCGATTAATTTCACTCAGCTCGAATGCTCGGTAAATCATCCAGAATAAAATTTTGTTATAGCCATCTGCCTGCCTGAATTGCAGCTCCCTAAGTGGGTATTCTGGCAGGCACTAGGAAAACACAGTGGTGGGCATTAAATTCATATTCAATTGTCCGACTAGGAGTGTGCACTGTTCAGCAGAGCGGCTGGGTTTCACGGGCGGTACATTAGCTTTGCAACATTACGCAGCGAGTTCGTGTGGGACAAGAGCGGGTTGCATAGCCGTGTGATGCCCTGACCCCGCCATTGTGAGACCTCAAGCCCACAATTCTTCGAACATCGCACCTTTAGTGCTGCATTCAGTGGAGCAGATGCTTTCAGCGTCTCATACCTGGTCCTCCAGATTCTCGATGCGCTGCTGCAGCTGTGGCAGGGCGGCAGCGTCCCTCTCCAGCTCTGCCAGTCGGCTCTGCAGCTGCTGCAGCTCCGCTGCCCGGCCGGCCTCCGCCTTGCGCGCGGCACGCAGATCCCTCTCTGCCGCGCTCGCCCGGTCGGCGGCAGACTTTGCCTGCATGCGCACCAAAACAGCCGTCTCAGATGAATTCCAGAAGCACAAGGACGCTACCTTGTAACAGGCAGTCTTGATCTCCGCATTTGCATGCATTGATGCGGAGGTTGCCTCTAGATATTCTGTATTCTGTATAATTCAACCAGTTCATATAGGCCATGTACATTATATTATGTCGTCAGATGCCTCCCATGCGCACAGAAGCTGATAAACCGCACATGAGACTTCGACTCCTCGAGTATCAAAGGCAAAGCCAGGCATGGCCGTCATCCGCACAGAAGTGCATGCAGCAAAGGGGAAGTCTAAGTGTGTGGAATCATGGTGCGCTGCCCCACCTGCGCCTTGAGGGTCTCCAATCGCTCAAGAGTGGCGCCGAGCTCGTCTGACTGCGCTTCGCGGGCGGCCGCCTCGGCGGCGAGCTTGGCCTCCAATTTTTGCTGGGAGGCCTCATGTGCCCGCAGCTGCGCCTGCTGCGATTTCATGAGGCTGTTTGTCTTGTGCAGGTGGCCGTCCAGCACAGCAGCCCTCCGTGCCTCTGCCTCCATGTGCGATAGCTCCTCTTCCCGCGCCTACAATTGCATTTTAACCATTGCTTCGGCATATGGATGACAGTAATTTGTTGAGACCCTTCCGCTATGATAATCCTGCAGTTGACTTCCCTTGTCTGGCAAGGGACGGTCTGAGCCATGTAAAGACAGCATTGACACACGTGTGCTTGCAAGTTCAGGACAAGTAGGCTGCCCGAAATGTGTCCGGAGCAGAACTCTGGTCCCCGATGCGTCATGTGAACCCTGTGCACGCAATGATAATGAGTGCACTGGTCTGGACAGTAAGGACAAGTGATGAGAACCTTGAGGTCAGCAGTGAGAGCGGCATTGGTCTCGCGCAGGGCAGCGACTTCGCCCACCTTCACGGCAGCTGCGCTGGAGCTGCCCTCCACCTCGCGCAGCTGCCTCTGCACCATCCTCAGCTTCCTGCGCTCCGAGTCCAGGTCCTGCATGGCAACACCCTGCCTTCAAGCACTTGCACTGCTACACGAGACGATTCATGAAAGGATCCAATGACCGAGAGGCATCACACCACTAGTCCTGTGACCAATGTTCATACCAATAAGCATATTGCCTACAATGGGGCTCTGCGAATGTTTGCGGCCTTGCGTTGAGCTACGAGACTACTGTCTTGCACACCATGTATGCGTTGAAGTCATTTATGCATGAGGGGAGAGCAATGCAGCAGGGAGGAAAACATGCACGAAATGGCCCCTATCTTCCTACATGAATTAAAGTGTGTATGAAGGGCAGCATGTGGCATCATGCACCTGTTGGATCTGTTGCTGAGCCTGGGCTGCGCGCTGCTTCTCAAGTTCCAGGCTGGCGCTGGTGCTCTGCAGCTGCTGGCGCAGAAAGCCGGTCTGTGAGCGCTCTGACTCCAGCGCCTCCCTATCAGTCATAGTATAAGTCACATCACACATCGCTTACAGCCTTTATGTAATCTCTGGCCTTCACTAACCAAATGACCTCTAGTTGTGATACAAGCGGCACAGCATGCACAGCAGGTACTTGCAGAATGTATGCTAAACTGATCACAAGAGACATGTGCAGATATGCCATCACCAGCACCTGAGCAGGGGCCAATTTAGGGCTGATGTGAGGCCTGACTCAGTCAGAGTCAGGGTCAGCACCCAGCATGACATTTATATACGGTACTGGGGAAGCAAAACTCGGCGAGACCTGCAAGATCACCTGTTCTGCTGCAGCCGCGCCTCCAGGTTTGACATCTCCCTGGTCCCGGCGCTGCGCGTTCCCTCCAGCTGCCTCTCCAGGCCCGCCACCTCATCCTGCATGAAACAATTAGCCGTTGCAACCTCAGCCGTTGCAACCACCCTCTGGGGTTTTGAGGAGATTCGCGGGAAGTGTCATGCAAGGACACGATGTAAATTACTTCATGTAATACATCATCTTTTTTCTTGCTGTCTAATGCTTTGTAAGATGCCTTGATTGCATCCTGCAGCGCAGATGAAGGACATGGAACACGGAAGCACAGGTAAAGACAAGGATATATTATAGGTGTGTTGAAGACATGAATAAAGATGGTGGAATGAGCAGGGCTGCAGAGGCTGGTTGTGGGTGGTGCCTTGTGTCTGACCTGAAGGTTGGAGATCTTGGCGTGGCTTTCCGCCAGCTTGGCGCTCTGCTCGTTCATGGCTGCCTCCCTGGACTGCAGCGCTGTCTGCGCCTCCTGCATAACAAACATAATCCCTATAGCCCTGATATTCTCCAAAAATCAAATTGCATTCTACAAGCTACCAGGGACATCTTGCTTGGACACATGCATCTCTGCATGGACAGCATTAGTTGGGACTGGGGTTGTCATTATTCTGAGACCAATGTAAGGCCCCCTTGTGATGCTGTGACGGACTATCAGGGTGAGGACAGCATCACTATGCTCTTGGTCAGGCCAGGTCCAGGGGACTCTGAATCAATTGATTTCGCATCAACTGATCAGCTGATTTAGAGTCCCCTGGCCAGGTCCACAGTACTGGATTGGATACTGGATTGGACAGAGGAAGCATACCACGACGACCGCCTTCTGCTTGGCCAGAAGAGAGTCCATCTCCAGCATGCGCGACTCGTCATCGGCCAGCGCCCGCTGCGCCGCGGCCAGCCGGCCGTCCTTGTCTTGCAGCGCGCTCTGCCGTTGCACATGCAAGCCTCAGCAACGAGCAAAATTCGTTGCACCTCCACAGCATCGCGAAACCGCAAGCATATCTCATAAGTGAAATATCCCTGGCTTTCTGCAAGCAATCCTAGACAGCCAACGCATGAGGCGTTACATTACTCAGGCATGGATATCTGCCAATAAATCAAGAAAACGAAGCGGTAGGCTGCATGATCCAGGCAGCAAGGGGTTCAGGCGCTGTGAGCTGATATTTGCAAACAGTCTAATCTATATATGAGGACAGGATGTTGACATAGGCAAACCCAGACTTGAGGGTGTTGTTGTTTTGGATCCAACTGGATAGTTTGTTGGGCTGAAGAGTGGGCCCTGCTTGCAATGCAAGACCCGTCCGACGGAACGCCCTTGGGCTTGCATTGCTTTGCAATGCGTGCATCTTCTTTAACTTTAATCAGTTGTATGTGTAATAGGTCGACCACAGTCAGAGCGATGGTCCCAACGTGGCAGAGAAGCGATGTTAAGGGCTGCACCTGCATGGCCTTGTACTTGCGCTGGATGTCGTGCATCTTGCGCTGCATGTCCAGGAGCTCGCTGCCGTGCACCCCCTCCTGCCCCTCCAGCTGCCCCTGCATCTGCCGCACCTCCACCTCCCTCTCCTGCAGCAGCACCACATGTGATGTTAGCACAGCAGTATAGATCAAATGTGGATACCGGTACTCTAAATTGCCTGTTGATTTTATATGCACCAAGCCTCCTCTCGTCATCATGCAGAGAGGGTGGGTTTCTGTAGATTCAATGCATCATGGCAGGTCTTTGCACCAGACCACTGCAAGCCAATTCCACAAAAGGTTGCACCACTTTGCATGAGCAGTGCTTCCATGCCGCCCAGGACAATTTGAGATTGAGCTATTTGTGCACATTTGTTACCCCTGCCAGAGAACCATGCAGGCAATTTGCAAGGATCATTCTCTGGCGGGCATCTAGCCTGAGGCAGCTCACCTGCAGAAGCGATTGCAGGGACAGATTCTTGTCCTGGGTGTCCCTGAGCTGGGACTCCAGGGCGACCGAGCGCGCCTGCAGCGTGGTCACAGCAGCCGTCTCCTGTGTCAGGTGCTCCTGCACCTGGTGGAGCATCTGCTGCTTGCTGGCCAGCTCCCTTTGTGCGTGCTTGAGCAACTCCGAATCCTGCGCACGGCCGACACAGCATTTATAGACACCCCAGACATGCATGCATGTCCTTCAAGTTTTTGCATGCATGAATGCATGCATGCATGGCTTCATGAGGTTAAACAGAAGTTTCACAGTGCCAGCAGGCAGACCAAGGAATGCACAGCGCTGTTGCTGCCTCGTTAACAGATCATCTTCGCTGACTAGCCATGCTAAATAAAGGTGTCTGTGGCATGCATGTGGGGAAGGCATTGAGTTTCCACCAGAAATATTAAGACAGGGGGGAGCACCTTCTGCCGCTCAATGAAGAGGCCGTTCAACTGGTCCTCAAAGGCGCGGCTGGTCTCCTCCCAGCGTGCTGCATCCTTGGACTTTGCCTCAAACTTGGCCTGTCACACACATTAGCTTTTGCTCATACAATAGAGATTCTGAGTAGTCCGAAAAGGTAGGACGCACTACTTGGAGGTTTCTGAGCAGATGTGCACAATCAGCTAGTTCGCCTGTCCTCTTTTAAAGTTTACATGCAAGCCATCAGACATGGGGTGACGTACCTCAAGCTCGGACTTTGAGAGCTGCAGCTTTGTGACAACATACTGCCACTGCTCAGCGTCCTTCTTGGCAGCTTTGGCCTCGGCTTTTGCCAGGCTCAGGTCCTTGTTGATGGATTTCTGACCCTTCAGCTCCTTGAGCAGACCCTCATTCACCTGGAATGGACAAAACCACTACGTCGTCATATCTGCACCCTCCATACATGCGCTATACTTGGAGTTGCTATTTGGCTTTGCATGCAACAGGCAACTTGCATGTGACAAGCTGAGCAGGACACGGTAAATAATCCTCCATTCACAGGCAAAGGGAGGTGTTCAGAACAAAATATTAGTAGAGGGCTGCACCTTTTTCTGGCTCTCAAGCATGCTCCTTTCGTTGGCAAGAGCACTGCGCTGTTTATCTGCGTCGCCCTTGTGGATCTTCACCCTGTTCTCGGCGGCCTGCCTGACTTCAGCCATCTGCTCCTTCAGCGCTTCCTTTTCTGCCATGGCCCTTTCCAGCTCGCCTTGAAGCCTGTCACAGCCCAGACAGCCCTCACAACCTTGCCCTCACAACCTTGAAATCTGCTGCATGCAAGGACTTGAGCTCCCCTGTTGAAGATGTTTTTGCACCAACCCTGTTCAGCCCATGTCTTGCGACAAAATATACCTGAACGCCGAGCCAGGCTTGTCTTTTGGATACTCTGTCTTGATGGCAAGGTTAAGATGCCATTTTTGTTTTAACGCTCATCTAGATTCCGTAATCCAGAGGTAGCACATGGCTCACAACGCCGCGTTCCATGCTCATCATGCAATACATGCTGGGCTTGCTGTACTTTGCCGTGCACAAAGAGCATATTTATGCGTACATAGCCTGGAGTGCGCATGATAGTGGAGTACTTTCCCACCTCTGGATCTGCTCAGCATGCTGGGCTGCCTCAGCATCCCTGTCAATGCGCTCTTTGATGCTGCGCCCACCCTCAGATGGGCCATCCCCAAACTTCCTGCCGGGCTTTGGGCTGTCGTTGACCTGCACATTGATACGCAACCCACTTATTCATCAACACGCCTCCACATCACCTTTGATTGGTAGGTGCTCAAGGATGTGTAACATCATGCGTGGGCACATATGCACAGGCTCGGCTAGCAGCTGATACATCTCACTGTTGCCTTTGCATGCTTCAACACCAGACACTTGAGTTCCTAACAGCTTTATAGACATAATTGGAATGAGAATGAGAAATTTATAAAATTACATCTCATAACATGCGCTAGCTATATACTATTCAGCTGTACGGACCTGCCAGTTGCGAGAAGGTGTCACATCTCCGAGCGCCGCGCGATTAGGTGTCTCTGGAAAGCCATCCGGCCCAACACCGTGCTCCAGGTTCTCCACATCCAGCTGCGCCAGAACAGGCTTCTTGCGGGGCGACTGGGACCTCCCCCTGCGGGGGGGCCCGCCATTGGGGGACACTGGGGGGTCCTCCAGCCGCAGCCGCGACGGCCGGCGGGGGGAACCGCGCCGATGCATGTGCCGCTCCAGCACCGCCTGTGTCGGCGAGTCCACAACCGCTGTCCGCCTCTCCCGCGGCTCTGGAGAGCGCTGCAAGCCCCGCTGCCCCAGCAGGGCGTGCACGGACACCTCGCTGCTCCTGACCTCCCGCGGGCCGAGGTCCAGAGACCCATGCAGTGCTGCGCTGCCCCCGTGTAGCCTGCCGCCGTGCTGCAGCTGGGGATGGGCCAAGTCAGGGCTGCTGGAGGGCCTGCGCAGTTCTGCCTCCGCCCACCTGACCCCGACTCGGCTACTGACATCGGGCCTGGCGGCTTGTCTAATGCCGGTGCCGCTGACCTGCAGCTGATCTGGGTGGACTCTGCCGCTGGTGGAAGGGTCCTTTCCGACGCTGCGGTGGAGGTCTATTTCGCGCTGCTGCTCCGTTGATCTGTGGCGTGAGTCATGGGGTGCGGCGGTGCCAACCTTGGCCGGCGCCACCCTGTCAAAGGAGTTGTCGAGCCGCTGGCGCACCGGGTCACGCTCGGCCGCGCGCGGCGCCAAACCAGGCGTCCTGGGCCGCGCGCTTTGCCTGCCGGGTGTATTGACCATCTCCTGCAGCTTCCGCCTGGAGTCCGTCACGCCCCTCATGGGATCTCCCCGCTCTGCGCCTGCGGATGTCACCTTTGGTCATTCTGCCCTTTGTAATTAGGCCATCACAGACAGTCACTGCTGATGCAAGTGGGCCGCCTCAATTACACCCAATGCTCGTAATGCAGCTGAACTAATTGAGGCACACGAGGCAAACAGAGCAGCACCTTGTGTTGACAGCGGCGTGGAGGGGCCCGGCCCATTCTGCATGACTCTTGCGCTTTTGAACTGCTCCTTGAGGCTTTTGCTGATGGGCGTTGGGGTTGCGCTGGCTTGCATCTCACTCCTCTGATTTGTAGCTGAATCCTGCCACTGCGCACTCTGCACAAGATGCTTAAGTCGCTATGGCATTGCTGAAAGGCAATTTTTAACGAGGCAATGCAATACAGACAAGAGCTAAAAGAAGATCTGGCATCCCCAGAACAGGGTCTTCACACGCTGGAGCCTGGTCTTCCGTGGAGCAGGGAACTCACCTGAGAGTGCAGATTCTTGTTTGAACGACTTTTCTCGAGATCTTTGGCCCTGGCGCCGTCAATAGCTGTCCTGCTCAGCTGGCTGTCTATGAATTGCACTGGGTCGCCTCGTGCAACAGGTGAATGTGTTGACTCTCCATCACTGCTTGACCTCCTGAAGTCCCCAGACACTCAAGCACGGCACTGTGCTGTACATGGGGATGCTCATCTCCTATGCAAAGTTCTGTAATCTACCTGTCCGCATGGAATCCTGTGCAGGTGTCCTGGATCGCCTGTACCAAGAATCATTGAGTTGGCACCAAAACCTGATGTCCCAGTGGAAACGTTGGACTTTCACAGGGTTGCTTGAGACCGCTACCTTCGAACGTTCTGCCATTGCGTTGCTTCATTCGTGTATATGGTTACATGCTTCTACAAAAATGGCTCTTGAAACTTGACTGTCTTTATCTGACTGCTACCCTGTCTAACGATATAATCACTTGAATGTGTTGCAGATGCCGAAAAGACAGGTGTTTGACGTAGCGCCACTTTTTCGTCAAAATAACACCAAAGCAATAAGAAGCAAGCTTGCTTTGCTCATGACGTACAGTACCAACCTGAGTGGATGTTGAGAGTCATTGAAAGCTAGTCAGACCGCAGGTGTCTGCTAAGATGTCCGCCTTGGATGAAATTGGAGTGTCTATGTAGTAAAGCTGTAAGCATGCGATTGCAGGAGCTCTCGCTGGGATGCAAACAAAGCATGAGCTGCTTCAATCTTGCTTGAAAGCGTTGAGCGTTTCCTCATCACCTCATCCAAGACGCCCTGCTGATGAATCGTACTTGGAAAATTGCAATGCGGGCCGCATATGTGGGTCCAATTTGGCCAAAAGTGTTTTGTTGGGACTCCCTTGTACTCCCTGAAGAACATTACTGAGCCCAGTACTTTATCAAGGCAGTTTTCTGTGTTGTTGACAAGGCCATCAGAAGTAGCAAAAGGCCCAGGAGAAGCATTTCCAGCATGGCAGACTCGAAGGGCATCAATGCGTCAGACCTCAGCATTCAGCCAACAGAACTCAAGTTCCGCTTCGAGCTGCGCAAGAACATTCCAGTGACCCTGTCCCTGCACAACCCTGGACAGGAGAAAGTGGCCTTCAAAGTGAAGACAACCTCGCCCAAAAAGTACTGCGTGCGGCCCAGCAGCGGAGTGGTTGAGCCAGGCGCCACCAAGGATGTGCAGGTCATCATGCAGGCTCAGCGAGAGTACCCGCCAACTCTGGCAGATTGCAAGGACAAGTTCCTGGTGCAGACAGTGAAGGTGTCGCCCAAGGTGTCCGAGATCACCCCAGAGCTCTTCGATGGCGCCAACAGCAGCATCAAGCAGTCAAAGCTGCGTGTGATCCTCGTGGGGCCCCCGAAGCCACCCAGTCCCGTGCCAGAGGGTGTCGAGGAGGAGACAGCACCATCGCCTGGGGGCAACGCCTTCCCCTCCGACAACGGCGAGCGGCCCACAGAGACGACAACAGCCGCAGGCATAATCCCCTCACGGGCTCAGGACAGCAAGGAGCTGGCGATAATCACCCAGGAGCGCAACAAGCTGCGGGAACAGCTCAACAAGGTGGAGAAAGACAAATCAGACATCAAGAAGCGACTCGATCTACTGCAGTTGCAGGTGCGATTCTTTGTAGTTGCATGCCACTTTTCGTAGTTTCTAACGGTAACACAGTAGATCCTGACAAGGTTGTGACTTTGTTGAGGTCCTGTGCACCTTCATCTGGGTTCTGGGTTCAGTGATCAGGAGCGTCCTTGTTGCACTGGAGCTGTATGGTACTTGCTTTTGCAACAAACTTGGAGTTATGGTTGTGACCAACGTGTCGGATGTGGAATTCCGAAAAAGTGTGCAGAAGATCAAGGATCTGACCTTCAGATGGCCTTCTTGAAGATCACCAACGATTCTGATTTGATATCGAGCAGGCGGAGGGCAGGCCGCGTGGAGATCTGGCACAGAAGTCTCTGATAAGCGGACCCTACACCCTGGTGCACCTTCTCATCGTGGCGCTGATTACTTTCTTCTTGGGACACTACCTCTGAGACTGGTGCGTCCAGACTCCATCTTACAAACTCCGCTGCATGTAGTGCCATGTCATGATTGGAAGTTTGCATGCCTGTGTGTTTCTTTGCACCAGTTCCATGCACCAAGCCCTCGAGAACGAAGCAATCAAGATTATCCAGGACTAAGCTTACTGTGGTCCTTTCCCTGACGCAAAGGCCATACGCTATGTGCAGATGTCTTCAGCTGTGGAGGATAACATGGCTTAAGGACGATATCTGAAGGGATGGAGTTGGGGAGTAGACGTTGAGTTGTCAGGCAAATAGATGCTCAACAGCAGGGCCGGAGCTGTGCATATTGGTGTGGATGCATGTGTGTGACGGAAAAAGGGACCGCACTTTCGATATTCCATCCGAAATAAGACACGAGGGAGCTCATGGATTGAGTTGCCTCAGTGCCCTGCCAAATGCTCTGCAAGCAGTACTATGGTACGCATGATACAGTCATTGGATATCCTGATTTACCTGGTTGAGATGCGTTGCATGTCAAAGATTGTGTAGGTTGTCAGTAACCTTTAAGCAATGATAAGAGGCTACTACACAGTTTCTGCTGGGCTGTTATAAAAGTAGAGGTCAAGTCCTGCTGTGGATATCGGCTACCGGGCTTAATCTCAAGCATTCAATGCTGACTGTGACATTATCGATGTTGCCTCACAGTAATTGAACTACAGTTTCTTGGCATCATCACATTACACTTGCCAGTTGCACCGCTTTCTGCTCAGGTCTGCAATCCTGCTCTGCATACATACGTTCCACAAAGGCGATCAGGTCTTGCTGAAATTGCACAGGGCACTCATCCATAGGCACATGGCCACAGACTGGATAGACTGTCATCTGTGTGCCTCCCTGCTGCCGCTGCTCCAGCAAGGCGTTGACCTGTGCATGATGTCACGGAACATAGTTCAACACGCAATACAACTCTGAACACAAATGGTGACAGTGATCGCGCAAGACAGCTCACTTTACATGCGCCTTTGATCTTGCTTACCAGTGTACTCGTAATCCTAACACGTTCCGAGCGCCAGCAAAAGCACATGGGTTCAGAGCGTACTTGCACTCAAGCCATCCTAGGATCCCGCTGATTCAAGAAGGTCTGCTCTTAAGGGACAGATCTAGATAACAAGTCAGGGGACAAATCCAGACACTATGAGGAGCGCACCTCCTTGGCAGTCTTCAGCAGAAATGTGTCATCCTCGCCAATGATGATGTGGACAGGGACAGTGATGGTGTCATAGGGGAAGCTGCTGGGGAAGCTCATGGTACGCATGCTCAGCAGAGCCCCCCTGTCCCAGTTGTGGCTGCGCATGGGCTTCAGATAGCCGTCTATGGCATCCTGCAGCAGAAGGATTACCATCGTCACCACGACATAAGGACTGCGCCTTCTTGGCATCTGCATGTGCAAAGGCGGTAGCGCCGCGAATTCGGAAACAATGGGGGCTTGTTTGGGTGTCCGATTGGGAGCCGGATGGCGCCCATTCAAGCCCAAAGAACCCACATTCGAGCCGGAGATGTGATCAAACCAAGCCGGAATGCCCCTACTGTTGATGGACGTGTTCAGAATTAATGACTGAGGAGTGCTGGTGTGTCGTGTTGAGAGACTGGGCTGGAGTACCTGCACAGCCTCTGGGCTTTGCCGGGTGAGCATCTTCAAATTTCCCTGCGCCACAGAGGCGGCCTGCTTCCTGTAGCTCCTCCTGATATAGTGCAAGCCAGGCCCATCCATCTGCACATCCAGTAAAAATTCAGGCACATATGAGAGCAGATCACAGGTGCTATCACCATTGTGAAGTGCTGACTATTGGAACTGGGGGATTTAAAATCCTGCACGTGCACCTGCTAAGGTCTGCAGCGCAAGAGGGAGTGCGGCCTGTTCCCAAGAATGACTGACTCTTCTGCACTTCATGGCTTGTGTCTCGAAGCAATCCTCGATGCCACAGAAACAGCACACCTGCAGGATTGCACGCATGGCGGCGAGCCTGATTTGGCGTCCAAGGCCGCCGCGCCGAGACCAGCTGTTTTCTGGGTTGTTGGTGGGCACCGCCGGAGCCACCAGCACCAAGCCTGCCACCTTCTCAGGCGCCCTGCACAATCACAAGAGCAGGCTCCCATCTTTATCGGCTGAGGCAGAAAAAGAGGAAAAGAAGAAGAAGAAGAAGAAGTACAGATCATTGCAAACTCTGAATTAAGGTGGATGGCACACTTGTGACACTGCTTTTGGCCAGGACTTCAAGATTATCTTGGCACCCGTTGATACATGCAGACAGTGCGAGCACCACGTTTAGTGAGAAGAGGCTGCCTCACAAATTCAAGCAGTATGTGTTGTCAGTACAGACATCTCCTGGCGGCAGTTATAACCAAGCGCGTTTGGGAAGATCGTCCTTCTGGGCAATTCCAGCCCAAATACCGAGCCAAGAAGCAATGCATGCAGGAGCTATCACCTTCTATACAGCTCCAGAGCAGTTGCGCCTCCGGCAGAGTGCCCCACGACCACTGCCTGCTGTACGCCAAGCTTCTCTAAAAGCCCTGCTGCCAGCCTGGCGCCACCCTGTCAGCAGACCAGTGATGTCAGCATGTGCTTTCTAGTCGACAACCTGCTTGTAACTGCGTATGCAGCTGCACAAGATGTAGACTCTGACAAGAGCATAGCTGCTGTGGGGAGCCCGCGCATGCGAAGCCAGCTGTACTTCATTTGTGCATCGGTTGTGTGCCAGGTGCAAGCAGCCATACCTGCGTGCTGTAAGGGCTCTGTGCGTCCCCTCCTTCCCATGACAGTGGCCTCTCTGTCAGTCCAAAGGGTGGGCGATCAAACGCTATCACCCGACAACCCCCTGCTGATGCGCAGGCCCTACTCACCGGCTCCATGACAGACCTCCTGAAAGACACGGCATCTACTTATTTAGAAGCTGCACTTTGCTACAGTGCAGCCTTTTTGAGGAGATCAAGGCACATCATTATCAAGTGCAAAGGCGCGCGCTCCCTTGTGAAATGGAATCTTCATATTTCATTCCAAAAATACTGGTCATATACCCATGATCATCCTTACTAATTCTGGAGATTACAAGGATAGGTGCTGCAACTTCTTCACACCAGTAAAAGTCACGAGAGCCGTTCGCAGGTGCAGGCAATGTTGCTTTGTCTTGTACTGACATACCAGCTGTATACAGATCCATTGAAGCCGTGCAGCAGCAGGACAGCTGGCGTCCCTGGATCTTGTGGACCTGTGTCCTTGTAGTGTAGATTCACACCATCAACTTCTATCCAGCACGAGTCAGCGTCTCCAAGCTGCTGAGGGGGCACTGTGTCCTGCAGAGGCTCCGGAGGGCCCAAGATGAAGGGCTGGACAAGATCGTTCACCCATGGTAGCGTCTCCTTGCGCACCTGAACAGTGCCAGTACGCAGACTGCAGGCCTCCCAACCAAACCGTTGCATGCCTTTGCATGAGTCTACTGAAGTGATTGCTAGCGTACAGAAGGAACACTCTTATCAGCAACGACTTTAATTGCTCGGTTCCGTCAAGCTCCTTCACAAGGAGCCTACCTGCTCTGCTATTGAAGCTATGAGATTTTGATTTGTCGCTCCTCTCCTGGACTGGGATCTGTGAAAAGATTAAAGAAGCTGTTTTAATATCAACTGCGATCGATTCACATGAGGAGTAAAAAGTACAAGCTGGCTGTGACGTGTTGATCTCGAATCACATTCCGTGCCAACCAACTGACGAATAAAGACAAATGTGGCTGGGTAGCACCTTCCGACACTATTCTTTGCAGCACAATGAACCATCAGACTCCTCCTGTGCGGGTAGTGAAGAGCGTCTGTTCCTCGGGACAGCTGTAAGGTTGAGATGCCGCATTGAAGAGAAGTACAATGAAGGAGCATTTCAGTTGACAGAGGGTGTCCTCTATACAGTGAAACAATAATTCTTTATGAGATCATAGTCTCTTAATGAATTGCTCTCTGCGCACATCTGTCGAACTCGGCAAGCCCACGTCTTCGTCCTGCTGGTCCGAGGACTATTTTGGCTCCCTCAGATTGACATGCATGTCTTAAGATGAAAGTATTGCGTCGCTGGGGTGCTTGTTGTTTTTATATTTTGGATGGTAAAGATGTGATGGAATTTTTTGAGTGCAGGCCAGGCTGCACCAGAAGTTTGCATATAGGATGCCAGCATTCAGGACCTTCTTTAGACTATTTTTATTGCCTTGTGTCTTCTAATTCTGACGATGTGAGAACTGCAGGCATCGTTGAGTTCTAATATGCTGATCAAGGTCCTGACTTTCAATATCTGGGGCCTCTGGCTCGTGTCCAAGGAAAGATCACGTCGAGTTAGGCAAGCCATGCTTCTCCTCCCTGCAAGCCAGTCTTCCAGTAAAATCAAAAATGAACAATTCTTGATCCGTGCTCTGACAATTCGCATCCTCTCCAGGCTTATTGGGGAGCATCTACAGAAGGCTGATCTGGTGTAGTACTTCCTCAGGCACTGCAACATTTGCAGCAACTTGGCCAAAACATGGAGTGTAATTTTGGTTGGATGATTCTGTGCAGGACGTCGTGCTGCTGCAAGAAGTCTTTGTCAGGGATGACATCGAGACATTCACTACCCTGGCAGCGCAAGGCGGCCTGCAGCATGCGCAGTACTTTGACAGCGGTTATCTGGGCGGCGAGCTCCTCATCCTCTCCAGATTTCCCATCACCTACACCAGGTGCTGCAACCTACGCTGCCACATGCATGCATCCACCTCCCCTCCACTTGCCGGGATTGCCCAGTTTACAGCCTCAAGCATGTCCACTCCAAGGGTGTCTACCCTGCCCGCGACAACTCTGTGTACTTGGAATGCAGACAAGGGCTTGATTCACATTCCAAGACAGCTGTGGATGGCTGGTGACAGGTACCACCAATACACTGCGAGCGGGTCTCCTGTGAGCGTGTGGGAAGGGGACTTCTATGCAGGCAAAGGGGTTGCCATGGCCTGCCTGACCACGCCCTGTGGCCCGCTGCATGTCTACAACACCCACACCTGCGCCAACTACAACCATGCATTCCGACACAGTGACGTGGCAGGTGTGCTTTTAACCACCTCCTGATGCTGCTGTACCAGCCATGGACAAACCCTTTGATGTGATGTGAGTGCCTGCGCAGTTCTGGGATGCTTATCTTGTCAGGCTGCTGTGGACGGTTGATGCATGAGCGCCTCAAGGAAGCATGCAAGTTTAATGTGATGCTGTTGTGTGGCAGGAGGTCTTGAGCTGCCGTCAGATCACAACTTCCCAGTCAGGCTGGTGCAGTTTTTGGAGCTGGCCTACTTCATTGCCGCCCACAGCTCCAAGGTCTGTATATCTGTTCTGCTTTCTGAGAAATGCATGTTGCCCTTCCATGCATGGCACACATGAATTCAGCTACTGAGTAAATAAAGACATACTTGGAGATGAGTCTTTGCCAGTTTTGTCGTTGGCAACGGTCGTTTGTAAAGCCACGTTGCAACAACCCTTGTCAAATGCATGCGTGCAGGGAATTGCGCCAGTGATCCTGGGGGGCGATCTGAACTGCGGTCCAAATGACATGGAGGTTGTCATGCTGCGTTCCCTACTTCCTCAGCTGCAGGATTCATGGCCTGCCCTGCACCCTGACGACCCGGGCAACACATCCAACTATGACCTCCCAGGTTAGCACAGCACACCTGCACGCTGCAGGACTTTGGCTTCCAAACATCCAAAACAGATCCAAAATGGATTGATATCTCATGCCTTGGATACTGAAGAGGTTTGTACCAGATTCTCATGGCTTCAAATCTAGCCATTTAGGCATCCGAGCAGGGGCTGAATGGATTGACTCCTCATGCCTCTCAGAATTCACGCACAAGGATCAGAGGAAATGATGAAAGTTTCTTATTTTTTCATGCATCTCAGACTTGGCATATCAACGTCCGAACAGATGCTAAGGATTAGGATTTCTCATTCTACTAGCATGCAGAATTGCGTTCGTAAAATCTAAAGGGCTGCATTGGGGATGGCATGCTGCAGGTCATCTTAGGAAGGATCCGCCCAAGAGGATAGACTTCCTGATGAGCTCGCTTGAGCCTGTCTCGGCTGAGCTGGCGATGGGCAAAACAGCAGGTGGCATGCGCTACTCTGACCACCTAGGCGTGCAGACTGTCTTTGAATACAATGCCACCACTCAGCAGAAAAGGTACTTCTAGGCCCTCCCTGTGTCCACTGGGTGCCTGCAGGGAACACCCGGGGACTTGGCCTCCGCTCCAAGTAGAAAATATTTTGTGACTTGATCACGCCGTAGTTCGTAGAGTGTGCGGCACTCTACGTACAACTATTCAAATCTCACATATATGAATATGGAGAGCAATAATCCAGGTGTTGCTTGACATACCTAGTCCTTAAGGACTGGAAAACGTGTAATAATATTATAAAATTATAATATGTGAATGCACGTCCACTTCCAGGGCAGTGGCAGAGCAGTTGTGCCCCTGAAAGCTGGAAAGCGCAGTATGCTCTGCAAATTCTCTCAGGTATTGTGTCCTAATGTGGTGCCTCTGGGTGAGATCTTGCTTTCTGGTGCTCTTTGTGTGACAGGTTTGATGTCGACCCGGGATTGACAGACCGCATTGCTTCACACAGTCCACTCTTCAAGCTGGCACAAGAGAAGCTCTCCCAAGGTGAGCATCCTGCTGAGCCCTTCAATTAATTGCCCTGAACTTTATTGCGGCTATTTTGGAGACGTGCCATAACGTGCTCCATTCTCTGCTGACTTGCCAATGCTGACATGCAGGCGACCAAGGCCTTGTGGCAGCAGCGCGCATCTGCACCTGCATTGCAGCGGTGTGCTGTGCACCCCTGCTGCTTGCATGCCTCACAGTGGGAATATGGCTGGCAGCGGCAGATGAGAGCGTTGCAGGGGAGATAACGCTGATGTGCGTGGCTGTGTGTGCTGCACTGGTTCTGCCATTTATCCTGGCAGTCAGTGTGGCTTTCCAGGGGGCTGCGTCAGCGATGCGCATGCATGCCAATGGGATCCAAGTGACCTTGAAGGCCGTGGGGTCATGCTTGGCATCTTCATGATATCTGGAATAACTGAAGCCAACCGGCAATTGCCGAATGTCTTGAAAAACTGTTGAATGAAGGAATATTGGATATTGAAATCTGTGACCTAGCTCACAAGAAGAAGCATGTACATCTTGGGAGCTAAATTGCGCCTAATTATAGGCCTTAATGCGATTATATTTGCAAGTTGCTGCACGATTGCCTTGAAAGTAAACCCATATGGAGGAGTGCCAGACAAATCACCAGCATTGCAGATTACATTCTTTTGCCTTTGCCACATCTGTGCACTGACGACGTCCATCTCAACATGGGCAATTTGTCGACACATGTAAAGCATTGCATGTCAAGCGTGAAGCAGACGCAGACGCAGACCAGTTTGAGCAAAAAACTTTGAAGAGGTCATGTATTCAAATTCTATACTCAATCAGGGCCACACAGCTATCATGTACAAGCAGGCAGTGATGCTCAGGCATCTGCTGTGAGGAAGTCCGAGGGCAGCTCAATCTTCTGGCCCATCTCAAACTTGGGCAGGCCCCGGTAGGGGCAGCTTGCGCAGCGGAATGCGTCTCCCATGCCACACTGCACAAGCCACAACGACACTTAGACGCAGTTCCCCTCAGGCTCACAGATCCCGATATACTAGGCAGAATTGGCTCCATGCACGCAACTAAATCAAACCCACCGAGCCGCTCCACCACACGATCACACAATCCGGCCCAAAGGCACTCTATCGACGCACACCCCCTGCAATGTCCGTGAGTCATGCTAAAAAAAGCCCCAGTATGTGCTGCTGTGTCTCATTCCACCAAATTTCTTGAGAACGCATAACAAGCACTGCGGGAGTTTCAGTGGCCTAGTGCTGAGCACAGGAAACATAAGAGCAAAGGGGTTCAGAGATGTGACTCACGCTGCCGCAGGCCGACTGTGGGTTCTTGAGCATGTCGGCTGTGAGCTCGGCCTTGATGCCGGCAGCCTCGGCCTCGGCGCGGCCGCAACTGCAGTCCGCGCACGCCTTCTTACTAGCGCCCGCCTCGCAATCCCCCACCGCTGCATCACAAGCATCCTAGCATGACTTCACGTGCACAAGAATGCTGCGATCTCTCCGACTTTAAAAGCACGAGCAAAAAAGGAGGAAGCCTCTGTCTTGTACGCCAGAAGCTCGTGCTTAAAACAATGTGTTGTTGACGACGGCGACACTTGCTTACTTGCCACACTTCAGCTGCAGCGCCATTGCAGAACAAGAAATGGAAGCACCAGCCCCAAATCAAGTGGAAAATCGTCACGAGGTAACACCAAAGCAACTTAATTTCAATTTTCCCAGACCAATCCAAACTTCAGAAGTGCATCAAAGAAGGAAAAAAGCTCTCACCAGGGACCTCCGGCCTCTTCAGGTCCTCTTCTGTGAGCAGCTCATCATCGTCTAGCAACTCTTCTTCCTCCTCATCGGCTGCCAGGCTCCAAACTGCGCGCTTGGGCGGCTGCTGCGCTGCAGGCGCCGGTGCAGGAGCTGCTGCGGCCCTGAGCTTGCTGCTGCGCGGCAGCGCTGTGCTGGCGCCCGTCTCCCAGTCTGGCTTGCGCGCTGTGCACTGCAAGTAGAATACAACAATGAGTTCATCGTTAAAAATAACCATTTTACCTTTCCGCTTGCTGATCAAGTATTTTGAGGTGAGACAGCACCTTCTGACCACACTGCAACACACTATTTAACAGCTCTGTGAGCTGGGGCAGAGATGGAGATGTCAGAACACTAGAGAGTAACTCCTGCAAGCAGAACATGGTAAGTTGGAACAGGTGTGGTGAAGGCTCACCGCGCAGAGCTCTCCCTGGCCAGACAGAGTGGCTTCGCTATCTGCTATGTCTGTGAATCCCGCCAGCAGGAGGTTCTTGTTCAGGCTAGCAGCACCCTGCACAAAATGGACAACGAAATTAACTGTCAAAATATGAGAAAAGTTGGCAACAGAGGTCCCCAGAAGCCATTTGGGCTCATCGCCCTGAGAAACAACCTCACGTAAAGGATCCTTCAGTCACACACCTTCGGTTCTTGTAGCCTCAGGGAGCCACCAGGTCGCAGTGCCGTCAAGAGAAGACCAAGTAGCGCGATGCTATGGTGGCCTGAAGCCTGTGAGAGGGACACTACTGTGTTGAAGACGCCCTGTGCTAAGGCTGACTTGCTGAGGCTGCCAGAGGCAGTGATCACAGACACCGCATCCAGCGACAGATCAAGGGAAATCAATATCTGCTGCACATCAGTGCCATTGAACACGGGTCTGTCTGTAACGACCAAAGCGCGCTCTGGGATGGACTTCATCTGTGTAATGTTTCCACACACCGACAGGTGCGGCGTCGAGAAAGCAGAGGATGGTTAATGATGTGTACTTCGTAAAATGTATACCCAGCAATGGCCAGTGGATCCTCTTGTATTGTGAAGCAAAGGGAGCTTCTGGAGTGCCAGGAGGACAGAGGGTTTGGTAGGGTTCTTCGTCATCAGTTTCTATCCAATCTCAGATTTGACCAGCTCGATCGAACAAACACGACCCTTGTAAATTGTTTTTCTAGTCCTCCTTGCTGACTGCACGTGTGTCCATCAATAAGTCCAGTACAACACGACCTTGAGATCTGCCTTACAGCAAATTCTGCATAGTCGCCCGTCCTTGACACAATGATCCTGGTTGAGCAGCATCAGTGCTATGGGATATATTCATCGTCTTGCCTACTTTTGAGGTGGAGACAGGCAGGCAATTTCGCAGCATCGAGGCCATGCTGTCGACGAGAGTTGGCGGTGGTGACCTGCCAGAAGAAGGGATTTGGTACACCTGCAAAAAATGCCAACAAGGTACACAATCGACCAAGAGGTTTCACGCAGCAGGGTGCACGGAGTTCTGCATGCATGCACCTCTTCAGCATCCTGGCGACTTTCAACCTGACCACCTGAGGGCCTCTTTTGTGGTGAATGCAGCCAAAGAAGGCGGTTGTCCAGCAGGAGACGGCTTCAAGGCAGCCGCTACAGGTCGATGCAGTGTGGGAAGAGCAGCCATCTGCAAGCACTTCTGACGAGGAAGTGCCAGAAGAGATCTCTGCGCGCATCCTGCGCCGCATCATCATATTCTCTGGCATTCCCACCTTCACAGGCTTCCTCAGCCTGCCTTTGTTCTACTACCTGAAGGTGTTGGAGGCCCTGCGATTTCCTGCCATTGGTCAGCTTCCCCTGCAGCCTTAGTTATGGGGATATCTGCATGCATGGCTCGCCGGCATGTCCAAGATGCCAGGGCTCCAGTCTCAACCACGCAAGGGTACCATCACAGCATTCAGCAAGCTACTGTAAATTTACATACCGTAGCTAGAGCTGGTTGGTGATCTGCAAAGCTTACGATGACCTGCTGCCTGTAGATGTCCTGCTGCAGACGACTCATATTTTTGTGCCAGTGGATGGTTCATAATTCCAGCTTTTGAGGGGTGCATTCTGGTGCAGGTGGTACAGCATTGGGATATACCAACATATGCAGTGTATCTGGCCTCATTCTGCACATTTGGGGTGGGCATCCTGGGTATTTCTTATGGAGCCATCTCCTCCAGCTGGTCAGCAGCAGAAGGCAGCAAATTGGGCATAGAGCAATTCAAACAGAATCTGCCGATTGCCATGGATCGATTGCGGGGGAGATGACATTGCTGTGCACGTCATGCATGCAGCTTGCACGCGCGTCATTGTTCACGTGTCTACTGGGTGCTGGTTGATAAATGACCGCAATTGTGACAAAACTTTGAAAGTTTGCAAAGGACCGGCTGCAAAGGACCGAAAGCGACCAAGGACTAAATTACACTTCAAAGCCACTGCCCTGTAAAACGGTGAAAACCAGGTGTCCTTCCATGTAATGTGCTTTTTCCCCGCCTTGTTCTGAGAGTCTCCAACTTGGACACTCCATCTCTGGAATGCTGGAGTGGTATTGCTTGCTGTAGCCACTTCTGAATAACATATTACCTATATACTTTAGTAGGTACTCGGTCATGCGCGCAAGCAGCAAAACGAGCTTCGTTGCTGACTACTATGCTACTGGAGAGCACATTCCATGATCAAGTGTAAGAATCCTGTCAGGAGTTGGTACCATACACAACTTGTATACAGTACGTACTGCGCATGAATATCAATGCATTAATGAACAGCCACTGCCGCTGACCTCCTCAAGCCCAAGAGTTTCGCTCACCAAGAAAGAAATGTTGCCCCATTGTACCCTGACACTCGATTTTCCCAGTCTGTCCCAAGCAGTCAGGGCATTCACCACAGCTATAAATATGCGTCAGCTCAAATACTTTCATAACTGTGGCACCACCGGCACTGGCCATTGCGTCGACAGCAAGCCACCCAAAGAACCCATTGTAACCCTTGCATACTTCCTTGCCATGAGCAAGCATTGCCTGAGTAAAGTTCTTGATAGCCGACGTAGTAGATGCCGGTGACTCCCCACGGAAACAGTACAGCTTAGCCCACTCCATGGTCTTGGCAGTGGCTGCAGCATTCTCAAATGACAGACCTAACCATCTGGACCCAGGGTTGGCCATCCCCTCCGGATTCCGGAGGGGATAGGCTTCAAATTTCGGGTGTCAGGGATTTTTCCGGGGACTACCGGAAAAATTTGGAGCGAAGCGACAAATTTTCCGGAACGTGCCCCGAAGTGATCTCGACCTAAAGTCGGGATAGCCCCGACAAACATCGGGCAATGAGGGGCCAATCTCAGGGGTGTGCGTCATTTTGCAGGATACATCAGGCACGAGTGCAGCTTATTGCAGGGAGTATCCCTAGATGCAGGCCTGACGTTCTTTGCAAATTGGGCTTATGTAAGAATTAGCAAAAATTGACTAAGTTCCCCATCCACAAAATCTGAGGGAAGCATGCGAATGACTTCAGATGTTTAGGATGATGAGGTATCCTCAGATGTTGACCAAGCTGAGGAATTTTTGAGGTAGTGCTAGGTGAGGTGCCCAGTGTCCCAGAAGATGAGGCTTTCCTCAGAGAATGGGCAGAGTAGACAGGAGCTTCACTTGTAAGTAATGAACAGTGAAAAGAACTGACACAACCAAAATTTTGCAGCCCCGAGACAATTTCCTGGACTCTCAGGGCAGCCCCGAGACAAATGCAGGCGACTTTGAAAAATCTCGGGGCGCAGCCCCGAGATTTTTCAGCAAGAGTCCAGGCCCCCCCAACCAATTTTCAATGACCTGGCCATCCCTGTCTGGACCACACATTGAGCTTGCGCAATGCCAGATGGCTTGGAATGGTGACATGGAGGTTCATGGAACCTGAGGACAAGGCCCCCAATTGTGCAAAGATTGGACCCAGGAAAGATACAGGAGTCCCAGAATTGCCCACATTGCTCCCTCTGAATTGCAGTGAGGTGCAGCTTTTGGCGCACATGAGATTCTCCAGCCACTGCAAATTGCAGTGCCGCGAACACGGCATTGTCCGACAACACGCCCCCAAGTTTTAAAGCTTTCTGATCGCCACCACGTTATTCCACTGACATGCAGATCACAGCTTGGAGGCAGCGAAATGGCTACAAACTGCACATACACTAGGCTGACTCTCACCAAACTTGGCATGTGTGTTGCATCAAAGCATGCATGCGGCTTCAGAGAATTTTCTGGAGGCGTGTTCCTTGCCAGCCGCAAGGTGCGCAGGTTCTGCATATGGGTGATGCTGTGCAGCTGCGCGTCACAGAGCTTCTCCTCCGATGTGATGATCAGATGGTGCAAAAAAAGCAGCGGTGGCAGTGTCAGCTGGCCTGACATCGTATACAGATTCACAAACCTCAATCTGCTGCACTGCATGACTATGCCGAACAGTTCATCAATGCTGGGCTCTGGCAGCTCCGCTCACGATGCAAGAGTGATGCTTTGCGCCTCTCGTGAAGCGCTCATTCCCTTTGCAGATAGTTTCTGCACCCAAGCTTGCAATTGCTCTGGATCACTTGGCCATAGCACCAGCTTTACCATTTCTGCATTGCCCCAACGCCACAAGTCCCACTGAAATTGGTTGAAAGCTTCGATGGTAAAGTCCATTTTTTGAGGCAGCATCTTGCTGAATGCTCGGCACGTGCAGGCTGCTTGGGCAAGCTCGTTCGTGTCAAGGTGCCCCAGAGCTCGGAAGGCAAGTCACGACTCCCCTTGGCCATTCTAGCACTGTTGGAAAGATAAATGTGATCTTTAGGGCATCATGGCGTTAAACAGCCCAAGCAAGCAAATGCAGACTCTTGCAGAAATAATATTAATAGACAGGATGAAAGCAGCGCACAACCTTGGAGTGGCCGTCGTTTCGCGCACGTATCCTCTTGGAGCGGACATCGCCGTTCTATGTGACATTAACCAGGAACTTTCACCGAGTATGAGCGGAAAAGACGCGCTGCTGCCAATAATGAGAATGTTGCTGCAGGTTCGATATACTACCTCCCTAGGTCTGCTAATTTGTGGGGTCTTCAGACCCTTGATTTAGGGTTTTGATTGAGATAGCCAAGACCAGGAAACTCTTATGCTGCTTGGGTACAAAGGATCCTACGCCCCTCTCAAAACACTGTGTCAACTCGAGACGTACTTGTACCGTCCCGCACCAGGAAGACAGGTGAGGGAACAGCAGTCAGCTTGCAAGATCTTTTCTACAATGGGCCTCCTCGAGAGTGCTTAAGTACCCTGTACGTCTGAGTGCCAAGGCCTATTGGCAGTCATCACATAACTTTATCAGAAAGACTGCGAGATGTAGGGGACAGAAATCTGCAGTGTGAGCAGCACAGTCACGCGACTGCAGAACAGCCAGCTTGTTTCCTAGGATCCAAGTCTCCTGAACCTTGACATTGTACATTCAAAAAGACGATGTGTCAGGCAGCTGGAGCTCCGTGAGTCTGTGCTCGACGACATTTTCCAGAAGGAGAGTTGATCACATCCATACCTGGGGTTAGGCAGATGAGAGGAGGCAAAAGGCGACGTTCGCCTCCGCCGCCTGGAAGAAGAGGCGAAGACAGGCGCATGGGTGGGGGAGCGCCCTATCCGCCCCAGGGCTATCGGGATCGGAGACCAAGGAGCACCTCTCCAGAGCCACGCTATCGCAGATCTCCGCCGCCCTACAACAAGCGCTATCGCCGTGAGGACGATGCATACGATCGCTTGTAAGGCTTCTAATGTGCATCTTTTGGTCAGGGTCATGGCAGCATGTGTGACTGTATTGTTGGATACTCACCCATTGATTAGCATGCCAGAATATAACTTTTTTGTTAGCATTATGCATGCGCATGTATCATGTTAAGGGCAATTTGCGGCAGTGGTAGAAAATTGCTACTAACATTGCAACCATGCTGCTGGTTTTAACGGGCTTGGATAAATGTGCATGTGCAGCCCCCCTGGTGCCAGAGGCCCAGACCAGTTCAGCGACAGGCGGGGCCCATACCGGGAGCGCTTTGAGGAGGAGCCTTACGGCGGGCGGCCACCCTACGGCCGCAGATTCCCCTCCCCACCACCGGCAAAGACGTGCGCACCAACCTTCACATGCATCCCCAGCCTGATTTCAGTATTTGCCTTTCATCAAGTCCCAGGCTAGCATGCACACGGATACACACCTTGTTCACATGAGGCCTTGCTGAATGTCCCCTTCAAATTAGGAGATATTTATGTAAGGTGACAAGAACAGGAATTTTTCTTATTCCTGCTAAACTTGACATGAAGAAAGGTTTGAGTTGACTTGAAAAAGGGTTTTGTGCTGGCAGGGGCCCGATGTCATACAAGGAGTTCATGATGCGGCTGTCGGATGATGTGACGCCGGAGGACGCTCAGGTGGAGTACCAGAAGTACTTGGCACAGTACTGGGGCTCCGAGACGCGCGCCGAGTTCCAGCAGAAGCAGAACCTGGACTGGTGCGCCGCCCGGCCTTAGTTCACCTGTTGTCAGCTAGCTGACTCAAGATCTGGTGACAGGCATGGGCCCAGTTGTTTGCCTTTTAAAATTCGTATTTCTTTAGGCCAGATGCTGCTGTAACATAAAGCTTGGTCAGATGTCGGCTGATTCAAACTTGGTCTCATCACAGTAGAATGCTCTGCTATTCTGTAAAGTGAGGGTTGTAGATCTTGTCAACTTCTCCAATTCCAGGGTCGCTACTCCCAGAGCAGCTCGACTACAGGAGTGTCTGCATCTGATGATGTGCATTGCATGTGGCAGGATGCGTAAGAAGTACGACCCCCGGCAGCTGATGGTGGCGCTAGAGCAGCGCAACACCGATGCGCAGGCGGCCGCCGAGGCCTTTGGAGAGGCCCTGGCTGAGGGCAAGCTGGACCCTGCCTCGCCCTCCTTCCACCAGGGGACAGGGGAAGGGGCAGCTGCCGATGTGCAGAAGTGAGCGAGAGCCTCCTGCTCCTCGTCTGCCATTGCCTTTTGTGGTACATGGGTAAAATGTGACATTCACAAGTGTCATGGGAGCTTGAGTGTGGGCTGGAAATGCGGAGGGAGGGGAGGGGATCCGAGAGGGGAGGTGATAACTGCACACAGTGCTGGCACGGGATGGCCGAATATTTAGCTGTGTCTGTCTCTGTGCAGCGGCCATGCGGACGGCTCTGCTGAGAAGGAGAGCGCTGCTGATGGGGCCAAAGAGGGAGATGACAAAGAACTGGACGCAGAGACGAGCTCGGTGTGTAGCACACCATTCAAGCTTTGCCATGTCCATTCCATGAGGCAGCTGACACCCCAATCCAATGAGGAGTGTCCACATGGACAGATCTGCACTTGAAGGAGGTTGAATTACTTCTGTAAAATTGTGCGCAGTCAGCGGTGCCTGGGGCCGGTTGGAAGGCTGCCAGGGTGGAGGCTGATCTGGCGCTCAGCAAGGAGCTCATGCTGAAGCTGGACGCAGAGAAGGGCATCGAGAGCAACCCCCTGGAGGCCCAGGCTACCGCCGCAGAGCCTGCCAAAGGTGACGCCCTAATTCAGTAATACATTAAAAATTGTTGCCAGACCTTCGTGCATGTGACTCCAGTAACATGCGCGTGGTGTCCGAGGGTATTTATGTCTTTCTCTTTTCTCATTCCGGCAAAATTTTGCGCGAGCACGTTTGAAGCCAACAGAAGGCGTTGACCTCACGTAAGTGCGGGTTTTTGCCGGAGTGAGAGAAAGTACCAAGGTTCATGCATCATGCGTGGCACAGAGCTCACCATTATGCTGACTTAAGGAGAGTTGTGTGGTGTGCAGAGGGCGAGGTGGGTGAGGAGGCTGCCACAAAGGGATATGAGGAGCAGGTGGGGCAGCTGGACCTGCAGCTGACGTACCTGTGGCGGGTGCACAGCCTTGATTACTACGGCGGCGCTGAGCTGCAGGACCCCGCTGATGTCAGCGCTGCCAAGCGCACTCTTCGAGGGCCCCGCCCCGAGGAGGGCGAGCAGCCTGACGAGGCTGAAGGTGGGGCCCCACAAGCGTGCAGTGTACCTGCATGCGTATACTATATAGTAAGACACAGAGCGCTCAAATTGCTCTGACCGAGGGATTCCATTCTTCGGTGTGGGGCTAGTTTTGGACCTGTCATGACGGTCTTTGGAGAGAATTGCCAATTCACACGCGCAGGCATGTCCCTAAGGAGAAGTTTTGTAAGCAATGTGCTCAACTTATACACGGGAAGGGCATCAAGGGAGTACAGCATCTGTGTTGGGAGGCGTCAGAGCAGTAAGAACATGGCTGGCACATGCAGAGGGCAAGGAGCTCAAGGCGCTGGAAGAGCAGGTGGATGCTGTGTGGAAGAAGCGGCTGACAGCAGGGGATCCTGTGGAGGCCTACCTGCAGAGAGACAAGGTGAGAAATCTGGTTCCTTCCTGTGTTGAAAATTCATTGCAGAAGAATGCATACATGGGGATCAGTCTAGATCGCAGGACATCCCCTCACATGACCAAAAGGCAGGATGCTTTGGGAGGTTGTAGAGCTGAGGAGAGTTGTCATAGTGGGTTCAAGGCACGGCAACGTTGCCCTGGCACCTGCAGCCGAAAAGATCCAGCGCTCTGATGCTGATTGTGCAACCAAATGGATGTTGTTTGCAGGTGCAGAAGCTGGTGGAGGAGTGGGTTGAGGACCAGGTTCTGCAGATCGAGGAAAACAAGTGCGTCCCCTCAATCATGAGTTCATGCGTGTTTGGTTCTGCATTAATTGCCCTTTATATGTGATGAAATCGCCGTTGCCTCCGTTGCGAGTATACTGGCCAGGTTCTTTCAGCAAGGGGACAGCATGGCAAATGAACAGATGAGCGGTCTTTGTCTACGCACTCATTTGCAAGCAATGCTTTGGGAAATTTAGAAGTATCCATGACAGAAATGAAGACATGAAGCCTGTACAAAGAGCAGACAGCTATTCTCAGAAGAGGCCAAGTCATACAGCTATGCAGCAGCAGCTGATATGACAGCGCTTTGAAAAGCCCAGTGTGCCTTCTCAGTCTCGAAAGCAATCTTTTTTATGCAAAGTATTAGAAGAGCATGTTGCAGTCTCATTGATTAAAGGCAGTCTCATTGCCATGACGCCAAACAGTGCCGTATAGTATGATACTAGCTGCTTCATCATCTTGATCTAACATCAGCTGCGTCTTAACTTGCCAAGCCAGTGTATTTTCGTTGCGTGGCTTCTTGCGTTTGGTGAGCAAGCACATACACAGAGAGCGCAAGTGATAGGCAGCCACCTGGGCAGTGTGATATCAGAGAGAGAGAGAGGCAGCGCCATGGAGTCAGTCAGCGGGGAAGATCTCAGAGTTGGAAGCAATGGGTCGGCAGAGCCTGTATGGAGGCTTGCCTGGTCTGAACTCCGCTGCATTCTCGGTGAACCTTGCTCCGTAGTGGACTGGCACAACGTGCTCTCCTGAACAATCTATGTGCTCATGAAGACATGTGCGCGCAGATATGGGTGCAAGCTGAGCCAGAAGCTGTTTGTGGGGAAGGAGTATGTGCTCAAGCATATCCGCCTGAAGCACACTGCCGTACTGGAAGCACACCGTGAGAAGGTACAAGTCACACCCAAATGTTTTCTCCTCCCCCTCCATGCAGGCTCCTTTGTTGGCTGCCACTAGCCTGGGCGCTCAATCTTGCGCCTGTGTACATGCACTTGTGAGGTGCTTGGGACGTTGTGCTGGGCAAGATATGAGAAAAGGGCGCAGTTTCTCTTAAAGAAGTGTTTACGTCGAGGAACTATAGTGCTTGGAACCATGCAGAAGCAGAAATGTTAGATTGTTGCAGCGCAGTCTTGTAGCAGTTCCCTGAGTTGCTGCACAGGGGAAGAATATGACTAAAATGCACTGCTGACCTGGCGTGATTGCTGACCTGGCGTGTGGATTGGCGCAGATCTACGACCAGATCTACTACGAGAATTTCGAGAGCGACAAGAAGGAGCAGGAGGAGCGCGCCAGGGCCGAGGCAGAGCGCGCGCAGGCGGCCGCCTGGGCGGCCGGTGGGCCGCACTCCGGGCCGCCCGGCTTTGAGGGTGCGCAACGCCAGCATCTGCTGCTCACTCACCAGTTTTCCGCTTGCTGCATTGCTACTCTCTTCTTGCCGGACTCTGTTTTGCACACTGCTGCGCGTGGGCCGTGTCTGCGCAGCTGCTCGCTCGCCCCGTTTCTGCCTGCTGCACTGTTTCCCTCTTCTTGCTCGGGTACTTGACTTCTCATGTGATGCCACCGCATCGAAAGGCCAAGAGATCCTGCAGAGAGATGGTGGCAATGGGATTGTGGGGCTCCCTTCTTGCCTGGAGATTGTCTCTGGGGCAGTTCAGAGGTTGCCTGATGCTAGAATGTGCCCTGAAACCTGGAGGCAATTCTGTCAGCTGTGCCCTCAGCAGTGCAGCAGAACATCCAAGCGCACACAGAAATCCGTCTGCAAGACCATCCTCTGCATCAGGAGCTCTTCTGCCTGCTGTGATACCATCTTTACGTGTTTGGGGGTGTACAGGCGCAGGCTGGGAGGGTGAGGAAGGATTTGGAGGCTGGGGGGGCCGCGGGGGACCGATGGGCCGCGGTGGGAGGGGGGCCCCGGGGCTGCCATTCCCTCCCAACGGCAACGGCTTTGCCAGCCCCGACATGATGGGCGCCCCCGTCATGGGGGGCCCCGCCATCGGGCCTGGCCAGATGCTGGTGCTTGCTCCAGGTGCGACAGCCGCCTCCTGTCACACGTGCCCTTATCAGAATGGTAGTATTTATCATTGCAGCGTGATGCTGCACACCCTTGTGTGTTTCAGGATATGCTGTATGGCTCAATATGGGATGCATGTGCCATGTGGAAGCTAGTGAAGTTGGACATTTCTGTTTCATTGGCACTCTTCATGTAGAGGCACCTTGCAAACCTTGACACAGACGAGAATGCTTGCAGATAAGCTGTTACAACAGATGCCCCACAGCCAGGAGGAAATTGAGGAACAAATAAAATTTGAATGCCTGCCTGTCGCTGCCGCAGGTGCTGGGCCTCTGGGGCCGTTCATCACAGTGCCGATTCCAGAGGGGGGCGGCCCCGTGGCGATGGGGGGACCCTCCATGGGACCCCCCAGCGGTGGCGGCAGGGGCCCCGGCCGCGGTGGCAGGGGGCCCCCGCGGGGGGGACCCATGATGCGCGGTCGCGGCTACGGTGGCGGGCCGTCGGGTTACGGGGGCCCCATGGGGGGACCCCCACAGCGGGGCTACTATGACTTGGATGCCCCTGAGAACCAGCGGTCTGTACTGGACTATGGTGACCTCTAGGCATGCAAGAGAGCGTTGACTTGGACTTTTGCTACCATTGCATTTGATTTGCATACGTGCTGATGTGACTGCACAGCCAACATGGAAGGGCAGGAAGCCGCCAATGGTTAATTTTGTCATTGGATGCTTCCTTGGATCCGGGTGGGGATATACCCTTTGATGTGAGAACATTTTGTCTTGAAGGGCATGGAGCCTAGTTTTCTTTCCATCAGCAGAATTCACTGTGCTGTATGGATAAATTGGTGGACCCTGATGTTGTGTTGGCCTAATCTGACAGTAGCCCGGAGGGCATGTTTCTAGCACCTTTGTCACTCACTTGTGCAATTGCAAAAATATTACACACCTTTGCACCAGAGCCTTGTTCTGGAGAAAGGACATTGCAAATGACTTTCGTGGTCGCAAATTTGATCACCAAACCCATATATATGTACTGACACCCAGAAAACTTTGCAGCAAGCAAAACTCAGGGCAGTGTTGTCCAGTACTTTTCATACCGCTCGTTTTTCCCCCAGAAAAACAATGCACCGCCTCTGCAGCTGCAGCTGTGTAAGCACATGAACAATTCAGAAAGCTCGACCCAAAACCATGTCAGGAAAAGCAACTGCCACCAGGGCAACCTTAAACACCGCAGAACGCCTCAGACAACCACAAGAACCACATATCCGTCACAGGAAGAAAGACAGGAAATGGCTCTTGCTGCGACTGCGCCGCCGCCGGCCCATCTGCGAGCAGCAGGTCTTGTCCTCGTGCTCATGGATACACCTGGCCTGGTCCGGCTTGATGTAGTGTGAGACCACATCAGTCGGGTTGCAGCCCATGAAGTTGAACCCGGTGTGGCTGACATACTGCACAGCCCAGCCCTTCTCCTTTGCAATGTACTCTATCCAGGACCCCATCGCCACATCCTCCAGCTTGAATATGCGGTGGTTGTTTGTCTTCAGCGCAGCCCCCGAAGCCACCTCCCTCACCAGATCCTGCCAAACAACCAAGCAGTGCTTCTTCAGGACGTCCCAATATGAGGAGATTCGTGGCCTGGAGGGGCTCGATGGAAGATGAAACATACTGAGGGCAGCGGCACTTCGGACAGCTGTACATTATCCCAGTCACATTCAAATATGCTTCAGGATGCTTACAGGTGCACAATGCAGGATGTGAAGTAACCTGACTTGCTGAATTTCATCTCTTCTACATCAAAAGGAACCCTGCATAATTGCAAACGCCTCGACACACAACATATGGGGGTCATCATATGCTGCAAGGCATGTCTCGCATCTTGCAGGTTTCTCAAGAAGCTGGGATAAGAAGCGATCACTGGCATCGAACGGCTGCAACACACCTTGGACAGCACGTAGCCGGCCCCATGCGCCCAGTAGGGGTAGGACTCTGTGGGCCACTCCTCCTTGGTCACATACCACTGGCTGGAGGGCTCCCTGTGGGGACCCCCAGACTCGCGGTCTATGTGCCCCATGAACAGCCGCCTCCGAGGCACCCTCGCCATCACTGCCATCAGCGTGTCCACATGCACATAGCTGTCATCGTCCACCTGCAAAACATGTCAAAGATTTGGGTACAGTTTTGGGGACCACCTCCTTGTTTTACTGCACGGCACCTTGGCATCTCATCCCACGCATTCACTGTCTGGCACAGATATGTTTGGACTTGGGTGCTCCACCCCTGGTCCTCATTTGTAATATTTTCTATCTGGGGGGGAGGGCATATTAGAAGGGCATTTTTCAGAAGGAGAACATGAAGGGGGGACTGCTGGCATTGACAAACATGCAATTCAGGGTAAGGGCACAAGGAATCCAATGCATCTTAAACATCAATCAAAGCCTCAGATTCAATCTGACAGCTACAATGGTAGCGCTTGTCAGGGTGTGCCCATGGCCTGTGCTTGTGTGCCATCTACACCCCTTTTGCACCGGTGTTGCTTCAAAGATAGACCAGCCCAGGGACAAGGGGAACAATGAAACAAGTGGCGCCCGCAGCGGCCGCGAGGCCAGTCGACCTGATGGGTTTGTTGCTGATCACAGAGGGATTGCCTGATCGTGGTCGGAATAGGAACTCCCCAGTATTATTTACCCCTGGTTTCATTCATCACCCTACCTCTCAGGGGCGTTGATCACATATATTCCACCACGCCAAGTGATCACAAAGGCAAACCGACTTAAAGTTTATTGGCCAAAACGTGAGTTTTGTACACAGACACCTTGAGTGCGTGCGTGGCCAAAGGGTCCATGGAGGCGGCTCGCAGGATCTCCAGCGTCTGGTGGGTGATGTTGTCGTAGTGCTCAAAGATCTGCGGCAGCACCACGATGTCCCCCTTCTGCGCAGCCTCCCTCCTCAGCTCGTCAAACACCGCCTCGTCCACCGGCTTGGCCGAAAAGAACATCACCCTGCGCCACAAAACATTCTCCCTCAAGGCCAGTCAGGGGTCCACCGCCCTTGCACCAGCCAAGATCTGGACCCTCATCAAGACTGGGCCATGGATATTCCATGAAAACAGGCTATTTCAGTTTCTGCAGCAAAAAGCTCTTGGTGGCACTTAGCCAGCAGCATAACGGAATTCACATTACGGTGTACCTGGCTAGCGGCTTGTCACTGTCTCATTGAACAAGCATGCACGGCCCCAGAGCAGGAAGCCAGGCTGTTATTGAGCCACATGGAAAGTACATAGCTAGCTTGTTCTCTTGATTTTGTCCGTCCATCATGTCATGATGGTTGGTTGGTTGGCATGGCAGCGCACCGGTGCAGGCGCCGATCAGACCCCCAAGATGCCCTGATGGCGGCCCTCCTATCGGCATTCTTGCCCGCCGTCAGCACGCCCACAAACAGCTTCACCGGCCCTGCCGCCGCCGATGAGGCGCTACCGCCCAGACTCCCAAATGTTGAGTATGTTGGCTCCCCCTGCAGCCCATCATCCCCTTCTGTGCTCGCCTCGAGCCCCTCTGCGCCGGATACACTCTCCGCCTCTGCCACCCCGTCTACCGAGGTGTCCCCTCTCTCGGGCGCCTTGGCAATGTCCGCCCAGCTGCCGGGCGCGACTTTCCGCCCCGGCTTCACGGCAACTGCCACGGAGCTGCCGGGTGCTTCTCCGTCAGCGCCGGCCGGTGACTGATTGAAGATCTGCTGCTCCACGATTGCATGGTGCGCGCTTATGCACTGGTGCTGCACATGCTCCAGCTGGGCCTTTGCCTGCCGAGGGACTCCCAGCCGGCAGTGGCAGCGGCGAGCCGCCAACACCGACGCAAGAGAGCAGCACTTCTGCTGCAGATCGCTGCTGCTGCAGCTACCCAGCGCCTTTGTGAGCTGCATTGCACACATTCCCTCCTTCTTATCAAACGTCAATCAAGGTGCCATGATACTGCATTGATGGGTATTGATGGATGTCTTTACGGACATCCATGTGCATACAGGTGAGATTGTGGAGATGAACGGCATGAAGAATGAGTGAGAGGCTGTGCAAACCTTGTCACAGGTGCCATCATCGTCGGGCTCGAACAGCCAACACCGCGGCAGCTGCGAGTGTTGCTGGCCGTTCAGGAACATGTACACTGCGATCAAAAGGAATGATGCCAGCCCAAAACCAATCACGCTGTACATGGCAGCCCTTGACTTCAGGCATCCTCCTGCTGAAGACCGCATAGGAGCGGTAGGTTCCCGATCCCAAGATCAAGAAGCCATATCTTTATCGATAATCGGCTTGTGCGATGTCGCACCGCGAAAATGCATACTATAATCGATACAGCACCGCCATCTTAGTGTCTTGATAAAGAGGGAATAGCGATCAAAACGAAAAGCTAAATCCCAGAAATTCCAGCGAAGTTGAGCCCGGTAAACACAAAAATTTCAATATATAGCCACTGTCCTGCCTAGCGATCGCTGTCGAGCAAATTCCACTTTCCGATGATCATCGGTCGACCGAACCACTCAACTCGATAACATGCCTCAGCACCACTTCCTGGATGATACCAGCATTTTCCTGATACGTTTGTAACCTAAGTCACAGCCACACGGCCTGTGTATGCCCACTGTGGGTCTGATGTCCCGAGCAAGAACAGCATGCGGGCATGTGACACTTGCCACATCAGCATCTTCCTCTAAGGTGCAAGATTTGCAGAATGCGACGATATTGTGCTCGATGGAACATGAGCTTGTTGAAAAGGTGGTATTATGTGTGAGAACTATGTTGATAGAGGACAGAATTAGGGGCTACTTGTGTAGAAAAAGGTTTTCATATGTAATGCTGTCTGCAACTTAGCTGGAAAACAAGTTCAAACAGAGCACATACAGTGCTTACCAAAAGGACAATGCATGCTTACCGGATGACGCAGTGTCTGAGAGCGGCATGTCGGCGAAGCCAAGCTCGCAGCCCCCTCCAGGCAGAACAAAGCAAACCAGCCTCTACATTTCAGGCAAGGTTATAAATCCGGAATGTGTGCGTAAACATCTCAAACATTTGCTTACAATTCACGCCTGTGCAGGGCTCTAGGACGGCACCTGGGGTGGCCCAGAGAAGATCCAGAGGCCTCAGAGCTGCAGACACAGTTCATGAAGTCCTAAGGGGCCAGGAATCTTGTACAACGCTCGATCCTGAGCAAGCTAGTGCGTCAACATCGACAAGGGGCAGCACTGCAGCCTTCCTATCTAGGAAGGGTGTGCTGAACGCCGGGGGCCAGATCATGCTCAAAAGCCTCACATATGGCGAGCTAGAGCAGTGGTGCATGTCTGTAGGTATGCCGTGCTGCAAATACTGACCATCATGGCAAATACAAATCACATGCGTGCAATGGCAAAAAGTGCGTGCCCCCAAGACTGCAATGCATGCCCGCCAGCTTAATAAAGCTGCTGGTGCTGTTGTGCACCTAATGGGAGCTTTCAATGATGACAAGAAAGCATTGACACTGCTCAGGGGAGAGGCCACAGAGGGCGAGGCAGCTGTGGAGGTGGATGTACTATGATGGCAACTGGGTGCGTAGCTTGGATGACACCGCTGACATGCAGGACGGCCTGAGTGCCTCCTTCAGGTAGGGGTGTTTCTGCCTCTATTTACCTGTGAACAAAGCAAATACTGCAAAACTGGCCGGTCTGGCATCAATTCTCTTACAACTCCTTGGTGGTGTGTCAAATTGCAGTGTCTGTTGAATCCAGGGAGCAGTGGCGGGAGAAGATCACAGTGGACGGCGATTTGAGCCTTCGGAGTGTGCACACTGCGGCTGACGGCACACGTAAAATGGTATTCGACCTCCAGGTGCCCAATCCGCCCCTCCCTCATTTCCCACCTGTTCCTCAACACACACACACACACACATTCTCGACTGCTTGCATATTTCCCTGAGGCTCCTACGGGCTCGTCTAGCAGGGCAATGAGTTCATGTGACAGCACTTTAGACAACTTGTCCGCTTAAGCTGTCCTAAGCGCAAAAAAATTGTTGCTAAAGTGTTATGTGACTATATCATAGGACTCCACGGAGGCGGCAGGCGCGGGCGTGGAGGCGGTGATAATCCCGGTGGAGCGGCCGGGCGCGTCACGGCCGCGCACGACGCTGTGCGTGTCCTCACAGGTCGGCTGCGCGCAGAACTGCCAGTTCTGCTTCACCGGCCGCATGGGCCTCCGAGCGCAGCTGTCCGCCGCCCAGATTGTGGAACAGGTCTGCGGTGCTTTGCCATTTTTGTTTGCATGTCTGCCTTGCAGGTTTCATTTGCACTGACGGTAAATCTTAGTACTGTTTCCTCTCTGATGCACTTGCTCTAGGCAGGCTGTCTGCGGTCCATATAATTGTTGCCGCTCCTGATACTTCCTGCTTTCCATGCGTTGCATTATGCATATTGCTCAAATACGAGCCATCAACATGTGGTGTCTGGTGATGCACACAATGCCAGCAAGAAGATGAGGAGGACTTATTAGTGCAGATTTGGGCAGAGACGACTTGGATAAGGAATATGATGGGTGTTTGATTCCCTATTTGTGTGTACTATCAGGTGGTGGAGGCGCGCCGGCATGTTGCGGATCACAATCAGCGGGTGGCAGCGGGAGAATGCTCGGGCGCTGCGCCGATTGCACCCATCAGCAACATTGTTTTCATGGTAGGTGGTGCCTTCCCAAAGTTCTGATTGTTCCCTTTTTGGCTCGCAGTCTCTCATCTGTCCTGGCATGCAATGGGACAACGCTGCATTGGGATTGGCATTCTTCAGGCCCCTTGGATGACCTCTAGTCCTCAGACGACCTCTAAGTGGGGCAATTGGCCTTGGTCGTGAACCTCCTGAGCAGTTTCAACTGCTTGCTCTAAGGCCAAAACTCATCAAAATGCAGCTTGTGCAGCTCAGTTCTGGATGAGTAATTCTTCTGTCATGGTGATTTGCGCAGGGCATGGGAGAGCCGCTGCACAATGCAGAGGCGGTGATCACAGCGCTGGAGGTGCTCTGCCACCCGCAGGGCTTGCAATTCTCTCCCAACAAAGTGACTGTGTCCACGGTGGGCCTGGTGCCGCAGATGCGCCAGCTGGCGCTGACATCAGCGGTCCAGCTGGCAGTCTCCCTGCACGCCACCACCGACGAAGTGCGCAATTGGATCGTGCCCCTGAATCGCAGGTGAGCTCACTCCTAAATGCAGTGCATTTTGTGTTCCCAGGACCTGTCTACATACTGAATCTAAATGACCTCCATGTGCCTTGCATGCTTAACACTTCTCCCAGCCGTGTTGGGTAGCTCTGTGCCACTGTGCTATGCGAAGAAGCGAGCTCTACATTTCTGTTGGTTGAAGGCTTCTGTCTTTCATCATTACGCCTGGGTGCACTCAAAAGATCTTGATAATATTCCCAAGTAGTAAGGTGTCTCACCAACGACGTGAGCGCATGTGCAGATACCCGCTGGCGGTGCTGATGGGGGCGCTGGAGGAGCTGTATCCCAGGAACGCCGAGCTACGGCCACGGGCAGGGCGCCACGTCCTATTTGAGTATGTGATGCTGCGCGGGGTGAATGACACGCTCGAGGATGCAGAGCGCCTGGTCAGGCTCACGGCCGCCATCGAGTGCAAGGTCAACCTTATCCTGTTCAACCCCCACGCCGGCACGCCCTTCCGCGCATCCACACAGGAACAGGTGAGCAATACTGCTTTTCTTTTTATTATACCCTTTTCTTTACCTCTGAGCCTCTGGGACTCTGCCCATGAAACAGTGTATGCCGGTTGGTAAATTATTCATTTGCAGTAGACGTGGTCCTATGTGTGCCGAAAGGGCCTTGCCTTGGCAGGACATCACAGCCTTCAAGACTATGCGGATGACCTAGGAATATAGGTGTTTGCTGGGAATTGTGAAAGATATTTCTTGCGAAAGGATGGTCAGCTCAAGCGGGTCATTATTGCAACAGGTACTGGAATTCCAAGCGGTGCTCAAGGCGGCTGGGCTTGTGTGCACAGTGCGGGACAGCAGGGGTGATGATGAGATGGCTGCCTGTGGGCAGCTGGGCAATATTGATGAGCTGAATCGGCTCGCTCCCATGCTCAAGCCGCCCCAGCAGTTCAGAGACGCTCTTGTAGCTGCTTGATGTCATCCAAAAACGCTTTGATCTTTGGACACCTTTTGTGAGTCCAGTTTTGTGCGGACTAAAATTTTTAAATTAGGTTCTTCGGATGGCAGGAGTAAGGAGAAATGTCCGGTGTACTATTTGAAAGTTTAAAGCATGCCATGCATCAGATTTGATCAAGTTGTATTGCGCTATTGCTTGATTGTGATCCTTGTGCAGTGGAGACATTAATGTCGCTGTGGTGTACTTGGCATGCATGCTGCATCTTGCATGGAATCTACTACAGGACATCATGCATACAGTGGGGAGCGGAATCAAAGCTTTTCTTTACACAAGGAGTCAAGATTGTTGGCATTTCCTAGCTACTAGCTACTCTCACATCGTTTGCAGTCTTCTCCGCGACCCTCGGTCCCAACTTAGAAAGCATGCAACTAGCGTCATGCATCATGATGATGTAATCACTTGGCGCGATTCCATGACAGCTGGCTGATGTCCCCGAACTTGCGTCGCTTCACGAGTCCGAAGCAGCCGAGGTGGTACGTGAACAGGAAGGCCACCGATGTCAGCAGAGCCAGGCCCGCCACCACCAGATAGACTATCCCCAGGAACATGTTGCGCCCGCCCATCCAGCCATTCGTGCTCAGCACGATGCTCTGCGCGCACAGCACTCCCGTCAACTGATTGCCTTGATATGTGTCATAGTAGAAGTCTGGAAGCCCCCAATTGCTGGATGCCTGGCACCTTGTGAGGCTCTGACTATCCGCTGATCCTGAGCTCTACAAGATGCCCATGATCACTCCTGGCACATATCTTTGTCACACGCCTGCCTCATGATATGATGCACAAGCAGCTGGCAGAACAGCGGGTAGGTCACAGGTGGGCCTTCACTCCCGTGAGTGACCAGCATTTTGCCGACAGCGTGTTGAACAGATCACCGTCACGGCAGCAATGGCAATAAGGAGATATTAGATAGATGCATCAAGACAATGGCAGCTGCGCACCTTGTGCCCCCCAAAGCGGTAGGTGTTGTATCGGTTCGCCACCTCAAATTGGATGACGGTGCCTGCACACCAAAACACACGCTCCTCGCAACATGACCCACCCACTCAGACAGCACTGTCTGCTAGCCATCCAAGGTGCACCATCAACCTCAGGCCTTAGTTCTGGTGGCTAGGGGTGACCTGCAACTGCAGTGTGCTGCAGATGATGATGGCACGAGTCGATTGTCGTTTGCAAACTCTAGACAGCACCCCTATCCTAACAGTCACACCTCAATAGATGCCTTGACAACAAAAGCAAATGCCCCAACAATTGAAGTGGACATGTCAGCCCTTACAACAACAAAACAAAGCCAGCTTGAGACCAACAGAAGGCTGACGCCCACAAACATGCAGTTCATGCAGTTCGTTAGCCCAGGTGGAAACCTTTCCTGCCCAAGAGGCAAGGCGCGTCCTCGGCAGACAAACTGCAATCAGAGTAAAACTTTCAATTTGGACAGGATATCAGGTGCAGCACCTGCAGCCAGGGGCACGGTGATGGTCGCCCAGAGTTTCCGGAAGTCCGGTTGCGCAGCCGGGCGCAGCCACACCATGAGGTGCTGGTTATCACTGACGTCCACTTCGGAGGTGTTCCCTCCGCGCTTGTCGGGGAATATGTTGAAGTTGTAGGGGGTGTAGTCGCCGTACAGGTGGTCCCTGTCGTACTGCCACGCGATATTGCTTTGCTGCGCGCACAACACACAAGGGATTTCAACACCTGTCGCTCATATCATGTCTGTTGCCATTGACAAGGGGCTGTATTCCAGGCTGGCGTCCACTGCACAACATGTTGAGCATGCATGGCACAAGGTCCCAGCCTTCTTGTTTGGGATCGTAAACCCACCGCATCTTCTAAACGGCAGTTCTAGGAACCCAGAATCCCAAGAAATTTTTGCCAAATGCAAGTACTTCAAGACCTTCTGGCAGCCTGCCTTCGTAATTTAGTTTTGAAATTTGCGCCTATTTACTGCTCCATTTGCTGAGTCTCCAAACCCATTCCGTCGACCAGTTGCAAGCTGTACCCATACAAGAACACAAGAAAAGAAGGTGGTGCGGGCCGCTCACATCCAGCTCCAGAGGGACCGGCGCGCCGTCCGGGCCGACGACGGCGGCGGTGTAGGAGTCGTTGAAGAATGACCAGGCGATGAGGCCGCAGGGGTTGATCTCGCCGTTGTGGGGCAGGCTGGGGTCGGGCCCCCCGTTCACATACTGCTGCGGCGCGCACTTGGAGGACCCCCCGTTGCCGCTGCCTGCAAGCTTCCAAATTTCAGACAAACTCCCTCACAATTAATAATCCCTCCTGATGCAACCTCCTTTTCTAAGCTTGATTTTCAGTGCTCCTCCCTCACAAGTGCCCCTTCCTGATACAACCTCTTTCGTTGTGAAACAAGCTCAAATATTGCTGGCAATGTCTACCTTGCAGACAACCTCCAGTCTCACAGGATTACAGAAGGGGCAGCACTTTGTAGCTGCTGAAGAATTGGCAACAATTCGTGACAACGACACGCATGACGTTCATTCTGGGCACAACAGATCCACAGAAATTTGAGAAAGTCTTGATGGGTTTCTCTGACACACAATTCAGTGCAAAGTACCTGTTTGGGCGTCGTCGCGGCTGCGGACATAGCGCTTGTGATTCTGGTGGTACCTGTCCAGCTCGAAGTACACGTACACCTGGGAGGGGCAGCAGATATGGCTTCGTCAGCATTGCTGGCTGCGTCTCTGGCAGTCTTGACCCCTTAATGCTGCCTGACAAGCTGCTATTCGAACAAGAAAATGGTATTATAGAAGGTTTGAAACGGCCTGCAGAAAGGAACAACCCTCTCTGTGGTACATGGCCTGCAACAGTGCTTCAGCAAGTAATGTGCTTGGTAGTGCAGGTATAAAATGTGATTGCTTAAATGAATAAGACATTTAGAGGTTTTACTTTATTTTCACCGCACTGTCTGCCTGCCCCACCAGGTGTGCTGACCACGCAACACTGGTCCAAACCTTGTAAACGTTTGTCAACAGTGTCATCTGGGACGTGCTGGCATGATTTTTTTTAGGTTCGCACCGGTGGCGTCATGTCCTTCGTGATGGTGACGTTTACGACGCTTGTCACCCCATCCCCTCTCCGCTGCAGCAGGATGTCCTGCTGCTCCCCACTACTTCGCCCTGCCATGATCCCCGCGTCGTCGTAGCGGATCTCGTACTCGTCCACATCGAGGGCTGCCTTCAAGATCGGCACGCCGAGAGCTATGCAGACGACTGCCACTGCTAAAAAGTACAGTACAACAACGTTCCCGGTGATGATTGGACTCCACCCTTTCAACTCCTGCTGCGCAAAACGACGATAGAATTTGCTCTTCTTCTGATCATTGTTCTGCTGCTCCTCGTGGGCACCTTGCTGGCCATTATTGTCTGGCTGTGTTTGCTTTTTCCTCCGAAACATCTCTACAGGAGCTTGGTCATGCAACAACTACTGCTCGTCTGAATGAAAAAAAACACTCATAGTGACTGCAACATGTTTTTACGAGGCTGAAAATTTATCTTTACAGAACCTTTGTAAGAGATCCAGCACAATTAGGCCACCAGAGACGCAATGAATTCTTTCTCTTTGTGTCGACTCAATTGCAGTCGTGTGGCATGCAAATTACCCAGCTGTGCCGATCTATTCCAGGGCGCGAGTAGGAGACACGAGATGCGTTTCACTTTTGGACAAGGACAGTCCAAGAATTAGTGATCGCTTACGAGCTTGTCCAACTTTGGCTCCGCACCGGCTGAGGCCCGTTCACCGTTTGAATTCTATCCATGCCAGCCAAGTTGAGCAGGACAAGAAATTTCCTCGCAAAGAACAATCAGCTCACGAGGTGCTTGGAGTGAAAAATCCGCCTATGCATCCTGCTGTAAGATAGACAGACTAGCACTGCAAGATGGCGAGCTCAAGGAATGGAGCTGTTAACGTCCAGGTTATACTGAGGTGTAGGTAAGCAAACGACAAACTTCACAGTGCCTTTGTGACTTGCAAGGCCTAGAAAGCTCGCAGAAATCTGCAAATGGACAAACTTGTAGTCGTGCAGAAAAGATGTTCTGAAGGATTTGTTCCCAACAGGCCCCTGAGCAAGGAGGAGGTAGCAAACGGGACACATCAGGTCATTACTTGCAATGAGCGTGCAAGAGAAGTCACTGTGTCCCATAACGTTGGAGGAAAGCAGCTTGGGCGGTCCTTCCACTTTGACAAGGTCACCTTCTTGTACACAACGAGAACACTTCTGCGCATCATTAATCTGTCTCTTACTTACACTTCTAAGCCCCTTCTCAGCGCAATTTATTCTAACTTTGACAGTGTCTGGTGACTCTGTAGTCTCTGTGGTTTGCTCAGATGCTCATAGGCTCTTAGGAGTTCAAGCAAAGAGCTTTGCCACTACGTTCGCAGTCATCAATTGTCTTGCTCAGTGCAGGTGTTTGACCCAGATTCAGGCCAGGCAAAGCTGTACAGGATGGCTATCAAGCCAATAGTGGAGGAGGTCCTTGAGGGCTTCAACTGCACCATCTTTGCCTATGGCCAGACTGGCACAGGGAAGACCTACACCATGGAGGTCAGCCATGAACCTTTCCACAGACAACAGCCTTGCACTTACTCTCCAGAATCTTGCACAGCTGTCAGCGCCTGTGTGAAATGCACAAGCTGAATTTCACTCTATGCGAGGCTTCAAGACCATGCAGTCCTATTTATGGGTTTCTGGAGGTTGCTTCTTAATTCGAAAAGGAGATGCGAGAAGGGGCTCAGGAGGGTAACCTCTAGCTCTACCTCTATCGCAACGGCAGCAGAGAGCAGAAGATAGAGTGCAGCTTTAAACTGCCGGGGAAGGTTGCGCATGGAAATGTGCTCGGAACTAGACGGCCACGCGTAGGGGCAGCAACAATTGCCTCGTCGAGAAGCGGTTGGAAAAGTATTCTCATGATGACTGCCTGGGGACAGGGGGGTCCGAGGAACAGCGGGGAGGGAAGCAGCGGGGAGCTGTCAGACGAGGCAGGGGTGATCCCTCGCGCAATCCACCAGATATTCTCCATCCTGGACGAGAATGACGCGGAGTACACTGTCAAGTGCTCCTTCCTGGAGCTGTACAATGAGGAGACCACAGATCTGCTGGCGGTAGGGGACGCCGTCGACCAGAAGCTCAAGATGCTCGAGGACAATGGCCGTGTGGTTGTCCAGGTGTGTCAACCCTGCTTGCTACTGGGACCACTCCCCTTGTTAAATATGTACTTCTCTGGCCCCTAATGACTCAGACGACCTCTAGATGGGGCAATCTAAGTACATCACATGCAAAGCAGGATGCTTGTAGTCTGTGCCCCTCGTTGATCATCGCCGTAACCACCTCGTCAAATGTCCCACATATTTCTTCCTGTCTTGTCAGATTGATGTGAATTCTGGATAGTGTCACTTGGAGAGCACTGTGATCATCCCCTGCAATACCTTCTCTTACAAGAGTTTGTGACCCTCCCTCTTCCAGCATCACTCCAGCGTGTGCTGTAAGGGACTGCAGCGGTCTGAGGAAGTGATGCACTCCCCTTGCAACACTCATTTAGAAGGCTTCTTTGGGTACCAAAAAGCAAAATCATGCTGAGCATACTTCACACAGGGCTCACTGGCGGGCCACTAATTTTATGCAGGGACTGGAGGAAATCATAGTTAAGAACAAGGTGGACATCTACGCGCTGCTGGACCGCGGCTCGGCCAAGCGCAGGACAGCCGAGACTCTGCTCAACAAGCAGTCTTCCCGCTCCCACTCAGTCTTCTGCGTCACGGTGGGCTCCGCTGCCCTCTATTCGCCCAATTTTGGCAGCAATTGCACTTTGCCTTTCCTTCAGGATACTCTCAGCACAACAAACTGCCCTCCATGTTCTTAATGTGTGCCTTTAACCGAAAGCCACCAGATGGCTGATAGATGGGGCCGTCTGTTAACACGCATTGTAGCTTCCGGCCAGCTACCGAGGCTTGCAATGTTCGAACATGTGCAATTGTGTTAATGGGACGTCGCAAGATGGGGAGCACATGCATGCGCAGGTGCACATGCGGGAGGTATCAGCTGAGGGCGAGGAAGTCATCAAGACCGGCAAACTCTATCTCGTGGACTTGGCCGGATCCGAAAACGTCAACAGGTACGCTCCTGCAATTGACATCCTACTTTTGATTGGGTGCTCCCTTCAGAAAAACCATGGATATCTTTAGCCTCATCCTTAAGCAACTCCCACTCTTTGCGATCTACCATATCGTGGAAAAGTAATTGTGTGCCTCGGCCCAGCTTGCATGCATGCTGACTTGCCAGACATTGCCAAGCTGCTCCCACAGCTGGCTGCTTCCACAGATTGTGCAACCTATAAATTTGCCACCGGGCCTTCCAGCCACAGCACAGGTAGATGTAAGTGATTAAAAGGAGACTTTGCAACACTCAGTGGTGTCGGCTGTGTGCAGGTCGGGAGCGGTGGACGCGCGCGCGAAGGAGGCGGGTCTGATCAACAAATCGCTGCTGACGCTAGGGCGAGTCATCACCGCGCTCGTGGAGAAGTCCCCCCATGTGCCCTACCGCGATTCAAAGCTCACACGGTACTTGGTTGCAGTCACACATCCTTCACGCTCTCTGATCAGCTGCACCGTTTTTAGGCTTCCGGGCATGAAATTTTATGCACTGCCCCTATACAATGTGCCACGTTCTTTCCTCTATACCTGGGCATGCAGATGAGCTCTGTGAGCCATTCCTCGTGTGCACTCAAGACAGCAAGCTCCTTAGTGCCATGCATACTTTATAGCGTGAAGAATGGAGTGACTGGAGATGTCACCAAAGCAGCCCTTTTTCCCTCGGCAGGCGTGCCCATTGCATCCCAGTCTGCATGACTTGCAACTGATACATGCCTCATCTAGATGCCATGGCGTAGATGCATCACAAGGAGTGACTGGGCATATCTTCTAATAAGGTCATTTGTTGCCGCAGGCTGCTGCGTGACTCGCTGGGCGGCCGCACAAAGACGTGTGTGATTGCCACGATAGCGCCGACCGTGCAGTGTCAGGAGGAGACGCTGTCAACGCTCGACTACGCGCACCGCGCAAAGAACATCCGCAACCGCCCCGAGGTGCCCACAACCCCTGTGTTATGAACCCTGCAGTGCCTTGTGCTGCTGCAAAGACACCTGGGGATTGCAAAATTCGACAACGATCAGGCAATGCTGTGCAATTCAGTTGTGTTCAGTGCGTGTGCATGTGCATGTGCTTGAGACATCGCATGAGGGCGTGACCAGAAGGGATGGCTCTGATGTCAGAAATTTTTCATCCGTGGTAGATACATGTTGCCCCGCTCATGTGTGCCTTATGGATCCGCCATGCTGAACAGTACCTGCAGCTTGTGGGTGCACTTGTGCGCAGATTCAGGGAGCCCCTCTTCACAGGGAGAGTTTATTGTGGCCGCGTGTGGCATCGCTGATCATATAAGCACAAGGCACTGCTGACAGGCGTCACTTCGCTGGTGCAGGTGAACCAGAAGGTGAGCAAGACGGCCCACATCAAGGAGCTGAACCAGGAGATAGACCGGCTCAAGGCCGAGCTGTTCTGCACCCGCGAGAAGAATGGCGTCTATCTGCCAGCCGACCAGTTCCAGCAGCGCGAGCAGGTGCGACATGCGCGCTGTGTTCTTCCCCTCGCTGACATCTCCGATCCATGCATGGTCCCCCCAGCCTCAGCCTGTCCTGTGAGTGACTGCAGCAGTGTAAGCAGGTGGGCCCGCCTCATGTGGACTTCAGCAAGAATCTTCCAGCATTTCAATAGCAGACATGCTTGACCTCCTTGATTTGCTGTCAATCGTGCCGATCCATGCACGTTCCCACCAAACTTGCCAGTTCTGAGGACACTCAGGAGAGCCTGCCTCCACTGCCATATGTAAGTTCGCTGCGTTGATCACGATGGGGGATGCTGCGTGCCTTGCCAGTTGTTTCCACTGGTGATTCTGTGCAAAGTGCGGGAAGTGTACCATATCTGAAAGCTAACGCATTGGCCATTTGTTACGCAGAACTCCGCCCAGCTGGCGGCGCGGGTGGAGACTTTGGAGGGAGATCTGGAGCTGCTCAAGGAGGCCCACAAGACCGACATGGACGCCGCCGCTGCCGAGCTCGCCAGCGTGCAAGAGGCAAGCGTCTCACCTCCTTATCTCAACCCTGTCACCTCTTTCGACATGGCAGCTTGGAGCATGGCTGTGTGAACACACGTGTTGTCAAGTGTAAGACACTAGCCGTCTCATGTGTGCGCAGCTCATTGACAGCTTCTCTCAATCCCCAAACCTTGCAGCCACCTAGGGATGCACTGCAACCCTCTATATATCTTGCTTGCAGAGCGTCTGTAGCCTGTGCACATTCGCTCATTACAATGAAACTGAGGCCATGGCTCTTGAACTGGCAGGCTGGCTCCAAAGCGTACGATATTGAACATTCGCTCATGGTTGTGCTGCAGGACCTCCAGAGCACGTTTGCGGCGCTGCAGCAGTCGCGCGTGGCTCTTGAGGAGCGCGATTTCCTGATCGCCACGCACGAGCGCAGTGAGGCTGCGCTGGCCGGCCACGCGGCCACTCTGACCTCCGGCCTACAGTCGGCCGCCGCCAATGTAGAGGCGCTCTTCACCCGGTGCGAGCCAATGCTTGAATTTCACACATCCCTGCAACGCAGATTGTAACAGGGTGCCCCACCGACAGGTCATCTGGTTGCTTTTCAGCCAAGAGTAATCTTTAGATCCTGACACGAGCCTATTTGCCTGCTGCCTGCACCCCCAGCATGCTTGTATGTCTGCTGCTGGCATTTTTTGTGGCAAAGAGAGGAAAAACAAAAGACTGTGGGCACTTATTGATATGTGGATACTGCAGTCACCAACGCTTGAGTGTACCTTCTCAGTATGGTAGCTTTGCTGCGAGCCTGGCTGCCCTTTGGCAAGCAAACTACAGCACCCAAATTGGCAGCGTCGACAACACATTGCCAGGAAGGAAATGTGCATCCCATGTGGCTGCAGGCTGGACGGCAGCTACAGCAGGGAGACGGCCAATAGCAGCGCAGTGGAGGAGGTTCGCAGCAGCGCAGTGGCCTGCCTGGCAGACATGCAGGCCGCGTTTGGGGCCGCCATGACCGCTCAGCAGCAGCGCTCCAGTCAAGTGCAGGGCGCACTTGACGCCTACCTGCAGCGGAAGACCGCTGACCTGGCCAATCTGCAGGTGACCACAGCCTGGAAGCAAACTCACTGATGTTCTTGAAACCTTCTCAAATTGCCTGATACTAAGAGTGTGACATATTTACTCCTACTGGACGATACTACCGTGCCTGATGTGATGTGTGATGTGCCTGCTGATTGGATTGCAGGGCAATCCTATGCCTACTTTGTACAAAAGAGTTCTAATATGATCCTATTCGCTCGTTTGCATGGCAGTGCACTCTCCTGTGCACCCTCTGGAAAAGAGGGTAGCCTGATGTCATGTCTTCTCTAATGGGACTGCAGGGTCTGACACAATCGGCTGTATTACCTCTTCTGCTGCAGTGAAGAACACAGTGGTCCCCTGACATCACTGTGTGGCACCTAGGGTGAGATGGAAGCGCTCAGGGGCCAGCTGGACACAATAGCATCCACCGCGGGTGCCTCACTCGACAGAACAACTCTGGCAGGATCCAGCGCTCTCACCACGCTGCAAACGCAGCACGTCGGCTATGCGCAATCCACCCAGCAGGTGAGCTTGACTCCCGTCCACCCTACTCCCTTGCCTCTGCACTGGCGTATTGGGCCTCGCCCCTGTCCTTCTCATTCATACATGTCCTGTGAATGCCTCAAGACCTTTAGGGAATGAAATGCTGGATACATAAACCACAACATTTCGCATGTACAAAGAACGACATAATAATTGGCACGCAGGCTGCTGCGGAAGCAAGCCAGAAGCTGGACGAGGCATACGCGTCGCTGGGCGCCTCCTTCGCGGCAGCTACGGCGCAGCTGGACACCTTCGCGGCGGAGCAGGCGGCCGCTGGGGACGCAATGCACGCCGCCGTCGGCCGCGCAACGGCCGCGGCGCGCGCGGCGCTCGGCCGCACCGACGTTGCGGCGTCCGCGGCCGGGGCCGCCACGGCCGGCGCGATGGACGCGCAGGCCGCCGCGCTGTCGCGGTTTGAGGAGACCTTCGCCACTGGCATCGCGCAGGAGCAGGTGGGTGCTGTCTTGCTACTGCCGAACACCTTGTGCACAATGCCACAGTAGGAATCCATCTGTGGTGTTGGGGGTCCTGGCAAGTTGACAGGCTCCCTGTTGAGGTGCTAAATCTCCAGAGATGACTGACAAGTGCTATTAATGCAGTTGCGGTACTCCTCATTACTAACACTCTGTGTGGTTGTGCCCTAGTCCTGCTGCAACGAAGAACTGCGCTTGCTCCGCTTGGGTCTATGCAGGTGCTGCATGCTTACACTGCCTGGGGTGACATGCAGGCCAAGCTGGTGGATGACGTGAGTGCAATGCTGAACAGCTTTGCTGCGCGCAAAGCGGCTGAGGTGGCGGCGGCCGTCGGCGGGATGCAGGCTTCGCTGGCAGAGGGTCGCACAGACGTCACCGCCAAACTTGGCATCCTGTCCCAGGCTACGCAGTCCGCCGACTCAGCTCTGCAGGTGGGTTCCATCATGTCACCTCTGCTTCTCCCTAATTTTCTAGAGCTGATCAATGATAGGTTTGGTTGGCTGCGCATCTGTCTGTGGTCTTGTGTGACCAGGCTTTGATCCCTCAGGGAATGCATTGCAGAAATGACCGAAAATGTGCTTCAGCGGGGCCACCTGATACCGAGCTTCTGCTTCTACATGATCACTTTTAAGCAACTGTGGTTCTTCAGTGATGTAGAAGGTTGCAACTATGTTTGTCCAGACCTAAAAAAACGCGATTCATGATAGTTTTCAGGTCAAATGAAAAAGATCAATAGTGTACAGGCTGAGGATGCCAATGCGGCAGAGGCAGCCGCCCAGGCGTCGGCCAGGAGAGCAGAGCTGCAGGCGGGCATGGCAGCCACCCTGCAGGACGGTACTGCCAGAGGTGTGTTGCTTCCCTTGCCGTTCATCTTGTGCGCATATATGATAGTCTGTGCCAAGCGTAGAGAGCACTGCCGAGGATTGCAATGCTGTTTGATTATGGCCGTCCTCACAGCAGAGGCTCACAGAGGCTGCCCTCAGGCTGCTGTAATGTTATCCACTGGACCCTGAGGCGCCACTTTGACCTGCTTTACATAAAAGCATCTGGTAGGAAGGGCAGGATGCAAAGACAGGCCTGGCTTGGTCATTTGGGCACTCAGTCTTGTAAGAGATGCAGCTCACACAAGCTGCCAGAATTTGATTCTGTGGCTTTTTCTTGTCAGGGAGCGAGCTCCGGCAGACGGCGGCGGACAGCGCGGCGGCGGCTGGGGATCTTCTGTCGGGTCATGCAGCCGCCGTGGAGCTGGAAGTGTCAAGCGGGCTCGGTGCACTGTCAACAGCGCTTTCCGCCGCCAAGCAGCAGTGCTCATCGGGTACGCATTCAGAAGTGAAGTTCTTCATCATCTTTGCAAGCATTGGCGGGAGCACATGTAGCAACAATTGGTGAGATAGCCTGTTTTGGCGATCCTGGCAGAGCAAGAGAGCGTACTAGTCTGCAGCATGTCTGTCAGTGAGGCGGCATGCCATGCGTGCATGATGACTTGCAGATTGCCACTCGTACTACTGCTCTTTACAACAGTCAGAGACTGTGACACAGAGACTGATGGGCAAGTCTATTTCTGCAGCGGTGGCGAGCGCCGAGTCAGGCCGCGCAGGATTGTTGGCTCAGGTGCAGACGAGCAACGAGGCCGACAGCGAAGCCATCATGCACACCACAGACACCGTCTCCCAGGCCGTAGCCCTCTTGCAAGGTGCGCAGCTCTGCTCTTTGAAAATGTCACCTTAGAGAGGAAATGATTCCTCTGCGGGGACGGGACATTGCAGAGGAGTTGCTTTGCTTTCTGCAGAAGGAAGGTTGTTCGCGGCATGCTGATTCAGTTTTGAGCACGCCCAACACCAAATTCCAACCAAAAGTGAGCATGTGATGGATGTCCATATTTACAATTTGCTTTTCCTATTCGATTGTTGGGTTTCACATTTGGCATTCTGCTGGCGCAGATTTCAGCGGCGAGCACACAGGGGCGCTCACCCAGCTCAGCGGCAGCATCGACAGCTTTGGCAACCAGCACTACACGCGCGACCCTCAAGCAGGTGTGACTGCATACCGAACACCCACCCTTGTACCAGCTAAGCCATACACATCGAGACACTGCATGTTCCTGGCAGTCACTGAAAACCCTGTCGCGAGCTCCCACGCTCACGCTGGGCACCTGAAGATCTGTGTGTCATCTGTAAGCAAGGTTGATTGACTGATCTGAGGAGTTTGCAATTTGAATTTGCAGGGGATCCCCCCGTGCATGCACCTCCGGAGGTCCCCCCCGCCAGCTGGATCGATGACATGCGCACGCCGCCGCTGGACGTTGTGCTCGGGCAGTTCCGCGCGCAGAAGGGCGGCCCGGCCGCGGCGGACGGCGCTGCCGACACGGCGGCGCCGACCGAGCCGGCCGCCCTGGCCGATGCCGTCGCCGAGGAGCCGGCAGAGACTCCCAGATCAGGTGAGCAACCTTTCTCTTGTCCTCGAAACAATGTTGAATCGGACAGGGAAAAAGACCCATGCTATTGTCCAGAATGTTATGGCTACTGTCCATCTATTTGTGGGCCGGCTACATTGTAGCATTGTGCCATCCGTTGGCCCGTTCATCTAGACAGTGCAACTGACAATCTAGCTGAGTTTCGACTGTTGCACTCTCTGAGAGTAGATTTGGATTAACAGTTGATTGTTAAATCATTAATAATTCTGTGCAGCGTGTGGGAGCGAGCCGGAGACATGCGCAGGCGAGAACGTGAACCCCAACCGCATCATCGCGGCCGCTTCCGCAGCGCTCGAGAAGATCGAGGAGCAGCCGCCGCTGCCGGCCGCGCGCAAAGTCTCGCGCATCCCGGCCGCGCGGTCACGCGGCGGCTCCCGGCACGCCTCCCCTACGCACCTGCGCTGACTCACCGGGCGCTGATTATGTGCTGTGTCACCACGCTGACGTGGTTGTGACTCAGTGTGACTTGACATGGCACGCGCTGTTCCATGTGCGCTGACTCACTGGTATTGACATGGTTCAGAGTGACACAGAGATGCCCCTAGCTGTGCATCAAATGCTTGTCCCCATTCGCTCATCCGCATAATGCAGGAGATGTCGGTCCCAGACCCATGACTTGGGCAAGTGACATACCTCCCCCAATGCTCTGTATCATGTGCAGACAGGATCGGGGATAGCTTTTGCAACCTTTATGCATGCGTTGTGGAGGGGACCAGAACAGAGAGGACCGTCAAAATTTTCTCTGGCTCGGAGCTTCTTGGGATTATTGTGCAACGCGCATGCATTGGCCGCTTCCAAAACAGACGAGCAGAGACTCTGGATAGTATGTGCATTCGGCTGTGAGTCTGGGCATGTGCAGAGATGTCCAGAATCATTTGTGGAAGGACAGCCCAAGAACAAGATGACAGTGAATGAATGCCACTGACTGACTGTGTGAGAAGTCCGCATTTCTTTTTGTGCCGATCCACACAATTGACCTCTACAATAAAGGTAGCCAGTCAGGAGCATGGTGCTCTTGCAGACGATTTTATGCAGAGCAATCGAGACCTTTCATGGCAACAAGCGTGTTGAACTGCACTTTTCTTTTTTCCTGCATGTGCGGCGACTCATGAGGTGAATTGATAAAGACAGCTCTGCAGTACTGGACTCTGTGCTTAACCCATGTAAAAATATACAATTTTTTGCCAGTACCGCTGCCAACCATAGGGACAAAGGGCAACCTATGCATCGCATACCTGAACCTCAAATTTTGCAGTGACCTGAAATTTTAGGCACAGCCTCTTCGCGGTGTCTGCTGCCCCAATGAATGCTTCGATTGCAACAGCTTAATAGCATGCGTTACCAGCTATCGTGCAACGCGTCAGCTATTCAGTGTAACACTGCACGCATGCCCTTATGTAAACAACCCCTGCCTTTCACTAGGGTTGGATCTTACACTACTGTGCTGTTCTTTAATGTCCTCATATTATCGTGCAACGGAAATTACTCCACAGGGCCTCAGCCGGGCGGCTACCTCTTGCCCTTGCCCTTCTTCCCCTTGTCCTTGCCTCCCTTGTATTCCAGCTTCTTGTCTCCGCCCACTGCTGATGGCGCAACCTTGCCATAGGCGCCGAGTGTTGCAAAGCGCTTGTTGAACTTGTTCACGCGACCCTCATCCAAGATCAGCGCCTCCTGTGTTCCCTGTTACATGCAGAAGAACACCACAGCATATCAGTCGATCTGTGAGGCGTCCAACAAATGGGATCAAATAATCTGTGTCACAATGGCACGCAATTTGACAATTTAGGTCCGTATTTTGACATTCAAGCTCCGAGCGCTGCCAATTAGAGACATTTTCACTCTCAGGGAAGTCCTTTCTTAGCCGATACCTAGTCATGACTGCAAGGTGGTGTCAGGATGCAAATGAGAGTCATGCTCACAAGGCAGAAACGCATCCATAACATGAGTCTGTAAGTTTATAACCATCCGCTCCTAGCGGGATGTAATGCCATATTGATAGATGGCAAAAAGAGAGCTTAAACACCTGGAAGAAGGGGTGGTTTCCAGACCAGACATCCACCACGTATTTCTCCTTTGTCCCACTGACTGTCATGACCTCCTCTCCATTGCAGAACACCTGCATGCATGCTCTCCACATAAGATTACTGGAAAAGCTGTACCGCACTCGGCTTATAAAAGCACCAGTTGCGGCAATCCATGGGATCTGAAGTCTTGATTACCTTCGACTCCTCAAAATACTGAGGGTGGATGTCCTTCTTCATGTTCACAACTGAAAGGCATCTCCTTCCTCCTCTCTGCACAGCCAAGAAGCAGAACACGTCAGGATGATGTGTTAACCAGCTTTGCTCGAGATGGGTAGGCGTGACTTGTTCCATGCTAGCATATGTGTAAATACTCTGTCTTCCTCCCACATGCACAGGCGAGTAGATCACAAAAGCTTATAAACGTTCCTGGTAAGACAAAAATCCTCTCTGCAACGATATGATATCCTACTGTAGCAAAAACGTGGGGCTTGTGCACTCTCATATCGCACTCCGTAATATATTGAGGGACACTCGATTCATCTTTTCTCGCCCAGGATTCACACTGCCTCACCTGCTGCACAACTGGAAGCCTAGCCAGGGGGACCGATCCTCGCGCACTGCTCGCGCCGCAAGACGACAAAGGTCCTCGATTGCAGCTCATCATGATGAGGTATCGGTGTCTCAACAATACTGGTCCTTCTTCATGCACAAGTTGCCTTGTCTCTCCCTCATCCACAGGATGAGTTTTTCGCAGCAACCGCAGGGCAGGCTATAACAGAAGCTTCCGATAGGGTTTGCTCTTTCCGAACATCTGGTTCGACAGATGGGACCTCCAGGTCACCTGCTGGAAATCCAAACAGACCGGATTGCGACCGTGGGATCCCAGATGAATTGTCATGGATGTCATTTGCGCCATGAATGTCACTCTCATTGACAGGTATAAAGTCATGACAGACCAGTACAGCGCTATACCTGCACACGCAACTATTGCTAGCTAGGTGTTCTGAGGCTGTCAGTTCTTCTGGATCAATATCTGAGAAATGAAATTCATCATGAAGCCATGCAGCAATTGCTAGAGAACAAGAGGTGGCAACACCGTTGGCAGGCTGCTCAGGATCAGAAAACTTCTCCACTCCTGCCAGCCTCTATTAAGGAAGACCTTCTGCGACCGTCGCGAGTGACTTAATCCATTGTTCTGTACGGAATGAGTGGAGATTGCCTTTGACATCGAGTCTCCAAAACAGCCTAATAACAAAAATAGCAGTCGAATAAATGCCAATGCGCTATATTAGACTCATCAATGAGCAATTCGACACGCAGAGCAGCAGCCAGCAGCAGCAGCAGCAGCAGCAGCAGCAGCATCGTCAAGGTGCGGGGCAGTAAAATTGCAGTGAAAACCCGTCGAGGGATCGAATACTGCCGAGTCGAAGTTAAGCCCTTTTGCTCTTTTCCCTTTTCGACCTGCCTCTCTTCAATACTTACTGATGAATTATCGGTCTCATAAAAATAACGACAAGCAATGCATTCCAGTCGTGTGATCACAAAGGAGACTTCATGGCTGCCACCATAACAGGTGGCGTCGGGGCCTTCAACTTGGCTAAACTTCTGCAGCCTCTTGAGGCGACCATCAATACCTGAACAACCCTTTGGTGGCATTTCAGTCCCACAGATTGTCAAAGCTGTCCAGCAATTTCATCAACGTGTCCACTCCACTTGTGTTGCTACATAATGTTTCCAACAGATCACATATCTAAAACTCTATCATGCTTCGACTGCAAGCTGAAGGAAGTCCCTAGATCTTGGCCTTGTTGGTGAGAGCAGCCGCCAGGTCATCTACATCTTCGCCGCCCCTTTCCTCACCCTCTTCGTCACCCTCATCTCCGTCCTCGTCAGCATCGGGGTCATTGTCTTCCAATGACAGCGCATGAGACAGCCCCGCCCTCTCCAGTATTTCCTGCATGTAGAAAATTCTCCCATAAGCTCTGCTGCCATAGCATACATTGCCACTGAAGCTCAAGCATCCCATAGCAAGTGTGCCCACAGCATGCACCCCTGAAGCCTTCAGCATTCAAGGTTGTTGGCACTGCACCCGAGAGGCAGCTAAGCACAGATGTACACACCAGCCTGTGACAGATCAGCCTGTATTTGGCTAAAAGCTGTGAGCAACCGAGGCAGGACACTGCTCTAAGATCGTTTGCTCTTGTCAACGATGCTATCAAGAATGCTGCACAGTACAGCACATAAAAAGCGGGCTGTAATGAACACTACAATGGGGAAATGGCAGGCACCTTTATCTGATCAATGCCGCCCTCTGAGATCTGGTTATCGTCCAAATCCAGTCGCTCAAGTTTTGCTCCACTGCTCGCCACCGCCTTTGCCAGAGCCACAGCGCCCAGACGCCCGATCTGCTCACAAGGACATACGCTGCCAGGTCAGCACATGTGCGCCACTATTCAAGCTGTTGAGAGCAGCCTGTCTTGTGCTATCTTGAGAGAGGTCTGGTGCGGTGCCCTGCTGCAGCAGCAATGCGGGTCCTTGACATCAATTACCGCTTGCCTTCCCGAATATTCCAACACAAAATATATGCATGCGAATAAATATGGGATTGTCCTGACAACCTCAGAAATCATTGCATGGGCAAAACAGCGATCACAGAGGCTGATGCTGAAGATGACCAAGCGCAATGATACATCATCAATCCTAACTTCCAAGCTCAATCCCCTCTGTTCAGGGAAATGCAACAGGGGTGGAGGGCCCTGCCTGGTTCTGTGCGAGGTCAAGCGTGCGCAGATGCGGCAGCCGGGCCACCGCCGCAGCGATGGCCGCCGCGCCGTCGTTCTCAAGCTCATTCTCGCGCAGGCCCAGCACCTGCAACCCACGCTAAGATTCTTCTCGTCGCTTGTATCTAGGACCTTGAGGAATCGTGTACGTCGGTGAGGGCTTGAGGGTAAGAGGGGTATACTGTTTTAAAAAGGAACTCCTGTATATTTAGTGACAGCCCGCCTAGAGCACAAGCAGCGGTAAGGAGATCTGCATAAACCTACTGTCAGCGCCTCTGAACCCTGGAGATGTAGGCAAGGATACAGGCGACACCAAACGGGCCGGAACGCAATGGTGGGCATCTTATCCAGGGTTGATGAAGGATCAAAAACTTTACAAACCTGTAGTCGGCCCAGCCGCCCAAGCGAGGCCGCCAGCGCAGAGGCTCCCTCTGGTGTCACTTCATTCAGCGCCAGGTGCAGCTCCACCAGGTTCGCAGGCAACGCCTGCATGGACGCGCCATATGCAAATATTAAGGGATTCGTGGAGCACTTTTAGCACTCCTATTCCCACAGAGCATGAGCGGCCTTGACTGTGTCATGCGCAATGTGCCCCTAAAAACCATATATGGAACAAAATCCATAACTTATTGCTGCAGCTTGGCGCCGCACGTAGCGCATTGTGCAGAGCAACACCCCAGGCTTGCATACACCCCAAGTGATCACTTATATCAAAAGCATAATCGGCTGTCGGCGTCTGTGCAGTCTTCCTAGAAATAGGGACTCATGAATGCAGCGCACCTCAGCGATGCCCTCGATGCCCTCGTCCCCGAGCGCCACGTCATTGAGGTTGAGCAATTGCAGGCTCTCCTGGCCGCGCACCGCCTCTGCCAGCGCGGGCGCCACCTCAGCCGTCATGGGGTTGTCGCTCAGGTCCAGCTTCAGTAGGCTGCTCCCTGTAAACAGCGCATTGCCAATCAGACTCATTCAAAGTGATCATGCACAGGCTCTCCCTGGCGAGAATAAGAGCACCCATGGCAGAATTGACACCAGAAATGCACCAGAGAGAGTCACAAAGGGGGTCCACGGATCATCATTTAAAAGAAAGCAGTTGTTGCTAAAAAATATCAGCTGCATGGGGAGAATTGGAGAGGCAAAGCGGTGCTCATTGCAAGAGGGGCTCCCACCGGCGGAGAGGCCCTGTGCGAGGGCGATGCCTCCCTCGGCGCCCACGCGAGAGGAAGCCATGCGGAAGTCCTCCATCACCGGCGCCCGCGATAGAATCTGCGCAGCACACAACCGTACATGCTCACACCACTTTTCTTTAAGATGGGACATCCGCACATTTCAGAAGATGAAGGATTGCCAAGAGACACCCTCCAAAATGCCATTGGATTAATTTCACAAAGAGATTTTCCAATAAATGAGTTCCTGGAGACGACGCCCTTCAAAGACACCACAGCCCTGTCCAGCCAATGCAAGCAATGCAGGGCCCATTCGGCAAAAAGGCACTCCCTTCCGAGTCAACGGGTTTCGGTGTTACACTTCCTCAGCTGCATGCTGGTGGGCATTGATTGGCACCTGTGCGATGGCAATGGCGCCCTCGTCATCGGACATGTTGTTGTAGAGGTGCAGCGCGCGCAGATCGCCGCTGTGCTGCACCAGCTCGGCCACAGCCTGGCAGGCGTGGATGGAGCAGCCCACGTTCTGGAACGCCAGCCGCTGCAGCCCCGCCTGTAGCCACACACAACATCCTGTGGTGTGAGCGCTTGGTAATTTGCAGGTGGGGTCCTAGCGAGACAAGAATAGGGAGGTCCTGGTCGGGGACCAAGCTGAATCGATGAGAGCACGTGATATTTATGAGTTCACAGCAGGATTGTGGCCGGGCAGCAGATGACGTGCTCACTAAGAGCCCTTCAACAGGTCCCGGGCAATCAACTCCTGAGTTCCAACAGAAGCGTCTCCAAATGGCTCACTAGGCAACATGGATCTGCTGCCAGACCCCTGGACGACAGGACTGCAACAAACGCCTTTCTACGCGCAGAGCAGTTGGTAAAAGGTGTGAGACATGCCTGGTCTGAGATGGCGGCTGCAAAGGCGCGCACTCCCTTCTCTCCCAGCGCATTGTCACTCAGGTTCAGGGACCTGCCAGCACGCACGCAAGCCCAGTCAGCACTAAGCAGCCAGCTATCATCCAGGATACCCATGACACACAACACCAAAGACAGATCATCCCTGCAATGCTCACTCCATGTTTCTGCCCAGGCACTTTCAAGACCCCGACTTTCTTTGCATGTGCCTTGCATGCTTGGCACCTCTACACCAATTCAAAGCCCGCACGCCAGGAGTAGTGGCCAGGCCAGAGTCACATTCCAATGTGCAGGCTTCAGTGCACATGACTTCCACTGACGGGTGATGAGTATGCCCAGTGAGCCTCACCTGAGCTGCACTTGCGCGAGCGCTCCGGAGATTATGCGCATCGCTTCGAGCGCCTCAGCCTCTGGCCGGCCAGCGATGATGTCGCTGAGGTCAGCATGCTCAAGGCTGGCCGCCACGTTGGCGATTGCCTTTGCCGCCGTCTCCGCAGCGTCCCTCCCGAAGCTCTTCGTGCTCAGCTTGATCTGAAGCACAACGATATCTTCACCAGACAAGACACATGCCAATAAAGCCGCACCCATGAGCATGAACGCTGCCCCTTTGCTGAAGTGATGGCACTATGTCTCATCAATTTGACAGCACAATTAAGAAGTCTTGTGAAGTCTTGATAGCATCAACTGTACAATGCAGTGTACCGCGGAGTAAATTGCACTGACGATAAACATGGAAAGGGGGAAGTCAGTGGGCAAATTGGTGGGGGGAAAGGTGAGTCTCCATTTGCGGAAAAGGGAAGGCACCTTGGTGATGGTGGATCCCTCGGCAAGCAGGGGAGCCAGGGCTTCAGAGGCCGATTCAGCAGTCAGGAACTCGCGATCTCCCGCCAGGTCCAGCTCCGAGCTGTCATTTGTACCTTCGGCCTTTTCTGCCTTGCCACCGCTGGCCTTCACCTTGTCAAGGACCAGTTCGGCCAGTTTTCTGTGCCACATAACGTTCTTATCACTAGATGCAAAGCATCATTTATTTTATTGCCATGGCTCACCTTAGGGGCACTATAAAGCACACTTTGACTAAGGCAGGTCAGGTGACGCCCCATACAGATTGCGATTGATGATTTGTCTGGATAGCAGTATATTGCCACACCTTGCGTATGATTTGAGGACTTCATCATGCGGCCTGAAGCCTGTTGTGGTGGTGGCCTCCACGGATGCAGTTGTGTAAGCCTTCTTCTCAACGGTAGTGGCGATTGAGTGCGCTTCCGCATCGTTGATCTCGATACCACGGCTGAATGCCAAAGATTCGATATTTTGTCCCACCCTGGAGACAGTCTCAGCCCGCTGTTCATTCGAGAGGGACCATGCTTTGTCAGCCATCTTCCAATATTTTCCTACTGCACTTCTTGAAGATGCGCCCGATCACCTTGAGGATGCAGATAATGTGTATAACTGGTTCCAAAGAGAGTAAGACAACGGTTTAGCAGAGAGAAATACAGCCAAACGACGAAAGCGCCGCTGCCACGCTGGCGCCAGACAAGACAACTAAGCAGTTACTAAATTTTCTTACAGCAAGAGCATATGGTGATTTGCAACCAAGAATTTTAGGTATACTGTGGTCACATTTGCATGATCAGGTGTGTTATAACACACTGACAAGCTTGGGCCCCAGATCGACACTCGGCAAAGGACTGTGTGAAAAGTACATCCTGCAGACTACATAAAGCTAGAGACACACAAAACGTACCCCAGCTGCTCAGGATACATGGGATAAAATCTTTAGAATACTTATCGGAATTCCCTATAGGGCAAGTACCTCAGCAATTTGGAAGCCGAGGTGATGCCAGCGAGTTCCTGTCCAATAAGCACCTTGAATGACGAGCTTTTACAGCTAATTGCTGCCCTACTAGATCTGGAGGATCTATGCAATCTGGGTCGCGTCAGCAGTCACTTCCATGCCTTTGCAAACGAGGCCGATGACGTCTGGAAGGGTCTCTACTTCCAGACCTTTGGGAGTGTAAACAGCAGTGCAGCTTCAAGCTGGAGGGTTCAATTTAGGGATAGGTGCCTATCTTGTCCCCTCTTACATATTGCTGACAGCACAATTGCCAGAAAGGACGCTGATGGCTGGGCATAGACAGTTCTGCTTTTAAATCCTGTCACACTGATCAGGGCTGCAGAAGACCGGCGCAAGAGGCAGCTGCGGCGGAGGGCTCGCGTAATGGTGGTGAGGAGCGAGATGCAGATGCTGGAGAGGGAGGTGCACAGGTGCCGCCGGGAGATAGATGCAGAGCGGCAGAGACTTGACTCCCTTATGTCTGAGAAGCAGCGCTTGGAGCAGGCCAGGTGATGCTCACAAGCAACAGATAGCTCTCTCAGCGCATCATTGCAAGGCACAGTTGGCTGGTCAGCATGCACTCCAGTTTCACACAATATCTGAAGGTGCATGTTTCGATGTGCAGGCAGTTGGGATCGGCTCTGCAGTGTTGGCAGCCCGATGTTGTCAGAAATCACCACGAGGCCCTCCTGGCACAGACGGCAACCACAGTAAGTTTGCACACAAACCTCCGCCTGCACATGTCATGCATGTGAACCCTTACGGGATGATTTGGAACTGCACACCCGTTCAACAAAACAATGAATGTTTTCAACGGATAATGGATTGTGCAATGGCAGAAGGTGCTGCCTTCTGATGCGTGCACTCACTGTGACTGTGGTTGATCAGGACATCTGGACCTTGTGCCCTGTTGTGACTTTTTGTTCTGTGCGGTGCAGAGTGAGTGGAGGTCCAGGGAGCTTGACATGGGCATAAAGGACCACAGGCTCTCGCTCAAGGTGCTTTCCAGAAGTCTGCAGGTCCAGTCAGCCAAGCTGGAGAGGCAGAGAATGCGATTGCAAGCTCTTTTAGGCAATTAGACAGTTGTATCATTGCAATATCAGAGAGCCGTGATCACGGAATGAAGCCATAATACAATGAGCTCTGCAAGGGCCAGTTCGTTGACATTGCACAAGTTGCAGTTTATAAGTTTGGAATAAAAATCATTCATGTTTCATGAACATGCCAATCCTGAAACTTCAGATGTTTCTGATCAAATGTAGTCGCTGGAGCACCATCGCTGTTATTTAATGCTGCAGTTATTTATCTCACCTGTTTCCTGCTTGAGAAGCAGACACATTTGAAAGCTTTCGCACAGACTGCGCAGCTTCGTAGGAGCCATACTCGTCTCAGGAGCCTTCATTGTCGTGGGAGCCTCCATTTTCAGGAGACTTTACCACAATTTGCCTCTGCCGACTTCTCTGATTTTCATAATAGAAAATTCATCGTTCGTCATTGGCGATTGACGGAAGCAGTCAGGAGCTCAAAAATTTTATAACACTATCACCCCCCAGCTCTCCAAGCGTTGAAGGGTCCCATGATGCCACGTGAACCCTGGACCTCAAGATAAGGCTGCAGAATTGGACCTGCATAGACAGTGATAGCTTTGCAGGCCCTGTGATTGGCTATTCGGGAGGTCATCATCCTCTTCTCTTTCTTTTTCAACACGAGCATGCATGAGCATATGTCTAAAAGACATGATTGGCCCCAGTGAATGGGTTCACTCCGCATTATTATTAAATAATTGCTGTTCTGTGCTTTCCAAAAGCAGCGTTGCGCAAAGCAATTAGATTTGTGTGGTTGGGCATGATATCAACCAGCTTTGGCCACATTCTAAAGATCATCAATAGACACACCCCAGCAGAACAGAATTTGAAGCACGTCGATGCAGATATACCGTTGAAGCTTGAACCCAATATGCAACTACCCCCAATCGTTTGCAGCTCCAATCCACCACACAACTTGCCCATTGCAATCGTCCGGCCTACTATTTATCTTGGTTCCCTATGCAGGCTTTGCCTCACATCCTATGCTACTACTGTACAGTTCCTTGGTTGCAAACAAACTTTCCCTGTTCAGATTCGCTGCTTATGGCAACGCCCAGCAACAAGTGCCATGTACAAATGCCGAGAAGGCTATTGCAGGGGTGTCTTGGCGCTATTGTCACTCTCAGCAGCTTCCTCCAGCACTGGGGGTCTGTAAGCCTTGATGTCTGCATGCAGCGAGCCCACCGCAAAGGCCTGCATGTGGTACACGGGGGGCTTAGCCGGGGGGCCTGCACCCCCCAGCAGTGGCCCTCGGCCCCCCCCTTCACCATCACCCAATGAGGGCGCCAGATCCGCATGCTGCATCTCCACCTGGCCCAACCCCTCCTCACAGCTCTCCAGATCTGTGTACCTCCTCCCCTGCGCACCAAGGAAGGTGTCTGAGGGAAGTCCAAAGCATTCTGGCCCGGCCTCTTGAGACTGACAAAAACCTTAAATCAATGGGTGTTTCTTCAATGAAGCTGCTATTTGAGTTGTCTACTAGGCAGATGACAATGTAGTGGCTGCATGTCCAATCTGTTGTTTCATGGCCCACATTATCGGACAATATCTAAGAATTCATTATCTCTGGCGATTACTTTGCCTTGATGTCTGCATTCCTCTTTCTCTAAACTCATCCAATTTGGTGTCAGGTTGGTTGACATTGTCACACATCGATACCTTGGTTCAGATTTAAAAATAGTTTGGAATTTGGGCTGCACCTGCCGCCGCTGGCATTCCCTCCACCCAGTGTACGCGAGGCCTCCCGCCAAAAGAACACCCAACAGAGCCACCAAGAATCCCAACACCACAGAGCTGATAGTCATCCCTTCTCGCCCTTCCTCCCCTTGATCCGTCCCCTCCTGCAATGCATTCATGTATTTATCAGGTCATCAGTAACCAGATGACCTCTAGACGGAGGCACCCTATTACAGCATGCACAGCAGGGATGCATACGAGAGTGCTAGGGGCAAAGGGGCACTCAGAAACTTGAGCTTTGAGAGACAGGACAAGGGCAGAAATACCATCACCTGCGCCTGAGCAGTATTTATGCCCTCCCCGCTGCTGCCTGACAACGCCGCTGTATGGATGCTGTCCACTGCGTCCTGAGGCGTTGCTTTCCGGTGGGGCTCGTCTCCGCCGGTGTCCCCTTCGCGCGCCTCGGCGACCCCCGGCACGGATGACTCACCTGCAGTTATAAAAATATTACTACCATTACAAAGCTTTCCTGCCAAGAGGCAAGGTGTGTCTGCAGACGGTCGGGAGGTGAAGGCTGCCAAAATCGTACCCCTTCGTGAACTTGCCAGATTCAAGCAAGGCCCAATCAATATTTGGCAAAGTGCTCAGCATTGGACATGTAAAGCCGGAGGCAGTAGGGCATACATACAGGGCATCTGCAGCCACATCTGCGGGGCCTACAAAAGTGTGCAGCCTAATGGGTACTGCAGTATAACAGGGAAAGATGTGCTTCTCTGCTCCATCGTCCTCATATGATGCAGTTTCTCTGGCAGGATGTTGTTGTTGGTGTTGCGAGATTCGTTTTGAAGTGTTTGAATGATCATGCCGGTCAGATCAAAGCTGAGTTGCCTGGAGGCGGTGTAACGTGACTGATTACTTGACTCACCGGCGGGTGACTCATCCGTGTATGAGTAATCGCCCTCAGAGTGCTCCTCCCAGACGTCATTGATTGGGTACTCTGGTAGAGTCAGCACGTGGTCGAAGCCCCGATTAGCCCCCCTGTCCTGGTCGGTCCAGGTGTCCTCTGTGCTGATGTGGCGGTCCACGTCAGCATCACGGCTGGGTGTGTTCACGTGGTGGCCTGGCGCCCAATCAGGCAACACCGGTGGGCTGTGTGCCTGTGACATAATAATTGGTTGCACTTTAGAAATTGAGAATAGAAAGGGTGGTGATCATAATACACACCGCCACAGGCTTGCTCGCTGGATGTTGATCATGAATGCTTCTGTGAAATGTCACTATTCTGCATGCAAGAGAGAAGAATAAACATCCAGGCCTGCTGGATCTCAAGCAGGCATGCTGTTCCAGCTTCTTGCTTGTCTGCATGCGAGACCAGAAAATACTCCAGGTTTGTCAAATAACAAGCAGGCATGCTCCTGTAGCGTCTCGCTTGTCTGCAAGCAAGATGGCAGAAATGCCCAGGCTTGCTGAATCACAGGCAGAACACTGTTCTAGCATACCAATTCTCTACACAAGAGAGGGATCAAACTGTCCGAGCCCTGCATTCAACTCCATCCGATGTTGATGCAACATAAGGTTAGTGAGCACTGAGAAAGTCACCTTGTGGGCATTTTCGAGGCGCTCAAGCTCGGTCTCCTCTGGGAGGTGCAGGAAGGGGTCTGTCTTCGAGGGCGTTGCTGGAGCGCTGTCCACATCCTCGTCATCCCATGCCGCATCCCAGATCTGCTGCTCGCTCAAGTCCTGGAACGGCAGCTTTAGCTGGCCAGGCTGCTCGCTACCACCTGGCCCATGAAGAAGAAAATAATTTCAAAATGTAAAAATTTGCAAAAAGAATAAAATGTAATGCTTGAAATTGCCTACAACTCACCTGTGCGAGCAGCATACTATGCTGAGTCATTCTGGATGCCTTTCTAGGAAGACATCAGCTGCTGATCTTGCTCAATCTTCGCTATGGTGGGCACGTGCATGTGCACAAGTGCATGTGCAATGTAGGTGTGGCTGCTCACCAGAGTGAAATGGAGGAATAGATAATAAAAAGAATTATGATGAAGGTGTGTCTTACTTGTGCGGGTTTCCACATCGCTGGCCGACTGCTGATGCTGCTTCACCTGCAGCGCACGCACAGCGCCACCCTCAGCCCCACGATGACTTGTGTCCAGTATCCATGACAGCCAACCCACTTCACATCTTCTGCTGAGGATAGCTCAAAAGTACAGGCCCCAGTGACGGGAGTGAAGCATCATGCAAAGGGCAGTGCTACAGTCGCAAAGGGCAATGCGTGAGGGTGGAATTGAAAATGGCAATGGCTAAAATTGGCCCTTCACCAGGAGCAACCACTACGTGAGCTCCAAGCTTTAAAGAGCCCACATTTGCCCTGGGTCTCGCTTATTTATCAACCAGCATCATCCATGACATGTCCCACTTATTGATAGCTATTGCGCATTAGGTGAAGAGCGGTGCCTGGTCGGGTGTTGTCAACGAGGAGTGATCGAGGGAGTGATCGATGGTGAGCATGTCCACAACGGCGTGCCTGCTCGTGGCACCCGAGGGGCCCTTGGTGTCGCTGCAGTACAGGTCCCCCAGCGCCACCTGTTATTCCAATACAGCTCATTCACTTCTTCTGTGTCATTTGTTTGACCCTTCATAAAACTGTACAATGCACCAAACCATGCAATCATCTGGTCTAGAGGAATGCATGCAATTAGTTGTTGATGAGTGGATAAATGTAATCTGATGAAATGTACCCCTAACTACACCCCTTAAAATCTGAAGCCAGACCGCAATCAACATGAAGGGGGTGTTTACCTCATCCACGCTGGCCGCCACTCCAATGCGCCCTTCGGGGCAGGTCCACTTATTACCCTGCACATTTGCAGCACAGACCGATGAGCCCGGGATACACTGTGTTATGCTCAATCTATGGCACGTCTCTTTATCCCCTGGGCCGCACCGTGAAGACATTTGAGACCTCGCCTCAATTTCATACATCTTTCATTTTGAGGCAGATCCGAAGTCTTGCCATGCATCCCAAATGGCATCAGCAGTTGAGAGGGAATCACTGAACCACAATGTCCGGGGCCTTCTCTGCCGGACGTGAGTTTTGCATCCAGTCTCTTGTTGGTATGCCCCAAATGGTGTGTCAAACATGGGCAGGACAGCTCAGCACATGGATGACCCGGTGCCTTTCTGGTCGGACGCTAGTGTCTGCCCACATGCTACTTGTGCACCGCCAAAAACATCGCGGTACACTTTCAAGCTCCAGAGGGCCGCCGCACCGCAAGCTTGACGGTGAGCCCCTCATCGGCGGTAAACCGCTGCAGCGCCCAGACAGGCAGCGGCCCACTGAGGTCATTTCCAGAAACATTGAGCGTCTTCTCGAACATCCAGCCATCCAGGATGTTCCAGGCCCCCGGCTGGAAGGCCGCCAGGTTCTGGAGGCCGTCAGGAACGCCCCCCGACAGCCGGTTGCCCCCCAGGCTGACAAAGCGCGTAGCCGAGGGTGACTCAGCCGCTGACAGGGCGTCCACGTAGGCGTCCAGCGTGCCTGTCAGCTGGTTGTCCTGCCATTGCACACAATCTATAAGAAACGCTACAAATATAGAGCTCGTTTGGAATCCAGGGTGCAGATTTATTGGTTTTTAGACCAACTCACAGCAGACACAGACTCCGTTTGTCCTCACGGCAATAGCGCCTGCCCCCTATTCAAAACCTCTGCATCTGTCAGAGTAAAGAGTTGTGCATTCCGACTGCTTGCCCTCTAACATGCAATCAGTGCCCTGAGGCAGATCATGCACAGCTAGCTGATGATGCTCAGCCGGTGCTGCAGGTACTGACGCTGCCTTTGAGTTACACAGAGCGTGAATGGCTAGGAAAGCGTGTCCTAACTCAATGATAACCACAGACCTGAGGTAATCAGCACCACAAATGCTCTGTAAGGAGCCAAGTGAGAGGAGCTGGGTGGAAGCACCTGCAGCTGGAGGTAGGCCAGCCGTGGCAGCTGCGCCAGGCTGGCGGGCAGGGGTCCAGTCAGCGCGTTGTCATGCGCATCCAGCTCTACTAATTTTGCGGTCGTCCAGCTGGCGGGCAGAAGTCCGGTCAGCCGGTTCTCGCTCACATCAAAGACCTCCAGCATCGGCAGCGCCGCAACACCTGAGTTGCAGTTGCAAGGTCACCAATCTGCGCATGATTTGTCATCCCTTTGGTGCCCTGCGGAGGGTGAGTGTGGTGTGAATGTGCAGTCATTGCCCCTCTGATATGCAGGGAGATAAATCTGTCAGCGCCGCATTGGGGTGTAGCTCTTTTGTTGAAGCAAGTTTGCGGGCCCATCGTGCAGCAAAGAAGTTCTTATCATTATCACATTATGCACTGCACTCCAACATTCTCATTCAAAACCTGAGTATCTGTCCACTAGCTACCCGCTTGATGGGCAATAATGCCATTTCGCGCATATAGAGGTTAATGGCTCACCTGCCATGAGGGGCCCGCTGAGCCGGTTGTGCTCCAGCTTGAGGGTGTGCAGGTTCACCAGGTCGCTGTAGCTGTCAGGAATGCCGCCCTCCAGCCTGCCAATCATTAGTAATTCAATCAACCCTTTCTCCTGACTCCCTGGCGCTCGCATTGCCTTGATATTTGCATTCCACATAATCGATTCAATCATGCCGCGTCCTTCACAGCTACCAGAGCTGATCCACCGCTGCATAGATGAGAGGCTTGGCAGGCTTACTCAACACTAGCAAAGTACTTCTAACTAAGTACCTGCTCAGTTGACGTATATCAATCAATTCTATAAATTCACAGTGTGAGCTCACAACCGATAGGGTGTGATCTCACGTGAGTTCACGAGGCTATGATGTGAGGTCACGAGGCAAGGTGTGAGCTCGAAACCAATAGGAAGTGACCTCACGTGAGCTCACAGGGCAAAGTGTGAGCTCACAAGCAGTAGGTTTGAGCTCACGAGGCTGTGATGTGAGCCACGGCCCAAGGTGTGAGTTCACGGGGCAAGGTGTGAGCTCATGAGCATGGTGTGAGCTCACGGGTCACTGTGAACTGAGATATTGTTCTCACACTGAGGCATCTCCATGAATCCGGCAGGAATATGGTGAGAATCTGGTGACAAGGTAAGCGCAGCACCTGTTGTGCTGCAGGCGAACCTCCTGGACGTTGACTGGGAGGTCCGGCAGGGGTCCAGTCAGCGCGTTGCCTCCCAGCCGCAGCACTCGCAGCGCCGCCGCGTTCGCAAAGGACGGCAGCTCGCCCGACAGACCCCCGCCCTTCTGCGCGGCAGAAAGCAATATGTCATCTGTTGCTCGTCCTGTGTAATGGACTGGCGGGCCCTGTGTTATCAGGAGCACTTTTTTAATATGCCCGAGGGGCTGCTTTACATGTAAACACCGTAGTCCTGTTATGCTAGACCGGTAGCTTCATGGCACTGCCATGCTGGCGGTTCTCAGCGAAGGAAAAGTAATGCTCGGCAGCCTGCAGTGATGACAGTACGGTGCTAGCCATTTTGGGAGCTCTGTGTCGCTGCAACTGCATCATCTATGAAGACAATAAGATATTACAGAGAGAGGCTGGTGGGGGAAGGGTGACTTGCCTGATCTGAGGCGGAGATGGTTGTCAGGGGGCTGCCGTTGGGGACCGAGGGGAATGAGCCGCTCAGAGAATTGCCTGCCAGATAGATCTCCCTCAGCCAGGGCGCCTCCAGCAGGCAGCCTGGAATGCTCCCACTGATCTGCAACGAGACGCACACTGAATACTTCAGCTTATCGGCGTCCTTTTTAGAGCCCTAAATGTGGACATTATATGAGCCAGTCACAGGGAGCGCACGAGTGCTGGCTTGAATTGCTTTCAGTATCTTACTCATCCTTTTCTGGCAAGCTTTTTGTTGAGAATTGCAGAGTCCAATCTGGCTGATACACAAGGCTGATATACCAATGCTATCAATGTGCTTGGTTGATCACGGCTGCATAAGCACAACAGGTCTGTGTGCATAGAAGACAGAGTTTGCTTATAGAACTCAAATTGTCTTTTGACATCTTGCATATGTGCCTGCTGCGCTGGCCTAGCCAGGGAGAACGCTAAATAGAATATTAACAGTAAAGTCGAGAAATGATAATGCCGGGATCCACGGGGTGGTGACCTGGTTGTCGGCGAGGTCGAGTTCTGCCAGCTGGCGGTCGGCCAGCAGCAGGCGACAGCTCAGCGTCCCTGTCAGCGCATTGTATCCCAGATTCAAATGCTCCAGGTCCGGCAGAACCTCCACCACCGGCGCCACATCCCTCTCCAGGCTGCAGCCAAGCCAAGGGATATCAGCATGGTTTGCTAGCTCAGCTCAGGCTTAGTGTACACCTCTCATTCAGCACATGGGTCAGCAAGTGTGCCGCTGGGCGCCAAGCTGGACTGTCAGATGTGGAGATGAACTTTGATTTTGCATTACTACTGCTCCTACATGGCACATGCCCAAATATTAGACAGCAGGCTGCCAAAGAAATCTGAGCTGTCCTGTACCCAGCTCCCCATGCTCTCGCTTTTTCCGATTCAGCCTATAAAAGTGATGCTGCTGCCCCTTGAGGCCCATTCTGACATAGCACTCACACTGTTGTTCACGCGCTGTTCTGGATTGCCTTTTTGGATGTGAATTCCATTCCCTGGTGGGGCGCGCACCTGCCGTCCAGCTTATTGAAGGTGAGGTCGAGGCGGGTGAGGGCTGCGAGGCGGTTGAGGGCGCGGGGGAAGGGGCAGGCCAGCCCTTCAGAGGCCAGCGAAAGGTGAGTCAGCCGCCCCTGGCCATCGCACTGATTTGGCACCGCGTCGCAAAACCGCGCAAATCGGCTGTTGGCCGCCGCCGCGCGCAGCTGCGGGCATGTGCCGTCCGCCGCGCAGCACTGATCCATCACCTGCATGCCGGGCGCAGTTTGATTGACCTCGCGCACTTTAGGAACCTCTCTTTACTTCTTCCAGTATGGTGCAGCATGGTTCCACTTGTGTGAACTAGATGAGGCATTCTCATGAGTAGTTGCTGGGCTGGTCGTTGGCTGCCCTAAGCTTCCAGCCCATCTGGCAGAGCACTAAAGGCCTTCAAGCTCTGCCAAGTTTCTACCAAAGTGGAGCACCCCGCCCCATGACCAAACTGGCCAAGCAAGACTGCAGAAGAGCTTCCTGGCAACTCCCCAGCTGAGAATGAAACTTGTGGAGAGCATACAGGTCAGGACAGCGCAGGTACAGCGTATCGGAGAAGCGTGCAGTGCGAGGGACAGAGCTTGTGTGTCCACAATGAGTGATGTGATACAGGCTGTGGGTTGTCTCACCTCCTGCAGGACCTCCCGGTCCTCAGCGGCGAGGTCCGGGGACCCCCCAGCGGTGGCGCGCTGCACGGCCAGGCTGAAGTCCGACACCACCTGCAAAGAGAGAGGGATATTCCATTTTTCCAGTACACTCAGTGCTGATTAGATGTTGCACAGCTATTCGACCAGGAGTACCACATGAACCTGTAATATAACTCTTTTACTATCAGATGCTTTCCTGGCCAGCGGCAAGGTGCGTCTGCAGACGAGCAATTAGAGGCTGCCAAGTAACCTAGCCCTTGTCAAACCCGCCAGATCCAATCATGACCCAATCAACAGTGGGCACGGTGCTCAGTATTTTGCCGCCCCCCCGCCAGCCTGGGCGACGATCTATAAACATTCTTATCAATCTCTTTTCCTGGCATAGGCAAGGCGCCTCTGCAGACAAGTTGCAGGGGCAGGCTGAGGCTGTCACATAAAGGCTGAATCAGCCTGTAGATGCTCAGACATTTTCACAAAATTAAAAAATGTACCTGCGCGGCGCTGACGACGGTGATGAGATAGGTGCCTGGGGAGCGTTGGAGGTCCCCCCGCTGGATCACCACCGAATCCTGCCGCGAGTCCCCCGCCCTCATGCGGCTCCAGCGCTCCTGCTCACGCCCTGGCGGCGTCACCAGCCTGCATAGGGAAAGATCTCGTTTTAGCGCTTCTGTGTAAAGAAATTTGTGTGGCGTTGAACAGATTGCTTGGGAAGAGGGCTTTGCAGCGGCTCACTCCTCCAGTATGTGATCTTGGGAAGGTGTTCACAGGCTCATTATCGACATGTGCTGGTCAATTGGTGACCGATAGCTGATTGGGTAATGGACATGTGCAGGTAGCAGGAGAATAGTCTGCTTTGTCAACCAATTGGGTTTCAAAGAGTGATTCAATGGAAGAGAACATCCGTTTTGAAACCCAAGCACAATTAGTGTATCTCGATGTGCCATAAAGTTGTTGCAAAGGAGAGGGTACATGAGCGGCAAGGGCAATGGAGTCCAGTCAGCCAGATGTGTGCATTGCCCAAAGTTGAGGCATGATCGGAGCACTCACAGATCGACGTCTCCCTGGCGAGATGTCAGCGTCACAACGAGGTGGAAGTCTGCGTTGCTAGTTACTGGGTAAGGGTAGGTCATGTTCTGGAGGCCCACTGTGCCGCTTGCTCTGCAGTACAGGTTCTCGCACTCCAGCTCCGGCTGCTGTGCCGCACATTGTAAGGAAATGACAGATAAAAGTACTAGAGCACTCCAGACCGTGACTTGGAAATGCCTGAGGATCGTCATATCGCTCCTGTACTGTCACTCGCCTCAACTCGGGAAGAGCAGGAACGAGCATTAAGGGTGATCAACCCAGCTGAACCCAGTGGTACACTGCATGATTTGAAGTTATCTGCAATCAGGCCACATTTAGGTTTGCCACGGTCTGATCGCGGGGCGAGCTGTTCCGCTGTGCATCCCGCGCTTGGTTTGAAGGGCGATGCAGTCTGAGGTAAATCCCTGACACGCCAGCAAGTTGGGGAAATTTTAGGGCTTTCAGGGACCATCGCACAAAATGGCCGTTGTGAAAACATTTCACAGCATCGGGACAAGCGGGGCCTGTCAACAACGGTCAGGATGTAAAACTATTGGTTCTCGCGAGCTAGCTTGGCATTGAGAAGCAGCATCCTGTTTTATATGGTCATTCAGGACGATGGGTAAGAAAGCTTTAATAGTGCACCCGCAATTTCTGCACACTCTGCCTGAGCAGACACCGCTGAAGGGTCCCGTGAAATTAGAGAACCTTCCATTGCACATTGTGCACTTGGTGGCGTGTAAATTTGACAACGCGAGAGACTTGTGCACCTTTGAACAAGTGTGCAAGTTCTCAAGGTGATTTTCTCTCGAACTCTGCTTTGTTCATTGCACTGTGTGTCCCATTGCCGGGTTTAAACTTCTCTGCACAGCTCCTTCTCTTCACCAGCTTGGTACTATCACACGTTGGTTTTTTTTATTCGGCATGTGTGTCAACACAATTTAAATTCTGCAGAGTTCATTGTGTCTCGTTGGTAAAGGTTGTGTGAATGCTGTCCTATAAGTTATCCTGATAATTATTGTTGAATGGCGTTTCTGTTGATTTGCAGGGAAGCTGTCCTGAGTGACGATTCTTTATGGCAGGAGCTGTGCTGCAGCAAGTTCCGTATGTCCCGCCACGCCGACCTCTCTGGAAAGAAGGGCTTGACTTGGAGGGCGTTGTACAAGTGAGCAGTCACCATTGTATTTTAGTATATGTCTTAGGCCAAACGCCATCAGCAAATTTACTGAGGCTCTGTGTGTCTGACCCAGGTTCCATCATCAATTGTTTTATAATTTTGTGGTGTACAAAAGACCAGACAAGCTCATCAACCTGGGCCACGGTGTTGTCGTCTTCAACATCCCTGTCATGGCGTAAGGTCTGGACGATGGATGGACAGGAGAATTGATGTCGCCAGGCTCACACATTGACGCGTGCCTCAATGCTATTGTATATTATTATGATGGAAGAGCACATGCTCTGGAAGAGCCTTTTGCTGCCATTGTGAGGTTCTTCGCATGGACAACAGTGGCAAGGAGTCTGTGGCATGCACTATTGACAGATCAGCAAGCAGAACTAAGCTTTGGACTTTAAGCTTCGCTCGCAATGGTAGGGAAGAACAGAATTGTGACAAATGTACTGGGTTTTTTAAGAGAGGATGTCCATGTTCTTGACCTCCAGTCTGGATTTGGTGTGTATCATGATGATGGCTCAGAATGGACACTGCCTTGAAGGGTGGCATGATTGTGGCGAAATGATCTCAGGCAAGTTGCAAGTGGAACTGTGAGTAAAACAGCTCGCAAACAATATATTCATGCATGTCTGTGACTTTGCTCAAGCTGTATTACACAGCCAAAGGGCACTGCACCTTAGGCGAGGCTTAAGATTCAACCACAGCACGTATCACGTTTGGCTCTGCCTCTATATCGATATCTCATTGGCAAGGATTTAGAACAAAATGATGTGCTTGTTCCGGTACTAAATTCCTTCCTATGACAGCATGAATTGTTCTGTGGAAAAGTGAAGAATACTCTGTGAGGAAACCCATCACACACGAATCAACATTCTCACACGGGCAGGATGTTCAAGGACAAACCCTCTGCTAGAGGACAACTCCTTATATTGCTACACTTCCACTGTGCCATTGGCACCAAGCCAGCCAAGCCTCCCCCTTTCTGGGGCACACTGCAGCCTCTTGTCAAATGCACAGCAATCTTGGCACTTTGCCCGTCTCTTCTGCGGCTCAAAGCATCCAGGCATGCGCTTGGGAAGGAACAACCACACTGACTGCTCCCCACCGGCTGCTGTCTTTGTTGTCTGTGCTGCACTTAGTCAACCTCCTGCAGGACAAAAACATGACGGCCAATGTTCAGCAAGCCTGGGCCAGTAATGTTTGACTTGCACAGCTGGCACTGCGAACCATTTTGTGTGCCCCGGCACGTGAAATTTACTCCCTTGTATGCTGCGCGCACTGCGTTTACATAGCGAGGCAGCCCTTTCTCCTTCCTAGCGCACGTTCGGCCTTGATACCTGCATATTTCTTTCTCTAATTTCTTTTCCAGAGTGCAATGGCAGTGGGGGTCAGGGAGCACACCTCCATGCGGGAGCCCTCATCCACATCCTCCTCAAGGGGTGGCAGGTCCTCGTCATCACCCTCCTGTTATTAGCACACAAGCACTCTCAACATTTTGTACCGATTTCCAACAGAAACTTTCCATCTCGCTTTCTACGAAGAACAGGAAGCCAGGGCATGCCACCCACCCCTTACTAAGCACAGGGTTGCTGCTCACCCCCAGGACACTGGGGGACAGCAGCAGTTGCTTGTGCTACAACGCACACTGCAAACAAGCATGTACCAATGCACGAGATAAATGGCTTGCACAAACAATGACTGATCGGTGAGGTGGGCGGTGACTGACCACGGGCAGGTCGTCCTCGTCGATGGAGAGGCCGAGCTTGATCATGCGGTGGATGCGCGTGCCAAAGGTGTTGGGCTCGTCCAGGGAGAAGCCGCTAGTCAGCAGCGCAGTCTCAAACAGCAGCAGCACCAGGTCCTTCACCGTCTTGTCGCTCTTGTCCACGTCAGCGCGCTTCTTCAGCTCCTGCAGCACGCGTGTGTGCATTTAGTGTTAAGAAAAATATTCTTTGCCATATTCAAACTTACTGTAAAATCCAACCCCCAACGTGAAGGGGATGTGCAAGAAGCACGCAAGGATAGCTGATGCAAGAAATCTCACAAGGGGAAGATCTGATAGTAAGGATCTCCCCTTGATAGCAACGGAAATGGCTGTACACAGATATGCCTGCAGCATGTTGCAAACCCCCAAATCCTGGTAATTAAAGTTGAGGACCAAATAATCACATCACACAGGACAGGCGGGACCAAATAGGAGCACGCATAGTCAGCAGGGGCCACGCACCGAGACGATGGCGTTTTCGGGGTTGATCTCCAGGGTCTTCTTGGAGGTCATGTAGGAGGACATGGAGGAGTCGCGCAGGGCCTGCGCCTTCATGATGCGCTCCATGTTGGCGCTCCAGCCGTACTCGCCCGTCACCAGCACGCATGGCGAGTCCACCGCGCGCTCGCCCACCACCACCTGCGCGCATGTGCCGCCGCTTAGTCATCCACAGTAACCTTACCAAGCAGATCGCACGGCAACGGTAGACCCCAAGCCCTTCAGGGGCTCCCAAGCATGGCTGTGACCTATGAATGTGACAGCCAGGCAAAAAGATGATCGCTGGTGTATTGAGGTTGTGAGGAAACACAAGCATGGTACAGACGTGAAGTTTAATTTCTCCCATTGTCCTTTTCATATATTAGGTGTTCATTTGCCAGGCCACCGAGAACACAGTGAAATTCACGTCCTCCAGCAACTTCGTGATCCCGCACTCCATCCTGATCAATACGGAACTTCACTGGACAGCACATCAACACAGCATGCAAGTACGGGTGCAGTGCAGCCAAGTGTAGCGCCCACCTTCTCGACCTTGTCGGAGAGGATGTCCTTGATGAGGCCGCAGAGGGGCTCGTAGGAGGCCTTGAGCTCCTCCAGCCGCTTTTTGTCCTCCTCGGTCTCGTCGATAGTCAGGCCCTCCTTGGTCACGCTCACCAGCTTCTTGCCGTCGTACTCCTTCAGCTGCTGCACCGCATACTCATCGATGGGGTCCACCAGGAACAGCACCTGCGCGCACATGCCACCCTCCCTTACTCATCCCCTATCTTGCAATGTCTTTGCCTTATCGACCTCTAAGCGCTGCACTGCAATCAAGGCGTTCCAAAGGCAGCCAATCCACCTTCCGGCGTAACAGGAAGAAATCGCGCATGCTATCTTTGTCTCCTTGCCATGCGCTCAAGAGTTGCACTGCCATCACTGCAAAGGCAGCCACCAGCTTTGCAGTGCAACAGGATGCAGTCAGCACAGCCAAAGGGGTACTGAACAAATGGGCCAAAGCACATCAAGGCTGGTCAGGACCGCACCTCGAGGTTCTTCTTCTTGAGGCGCTCGATGAAGGGGGAGTTCTCGACGGCCTTGCGCGACTCGCCGGTGATGTAGTAGATGTCCTTCTGGCTCTCCTTCATCCGGGTCACATAGTCCTTCAGACTCGTCAGCTCCTCACCTGCACACCACCGCACTAGAATCAGTATATCAAGCTTGAAGTGTTCTCAACGACCTCACATCGCTGTTAAAATAATGCATATACCATCCAGATTATTCAGCCATTTGAAATGTGAGTGGACAGCCTTGCGCATGCGGCATTGCCAGTGCATGCCTCTCAATGCTCAAGTGTCTTTAGCGCCTCTTTGCCCGAACCAGGCCTGCCTTTACGTATTCCTGCTATACATGCTGTACTAGGGTGCCCCATCTAGAGGTTGTATAACTACTAAAGGCCAAATATTACAAGTGACTTATGAAAGGGTGTGAGGGCTCACCAGACTTGGTGGAGTGGTAGCGGAGCAGCTCTGCCAGCTTGGAGCGGTTGGCGCTGTCCTCGTGCACTCCCAGCTTCAGGTTCTTGCCGAAGGACTGCACACAGCCAATACAAATTTCAACCATGCCCACCTCGAGAAACAATTGTTGATGACTTTCTGCGAGCCAGCCAGCCAGCCTGACATGGGCTTCATGCAGCCAGCCAGCATACAATTGCTGCCTTGCACTTGCTTGCAATAATCATCATTGCCAGGCTCCAATAGAGAAATGCGCATGTGCCATGAGAAGGCCAGATTACACTCCACCAGGCTACGGTAGGACAGAGTGCAAGTGGTATGGAAGGCTCACCTCGTAGAACTTGTTGTAGTCATCCTTGTTCTCGGCAATCTCATTGAAGAGCTCAATGCTCTTCTTGATGAGGTTCTTCTTGATGACCTTGAGGATCTTGTTCTGCTGGAGCATCTCGCGGGAGATGTTGAGGGGCAGGTCCTCGCTGTCCACGATGCCCTTCATGAAGCCGAGCCACTCGGGGATGAGCTCCTCGCAGTTGTCCATGATGAACACCCGCCTCACATACAGCTTGATGTTGTTCGACTTCTTCCTGCCATGCACAAAATATACTCCTGGTCAGTACAGCAGCTGAAACCTCAATAGACTCTACGCACATGCTCAGCCAGCAGAAACTTCCAAGTTCTAAGTTCCACTGGCTGAGCAGTAGACGATACAGATTCCGGTAATTGCATGAACGAATAGGAGCAGACCATTAAGGGATGCACCAGGCAGGGATGTGCAATGCTGATGCAGAGGCCAGGGCAGTGGAGACATCGGAAATGTGGATGGAGATATGGGGTTTGGTCAGAAGCAGGAGGCTTAATAGGCCCCACCTGGTGTCGAAGAGGTCGAAGGGGGCGCGCTTGGGCACGAAGAGGATGGACTTGAACTCTAGCTGGCCCTCCACAGCAAAGTGCTTCTGCGCCAGGGGCTCCTCCCAGTCATTGGTGAGGGACTTGTAGAAGGCCTCGTACTCCTCCTTGGAGATCTCCTCGGGGTTGCGCATCCAGATGGGCTTCTGCTTGTTCACCAGCTGCCACTCGTGCGACACCTCCTTCACCTTCTTCTTCTTCTTCTCCTTCTTCTCCTCCTCCTCCTCCTCCTTGATCTGCACAGCCGCCACCAGCACCTCAGATACATTCTTCATACAGGATACTCTGTGACATGATATACCCATGTCGCAAACACAAAACACAGAGAATTCAGGACGGACACCCAGGCGCAAGCATATTTGGTCTTCAAACTTGCACAGCAATGTATAGGTGCTGTCAAGATCTTCCTTTTTGCACAGGCATGTGGATGAGCTCCGAAAAGCTGCAGATTGACAATGCCGTGGTATATGCGCCCAGGTTCGGTAAAATATGGTCACTTCCAATGCTGTGGCAATCAAAATGGATGCAAAGGACACGCAGCTAACTGCATTGCCAGAGGGCAGGAGAGCGCGATCCTCCTCTGGTACTATTCATGCAAGCACCTCCGGTAAATCTGCCAACCTTCTATGCTGAGCGGGAAAGTTGAAGAAACCTCGCACCTCCTCAACCTTGCCCTCCTCGTCGTCGTCCTTGGGCTCCTCCTCCTCGTCATCATCCACCTCCTTCTCGGTGGTCTTCTCCACCCACAGGCTGATCGGGTACGAGATGAACTCGCTGTGCTTCTTGATCAAGTCCTGCACCCAGCATTCTCGGCGGTCAACAACCAGCAGGGACATGCAGCATTTGCAGACAGCAGCACACATGCCCCAGTCCGCACAAAGGCCCGTTGCACGCAGACAACTTTTCCCATTGCACATTCTGGTGGGAGTGCACAGGTGACAGAACAACCCCAACAATAATCACAGCAGAAAGCACGGTGAGGAATTTGTCCGCAGCTCAACAGGCAGTCCTGCTGCGCAATGATAGGCTGGCCATGATGCAGCGCTGTGCTTGCTGGCCACTGCGGATGCAGTGCATTTGCGAGGTCTGCATGCATGCATGCCACACCTAGATACACCCATTCACACAGCTGGCTATCCGTCACAAAATGAGAAAGACATCTACATACTTGGCCAAGGCGAGGAGGGAGCAGGCTGCAGTACCTTGAGGCGGCGCTCCTCGAGGTACTCCATCTGGTCCTCCTTGAGGTGGAGGGTGATCTGCGTGCCGCGGCCAAGCGACGGGTTGACGGTGTCACGCGCGATGGTGAAAGAGCCGCCGGCCTGGCTCTCCCATATGTACTGCTCGTCATCGTTGTGCTTTGTGATGACGCTCACGCGGTCTGCAACCAGGTAGGCGGAGTAGAAACCCACGCCGAACTGGCCAATCATGCTGATGTCCGCGCCGGCACTCAGAGCCTCCATGAACGCCTGCAGAAATACATCAGAATGCTTCAGGCTATATGTAGCAGGAAAATACTGTGCCAGGGCAGATACAAAGAAGACACTTGCAAGGGCTTACTCACAGCATACAAATGCTGGCAAGGGGGACAGCCCAAGAGGGTGGATTTGCAGTCAAATGATGCCCTTCAGACTATTTCTGCATGCTTGAAAATTGCCTACGGCGAGGCCAGCAAGTGTGCAGCAGAAAGTCAAGACACTAGCCGCCAGAACACTCAATGCGAGACCGACAGCCGAGAACACAGGCCGCTGAGACATCGCACGAAAGTCAAAGATCAAACAAAATAACACATCAAATGTTTCAAGCCTGCCTTGACTGACATCCAACAATTGATCGCCAACTTGCAACCAGAGACGATTCTAGAAGGGCGGACTTGCCTTGGTCCCCGAGCGTGCGATGGTTCCCAAGTTGTTCACCAGATCCGCCTTTGTCATGCCTGCGATCCACAACCAGGGCGTCAAGAGGCCGTACTGCAACGAGCTGCGAGGCTGTGGCAGGCAGAACCAAAGCCAAAGACTTACCGACACCAGAGTCTGTGATCGTGAGCGTGTTGTTGGCCTTGTCAGGCGTGATGTGGATGTAAAGCTCTGGGTTGCTCTCCAGCACCGACTTGTCAGTGAGGGACTGGAAACGGACTTTGTCAATAGCGTCCGAGGCATTGCTGATCAGTTCCCTCAAGAAGATTTCCTTGTTGGAGTAGAACTGCGGCCCCACGACACAATGTCAACATGTTTTCGCTTTACAACAAACATAAGTATATTAATTTAGAGATAAAAAGCTGCATTAGATCTATGGCAGCACTCACCGTGTTAATGATCAGACTGAGCAGCTGGTTGATCTCAGCCTGGAAGGCGAAGGTCTCGGGCTCTGCCATGCTTGCTACTCACCAGGCTCTAGTTTTCACAAATATCTAATCCCACACTGCACGTCTGACGTTGCCGTGTTCTTCTTTTGCAAAGTGACTGCGAAACGCAAGCTCAGTGTGCGATTGCCAGGTTTGTAGCCTGCCGAGAATGCTCTGGAATGCTCTCCCGAGGCGTTCACAGCGGCCAGATAGGATACGCGCTTCGGCCAGGAAAGGGGTGGGCGCTGAGAGCTTTTGGAGGGGAACACGGACGGCGCTTTGCTCAGTTTGTCCAAGACAGAGACGTTCGAGGGTGCAAAGCATGTGTTAAACGAGGCAGCCGTGGGCGAAGGGGGCCGGCAACAGCCTGTGGACGGCGCGGAGGTCTGGGGAGTCAATCCACCCGATGGTTAGCACTATCACCCTTCCCAGGGCCGCGTCCGAGCCGGTGTTCGTCACGTCTCAGCAGGTAGGATGGCGTGGCAATGCGTCAATGTGCGTGGGGCTGTGCTTGGTGGGCTTATCTGATGCCCGGAATTTTCCGGAGATACTACCGTCTGGGTTTTGACCCTTCCCACGATGGGTGCAGAAGTTGTCGTCTCGCGCCGCTCCGGTGGAGGCCTGCCGCTCCGAGAACAGGACGACTGCGGCCGTTTCGGAGAGGCAATTAGCCAGGTGAGGGTCCGGCGCGCCTGCTACGCTATTTCACGCCTGTCTTGGGGCCTGAGCCGTTCCACCCGAGAGAGGTCGAATTTACGAATATTCGCCTTGCCCAGGAAAATGCCAGACGCCGAGGACCCTGGCGCCGCTGAGATCAGGCGCATCATGCAGGTGAGATTTTGTTCGGGGCTGTAGAAGGTGCCGTGCAGTGTGGGCCTCTGCCATCCTTTCATGCTTCTTGTCACGTGGACTTTTACCTCAAGTCCCGAAAGAAAGCTTTTTGTACAAAGGAAGAGACTTGCTTTAAAAAGATAATGCATTTTCAAGCAGAGTTTTGTGGTGTCGTACCTGGGACAAAAGGACTGGTTGAACATCTAGCAGGTAACAGCTTAGGTGTTTGGGCGACAATTCTTTTCCTGTTGTGCTCGCAAATCCGCAAGGTCTTTTCTTTTTGTTACCTTCTGAATCACTGGTCTCTGCAAGATTCATAGAGCGGTCTTTCCACATTTACTGAGGCCACATCCTGGTCTTCTGCTTTGACCTTATTTTCCTCTGCGCAGTATGGAGGCAACTGTGGATCTCCTGCCAACAATTCTTGGCTGGGAATCTCTCCTCCCACGCGTACGACTGGGGCAGCCAACCCTCTGGTGCAGGACTTCAATTGGCGCTCGAATGCCTACAGGTACATCATCACTGGCACCCTTCACACCTCTTGCATATTTAAGAAGGGCAGGAAGCTCACACAACACCTCTGCTTGCTGGCAGTAGTGCTGGTCCAGGGTGTGCCCCAATGTTGGAGGTTCTTGCTGGCCCAAAACGGCTGGGACACAGGGGACTTTTGCAAGCTGGTTCTGGTGTGTACATCGCCTGTCTTGATAGCACCCTACAATGCAGCGTATAACTCACTTGGATCCCAGGGTGCAGGGGTGTCCACTGCTTTGAGCAGGTGAGCTGAGTGCCCCTTTGATTGGCCGCGCAGGTGCTCACACAGCAACCTGCAGGCATTGAGGGAGATTGATGCGCGCGGCGTGTCATTCCTGCGTTGTTCCAGCCAGGGAGGGGACAGCCGGCTGCTGGTGGAGAGCCCTGATTACGGCCTTCTGTCAGCCGATGACTCGCAGGACACCACTAGCACCACGGTCTGCTACGTACCTCCCAGCCGCGAGTCATGCCAGGCCACGTCAGCGGCCTCCACTGGGCACCTGCGCGTGGGAACGCCCCTGTCCTGCCAGATGGGCTTCTTCGTGCGCTGAGGGAGCTGGGGGGCTTTAATGCGCACGCTGATGGAGCGGGGGGATAAATGCGCGCAGCCAGGGTGACGGCCGTTCTGCCGATTTTGGGCGCATCCCGGAGGCGGCAGCCCGCCGGCGTGTGCGGTGGCGCGGCTTCTACTCCGGTACTGTTTTGTGGAGAGGGGAGATGGGCCAGAGAGTAGCTGAGAGCTGCCGAGGAGCTGCGTAGCGAGCGACTTAGTGGCCTGAGCCGAGCCTGCGGGTTTTGAAGCAGCGTAGGTAGGACAGAGCAGTAAAGGACGAAAAGAGTAACAGAAGAAAAAATCACTGTAGGGTTGTGGAGGCACCAAATCGGGGCGGCAGCCTGGTGAGGGTGGCCTTTACATCTGTGTGTCTTTGTGAGGGTGCCAAAGCAACATTGCTACCTTCTGTGATTGTGTACAGCCAAGAGAAGTACCGTATTAGGTGTTCATTTGGCCATGCGTGTGTGCGGCCCATTTTGTTTCCACGGGGAGCATCGATTTGCACCCAGGGTGTATCACCAGCCACATGCCGTAGCGCTGTACCAGCCCTTGAATATGCGCTGGGCTATAAGAGGGCTCCTTTTTTGTACCATTGAGTGGAGCTGTCGTTCCTCCCTGCAATGTTTCAGGTTTTTTGTTGAGTTGTTGGAAGGTGCACTGCGCGTCGTAAGTCTGAGGAGACATAAAAAATGGTGATGTGTGAGTACGTGTCTTTGCGTGGCAAAACTGCTCGTCCCCCAATTGGATGATTCTTAGGTGCCTTCCGGTGTATCGACACTATGACTCATGATGGAGGTTGAGGCAGCAGGCAAGGAGAAAGGACTCTCATGATGCAATTGATACCCCCCGCCCGCTGACTGTACCATGGCTGACTCATGCGCTGTACACAAGTGACTGCAGATGTATATGATCTGACGCCGGTCTGGGCGCTGACTGTGGCTGTGGTGGTATTTGGGTTGAGTTGAAATTGGACCAGGTCAATCGTGGTCAGTCCAATGACGGGTGGTCAGACATCATGTATGGTGGTGTTGAGGAACAGGAAGGCAAAATATTCCTTGTGATCAGACATGAGTACTGTAGGACTTGAATATTGCTGCCAGCAGCAGCACAGCTGACCCAGTCTGTCTGGCGTGCAGTTGTGCTGTCCAGAGTGTAATCCATGTGGAGGTTGCAGATCTTCATTGTCGGTCCAGTGGTCCCAACTATAGTCCAGAGTGGCCCTAGCACTTGACGGTCACACACCATGGCCATAATGTCACACCGTGTGACTACACAATCATGGACCACTGGTAGGCTGGCAGCTGCGAGGTATGATACCGTATCATACGCGACTCTGAACTTTCTTCTAATCTTGAAGGTTTGTACGGTGTTCTTCTTCTACGGGCAAAGCTATCCAAAGGCATCTGCATGGAAGAGTTCAACTTACAGGTTTCCTGTAACAGGTACTGGATGCACTGAGTTAGTGCCCCTGATAACAAGCGTCCAGACTGGTGGCATTCAGCTTTCTTGTGCCTGGGAATCGTGACTAAGGATATCTCACTGATCCCGGCAGTGACTAGTTCGATGGGGAGTCTCGCGCCATTTGAATCAAAGAAGACGAAAGTAACATTCAATGAAGTGCATTTAAAAAGCGATGCACCTATGTTGGGAAAGGATTCGTTGACGCCGCTTGGATGCCGGGGACAGACGACACCGAACAGTGATCTGACGGAAGTCCCACGTTGTTTTTCCGAGATGCTGACCCGTTCAAACGCCTGGTCAATTGTCATATCTTCACCGTCTGTCTCGATCATTTTAGGTGCGATGCTAGGAGCTGCATGTGATGCCAACTGTTGGGATAACTCTGAAGTTGTTTCACAGCTAGCCCGGACTGCACGCCTTCTCTCTGTCTATGGTCCGTGGCTCCATATTTGAAGATTTCCACAGGTTGATGCCATCCGAATGGAGTTTGCTGCGCTGCGCCGCGTTCAGCGCTCTGATCGGCTTCTCAATTGCACTAACGCATGAGGACCACCAAGGGAGCCCTAATGCCGCTACAACATACCAAGAACGGCTCATACAGAAGACCGCAATGCTTCGCCCTGGACCGCATACCTGGGCCGGGTACAGTGGGCCCTGGATTGAAAACGTGTTCTTCAGCGAGTGGGGGATTCGCAAACCCCAAATGTCTCGCATCTACCTGCCCGTTGCTTGGACCGACTGCATGCACAACAATAGCCTGAGAGATCAGATGCAGCAGCTGCTGAATGGTCTGGATCCAGCGTTCCAGTACTTCACTGTGCTGCAGCTGGACTTGGGCTTCAACCACCACGGGCTCAAGCTGAAAGTTCCTCAGAGCATTGACATGGTCCTTTTTTCAGCGGGAGGCGGCAATCCCCATCAGAAGGCCATTCCTATTCCCCTTCTGAAGGGTGTGCTGGAGCCAGAGGGCCGCGCCAAGACCATCTCAGTGAGTTTCCAGGGGTCCAATACCTCTCACATCAGGAAAGGTTTGCACGAGGATTTCAGTGACAGATACTTGTTCCTGGGTCCCAACGAGCACTGGAAGATAATCAGCGAGAGCAGCATTTTTTCCTTCTGCCCCAGGGGTTTTGGTTCAACCTCTTTCCGTCTGTATGAGACCTTGCAGCTAGGCACAATACCAATCTATGTTTGGGACGAGGAACTTTGGCTGCCGTTTCAGGAACTTTTGAACTGGCAGGAATTTGCGATAGTTGTGTCATTCAGAGATCGGGCGAAGATTCCCTCCTTGCTAGCCCAGGCTGATATTGGGCGCATGCAGGCAGCTCTGCACAGGCACCGCTACATGTTTTCGTATAGCTTCACTGTGCAGTACATATTGGAAAGACTGTTCATTCTGGACAGGCTGTCTGACCCTTCTTTAAGGGTTGTGCCAATATGAAGTCTGCCAGACTGAGCAGAATGAGTCCATGTGCATTATATGGACCACGATCATGTTGCATCATGAGAGCCGGGGTGGAGTTCTCAAGTTGTTGCAACCCTGTGTTGAGGGATGTAGATGTTGCTGCCCGAATTGCAGAGTCTGCTTGACTATGTCTATGATTCATACCGTGTCCACTCCTCCGGAATTCTGGTGGGTATGTCAATTTTGGTTGAATAGCCTGTCAGTCTGTATATCTGTCCCTTCGTCAGATAGTTTGCAAGCCAATTAGTGATAACCCCAGTCCGTATTTAATTTACTTGCTAGAGCCTCTTGAGGGATATGTAGACCATCTCCAATTCTATGTTGAAACACTGAAGCTATACTATCATTTCTTGCACGTGCACTGCCCAATTGTAGGGTGAATTCAATTGTTGAGGTGAGCCCTCAGCGTGCCATTTGCTGGCAAACATCCGCACTCTGCAATTGTAGAACTGTAATTTTACCTGCTGCAGCACTTGAAGCCTGCTCCATGATCATGCAATCCACTCCTGCAAAAAAATTGCATGTTTTCCCTTGCCACTCCGTGTGGGTGATGAATCAATTGAAAGTACAGTATTATATTGAGCAAATGTTGGTGAGCGAATTGCACTTCTGGCTTGGCGCACAAAGGCTACAAAAAGTCTGAAGAATAGATGTACATATTGTGTCTAATAATTAGACATTTCCATGTATACAGCTTTTACATATGAAATTCAGGTCCATGGCCTAAAAAAAGAGTGCTGCAGTGTGCATGCTTGTAGCGCCAAAAAGGCTTGCGCCAAAATGGCTTCTGTCAAACTATGTGAGTCCCAAAGTCCCACAATCACCACTGAAGGCAACAGGAGGCATCCTATCATGCGCGCAGTAGCGCTTGGCCAAACACGTTCACAGCGAAAAAGCTGATGAGAGACAGGCTGGCAGGCCACGCCTTGGGACCAGGCCACGCCTTTGGGTCATCCTCTGCGAGCAAGAAAAATTTCCTCATCAAAGACCAATAGACGCCCCAAAACCATATCAATGCCCTCTATGGGCATGCCAAGGCAGCTGAAGATGAGATTGGGCCTGCTGCGCGTTGTACATGTCCAGCATGAGGGCAAAAAACATAAATCACCCACCTACATCGAAGGCCCGCTTGATATCAAGGATCAAAAGAATCAGAGAGGCAACGGTGCCCACAGCAAGGCCTGCTTTCTGCTGCCCTTGGGTCAGTAGCGCAAGAGCCTGCACAGCCCACCTCTCAACTTCAGCGTATTCCACAGCAGCCGGGTGTGCAAATAAGGGTGTCAGTAGGGATATTAAGCAGCCGTCTAAGTAGCCTCCATATCCCTAGCTGCAATCATGCTGCAATCGAATGCCATGCCAATGGTATGACATACAAGAGCATGGGACACATGATGTGGGAGTGTACCATTGTTAAGGGAACTTACCCCAGCAAGAGCCACCGAGGTGGATATCAGAATAAAAATTGACGGGCGTCCTTTTGCGTTTGCCTTCAGCTGAGAGCGCGTGTAAATGCCCTCTCCCAATGACACAACAACTGCACAAGAGGCATGTTAGTCAATAAGCATGTCAGCACTTCCACATCTTGAGAACAAGCGTTCAAAGAGCAGGACTTCCCTTGCAGAAATAAAGCGATGAAGCCGCATCTAATAGGGTGCGCACCAAATGCTGCCCCCTGCTGCAAGACTGAAAGGAACGCTCCCTGGTCGAGGACAGCCTGTTGAGAAAGAGACCGACTTAAGTATTCTCAGGTGCACAATTATCTCATCATCAACAATCAAGAAGCAATGTACGGAACACAAATGTCAAGGAAGAAGAATTACCTGGACTTTGCAGGGACACCTCCGCACAGATCGCCTCTGCATCCTACTGATAGCGTGTCCGCGGAAATTGCAATTGGGCTGATGAAGGCTGTGTACTGCGCGATTCAAATGTGAAGGCAATGTTTGGTACGAACAGCTGGCCATGACTGACGGCTTAATGCGTTCAAGGGAAGATCAGTACCACGCTTCTAAACCAATCTACTACGGCACACCCTTCGCAAAAGATTTATAATTTTTGCAGCGAGTGGGATTCGAGGTCGGATTAACTTGCAGCAGTTAAACGTGATATTTCGCTTCGATATATTTGGATCAGAGGATAGACTAAACTGCCACGCTGGCCCGCAACACGTGCCGCTATGGCAACGGTTAGGACCTCATTCCTCTACGCGCCCTCCCCAGACGAATGGATCGATGATGGTAGGCGCAATTTCGATGATGCATGCTAGTAGTATTGGATGCAGAGCGTCTGCAGGGGCAGCAATCGGAAGACAAAGTAGGGGCTTCATACCAGCTTCTGATGTTGCAAAGTATCGTAATGAAACTCGCAGGACTTAGGGATGAGTGCTCATCTTTACCTAGGAAGTGAAAAACGTGCAACCCATGCCTTTCATTGTGAAAAGTTCTCTAATGGATGACCCTGTTCGCCGAGATTTACGTTTGCGGGGACAGCAAGCACGTGAGATCTGCTGCACGTCCTGTTTTTGGCAAGCCGATCACAGTATGACTCGAGGTGCACTTTTCTCGCAGGATTATTTTGCCAGAAGCCCTTGCCATGCAGATGGGCTCACCACATCTGCAGCTCACAGAGCCCTGTTATGGGGAGGAGCAGGCACCTGCAGCATTCTGCACTCTCCCCTGTGAATCTGATCGGCCGACAGTCGCATCAGGCGAGCATCCCCTGCAACACTTCATTTCACGCTCTTCCACATGTCTCCTGCACAGAGCATAGCATAGAGTAACAGCATGCAGTTGTGCTGTCTATTCTGACCTTTGTTCCAATGCGAATCACAGGTCAGGGCAGAGAGCTCCAGCAATGGAGCGAGCACAAACGGCTCTGGGCAGTACGACTTTGACCTCTTCACAATCGGGGCCGGCAGCGGTGGAGTGCGCGCTGCACGTTTTGCCGCGTCCACATTCGGTGGCTTCCTCCTATCACCCTCTTGTGCAATGTGAGATTGATCAGATTGAATTTTCCCAAGATGGGCCAGCATATGCTTGCATGCGCCCTGCGTGCCGCCAGACTGCACAGGTGGCCGGTGATCCAGATCAGAGAAGTAGCCAGCGATGGCACCCGGAAACTGGCAGAAGGTGTGCCCAGGGCAGGGCTGCACTGCCCAGGGCAGGACAGGCAAAGCGCCTTAGCATTGCATAATCAAAAGGACAAGCCCGCCAAGCTGCAAATCAAGGCCAGTGGCATACGTATTGCACACCCAGAAACGCGCATACTTATCCCCACCTGCATGCTGAGGCCGCTGGCATATGAAGGACACACACCTGAAGGACGCAGGCGCCACAAGCTGCATGTTAAGGCCAGTGGCATGCGTATTGCACCCCCAGAAAGCGCATAATCGTCTCAAGCTGCGTGCTGAGGTCGATTCAATGTGCGCGCATGCTGCAGGCATCAAGGCGGCGATCTGCGAGCTGCCGTTTGCGCGAAAGGCGTCCGACACGGAGGGCGGCGCGGGTGGCACATGCGTGCTGCGTGGATGCGTGCCCAAGAAGCTCATGGTCTATGGTGGCGAATTTGCTGAGGCCTTCAAGGACAGCGTTGGCTTCGGGTGTGTCCCACTCATCTCACCTCACAGCCTCCCCCTAGTGGATCGCCTGTGGCGGATCCACTCTAGAAATGCCAGGGACAGCCGGGAAGCATGCAGAAAGTTTTGTGGAACCCACCAGATTGTCAGAGGGCTGCTTAGACCAAAAGGAGCCGTGACAAGATCAAAAATAGGGCCATAAAAACATTGGCACTCGCCTCGCTGCGCCGTGACTGACTGCGGCAGATGCAGTCTGGCGTTGCCAAGGACAGCCGGGAAGCATCAGAGCGTATTGCTAAATTCTGCGTAGATAATTGAAGGCTTGACCAGACCCAATGGAGCCCTGCCCAGCTTGTACAGCCAGACAGAAGTTGCTGATGGTTTTGTGGCTCCTTGAGGCCCTGTCTCTTCAGAGCCTTTCTTGTGACTCGCTTGGAGAATGCTCCAATTTACAGCAGGGATCCAGGCCAGGCATGTTTAATGAGCACCGAAGCCCAAGCTGCGGCTGTAGAGGTTCAAGTTCTTGATGCGCTTCTGATCAATGGAGTGTTCAAAAAAGTCCTGGCCGTCCATTGGGGGGATGAGGGACACTGCCTAAATTTCTAAAAATAAATAATGAGGGGCATGCCATGCGCAGGTGGGACGCGTCAAAGCCGTCGCTGACATGGAAGCGGCTGATGGAGAACAAGAACAAGGAGTTGGACCGGCTGAACGGCGTCTACATGAAGCTGCTGGCCGGCGCCGGCGTTGAGTACTTTGAGGGTCGCGGCAAAATCGTGGACGCGCACACCGTGGAAGTCAACGGCAAGCGCTACACGGTACGCAGAGATTCTGCCTCCCGCTCGGAGCGGCGGATGTTCCTCCTCCGTTCTGCATGTGTGAAACCATCCACTCAGCGCAGCATGCGTTAGTAATTCTGCTTTTCATGGACACGCATGTGATTCAAGTCAGTTGCAGGCACTACCCGGTGCCTGGGTGCACTGTGCCTCCCTTTTTGGCAGAGGGAACTGGTCCTTCACTGTGGGGCACATGTGCATCCTTGACACAACATATGCTGACGTGCATATGGGCTGTTCTGCAGGCGCGCAACATCTTGATAGCCACGGGTGCGCGGGCGACGGTGCCGCCGATCCCGGGATCGGAGCACGCGATCATCAGTGATGACATTTTGGATCTACCCGAGCTGCCGGCCAAGCTGGCGATCGTGGGCGGCGGCTACATCGCGCTCGAGTTTGCCGGCATCTACAACAACTTCGGCTCCGAGACCCATGTCTTCTACCGCCAGGTGCGCTCTGCTACAGGCAGTGCTATGACCTTGGACTGCTCGATCATGCTAAGGTACCGCAGTCCGTTCTTTATGGGTCTGGACCAGAATTGCTGCGTGGGAGTATGTGATGGTCTCAACGAGCGGATCTTTCAGGCCACACTGCATGCATGCATTGTTACATTCTGTTTTGGCTCTTTTATAAGTAAGTTGGTACGGTATAAGCAGAAATTACCTCATGTAAGAGTTTGTTGTGTCGGGCTACACTGGAGACCCTGGCACCTGGTAAAACCCCATAGTTCTCCACTGCTGCGCATAGCTCCATGGCTGCCCATGCCCCTAGCTCTTCACAAGAAGCGGCTGGTAAGGACAGCGGGAGCAGCTTCAATCTAAATCTGAATCTGAATCTGAATCTGAATTTGAATTTGGATTTGGATTTGAATTTGAATTTTGAATTTGAATGATAAATTAAGACATGTCAATATTGACATGTCTTGGGTGCCTGCGACCGCAGCCGCTGCCGCTGCGGGGCTTTGACGAGGAGGTGAGAAATTTCGTGGCGGAGCAGTACAGTGTTGCGGGGCTGAATCTGCACCCGGCAGCCACCCCTGTGGAGATCCGCAAGGGCGAGGACGGCAAACTGACCCTCGTGGCGGAGAGCAAGGAGAGCGGCCAAGTTGTGCTCCAAGGGCTGGACCATGTTCTGATGGCCACCGGGCGCAAGCCCAACACGCGCGGCCTCGGCTGCGAAGAGGTGCACTTCACAGTGATCCTCAGCGCTTTACGGATGTATGAGAAAGCCAGGCAGGATGGTCGTGTGCTTGGCCGTGTGTTGGGGTATTGAGGGGAATCTCAGCGAAAGCTCTATGCATTTGCTCTGCTTCGCTGTCATCCTGAAGGCTTTGGATGTCGGCGCAAGGTGTATCGTCCTTATTTGCATTGCTCTGATGACACTCTAATTCTTTGCACCTGCGCCAGACTTCATTGAGTATCTCGGGGGCTGTCTTCCCCTTTTGCCCTGCTGAGCAGTGGTTGGCTGATCGGCACTGCCGTAACCCCCCTATTCCTCTATCGCAAGCCAATGAAGATAGCTGATGGTGATGTCATGGTGTGTGGTGCTGAAGTCTTGGCGTGATGTCACCTGCCAGGCTGGCGTGGAATTGGAGGAGAAGACAGGAGCAGTGAAAGTGGACGAGTTCAGCCAGACATCTGTGCCCTCCATTTGGGCCGTGGGCGATGTCACCGACCGAGTCGCCCTTACGCCAGTTGCGCTCATGGAGGTGTGAAGCCAATTCTTTGTCACTCTTAGTCTCTTCCCATTGTCATTGCCAGGCAAGCCGGGATTGGCAATCACAGTGACATCACGCATGTGGTACTCCCGCAAGCATCTGTGCACTACAAAGAGGCTTGTCTAAGGACATGCACGCTTCTTCAGGTGTGATGCGTGGAGTACAGAATGTGCAGTAGTGAATTAGATTTTCTTGCATGCATCAGCTTTCCTGTTGTATGCTCACCCATTGCAGGGCTGTCTGCCATTTGTGCTTGATTCCCGCCTGGGAGTGAGCTTGCCATGTGGAGAACATGCAATATTGTTTGCAATCTTGAGCCTTATACCTTTTGCAGGGCATGGCATTTGCAAAGAAGGCCTTTGGAGATCAGCAGGATGCAAAGCCGGACTATGATGCAATTGCGAGCGCTGTCTTCAGTTCTCCGCCCATCGCCACTGTTGGCCTCACAGAGGAGGAGGCAATTGAGCAGCACAAGAATGTGGACATTTACACCTCCAGCTTCAAGTATGGCCCCCCTTGTTTTTGCACACTCCCCCTTTTTTCAGAAGGGGCTGCCTCCCCTGCATGCACACCTCCTCTGGCCTACGCTGTCAGTGACCAGTGTGGTGCTTGTTCGTTGTTTGTTCGTTGTTTGTGCCAGCTTTCCACCTTGCTAAATTTTACCTGTGAGTCTGTTCGGTTGCGCCTGCTGGGTTTTTGGTTCTTATTGCCAAGATACTGGAGGGCGATTACTTGCTGTCACTCTGTGGTTGCCTGGCATCAAGGCGGGCAGGAGGTGGCAGAGGTGTTGCCTAGGAAATCTAGAAGAAAATCCAGGAGGCTGGTAGAGAAGATGGTTGAATCTGGCTGCTGTGGTCCTGGCGCAGGCCGATGAAGAACACTATTTCTGGCAACGAGGGGCGCTCCTTCATGAAGCTGATAGTGGCGGCTGACAGTGACCTGGTGGTGGGCGTGCACCTGGTGGGACCAGACTGCTCCGAGATCATCCAGGTAAGCCGATGCCACACACACAAATCCTTGCAGACAAAAGTTTCCCCTTATGTTTGGCGCTGGCTTTGCCTCAGCGTCTGTACTTGCAGTATCTGAAGGCGTGATAGCTCTGCCACAAACACCGGCAGCAAAGCGGGGCCAGCAAGGAAGCAGATTTTTTGACAGAGAGAACCTCTCAAAACAACCACTCAAGCAAGGATCTGTTCCCAATGCTGTAGAAATCCTGCCGTTGTGCTGAGAGCCTTAGAAATGGACCGATGACTGGAGTGAGCCCAGCAGTGTGATGCTGACCTCGTCATTTGTAACGGAATGAGCAGAGGGTTGTCCAGGCCTGATTTCACTTTTCCCAATGTGCAATCCTCGAATGTGTGTGTCAATATCTTGGTGTAAATTGTTTACTATGTCACCCTTGCAGGGTTTCGCGGTGGCTGTCAAGATGGGGGTGACAAAGAAGATGCTGGACTCGGTGGTGGGTGTACACCCCAGCTCTGCAGAGGAGCTAGTCACCATGCGCTCTGCCGCCCGGCAAATCAGGGACAAGGCCCTCGTTCCTGCTTAAGCCGCGCCTGATGCAGGAGAGTTGAGCCGTTTTGGGGGCCTCAAGATACCCTGCGATGCGGTGAGTATGAGAGTGTGCTGATACTGATTTCAGAGCGAGCGTTTGAAGATTATATTGAGCACTGCAGGCTTCAAAAACTATGTTGGGCAGCATTCTTTGCACTGCCGAGGCGGCATGTTCTGAGTGGGGATTGGGATGTATACAAGCATGGTGGTGGTCATGGTTTGCTAGACCAATAATAGCCACAATCAACAGACGATAGAGCAGATAAGGACCTTTACAAGCGGTCAGCATGTGGACTCTGGTGGTTAGCATGGCGTGAGCAATTTGGGGGAAAAAAGATGGAGAGGTATGCAGGCAGATTGCTGAAGTGTCCATAATGTGACTGCTGCTTTTGAGGAGGCACCTAGGTGCGGGTAATGGTATTTCATAGCAGACTTGGCCAGCACGTGTTAGGAATATCCGGGAAGGCATCAGATCACACACCCTTCATGATGTAACACACGTGGGTGGTTGCTCATGCTCAGGCTGTTGTAAAATTTCAGTATGTCCATGCTGCCACACTCTCGCTTTATCAAACGTTTGGCACATAGCTGAATAAACGGTGCAGATCATCAACTGGTCCTCAACTCTGATTTGTGCTGGGTTTGTGCTCATTCGTTTTGCACATACCCAGCACAAGCTCGCCTAAAGGCACAGAGGGTGCATATACAGGTGCAGTTCCAGAAAGCACAAAACACATTGGGTCTAGCCTAGGTGTTAATACAAGCAAGCATTCAGACACACCAAGATAACAATCCACTGGACCAACAAAATGACCAATCAAGCTATGGTACAAGAATGAATACAGTGTGGAATCCAGTCCAACAAAAATACAACAGAGAGCTCTGCACACGCAATTCCCATCCAACCCCCAAATCAACGCTTCCATACCGAATCAACATACGCCAAGACTGTATGCGAGCAGAGCTTCCCTTTCTATCGCTCATTCATTACTGCTCAGAGAAAAGTGCTGGCAGGCAGAGTAGTCGTGCAGCCGAGCGCCCTGCTCTGACTCCTTTCCTATATGAAGACTCTCATACAACGCAGCCTGTCTGTCCAAAGCCCTCAACCATCCATCCAGCTGCAATATGCTCTTGCAGGCACTAGAGTGATGCATTCAATTAGTCTTTAGTGATGGATGTTAGACTCCTTGCAAGCAGGGAACGCTTCAAGTTCATGCAACAGAATTGCACCATCTTTTCCTCTCTACACCTGCCTGTTGATACATCTATCCCCCCGAAGAGAGGGTATGATTATATGTTGACGGGGTTGCCGAGCAGGCGCGCCACCTGGCATTTTGCGCGCGGCGTGAGTCGGTGACAGCCGATGACGTTGAGGGTGACTAACGTCGTTAGCGACTTTACTAAGTGCTCGACTCCCCTGTCAGTCACCTGCGAGCCGGGGCAGCGAGGATTAGATAGCCCATGGCATGCACCTCTGCAAAATGGCTTGTTCTGATGCACGAGCAGAGCAGTTTACGCAGCCTTGTCTGCTCCCTCAACGCGCAGGACAACCAGCAAGCGCCTATTGTGGCCAGCATGCAGCAGGTCCCACACTTCAGCGGACAGCAAGAAGCGTGCTCTTAGAGAAGCCCTGCTGCAGCAGCAGCGATGCGCATGGTCGACCCACCCACCTGTACACTGTAGGACCACATCGACTGACATGAGCTATGCGCACACACTTTCTTTCTCTGCCCCTCATTTTCGCACAGACCATTGACCTGCACGTCGTGGTTCAGCCATCCCCAGATCCAGGTACAGAGCACATGCCAAATGAATTGCGAGATTAATTTCTGGCGCAGAAAAGGTGGCCCCCACCTGCCAGCAGTAGGAGAGGTCGAGGTGCGCCAACGTGGTGAGCGCCGTCAGCCGAGTCAGCCCGGCATCCGTGAGGTGCCAGCAGTTACTGGTCTCCAGGTGTTGCAGGCTGGGCATTCGCGCGCAGTGCGCCAGTGCAGCATCGCTCAGCTGTTGGTTACCCTGCCAGCAGCCCCGCAACTGGTCGCACTCCTCTCAGCACCCCGAAGTTTGGCCCCTCGAAACAAGAGGGGGCCTGTATATCTAGAAACAAGGTAGACTGGGACATGCTTCTGGTCTTGCTGGCGATTAGCACTCCAAAAAATCCCCCTCAAAAGAAGAGGGGGTCTGTATATCTAGGAACAAGGTAGAAAATCACCCTGCTTTCCTTAATCACTCCACCTCTCAGGGGTGTTGATTATATATATTCCACCAACCAACCAATCACAAAGGCAATCGACTCGGCCAAGAATTCAGTAGGGTGACGAACAGTGACTAACAATGACCGGGGGAGATGTACCTGCAGGCGCAGGTGGCACAGGCGCTCCAGGGGAGTTAGAGCGGCGAGGCAGTCGTCGGTGAGGGCGGGGCAGTTTTTCAGATTCAGAGTCCTGAGGGAGGTGATGCGCGCTATGGCGCAGCAGCCGGCGTCTGAGACCATGCTGGCATTCTGCAGGCTCAGGCTCGTCAGGTGCGCCATGCCTGCCCAGCCCGCAAAGCCCTCGCCTGCGCAGCACAGACAATGAGATGCTCCCATCAGGAACAGGGAGCATGGTGAAGCCAGCGAGTCCAGAACGAGGGCAAACACCTGCAGGAAGGGGACTGATAATTGGTAAGCAACGCGCATGCGGCTCATTGTTAGTAGGGGCAATCACGATACCAATTTAGTATGACTACTCAGTATCAGGAGTACCCCTATTCTGAGTGGCTACAAGCAAGGGTGGATGGCAGGGCACGATGGCAACATGCTGGCACGCCGGCCAAGCAATCGCATGCGCGCAGAAAATTGATTGCCCACACATCAGGAACAGGCAGCACGATTCACAATGTCCGGGGGTGCACTGAAAACCACAGCACTTGAGAATCCCAATTTCACGTCCTGGAGCGCGCCTATTTTTCTGTTCTTCGAGCCAGTTCAAGCGTCTAAGCTTCAGCTCAGCAAGGACAGAACGCCCACAAGAAAAGCTGGTGCGCCAGCGTCTAAAGCCCCTCAGAGGAGGCTGGTATACAGCTCTCCTGGTACGGAGTCAAGCTCTCCTGAGCATACTCCAGGCGTCATAGTAAATCCTAAATATAGGCACCATGTGATACCCAACAAACACGTCATGTAATCTGTGCCTTCTCACCAGTGAAGGTGCGAGCCGTCCCCCATCTTCCACCAAAAGCATACGGACCTTGTCATGTTGCCTGACTGTCAGGATGCATGGCACTGCAATGCACTGCAACCGGACAGCAGAAAACAAGAAAAGGCCTTTCGCATCTGGTGCAGGACAAGAGCCGCGTGATCCTTCAGCAATGAGAGCCCCCCAGAGTTCTTGCATCGTGAACACCGTAGCGCTCAAACTAAACCCCCTTTACATGATAAACTGTGAGCCTGAGGGATGGTTTACTAATAGGTTGTTCATGTCCGGGAAGTTGTCTGCGGGGATTTTGGGGACAAGTTTATGTTGCAGCCCAAAATGCCCATATTCCTAGTACAGTTGGCAGGTTTTGGGGTTGCGGGAACGCAGAATAGCTTTTGAGCGTGCGGGACAGCCGGGCGGCAACCTGTCTAATAATGACTTTAATAACTTTTCAAATAGTGGGGGTTTCAGATTGAGCTCTACAATAAGTTGATCGCCGAGAGCAGGCGCGCACCGGTGATCTGGCGGCAGTCCTGCAGGTTGACATTGGTCAGCGATGTCATGTGCCCGATGGCTGCCAGTCCCACGTCCGTTAGGGAGGTGCAGCCCTGCAGATACACCACACGGCAGAAAGATCAAAATCCCCTCGCACTATCGGCGATCTCACATGCAACATCGCATGTAAAAGTTGCATGCGGAGTGGACTGCTTGGCTCAGGTGTAGGGCAAGCTGCAAGGGAAATAATCGCCATGCGGACCGGCTCACAACACTGCTAAAAGAACAGCTGAGAGCGTTGACGCGCAAAAATGTACAACTCTTGGATAATTAAGCATTCAGGTTACAATCAGGCTACCTGGAAACTCTCAAGATTCGCAATGTTTTAAAGGCAGGATGCGAAAAGAAAGTCTGACTGACCTGGAGGTTGAGGGAGGCAACGCCCCTGAGAGACGTCAGCGCCATCAGCCCATCGTCGATGAAGGTCACATGCCTCCAGCCGTCCAAGCTCAGCGCCCTGAGTCAGATGAGAGACATGCCAAAAAAAATTCAATTCAAATGATTTGTCATAAAAGTATTAAGGGATCAGCCCTTGCATATATGCTTGGCCCTCTGAGCGCCACTGTTCCATGCCAGCTAGCCAACCCAGACCCTCCAGAACTGAAATATTTACTTGAGGTATACGCCACATTTCTTTGAGGGTACAGCCACTGGTAGACCAAGTTGGAATCCAATCAATTGCGAGGAGACTTGCAAGCTAGCTGACAGACACCATGACGCCAAAGGACCAAAAACCATCCGACAGAATTACACAATCACGCCAGCTGCTGCAAAGGAGCCTTGCAATTCTCCGAGGGAGAGTGACATGAATGTCTCACCGCAGGCAGGTGAGTGTTGCCAGAGAGGAGATTCCGGCGCCCTCCTCCTGGGAGCAGCCCGACAGGTTGAGCGTTGACAGCGCGGTTAGTAATGACAGGGGCGCCAGGTCAGCGCTGCGGCGAATCCCCGCGCAGTGCTGCAGCTTCAGCGCTGTGAGTCCAGTCAGCGAGCTCAGCGGCAGCAGCCTGCACATGCCGGCACACGACCTGTCATTTCGTGCACTAATCGTTGATGACGAAGAAGTCCACCGTTTTCATGCAAGCGCGATGTTTGCTGCGATGTCAGCCATTCTCACGTCCAGAAGCTCTCCTGATGGTCTTAATCTGGCAGCATGGCTACAGAAGTGCTCCAGGAAAGAATCCATCAGAAGAGTCTGTGCAAATGAGGATGGCCCTTATGAGCGCTTCCAATTTCCCCGTACCACTAAACATAAGCACAAAGTGTCTCCTTTGAGAGCCCCAGCATACATGACAAGCTAGTGGGTCAGTTCAACTGCCCAGCGTGTGCTGTGTTAAGCCACATCCCTACAAACAAAGCACTCCCCACCCTATCCTGCAGCGAATTCACTTAGGCCTGACCAGCCATCCCTACATGGACGTAGAGATCCACAAGAGGCCTGACTTTTCCGCAACCCTACCTTGCATGCTGCATCTTAGATCATCTGGCTACTGGAGACCAAGGGATTACACAAGATGAAAATGTGTTCTAGGCAGGCTATCACTCGTGTACACAAGATGATAAATGAAATATGAAAAAAAGCTCACCCTCGGCCAGTGAGGTGGGTGCAGCCGCTGAGGTCGAGGGAACGCAGGGAGACCAGGCGGCTGAGGGGACCCAACGATGAGTCACCCAGACCGTCACAGTTGCGCAGATTCAGCGCTGCCAGGCGGCTGAGAGAAGCCAGCGGCTCCAGGCTGCTTATCTTGCGGCAGCCTTGCAGGTTTACGTCCATCATGCGGCTCAGACCTGCGGCAGAGCAAGCCAAAATTTTGTGAGAAGTCCACCATTTGAAATAATCCATTTGCTGCATAATCTGCCTTGCAAAATGGTACAGCTGCAATCACAACAAAGCAATGTCATTATGATACCAAGTACTGATGTAATCTCTACATGTCTATAGGAGCAACAATCTACACAGGCAGAAATGGAATGGCATGCAGGGGAATAGCAGATGCAGAACCATCACTCCGCACCACAAAGAGGCTTGCTCAATGCCGGCATTCTTGTAGCGTGACAGGATGATGAGTCAGCATCTGCCTGACAGCTATGCAATGACAGCCAGAGTGTGTCCAGGCCGTCAGCACAAAAGCACACGCAAAGGATGCTCTGGGAAGGTCGAAGCTTCGGAGATGGGGACAGCATGGCATGCAAGGAGATCCAGGACAGGCCATTCACCCTCACCACAGGGGGGGGCCTGTCAGCCAGCCGTCCTGTGGTGAAGGAAACTGACCCATCCAGCATCTGCTTAATAAGATGCGTGCCTGAACCCAGGCTTTTCAGGCAGCGATCCATTCACATTCCCAAAAATCATGAATAAGAAACCACATGAGAAATAGATCCTCAAAGCACAGAGCCGGGCAGTATTCCATGGAGGACAAGATGCCACAACAAATCGCCCTTTGAGATGAGTCCATAAATGCATAATTTGCTGGTAGCCAGTGATGACCATGTACACATACGATAGTGCCCAGCTCCTATGGCATGCCCGCCTCAAGCAGACAATATTGACCTTCCCAACGAATGGAAATGCCGGACGTGATACCTTGAACAATCCCTTGCCAGATGTTACGCACCTCGAAATTGTCTCCCTTGGGAACAGCTCACCCCCTTCAACCTCTCTTGACATCCATCCTAACGAGGGACTCGCCAGATGAGTGGAAGTTTGAATGATTTGAGCACCTGAGAGGGCGGCCAGGCCTTGGGCGGTGATTTGCCAGCACTCCTGCATGTTGATGGAGGTGAGGCTTGTCAGCAGGCTCAGCCCCTGCAGGCCAGCGTCCTCGATCTTGTAGCAGCCCTTCAGGTTCAGCTCCTGCAGCAGGCTCAGCCCCTTCCACTCACGCAACTCCGCTCCTGGCCACATGTTTTTGTGCCACCTCAGCCACCAGCATGTGTCTTGCTACTTTGCATGTGCAGCCTTGACTGTGTTCTGCTGCTCTTTTTGCTCCAGCACCTTGACAAACCTTGCATATTACAATATTTATCCTCGTAGAGCAGGCGCCAAGAGCAGCAGGAGTGTTCCACATATGTGCTGTAACCCATCAAGGGATCCTTCAGAACTTGCAATTAGAAGATTCAGCTTCCCTTCAGCTACACTGGATCTGAGGACAATGCGCACCACCAATCTGGCGCAACCGTGCAAAATGCCCTCTGTTTGCCTCCATTGCAATACAGGCATCCTTGGCCTTGGCGAGAAAGTCAGGTGCATTTTCAAATCCAAGATGTGACATCAAACAGTGAAATTCAAAAATTGAATGCACGCACCGGTGAAGCGCTCGCATGCGCGCAGGTCGAGTCGCGTGAGCTGTTCGAGGTGCGCCACGGAGCCACACAGCGCGTCCGATAGCTGCGCGCAGCCGCGCAGAGAGAGGTCCGCCACCGCCGGAAGCTGCCGGAACACTGCCAATCCGTCGACTGACACGCGCATGCAATTCCACAGCACCAACGTCCGCAGGCGACTCAGCGACCCAAGGTGCAGCAGGCCTGCGGCAGCGCAATTTTTTGACGTTAGACCAAAATTCAAATTCAAATTTAGTTTACAAATTTAGAATTCTAAATGACAGGAAGTCCCAGATGGCAGGCCTGGCAGCGCCTAGGCTTGAGGAGGACATGCCACGCATGGAATTAGGCTTACACGTCAGAGGCATCAACAACAGCCCCGCAGCACCCGCAAATGGTTATGACCCCCTGGTGGGCACCATTGCACATGCTGAGGAACCAATGTAAATACCACCGATATGAAAGCTGTGCTTCGGCACAGGACCGCTGAATCGACCTCTCTGCATGACTTGCGAGGGTGGGAGCCAGTGCGCCGCAACAGGGTCTGGCTAAGCTAGTACCACACCAGGCCGCCGACACAGCACCAAGATGCACTCAATGCGAAGATGGTAAGGGGTTTAATGCCCAGCTCCCAAATGTGCACAATATTCTCAACGTCATTGCAGCCCGCAAAAGCACAGATTCTGTCAGTGGGGATGCTGCGCAGCGAGCCCCGACATTCTCCACATTGAGAGCAAGCTTGCCCTTGCCCTTACGCATGGACATGGGCAAGGGCAAGCTTGGTCTCTATGTGGAGAATGTCGGGGCTCGCTGCGCAGCATCCCCACTGACGATAAATACTGCATCTCCTCACATCCGTTGCTGTTCAACTCCTCACATTGGCACCAACGCCACCTTTTGATGCCAGGGCTTGCTTCCTAAAGCCGCCTTCACAGCAGCGCATAGTGGCGCACATCCTGGCCCCCGATTCGAAGCCATCCCTGATGCTTGGGAGGGGTGATGATCCGAGCGCACCTGCGTCGGTGATGTCATGGGACCCGGAGAGGTCCAGATGAGTCAGCGAGGTGAGCCCTGCAATGGCGGCGACCGATGCGTCCGAGATGGTTGCGACTCGGCTGGTGCCGCCGAGTTTGAGGGTGTGCAGGCGGCGCAGTCGCGCGGCGATGGCGGCAAGGCCGCGCTCGGAAAGGCTGACGCAGCCGCTGAGATTCAGGCTGCCCAGCTGGCGCAGCGCTGCCAGCGCCAGCAGGCCCCCGTCTGTCACCTGGGAAGAGCATGGTACCCCAACTACCGTCAGAGTAATTGTACAATTTGCCCTTTTGAGAACACACACACACACACACATGCGATGACATCCTCACAGACAAATCAGGCTAGTCTTCACGTTTGTCTTTCATGTCATTTGATAGCTGCCAGGTCACAGCTTGATTCCAGGGTCCAGTGATACTGCTTAGTACCACCCTAAATGCTGGTTGTAGCATTGTCTGGTGAGCATGAAAGAAATAACCAAGGCCGACTGCCTTCGGATGTCCTGGGCATATCAATTGTTGCTCCAGGTGATGACAGTGTCAACATGAGATCCAAAATGTGCCGTGCGCAAGGTACATCATTCTATAATCATGCAAATTGCCGTGTGAGCTTGCAGGATGCGGTGAGAGGCTGCACCTTGCAGCAGTTGGAGAGGTTGAGGGAGGCCAGCCTGGAGAGGTGGCTCAGGTGCAGAAGACCCTCGTCTGTCACATCCTCACAACCCGCCAGCACCACGCTGCACCCCATGACACCGAATCTCAGCATTCAGCAGCAAGTACCATCGCCTAATTAACGCATGAATACCAAAAAGGTCCCTCCAACTCTCACAGCAGTAGGCCCTGGAAGTCAAGCGTGCACTCATCAGAATGTGAACACATGGTGGCTTGTGGAGCACGAATGTGCTTGGTGTGATGGCTGCAAGCCTGAATCTTCCCGGTCCTACTGCTCTGAGAGGTCATCCTTAGTGCACATGAGTTGGGGGTCGTATAAATCAAAGTCTCTGCAGTCATAATTCCTCTACGTTTCAAGGGGAGGCAGGAAAAAGTATGGAAATTCTCTCAGTGGAGCCAGCTTCAAATGCCGCTTCAGCAAGGCCAACTTCACCCAAGAAAAGATGCAGATCTCTTTTTATTGAGATAGAGCAAAATAAAATGCAGCAGGAAAGCACACCTGGTGAGGTTTGGTAAATGGCGCAGGTTTGCCAGCTCATCGTTGCTCACCCGCCGGCACGCGCTCATGTCTAGCTGTTGTAATGCTGGGAACCTGCGCAGCATGCATCACCAGCGCATCAGTATCACAGCCAGTCAATGCATGCATGCCCACCCCATGACATCCCGAAACCCCGGCGTTTCCTGCTGCACTCTCACAGTCTTAAGGAAAAGTATTGATCACGACCACATGTTTCATGAGTGAACACGTGATCAGGTGACCCTCAATAGCAGCATGGGAGAGAGATTTATGGGCAAACTCCAGCTTCATAGCTAGCTTCTGATCACTGGCAAAACTGTGACACATCTACTAATGATTACATGCGCAGACAAGTGGCATGTCCAAGTCTAAGATGATATGCATGGAGGCGGGCCCCACCTGTAGGCGAGCTCCTGCAGCTTGAGCAGGCGAGGCTTCAGAGAGACGACGCCGTTGGCAAAGCCATCGTGCCACTCCCGGCACACAAGGAGCGTGGTCTGCACATCATGCACCGCCAGCCTCTGCACGACTTCGCGCATGATGTCAAAGGGCACGTCCATCCACTTGGCTGGCGGCAGCTGGCCTGGCGGGTGGGAGGGGCAGTGGGGGTCAAATTGCCGGATCAGGTGCTTCACATTCGCCTGAGGGGGCTGCTGGCTCAGGCTCAGCTTCATGGCACCGAACTACCTGCAAAGCCAGACAGTGCCCCTCAGAGCGTGCTACAATGATGCAGGCCCTTCCTTTGCCAGATCTGGATTTGACGAAAGCTCTTAGACGAAGGCTGTAGCCTTCTGAGGAACAGTCGCTGCTGCTCGATGCCCCACCTACAAGGCTCCAAAAACCTTGGCTGGCAGCAGCTGGGCGCTACACTTCGAAATTTCAAGGACAAGAATTGGCTTCCAAAGGTACAGAGTTCTTTAGCAGGCTCCAGTTTTTCAACAGGACGTGGGCCCTCCTGACATGCCTATGAATACTTCGCTATTGGGCCTCCTATAAGTCTGATAACAGGATACATGGTGCCAAACGCGTCATAGAACATCAAATTCGGATGCTAGTATAACGTACTGCAAATGATCGAGGGGCCCATGAACCATGTGGACCGCTATCCTGTGAAAGAGAGCACTGACCTAGAGGACACGGTACAGATTTAGCTTCAGAGCTCCGCTCGTTCAGCGTACATTCCCGCCAGGTAGCCACTAGCGTTAATGTTCGGACGCTGGAAAAGATTTTTGGCGATTGAGCAGCTCCTGCTGCTGTTCGCGGTTCCAAGGGCTCCTCGTTTTACGAGACGTATGGATAACAGTGAGTCGGTCAGTGGGTTCGCAGTCGTGACTTCCTCGTGCCGCAGAATGGTGGATCTGGAAGATTGCTGTATACTAGGTGCTTGAACGCCGGTATGGTGCGCTAAATGGGCGTGCTTTCGATCAGATGGGGTGTACCAAAAGCCCTCAGATTGGGTCCTGCGCAGAGCTGAAACCGACAGTTCTGCTCAGGTCGGTGCCCTGAGTGATGCACTCAGTGCTACCTATTGACGTATGTAAGGCAAATAGACACGATCCGAGCCCAACACGCATTCATCCCAGTGTCAATGACTCGGCTTGCACATCGTCTCGGAAGGTGCACTTTATGCCCTGCCCAACATTATGAGTGGGAGACATGCACTCCAACATTCTTTGCATCCTGAGCAGTTTTACCAAGCTGGACACCGGCAATCATATACCACTCATCTTAGCTGGTTGCGAACTGCGGCAAGTTTCAGGTCAGCGAAGCATAGTGTATATATATATACATATATAACAGTCCACGGGGCGGTACAAATACTGAGCACCATGCCCACGGTTGCCATCAGTGATTGGGTCTTGCTTGGATCTTGCGAGTCCAACAAGGGGTAGGATTGTAGCAGCCTTTAACTGCAGCTTGTCTGCAGGACGTACCTTGCCTTTTGGCAGGAAAAGCGTGTAATAATAATAATAATTACAGTCCACAGAGGCAGCCTAGCTAGATCTAAATTTGACATTAACAGCCTCCGAGGCTGCGAATTGCAGGATGCCAGTCAGTATCTTACGCTCTCAAACATAGTCAAAACCGTTTCACCATGCAGCAAACCTGTTACTATACATGTTAGTACCTGCGAATTCACAACACCCAAACTCCCGCAGTCAGCATCATGAAAATACCCACTCCGTTGCATCGACTGCAAGTCTGGTGGAGTCCTCAAAACCTTCCAGCTAGGCCTCTGATCAGGCCTCCCCCACAGAAGAGGCTTGCGGCTCCAGCTCAAAGTTGTTGAGCACCTTGCTCTCCAAATGGCTGCCGTAGCACACCGAGCCGAAGCTGGGAACCACTCCGGGCTGTAGCAGTGCAGGAATGGGCGCCACCTGTCCGCCACCCATCTGGTCAGCATGCAAGATCAAAAACTACCCTGTGAAGAGGTGCACTGCACATGGAGGCTTTGCTGCATCAGCCAGTGACACAGCACATGTAGATGCCATCTTAGTGAGTGCAGGATTTACTCTGGACTACCTGACCCAAGTTCACAGCCTGCCACAACAGGCTCTGGTACACAAAACCGACCAGCACAGACATACATCACGAGGAAAACAGGCATCAGCATCAGCACAGAGGGATGTTTGGGAAAGGTTCATATACGGTATACACTGCCCAAGACTGTCTGGTGATCTGTGTGGATACTTTTTGCACCAGACATCCGTTCAGGGCACTCTAGCAAACTCCTGATTGATGCTACAGCAAGGAACCTCTCTCGAGCCGTAAGATACCACGATTGAAGCGAGGCAGGGGTGGTTATTGACACAGAAGGCGCACCTGGGCGTCAAAGGCAGGCTCGTAGAAGAAGGGGATTGACACACGCGAGCGGCTGGGATCGGCGTTGATGACCCTGTGGGGAGTTGGCTCGTACAGACCATTGGTGTACACCTTGAGCATGTCCCCGATGTTGCAAACAAAGGAGCCCGGTATCGGCTCTGCTGTGATCCACTCCCCTGCAGCATTCTTTACCTGCCAGCAGCAATTGATCTGTTCAGTGGCGATAAAACAGCTCATACAAGGCATTGTGCAATCGAGAGTGATCAACATGCCAGAAATCCGTACAGAGATGAGCACCCTCCTTAAAGCTTGAGCACATAGAACAGCACGCACAGCTGTTGTGCTCGTTGTCTGAAGCAACATAGACAAACTTTGGCTGTGATACCAAACGCGCTGCAGTGTAATAGTGTGTACTCAATGCCACTGTACAATGAGTGGATGACCCACCTGGAGCCACTGAATTGTTGCATGCTTTAGATGACGCAGCCATGCAGTTTGTTTGGATCACAATGAGTGATGGCAGGGGTTTTGGTCCCCCAGTAGGGGGCGTATAAAATTGTAATTTCTGGACCCTTGATGAGGTATCACCTGGAGGGCGGGGATGTGGGGCTCCTGGTTGACGAGGGTGAGTAAGCCGTAGTCAGTGTGCTCCCCGCAGCTCAGCTGCACATGCCGCTCCACCTCAGCACCAGCCACCGCCTGCGCTGCCGCCTCCCCTAGCCGCCCCTCCTGACAAATCCCCAAGCATTTCCTCAACACCTTGGCTGGTTCGAATTTGACTGCTACGCTTCTTCAGGCAAGATGCATCAACTGGTGAGTGATTGCTGATCTTCACATGCAGTTCTACGTCTTACAAGGGCTGGTGTAATTCTTTGATTGTCTGCAGCACCACTCGACCTTGGCCGGTCCCAATTGCATGGTCACTTGGCATGTTGAATATATGAAGAGATTGGCACAGAACGGGGACTTCTCAGATCTACAGTTGAGTATGGCATTTTTCTACATATGTAGCGCAGGGCTTGCTTTGCCCAGCGCGGTTCCTTCGGCACTGCTACAGGCACCGCAGATGCCTGTGTCCTTCACACTTGGCCCTTCGAATACCACTGTTCTGTCAATCAAATCCCCCGCAGAAGAGCGGAAGAAATGTCACCTGTCAATTTTGTCAACTGAGCGTGGAAGGACAATACAGGCACAGGGCACCAGACACTCTAGTAACAATGTAAATTGTTGCAGCGGGGGTCTACCTGCGACAGGGGTGGGTAGTGGATGGCGCGCATCACCCAGTAACTCGAGTCTGCAGTCGTCCCTCCGCCATCCGCGGACTCAAAGTAGTTTCCCGGCAGGCCCAGGCCCAACGCAATGCCTGCCACACAGCGCCATATTAGACCATCTCAAGACCTTCTCAGTCACCATTACTCCTTTAGCAGCAGGCAGAACACCCCAGCAAGCAGCGGCCATGTAGTGTCCCATACTGGGCAGCCACTGCAGAAAGCCGGGCCCAGCAACCCAGATCGGAAATCCAATCAGTGCTTCCTCATCTACCCAACGGGCTTGAGAATGCACTTGCTGTGTAAATTTAACAACTTCAGAAAGACCTCGAGGTAGGCCACCCCAACACAGCATGCACAGAAGGGATCAGCAAAAGTATTGTATTCACCAATACTGCATTTCCACCGCAATGCAGCCATTTCTCCATAATCGGCGCTCGCACTGCCTTGCATCTCTCTTCTCTCAATTATGGGACGGGCACAAGCATGCAGAGGGGCTCACCTCGCATGATGGCCTGCCCCACACCCAGGCAGCTTTGCACATACTGGCGCAGGCTCGCATCGAATGCCGGGTGCTGTGTTGGCCAGGGATTCATGCCGTGCACCGGGCTGGCATCCTGTGCCATCATCCCAAAATACCTCAGCATCAACCGCACAGTACACTGACGAGTCTGCCTAGGACCCAACCGTGTACACGCAGCTATGGATGCTTGAACGAGCACTGAGTCAGCTCCCGTCAGTGCGCCCAAACAGCTGCCTGCTTGGCTCACATGCAGATGCCAGTCCCCACAAGGATGCAGTACATGTCACTGGCAAACTGCACTCCCGGCGTATAGGAGGTGATCACTGCCGCAATGCATTGTGCTCATAAGGTGAAGTGCATAACCTCTGCAGCTGCCCTCCGTCTGCAGTGCTTTCCAATGCACGGAATGGTATTCGGTTTGCTACATGTGGTAACAAACAACATGGCCTTCTGATGTATCCAGACCATGCAGAGGGCGCACCCTGTCGGCTTCTTCCTTGTAAAGGTCGATTGCCTCGTGGTGGTCCCTCTGGAAGCCCCCATCAAAGCGGGTCACATTGGAGCCCAGCTGCTGATAGCCCCGGTAGGAGGTCTCTGGGCCGAGCGCTATCTGCTGCTTCACTTCTGCCTGCACACATCAGCAGCTCAAGGCTGTCTGCACCTGTGTCAAATATTGATCCGCTGCTGCCATGAAATTCTTACAGTGCCCTGCGTCGGTGAGGGACCGTTTGCACAGGTGAATGCTTCTAGAGAGAAAAGTTGGTATCTCTGCAGGCCAAGCAGTGAGTGACTGCGCCAGGTGTCAGGCAGAAACAGGAGTTGAAGGAGATCTTACTGGCATGTTGAACCACTGGCGTGCTTCCTGCAGCACGCCATCAGTGACAGACGCAGGCACGCCTGTTGACACATACATGGCGCACATCAGACACTCAGTCCTTTGCCATAAGGTAGCTTAAAGGCACGCCCCTTTGTCGCTGCTCACCGTGGTTGACGACGTAGAAGAATCCGACATCCCGGCACGCTGCATGCAGGTTCTCCGCTGCACGACTGTGACCTTCAGTGTCCTGCACCATGAGTTGCGTCATTCTGGGATCTGGGTGTATTCTTGCCTTGGAACCGTAAGGGGACCTGAAAGGAATGATGTTGTAAGATCTCAAACGAAAGGTCAGGAACGTACCCGTTTGTCTTCCACGAGTGCTGATATGTCTATGACTGGCAGGGTTTTGAAAGTGCGGATGCACAAGCTTCGAACCAACGGTGACCTTCCTAGCAGGTGTGTCGCGCAAATCTGCATCGGAATCGCGGCCCTAATAGAGATCTGATCGGACGCCAAGGACCCGCTCAGCCACTTCGTATACGTCGAGTGGGTGCGGATCAAACGAGTGTGTCTTGGTGACTGACAGCTTCTCTAGCAAAGGAATGTCAGACAATCAATCTATGGATACTCAGGACCACCGTGATGACGCTGGGTCGCTCTTCCTCCTCCTCTCCCTTCCAATGTACCTGTCTCGGATCACGTGGGTGGGGCACGTGCTCCGAAACGCCTAGTTTTGAACTGGCCAGGTTCTGGGCAATTGGCGGGGCCGGCCGACAGGATCCTACTCGGCCATCAGCGTCGTGACGTTCAAGTCAGTGGATTTCCGACACATTTGAACCTTCATAATGAGGGAACATGCACCATCGCAAGCTGAACGTCGCAGTGCCCAGCCGTTAGCAGCCAGAGGTCGCTAGAGGCAATGCGAATTTGCCAAGGAGAAGCCAAGCAATGAGATCTCAAGTTACCTATGGAACTGCGTTTCTTGCGTTTCTTTTTCTGCAACAAGCAGTTGCTTGGAAGGGTAAGCTGGCCTGCTGAAGTGGACCAATGGTGGTATGTACATTGAACTCGGTTGTGGACAGGATCCGTTTCGAGCGGAGACAGGTCTCACCCGCAAGTGATCGAACTTTTTTTTAATAATATCTGACTGTGTCAAGCTTCGTGCAATCTCATTGACGGGGCAAAGTGGTGAAGGTTCAGGTGAAAAGAAAACGCCTGCCAGCACTGATGCAACGCTGAGCATCATGGCAGATCGGCTCATCCCAGAGGAAGACCTGGTAGCAGCCATAAACCACGTTCTGGTGAGTGGAAGCCTTTTACAGGGCAAATTGGCCTGCTTTAAAGATCTGAAAAGCTCATCCTGCACAAGTGCATCGCTCTCCTGACAGCAGCTTAAGAGCTCTGCGATCTTGTAACAGGAGGTTGGAGAGTATGTGGAAGTATTGTCACTTGAGGAGGATAAAACCAGGTCAGGCACAGCGAAAGGGTGGGGAAAGAAAGTGTCCAAGGATGCCACTTGGATGGGTCGTGGCCTGCTGTTTGCCCCTGCACCGCCTGATCTTCCACAGGGCACCACTGTCAGCATGCGAGCAGATCAGCAGGGGACTGGCCAGAAGCCGAACATCACGGCAGCCCTTGAGCGCCTGTTCACCACAGCAGCATTCCAGAGAGAAGACTCCATCCTCGGCCATACAGGCTTTGGGCTGCAGCGGCCGCCCCAGAAATTTAAGACGGAAGACAATGTGAGGACCTCAATATAATCAGGGTACTGTAAGGTCAAAATATGCTAACAGCCTTGGCTTTTCCAATATGGAATACTTATGTTGCGTACTGACAGTAGCAGCCAGTCAGCACGACATTGAACTTTTCGAGTGAGGCATTGAGTAAAGTGTGTAATGCTGTGCAGAGTGGCGGCCTCAACAGCAACACCTTGCAGCCGGCAGCGAGCTTGCTACAGACTGATACAGCCGAAACATTGCCAGGGAGCATGAGATTATGGGATGCCAGCGTGGCCGAGGCGCAGCGCAGGGGCGTTCCCGTTGCAGGCCTGTACCTTAATGCAGCCGCCTCAGAGGCTCCAACGGCTGCCCAGGCCACCGTGCAGACCGGCTTCGGCCTGCAGAAGAAGCCGCTCAGGGGCAGCAACGGCCAGCAACCTCTCACGGACGACTCACTCTTTGCGAGCTCCCCCTCTGCAGCGCTGTCCGTCAGGCCGGGTCCTGCAGTGGCCGCCCTAGATGCCGCCACAGGCAGCAGCCTGATGGCTCAGATGGGCATCGGCCTGGAGAAGCCTCCAACAAATCCCGCCCTGAGCGACTCGGCGCTCGCTTTCGCGCCCGTGCAGGACAGCAAGCCCGTTGCGGCCATGTCCGCCGCTGCCGGAGGTGGCATCGACAGCCTGCGCACGCTGCAGCACAGGCAGCAGACGCAGGCGGCAGGCGCGGCGGCGGCCAATGGCGCGGACGGCACTGCCGGGGCCGGCCCGGGGGCGGCCGGCGCGCCGCCGCTGTCGGCGCGGCGTCGCCGGCTGGCCGCCTGGGGCGACAACGTGGCGGAGGTGAAGGATGACACGTGGGCGCGCGACGGCTGGCGCAGCGGCGCCAGCTCAGCCTCCGGCGCCAGATCAGGCGCCGCCAAAAGAGGCACCAACAGCGGCCGCCGCGCCAAACTCGGCCTCAGCCGTCCGGAGCGCCTGCCGATCGATGATGTGCACGAGGATGACGAGGAGGAAGGCTTCATGTCCAAGCTTGTACGAGAGCAGGGCGCCGGTGGAGAGCGCAGCAGGGACGCGAGGGCGCGGCTGGCCACAGAGCTTGTAGAGTCAGTTGTTGACTCGGACCGGGAGGCCTACGAGGATGCAATGCGGGCGCTGCCCAAGGGGCGTGCCCTCCCGCTGGTGGGCCAAGCCAAAAAAGGCGGTGATAAGGGGCCGGGCAAGCGAAAAAAGCAGCCGCGCCGGCCCTTCCAGCCGAAGAACGAGGCCTTCCTGAGCGATGCCTTCTCGGCCAGTGTGGACGCCAGCCTCGAGAAGGAGAAGAAGAAGGCCAACAGGCCGGTGGACATTGTGGAGCTCGTCACAGGCTACAGACAGGTGCTGCAATTGCCATTCTGCATGCAAATTTGCATAGACCGCAAGATAGACCGGCCGGCAACAGCGCCGCAGTCTCTGCTGTGTACAAAACTCTGGTTGAGATCGACAGCAGTAGCACAAATAGCTGGTAGGCTCTGGAACTAGCCGGACAGTATGCTGGCTGAAAGTTTGAAGAAACAGGTTCTCTGGCGCACCGACGTGCACAAGAATGCCTTGAGTTGTCAGGCCCATGCAATGCGCTGTTTGATAGCGTGACTGCCCACTGCCTGCCAGGAATCTTTGTTTGAAGCTCTGTGTGCACTGCTTCTCAGGTGCCCATGGATCCGAAGGACATTGACCAGGACACCAGCGGTAGCAAGGCCAAGGGCGGCAGGTGGCAGGAGCGAAAAGGCGAGGCATCAGGAAAGGGCGATGTCATGGCAAAGGGGAAAGAGGAGTCGGCATTGGAGCTGGAAGGTTACATAAGCCAGCAGGCCACAATCCGGCTTGTCAGCCCTGATTCAAAGGTGCTTTATAGTCCCCCAAATCCAGTGCCTGACTGGATCTCTGACAGCTTTCAAATCACATGGAGTCCAGTCCTGCAGCAAAGATGATTTTCTGGCCCAATCTTTAAAAACTGCATGAGCAGTTGCCCACCAGTTGGACTGCTGCTAGTAGTATGCAAAGGGGTCCTGTATCTAACCCCTGAAGATTAGGTGTACCAGTAGTGCCCCCGGCTATTTGCAAGTTTTGCAGACATCATCACATGAAGGTGGCGCGTTGTGCTACTGCAGGTATTGGACCGTCTGAAGAGCCACAGGGTGCTTGGTAACATCAAGCAGACTCTCAGGGACATGGGCATTTCAGCAGCTGATGTGGCTGTACTGCCAAAGGTCCAGGCACGTCCCCAAAAAGGACTGCTACTGTCTGTGCTCAGCTGATCCATCGGTGCATTGTACCTCACTGCCGTGCGCGCGACACCAGAGTGCCAAGTCCAATTCAATACGACTGCTTCAATGCTTGTGAGTTCGCTGGAGGAGAGGCCCCTTGCCTCGGTGCAAAGGCTCTAGCATGGTGTGAATGCCGCTCAAATTGGAATGATTGCGTCAAGAGTGACCCAGATTCCATTGGAATGACATGCCATTGGCGGAGGAAGTGCCAAGACAGGGAAGGCTGGAGGAAGGTTTAATGTAATTCCTGCAGCACACCTAGCCCTGCGGGCGGGAACAAGCAATTAGTAGTATAGGAACTATGGTGTGTGATGGTAATGGTAGTAAGAATGATGTGATCGTTGCTTTGCAGGGGAATGCGGACAAGGGAAGTGATGCGAGAGCGCAGCAGAAGCCTGTGATGTCGCGAGGGCTGCTGGCTGCTTCAGATGCCTCAAAGGACGCCCAGAGGAAGCTGCCCTCCAGCCTGGTGTCGGCCATTCAGGCGAGCGCCCCTGACTGAATTGCCTGAGACAAGACACATACAGATAACGGGGACCTGGCGTAGTCCTCCTAAGAAATGCAAGTGTCATGACGTGCAAAACCTTGCCATTTGCCAGAGACATGCATAGCATGCATTGAAATGGTAGAATATAGTCAGATTGTGCATAATGCATTCATAGATTTGCTGATGCCTTCCTGTTGCTGCTTGCGCAGGCTGCAGCGGGCTTTGTGTACCTGAAGCTACCTTCTGAACACCAGGCAAACGAGGTCATGACAACTGCCTGATCATGAATACTTTCAAGCTGACATTGAGCTAGTTGAACTTGCCATGCTTATGAGAACGGGCTATCTGCAGTCTGCCACAATCTGATGGTGCATGCAGTCCTGGGTGCAAATCGCAGGTGTCATATTGAATACAGTGGTTTATGCTGTCTTTCAAGACAACTGCTCTGACAAGAACTTATCGGCTGAACACGATATCTGATGTTGAACACGTACCAGCAAAAATCAATTGATGACAGAACACTGGGATGTTTGTTATTTGAATTGTTGACTTCCACAACTGCAAGTTTTGTAGCAAATTATCCTTGGAACTCCAGAGGCAGAACCGGATTTTGTAGCGGTTGGAATAAGTTGGCACTGTGTGCTGACTTTAAGAATTTTGAACTTTGTCAAGAGCTTTGCAAGAGATGGCCGGTGGTGCACTGCAGCTCACCGATCATGGCTGCATGCCCTAGGGCCACTTCCTGTGTAGGCAACATGGAAGCATGCGCATGCGCGGGCGGTGATGCAATTCTCACCAGCGCTAAGGCGGGCCAGCTCTTAGCTGAGAATGTTGTAGCAGGATTGGTACTCAGCACAAACAAATTTTGGATGAACACCGGGCTCTATTGTGACAATCCGATGATATATCCTGCTAAATACACCTGTAATTATTTTTGATGGTTGATCAGCTTGTCTGCGGACGCACCTTGCCTCTAGCAGGAAAAGCGTGTAAAAATAGAGTTGGATTATGTTGGCGGATGAGGTGTGCGCTCAGAGGCTTCAATCGTTAGGAGTGGCCTTGGTAGTAAACGATTGCAATCTCGAGCTTATGGCCATTAGGATCTGCCTCTGTTCATATACATGTCATCATGCCATGACTGATCATGAGCATGAGAAATAAGTCACTTAGAGTCCTGATCATTAATTTTTGACATTGATGATAATCATGTGATGATCATGCACACTGTAGCATATGCCACAGTGTGCGCAATGAAGTCATAATCTTTTACTGATTGGTGACCCTATGAACTCCTCACCCTCACTGTGACAGCCTCTGACAGAGATCCCTAGTGTTGATGTCAACACGATGAAATCTTGACATCTGGCAAAAATCTCTCTGGAGGGGTGCTTCCTGGGGGTTGGTCAGACTGGGATGGTTCGAGGGCGGCCAAACTAGGACATGGCGTGGACAGCTGTGAGCGTATCCGACAACGACGACGCAACCTCAGAAGTCGAACAGCTCCTAATGAGCGAGGAAGCTGCTCCACTTCTGCGATTGTGACGTGTTTCCTCGAAGCCCTTTGCTTAGTTCCTGACTGCTACCGTCGACTGAGCAGCTTCACAGCGATTAGGCGTGGACAGAAGACAGGAATTTACTGTGCTGAAGCAAAGCTTCTTGGCTAGGCTAGGCCGGTTTCTCGCAGAATGGTAGCACACAGCGGATCCCTGCTGGGTTCCTCGAGACCTGTCATAGGTTTAGAGAGGCTCGGTGGGTCCCGTGCGCAGGCCAGCGTGTGCAGATGCCGAGATGCCAGAAAAAGGACGCATGTACTTGTTGAAGCAGTCAAAAGGGATTCGAAAAGGAAAGATCAGAGGGAAGAGAAGGTTTGGCGCAGTGAATTAGAACCCCGGCAGCCCCTGGCACGCCCGCCCGAAGGCCTCAACATTGTCAGCGTTCTCAGTTCAGTAGATGTTGACTTGGAAAGCTCACATCTGACCGGCAGGCAGCGAAGGGATTGGGGTGTTCTGAACGCTCTTGTAGATCGATGGGACTTTCTGCCTGCGAGATGGAAGGTGGTCGCTGCGACATCGCTCGCATTCGTGATATGCAACATGGTAAGCTTCTGACTTGCTTCTGATTGTCTTTCAAGTATTTGAATAAGGCACCTCCTTGCATGTCTGCGTTCATTCTTCAAGATTCTGACCGTGCGTTTTTGTTCTAGTGTTCCGAACTTCGAGTTGCTGACCCAGTCTCCAAATATCTGGGTGTATCTTTGAACTGCAACAATTGTTGGTTTAGCTAGTGCAAGCACTTCTGAATATATCAGAAAGGGATTACGTGGTTAATCGTCTTAGATCTGAGTGTATTTACTGCAAATGCAGGACAAGGTGAACATCAGCGTGGCCATCATCCCCATGGCCCAGGACTTTGGCTGGAGCCCCACAGTATCAGGGCTGGTGCAGAGCTCCTTCTTCTACGGCTATGCGCTCACGCAGATCCCTGGGGGTTATGTGACTTCGCGGATTGGCGGCAGGAGCGTCCTGCCAGCAGGGGTCAGCCTCTGGTCAGCTGCCACAGCCGCAGTCCCACTGCTCGCAGGCACCATACCAGGTCGCACCCAGAGCTAGTTTTGCCTTGCAAATCTTCTTGTGACGTTCATTACACTGGGTCGCCCCCTGCTCCTCTATTATTTTTTGCATCACTTGTTGCAGGCAGGGTGCCCATCCAACTCTAGCTTCTTTGCACCATTTACTGCCACGTCTTGCGAAGGACTAATCCTATTGTTTCAATCACTGACAAAGCAATCACAGAACATTTAGCAATGCCTCAACTCTGAGTCTTAATCAAAGAAATGCTCATGACCGCATTTACCAGTCTGCAGGGCTGTTCCTGTGCTGCATGACCAAACAATTCCTCAATTGTGCATGCCCGTCTAGAGGGGGGTTCCTGTGCCGCATGATAAAAACAACGGTCCTGAGTGTGCATACCGGTCTGCAGGCCTGTTCCTGTGTGACAACAATCAAAACAGTGCTCTTCCGTGCCGCATGATAAAAACAATCCCTCAAGTGCTGTGCACTGGTCTGCAGGGCTGTTCCTGTGCCGGGCAGCGGTGGGTCTCGGGGAGGGAGTGGCGCCATCGGCGTCCACAGACATGGTTGCGCGGCTGATAGACACCCGGGAGCGATCGCGCGCGACCTCTTACATGTTTGGCGGGCTGCACGTCGGCTCACTGCTGGGCCTGCTGGTGGCTCCTGCGCTCATTGAGCGATTTGGGTGGCAGACGGTGCGCGCTGCTCTCACTGCTGCCCTCTTTGTAGCTCGCCAGCCGGATATTAGCCGTGGCGCAGGGACTAAAATTTGGGCTCCTTGTTTGCTGTGTGTGCTTCATGCGAGACTTAAACAGCAGCCAGCCTTACAGTCCTTGCCCATAGCTTTGTGAGACAAGTATTAGTCATAACAAGGTGCTTGGCTTGCCCGGAAGACATGGACTGCGCGAATGATGCACAAGGCACGCATGAATACTGGACAGCCTTGCAAGGGTGCTTTTAGTCCACGCGGTTTCAGTGCAGGACAGAACACTGATGGCCGGTGGTGCGCTGCAGGTGTTCTATGGGTTTGGGCTGGCGGGCCTGGCTTGGAGTTTTTGGTGGGAGGCTGTGGTCAAAGGCATCCAGGAGGACGAGCCAGAGGCCTTCCTGCAGCTCACGCGCACCAGCCGCCAGGTATGTTATATGCTTGAACCGTACCCATGTCTTGCTCAATCTGTATGATGTGTTCCCGACTCCCAATACATAACAAGAATGCAAGCAACAGCCTCGCAAGGGAGCTATATTCATCAGCCTTGGAGCAGTTTGTAGTGAGGAAAGCCTGCAGATTGGTGTGTGGAAGTGCAAGCAGCAAGCATGGCAAGCACCCAATTGATGTCAGGCAGGAATATCCTCCATTTAGCATGTACTGCAACAATCATGGCACCCAGTGTCGCACCCAGTATCTAAACCCTCGAGCCCTGCAGAGGGTATTATTTAGTACACCTGAGCCCTACATAAAAAAGGTCGTGATATTAAGGATTTTTGCTGGTGGATGCCAGGTGGCGGCGGCTGCGGCGGCCAAGTCGGGCAGCGCGCTGGCGGCGGAGGAGCCGATGCCGTGGCGCGCGTTCCTGCGCAATACACCCGTCCGCGCACTCGCATACACCCACTTCTGCAACAACTGGTGCGCCCTGAGTTGTGGGTTTAGGACTTGAATTTACGATCGGTCGATTAATAGCCGGTCGCTCTACCACCGAGCTACTGAGACATGCTTTAGGCCTATTGTGATGTAGTCCCTTGGGCTCCTTGAGCAATGTCTGTCGCGAGTGAGATGCACACAGATAGACGGTTTTGCCAGCAACTTTGCAACAACTGGTGCGCATAGCAAATGGGTCCGGGTCTCTTTATCTTCCGGTGGTCCTCAGTAATAGGATGATATCCGGCTGGGGCGACCTATCGCATCCTGCTCAGCAGGGACGTGTTAATTTGTCTTAGTTCTATTAGAGTCTTTGAATCCGCTCAGCAAGTAGCGCGCGCACAGATGCACACACTGCACCTGCATTTCCAATTTCTGATGACAACAGGCCCACCCGCTGGAGCTGTTCATTCAGGGGTTGGACCTTGTTTCTTTTTTTGACCATTTCTTGCAATGGCAATTGGGCTTGTCTAGCAGAGAGATGTGTGGGTCATCGATTCGGGTCATCGATTCGGGTGGTTTGCACATGTGCCGCTGACATTATGGACCCTCTCATCTTACTCAGGCGGTGCTGTGCAGGTTCCACTACACGATGATGGCATGGCTGCCCACCTACTTCACCGACACGCTGTCACTGTCTCTCACCCAAGCCGCCCAGGTGCGCCTGACCGGCTAAACTCCCATGATTCCTTATGTCCCTTCCTTCTTGAGAAGCGACAACCTGCAGGGTTGTCCTTCACACAAACAAGGGTAGAGCCTCATGTAGAAATATCTCTGAATTTTGCCAAGGGCTTGCTTTGTTCGCGCGCTCACAGCACCAGGCCGGCTGCCGATGACAGCGTTTTTGGGCACATTTGAAAGATTCATTGTCTGCACTACCACAACCTCAAGCCACACCTGTGAGACCCCTCAGGCCTCCTTTTCCTCTCCTGTACAGACCCTCAGAGCACCAGGGCATCAAATCGAGGTCACCATTATGACATGACCAAATGTGGGCACGTCTGAAAGGCGTCTGCTGGTCGCAGGTGTCGCTGCTGCCGCCGATTGCGGCAATCGGCATAAGCCTGACGGCTGGGCCGCTGGCGGACGGGTTGATAGAGCGAGGATGGCCGGTCGCGCGCGTGCGCAAGCTGGCACAGATCACGGCCTTCCTCTGCCCCACTGCCTGTCTGCTCGCCACTGCTAACTGCGACGACGGGCCCACCTCCGTCGGTGCGCGCCGCTGGACTCTCTAAAGAATGAATGTTAACGTGCCTAGAATATCATATCTGTTCCCTCACCATGTCACCACGATGCACTGTCGTGTCTAGCTCGCAGCCTCTGCAAGGTCTCTTGAAGCACTGCTGTTGTTTGCATTTGCCATTTGCAAGAACTTTTCCAAGACCCTCCTGCTTCCCTGTTTCTTGTTGGCGACTGTACCTGTCGACGACCCATTGTCGCCTTGCTCACTGCCATGTCTGCGCAACTCCTAACGACAACTTGAACTGCAGCTCATGTCAACTGTGGCTAAATGTGTGCGGTACCCGGGGGGCATGGGTTTGACCCATGTCTTCATGGAGGTAATGCCTTTCGTGCTTTTTATGCCTGTGGCAGGCCAGACCTTTGTCTCCTTCCCTCATCCTGAGGCTTCGTCATGGGCTCTAAGCTATCGTCGAATCCTGATTGACTCTCTGTGGCCTGCAGCCCTGGTGACGGCTGCGCTGGGAACGGCGTCGCTGAGCCTGTGCGGGCTGTACTGCAACCACGCCGACCTGTCGCCGCGATATGCACCCTTCCTGCTCGGCATGACCAACACCATCGGCGCAGTCCCCGGCATCATCGGTGTTGCTGTCACCGGAGCAATCCTCGACGCCACTGGTGCGTATCACAGAGACACTACACTACCCTCAGCAACTCCCTTAGTCAATTGGCACTGGCACATTGTGCCTTGCTTTTCTTGTGCTAACGTGGGCCAGGCCAGGATCAAGAGAGAAAGGCCTTGACAACTTCCAAAGCTCCACGACATGCAGGATGTGTAGATCTGCTTACTAGAAGTTGGGCACATCCCAGCATGGGACCCACAGTGCACTTGTTGCGTGGGTTTCTAGCTGCCGACTGACTCGTTGCAGCTTCACAGGATCCCCCTCCAACTGTAGGACATGCCCACGCACAGATTGTCTTCCCCTGGTGGTGCCTTGAACAGGCCCTCACTTACCTCCTTACATGAGGGTGTCAATATGATTTGACGCAGGCTCGTGGTCGTGGGCGCTCTTTGCCCCGAGCGCGTTCTTCTTTGTGACGGGCGCGGTTATCTTCGGCACGCTCGGCAGCAGTGACGCGCAGGACTTCTCAGATGACCGACCCTTCTGGTACGACGTGTTCCCTGTCCCTCTTCCCTTATACCAACACAGACACAGCATGCAAGGACATGCAGGGTAGGGCAAGCTCCAAGGAAGGATGAAAGTAGTTGTGTCTCGCCATGTGTTATGTGCATGTCAGCGAAGCAAACATCTCTCTGCCCTCTTTTCTATGTGTGCCATTACTCTAATGAGTACTGTAGTGCTCAACCTAAACTGCGCGGAAAATAATTGCAAAAATTGAAAAAAGGGTCGAAAATAAAATCCTAACTCCTCAAATACTTAACCTATTTAAGATCTGAAGGCGGATTTGGAAAGCTCTTGAGCAGGCGCATCTTTGGGGGACGTACTTAATGCACAGATAACAAAGTTTTTGATCAAGAAAATAGCCCTGCGGGAAGCTGTTTAACAATTCACTTTTTCCAGGGTGCGCAGTTTAGGTTGAGCACTACAGTATCTACTTGCCAGCTGCTCTGTGTGATGGTACGCATGGAAGGCTGCGTGACACACATGCGCAGCTGAGGACCAGAACATTTATTGCGTGCATCTTGTTCATCAAAGTTGCAGCATGCATAGGATTTCGGCCTGCTTGATCACTCCTGCACGCGGGGGCCTTTGCATGCTGCAAATTGATGGATGTAATACTTCTCAACTTGGTGTCAGGAAATTTCTGGCAGGGCAATATAGGCAATACGCCTGCTTCTTATAGACCTCACTTATTTTAGAAGCATTGCACATATACCGAGGCTATATCCGCTGAACCGCAGGATCGAGGAGAAGCTGGCACCAATGGTGGGCCCACTGCAGAAGCTGGGCAGCCGGCTGGGCAGCGCGGGCCGGGCAGGCAACAATCTGCTTCAGAGCGTGCGGCAGCTGCTGCCCACAAAGAGCAAGGACAAGCATCTTTGAGACGCAAGCGACCGCTCGCGTAAGCAGTGTCTTTGCTTATCATATATCATAGCAGCAATGAACGGCAAGGAGGAAGGCAGATCTGACAAGTGTAGAGGAGGGAATTAGTAATCAAGACTGCGAGCTGCTGCTTACCTGGAATTGCGGCCCTTTGTATAGTAATGAAACAGTGTCGAGAGGAGGGCTGCCTGCGCTTTCTGCAGCTGCCAAATATTTTGATCGAGGGGAGTATAAGAGATTACCACGGCTAGCTAGTCTTGGTGATGTCCACTAGGGAAAAAGTAGATGTGTGCGTGTTGCCATGCGGTTTTGGGGGCAGGGATGCCCGGAGAAGCTGAGAGGCTTCTGAGGCAGCAAATGCTGCAGATGAGTTTTGGTCCACTTGCTTGACTTGTTGCTGCCTGTATTCTTTGAAGACCTGTGCTCACTCCCGTCTGCATAAGAGGGTGTGTTGCCTTGCATGTGGTTTGCATTAGTAGATTGACAGATCTGACAATCTCTACAATTTGCTCATGGCTTGCAGTCAAGAAACAGATGAATTAGAACCCAACAGACTCTATTGGCAAGTTGTACATATTGAGTGCCTCAGGAATCTCTCCTGCAAGGCCTGTGTTTGCTGCAGGTTGCACTGATATTCTTTTCAAGACCCGAATGCATGAACACCAGCAAGTGAGCTCTTTGCAGACTTATCATATCGGTTGGCATCCTAGGATGTGTTTGATCGCATTTCATGCCATGCATCTTTGACAATGGGTTGGACTGCTCATGTAAAAAGAAGCTCTGCAAAATCAACACAGCAGTCTTCAGGGAGATCTCCTATGTCTAGACAATGTCAAAAGTGACATTGTCACTCAGGCATTTACCTTGCATGCAATTGCGCAGCCTACATCTTATCCGGCAATACATCTCCTACAGCTACAGCCATTCAGTGTGTTCATCCAATGCCCAGATGCCATCAATGCAAACACAAGCAGAGCAAACTTCTGACAAATTTCATAACGAGCATTCCCAACACATGCAGTGAGTGCAGCGTCCCAGCAATTGTATTACCCTCTTGCTGGTAGGGCCTAGTATTTCTCTTCTTCTTGGACCCTCCGCCACCATACTAGGGTCCACATGACAAGTAGAAGAAGCAATCGCCGACAAGAGGGCAATTCGGATTTGGGGCAAGACTTGAGGAAGTGGATTTCTTTTCCTTGAAGGATAGACCAGCCCAGACTGCCAAGTAACCCAGGCCTTATAGTGTCAGCAAATTTTCTACTGCCCATATCACTTCTGGCGAGATATGAGGAATCGAACCGCCGACCAGCCTAGGTGGCCGTTCACGCCGTCCGCACAATGCCGGCAACCGGAAAAAGCGCCCGAAAAAGTTCCGGCAAGACCTGAGGAACTCAACCGCCGACCAGCCTAGGCAGCCATTCGCGCTGGCCGCCAATGCCGCAAACAAAAAAGCGTCCATAAAAGCTCCGGCGAGACCCGAGGAGTTGAACCGCCGACCAGCCTAGGCGGCCATCGCGCCGGCCCCGGACAGCCGCCGCTCGAGGGTGGTCAGGAATGTCGCCTCGCGCATCTGCCTGGGCCCCTTGACATTGCAGGGCAGCTCCTCGCCCTCATTGGGCAGAATTGGCACCTGCTCAGAAATGAAATTATAAATTTGTCAAGCCAAACCAGGGTGTTTTGATCACAGAATTTCTGTTGGTCGAAAGAGCCGGGGCACTGTCCTACAGTGGCATCTCTTATTGACAGCTCGTTGATTGCTGGTGCTTCAGAATTTGCTGCCCAGGTGCAGAACAAACATCTGCCTCTACTACCACATGCTCCCCACAATTGAGGGTGCAGAAATTTGGAGGGGTACCAACTCTGGCAGTGACAGGTGGTAGATGTCTGCAGCCTTGACAGTGTAGGTGTACCAAGTACAATGCAGTACTGCTGCAAAGGGCTTGCAGGAAGGGGAGACGAGGCACCTGGTTGGCTTCGTCAGTCTCCCACTCGTACATGTAGTAGCAGAAGATGAACAGCGGCAGCAGCAGCGCCGCCTGCACCAACAACACAGCTGCGTCAGTAATGCTGCTGCAGCACCAGAAGCACGCCCGCAAGACCTACACTTTGCAACCTTATGAGACCACAACTTGTGATGCACACGCAACAAGCATGTTGATGAACCTGGTCTGCCAAACTCACAAGATGCAAATTCACGAAGCAGAGCATGCCCCAGCTGACGAAAAAAGTTTGCCTCGCATTTCAATGAGGCGGTGCATGACGATTGACAATCAAAAACTTGCATGCGTGCCTCCTGATCTAAAAAGGGCGGTTGACAGGAGTGCGTCATGAGTCAGCCCTTTCTCCAAGCTCTGGCGCTTGCTCTGCCTCATGTCTGCACCAAATACTCTTGCCTTGAACGCCTACACATCACATGCCCTACAACCTGCCCTCTTGTGGGCTGAAAGCTGCTCACCTCTATTGGTATATCGCACCGGCACTTGAAAACAGAAAGAAGAAAAGAGGCAGTGCCTGGATCATGTTGATGGCGGTGAAGTTGCCGTGGAGACCGTGCAGGGCCCAGGCAGTGAAGGGGAACTGCAGAAGGCCGACAATGCCATTGATCGAGTTGTCGATCGCCACCATGCGCCCGAAATTTGTGGCCCCGAAGAGCGCGCCAAAAATGGTGAAGTAGCTCGTGTACAGGAAGAAGCGCCCCGAGCACCACACGATCAGCGTCACCACCTGCGCCATATTCCAATATGAGGTTGAATGCAAGCTTGAAATCTTTCGAAAAGTTACCAGCCGCTTATCCAGTCATGATAGATGGGATGTGATAGGTCTCCTATGACGAATGAAAGCTTTTACAATCTATTCTGCCTCAAAGCAGAGCACAGTTGATTTCAGCGCATTATGCAACATGTGCTTTCAAGTGCCGCGGCGCTGTCAGGATCTGTGGTGTTTGAGATCATGGGTGACGATGAGAACATGGCCAGCAGCTTTGTACTTGCACTTCATTGACACATGCGCCATGCGATGACTGCTTTGAAATAGACCCCTCACAATCTGGGACGTTATAACCATGCAAGCCTGCACTTCTTATCAGAAGATGCTGCGATACTTATCAGAAGAAGCTGCGATACCATGATATTCGCACAATAAATTGTACATTGTAGAACTAAAATTAGACTCCCTCAAAGGACAGGAGGGGCTGGAAGATGACTGCGGTAAGTTTGCGTGTTGCCTGTCTGTGGTGAGGAATAGACAGGAGAGGTTCCAAGTCACAGCCCTGCATTGGAATCAATGCAACTGCGAACAAAGAATGCAGCCACACTGACAGGTCTGTTTACCACCAAGTGGTTCAGGGGTCCAGAAAGCCAGCAGCTAGCCGCACCTGGAAGTACATGGATGGCATGGCCTGGAAGATGACTTGATAACAAGATGCCCATCAACCTGTGTCTGCTGGGATCGAACCATGTATATTGTGGCCCTCTCCAAAATCAGTGCAACACTGACAGCCGCACCTGGAAGTAGAGGGAGGGCATGGCCTGGAAGATGGAGGCGAGCACGCCCAGCAGGTTGATGACGGCCAGAGTGACGCCGTATCCCTTCTTGTCCAGCAGCCAGGAGATGACGGGGATGCCCACGAAGCCGAAGGCCGGCACCACGTTGGCGATATTAGTCACCACATGCGCTGAATCACCCTTGTGCTCCAGCTGCAGCCGCGTCGTTCCCAGGTAGAACTGCGGCAGCAGCACATGGGCGCACGTGTCAGGCAGCGTGGCAGCACATGCACGCATGCGTCATGCGGGCTGCCGGCACATGTGAGTGGGGGGCGCCACGCCGGCTCGCAAGAAGTGTTCAGAACTGCCTTTGAATGGTATTTTGGATCAAAATAGAATTGACAGAGACATCTCAAGAAAGATCATGGCGGCTGTGTGGTTCTGCACAGCACTTCAATACTGTATGAATTCTCAAAGTTGCATTGCTCTCCTTCACTGCCAGTCTTGGACAAGAGGGTTGCAAAAGTTCTTGCATGACTTGCCAAGAACCACCCCTCACCGAGTACATGTTCCAATAGCACAGTGCACAGCATCCACAATGCACAGGTTGCACAAGACAAAAGCCCACCAAAACATGCTCCACACAAAATCACTAGCGAGTTGGGTCCAGCCAAAAGTGATTGCATGACCAGGGGCGGGCGTGCCTGGATGCAGAAGACGTTGAGGGTGTAGAAGATGCCCATGCCCGTGGACTCGGCGGAGAAAAACTGTTTCCAGAAGCCCTGCTTGCGCAGCTCCACAAAACGCCGCGACTCGAACACCAGCGCCCCGTGCTCCTGCGCGTCGGCAGTAAAGATTAAAAAGGCACCATCTCAAGGACCTGTCATGCCTACAGCAGGCTGAAAGGGTCCAAAACACTAGGCGCTCACACCAGCACTAGAACATAATCCACCCTCCTTTGGGCAATCCCAGGTTTTTGGTGATGTCACACAATTTGTCATGTAGACTCTTTCCGGCAAAGTGTCCAGTGCAGCACGCTACCGATGGCGCATGTTGTCTCACTGCATTACCACCAAACATGTCACACGACCAGACTCTACAGGATCAGCTTCCCTCTAGGAAGAAGAGGGCCCATTAAATGTGGGCATGTGCTGGCCAGCTGATCTGGCATTGGGCGCTTTTGTCACACGTCTGCCGGCTTGTCCACACGCAAAATTATACATGACGGTTTACGACAGGGATATTCATTGCTAGATCAATTCGTGCCCCATCTGGAAAATTCTATTGCAAAGCTGCCCGAAATTAGCGCTGCACTCAAACTGCGGACCAAGCGTCCTTCACAGCATCGTACCAACGAAACAAATAGGTCTGCTCTGCACTTGTCTCAAAATATGCTACACACCCCGGCAGGGTCCGTTGTCCAGCATATGTAGCATCACATTAAGCTTAGACATGTGCAACAAGTCAGCAAGCCTCCCAACAACAACCCAGAGAACATATGGAACCCTGATAATCTGGGTGAATGACCGAAAGGCGCACTTTTAGCCAAGTGGCTAGATGAGTGGGAGTCCTCAACCCCTTCATAGATCAGAAATCCGACTATCCCTGGTGGCCTATGCGTCAGGGACATAGATTGATTTACAGCATCGCGCACCCCGGTGGTGAAGTGGTCGCGCGAGGGAGGCCGACCGCCACGGGGAGTGGCGCCGCCGACAGCGGTGCCGTTCAGCTGCTGCAGAGCCGCCCCCGTCGCGTCGTATTGCCCCTCCAAGGACCCCGTGTTCGCTCCCCCTTCCCTCCCGCCATCCCCCCTTGCCTCCCCCTGACCCTGAAGATGCCCAAGAGACACTCACATTCAGGCACACCCCAGTGTAGAATTTTCCCCTTCTTGACAATCGGCATGTCACATAAAGTAATGGCCACCATGCAGCGCTCATGCAACCATACGATCTGCAGCCTTCAATTTGCAGAAGCCCCTGGCAGCTTCTGCTCCTGGTTGACAGCTCTGGCGCTTCAGCAGCTACACAGACAAGATGCGTCTGCCTTTGTTAGTTATTATTCCATAAGGGACCCGAGATGCGAAAGGGAGCGCATCTTGCTTCAAGATGCCCGGCGTCTCGGCAGCGGGCCAGAGGCTTCTCCTGCTTGCACCTGGCTGTCCCAATCTGATTTGAATTTGCATGCACCAGAGAGGGAACGCCACCTGCGGCGAGGGCGCGTCCTCGCTGATGACTGGGACGGTGGGCGGCGGCGACTCGCGGTCGAGCCAGGTCGGGTCGGCCGAGTCGGGCGCCGCCGCGTGGCCGCTGCCGGCGTGGCGCAGGCCCATGTATGCCAACGCCATGTCCTTGTCTATTTCCTCGTCGCTGTGCCCTGCCCCGCCATCAGAACATCTTGATCATTCGATGATACCATACTTTGCCTTCAAATTCCAAGATTGCATCAGCAGGAGTTCCCATTCCTTCCCCCTTCCCCCTGAAACACTTTGTCCTGTGCTGGCCAGCTGCTCATCACGCCCAGCAGACAGTGTGATGGAGATTGCCTCTGAGTCACTCATCGTCAAGCGAGCATGATGCCATGTCGGCTAACAGAACGATGACTCAATGGTGTTTCTTCACCATATTCTCGGTTGGCGCGACAGCATGATGACAAACCGATGACAACCTGATGAGTAAACAGTGACTTACCAGCGTTCTCCAGGTCGTGCAGCGTGCCGGCGTCCTGCCCCGATGCGGCCGCCCCGTTGGCGAGGTGCGCGCCGCCGCCGTTGCTGCTGCCGCTGCCGGCCGCGCGTTTGCCGTCGTCGAGCGCCGTCATGCGGATGGCGACAGCCTGGCGCTCCACCTCCTTGCGGTCCATCACCTTGAAGCGGCCCGACCCCGTCCACAGGTACACCTGCGCAGAACAGCAGCAGCACCTATTTAGGCCCGGTTCCTCCCCTGGGAGGCATAGATGCAAGGGGATTATAATGTGGAACTCCCCTTGATAGTTGTGAAGAAGAAGAGAGATCTTGTGGGTTTGTGCCGTGGCAACGCCCTCCTAAACTACCTCAGTATTGCACACCTGAGAGACGAGAGATAGCAGTCTGAGGAGTAGGAATGAAGCCTACTTTCTTGATGCAATACCAGGGCAAACAAAGAGCATCAGTGGCGTGCCAAGGCGTTCAGGGGCGTGCCTGGCCAATTTGCAGCGCGTGCCAGGGCATCATCCAGAAGTTGAGGCCCAGCCAGATGCCCACCACCAGCGAATACAGAATCATAATCAGCCGGTACGCATCCCTGCACCCGCACAGCTCCATGCATCAGCTCCCCATCAACTTGCAAGGGGCTCGAGTACCACGGCGCCATTGCAGCGTCTTAATGATGCGGAAAGTGCTTCCCTGATGAGCATGCATCCTGAAAAGACAACCAGATGGCATGCAGTGCATGTGAGACTATGCTGGTGCCACATCCATACACAAACGTCAACACCTTTCAAGAAAGTGAAGCAGTAAGTGGTGTGTAGCACCATGAAGAAGGTGGACACAACACTCTGGCCATGCAACCTGTTTATGGACACTTGCAAGCCCATAATACCAAAATGCTTTGACACACCCCACGATGATGCTGCACACCAGTCACTCGGGGCCTTGCTTTGTCCCCACAAAATCCCACAACTGTGTCCATGGGCTTTGCGTGAGGGACTGGACAGGAATGCTGACCTGGTGCCGCCGGCAGCCACGAAGATGAGGTCCAGCAGATAGAAGATGACGCCGCAGCCAGTGAAGCCGGCAACAAGTAGGCTGGATATAAAGCCGCGGCTGCGGGGGAACAGGTTGGAGATGTGCAGCTGCGACAGGTGGAAGGTGATCCCCGCCAGGCCCAGGATGACTGCCCCAGCCGGTAGCCCATTGAAGTCGTGGGTGTTGGAGCAGCCCAGCAGGATCAACCCCACCATGTTCAGCAGCGTGCCTGGACAGTTGGGCAGCACCCAGTCAGCACTTTGTGTCCACCCCATTTCAGCAGCCTGCACATTTTTGGGGCTGCTTTTTGGCCTGCATCACATTTCGTAGGGGAATGCTTGCAGTCTATCGCCGCATGATGCCGGCTCAGGAGTTACTACTGTGCACTTCATGCTGTGTCATGCATGCTAATGGTTAGATGCATGGGTGCTTCCGGGCACGAGATGAAGCAAGGACTGCCTGCAGATGATTAGGATGGTGCCTTTAGAATCAGAAATCTCATTTGCAAGGCTGTCACAGAGTACAGCTGATCAAAATGGGTTGGGATATAATGGAGTTCACCCAGCATGGCAGTGATCTTTGGGCCCACATAGTCCAGCACTGGGCCCACAATGACAGGCCCAAAGTTGAGAGCAAAGACACCGATGGTCCAAAGCACTGACAGCCGGCTTTCTTGCCAGGCGCAGTTTGTGTTGAGACCCTCCCGTTCAATGTCTGTGCAGCACACAGCATATCCGTCATCCCATGCTCATCTCAGCGCCGCAGTGAAAGCAAATTGAAGGTTATGATGGGGCTGCAACAGTTACATGACATGCAAAATGAAAATAAAATAATACCAGCATCAACCATAAGCAGGCATGAATGTATTGTGCTGTGGTGGACGCACCAGAGATGGGTTGTGTGCAGTTTCTGTTGTAGTTGCCCTGCTGCTTGAGCATCAAAGCCAAAGCATTCCAGCCGAAGATGAGACCGCCTGGTACACAGCAGCGTTGTATAATTAACGTTGGGCTTGCGTTTGAAGGGACATGTGCAGACAGGTTGCAAATGTGGATGTTTCTCAGGATGTTCCTCACCCTGCAGGAAGTCCCCGATGATGCTCTGGACCAACAGGACCACCTTGGCATCTTTGAAGCCATATGGGAGCGCCAGGCCTGGTGCCATGCCTTTCAAAGATTAGAGACTAGGATTTTGAATTATCACTGGCACGCTCTTTGTCCCCACAAGACCTCAAGATGCCCCACTGCTGGGAGGATGAGAGTATGAAGGCACAACAATCGGCAGTCCGACATCCCCGGTTCCCCTTCCATCTAGCCTACGACACATTGAGATTGATTGGAGCGCGACAAGCCTGGGCTCCAATGCATGAAAATAGCCAGCATTCAGTAAGGTTCCTGCGACGCCCCACAGCGATTAGACTCGCAGTGACATTGCCTTGTGGACGATGTTCCTGTTCAATGTTCAAGTTGTTCTCCTTAAAGGACATAACTACCCATTTGGCAATTATGAGACCTCACAAGGCCGAGGCCAGTCATGAACGACTGCTCAGTGAAGTTGGGGCAGCACGTTCAAGGGAAGCACCCACTATTGCTACTGATAATTAGCTCTGCAGCAAGTTGTCATTTTTCACCTGAAGGGTTTCAGGCCACAAGATGGGTCTCCTTTGCGAGGAAGTTACGACACATTTGGAATGTTTGAGCCTCTTCTGGTGAAGCTTGCAAACATACACCTTTTATTACCAGCGACAAGCTTCTCTTTTGTATAAACAAGACACACAATTGAGCAAAGTTTTTATGAAGGAAATTTGCTTCGAGGCCCTTGCATGCAGCGAAGCGAGAACCCCATCGGCGGTTGCCTCTTCTGGCATAGGAAGGCAGGTGGCAATTTGCACAGATCACAGGAAGAACCGAGCGAGAAGAAGGAGTAGAACACTCTTTCATATCAGCTACAACTGCAACGATCTGTGGGTGTAGATGGCGCAAGTCCACCCGCATCTTCTCCACAGTGAAGCAATTATGACAGAAGCCAGTTATTGGTGACAACCACGTACATGTACTGGATGGATTTGCTCGCTCCCCCTTGAAGTTCTCATTTGGAAGGTTGAACCCATGTTTCAATAGTGTCTCAATCCCGGCAGATAAGTGTGCGTGGTGGGTGCTGCCGATCCCTGGCGGAGGATTTCTAGCGAAAAGCGTTGATGACAAATCATAGATGCTCCAACAATAAAATCTTCAGCAGAGACGCAAAGTTTTGATTGGCTTCTCACTTTCGAGGTCCGGCTAGTTGTGACACCTCGTTGCCTTGAGGAAAACGCCTGAAAGTAACCTCAGTGTAGCTGGCCTCCCATAGAAATATGATGTGGCACTCTGTGCACTCTTGATGCTACGCACAAGCAAAAGTGGGTGAGAGTAGCGTTAGTACCGTCAGATTGCTGTGTACACCTTGCTTAGTGCAAAAGGAGGTCCACAGATTTGAGACCAGATGGGAGAAACGCTACCCACTGTTCCCTCTCTGCGGCATGGAAGGGACCTCGGCGAATCAAGAGCTGGGACGAGCGGTCGCTCAATGAGCTTGCACAGTGTGCTTCCACAGCACCTGTCTCTTTTAGCTGTGCCTCCCGGGTGTGAGAGCTGCAGCTCCAACCAGAACATCCCGCGGCTCCTGCTGCTGTGCTGTCTCATAAGCTTCCTGCTACTGGGCGTCCAATTCCTGGTAGGTGCTTTTGAGGATCGCCTCCTCTGCCTGTATCTGCTGTAAGTGCATGTAGGGGTCATGTTGGTTTGCTTGCCCCTTCAATGGGGTGGGATCCTCACCCTCGAATTGATGCGCAGGATGGGCAGACGCTCGAGGCGGTACTACTCTGGATAGATAAGGAGCCCTTGAAAGGCAGCCTCGTCTTCATTGTGGGTTCCGTACACCAAGCAGCTTTCATGTGTTTGCAAGCATTGAAATGGTTTGTTGTTCTTGGTGGCATGCATGTTGCTGATGATGGTATTGGTGCAAGAACGCAGGCAGCTGACATCATAGGAGTGACAGTGCTGTTCCCCGGAGCGATCTTTGCCATGGCAGGAGGGGCCATCTTTGGCATTGGCTATGGCTCCCTGCTGGTGTGGATCGCCACCAGCCTTGGGCAGACACTAGCGTTCATTGTGGGCAGGTGTGCAGCTCCAGGGTCGGCTCTTCTGATCTGTACAGCATTTCAACCTTCTCTTCACCTCAGAGGCCAGCGAATCTGTGTGCTAGACTGTTGATAGGACTTTGATCAGCACAGCTGTCGTGTTAAATTTGGGGGTGTTTCCAGCTGTTGCCTACCAGCCCGTCGTCTTAGAGCAAGTTCTGAGAAGGGTCCTAACCCCTTTCGCCATGTTTTTGCCCCACCAAACGGGAAAACAGCGCATGTACAGTTGGCGAGCAATTGCTGGCAGCGGGCTTCACCCCTGGCGCCACATTCTGCCCCAGGAAACCAGGAAATAGAGCAAGAATTGGCGACGGATGCAGGTACATGCTGCGGGGAATGGTAGTGGCGTATTTGTCCAGTCGCTTCCCCAAGTGGGCGGCCGTGGATGCAGCGCTTAGTAACGAGGGCTGGAAGCTCATCACGCTCCTGCGGCTGTCCCCGATCGTGCCTTGGAATGTGCTCAACTATGCACTCTCTGTCACCGGTGCGCGGCGTTGCCTCCTTCCTCCGGCCTGTGCCTTTTGCAGCTCACCACATGCGCAGCACCCTCCACGTGCATTTGCCACTCCATTAACTATCTCTGTAAACAGGGTGTGAGGGTACGCCGATGCCTGACACATCCTTCTGCATGCTGTCAATGTCTTGCTGTGCTGACCTGTGCTCAGCTGCTCAATGAAGGAAAGGGGCCTGCCTCTTTCCCTGCTCTTCCTTTTCTGCATGTCCTGCTTCTCGAATGGGCTTTGCATGCGTAGCAGATCTGGCACCTCCATAAAGAGAAAAATTGGCCCAAGAGCTCATCATCACCACGCATATGCTTTGTTCCCAAGTTGCATTGGCAGGAAGCTCAGAGCAGTCTAGAAGTAGTGGGTTTTCCTCGTATCTGCCAGAGGATGGCAGCAACTAAGGGAGGACCTCTTGAAAGCAGGCCCTGGAGGCAAGCCTGAAGTTGGCCATTTATGTAGGCTATCCATGGAGCCTAATATGGAGCCAATCCATAGAGGCGAATGAAAAGCTCACGCTGAGGCACCGAGATGCCTTGATCGCTGAATTGACGCTGAGCATGCTCAGCATGCCTGATATTGCCACCTATGCGCAGCAGGCGCCAGTTTTGATGATTGCAGCACATGTCGGAGCTATCTCAAATCACTGGTTTCATGTTATGCTGCGCTGTGCAGGCGTGGGCTTGCTGCCGTACGCGCTGTCGTCTTCAGTGGCGATAGTTCCTTGGAGCATCACCTTTGTCTATTTTGGCTCCATGGCGAAAAACATGGCCGACATTCTGGAGGGCCGCGCCGGGCCGCATGGCGCGTCATCAGTCGCCCTGCTGGCGATGTCTGGTGTCATGCTTGTGGCTGTGGTGGTGTACTCCACCATCATTGCCAGGTGAGCCGCTGGCCTGCGCCCTGGTGGCTCTAATTCCTGCATACCCTTGTGCACAGGCGGTAACCTGCTCACTGTAGTATACAGCACCGGGCGTCCTGCCCCGTGCATATCCTAGGAAGTGGCTCTACTCCCGAGCATGCAATCAGAGCCCATGTCTGCACGTCCTCAAAACTTGTCGCTCGGTTGGAATGCTTGGCGCATTTTTTGTGGGTGGGTGTCTGCGCATGCGCAGAAGCTTGGCCTGGCGTGATATTTCCTTGGCTTATTACCTCCAGGGTGTCATTGGGCAGAGAAGCAAATCCGGCAAAACTTACCTGTCGGGTTGTGAGGATGCGAGGGCATGAGCACACAGCTCTCTTCTGTCAAAATGATTCCTGAATAGTGGTGGCTGGTGGCTTATCTGGAGTCTTGTGGGGCAACAGGAGGGCGATAAGGGAAGCGCTGTCCAAGGGTGGCAACTCAACAGATGAGGAGCTGCAGTCAATAGTAGTCAGCTCGACAGATAATGACGAGGGAAATAATGGTGCCAAGGGAATGATTGCGTCCCTGAATGGCCTCAACAGCGAGTCATCCGGCCGAAGAAACACCGCCACTGAACGCTAGGGCGCGCTGTGCTGAGCGTGGAGCTGTGCATCTTCCCCAATAACAGAGAGAGGTTGCTGTGAAGATACTGCAACGCTGGTTCCCCGGGGATGCTTTCAAGCCAGTCAGGGTCTTGTAGTCAGCATAGATTGCAGAGACCACACCTTGGCATAGCATATGGGAGGCAGAGAGGAGCGGAATGATTGTGTAGCTGGCTCCACCAAATTGCTCTAGAACGAGCTCAATAAGCAGATGCCCAGGATGTCAGCAGTTCCAGTGAGCGCAGTTTGGTTGTTTCATTGTATTTTATACATCAGGGAGTTCTCTCTGTAGACAGGGGGTACCCTCCCTTTTTTATATTTCTCTATTTTGTACATTCGCCTGGCATAGAGTCTCAATGGATTTTCAGGGCTCCCTTGACAATCGGAGCGCTAGCATTTTCTGGGTCATGCCTGCATCACATTGGGAGAACCTGCAGCGAACGCTGGCTCAAGATTGAAGATTGCATTGAAGAGTTTGGTGAAGGCAAGCTGTCAATGTCCACCATGCCGTATTGATTCATGCTTCGGCATTTCTGCTGGAGGGTAAGCATGCGCCATATATGGCAGCTTTTGAAGCACAGACGCATCGTCGCACTGCCTATGTATTGCCAGGTCTGGTAGTTGCTAGGAAGCCTGGCTTTCTGCGAGAGCATTGATCATGAAGCTGATCAGCTTCATGGGCAGCACATTTCTGGCTGTTATAACAACACCAAGTTGCCAAGGCCATTCAGTGAAGGATTGGGGCTGCCAGCCAGTGAATGTCGATTAACATTAGCACTGGTCAGCAGTAGTGGGGCGTGCGCACGTGCTAAGGTTGCTCTGCAAACACGATGCATGCAAATGAATATCAATACTGTACAATACGGGCCAGGCCGGCACGGCCTTCAATCATAATGGGCACCATTAATTTCTTTGCAAGGGCCACTATATTCCGCATGCGGCATGGCACCGGCAGCACTATAAAGACCCGGGCCCAGCCAGGCCATTACACGAGGTGTGAATGCTGGAATCCTGAGAGCAGCGCCACATTGCATTCTTGTCTGTATCCCTCTCCTGTCAATCAGAGGGCTGCATATGGCCGATCCCACGAAAAGGAAAAGCCGCCTTCCCGATCGAAACCGCCAAATCAGGAAAGCATTTGAATTGCAGCCAAGTTTCGAACTCTCCCCCGCTTTCATTCATCACTGCCCTGGAGCGTGATCAAGGCGATCACGGACATCAAACTGCGCCTCCGTTGTCTGTGTTGGTTTTAATCGTCCAGTAACATTTGTCGTGTAGTGCACGTCCGGAAAAAAGCGGGGAAATAAACAGGCACGGTGCCATCCATCGACGATAGCAGGGGACCTTCTGTAAATAGCACTGAGAAAGGCAGATACAGGCGAATCTGATCGTGACATATGATATGTTCAGCAGACTTTGATATGTCACGGAGCGTCCGACGGGGCGTGTCCAGGTGTTTGCGCTGCGCCACACTTGCAGCCGATGTCACGCTAACACATATTCAAGAATATGATAATGGCCCAGTATTCTGTGCCCTGCTGTCTAGATCCAGTCACATTGGCATTATAGGAAGTGATCGCTGAGAACATAATGTGCTTGACAGGAGATCAAGAGGCTGACATCAAGATGCCCAGGTTGCTCCTCAGAGCAATCCTATTGCTTGCAGCGATTCTTGCGCATGATCTACGGGTCTCAGGTAATTCTTAATCCTTTACTTGTAAAGTGTTGAGAATTACCTGGACACCGGTGTGCGGTTGCAGAGCGCTGCATCATACCACCACATCAGTGTTGCCCAGCTGCACGTTCCCTGCTTCACACAACGTTTCAAGCCAACCCAGTACTGCATGAATTTAAAGGAGTATTGCGAATGTGTCACAGGGGACCTTTCTGCCGCAGCCCAGGGGGTGGCTGCTATAGCCGCTCCTCCAGATGGCACCACCTCGCTTGTGACAGTATACAAGGAGGGCTCATCGAATGCAGACACGGCCACTCCGGTGAGTGACCTCACTCCATTCCAATGCCAGATCACATCGGTTTGCACCTGCATGAACAAGCCCTCCAATCTGTGGCCGGGCTGTGACACTGCTGCACTGGTTAACAAGATATCGCCCTTGGCCTCGGTCGCCTACGTGGTCTTCGACATTTCCCTGCTGGAACCAGTCCATGCCAGCAGTGGCCACTAGCGAGCAAGAAGCTTTGTCCTCCTGGCAGCCACCTCGCAAACAAATGAGTGGCACTGCTTGATCCGCATGTCCTGCTGACTGGGCAGATCACAGATCCTGCACCTTGGAAGAGCAATGCCCTGAAGAAGAAGAAGACAAACAACAGAAGCTTGATGGCTGCGCTGAAAACAGGTGGAGGCCCTGGAGGGCGCGGTGAGCAACGCCGTGGACTCACAGCTGCCGCCGGCGACGCTCAAAGCCGTTTTAGAAGCCGCCGTGGACCCGAAGCGAAGGCCGGAGTCGGCTGCGGCGCGCGCTGCCGTCGGCGCGGCCGTCGACGCTGGGCTGCCGCCGCCGGCCGTCAAGGCGGTGGCGAATGCCGGGATCGCGCTCGCGCACCAGGATGTCGGCCGCGTGCTCGTCAAGGGCGCCGCCGACAGCGCAGCGCCCGTCTTCCAGGCGAGTTTGAAACTCAATCTTCGAGGGATCCAAACAGCCAAGGACTGCAAAAGTGGGCCGCGTGCTTGTGACAACACCATGCCCATCTTTCAAGGGGATTTTGAATTCATAAGGACAGATTTTAAAAATGCTGGGGATTGACGCCGTTGATCTGGCAGGCCATATCCTTGCGCAAAGATTTGCGAGCATAGCATGGTCATTGTGTACATTGACTTGAGTGAGAAATGTCAGCATTTACGATTGTGCGCAGGTGATTCGTGGTGCGCTGAATGGGTCTCTGGCATCGGGCGCAGACCCTAGAACGGCCGGGCAGCTGCAGGTGCAGGTGGGCAGCCGCGGGCAGCTCACCACAACCACAAAGCTGGAGCCCAGCCTGACAGTGCAGACAGACGATGCTGCGCAGCCCACAGACCTCTCCTTGGAGCTGGCCCCCATCAGCACAGAGGTGTCACTGGCACAAACCCCCACCACCCAAGTAGGGCATCCGCATTCACAACCAATAGTGAGAATTACCTGGGCACTGCCATCCACACACCTTGGTCTCTAATCAGCATCAAAGGACAGGGCTATCTGTATTCAAATCCCGCGTGGCGGTGTGTATTGCATAGTACTGTCCGTGGTGTAGAAGGCATCATGTGGAAATTATATTGTCCCTGCCGTCGACCCTTGGCTCTTGTGAAACTTATCTCATGGTTGAGCCGCCTTTGTCCGGCGATGTCTTGAGACTATTTCCAGGAAAACATGCAGGATGTATGTAACCAGCACTGCTCTGCTTGTGCAGGCATCTGCTTCCTCAGGAGCACGCACCGCAGACCAGGCGGCTCTTGCCAAGCCAGACGCTGCTCTTGAAAACATAACTGCGCGAGCGCTGCTGACACCGGCCGCGGCCGTCTTGGCACCGGCGGCGGCTCCGACAATGATGACGCCGGCGCCGGCGCCTGCCATTGCCTCGGCCCTGCCTGCGGCGGCCATCATTGCTGGATACCCTAGCACCACTCAGAACATCGCAAGCGCCTTGGCTGCAAACCAGGTACCCACACCTGACTTCATCGCTGTTACGGATTGCTGTTGAGGTTCCCTTCTTGGCAATTTGCAAGGCTGTCCTTGCTGAAGCAATGTCCTATCAGTTCCTTCTGAAGATAATAGGAGGGTTGTTGTGGGTACGGTTCTGACCAACTAGATATTTGTTCACATTGGGGAGTGTTTGTGACCGCAGTGGCTTCTGGATGACAACGAGCGCCGCATCGGGTCAGCACTGAACAAGCTCGGGGCCCAGCCGCTGTCTGCGCGGGACAGCACGACCCCAGACTTTACCGCCTCACAGCCGCTGGCAGCATCGGTGCAGACTGATCAGCCCATTTCCGCGCCTGTGCCGGCCCCGGCACCTGCCCTGTCCCCTGTGGCATCCCCCGCCATGGCGCCTGCTCCCAGCGCAGCGCTGCAAAATTCCCGGGTCGCGCCGGTTGCTGCGCCGCTGGCCGCAGTGGCAACGGCGCCACAGGTTGCTCGGGGAGCGGCCGTCCCAGCCAAGCGCTTCGGCGACTACGTGCCGGCGACCGTCCGGACAGACCCGGTCGCCCTGGCGCGCATCTTCGCGGCGGCCAACACCGGCAGCTTGGCCGCCGCGCCCACCCCCTCTGCGGTCGTGACCGGCAGTCAGCTGGCCGCTGCAATACAGCAGATTGCGGCAAATGTACCCTCATCGGCGGCGGACGGCCAGCCGGCTCAGGTGTTCAAGGTGGACACGGGCACCGCCGACGCGCTGGCCTCGGCCTGGGCGCCGGAGCCGGCCGCCGCGCCCGCACCGCAAGCCGAGCCGCGCAGCAGCGCCGCTCTTGCGGCGCAGCAGCCGGCGCAGGCGCCGCCGGCAGAGCCGCTCACGAGCGCGCTGTCCAGCGTCACGGCGCGCCTGAAGGCGACCGAGAGCCGCCTCTCCTCAGCCGTCAGCCTGCTCGCCGCGGCCGGCCGCGTGCGCGCGGCCCCGAAGGGGCCGCCGCCGGCCGCCGTGTCGCTGCTCGCACAACCTGACAATGCCGGCTCGCCGGCGGCTGCGCCGGCCGCCGCCTGGGCCCCCAGCATCGGCGTCGCCGCCGCCCAGCCAGCCGCCGCCCACGCGCCCACCTTGGGGGCGGCGATGGCCGCGCTGCCGGCCTCAGCTGCGTTTGCGGAGGCTCCGGCGCGGGTGCAAGAGCTGCGCAACCTGCAGCCGATGGACGAGGCGACGGTGGCGAAGCGGCTGCGATTGGCCCTCACAACTTACCTTTCATCGACTTCTGCCTTTGGGGCCCTGACGCCAGCAGCAGCCCAGGACGCCACCACCTTGCAGTCCCGTGATGGGCCTTTCTCACTGGAAGATGTCTTTGCTGCAGCAATCGCATGGCAGATCGCCAACGGGTGCGCAGTCTTGCCTGCCACGGCACACTTCTGCCATGCATGCGCAATACACAATTCTGCAAGGATTGGCGCAATGAGACACAAGATGCCGCTGATCTGCTGGGCTCAATCTTTATTTCGGTTCTCTTTGGGAGCTCATTTTCCCTGTCGGGAGGGACCCAAGCTCGGATGAGCAAGTGTGTTCTTCACATGTGCAGGACGAGTCCTGTGGCGCTGGCCTCTGTGGACACCATTCAGCCCTGGGCCAGGAGCTTCTTCCAGCAGCAGCTGTCCAGGCAGCCGGGCACCAACTCCCTTTCCTTTGACGAGGCTGCTGCGCTAGCAAGGTGCACATTTGCTACCTCAACTGAATTATTTGATAGACACCCTCAAGAAACGGGATCCTTCTACAGAAGCGTTTCTTCCCTGCAGCGTGCTGGGATTGTGTATCCCCAATTTAGTGCTGCTTTGCACGTGCATGTATATTATGTTCTGGCACATTCAAATTAAGAAAGCGCTCTCACTGTGCGCAGGGCGTCAGCCAGGCTTCTGGCCAGTGAGAGCCTCGCAGCGCTGGCACCGGCCGCGGCGCCGGCGCGGGCGCCGGGGGGCGCCTCTGCGGACAGGGCCTTCCTGCAGACCGGAGGGCCCCCGGCCTCGGTGGCCACCGCGGCACAGCTCTCCAGCCGCGTTGCGGCCGCCGCCGCCGAGCCGCTGACGTCCCGGGTGGCGGCGCTGCGCCCCGGGGTGCTCAACCTGACATCCGTCCACAGTGAGCTGCCGGGGGAAGCGGTTGCGGCAACCGGCGATGCCGCGGGCAAGGCCCTCAACATCACCCGGGACATCAAGCAGGACGCCCTGGGGCAGCTTGCGCTTGTCTTTGGCCCAGGGCAGGGCGGCAGCATCGCCGGTGATGCGCAGCCGCTCGCCGCCGGGGCAGCCGTCCCGGCCGCTGCGCCTGTATTGGCTCCGGCCAAGGCGCCTCTTCTGGCTCCGGCGGCCGCGCCAAACATGGCCCCGGCCTATGCGCCTGTTCTGGTGCCTGCCCTTTCACTGTCGACCGTCAGCGCCAGCGTGTTCAGCGGCGGCGCCGACCGCGCCTACTGGCTGCAGAGGCTCACAGAAGCCAGGGCTGCGCAGGCCCGGCCCGCATCGGCAGGCAGCACCGTCAGCCTGCAGGCGACAAAGGCTAATGCACCAAGCCCCCATCCCGCAGCTACCACCAGCCTGCAGGCAGCGGCAAATGCCGAGGCGCTGAGCCCTCAGTCTGCAGCCACCGCAAATGCGACGGCCAGCCTCGAGCAGCAGAGCAAAGAAGCCGCGGTGGTGGATGCCAAGATTGCCTCCAACTGGCAGGCCATCATGAGTAACTGGGGGCTGCTCGGCCGTGCCGGGCTCGCCACTCCGGAAAGCCCGCCGCGCCGGCTGCTGGGCGACCTCGTCCCGCTGACGTCAGCGTCAGTGCTGACACACCGGCCGCTGACCGGGCTCCTCGCCAGGGTCCGCGGCACCTTCAGCGGCCTCTTCAGGCGCGCACACCGGCCGGCAGCGGCGGCAGGCGCCGATGGCGCGGCGGCGGCTGCAGCCGACCGGCCGGCCCGGCGCGGCCTGGCAGCGTCGGCCGCGCTCGGTGCGTTCCCTCCCGGAGTCGCACCCGCGGCGGCTGCGGCCGTGGCGCCCGCGTCGGCCGAAGCGGTGGCGACGGCTCTGCGCGGTGCGCTGTCGAAGGCCCTGCGCGCTGACGCGGGTATGCTGCAGTCGCTGGCGTTGGACCCGGAGCAGTTGCAGCTGCTGCAGAGCGTGGTGCTGGAGCAGCCGTACCAGGAGGGCGCCGCGGCGGCCGAGGCGTCGCAGCTCGTCAGGGCATTCTCCGTCGACCAACCGAGCGGCGGGTTCAGCCTGCAGCAGGTACGAAGACACCTGCTGCTGGTCCATCCTGCATTATTTCAATACCATGAAATTGATTGTGTACCAGCGCTTGGAGACATCACGCATGCAGCAGTGTCTCTATTCGTTGCAGGATTTCAAAAAGCCTTCCTGACTGACATGTATGTGAAAGAAACTGCAATGCTTTTTTGCATTTGATTAGATGTAAATCAGCCGACCGTGCACGGCTATGTGCAGCCTCAAGCACAGCTCTCTGTAGTCAATTCCAGAAATTCAGTGCGCCTTTGTACAAAAAAGCATGTAGTCCTCTTCATGTATTCTCCACAAAGACACCTTCACGCCTGTGCAGCTCAAGATTTAGTGCGTCCCATGGTTGCAGGTGGACCAGCTTGCGGACATCTTTGCAAAGAGCCTTTCCGCCGCCGTGTCGAGGGCAGGGCCGTTGAGTACAACAGCCCCAGCCACTTTTGAAGCCGCCCTCACACAGTCTGTCGCAGCGGCCCTGCCGGCAGCAGCCGAAGTGGGGCTAGCCCCGGCTGCAGTGCCTGCTCTGGCCCCCACCGCTCTTGCGCCGGATCTCGTGCCAGCAAAGGCCGCTGCCGCAGCCATCGCACCGGCCCCGGCCGCTGCGCCGGCGGCAAAGTCGCCAGCCGCCGCGCCTGCAGCGTCTCTAGCAGCATTTCTTGCATCAGCCCCGGCACTAGCACCCGCTCTTGCGCCCTCCAAGGCCGCTGCTGCAGCCGTGGTCCCGGCCCCGGCAGCCGCGCCTCCGGCAAACTCACTCGCAGTTGCGGCCGCTTATTCGGCCGCAGCCGCTGTTGCGTCAACCCCGGCAACAGCGCCTGCTCTGACGCCCTCAAAGTCCGCCGCTGCAGCGCTGGCACCGGCCCCGGCCGCACTGGCCCTCGCGCCTGCAAAGCTGGCCGCAGCCGCCAAGTTGCCGGCGCCCGTCTCAGTGCCCGCTCTTGCCCCAAAAGCAGCTGCATCGCTGGCAGTAGCCCTGAAGGCAGCTCCGCAACAGGCGCCCGCACTGGCCCCAAAAGCAGCCGCACCCTTAGTTGCAGCAGTAAAGGCAGCTCCACAGTCAGCACCCGCTCTGGCGCCTAGCGCCGCCGCACTCGCTTCGGCAATCACCATCACAAGGAGCCTGCCGATGGCGGCGGCAGTGAAGACCGCTCCAGTGGCTGCGCCGGCCCACGCGCCTGTCGCGGCGCCCAGCCTATCAAAGCCCCAGCCGCCTCAGCCACTCGCAGCAGCGCCAAGACTCGCCCCCAATTTGGCACCCAGGGTCAGCGTGCCTGTACTGGCGCCCACAGCACCGGCGCCTTTTCTGGCACTGAAGGCAGCAGCGCCAGTGTTGGCGCCAGCGGCTCAAACGCCTATGTTAGCGCCCAAGGCAGCGGCGCCAATTCTGGCGCCCAAAGCAGAGGCGCCTGTTCTGGCGCCCAGGGTGGCGGCTGTCGGGGGAGCGAGGCAGGAGGCTGCGGCTCTGAAGCTGGAAGCTGCTCCGGCTGTCGGCTCGCTGCCGCACGCCGTTGCAGGCACGGCAATCACGGAGGCCCCAGGTGCGCCCATCATCCTGATGTGGCAATCGATCTTTGAAGCTGCACTGCGGGCTCAACCAGAAGAGAGTGTACCCAATTAGTAACCACCCGAAGAGCAACCTTTTGTCAACAGAAGGGCCAATCTTGGGGATCAGGTGCAGAGCAGTGATGACTCTCACAGGTCCACCCATTGACCTTTGACAGGTTTCAATATGCTTGTTGTGAGGCCTTGCTGTGCGGAGCAGCATTCCTAACCCTTATCGTGTGTCACAGCCTCCGCGGGCCAGGGAGTTGCGCCGAGGGCCGCGGCTGAGGTGGCGCCAGCGGGTACAAGAGGCAGTATCGCCTCTGCTGACGTGGTCGGCCCTGCCAAGCGCGTGCCGGCTCCGGCCGCCGTTCTAGCTCCTTCAGCCTCGTACGCAGCAAAGGTGTGGTTTCCACTGCAACAGATGATTATTCTTGCATGTGTTAGAGATGGTGGGCCGGCAGGGCATAATTGCGCTGCAGCAGGACAGATCCCGATGAGAGAAGCGGAGGTGCAATTTCCACAGCAACAAATCGTACCTCTACTGAACCAGTTAAATTCACTGTGCTCTCAAGCTGTGGAGTGGCTCTTCTTCTTCTGAAGGTTGCGCCGTGTTTGTTCTTGGCCTGCAATGCATCTATAGCACCTGATGGCGATGCGCCTTTGTTCTTTGTTCATCATGTGCGTGCATGCAACTTGTTGAGAAGATGTGCTCACCAAGGCTTCATCGGCTCGGAATCAGGGAACTTTGGACTCCCATTACCCTGGTGCAGGGGGATATTGAACAAACATTTCATTATCCCCCCGCCGGGCAGAAACTGAGGGTAATAAAATAATCACAGTTATTAATTACCCTTGGTGAGGACCAACCCCTGCACGTGCAACTTCTCTGTAGTTGCTGCACGCCAATACTGAGCCCCCCTCTCTCCACCGTTTCAACAGGCAGCTACAGCCGCGCGCGCAAGGGTTGAGTCAGCAGAGGGACCCCCAGTCTCACCACCATCGTCACCACCCCCACCACCGCCGCCCCCTCCTCCGCCACCACCGCCACCGCCACCGCCGCCCCCGCCACCGCCAACCCTCTGAGAGGCATATTAATTTATTCCTGAATTCATATTTTTTGAATTTGAAGTCTTCCAGCGCGGCTCCATTGTTGGTATCTGTGGGCTGCACCCAAAGACACGTTGGCGAGGAGGAGAAATGACTGTACGTGTTCTGATCATTGTGAGTTTGTCTGAAATGGCCACTGGCTGCTGACACCCATGTGAAGGATAGAACTGCTGTTCGGTAATCGCTGTTGTCTGAGCACTGCAAGGTTTTGGGCCAGTATAAGGCTTTGCGCAGGAAGGATGCAAATGCAGGGCACTTCTATTTTCTATCAAGACAAGCGAGAATGGAGTGTCTCAAGAGAATTGTCCGTTTGCACATCTGCTGCAAGATATGTCCGAGCTGTCCCAAAGGATGGTCTGACCTTTACATGGACCCTGGGAATTGGGCCAAGAGGTCATGTTAGCGCACTTCAAGACTTTGTTTCTCTGTCATTAAATATTTGGTTTTAGTTGGGCTCATGTGATGGTGTCTGTGGCCAGCTGAGTGTGCAACTTGCACTGTTGCAAGTGTGCTGTGTTAGTGGGCTTGGCGAGACACAAGATGTGCCCTTGCTTCAAAGCTCTTTGTGTAGACAAGGGACAAGGCGGACCCATGCATAGACATGATGAGTGGAGCAAGAAAGGAATATTTGAAGCTGTTTAAGCTTACAAACGGTCAAGTTTGAAAGAGGGCTTCTCAGCAAGCCTGTGTGCTTTCACGTAGATCGTGATCATCAATACTTGTCTGATCCTTGCCATGCAAATGCATGGGCTACACATGTGTGAAACAGCACGCAATGATGCTTTGGTTGACCAAGCAGAGCTAGCCAATATAGAGGTGGGGCAGAAGGGGGTTTTGACCCTTCGCATTGGAAGAGTTATACAGTTAATCACCCAAATTTGTTGACCATGGTCGTCAATTGATACTTGCAAGTATCTCCTTAAAGGGCCCCGACCTTGTCGGTGGAGTGTTTTGGTTGATCACATGCTTCTGTAATAGTCAAATTGATTGCACCATCACATGATCTATGCAAAAGCATGATGTTAACGCCTATCTATGTCAACTGCATGTGCAAACCGCTTGTTGCAATCTGAATCTTATGCTGCTCTTTCATGTCACGCATGCCATCTGTCATCACCAAGTCAGATGGCAGCAGTAGATTTCTAAGATGTGGCCACCCACCAGGCCAGCTTAAAACATGATTTAAGGGATACAATGAATGAAAACGAATCCCCGCGAACAGAATCTGTACAGGGATGTTGTGCTGGGAAACACGTTGAGCATTTGGAGTTGACTCTATCCCAGCAGTTAAACATGGGAAACATGTGCTGCACTAGGGAAAGAGCCACGGCCATCTATGGGTCTATTGTTTAAGCTCATGACTGCTATGGTACAATGTACAACAAAGAATCCCCCTTGGTGGAAATGCTCTATTTATTTTCACCAGCAACAGCAGAAAACAACAAATTTGTCTTAAAAATGAGCCACACTTGTACAGAGCGCTAGATTTTGCTGCACTTTACAGCCTGCAAGCACTGTGCAGCTCATGGATGTAACTTTGTCTCCATACCGCTAGTAACCACTTGAGTAGACCCTGTGTCACGGCTCAATCCCTCCAATATACACAGAGCACGTGTCTCAAATCCCATATGGCCTGAACTCCCATATGACAGCACTGGCAACTACCATACTTTCATCAGCAACTGCCTTGTACAACCTTGCTGAGAAGCTTCCTCAGCATTTGCCTTTCCGGACTCCTCTGCTCGCACCCAACGCTGCTGTTGCTGCAACGTGCACAGCGTCACACAGCAGAACCACCAATCAAGAATAAGGAAGTCCCACCCAAATGCACCATCCATGCCCAGCCACTCGCAGTGGACAGCACGAGAAAGAGCTCTCGTGGAATTCTTTGGAGGATCCTCATGTACAACGCCTAGCCACGCGGATCGCCTGATTTGAGGCTGAAGCCAGGGGCCTGGATTAGGGCAGGCTACAGGGAGATTATCTGGAGGAGGCGCGTCTAAGGCGGCTCTCCATGTCCTGGCGTTCCTTGAGCACGCCCCTCAGCCGCTCATCGCACCGCCTCAGGCTCTCCTGGCTGATGCGCAGCTCAACCTGCAGTGCTCACCAGCATCAGTATTTTCACCTCCGTGCACTCAACATGTCTTCCTACGAGTGCATCCACCCGTGCTGATTCTCACAGCCACAGCAAGGTGGACCCCGGACGCAGAAGCGTTCAAAGCAGGGGCACCCCGAAGAAGACACAAGACCCATGCTAGCTGTCAGGGCTTGGCAGGAGCTACACACTCCCAAACCCGCTGTTCCTGTAAATTGTGAAGCCCTCACCTTTGCCCTGCTAGCCACCCCACCCAGGCTGCTGATTAAGACTCTTGCAGCGGCGGGCGCATTGCATGAAGACAACCAAGGCGGATGCAACTCATTCTGGATCTCAGAAAGTCGATTTTGGAACACATCGACACATGCGTGACAGGTGGACACACCTCGAGCTCGCGCACGCGCTGGCGGCTGGCGGCGAGCTGCGCGTCGGTGGCAGCGCTCTTGTCGCGCAGGCTGCCGAGTGCGGCCTCCAGTTCGGCCGCTCGCCTCTCTCGCGCCTGCATTTCCCGCCGCATGTTCGTCACCGACACGCTAGCCGCCTCCACCTGCATGCATAACAGCAATTAGAACTCCCATATCACATGTCACTGTATCCTGCACAATCCACCTCACCGCCAGAATGTGGACCTCTGTCACTTGGTTCCATGCGATAGACGAGGGAAGGCTCAAGGACCTCTTCATGGACGACCATCTACCAACCGAGGTAAAAGCATCAAGGCAGATCTCGCACACTATTTTAGGAAATGTATCGCCAGGACTGAGCATTTAAGATCCAAAAGCATCTTAAGGTGGTCTGTCATTAGTTTTAGGGCTGGTCAGCGCCCAAGAATCCCTCAGACAGCTTGCCATGCCATTCTTAATCCAGGATCTGTCTCCCTGCTGCTGTAACATTTGATTGAAGAGACAACCTGAAAGCTCTAAGCCTTTTGGCCGACAACGAAATAAGAATTTGATGTTCCTTCTTCTCAGTGCGAGCGTTTGTGCTGCAAGACAAGCACAGTGCAATGCACAACACAAGGCCTCTCACACACGGAAAAGGTAGAAAGAGGTCTCAGGACGCAAGATGGAAGGACGTGCCTTGCGTTGGATGTCACTGCCCTTGCCCTTGACTCGCGCCAGATCCGCCTCGGCCGCAGCGCGCGCAGCCGCCGCCTCTGCAGCCTGCTCCTCCAGCACCTGACAGCACCACAAGCACCTCAGTATGACTGCCCACATGTGACAGCTATCTTTCCCAATACTACCCCTCATACTTGGCTTCTTATATTGTAATCCACTGGCCCCTAGGGTGCCAGCTTGACATGCTCACTTGCAGGCACTTGGAAGAAAGGCAGGAATGCACGGGCCTTGATGCAGAGGCAAAAGTCCAAAGACAGGCTCTGTGAATCGGCCATGAAAAGAGCTTTGCAGGAACATGCAGGAGTCCACCATTCAATAAAGCAGAAGCCTTAAGCTTGGCTCTTGCGTAGCAGTGAGTAGGCAAGGCAATTGTGTCCAGTCGAAGAATGTTCATCATGGCATCTCAAATAGATGTCTGCCCACACAGTCAAATTGCAGAAATGTATCTTCCATGTAGTGCTATCAGGGAAATGCTCACCTTGACGCGTGAGGCATGCTCCTCGTCGTCCCGGGCCTTGGCAGACAGTATACTGGTCAGCCGCAGCTCCAGGTCCTTGATTCGCCTGTCGTGACCCTTTCGCTCCTCCCCTTGCACCTGCAAAGATGCACAATCCAGGCTCAGCGCCTCAAAACCATCGTCGGGTGTGAGCTCGACAGAAAAGCTACAGTAGCATTTCTGGGGCACAGATAGTAAGATAAACACATGCACTAAGATTTATGTGTTGACAGTATCTGATAGGGACGCACATTGGCTATGGACTCAGGGGTTGACAGCACGTGACAAGGCCGCAAACTTCATCCTAGACATATGGAGTGACAGCATATGACAAAGTCAAGACTTTATTATGGCCTCATGGATTGATGATCCGAGCAACGCAAGGGAGTGGAAAGTGCACATGCTGCAGGGATAACAAGAGTCCCTCAGGCAAAAAGGGGGGTTGGGGCATCACCTTGAGTTTCCTCTCCAAGCCCACAACCGCCTCCTGCGCCTTGTCCTGCTTGAGCTCTGCTTCCCGCTGCTGGCTGCTTGCCTGCTCTGCCTGCAATGTACCCCCACATCAGCCTCCCAAGAAAAATCACAAGGAGATTTAAATATACACCTAGATAAGAATAGATCTCCTGAGAGACAAAGCCATGATGCAGGCAATGCCGAGCTAGACATTCTCACTTTCCCACATCAGGTGCCATCCAGCTCTGAAAACAGTGTGCACATCGCTTCCTGGGCCGGTCTCATGGATTCTGCAGGCTTGTGAACAGCAAAGGCTCAGTTGAATGTTTACATTGCACTTTTCAACCGCTGTTCCTGCCAAGAGGGCAGAGGTGTCTGCATGCTGCACATGAATTACTATACACTTTGATCCTTGTACCCTCAGCATTTACAGCGGATCCCGCCGGCTGGGGCTCTGGCTACATGCCTGGGCCTGTGAAAGAGGGGTCCTTTGCAACAAGTTGATGTTCAGAGTGCACATGCAGAAGAAGGCAGCACACCTCATTCAAGGCATTATTTCTCTCCAGGATGAGGGCTTCCTGGGCTCGCTCCAGCCGCTCTGTCCTTGCTCGCCCCTCGGACAGCTGCCGCGCAGCATCCCTCACCTTCTGCGTGGCTTCACTCGCCGCCTTGCTGGCGGCCTGTGCTGTCCGCTCGGCTTCCGCCTCTTTGCTGACCTGCACAAATCAGCAATACATACTTGTGAGCGAGGACATTTGTGACTTTCAAACAGATCTGGGTCCTACAAGGAATTTCACTCTGACGGCCGCATGCATTTCTCAATGTAATTTTGTGGTCGGGCAGAACATCATAGAAAGATTGCAATCATTTTTGCCGCACCAAACGTCCTGCATGCCAATCAATTTGTGCACCCATTCAAGCTTTAAGGTCCCAAGCATGTGTAAAGCAGAAGTCCTATGGCTGATGTATGGCCTCACCGCTTTTGCAATGAGGGCCTCAAGCTCTTTGATGCGATGCTCCGCCCAGGCCAGCTGCTTCGCAAGCACTATGTCCTCCTCTCGCTCTGCCTCTTCTTCCTCTTCCTCATCCTGCTCGTCCTCCTTTGCTGACACCCTCTGTTCCTGCAGCTGTGGCATTGAATGAATTCTCACTTCTCAGTTATCTTGGTTTGACAAATCGATAATGTGTCAATCAGGTGTCGAAAGCAGTGCATGCCCTTGATACCAGGTGTGACTTTTCAGCTGTGCAGACTGTCATCAAGGGACAACCTTCTTATAGCTCTTGCAGTAAGATCTCACTGGATTTTCAACTTTGGTGCAACTCGAGAGCACGCTGCCAGAGGACAGACCTTTCTTTGTCTCCGAATTCTCCATTTTATGAAGCCCAGTGTGGCAGTGGCAGAAGCTAGGGCAGATATTGCCGCAATCAATAATCGCTCCAACAAAATATTGTGAATCGAAGCTGGCAGAGGATGCTGCTCAGAACAAGTGGTGGCCGCTTGAGTGCTGGCCATGGCTCAGAACAATGCTTCCGAAAGCCGATTCAGAAATTGAAGAGCAAGCCTTCACGGATGTCAAATCGCAGACATGTACAAAATAATTGGAGCGTGAGCTCAAGAAGCTGCTGTACCACTCGAGACAGCTGCTTGTTCGAAATTTGCTGCAGCAACAAAGATGGTTGCAACTCCTACGAAGTCTTCGTGATGTCTATCGTGAGTTCCTTTGGGTAAATGATGGTGGATGCTGGTACATCTGTGCTGACGTGCAGGCTGTTGAGACGCTGAGGCTTTGGCTTGCATTTGGGAGCGAACCCTAGCCACGCTTTTTACGTCAAACTCCCTTGGTGCAAGGGTCGAGATGAAATTCCGAAATGGGTTTTGTCAGCCTGGCTGACCGTCGGCAAAGCTGAATATCTCCTGCGCTAAGATGTCCACACAAGAATAAAGGCATACACGATAGCAATAAATGGTCAGAAGGTGTCGGACAAGCTACCTGGGAATGTTCTTCAGATTGTGGATGTTCATATCTAACAAGTAGCTCAGACTTGTTTTCTGCAAAGTAGACAAACTTCATATGCATGACTGAACTTCCAGAGTGCCCAGAAACACCAAAAGCAACCCAGGACAGAAGAAGTTTCTTCGAGAAGCTCGCCGACCCATCTAGGGAAGAACGCCCGGTCTGCACGAGGAGGTGGGATAAGCAGCACGCACGAGACATCTCGGAGGCCCCTTTGCACATCAAGCTGCAACAGTTTGCATCACTGCAGGTGGGAAAGGCTCAGTACACTCTTGTTCAAATTTTGTCGGTCCTTTAGGTCTTCAAGGATGGCTGTCAGCACTGTATATTTAGCTGCATTGAACATGAAGGGATAGTGTCTTGCAGGACGATGCAAACCTTCCTCAAATCGCTGGACCACCACAAGTCCGCAAGAAGCTGGTCCAACGCAGGGCTGAACAGTTCGAGGTGGGTCTCATCACTGTCTTGTGTCCAGCACCTCAGTTCTTTTCAATGCAACTTTACCCGGCAACATTGTGTCGACGTTCCAGAGGTTTTCACCTCACGCGGTTACATTAAACCTGTATGAGGCTTTATGTTGCTTTGTACAGTATGATGACGCTTGCATTAAGACGCTGCAGTAAGATTCACCTCTGCGTTTGTTGATGCAGCTCTTGGCACAGTGTGAGATCACAGCAGTGATGCGCACAACACCCAGTCCTGAGATTGTCAAGGTGCTCCCTCGCTGATTTATCCAGCTTTTGTGCCTTGATAAACTGTGTCATCTGCGAATTCGAAGGCTGCATGGAGGTGCCCTTTGGCCATTCAGTGCACTCTTCCAATGCTGTGTAAAGCGTGCCTGCAAAGTAGAAGCTCTTCAAAATGACAAAGCAATATGCTCCAAAAAAATGCCTGCATCTGACGGGCTGGTATGCTGTGTCTTGCAGAGAAGGCGTGTTGCCCTTCAAGAGAGGATCAAGGCTGAACGTTGAACACAAAGCCTAGGCAACAGAATAGCGATACTTTAACGGCGCTTGGCAGAACCTTGAGAGCAGTCACAATGCAGGCTGCACAGCCAGCCACAGTGCCTCTCACGGACCAGCTGCAATCACAGAGAAAATAATTGCTAGGGATCAAATTCTCTGTAAGGTACCTAATTAGGTTTTATTCAATTTTCAATTACAACTCACAACAAACCTGGTTGAACAAACGTGATCTCAATTGCACCTCCAGGGCAATGCGCCTTTGAATAAATGTATGCACATGTAAGAGCAGATACGTATACATGTTTCTCGGTGATCGGGTACCAGTACTCATGATCAACCAACTCATGACGTCATTGATCAACCGTAATCTAAGGCTTCATCGTATGATTCCTCCACAATTCATAAATTAAAGCTCCGATCAGGCTGCCACGGGCTCCCTGCCAGCCGCGGCCTCCTTTTTGATGAGAGTCTTGATGCCCTCGTAGCCGTCCTTTTCAAGGATGTCTGCAACCTCCAGCCCTCCGCTGTAAATGATGCGGCCCGCCTCCATTATGTGCACCGCCTCTGGCACCACGTAATTGAGCAGCCGCTGCAGCCACCAACAAAATCAATTTAGCAACCTCCAAAACAGCCACTTGAGCACCAAATCGTCTCCCATCAAGGAATGCACAATCGAGACCATTCCTTCTGAGGTGAAAGAATGGCGCTCTTAGAAACCTGGGAGTCCATCTTTGCTCTTCCTCACCTCACCGCAAGCAATGCTACGACACCATCATGCCTGCCTGTAATATTATGTCCCTTTTGCTGTTTGTGTTTCCTCTGGACGCTAAAGACTGTGGGAGCAAATCCGATCCCAAAAGGGGTTCTGACATGGCCATTGAGAATGCAAGAGGGCGTGCCTTGTAGTGGGTGGCCGTAAGGGGCAGTCTTTATGGCGCACCCTTTGGTACTAGCACCCAGTTCTTCCCTTTAGTTACTGAAAGGTACACCAATGTGTGCATCTGCTTATACTCATCCGGAAAGTGCAAAAAGTGCCCTTTAGTAGAGGGCGTGCCTTGTAGTGGGTGACCATGAGGGTGGCGGAGTCCGGCCGCTTGAGACCATTCACTGCGTCTGCCACATCGCGCAGCGCATCAATGTCCAGTCCAGAGTCGATCTCATCCAACACAGCCACGTCCGCCTGCACCAAGCACACCATCCTAAACCATTGACCAAGTGACTTGTTTTGCTTTAGAAGGAATAGCTTCAGACATACCCCAAACATCATATCCCTTACAGACTGTGCTGTCATTCCTTTTCAGGCACAGCAGCAGAACTAGGAACAAATAAGCCTTACAAATTAGGGGGGTGAGCTGAGAACGGCAAGAGTAGAGGCGGCCACATGCAACTTTAATTTGCATGTGTCCTGGGGAGCCTTCTGGGTAACACTAATACTACATTGAGGAAGGTAAGGACTTGCCTCGAGCACGGAGAGCTGCAGGATTTCGTTGCGCTTCTTCTCTCCCCCGCTGAAGTTGGCATTGACATCCCGATTAAGGAAGTCTGGGTTCATCTTCAGCGCTGCAAGCTGTTGCAGCAGCAGCACACTTCTTAGCAAGTATGTGCCGGCACCTCAAAAGTTTGCCGCTAGCGAAGCAGGACAGCAAAGGATGGGTAAGCACAAGCACTCTCTTTGCAGTGGCAGCAGATATGCTCGCCGGGCCATTCGAGCCACGCATGCACACAAATATATCTGCTGTGTTGACGGACCTTGGGCATGACAAAGCCGTAGAACTCCAGGGGCTCCAGTTCTGGCTCCCCCCTCTGCTTCCTTCGGGCGTTGGCTGCCAGGCGCAGGAAATCTGAATTTGACACTCCTGGGACCTCCACAGGGGACTGGAAGCTGCACCAACAGACAAAAATTGATTAATTTCAAAAGTAAAAGCAAAAAACAAAAGTAATCAAAATTACTCCCTGCCCTCCATGCTCAGAGTCTCATGAATGCTGATCAGCTTTCCTGCATTGAGACTGCAAGCCTGCAAACTGCCTGGTACCAGGGCCTTTCCTACCCTGGGCTTCAAGTACCTCGATGCAAAAAGATGTCAAATGACATGATTTGCTCAGTGTGACATCCACGCTGGTTTCGAACACCTACACTAAGATTGTAAGCATGCCTACTGCCACGGCATGGACAAAGTCTGAGATACCAACGATTTGACGAAAGCTTGGGGTGGAGTACTTGCCTCATGAAAATGCCAGCACGAGCTCGCTCCTCTGGCTCCATTACCAGCAAGTCCTCGCCCTTATATGTCACTGGAGGTAGCGAAAATCGTTTTTAGGAATTCAGAACATAGAAGGGGGCCCTCTTCACCATCACAGGATGCCTCGTGCAAACAAAAATTCCCGAACCAAGCATCACACTATGCATGCCTGCCATCTCACATCTCTGCTTATATACTTGATGAGCAGCACATGCACTTCCGAGCTACTGTGCAGGGCAAGCGCTGGTTCTGCCAGCTGAGTATCGCACCGCTGCCGCCAGTGATCTCATAATCTGGATGCCCCACCAAGCACTTGGACAGTGTTGACTTGCCAGACCCATTTGTGCCCATGATTGCATGCGTCTGCAGGGACACAGTAATGTCTCATGAGCTGTTAAAAGTCCTGTGCTGCATTGCTTCGTATCACCCTTGATGAAAGGTTTCCATGCCAATGGTGAAGTGTACAGCTGTACAAACACACATGCATTGATTTGTGTCCTACAATGAATTGAACAGGTGATGGAGAGGACGTAAGAGTGTACCTCTCCCTCTCTGATGGTCAGGTTGACCCCTCTCAAGATTGTGTTGCCGGTCTCTGCTACCTTCGCCTCCAGATCCTTCACCTCGAGCAGCACTTTTCCAGCGCAGAGTGTGACCACACCGCAACGCAGCCTCTTCCCTTGTCTGAGGGGATGGACACAGCACAGAAAAATTCTGGGACTGAAAATAGCAAGACAGTGACAGAACAATCAGTGCAACCTTAGGCCAGCAGCAGTCAAGTATAAATTCTGGCAAAGATAATGTCGATACAGAAGCAGGAAAACATCGCTCAGCAAGTGAAGATCCATCTTTACATCAATTACAATGAAATCTTGAACCTCAACTATGCTTTCGCTTCAGATGGACAACATCTAAATTATCAGGACGCTCTCTTGACGCTGTGAAAGACACTTTTGGAAGCGATATGAAGAATAAAATCACCTGATCTGCTGAGAATAGCACAACCGTTGCCTAGCATGCGGCATTCCGCGCATCATTGCACAGTGGCTGCTGTGGGGCAAGGTAGACGAGTTCATGCTGTCCTTCTCACCAGCTAGCTCGGGTGTTGCTGTCGCCAAAAGAACCTTATGTATTAATCGTGCTAATAAGCGATCGGAACGGAACTTCAGGAAAGATTTACATTAATTGTCTCGGAGCCCAATCCTGATCTTGCCCAAAGTTCACGTGGTCCACGTCGGATGCCAACTAACCTGCTGCACTTTTGGGCTCGCCTTCTTTCGAGTAAACGATCCTCTGCACTTGAGAAGATATGGGTATCTCACATAAAGTATTCCGTGTCCTCTAGTGTGATGATCAATCGGCACTTTGCTTGGCGGCCACTGGCAAGTTGACCTGCATCCTTCTCCCATTGGGGAGTTCCATGAGATGTCGTCGTCATCAAGTACATTCACTGTATCTCCCCCTTCCTATGTCACAGCAGTTGGCACCGCACTCCCACCACCCTCCAAAAATGCAACGTCTGGTCCCTACAGTCAAAGGAAACCAGACACATTGGACAAAACGGTCGCGTTCTTGGCAAAGCGCGATGGCATTGACAAGGTGTGCAATCTGTATGAGACGTACCTGTGCTCGATTCTGACTGCATGCCTAGTACTGGTGTGCTCGTGTGCTGCTGAACATGCTTGTGCACCAGGTCCTCAAGTTGATCCGGTACACTTCAAAGCTGGTACTTGCCAGTGCATTGGCGGACTCAAAGAGCGATCTGGCGCTTCGGCTGAAGGCATTTGAGAGCAGCATTGGCACCAGCAGGTGTGCAACGCTGCACCCTACCTTGAGATCTCCACGTACCTTCACATCTGGAAGGCATCAAGCCTGAGCATCGCTATTGCGCCTGCAGGAAAGCCTACCGTTTGGGTAAATGGCTTGCAAACGTCAACGCCATTCGGAAGATGCCCCTGACCACGCGTTTCAGCTATCTGGAGTGGCTTGCAAGCGGTGGCGAAGGGGTGTACTACTTTGTGGAGCAGCTCACCTGGTAGAGTCCTATAAACTTGCCACATCCTCGTAAATTGTGACATGCACCTCTGGAACCTTTCGAATATGCGACAGCTTGATACAGCTGCACGCATGCATGCCTGAGCATGTGTGATTGTTTTGCTCACCACTTTCAACAGCTGTATGGCATGCATGGCTGCCTGCAGCTCAACTATGAGCATGCACCTGGCTCGTCTTACTTGAGGGGCCTTGAAATACAGAAGCCTGCATGCTTGGTGACTACAAACAAAGACTACTTATGTGGCTTGACTGTGCCGCACAGGTTGGTGAAGGCGGGGGTGATCCCACAGAGGCATGCGCGGCTATTTTCCCTCATCAGCGCCTCGGCGGAGCTGGTGGGCTATGTGGGCAGCATCACGCTGTGCGCGCTGCGCATCGCGGCAGCCTTAGAGCGAGAGCGCGCCCTCACAGAGGAGCTGCACCGGCGCAAGAAGGTTTGTGCTCTGCAGGTCCTAGCAGCTGCTGCGAAAGGGACTCGCGCAATCAAAGCACATGCAAAGAGTCGGTTCTGCATTCACGCAGTTGTCTGGCTTGCACGCAAGAGGCCTTGGCAAGAGGCCTTGGCGCCAAGTGGCTAGTTTTGCTATGGCTGACGGGCACATTTACAAAGCGGATGCCATCCAAGTCATGAAGAGAAAAGCGGGCGGCGCAGGTCAACTGCACGGGATTTGAGAAGCAGCTCTTCATTGGACTGGGCTTGGGGGTTCGCAGAATCAATTGAGACCCGATGCTGCCAGTTTGAGGACACGCTTTACTACAGGGACGTGTGACAATGACTAGTTGGTTTCTTATTTCTGAGTATACACCGTACAGGAGGGGGAGCAGGCGGAGTACGGGGACTCGGAGTTGCGGGCCGAGGTGCGCGCGCTGCAGGAGCGGCGGCTGCTGCGGACACTGGCGCTGACTCAGGACATATCTGACGCGCTGCTCGCAGTCTCTGACATCCGTGGTGCGCGCTGCGATCTGCTCCATGGCTCCTCTGTAAATTCTGCATGACGAATCAATAGTGATGAAAAACTCATCACTGACTCTGTCCCTCCAGGGCTGCATTGCATGGATCCCCTTTCTGCCGGATGGTGGCCTCAATGCTGTCGGCTTGCTGCATCTGCATACGTATCATGCATGTGAATTGGCATCTTGAGGCTTTGTTATGCCCTGCCGGGTGGGCCTGCAAATGTCCTGTCATCATTATTTGCCAAAGAGTGGAGAAGTTTTGGCTTTCCCTGTCTTTTGGCCTGAAAGGGAAGATATTATGCATGGTTTTGGGCATGCAGGCCTGACCGGGGTTTGTCTTGTGCGCAGATGGCAAGGGGCGGCTTTCGAATCCAGTGCTGCTGGCGTCCGGGGGCCTCATATCTGGGCTCATATCTGCCAGGAAAAACTGGATTGCCTTGTAATTTTCGTGCAAAATTCTCAAATCGTGCTCTTGACCGGTTGTGTATGCGCCGGGTTGTGAGCAATTGTGGGAACAAGGCCTGTTCATTAGTCTTTCTTGGTATAGTGCACTCACGAATGCGAGAATAAGTGACACGTGCTATAAGAGATTTGTGGCAGGGGTGACAAGCTCGTCGCCTTTTGTACATAGCTGAGAAGAATCTATCAGGTATATGTCAAAACGCTGTGTGTGACTTAGGACCTAGAACTTGATCCCCTAGATAGCTGGAGCACCTCTGCTTCGCCTTGTGACTTCATCTAATTGGATGCTCAGGTCTGTAGATCTAAGTGCCTGTGTTAGTATCCACTGCATTTTTGAGTCCTCCTTTGTTGAGCTTCAGTTTGGAGGTTATTCCAGGCCAAGGGAGTAGTGCTCAAAGGGTGTACTTTTGAAAAAAATCTAGGCTGATTAGCCTGAGACATGTAGAAGATAAGGTATAGGTGCTTTTCAGGATGTGTGGGTTTGTAGACCAAATACTGTAGGGACGTAGGAACGTCGACGGTACTGTATCAAGTCAGGTCAACCAACTCAGGATTGACTGGTAGTGTTTATATGCGTATATACTATGAAGTTATAAGCTATTTAAGCGCTTGCAACATTAGAGATTGCATAGACATGTTAATCACTGCGTGTAATTTGAGAAAGCAAACCAAACGATGGCTTCCAAATGCCCTGAAAGCAAATACAAAACTGGCAAAGGCTGTTGACAAAAGCATGCTGTTGGGTGCACATTCAAAAAATTGTCATCATCCTTATAGTCAGGGGATTCCTAGATGCTTGCTCTACAAGCAAGTGAAAGAATGCTGCAAAACTCAAAGCGGTACTGTTGTAAAAAAGCTAGTTGTAAGATGTTAATATCTGCCAAGGGGTCCCATAGACAATGCAATCAATTATGACTATTGCTGCTTACATAAAGTGACACCAGCGCATGTCAGCAGCAGGATGACCCTCTGTTGCTCCCTCCACCCCCTTCAGCTATGACAATTCCCCCAGGCCGCCGACCTGCAAGAACACATCACTAATAAGACATCTTAGATTGGTCTCTGCAAGTTCGAGAATCACCGGCAGACTCGTTCACTCATAGGATGAAAATGCCCGATCAACGACACCGCAGTGAAAATGCACTCTGCGTGCACGATCAACCCTCGTGACATGGACACATTTGTCACCATGGACAGCAGGAGACTTGAAATAAGCGCCCTCTTGGCGCTCGCACTGCCTTGTATGTCTTGCATTCTACATTGGTTCATAAAATAATTCGGTCTTAGGGAGGCAAACGGGGTGCACCTGTGCCGCCAGGGGGTCTGGCGCTGGCCCCCCTCTGCTTCCTGCTAGCCAGGACCTTCTGCGCTGAGTTGGAGACAGCAGTCTCGATGCCTTGGCCTGTCTTGGCTGACACGCTCACATGCTGCGCCCCAATGGACTGCGCAAATTCTGCAGCCTCCTCCTCCGGCACTGTACGCTCTCGGGCCAGGTCGCTCTTGTTGCCCAGTATCGTCAGCACTATGTCATCCCCCACCTGCAACCCCAGCACGACCAGGAGTGAAAAGATTCACTATGACTTATCATGACATGCATCATAGCATGCCATGCACGCGCATGGCAGGAACACATATTCCAGCGCTCTCTTTGACTGCAAGTTGTGCAATCTACTGGACCCTGAATGTACCAGCTTGACATGACAGCTAGGCGCCTGAAGGAAAGGCAAACACTTCATGGCAAGCGCTGCATGCATGCAGGCATTGTGCTTGTGGCGGGCTGCTTGCTTCTGGTCTCAATTAATCACTAATCTTGTGACTAGGGATTAACAAGCTACACTTTGAGGAGGATGGCATCTGAATGAGATGCACTAGAGGTTTGACGCACCATGGTCCTCAGCTCTTTCACCCAGTGCCTGACCCGTTCCAGTGTGTCCCGGTCTGTGATGTCATACACCTGTAAGCAACAATAGATCCCCATCACGACCACTGACATTGGAGTTGAACCATGACATCTACTCATGAACATCAGCACACAATTCTGTCGGCAGTCACGCTGTGCTGACGTTACAGACTAAGCTTTACAGAAGATGTGTTTGCTTCTTCGGAGAAGCAGTCCAAAGTACATCCGAAGGATGCACATACCAGCAATGCTGCATCTGCATCGCGGTAGTAGAGGGGAGCCAGGCTGTGGAACCTCTCCTGCCCAGCTGTGTCCCACAGAGCCACTTCCACCTGCTGCATCACAAATCTGTCCAGCCAAACTTTCATGTGGTGGACACAAAGCCCCGTCAACCAAGCATTTCCATCTTGCATGCTGTCATCCTGACTGTCATGATCAATCTTGCTGCTGGGGCATGTACAATCTCCATCAACAATGGAACGGATGACAGCATGCAGTCTTCTTTGTTCAGCAACCGAGTGCCGACAAGGAGGTAGCTGAAAGCCAAGAAATAGAAATAGTGAAGCTTGCTGACGACTGCCACCTGTTGAGAGTCTATTTGCAACTGACGTGACATGAAAGCTGCCTGGATGGTGGCCTGCTGGTCCTCCTTGAAGCTGTTGTGTACGAAACGAGCCATCAGAGAAGTCTTCCCAACCCGCCCTGTAAACATAAAGGAAAGCAGGGGCCCTGATCAAATTCTCTTGATGCAGCACCTACTTCTCTCGTAAGCCACAGGAAAACAAGTCAGTGGGATTCCATGTCAGCTGCTCGAGTAAATTGATCACTTATTATCATATGTCGAAACCTATCTCCTCCGAGGTGCAGCTTACTTACATTGTGGTTGTAAAACTTCTTACAACTATATACATGGAACAAGATGAGGTGTCCGAGGGAGGTGTTGTGCTAAGGTGTAGTAAGAGAATGCACCTTCACCAAGCAGCACTATCTTCATGCTCTGCTTGCTGGCTGCTTTCGGCAGCTGATGCCTTGCCATCTGAATGAATAAGTAGAGCGCTGCAACAGGACGAAACCAAAGACTTCAACTTGTCAAAGCAAGCGTGTCGACGATACTCAGATGCATGCCTCGACATTGGTCCAAGCTGCAGGTCTCATCTGGCATGGTGCTAGCGTGGTCTCATCTATCATCCATGTCCTGGAATGTCTACTCCAAGGCTACATCAATGATCACCGGGGACGTCTTGGATCGCCTTACTATTCTCGGGAAGCCTCCGTTCTCCCATCACCTCATCGGCATCAAAATTTGTCCCGACAGCAGCTGTCGGACAGCTCTGGCCGTTGGAGTTTCTGCTGGAAGTGCCACAACCACTGGATCTTTGTGATTTCTTGCAAAGAATTTGTTCGCTTGCCTGGTCTGAAGATCTGGCTGTTTACCTAGTGCTGAGTTGTTACAGCACTTTCAAATTCGTTGCGTCTGTCCCTCGAGCCACACACACATGTGCGCATTGAGCTCATTAAATGCAAATTCTAAGAGCAAATCTGCCACTTTGACAGCGTGCCTGAGGGTGGTCCTGGTTTCCCTTAATTATCTTGCAGCATCTGAACTGAAATAAGTAAGACATAAACGCATCTACGTTGAACGTGTGCTTTATGGCTTGAGAGAAGAACACGAGAGAACCGTCGTACTGGGTGTCTGAAAGCCGAATCTAGAAGGAAGCACAAGGCATGTCAGATACAAACACAAGACGCACATGGCTGCCAGCAGAGGCGAGGAGGAGGCTCTCTGTCCATGGGAAAGTGGCCAACTTAAGTCCAATCACCACTAGATCAAGCGCGGCAGCTACAGGCGGAGCACAGCCTCCCAGCATAGGCCCTGAGGCTACTGACAAGGCCGCGCATGCCAAGAGCTCAGAGCTGATATCCCCGAACACACCATTTGAGTGTGGCCACGAGTTCTCGGAGTCGACAGTGTCAGGACACAGCCCCACTGCAGCCAGCCCAGCAGCATCCCAGGAAGTCAACAGCAAGCCCCGCCTGACATGCCAGGATGCTGCTGCTCCTTTTGTTTCTCAAGGGCTTCTCGGTAAGGAATTGTCAGCACTTGTTGCTATCTCTTTCTTGGCAAATTTTAAGCAGTGCTTCATCGCCAGTGCAATCGCAATTGCAACAACTGTGCATCGCTCACACATCAGCGCAAAGAAGTGCCAGTTCTGACTTGCAGCAGCAATTGAACAAAACAAGGTCTAGGAGAGTGAGACCAGTGCTTATGGTGCAGCAGGCACAACGCGCAGCCTGCCAGGCAGGCTCCAATCCACCCACCAGCCTGCAGGCGCGCAGCAGGGGAGTACAGCCGAGGACCGCACATTTCAAAATCAGGCTCCCAGAGACATTGCCAGGGCAGTAGACCTGAATCGCTCCCCACACAAACTACGCATTGATGAGGTCATTGCGTGCCGCCATGCCCCCAGCAGCCTTAGCGAGCACAGCAGCCTTAGCGAGCACAGCAGCAACAGAGCTGGCCCCCCAGGTACCACACCGCCAGCACGTTCATGTTCGATTTTGAGCGCAGTATCCTTCGAATTTGAATTCAGGTGTGGCACAACTGGCAATCCCCCAGGTAGATTGTACATTGTATTTTGCAGCCCCCATACAGGGGGCGCTGCACAGTGTGCAGGGTGAGCACAAGCACTTGTAAAGCCCTTCACAACGCCAAAAGGGCGCCTCAGATTCAAAGTGAGATGTTGTGTTTGTGCAGTTGCAGGCAGCGAGCAGGCCCAAAAGGATGCAGCAGTGGTGGGACTGAGGAAGAGCAGAGAGGGGCGGTTGCGGGGCCAGCAGCTTCAGGAGAACCTGCCTCCGCGCCAGGCCTCGCCGATGCAGAGATCATCCGCGGGAAAGAATGCAAAGCCGGCGGACGTGGGCTGGCGCTACAACCAGACATTCGTCAAGGTGTATTACTGTGCTTCAAGCTGAAGGGTCTGACTGCCACGACTCACCTTGATTGTGCACTGTCTTGCATGCGTGCACATGTTCTTTTCTGCTGAGCTCAAAAAGGCAGTTGCCGGCATGTCGAGTGCTGCAACGTGTAATTGACCGGGCCGTAAGGCCTGCGATGACTCTCAAGTGGGGCGCTTTGTTTCATTCCATGCAAACCATGGATCCTCAAAAGCAGTCCTGGCTCGATGTTTGGGGCACTCAGTCACTTAAAGTTCTGAGACGCTGGATATGGGCACAAGTTCAACCTGCGGCAGAGCAAATTCTTTACTTCCTGAACTTGCATTCACAGTGAAGTGTGGTGGGAGTACAGGAGAGGCAGGCATCTTGGAGGCGGCCCAGCATCAAGATACCAGGGCAGATTGCCGATGCAGAAATTGCAGCGGCGCCTGCCAGTGCACCTGTGAAGGGGAAGTCACCGGAGAATATCGACAGGTCGCTGCCGTGGCCGGCCATCAGCCCCAAAGAGGCTGCCTCCACCGAGCAGGAAGCCTGGTGAGTAGACTGATGTGTCAATGGAAAAGAAATCGCTGCATGCAAATCTACGAGCACGGTGCTTCATCACCGCAATGTAGACCAATACCAAATTATTCTTTTATGTGTGACTGCAAATATGCATGCCTGTTTTTGTTCTTTGGAAAGCTCTGCATGAGCACTGCAGTTGAGGCAGGATGAGCTTGCCAGGTGCAGAGATGATACACGGCAGGAGAGCGGAATCTTATGCAATTCTCTTGGATTTGAAAGTCAAATGCGGGTGTGGATGCAGGTACTTGGAACAGGTGTCAGAGGTCCTGGCAGGAGATCCTCTGCACGTGGCAGCCTTCAGGGAGACCCTGCAGCGCTGCAAGGCCAGACACATCAGCGCTGCAACAGCCCAGCAGCAGGTAAACACTATTGCTATTATTATTATTACACGCTTTTCCTGCCAGAGGCAAGGTGCATCTGCAGACAAGCAGCAGTTGAAAGGCGCCACAAAAACCCACTCCTTGTTGGACTTGCCAAATCCAAGCAAGACCCAATCAATTATGGGCACGGTGCTCAGTAGTTGTACCGCCCCCCATCAGCCGGGGCCACTTTACACACGTGCTAAATCAGCCTCTGCGTAAGCATGCCTGTTTTACCGAGGCTCTTTAGCGGCATGCAGATACTGCCGCAGCGTGCAGAGAGGTATATGAGGAGATTTTACTATATTCAGGTTCCATAACTGTTGTCTGACTCCCTGCTGTGAGAATTTCCAGCCGCAAAATCACAATGGACAACCTTTCACACGACGCACAACATGCACCAGCCATAGGTCCCAGTGCTGCAGGCATATTAAAGCATCTGGCTCGAGCTGATGTGGGCAAATGTCTACAGCTGTGCAGTCCGCGCATGCAAAAGTTGACAGGAATTTGAATTTTGAAATTTGAAACTTGAAGGTGGCGGTCATTCTGTCGGGGCACCCGGCGTTGGTGGAGGGATTTGCAGCGCTGCTGCCGGGGAGGGAACATCGCTCCTGGCCAGACGTGCCGCCCCCCGCAGAAGCTCCCAGGCCAGAAGACAGGTCTGCCCTTCTGCTGCATGCATAATGACAATGTAAACCCCCATGTTTTGGAACTCTCTGCAACTGGATCTTAATTAGCACTTCTTGAGTGCTCAGACACTCTATCAGGAGAGTTTGTTTGAGAGGCAGCGTGCATGTGCTCAATTACATGCTTCTTGCCTGCAACAGGAAAGGTATACCAAAAAAAGACATGCGAGTACATGCAGCACTTTCAAATGGCAACCCTCGGCAATCACCACATTTGCATTCTCGATTAATACTCACTGTTAGTCCAAAAAGACGCTAGCGCATGTGTGAAGGCGGCAGCAAGTGATGACCTCTGGTGTGCGCAGGAGGGAGGAGGAGCAGGCAATAGAGAATGGCAGGGCCAAATTGCTGCCCACCCCCCCGGCCGCCACTTCCCAGAGCTCGCAGCAGTCGGCCGGCCGCTCCTCCAATGCAACTGCCCAGACCACACAGGGTATGCCCTCAGTGTGTCCATGCTGCACAGATTGACCCCTTTCATGCACAACTTTTGTCATCCCCAAGGGACGACAGCTTTGCAGGGAATCTGGAAACGTGCACAGCTGGCATACAGAATTATTGGGACATTTGCCAACGCCTGAGTCCACAGCTTGCGAATGGGAATCCAAGATCTGCTGTCATGAAAGCCTGGGCCCTACTTTACTACGGATGTCACATGAAGATTGCCCACCTGTTCCTGGTAAGGCTGGTCACGCTGACTCATGTATTATAACGGTAGGGTTGCCGAGGAGAGGTGACAGGAGAGCATGGCCGCTGCGTGCCTGGCATGCACTGGCGCCTCCAGCCAAGAAGCGCTACCTGCCCTGGTGCACTGCCCTCTATGCAACTCCCTGCCTCTTCCTCTTCTTCTACATGGCAGGTGAGCCGCCTGTTTGACCCGTTGTACATTGTTGTCTTGCCCTGCTAAACCTCTGATCTTTGCTTGTCAAGGATCCTGCCAGGGCAGACCCTCGCGCCGTTGACACTCTCTAGGGCGCTCTGTTTTGCTGCGCTACTGTAGTCACGTTGCCTCACCCCTGACTCATTCTTTCCCTGTTGTGCTGCCCCTTGATCTTTTGTCATTAATCAGCTCCATATAGTATATTTTCGGGCCGATGAGTTTCTTGATGTTGTCCTATTCTGTCCCTAACAAGAATGACTTGCCCTGTGGCAGACATGGCCTGTATCAAAGTCCTGTTCTAGTGCTCTCTGCTTCAAGGACTGTGCTTCTGCTGCTGCAGTCCCAAGACTTGCTCCATGCAGGAGATAAGGACCTCAAGAGTTGACTGACTGTTTTCTGTTATTTCCCGCGGCAGGGGGTTATGGCATGTACAAAGTGGAGCAATTGGCGGAGGGTGGGCGGCTGACCATCACACAGGGGTCAGAGGCCGTGGGGCGCCTGCCCGGTGGGCAGGCTGAGTCAGCGTCCGGGCAGCCCGGCGTGGTTGCCCGGGACATCTTTGCACAGGTAAAATTTTATTCCCCTCCCAATTTGTATGTACATGCAGCAGCTGCACTCCCCATGCCTACCTTGCAGTAGCTTGTCAGTTCTTTCCATTTCAAGAATGGATTAATCTCCCAGTCTCGGACGAATGCAGGGCAATTCGTCGCCCTGTTGCAGCATACGACACTTTGCATGCTAATACTCTGGAAGTTGCTCCACCTTTAGGTCACTCCGGTGCCTTACAATCCAGTGCTTTACAAGTGACAGTATGCCCCATGTGGAGATCATTGCAGGTCTTGAAATCAAGAGCAATGCAAGTAGGAAACACCCCCTCAGTTTCTGTGTTTTCCCTGAAACCTGTAGAACACCAGTTCATGCGTACCGACGGACTGTGTTCTGCGCAGTACGTGGACCACAGCCCGCGGGCGCTGCTTTCATGGCTCAGCGCGAGTCCAGGCTGGCGCAGCTTCGATGAGTCATACCTGGTCTCCTGGGGCGTGCGTGCCCTGCCGCTCGTTGCTGCAGGGCGCTGGTGGCTGTGGGCAACTGCAGGTAGAAAGTTCGGCACATCCTAATTAAACGTGGAGTCTTTGTCTCAGCTCTTTCTTCACATACAGTCTCGCTTTCTGGACAGACAAACTGCCTCAAGATATGAGCTGGCTTGTGCATGCGTGGCTTCTATGTAGCCTGGCAAGACCATGATGTGTGGGCAATGGTGCATAAGATGTTGCTCAAGAGGATCTGGCGCAACATGGCAGTTGAAGTTGCATGCGCCAAGCCATTGTCTAAGGGCATGGTTGAATCCAGTTACATGTATTTTTGCAGGACTGCATCCCTGTGCTTCATAAAGAAAATCATCTCTGATTATTGAACTCAAATCTAACGATGAGACTCTGATGATTGCAGCGTTCCTGCACATCAACTTCATGCACCTGGCAGGCAACCTGATCCCCTGGGCCACAGTTGCCTTTCTTCTGGAGACCCGCTTTGGCTCCCTGAGAATAGCACCATTGTTTTTGGCCACCCTGCTTGGCGCTGCCTTCGCCTCCGCCGCCCTTGACCCCCCTTGTAGCCTGGTGAGGCACCGATTTGGCTGCAGTTTGCACGTCTTGCCAACTTCTGGGACTCTGTTGTTTAAAGACCATCGCCTCGCAAGCTCAGCCCCATGGGCTACACCTTTAGCAGGCATCAATGCGCCAAAATGTGTTCAATTCAATGAGCATTTCCTCGGCGAAACCTCAGCTGTTGGATTGCAGGAGTAGAGCTCAGCGTTCTGATCAGAACTGGTTGATGACAACCCATCAACTGACAAATCCAGTTTTGCTGCGCAGGTGGCAGGCTCTAACGGGCTCCTGGCGGGATTGATTCCCCTGGTGTGCGCGTCCATGCTGGCGGACTGGAAGACGATGGCGTTCCCATTTCTGCAGCTGCTGCTCTGCATCGCCTCTGTCGGGCTGCATGTCACCGTCGCTATCATGCAGGTGCGTGAAAGCTTTGCACAAATCTCCATGCAAGCCATGTAAGGGGATAGGCCTTGCAGATGCATGTGAGGTGTCCCTGCATGCAGCATGAAAGTCACTCTCGATGAAGATAGCGATAAGGTCAGAATTCAAGCATGCGATGGAAACCAAAGCCCCACATGCCGGCCTTTTCCTCAAGCAGTCAGCGTAGAATTGTGCAAAAACAGCCTCCTGTTGCACGTGCAAGGCCTCAGGAAGACATTATATAATAAGTGAAGTAGGGTGCCTTGGCCACAGCTACATAGGCACAATAACTTTGCAGGGTCTGATCAATACTGATGCTGCTGCACAGGCACATGACCCCTGGCAGTCACACTGGGCGGAGCTGGGAGCATTTGTGTGCGGGCTGCTGCCATGCATCCTCTTCACTCCGAGTCCCTCTGACAAGCGGTGAGCCGCCCCTCGGGCCTCAAATACTCTTACACTTGCTTCTCCATGCCCTCTGCCAGCCGAAGAGATTCCCATGCAACCATCTGAACATGCAGGATCTTGTCAGACAGTGGTCATATTTCAAACACAATGTTTGTAATCAGCTGGACCCTAATTGATTAATATTCAGAAGAATTTTCTGTGGGGATGCCTTGGGATAATCATGACCCACAATGAGCTGGACGGATTGGTAATGGAATCACTACCATGACAGGTGGCGGCCGGCTGCCAGGCTGGCGGCCCGGTGTGGCCTGGCGGTGACATCAGCGCGCACGCGTGGACACAAGCGCCGCCGCGCCGCAACCGCATCGCCCCCTAACGGCTCCGTAGCCGCTTCCGAGGAGCAGCCGCTGCGTTCCAGCCGTTCTGCTCCCCGCCTTGCTGCGAGGGTGAGTTACCATTCCACAATTCTAAACTTACCTGTATGCACCATCCTCCCAGGAATTGTCCATTTTGAAATAATAAAACGCAATGTACTCTTATCCAAAAGTCATGTGTCATACCTTTTTTCTATGTTGACTCTTGTAGCGGTTTGGGCTTAACGCTGGCTTGCTTGTTTCATTGGACGGCCCAGATGATAACAGTCTATGCAGCTTTGCTTCAAGTGCATTTGGCATGGCAGGACGAGGTTACAGTTGCTGATGTGGCGCACGGCGCTGATGTGGCGGTTGAGTCGCCGATGCCGGCCCGGCCGACCAAGCGGCGGCTGACGGCGCCTCGGCCAGACGTAGCCGCACCTGCCTACATTGGTGGGTCCCACATTTTTCAAAATATTCACTTCACGCAACATCTCGATTACCTGTTTTTGCATGCTGATCGACTGACCTTGCACACCCATTGGGCCTCCATCGCTTCTTCCCTGACTGTCTATCACATGCATGCAGATATGACAAATCAATAGTCAAATCTTGGTCAAAGTAAAGCCCGAGAAGAGTCTAAGCTTCATCTGAGGCTGCCCACAACAGTGACATCCTCCGACGCACATGCAATTGATGGACTGCATTCTGGAGGTTGTCGGAGAATGTCCATTCATTGCATGTTTTGCACATGTGTGCAGGTGCGCCAGAAGAGGAGCGTGCATTGAGGGAGAGGTGGGCGCCAAACTCGCCGGGGCCGCAGGCGGCCGCAGAGTGGCGGGAGCAGCTGGACGGTAGCTTCCGGCGGGCAGACATGCTGCTGCCCTACTTGCGGAAGGAAGCTGCCGCGCCCGGGCAGGACGCTGACGCCATCGCTGCCCACCGGGCAGGCTCCCTGCACGGTGAGATGACCACCCAAACAGAAAATTTCTTGTGTTATTAGGCAGGACACAAGGGCCACATGGAAATAAAACAATGGGAAATGACTCAGGCACCAGCCATACATTGTAGAAAATATTCATGAACGTGCTATATTCAGCTCTACAGTTTCTATTAATATCTTGTGCATGAATGATTATTGACAGGATGGAGAGCCACTCATCAGCCGTGTCCAGCGCTGATTTCGTTATCGAGCTTGCATTGTGCTGAGTCATTGGTGAATCATAAGTGGTGCTTGTTGCTTGCCTGCAGGCTCGGTCGAGCTGGCGCTGTTGAGCTCAGACGCAGAGGTGCGTGGCATGGAGGAGGGACGGGCAGGGGAAAATCTGCGCAGGCACGCGCCAAAGCAGGCGCGGCACCGGCAGCAGGCCTCCACCGAGTCGATCGCATCATCGCTGACATCAGCCGGCACCGGTAACGCCGGCGCCGAGCCGGCTGCTGAGGTCAGCATCGCCCTTAGCATGAGCTCCCTAAAGATAGTCAGACCATGCATTTGTTATGCCGACATCCAACTGTGCAGCACAGTGTTTGGATTGCCAGTCTGAATGGTTGGTGCTCCAAGGATTTGCATCGGTACTTGACTGAGGCAAGGCGTCAGTTGCGCAACACATCGCTGAGAGATGACAAGAGGTAGGTAGAAAAGAACTGTCATGTTCTGCTGCAGGCTGTTGACCACCCAACAGAGGGCGTTCCAGGGCCGGGCGCAGTCAAGAAGCGGCGGCTGTGCTCCTTCTGCGGCCTGTTGAGGGTGGCCTTCTGCACAGTCAGCATCATCCTGTTTCTGGGCACATTGGTCGGCCTCCCTGTGTACATCTACCTCGTCAAGCTTCCTGCCCTCCTCGCCTGCCAGGCATGAGTCAGCGCCCGTGCTGACATCAGCATGCTGATGTGGCGGCTGCAGCGCATGCCACATGCTGGATGCAATGCAAGGAGGCATCACGCTCTGCCTGCTTGACAAAGGCTTACTATTGGAACCAGGGCGGCAGCAAGATTGTGGACAAGCAGGGTCATAGAAGGATTTTGCTGGGGCATGTGGCTGCTAGCCTTGTGCGGTCATCAAGCAAGCGACAAAAACAATTACATCAACTTGAAGAGTTAGCTGTCACCAAAAGAGCATGAGCTGGTTGCTGTTGGAGCTTGCTTTGACACTTGGGGTTTCTATTGAAGTCATTTTTGTCAAAGTGCCTTTGTTGTGCCGGTTGCTTCTGACCTCCTTGTCTGTGATCATTGTCTCGTCAAGTCTCGCCTCCGGTCTTTTCCAGAGACTTCCAGTGCTGTATACGTTCATTACCGCCTTTATCATCTGCCTTGGAACTCAGAGTCTCCATCGTTTAGCATGCAGCCAGTATTGATCAAGTTGAACTCCAAACTTGCTGCCAATTACTAAGTTGGGCCATAATGTCCTTGTGATTAGGATGTCAAGGTTGATCGCTTGCGTGGCCCTTTTACTCATCTTGAGGCAAGGGCAATGCTGTCTTTAGGTTTGTCGTTTCATTGGGTCTGTAGATATTGGGATATTTTCAAAGCTTCTGATTTGAAGGGGTTTGGGTGAATTGTAATGTTTCAGTTTGTCTCTATGGCTGCTCAAGTGTCCCAGCCATTGCTGCCCCAGACACTGTCGCACAGCAGCAAATGTATCAGTTATCAAAGTAGTGCGCTTCTTCAGCTGGAGACTCTCATACATGCTGCACCAAGCCAGCACTTCAACACCGCCGGGTGCTCCATTCGCGAGCACATTTTGACCTCCACTAAACTGGCGCAGAAGAGTTCACAATTTGCGATCTGATGCCTGAATACTGGGAAGCATTTGCTATAATCTCCATCATGGTCACAAATTTAGTGAATTACAAGTCGTTGAAGTATCTGGAAGAGTGTCTGAATGATTTTATTTTTCGAAACGAACGATAGGTGAAACCATTCTCGACAAAAAGCAAAGATGTCCTGTACAGGAATTGTTATCTTATATAATCTTCAACTCAATCTTTTTGCAGTATCGAGAGGATGTGAATGCCCAACTGGCCGGATGCAAAGATTATAGAGTTGTTTGTGAGCCGCCTTCCAAAGGACCTACACAGCCTTGCCGCCAAAGACCTACCATGAAGTTTCCCCGATTTCCTCGGTCGGCTCGTCTAGCATGGACACCGTGTTGTGCTCCCGGTACATGTTCACGAGGCAGGTGAGTTCCCTGTTCAGCTTTCGCAAGGCGGTCTTTTCCTTCTGCAGAGAGTCCACCAAGTGCGTGCCACTGCGGTGAGAAATGCAAGAAATCAGCGTTTCTGCAGTCCCTCTTGAGTGTACAAGGTCATTGCAGTTGGAAATACAAAAAGTCAGCATTTACTTGTTTTCATGTGCATGCAATGCAGGGAAACTTGGTACCTCATGCCGCCTGTCGCGGAGGTGTCTGCCTGTTTCAGTTGCAACGTGGCCTTCTCTTGCTGCAGTTTGTGCAGCTCCGCCTGCATGTCCTCCTTTTCCTTCCGCAACTTCTCGATTGCCTGTTTCAGTTGCAACGTGGCCTCCACCGCATTTGATGTCTCCTTCTCTTGCTGCAGTTTGTGCAGCTCCGCCTGCATGTCCTCCTTTTCCTTCCGCAACTTCTCGATTGCCTGTTTCAGTTGCAACGTGGCCTCCACCGCATTTGATGTCTCCTTCTCTTGCTGCAGTTTGTGCAGCTCCGCCTGCATGTCCTCCTTTTCCTTCCGCAACTTCTCGATTGCCTGTTTCAGTTGCAACGTGGCCTCCACCGCATTTGATGTCTCCTTCTCTTGCTGCAGTTTGTGCAGCTCCGCCTGCATGTCCTCCTTTTCCTTCCGCAACTTCTCGATTGCCACTTTCTCTCTGCGATGAAGTAGGAAATTCAGTAATGTATTGTTGAAATTGGGGAATGAAAGGTATGAGTAGGCAAGTGAGGTCACAGCAGTGGAAATTCTCACTTCTCGTATTTGGCCATGAGAGCTAAATATTCACATGCCACTTGCTTCTTCTCTTCCTCCAACGTGTGGATAATTCTGCTGCGGTCATCGTCCGTACCCTTCACGTGCTCCCTGGGGTCCATTCGGCAATCATTGTTATGCATGATGGGATCCTGTATTTCCCAGCTCAATTTCACTGATGTTGGCATGGCTGTGGCAAAAAAAAACGCATTGAAAGGACATACCCCCAGACATTGAAGAGCTTGGAGAGGAAGTCGGTGGCTGTGATCTCAATCTTCTTGAGCACCATGTGCGTGGGGTGCGCCCGCGGGTCCACATTTGTGTCCTGGACAACACATGATCGAGGGTTAAAAATTTGCTCTGTTGATGTTTGGTTCTTGTGTGCTCAAATGCAGAGGATGTTGCACACCAGTGCTCACCAGTGTACAAGGATATCCTTCGGCCTTAGCTGGCATGACTGCTCAGGTGTCCCAGCCGTCGCTACCCCAGATGCTGTCGCTCAACTGAGAGATCTCTATGCGGCTGTAGCCTGGTGGCACCTTAGTAATGCATGCTCGCACCACCGTTGGTGACTCAACACTGCCGGGCTCAGCACTGTCCTGGAATTTTCTGACCTCCACCTGCAACATGAGACACGAATGGTGAAACACCTGAAGCAAAGCATGTGATGTCAGAGCATCTGCAGAACTCCCAAATGGGTCGCTCTAGTAAACTCTGCGCAGTCAAGATTGTGCTTCCAGCAGGACTTGCTGTGCAGTTTGTCGTGTCTTCTTGAGAAAAAAGAGTGCATCAAGCACCTCACAGATGCCACAGGAGCCAGTGTGGCAACCAAAGTGCAGGTGAACTCCACCACGTTCTGCTACCTGTGCAGTCCCCAGAAAGTCATCTGATGGAAGTGCTTTTCGAGACAGGCATGTCGCAAGATACGATCTCACAGCTAATATGAAATTATTGCAAAAGGCATTAAGTGGCATGCCTGACTCAAGGGCTCCCTTGGATGCGCTTCTATGCAGATGTCCTGGTCAGTGAAGTGTACCAAAACAGTGTCCTGCCGTGAGCAGCTCCCGTCAATTCGTCTTGATCTAGGTCTGGTAGGTGTGATTGAAGTCTTGGAAGGTAGCTGCGATCTTCTGTGATGCGCAGGCGCAGAAAAACTAAAGGATCCTGCGTGCATCCAATGTCCTGTGCAGGTTGTCAAGGTCACTATCTATACATCACGAGGAAGATCACTTTCAATATAGACATTCAGTGGATGCTTACTGTTCCCGAAGTATTGATGAATGTCCTTCTCCGACACTGTGCAAAGATGTTCTGCCCAGGACTTGAATGCTCCAAGCCTCAAATCGGATCTGAGAATTTGTTTATAGTAGCATAGATGAAAGGAAATATGATTCAATCTTTGCAAAGCTGGATGCCTTCCATTTAGGCAAGACAGTTTGAATCCAATGTATACCTCCGCACCAGGCCTTCTTCGGCAGGTGCATGCCCCTCAGATCAAGCATACAAGCCATTGCGGACCAGGCATACAAAGTGCTCTACAATTGTCGAAAGGTCTGAACACACTATTTGACAAACATCATGATGTCCTTACAACTTTAGTGTGCACTAAAGTTTCCGTGGCATCCTGTCTTCTCTGACCTGACAATGAATTGCACTTTTTGCAGAAACACGTCGCCAGCTCATAAGTAAATACTCGAATCGGCGATACGAAAATTTACCAGCAGCTAACCAGATCAAAAGGAAGTCACGCAGGTCCTTCAATTCCAGATTGCAAGGCCAACGTGTCCAGTGTTCATACGATGCCCTGCGAGGTTTCGAAGTTGCAAACGCCCAGAATGGAGTGTCTTTGCCACTTCTATCTCTTTGGCAGGTGAAGCCCACTGTTTGATCACACTGAAACGCTCACTGGCTGGAACTCAAGACACGGTACCCCATAGTGCATGTGCTCTGGCTGCAAGATCATAGATCAAAGTTATGCAATGGCAACAAATGAACGGCATGCTCGTCCCAGGCTACACCGAGCAACAGGTGTGCCATCATTTTCATGACCCACTTTGGCGATCTTAGCAGCTGGGAGCTCGCGCAGAAGCTGAAGAAGAAGCTGCCCGATTTGCAAGCCAGGCAAGCCAAATTGTTCACCTCACTTTTAAATGTCAGCTCTCATCTGCTCTGTCATGGATGGTTGAATCAATGCATGAAAAGGGCATGCCATTGCGGTAGCTGATGATCGTGCATGGGAAGTGATGGTCATGTGAAGGGGTAAGAAGGTGATTGCGGTGGGCCTCGGAAGCACTGAGAATGCCCGTGCCTTCGCGCGAGCGCTTGACTTCCCGCTCGATCTCCTCTATGCAGGTAGGTGCATCTGCATTGCCCATTTCCATGACCCATCTTTGCCAGATGGTGTGGCTACTTTGCCATTTGACACACCCCAAGTGAGGCAGATCCTGTGAATTTTCCAGGTGCGCATGTTATTTTTAGTAATGCATGTGAAATTTCCTGATCAGAGGCACCTGATGCTCATTTGCCATATAATTTTTTTTACATTTCTGGTGTGTCTGTCAAAATCATCATTGCACCGCATGCCAAGCAAGAAACATTCGCTTCTCTAAAAAGTCTGGCGCGCATGGTGCAGACAGCACGGGAGCCGTGTACAGGGCACTCGGGTTCTCGCCGGGCTTTGCACCGGACGCCGATGTGAGCCCCTACCTGAAGTTGCTCCCCATGCTCATGGGCATTGGCAGCCCAGGAACCATCCAGGAGGTGATGCATTTTGCCACCAATTCTTTTAGTGCAAGATTGACAATCATTGTTATTGGATTTATTTTGAAAGAAGGCAGTATTTTACCGCACTGTTTATTTTGCAATGTGACCAAGCAGGGACTGGCAGACAGTGAAAGTATGCTGGCTGGGTTGCTTTGAATATCCATAGTATCACTGTATGTCTTGAGTAGTATGTTCAATTACGGATGGGCTGTACTCCATGGCAGGTCACAAGAGGACATTGCGTCATGTGATCACCTGAATGTTGATTCATTCCTGTAGGTTGATGCATGTCGGGGCCCCCAAAGCCTTAAGCCACATGGGTTTGCAAAATTGGGAAAAGTCTATGCGCTGTGTGCAGGTGCTGAGGGGCTACATAGGCGATCGAAGCGCCAAGCCGGTTTTTGAGGGGGCGACACCCTTCAATGTTTTGGGCGGCGGCTACCAGCGGCCACTTGAGCTGGCCACCCTGCGGCTGTCCAACATGATGGGCATCTTGCCCAAATGTGAGTGCACAACCCCTGAAGCACCCAAATGGACTCTTGTTCTTCCAGTTGAGAGTGAGTGCACCACACAGAGGCAGCTGCATGCATCAGGATGACGGGGAAAACATTGGTGGTCTACTTTTGTGAATTTGCCTCCGTGACTGAGCAGCTTATTTGTCATTGTGATACAACCAACTGCCAGAGAAGCAACAACTGTCTGACTTCAATCTCTCTCTGGAACTATAGCTACTGATGACTGTTTCAGAGCTTACGTGGCTTCTGGCTTCAAGAAATCACTACAAGGTTAATTCCTGACAACAAAAATTTAAATTTTGAGCTCGCCAATGTGCAGGGTCGGAGCTGTGTCCTCCCGATGAGTCACTGCTGACTCAGCAGGGCGGCAGCCTGGTCTTCCAAGGGGAGAAAGTCATCTTCAGCCACACTGACAGTGGCATTCTCAAATACACTGACTTAGATGCTCTCTTAGACGCTGTCCCAGCTGTGTATGCGCTGCCTCAGTGAGCATAAAATCTGAGTTTTGCTGATTCAGAGTCTGCTGCATGCATTGTTGCGTGGCAGTGTTGCAATTAGCCAGAACAAATTTTAAAATTACTAAGCCAGGGACACTTGCCATGTGGTCAGGGCATCAATCTTGTTTATCACACAAGACCTGATCCGTTATCAGAAAGCCCTTGAGGCAAAATATTATACGATGCATGCCCCAATTAGTCCAGACTTGTATTTAAATCAGCAGACAGGCTTGGGGGCGAGTACTCTTGCCCACCAGTGGCCATATGGCTTGCATGTTTACTTGCTGGCAATGGAGCAGATTGCCACTTCTACCGGTCTACTCTATCTCTCTGTACTAATCAATTTGTCCTTCTTGCCGTGAAAAAGATTCTGATATTTGTCTCAAAATTCTGCTCAGGTCACTAAGGTTTGAAGCTGAAGCACTTAATCCCACAGCCACAATGGCAGTGTGGAGATTTTGACTGACATGAGTTTACTTACTCTGCAGACAAGCTACCATTCAAACTCACAAAACAATCATGAGCTGATGCCAGTAGATTGTGAGTATCCATGCTGATCAGTCGGAAAGATTATTCGGATACTTTCCTGCCACGCAGGTGCAGCTAGCACACAAAATAATGCTTGCAAGTCTCCATCTGATGGCAATTGCCATCACTGCTGTTGCTGCCCAGGAAGAGGCTGACTGTTAATCTGGTACTCGCTGTCAGCAGACACCTTCTGGTGAATTCACCGGCCCTCAGCCTAAGGCTTAGACCAGAGTTATCGGTGAGAAACAGCTGTTGTCCCACTTGAAGATACCTGCACGCATGCAACACCCCTCGCATTTAGAACATTCCAGGGCATCTCATCACATCTTTCAACTACATGTACTAATCTGTGTGGGTTGCTGTCATGTTCTTTTGCCACTGACTCTGCTCTTGCCCTGATGAGGCACAGCTTTCAGACGTTTGATTGAACGTCATGCAAGGGGACTGTAATTCCCTTAATCACTTTATCACCCTGGAGCATTAATTGGTAATTGAGAAGCACCGTTCTCAACGAAAAGGTCGCCTCCCACGAAACTGGGGTTGGTGGCGCGGAACCCTAGGGTAATGTGGGGAGCGAAGATGTTGACAGGGCTGAAGCGCGAGCCGTCGCCCCCGGCCTTCACATACGCCTCAAAGATCTGTGTGCGCACGGCCTGCAGCACAAATTTTATAATTTTAATTCGAATGTGATGAACCGTCATGATTGCTGCTGCGTGTAGAGGTCAGCTGGTGCCTTCAGCTCCAGTGCATTACTAAGACCAGTTCAGTCACAATCTATGCAGACCGGTTAGTAGAGGTCTTTCACCCTTTCACCGGTGACAGCGGGACAATTAGAATATATTTATGGTGCATGCATGCCAGAAGAAGCTAGGCAGCAAGGGCGAAAGATGCGTCCGAGCCATTTATATGGTTGCTAGAGGCTGTCACGCTGATGTGGTGTCTACTGCAGACCATGCCATTTAGCGGAGGCGCACAGCATGCATGCATGCAATAGTGTACGAATATGTGACTACGATGACTCACCGCCAGGTCAGGCGAGCGCACGACGACGTTGAAGACAGTGTTGAGTGTTCCGTTGACTGGCAGAGTGTCACGGCCCAGGCACACCACGCAGAACCGCGCTTTCTGCACAAATGACACAATAGTGATTGGGCTTTTGAAATTGCAGTTTGCAATTCAAACATTCGGTGAGCTTACAGCAAAGCTTTTGCCGGTAAGAATGTTGCTGCCAGGGTTGACCCATTCTTCACATGTGAGGATTCACTGCACACACTGCGCAGAGTTTGACTGCCACTGCCACTGGTGCACGTTGCAAACGTGCAGCAGGATTTGAAACGAGGAGTCCTCAGGAAGCTAGCAAGGCAGAAAGCAGGCAGAAGGCAAGTACGGGTTTCGGCTTGCCTGCACGAGGGGCGCTGCAATGGCGTTGATCTGGTCAATGCTGATGAACGGCTGCAGAACGTTAAGGTACTCAGGAGGAGTCAGCACCTGCGCCAGTCATATTAGTAATCATCAAAACCTAGGCAACTTAAAGGGTGACTGTATTTCTACTCCACTCATGAACCGACATGACGGACTTGTGTTACTTGTCCCATCAGCCTATTGCTCATTCGTGTGACCTGGCTGATAGGCAAATGCCTACACTACAATTACCAGAATTGGCCACTCTCAAATCCACTGCACGAGCTTCAACAGTGCATGGAAGCCTGGGATCAAGTTCAGCTGGGAAGGCTGCTGCTAATCCCAGCTCCTCAATGATGTGAGATAGCTGACAGTCATGGGACTCTATATGCTCCTTTGTGCAAGTGGGCTTCAAAGGACCACATGCAATTCACCCCTTTTTTTAGGTTCAGTGCCATGCCTAAAACAAATATTCTGACCCCTTCTCTCAAGCTCCACTGGACATCAGAAAGTCCCCTGTTCCTGTGTTCAAACTTCGATTAGAATTGCATTTAGAGCATTCAAGGGGACTCACAGTGATGTGGGCCTCGCCACGGTTGGCAAGGGTGAGTCCCTGGGTGGCAGCATAGGCGGCGACAGCATCGTACAACGGCTTCACAGCGGTGTAGTTCAGAGTCTGCTGCACGTAGTTGGGCTTGGGCTGGAAGGCGATGTCTGCAGCTGAGAAGACTGTCTTGGACAGTGTGAAGGCCGGGCCGATGGGGAAAGTTGGTGGGAAGGAGATGTTGTCACAGATCTTGTTCTGCGCGCGTGGCACACTGCTTGTCAGTCTCAGTACAGTATCATTACTGAACACCAAGAAGATCACTTGGAAATGTAGTATTTGCTGTATCTTACAAGGAATGCGCGCATCTTCTGATGGATTTGTACAAGGACCAAACAAAAATTCAACAAAATTGCCCCTCGGTTTGTTCCCAAAAAACGAATATAATAGGATTGTCCAGGGCATTGGATCGTCCAAGCCCTGCACTGGCAGGACGTGATCTTGTTTGGGCCTTCCGAGCTGCAATTCAGCTTTGGGACTTGCAGGGGCTTTGACTCGAATGGTGCGTGCATGTTTCCGGGCGCTTGCTTGCTGGTATGTGTACTTTATTTGGCATTGCTCAGACTGCAAAGGAAGGGCTGCTGTCATTTAGAAACCAGGGCTGTCCTGGTGCAAGATGGCAGGAGCTATATAGGGGAAGGCAGACAGCGGCTGGGTAGTGCATTCCAGGTGGGCTGACTGCTCTCACCGCATCGTAGGGTGCTGGTGTGGGTGTGGGGATGGGAGCTTGGCCCTTGTGCAGGAGTCCGTTCACTACTCCTGTAGCCACCTGCAGGATCGCAGAATCTCTCACACAAGGGATCTTGACGCCTGGAGTTGGTAGACATGCCTGCTGGGTGCCCTTCAAAATCATGGATTAGGGTGCACAGGCCAGAAAGGATTGGTCGTGGGGTACGTGAATGAAAGGAACACGTTTCCTATGCAATGTGGTGTAGGACCACCAACCTGGAGAGGATTGATGGAGGACAGGTTCTCCTGAGGATCCTGAGCAGCGCACAAGCCCAGAAGGGCGACGAGCGTGGCGAACATCAGCGAACGTCCCATCGTGGCTGCACCAAAAAACAAACAGTTCGTCAGACTGCTCATTCGACCGGGTCTCTGTGTTCGGTGACGAAAGCTCACGGCCGTCTTGACCTATACTATTTGAAGGACAGCACAGTGGCATCCAGAAAGTAGCTGCTGCGCCAAGTCTATCTAGTTTCCGTCTTGGAAGGTTCCATATGCTATTTTCTGCATATGCGAGGCAGATCCAAGGATACCAGACGTACCGTCAGGGCTTGGTGGAAGGCAGGGCGTGAGATGGGAGGCCACCAAAACGCTTTTCTTACAGCCGAGCGTCCGTGCAATGGCTTGGCACTCATCGCAGCCCCAGCTGCTGCTTGAAAATTGAAGTGCCAGGGACTCCAAAAGATTCCTGCCGTAATCGCGAATCAAGCCAGTCCAGTGGACTGAGTCCACGCGGGGCCCAGAAATTTAAACCGCAACGGTAAGCCATGCAGCCTTCTGATTGGCCGAGGGATTTCAAGCAGATTCCCACAGCTTCCTCTCCCCAATCCCAACTTGTTCCTAGTCTTTCTGTCTCTCTCTTCCAAACATTTTTCTACCCCTCCTACATGATGCCTTGAAACGCATACTCAATTGCACCCAAGTTGCATGGCCCCAGGCAATAAGTTCACTTGTGCCACAGTGTGGGTAATCAGACTGGCGCAAATGCAATTGGCGGTGCGGTCAGTATATACTGGGATTATTCAGATGGTCATTAAAGTCAAACTGATTCCCAATGTCAGTGCCAGTTCAGGCCTGCCAGTGGACCCCTTGCTTGTCCCTGTTGGAACCCTGCGCTAGTCTTTACTCCACCACGGACGCTACACGGCCAACTGAAATTCAGCCCAAAAAAAGCCCATAATTACTAAAGCCAGGAGCCGCCTCGCTCCCAGGAGTAGCAGTCCGATTGCGGCCGCCGCGCACGCTCGAGAACGGCATCGATTCGGCCGCGGTCCTCCCCGTCCAATTTGAATTCGAACAGCTTCTGGTGCTGCGCCACGTGTCGCGCGTTCCTCGCGCCCACAATCACCCCGGCCACCTGCGCGCCCAGAAAGGGTCCTCAAATAATAAGTGGCTGAGAGCAGATCAGCCAACCAGAGATCTTCAAATAAGCTCAAAGCAGAGCATCCTGATCCCCACAAATATCTCTTCCCCTCACGCATATTGCGCTTGCTTGGCCGGGATAGAGTTGCAGAAGGCGCAGAAGGTACAGCAGGCAGAGCGTCACCAGATAAAAATTTGTGGCTACCACCTTTGGCACACTACCGCAATTTACGCGCGCCACCGCCAGTAGCAGTCGCTTGGCAATGTCAAGCAAGAATGTTTGGGAACATGAAGTAGTCAGGCTCAGAGCGTGAGGATGGGATAGCATACATGTTGTGAGCAGAAAGCAGAAGTGGTTGGTAGTGCCTATCTTGGGCTCCCAAGAAGCTGAACCAAGTGCAAAGGACTCAACAAAGGGGGGTGAGCACACATTTTCAAAGCACCTAGCCACCCCGCTGTACAGCATCTTTGGGACTCACGAAGGAGGAAGCACCTGCGGCTGGTCGAGGACCCAGCGCGAAGAGACGGTGGCGATGTCAGCGCCGTGCTTGCGAGCGACGCCGTCCAACTCGCGCAGGAGCGACTGGAACCAGTCCCAGCCGCCGCTCTGGCTTATCACGCTCGCATACTTGCTCTTGCTGTACGTGTCCGCGCGCACCCTGCGCCCATCAGACGCTGCTCTTAGCCATCGAATCACCTCTCAACCATAAATCCAACAATGAATTTGCCACCCCCTGAGGAGAGTGGAAGCTAGGCATGACCACCAAAGGAAATTATTGTCAGAGTCCACATGCAAGCATGCACACGGTGGGAAAGTGCCTTTGCATGCAAACCATCCTGCCCTTGTTATGCATGCCTGCATGCGCCTCTAAGCTCTTTCGCAGCGAAAGGGATCTGCAACATATGTAATTGCATTAGCCGCAGCATGCCCGGCTACAGGCACATTGTTGCTCATTTTGCTCCAAGGAGCCCTCCTCGCTTCAGGAAACTGACAAGCATTCAAAGCAGATATAAGGTTGCAGACAATAACAATCTCTGGGGCCAGATGCGAGATCTTGAATATTCAGTAGGAGTTGCAGCAGGGAGAATTCCTTGCATGGATCCCGCATGCGGCGCAAAGGGATCAATTCCTGCATAAGCAGATCAGCAATTTTGGCTTTGTGTGCACGCACTTGCTGGCTGGGAGGCCGAGGTAGCGCTCTGAGAGGAAGCCACCTGCGACGGTACCATAGGGCAGCAGCTTGATGCCGTGCTCCTGGCAGTATGGGACCATCAAATTCTCCGGACGCCTGTCCAGCAGCGAGTACTGCACCTGCACTCACAAAGCATTTTGTGTTTACATCACACTCTCTCATACCTCTCTGCCAGGTATGAGAGGTATGCCTGTGATGGTTTACAGGGAATCATATAGAGTGATTCCAAGTTTCACACTCTTGATGCTCATCTCTGTCTTGCTGTCTGTCCTGCCTCCGCATTTGTCATGGTATGCGCGCAGGTCATCATGTCCTCTGTCAACAATTGCACAAAATTAAATCATGCTTTAATACATATACTCCATGCTCACAGCTGAATTGTCTGTAGGCATGCCGCTCAGTGGCCAACCAGTGCATGCAGATGGTGTGCTGGCAAGTCTTGGAAAATGACAGCCCTTTCGAGCTGCAATTCACTTCTGAACACTTTTTCAAGGGCTGCTTTGACTTTTTGAGCCTTCCAATGTACACTTCACTTCTTCAGTAGATTTCCATGGCTGCTGTGATGGCTCTGCTGACATCAGCGCTCATGTGACGGTGTGCTCACCTGGTTGCTGACAACAGGCACGCCAGCATCCACAATCTCGCTCAGCCGGGGGGTGTCAAAGTTAGTCACCCCCACGTGCCTGATCAGGCCGGCCCCCTGCAGCTCTGCCAATCGCTGTGCAGCGCCCACGTATTTCTCCACGCCATAATCGTGCCAGTAAAATTGGACCAGATCCAATTTGTCCACTCCCAGGCTACGCAAAGAATTCTGCACCCCCTGCAATCGCCCACGCATCTGTTAGGAATATAAGTGGGTTCCTATCAGATGGATGTAGGGCCGCCAGTGAAATTGCACCAGATTGAGCGCATCTGTTCCCAGGCACCGTAAAAGCTTCTGTATCCCGTACAATTGCCAGTTCATCTTTGAAGACCGTGATTGCATCCTGATTAATAATGACAATCTGAGATTATAGGTGGTATAAAATGTGGGATGTGGGGCCGCTAGTACTGTGCAGTGTGCCTCCCTTCAATATTATTCCCTTGTGATTCTGAAAAGCACAGTACAATGGAGATCCTGCTTGCATAAAGATGCATCTGTGTGATCGAGGATGTTTGGGAATCGGACGTGCATGTTTAACAAGCCGGTCCACGGCAAGGGGCTGGGGGGCTCACCCGCTTGATAAAGCTTGCCGAGTCAGCAGTCTGCATGTCCCGGCCGAAGCAGCAGAACTTTGTCAGCACCTGCACGTTTCCCCTGTCGCCGCTCTCCCGAAGGTACTCACCAATGATGGACTCTGAAGGCCCGTATATGTCTGTGCAGCAGAAATGCTATCGCACGCCTGCTTCTCAGGAAAGCTGGCATGCATCTGCTGTGCCAGTTGTGTGGTCATATGAGTGCGCTAAGGGACTTTTACCTGCTGTGTCGAAGGTGGTGATGCCTGCCTGCACAAAGGGTTTGAAGTCTTCGATCGCAGCATTTCCGCTTGTCCTGTCTGAATCTCGCTCGCCTCTGCAAGAACAGAAGTGCGTGAACAAGTTGCTAGACGTGTGCTCTTTGACTCGGCAGGATTTCCTCTCAGAGAGGAAAATGAGTCGCAGGTGTCGCACCCATGACCACCAGACAGCTGCCAGCACCCTTTGATAACCTGCAATAATTTGATCGCCATCAATTTTTGAACTCGACAAAGCAGCTGTGATGCAGGGCGCAACAACCACGACAAGTTCCATTGAAACTGTTTTTGCCCATCATGGACCTCAGATCACCTGACTGATGGAGATGCCATCTGCTAGCTCGGTTTTTGGCACGTTCGGCATGTCTCCAGCAGCGCTGGCACGGACGTTCAAAAGCGACCCACCAGCAACCGCAACTCCTGCCGTCAATACCTCTCTTCTGCTACGATTATCCCAAGCGCTGTTTTGAGATCGTGTGAGCCTTGGCACCACATTCATCAACCTGCGTTGCCTATGAAAAGTTGTGAAACAAGTGCACGATGGCACGAGGCTAGTCAACCGGCCAGGAGTGCCCCGCAGAACGTCCATACTATCAACCAATGCACAAAACACAAGATGAGAAGGAGATATATTTTCATGATCATCAATCATGCATGAGCCCAAAAAGTGCAGATGCCACGTCAGCATCAAATGGATGAGCTGGAGATAGAAATCTAAATGTCGACGAGAAAATCGAATTGAGCAAGCCAAAGGAAAGAATTTTGGAGGTGAAGGTAAAGTTTCATTCTGTGATCAATATAAACGCACCTAAAGAATTTGTAGCAGCACAAAACCTTGCCGCATCTGTCATCTTTGGCGCAACTACCAAAAGCGACACATTTGCTCTAGTGTCTCTATACTAATTCGTAATGCTTTGACGTCATAGCGCTGTATAGCGAGCAGTTTCGCCTTCATATGAGTTGTCTTGGGTGCTTCGATTCCACCAAGCTGCTGGGCAACGGGTGCGCCTGGAAGACGCCCAGCGCACGCATACCGCCAGCGACATCTTTTCGATATCTTTATAGACCTGCTGCATCGATACGTCGGACGCAGCCTGCCGATGGGGTCTCGCTAGACGCTCCATGCTGCGGTCTCAGATTACCAGTACGACCTGGTCCAAGGCAACACTCCCGCGTCAAGAAGGTATCATATGGCCAAGGGAACCATAAGCAGACCATAGATCATAGATGCCAGCGCCGTTGGCAATTTGGCATTGCTCAATAACTGCTAGATCTGCAGACATCCTGGCAACATCTGGAGTCTCACCTGCCTCCTGGTGCCCAGGGGGTAAAATGCAGCGCGCAGCTGCTGGAGACAGGGAGCCAGCAGGCCTCCTCGGTGCTGCTGGTCCTGCAGCAGAACCCGTTGCTCCAGGATGTTTGCGCAACAGTCGTTGCCGCGGCCGGTGCCATTGCTCTCGTGAAGATCTTCAGGGCGCTCTCATCCAGGGGCATTGTGGACCAGGTACGGTGCACTAGGAAAATCTGACAGCTCTGCACCACCGACACATGTCTTGCCCTGGAGGACTTGTTGACCAGTTTATGCAAGGCCTACGCTAGCCCCAGTGAGTCTCACATGTACATGTAAAGTACTTTGAAAGAATTGGGGCTAAGGAAAGATGATTTTTGTCACTGCAGAAGTTGAGCCGGAAGCTGGTGCACATCCTGGCTGGCCCAGGCTTTGCGCTGTGTTGGCCGCTCTTCAGGTGAGCGGCACGCTGAGTGCTCACCTCAGCAGGTTGTGGTACAGTCAAATCTAGTTGATGCTGCAATATAACTTTGGCAACTCATGTGTTGCTCTAATGAACCTCTGAAGCTCTTTGTTGCGGATTGCAGTGCAGATCCTAACGCCCGGTTCTTTGCCGCCATTGTGCCCTGCCTCAACCTGCTGAGGTGAGCTTGGATCTGCTGTGTTGCCCTCCCGTGAGAGCCATCTCGTGCACAATGACTCATCTCAAGCCTCTCTTAATTGACGCTGTGAGGACAATGACACCATTCTTGCTTGCAGGGTGCTTGCATTGGGGACGGGGGTCATAGACGACCCAAAGACTGTCAACGCCATGAGCAGGGAGGGCGACAAGTAAGCTCCTTTTAAAGCTTCCTCTTCATGAATTGCATGTTTCAACGCTGATTGCTGCCGGAAGCCACATGCTTGGAAGGCATCTTTGCATTGCACTTTGCATATGTGCCCCTTCCCTATCAGTCAACGTCAGGGATTCCGGTAGCATGATAGCCACCTGAGACTTTTCCTGCCAATCGCTTTAGCAGACATTCATGTGAAGAAGCACTACACTAGATAGGTAGAGCGCAAATGTGCAGTAAGCGTATCCCTGAAGCAGCAGAGAGACTGGCTCCACCGTCTGACTCAATCAAGCCATGAGTTTTGTGGGTTTTTGCGGTGCACAGGTCTGAGCTCCTGCGTGGGCCGCTGTACTATGTGGTGGTGCTGCTGGGGGCCACCCTGGTCTACTGGAGGGAGTCTCCTGTGGGAGTGGTGGTCTTCTCGCTCATGTGCGGCGGTGACGGCCTGGTGTGTTCCACCACTGTACACCGAGATCAGTAATTTCACTAACGAATGTTATCATGGTGTACATCTGCCAGATGCTAGTTGATAGATTCGTCAATAATTTATGTACACCAATAGGGACCCCCCCACCGGTGCCACAGTGGTCAATTTGCTTGACATCGCAGCACCAGCATTGGAACGTTTCGATGCGCTTCAGAGAAAGAGGCATGCAACCATGAAGGCAGAGAGATCAGACGTGGAGTGGAAAAAAAATGAGTGCAAGGATTAGGGGGCATGGATGCACCCATGCCCTCATGGTGGCAAAGGCAAGCATGCATGTGGCCTCCGTCTCCTTAACAATGCCCCAGGCTTCATCAGGGCGTTTAAATTTCCTTTAATTGTATTTTGTTTTTAGTGCAAGGAGCTTGTGTGCAGGCGGATATAGTGGGCCGTCGACTGGGCGGCCGCCACAAGCTGCCCTGGAATAGCTCCAAGTCCTGGGCTGGCAGCGGTGCCATGTTCCTCGGTGAGCGCTCCTCTAAGCTGTTTCACCTGAGAACAAGAGCAGCATTGCTTGCAATATCAGTTTGGCGTCGGCTTTCCCGCCGGACGCAGGATTGTATCTGCAACAGGGCTGTGCACATTATTGCGACTGATGCGGTCATCCGAACAAAGAGAGCACCAGCTCGATATTGCTAGGAAACTGCTGCAGGATCCAGCTAGCCTGCTGCATGCAAGAGGGCCGCAGGCTGTGTCAATGTGTTGGGCGGGTTCTTCCAAAGCCCTGGTGTGTCCAATATTATTATAAGCTATAGATCTGAAGGCCCTGGCACTGCAGCAGATCGCTGTTCTGGCCATGCTTGGCGGCACGCACAGGACTCACCCCTTCCTCTGTAATTTGCTCTACTGTCACGACTATTTTGTGCAATATGCAGTGATATCCATAGTGTGTTTTTGCAGGCGGCTCCAGCATGGCGATTGCCTTCATAGCGTTCTTCTGCAGCATGGGCTATTTCGAGTGCGACATTGCGGCCATGGCACTGGGCGTAGCCGCCATAGCCGCCGTGGCAACGCTGATAGAGTCGCTGCCGATAAACCAGAAAATCGATGACAACATCTCAGTCCCCGGTACTGTCGCTCTTCTGGGGTTCCTGCTTCGGAGTGCGCTGCTGGCTGCCTGAGAAGCTGAGAAGACAAAAGAGCTTTTCTGGTGGGGAAGATCTGCTTCTCTGGGTGGAAGATGGATGGTGTCTGCTGTCAGACGCTTGTGTACACATGAGAAAGCCGGGCTATAGAGATGGAGCTTGGTGCATGCGGGAATTGGTGCCCCTCAGGGTTGAAGAAGCAGCACAGAGAATGAGTCTGCTCCAACTGGCACTCCCGCCAAGAAAGGCAAGAAATGTAGTGGTGAGGAGATGCTTTGGAACTTCTGTAGGTTGAGTGACATTTGCAGCTGCGCTAAGGAATTTGGATAGACTCAAGCCTTTACATCAGAGCTGAACCAGAATGTCTGCAGACACTTGAAATCGGCCCTTCTCTTCTAAAAGGGCAAGCACTCTTGAGTGCATGTCTTTCTTGGGCACCATATGGTGGCAGCGCATGTGGCATGCATTCTAGTATGCTGCCAGTTTTGACTTGGCTCTGCTCCCAAATTGATAGCCTTATGGCTGCTATCTTGTGTACAGAAATGACACGCCATCTCTTTGGCTTGTCTGTGAATACTGGTGTACCATGAACAGTTGTGCAGATGGGAATGTTTAATATGTGGAACTACCTTGCTTTGCATGGAAATGAAAGCCATCCTGGCATGGCTTGCGCATGTACATCAGTGTGCGTGCAGCTGATCAGTGCACAAGTAATGATATAATGCACCGTCGATGGGCTGGTGACTGCTGACATCAGCAAGCTGTTTCAAATGTTGCTCTGGTCCAAAGCATTACAAGTCCGTTTCAAAATTTCCCAACAGCATCAATCGTTGTGCGCTAAAAATATGCCTAGCTGAGATAGTTTGTTATTTCGAACGAAACAAGCCTGAATCTAGGTCAGAACAAGGACATGTTGGGCCAACAAATTCGCTGCCTTGCACACTGCATGTTCAGATTGCCAGCATCTGCACAAGCAATAACTCCATCTGTGAAAAACTGGCGCTGACCCAAATGTCCAAGACATCAAGACACTCTCTCAGCAGAAAGCATGGCATTTGGTAGCCATATGTGTGTACAAGTCAGGCGGCCCTTATAGCAACCCGACAGGTGCCCCCAGGGGAGGCTCGCAGGCCCACAATTGGTTAGATGTGAAACTCACAAAAGAGCTGCTGGCTGCCAGAAGCATCTCAAAATTTCAGACAAGGAACTGCAGCATCATGCACGCGCCAGTGCTGGCAAGCAGGCGCGCAGGAATCATCACTGCGGCCGGATTCCCTGCGGCATTCCCATCGGCATTCCCTGCGGCGGCGGCATTCCCATCGGCGGAGCACCGGGCGGCGGCCGCGCCATCGGAGGCATTCCCGGGGGTGGCATGCCTGCAACCAATGGTGCAACTCACTCCTGTGTGTCTGCATGTGCCAAATGGCGCATCGCGAGTTGCTTGGAGGGCCCAAAGGATCCTGCTGGCAATATGCTCAAGGTGCAACGCTTCACGAAGGTGCCGGTCATGTGGGCCCATGCTTCCTTGCTTTGAATAGAACTTTCGGCCAAAGTGGGGACACCAACAAGCGCATCTACCGTTGGCGGACAACGCTCTTCCAGGCACCTCCTGCGCTCACTCCAGCACAGGCCTTGGATGCTGTCATGCGTCAGCTGGACAGCTGCTCTTACCTGGGAAGCCGTGGGGCGGGGGGCCCATTGGGGGCCTGCCTGGAGGCATGCCCATCATGGGGGGTCCCATTGGCCGCGGTGGCATCCCCGGTGCTCCAGGCATGGGGCCTGCTCCCCTGCCCATCATCTGTGCCTGGAAAGACGCCGCCACCTGCCATGCACACGCCACAGGCTCCTTTCAGCATTTACATCGACAAATCCTGTGTTTGGCATGTTATCTGGCAAGACATCCAAACAAGGCAAGATGCGCAGAGACAGAGTGTGCTGGTGCTTGAGGCAGTGCTTGCGGCTTTCTGCAGGTGGTAATCTTCCTGCCAGGGTGGTTTCCATACCTGAGCTTGGAATGCGTTGCGTGTTTTTGCCTCGAACTCCATAATCTTGCTGTCGATGAGGCTCTGTGTTTGGGATTCCTCGAACTGCATGTAGTAGTTCCTGACATTGGCCTGCAAGAAAAGGAACATACCTCAAGAGTTGCCCAGTTGATTGTGGCGAGAACAAATGTCGTAGCCCTGGTTGTTGAGTCTGATACACGCTTCGCAAACACTAATATCGCCTCACCTTATGTTTGTATCCGTCATTGTGCTGTTTTCTGACGACAGGCTGCGCCACAGAAAGCTCTCAGCATGGTGGAGTGGATGGCTCAGCAGACCAAGATTCTTCGCAAGGAGCAGGATGCAGCATCGAAAATCCATTCGATCCATATCTATATAAAATCCATATCTATGCACCCTTACCGAGTCGTGTGTCAGGTATGTGTCGCAGTAATCGCAGTAGTAGCGAGTCATTTATGCTTTCAAGACCTCGTCTCCAGGGACGTCGCTTGAGGTACAGACCGTGAGAATTTTATATAAGAAAGCGGATCAAAGGCTGAGGTTTGGTTATCTATGTCTGCTTACTACTATCCGAAGAATACAATAATCTGCAGGAGATCCTCAGTCTCACTGGCAAGATATGGCGAGGAGTGTGCTCAGAAATGTAAGATGTATTGCAAATACTTTAATTTGTCAAGCTGTAAGTTCTGTGAAGAGGACTGCACAAAATGATCGGGCTTGATGTTCATCTCATGCAGAAGTTGACTGACGGCGTCCCTCTAGAGATCTCTGCTGTTTTCAAAGCAAGCTCCATCAGCTTCCATCAAGTTGATCTTCTTGTCCTCTAATCTTATTAGCTGCCTCAAGAAGTTCTTTTGATTTTAATAAGTTCTTCTCCTGCTTAGTCGAGGGGATTACAGGATTTCAGGAGTGTATGTATCACTCGAGTGTCCTCTGCTGCACGGTCCACAGTCGATACGAGGCAAACTGAGCTCGGGAGACCTTCACTATTTGTGACTCAATCTGAATCATTTGGCCATCACCTCTGTCTCATATATTCTTAAAGGGATGCGATCACCAGCGCAACCTTGTTTTTCAGGCTGACGAGTTCAAAAGCTGGCTGGACAGCTCAAACCTGGTACTGAACAGAAACCAGTGCTGGGACAGATGGCGCTGATTGAAGGTGTTGAGCGAGTATAAAGGCCCATTCACATCGATTGCAGCCATATCATCTTTGTCCTGAATCTCATCGTCCGGCGCTCGAACGCAAACGGCATACCTTTGCCCACCGATGCAGACGCGCACCACAATGCTCCTTCGACAAGTGCTTGTCAGCACAATCCTCTGTACGCTTCTCAGCGTCCAAGCCCGCCAGCTCCCGTCTCCTGCAGGTACGTGTTCACAGCGAACGAGGCTGGACGTTTTCGCTCAGGTCTCCCAGTAGCCTTCTATTCGAGGCATTCGGTGCTTTACCCAAGGACCTTGTGCAGCTTGATGGTCCGAGACATACAAGGGGAAACGATTAAAAATCTATGTCATTCCATCTTGATTTGTGTCTAAGGAAGGGCACACCTGCCACATGCTGCACTGGGTACCAGCAGTACTGGCTCAGTGTTTCACTTTCATGCTGCGCAGGTGGCAGACGCTTGAGCCAAGCATTCGCCTCTGTCAATGGCGCGTCAGCCGTGGCCGGCAACTCCCTGGCCTCAACTAGCTACTCTCCTCCAAGCAACAATGGGGTAAGCACCAACAATGCTGTGACATCGCTCACACCTTGGCTCATCTGCGTGCCCAGAAAAGCTTTCCATTCAGGGTTGGTGTTGCTTTCATGTGAGTGATTGCCACTAGCAATCCTCCTATAGAGAAAGGGGATGGGATGCATATACGTGTGTGCACAAATATTTGTTCTTGTTACACTTGTGGCCTGAATTTGGACCATTGAATTTGAATGCAGAATCCGGTTGGTAATTTCTTCTCAAGCGTCTTCAATGGCGGCCGCGATCGCCTCAACTCTGCAGCCTCAAGCGTCGCTGCTCTAGGCGGCAGCGGCGGCGGCGGTGGCAGCTCCTCGGCAGCTTCCGCCGCAGCTTCCGCGGCCTCTGACGCTGCCAGCGCCGCTGCTGCCGCTGCTTCGGCCACCGGTAATGCCACACCTCTTTTGTGCGCATGCATCCTGAATCAGGATTCCTAATGATCCACTCATGTGACACATTGGGCTTGCCACCCTGCGAGTCACCGCGTGTGTGGACGCAGCCTTTGTCCACAATCTGAGAAAAGTGCATTGTGCCACTACGTAGTGTATACATGCCGATCTTGATGTTCACCATGGGATTGCGCATGCATCGTGCTCTCACCCCTGATGAGGCTCCTGACTCACAGCAAAGTACTCACACTGACGCACACCTGAGGAGGCTCATCTTGGCGTCCCCTAGGGCTAGCTTAGCTTGCATGCAGGGTGGACCTTCCACTCTGTTTAAACTCATAAAAAGTATACTTACAAGAATCTGAACGTGTCTGGCTGCACAGGGACTTCCGGTGCATCGGCAGCGGCATCGGCGGCGGCAACTGCTGCGCAGAGGGCCGCCTCGGCCGCAGCTTCTGCCTCCTCCGCCGGTCAGACCTCCGCTGCAGCCGCCGCTGCTGCAGGTCTGCCCCAATCCTTGCCCATGGCCAATTGGAGACACCAGTCGGCCCTCAATTTGAGCCGAAGGAAATCCCAATTTGGATCAAATGAGACATTGTCGATGTGGTTAAAGCCTCCACTGAGATTCAGGAAGTGCTGAGAACATGAATAGCTGCTGAAAAAGATCTGTATGAGGGGTTCAGCTGCAGGCCAGGCGTCCGCAGCCGCTGCAGCAGCCGCCGCAGGTGATGGCGCATCGGCGTCTGCCGCCGCAGCGTCCGCTAGCAACTGGTCTGACCAGGTGCGGCACCTCCCTTTGCTTCAAGTAGACGGGAACACAGTGCTCTTAACTCTTTGAATTAAGCTTCCAATTTGTGACCTCAGTTGGTCTTCTGCATCATACTTGATGGGGCATCATGGTTTTGCTCGAAGACCCATTGGAGATCACTGGTAATTTCCCCCAGGACCAATGAGAGACTGAATTTTACAGGCATCGGCTGCGGCGGCGGCGGCCGGTGGCGGCAGCAGCGCGAGCGCATCGGCAAGCAGCGGCGGCGCGGCGGCGGCCGCATCGAGCGCCTCTTCAGGCGGAGGCCGCGGCTCCGGGGGCGTTGACATTGCGGCCGCCGCGGCGGCCGCTGCTGCCGGCGCCTCCAGCGCAGCAGCGTCTGCAGCCAGTTCTGCAGGTGACTGGAGTATCCATCCCTCCAGGACACGAGAGTTTTCCTTAACCACTTGCTAGTGTTGATTGCCACTCGGGGTGCTTATATTGACTTGCGATGGGCATCGTTCTTGCGTGCCAAAAGATTGACGAAGACTTTTACTATATTACCAAACAATGCAGCACTGACTAAGCACGAGAGCAGTTTTCACTTAAAAAACCAGGCAAAAGACTTGCAGGATACACTACGGTAGCACAAGAACACTACGGTACACTACGGTGTGCAGGTGGCCAAGGCTCGTCTAGTGCCTCAGCTGCGGCATCGGCCGCTGCGGCCGCGGCATCGGCCGTCTCTGCTGTAGCCAACAGCGTCGGCCTCTCATCGGCCGCCGCTGCCGCCGCAGCCGCCGGCAGTAGCGCTGCCTCTGCTGCGGCTGCTGCTTCCTCTGGTACTGACACCCTTACTCACGTTCTCGACTTGTTCATGTGCAAGGGCCAGGGTCTTGAGCAACTGCTGCTCGCTGGGAATCTCGGTGGCTAAGTCTGAGTTGGCTTGTCATCTTTGCGCTATAATGGTGTGTGAGGAAAGTTGATGATGCTTGTGGGTGGCGAAGCAGGGAACGCCTCAGCAGCCTCGGCTGCCGCCAGTGCTGCGCGCCAGGCAGCCGCCAGCGCAGCCGCCTCTGTGGCGGCCGGTGGCCGCTGACTAAGACGCGATGAAAATGTGTGTCTCACATCTTTGTAAAGAGGGGGGGGATAGCAGACATAAAAATAGAGTGAGCGCCAGAAAACAAAAGGAAGAGCTGTCTCGCAAAGTGCAGCAACATTACAATAAATGATACGATGAACGTGTGTGATGCAACTGAAACACTTCAAAGGAATAAGTCAGATATAATTGAAGTGAGACACGATTGTTTGTTTGACGTGAGCAAAGGAACGAATGAGATGCAATAATGCAATTTTGATAAATATCGACGCACTCCTGTGCTTGACATTCCATGCAACTTGAGCAAATTGCATGATGCTGCTGTCACATTTGATTTCAGGACAGGTGTCACAAGGATTAAAGATACGTCATTATGCAACCAACACCAGGCTTCTGCCCATCGTGATGCATCATATGAGACCATGTCCATTCTTGTTCTCATCCTATGAATTTGTATGGTCTTCTCTGTCACTACCAGCCAAATAAGCTGCGCCATGCAGAGCGGTATAGCACTTCAATTTCTGTCTGTACTCTGCCAACATGTCCCCTGCAGTATCTCTCAGCCTATGTCCTGTCACGTCTGTTGCAAGAAACTTGTCCTTCACAGCATGCCCGGAATCCAAAACTGCCGCTGCAAGAGGCAACATCCTAGAAAATATTGTGACTTGGTGTGCCAGAAATTTGGCTCACTCGGATGTGAGTTACTACTCTGGCCATGGCCGCTCACATCTGATCACTGCAACAATTGCGCGCTACCAATGCATGCCAACAAATTGCCCGGAGGATAAGGAATCCATTGCGACAAAAACAAATCTTCATCACAAGCATCGACAGCTGCAGCTTCATCACAAGAGCTCGCCAGCAGCTTGCCATTGCAACCCATCTGCAGCTTGACGGAGTTTCCCTTCCAAAGATGCGGCCCACCAACTCATGCTGACTGCTCTACGTCTCTCAAGGCACAGCTGGCCTGCCAATGAGCTTCCCATTGCTGTGTAGCGGCTGCGGCGGCGTGGGCAGTCCTGCCCCCTCATTTATCTTATGTAGGCGTGCCTCTTCCTCTAGCCGTGCCCTGTTTCTGACACGTGCCACCTCTCTTTGGCTTGCCTCCTCGGTTAGGCCCACTCCCTCAATAATCGCTCCCCTGTTGTCCCTCTTCTTCAGGAAGGAGCTATTCCTCGTCCTTACGAATGTTTCTATCTTTTTTGAGAAGGCGATCAGTGAAATTGGCGGTTTGTTGGCCTCGGCAGACTCAGCCTTGTAGAGGTCGTACATGCCATAGTCGCCCGACAGCCATGTCTCGGCTGCGTCATTAATTTCCACATTGTTGATGATCCACTGCTCAGCGAAGCTGGTCCTTGTAAGGCCTTGAGCCGGTCCAAGGAAAGGTTGATCCACCCAACCCATCATTGGATTGCTTGCTTGACGGCGTGACGAGCCTTCCTGCCCACCCCTGGCTGATGGCTTCAGGGTTTCCCCGTCATGGTTCCAATAGCAGTAGGAGCCGTCCAGAGAGTCCGGACCATCGTCCATCCAATGAGACATGCGCGCCTGCACGCAGTGTGATCATCACCCGTCCGTCAGCAAAAAAGAAAGTTCTGCACTCTTGAGTAAGTGGCGGCCATGGTACACCCCTAGGACTCCCCATCAAGCAGAGAGCGCCCGGCAGTATAAAATTGCATGCTTGAGTTGAAAGGCACCCACTATTTGCAAAGAAAAGCAAGCATCCCGCTTTCAACCGCACCACTGCCCTGCGCGAGGCTCTGGAGTGGACTCCAGACAGATCTGGCCACTGATAACAAGATACCAGAAGCAGTGCTTTTCAAGCAGCTATCGCGCTCTGCTTGATCATGGTGAGGTGTGTACAGGAGAGAGGCACCGGTGTGATGTGCGGTGTCCGGTGTATGATGAGATGTGATGAGGTGAGATTTCTCACCTGTTTTGTGGCGATGTAGCCCATGTTGTGCTCCTGGGCCTTCACAATGCATGGGATGCGCGCAGTCACCACCACCCCAAGCTCCTCCAGCACCTTCATCTTGCGCGGGTTGTTTGTCTGCGATCGATTCAACTTTGAGTTCGAAATTGGATTTGAAATTATCGCAACACTCCAAACACTCGAACGTTGATATTCCCAATTGTAACCATCATTCACTTGCTGCATGTCTGGAAGTGCATGTGCATCATTCAACTCAGACGCTGTCTCAGCTCTGCTGACGAGTGGCAGGGATGCATGCATAGCATGGCCCCTGCATGCAGAGCAGACAGCACCATACCCTGGGACTCTTTTTGCCGAACATTGAGGGAAGAGGAAGGGGCTGTTCTCACCATGAGGCGAATGCTGCGGATGCCCAGGTTCTGCAGGATGTTTCTGACAGAGGAGTATTCTCTGCAGTCGTCCGGCAGCCCCAGAGCCCTGTTGGCATCCACTGTGTCCAACCCCTCTTCCTGCAACACATTCCACACGCTTTCAAATCCTGCCCGCGCTTGTAAGAAATCTATCCCATGCGGTAGCACCTATATAATGTCTCCAAACAAACAATGCTGAGAATGATGTACTTCTTCCATGCGGGCAACCAGGAGGTACGTTGTGGACCCTAGCTTTCTCCCATGAAAGGTGGAGCGACCCCGAAGCTGATCTGCATTCACAATTGCAACTGCAGCAGCAGAGCTTCTGGCGCAACCATGTCACGGCGTTCCTGCCCTTCAGAATACGCGCAATGTGGGTACCACCAAGAGCGCTGTATGCATTTGGTTTGCATTTGGCAAGTGTGGAGGCATCCAAGAGTAGCGCGCAGAAAATTCCCGGCACAGCGCGATCAGGACGTTGAGGTTGCAAGCGGCTTGCCTGCAACGCATAGGCAGCTATCTTATTAGCAAGGCCGATGCCGCGCCCCTCCTGCTGCAGGTAGATGATTAGACCCGGGCCATTCTCCTGAATGTAATCCATAGCCATCTCCAACTGCCCCGCGCAGTCGCACTTCAACGACCCCAACACCTCTGCGCAAAAGCAAACGCAAAGTCAAGCTCGAACTTTCCCTTTCGAGGCCCTCAACTTTCGAGACAGGTTTGTCAAAGGCAGAATGCCTACATTACCGAGTGCTGAGAGATGTTCTATTATGTATGACAAGGGGACCAGTCCTGCGTCTGACTGTCATAAGATGTCCATCTTGCACAATACTGACCAGTGGGCCAAGCTGACCATGAGAGGTGATATGAAGTAGATATACGAACATGCCTATCATAGACCCAGGGGATGCTAGTAATTGAAGGGGACATGGCAACTCACCCGATGTGAAGCAGGCATCATGCACGCGCACAGGTATCTGCATGGCAAAAAAGCACGCAGTCTCAGACACGTGAAGCTGAGTGAGATCCAGGGATGGAATGACACAACAGAGGGCCACCCAGATCTACACAAAACCTTACATAAAGAAGTGTCTGAAAGGCTTGACTCACCTCTGTGCCATTCTCTGGTCGTCCTGTCATGATCACGCTGGGCTCTGTGAATGTCCTGCCGCCATCAAACTGCATGGAATGGGTGAAATGTCAGGTAGGTGACAACACAACCATCAATAGCTGTTACACATCTCAAATTCCAGAGCAAGGACAACAGACAAATGCCCTTGCTGGCACAGGTCAACACACAGTATTGACCAAGTGCTCCATCGACACACACAACGATGGCTGAAACAGGATTACTGTACAGGTGCACCCAGATCTAAGTGGATTAAAAACACATTGACATCGTTGCATAGTACACTTACCGTGTGTCTGTATCCTCTGAGTCTGTACTTGCCAGTACGTGTAGGAAGCAGGGTCTCAGCCACGAACTCGGTGACATCGTAGGAACCTGGCAAATTTTTCTGCACGACCTCACTGTGTTGATTGGGCAATGGTGTGCCCAGACCCTGCATGACTGCCGGTCCCACTCCATTCCTGCCAGACACTAATTGAGGTGGAGGTCGCTGCACATAGCATCCCGTGCTGTAGCCCTTGCCGAAGGGCTGTCTGTGCCTGCTGTCTGGTCTGGCAGCGTCTGAAGATGAAGCATTGCACCAGATCGGGTGGTGCGCTCTAGGAAATGCAGAAGATGGGGCTGAGGTGCTGCAGGACTGGGAGGATAACGCCCTCTGCGAATTCATCGCCCACTATTTCTACAAAGTCCCCTTCTTTAAATTTCAAGAAACGACATATTTATTTCCTGCAACAGAATCAAGACGATCATGACATTATGTGGGAGTGAGCAAGGCACGCTTTTAGGCGAAGTCTCATAACGTGACGTGGCATGAAGGGTCAGAAGACTGCCACAATTTGACTTTGCAATTGTTGAATTTGTGAGACTGGAAGCATGTTCTTCATGCTTGATATCGAATGATGAAGACACATGTCTGACGAAGGGGCTTTTGCAACTTGAGGAAAGTCCAAAAAATGGGATCTGTGCAGGATTATTCTAGTGTCCCATGTCAAAGTCTGCATGGGTGATGTTTGGCTAGATGATCTGGATATCACTGAAAAGATTACACATCACTGAAGAGTTTTCAGATGGTAATTTGGCCACCATCCGGAGAGCATGCCCCATCTAGATGCTAAAGAGCTTGGCTGGGGCTTGCTCTGCTCCTCAGCAAGGATTTCTGGGCGTATGCCTCTTGATAATTGAGCTACCGAAAGGTTCGTTGCTTGCTCATGCCCCTCAAGACCTTCACGATCACTTTGATGCACACACTAGGAAGAGGCTTTTGCCCAGTGCATCAAGACAGAGCACCTTAGTGTCTTGTTCACTGCAGGAGACTCACGATCAGCAAACCGTCTGCAGCGCCTCACGGTCACTTGCGCCAAGAAGCCCGCGAAAAAGACTGCAGCCAAGGGAGAACCTTCACAGGTGGCTGACGCCACTTTTCTAGCCCTCGGCTTCCCTGCAATGCACATTCTTCACGCCTGCAGTTGCCCATGTCTACTAGAACTGTAGCATGAGGCACCTTGATGTATCCATCATGAAGCGAAACCTATGACCTCTCACCTTTCACCTACCACCCTCCAATTATGGAAAGAAGAACGTGGCTGCTTGCAGGGTGGGAACCAGGCTGCACCACCGCCACCAAGGATCATCGACACCTCGCATCTGTCCCTCAAGCAGCAGAAGCGCTTCATCGAGGAGAGGAAGGTATGTGCGGCTCACCATGCAACCGCTGCCACCTTCAGGGCTCTTCCTGTGTTTTGTCCTATGCTTTGACAGCGACAGAACGCCCTGGGTGACAGAATTAAGCATTACTGCTCGGTTTGCATGGGCACCAGAGGTTGGAGCTGTCTTGACTTGTCCTCCTTAACTTTGTCTCCTGTCCTCTTTGCTTGTTGGAATTTTTTCTGTGTACTATGATCTGCACTGTACAGTCCGTCACTGCCGCCATGCACCTCACGCAGAGGACTGTACAGGCGCAAGAGAAGTTTGTCTATGCGCAGAGGTGTGCAACACTGCCGTCTGCTCGCGCAGAAGTTGCAATTCTGTCTGTGCCTGCGCAGAGGTTTGAGCAGTCGCCGCAGAGGCAGAAGGCGCTAGGCAAGACCCAGCGCTGGCGGAAGCCAAAGATAGAAGCAGATGAGCGCGCCGCAGAGGAGGAGCGGCAGCGCCAGGCCGCGCGCGCTCTCAAGGCAGAGCAAGAAAGGAAGCGGAAAGTGCGGCGGTCACTCATCGACATGCTGCAGCCCAAAGCGGTGCGCATCTCATGCATAGCTTTTTTTGCAATGCCAGGGTAGGCGCTCTGAGAATGCCACAAGTGAGGAAAGGCCGGTGCTTTTGGGCACTGCTCGAGGGACAGGTGGCACTGCTCGAGGGGCAGGTGTTGTGTGCTTGTGGCCACGCTGCAGCGCAGAGTGGTGCGCACACCAATTTGGGATGTCTTTCTGGGGTCCCTTGAGGATGGTGGGACGTAGAGTGCCGAGTCCTCGCGGTTAACGGAAGTGGCAAGCCAGTACTGCGCGCAGTGCGAGCGCCAGAGATAAGAGGAAGGCTGCCTTGCATATGATTAGCTCAGCGAAAGAGATATGCAGACATCAAAGCAGTGCGAGCGCCAGGGATAAGAGGAAGGGATGCCTTACTCGTGCACAGAATTTATCAACATACAGTGATCCCCCGGTCCAGGAACATTGAATGACCACACTGCATGCATGCAGGAAATTGTGGCTAGAAGAGGGTAAGGGCACTCCCCCTTGTAGTTGAGTATGAGGCCCTGCTCGCTCAGCTGTATGACAGCACCAAATCTGCTGCCTCTACTGTCTCTCCTTGCGGCAGTAGGCGGCTCCACACAGGTGTTACCGGCCATGATTCGAGGCACCTATATCATTTATATTCCTTGGGACCTACAGACAGGCAGGGGTTTGCACTGTGCAGGTGGACAAGCAGCCACCAGTGCTGCTAGTGGACGGCTACAATGTGCTATTGAAGAGGGCGGATATGGAGGCGGAGCAGTACTGGGAAGCACAGACGCTGGCCGACGCGCGGGAGCGACTCGTGAATGACACGCGTGACTACGCGTTAGTCACCGGCTGCCGCGCCGTCGTCGTGTTCGATGCCTTCAACAACCCCGAGACCCTCATCACCACTCGGTGCGCCTCCCCCTGCAACCCTGAGCAGCCTGTCTAGAGATCTCTTCTGCACAGTCCAATGTGCGCATGTGATAGCATGCAGATCATGGCTTGTCTGCGGGTGCTATATCTTCAAGGCGTGAGCAAGCATGTGATGTGTTCTTCTTGACATACAAAGAGTGGCTTTCCATGAAAGCTGATTGGGTCCTTCACGCTCGCAAACAGGTGGCACATCATGAGACCTGGTTTTCACATATGGCAGTACACTTACAACACCTGAAGATGTGCACACCGGGCTTTGCATTTGGTACATTGCAGAGAACAACCCCTTCATACTAAATGCTGTTAGTAATAAGGAGTGAGACTGGTTCCGCTGCCGTTATCATCGACTGGGGGACATGCATCCATAAAAACCCCAAATTCTAACCCTCAAATCTAAAACCAAGTCCTAAATGTGAGTATTAACTCCCTGGAAACACCCGATTCGTGATGGCAATTATCTCCGTGTGTGACAAGGGTTTAAGTGCGATGCAGGGAGATGGTAGCGGGGGTGGAGGTGGTGTATCCTAAGGGCTCAGACGCTGACATGTATATTATGGCAGAGGCGAAGCTGGCCAGGACGGAAGGAGCGCCGCGCGTCGTCGTGGTCAGCAATGACCGGGAGATCAGCGCTGCTCTGGACTATGTCAATGGCATGGGCTGGATGCAGTCTGAGATGTACCTACAGGAAATGGAGCGGGTACGCTATACCGTGCTGTGCTACATTCCGTGAATGTATACATATATATCATATATATATATGTGGCCCCGGCTGGCGGGGTGCGGTACAAATACTGAGCACCGTGCCCACGGTCTATTGGGTCTTGCTTGGATCTGGCGAGTCCAACATGGGGTATGAGTTTTGCAGCCTTTGCATGCAGCTTGTCTGCAGACGCACCTTGCCTTTGGCAGGAAAAGCGTATATATATGTGTTTCTGTGTTTTGGTCGTTTTTTGGGACCCTATCTGCCGAAAATGAGTCCCAAAAGAAATTTGGTCCGGGTTTGGGAAGTATTCCACTAGCCGCACCCAATGAAGCATGCCCCCGGTGATTTTGATGGGGAAAGATCCCTAAACAACGCTTCAAAGCATCTCCTCCAGCGCTGGGGTGCGGGGTTTATAGTGACCAGTATGGTATATGCTTTGTCCATCATCATGCAACTTAGCGCACCTGGGTGCGGCCAAAGGTGGGTTAGGGATCTGGTGTTTGGTGAAGTGCCTTGAGTGACAAAGACTGTGTGGCTGTTGGAGACTGGCAAATCACAACGCCGGTAGCAGGCCAAGGAAGAGTTCAATCCAACCTGCTGGGATTGGAGCTCATTTGACCCTTTGGCCCAGAAACAAACGGATTCAACAACAGAGATGTGCAGACATCAAAGCAATGCGAGCGCAAGTGAAAATGAGGAAGGGCTGCCTTGCAGCTGAACGTTATGCACCAACAATACAATGATCCCCCCATGTCCCACGATAAACAAAAGGATTTTGGCTGCAGGTGAGCCGAGAAGCAGATCGCGCACAGAGGGAGGCCGAGGAGGATCAGATTGTGGAGCTGCTGAGGCAGGGGGGCACGATCGCGCAGGGGGCGCTGAAAAACCGCGCCACTCTGGACAGCCTGACGGCGCTGCGGCGCAAGCTCGAGAACGGCCGCGGCGGCGGCCGCAAGCAGGTCTTCAGGCTCGAGCGGTGGTGACAGCAAAAGATGCGGAGCTCGGCAGGTCAAACTAGAATGGGTGCAAAGATGAAAGAGAGTGCGAGCGTGCCAGAATAAGATGAAAGGGCCACTTTGCACATCGATCATTTTGCTTTTGTGATCCTTGAGCGAAAGAATTAATAACTCACTTGCAGCGTGAGAGCACGCAAGGACAGAAGGCTGCAGTGCAATGCATGCGCAGTGCGCAGTTTGGTTTGGAATTTTTTGGTCTCTAGTGTTGGCCCTGCCAATCAGCGCGCGATGGATTGCGCAGGGCTAGATATGGAGACCTGAGGATTTCCGTGAGCGGGATCCTAAATGTTCATTGACCCTGCTGCAAGGATGCAATGTGTGAAAGATCACCTTGGTGTTTTTGCAATTTTTTTTGATTAATGATGCCCCAGGGCCCTGACATCATGAATTGGATCAGGCACCAGTGCTATACCTTGAGCTTTGACGCAACGGCGATGTGGTCCTTTGTTTGTGGGGACGATAAGTCAGGGCATTGAGCTGGCTCAGCCAATGCTTGCGCAAGCGCGTGGTGCTTACCGATGCATGCGCATGCTTGAATTTCGATTCTTGAAGGGTTAAGACATGTTGCGAGGCTTGAATTATTTATTGCTTGGCAGCTCCATGAAAGGCACATACACATGTAAGGAAGCGTAACTCTGGGAAAAGAAAGGATGGCATGCAGGTAGCAAAGATCTGAGTGTGAAGGTGCGGCTTGCCTTGGGTGAGACATGCCTGCCACGTAATCCAGAAAGCAGAGTCTCTTGAATTGAAGGAGGGCAGCAGAGGCAGTCGGAACTTGCTTGCATTGCCTGTCAATAGATCTTCACGAAAGACGTCGAGATCGCTTGTCTGCTTCGACTTCGACACGAGTCTCTGGTGCGCCTTCCACTGTGGGTCTGTCGGTACCGCGCAACTTGATGTCCTGAGGCCTTGCTGCGCGTTCTCTGGGGACACTGCCAAGTGAGCGGCTCTATCTTGCTGCCAATGATAATTTCTCATGTGCCTCCCTGCTCATTTGCAATCCTTGCGGGGCGCTTGGCCTGTACACGTACATGATTTCGCAGCACGTCTTAAACAGTATTCTCGCTGTTCAGTGTGAGTGGCGTTAAGACCACGTAATACCAAAGCCTTCGATTACAAGTGATAAGCAAGATGTCATATACCGGGAGGTGTGGGCTGCGAAAGTGAAGGCACGTAGTGTGCATGTGGATGTCAGGTGACAGGACGTCGAGTGCGACGAAAGAGGTCAATCAACTGCGATGGTATGAATTCTAGTAGCACAAACAACAGCGGAGCCCCCTCATATCAAGGGCCACTCAGACCTGGAGCTGCCTCTGAAAGAATCCAACCTGCGACTGTCATTATAGGTGAGCTTTCCCCATACAGGATCGACACCTGAAGCAGTGCTTACGAAGTGCCATTACAACATATAACTCCCACATCCTCCCCACGTTCCTTTTACGAGGTGTAAGCCCACGCTTTGGAGGCAAAGTAACTCTCATCTGTTCTGTGCTTTGCCAGCCTGCTCCATTGTTTGCATGTTGTCAGGGATTCCTGCCAGTGTGAGCTACTTTCCATTAAATTATTTTTCTGTGGACGCAGTGCTGGTAGCCTGCATCTTCAACGCTCTGTCCATACTGCTGGTTTCTCGCTACCTGTACATCAGATTCTCTCGCGAGCGATTGGAGTACGCCAGGGAGCAGGAGGCTCAGCGCAGTCGGCGGCAGGGGGCAAGGGACAGCGGGCCTGAGGGCAGCATGCAGACTCAGCTTGCCCGCTTCACCCCCGTATTAGTCCTCCAGCCCGACAGCAAGGTGTGCTAGCGTATCTTGCCAACTGCATTCTTGCGGCCATTGCACCACCCTTTTTTGCACAATCACCTTCATACGAAGCTGAAGCTAGTGAGGACCGCATCACAGTGATTGAGATCTGGGTCGTGATGATCTCCCTGTGTGACAGCATACTAACGAGCCGCTGGTACCTCAATCAGCTAATGTAAGTGTGCTGCTCGCATGCTCATTATCACGCTTGCATGCTAGCAGATCCGTCACAGGGGCCCATTTGCATAATGTTTTCCTCACAGCAAGCAACAGGCGGCTGCCGCTGTGATCAAGTTGCCAGCAGCAATACATCTGAGAGGCCAGGCTGGCGCCGCACGCCGTCATCGAGTCGCTTGCTTTCAAATGTCTGACAGGACAGGCTGCCGCCATGTGCAGGTGGCTTGCGCGCACAAGGAGGCGCCAGCGCCGGACGCGGCCGGCCCTGGAAGCGCGCCGGCGGCGGCGCCAACCCGGCCGCTGCAGACGATGTACGTATCGCAGCTGCCGCAGGGCACAACTCTGTACTCAGGGCCGCCCCTGCGCGCCTCTGCCTCCACCAGAAGCCTGGGCCAGCTCAGCCGAACAGGTGCCGGTACTCTAGAAGTTTTCAATCATATCAGCTGGAAGGGTAGTATAGCTCTGATTTCCTTAGCCGTTGCATTCCCCTTGGATACACTACCACAGAGGCTTCTCCCCTAATTCCTAAATTTAGAGTGCAAATGGTAAATAGTAAAAAACCCTAAACCTGAAACAAATTAAATCAAATTCGAACCTGTGGGAACAGGTGGTGGCTCTGTGCGGGATCTGCACCGAGCCGGCTCCAGCAGCGGCGCAGAAACCACTTCTGCAGGGGAGGTCCGCATAGATGTGGCTGGTGGCAGTAGTACAGGGACAGCGGATCTCCAAGCTCATCAAGTTGATCAGGCGCAGCAGCACCAGGAGCCGAGGCGGCCGTCACTGCTAAGCGTGGCCTATCTTGGCTCGGGGGTGTATCTCTGGGGGGCGCGAAGGGATCCGCTGTATCGAGACAGGGTCCACGGCCGGCCACCCCCCTCGGCCTACACGCGCTGAGTCAACTCAAATCTGAATTTCATCTTCAAAAGATTATGGGGTCAGAGCAATTGCGCCTCCCTTGGCCTATACACGCTGATCTAGGATCGAATCCCGCACAGAAAACGGAAGCAGAGCAATTGGGAAAGCAAGGGAATGAAAGCAAGCAGGAGGGGACTTCTGCCAAGTCGTTGAAAGCCTCTCATGCAAAAGTGCATTTGAGGCTGTCGCAGACGTGGATATTCGCAGTCAAAGTGGACTGCAGTCTTGCTGGGATCAGAGCTGAGTAAGTGGGTAATCCTCTACACAGCTGGCAGAGGTGGAGTCGTCGTTGCCAAAGTACTATTGTGCACCATTTCGCAAGCAGGCTGTCCGTGGATTGCTCAATAATGAGCTCTTGATGAGCTTGCTGTACCAGCGTGTACCAGAACACTGTGAGCGATTGTGTTGCAACCAATTGGTGCGAATTGTGCTGTGCATGTACAAATATTGTCTGTTGTGACGGTTTGTGAGTGTTCTGGAGGATTCCATTTGCAAACATGCAAAGAATCTGAGGATACGGGGTCTGTCAGACTGGCTAATAGGCTGCAAGGGCATAACATCTCAAACTTGAAGTAATCTATAAATATCTAAATAAGATTAGTTTAGACTGCGGACTGCGCATTGCATGCAGCGCATGGCAGGCCTGCCAGGCTTTGTGAGAATGTGATACTTGTGAGACAGTACTGCAACAAGGTTTTGATCAACTTTGGCCATTCCCAGGTTTTTTATTATGGTCAGTTGTCCCAAACACCGTGTGCCGAAGTGGCCGCTGTGACAATGCCTGTCAGATTAATTTTTCCAGGTTGTGAATGCATAATGCATGCCACCACAAATGTGAAGGTGCTGCTCTCACATCATTTCTGGCTTCATTGCGTTGCCGTGGTCTGGATAAAGTCCCTTACTCGCGGACAGCTCTTCTGAGCACCTTCTGAGGCAGCTTCCTTCTACTGCTTAGCTGAGTTTCGTTGATGTCGACGTCACCGAGTAGATGGTGATCCAAAGGCATTGACACCTGTCCTGCGAGACTACTGGTGTAGGTAGAGTGAAAGAGCAACCTCTTACATCTCGGATCGTTGTAGTGTAGCCTTTTCCTCACTAAACAGGATCGCAGCCAGAAGACCGCCTGACTAATATTGCACGCAAAATAAGGACGCAACGATCAGTGTAGCTTTTACATCAGTGTTACATTGAGTGTGCTTGAATCACTGGCGGATTTCCAACGGCTGAGCCTTCTAGCGTAGGTGCGCAGGCGAACGCGTTTACATGGGCAAGATAATATAGCACACCATAGTCTTAAATCTGTGGTGTTCAGTAAGCAAAACTGCCCCTGAAATCTGCAGGCGGCATCTGAAGGGACGTCGAGGGACTTTCTGGCTTGCATGGAGAGCTATAGAACCTGAGGGTATACCATGAGCTCTGACAACAGTCCCTTCCTATGGAACCCATCGCCCTTGACAATCGTTGGAGGTAAGAAAATCCTGTAATAAACTACCTACACGTGCTTAGATTTCATGCGATGAAAGGTGCTGCAGCCACAAAGTGGGCAGGACATCCGCCTTGTCCAAGATTTATACTTGCAATGTTACTGTGCAGCTCCTTGATCTAACACTTTTACAAAATAGCTTGTTGTGTGTGCAGTCCTGGTGCTCTGTGTTTTGGGAGTGGCGCTCCTGCACTTCATGACACGCAGAGTCTATCTGCGCGTCGTGAGGGATCAGGCAATGGCAGCGCAGCCGGCCCCATCTGTGCAGCTGCAACCGCTGCCTCGATGGCCGCCCGACCTTGAAGCGCCGCCTACACCTGTGCAGCCCACTGCTGCGCCGCGGCTTGCAGTGCTTGTCTTGCAGCCTGACAGCAAGGTGCACATAGAGCGCCCTTATTGCTTGGTTGAAATGGACAACATTGTGAGGGTAGCTGAAAATGACAGTGTCTGCAGCAGCTGGCCTTTGCCCTGCAAGCCTGCATGTTTTCCGTCCCTGAGAAGTATGGTTGAGTACTTGACATTTGTCAGATGTTGGATGACAGTATGAGAAATGAACGGAGGTTATGTGCATGGCCGGTCGTCTGTGTGGTGGAGGACTGCTTTCATGTCTCTCCTCTGCCTGACATGCTGTGGATGAGTAACGGGCATATATCAGATGTCTTGTGACAAAGTCTGATACTCACGGGGATGTCTTGGTGTGTGGCAGATTGTCTATGCGGTGGAGGACTGCAGACAGGGGCCTGCTGCCAACAACGGTGGGTCGAGAAAAGACGGCGTGGCCAAGGCTCCCTTGGCGGCAGTATGATGGCAGCCTGCAGGCTTGCAATTAGTCATGCAGGTCTTAAATCTGGTCACAGATCTACTTCTGAGCGGCGCAATTCACAGCGCTGCTTGCATGCTGCAATAAATGTGCCAATGATCTGAAGGAAGGAAGTGCAACAAGGTTCGTGGCCAAGAGATATTCTTTACAGCACCGCCATTAGTTCTATAATGGCATACCAGGAAGATGGGAAATTTTTGCTTTGTACATTCAAGGGAGGCATCGAAGTGGCTTGGGCTGGCAGGCTGGCGTCTGAGCGTTGTACACTACACGTTGACAGTAACACTGCAAACAGGTACTGTTGTTGGTGAGGGACTCAAGGTGGTTGGATCCCTTGATTTTGGCAACCTCAGAAGGTCTTTTGGGTGGTGTCAGCTCGTGGACCCCTACAAGTATTCCAGAAAGGTGGCGCTTACCGTGCTTTCATGGCTGCATTTCCTCTTTCTATGAATGTCTTTGTTGAGAGGGGTCATGTCATTGAATGTGGACGCTAGGAATTTTAGAGGGGATGGCTTCTGTGAATGGTCTGCTGCATTTGAAGGCCCCGGTTACAAAGTTTGCAGTGCAAACTTTGCACTCTTGCTGAACGATTTCTTCATGCAGTGTCCGTAATTATTTGTAGCGCGCTCCAAATGCGAATTCAGTGAACCTCAATTGAGTTTGTAACAGTTCCCTCTTATATTCATGTATTATGAAGTTGCTCTGTAAGTTCTCGGCTGAGCTCTATGAGCAAAATTGAAGTATCAGCATAATCTACAAGACCATCTTAATGGCCAAAAACATATGAGCTAAGCACGCCCTGCAAGGGATATTGAAACATCAATGAAAGCATGATACGCACAGAGTCTGACAGACCAATGCACCGTGACGGATCACAAGTACTCACACATATATCAAGCTTGAACAGCAAGCCTCAGTGTGCAACAGTCACCAACAACACAGCCAGCAATCAGAATTGCAGCGGTTGCTCAACGTTTTTGAAAGTAGCACGCAGTCTCTTCAAACCCAAATATGAAATTGCCTTTGAAAGGTGTCAGAGGTACCATGCAAGTGCAACACAAGTGCAGGTGTAAAGGCAGCAAGGAACCTCCATGGCAATAGGTGCGCTCGCCTTTGTCTTTGCTGATACTTCCTAGTTACTTTTCTGATTACCGTTCAGCTTGGTGCCCCTCTGGCTGAGACTGCTCTGGCAGAGAAGCCACCCAGAAGTTGAGCAGTTTCTGACTGCCCTGAGCTTCTGTCTTGGGCCCAATTTCCTTTGCGTCCACCCCTGCCTCTTCCTGCGCTGCCCCTGGCTCCGCCAGCTTCCGCGCAAACATCACCTGCGCATGCAACCGCCCATGCTCAAAAGCCACGCATTGATTTGTAATTTGTTCTGCCTGCAGCAAGAATACACGTATGAAGCCTTTCAGCACACAGGACCAGGGAGGCATCTCTAGGACTTGGCTATGTAATAGCTGACGGCGCCTGAGTGCCAACATGTAAGGAGCCACACAACTTTCGCCATATATATCCTTGGAAATTCAGTATTGCTGCTGCAGTCACTCAGCAACAGCTGCCGCACACATATAAAGAATGATGCATTCTTGCAAAATGATCTGAAGGGGGCTGCAGCAATAGGGGCAACACAGAAGAGAGATCACCTCGTTGTCGGGCTGCAGGACAACTGTGGGGGCGACTGGCGGCAGGCTGGGGCGCTCTGCGTCCGACTGTGCAGCTTCATGCGGCTGCCCTCGCCACCTCAGCCGCGTGCAAACCACGCGCAGCGTGAGCATCAGGAACAGCAGGTTGAAAAATGTGGCTACCATCACTGCAGACATGCCACAGAAAGTAAGACTATTTTTTTTCAGCACCGGGGACATAACAATCCCCCGTGCGTCAGGGGCCGAGCATAACAATGCTTATGTCTCCAATCAGCGCTTGGATTAAGGTGAGTATTTAAGCAGACTGAGCATTGCACCGAAATTAAAATAGAGCAAATTCCTCTTGAGGCCGGCGCGGCAAGAATTGTTGCAAGGGGGATGTGGTGGGCGGCTGTGCTAGGGACACCTGAATCCAACAGCCAGTACCCTGGGCTGTGTGACCAAAGCAAGCAGATAAATTTTGAAGGTGAAGGAGCTCACCCACAAAGACGATGTACACCCCCGCTGAGCCGGTCATCTCTAAGCTCTGATCCCAGTGATCCCCGGCCCTCAACAACACCGAGACTTGCCGGCTGGCGAGCTGCTACAGCAACCATAGCTCCGGTTCATATTAAATGACGTTCGATCAAGCCCGCTCCAAGCGATTTGATGGGAGAATTTAGTACCTGCGAAAGCACGATGTGGCTGCCAGCTTAGAGATGCATCACAAAAGACCTCGTGAGCCCTGGACCTGGTGGGCCTACTAACATAATTGCACAGGGCTGAAATGCACAGATGCTGCTTCTTATCGCCCATCCGTATCAAGTTGCAGCTGGGCCACAATTCAAGGTGGCTAGAGCACTTTAAGGTGCAAGGGTAAAAGCGCCTCGATCACGCTGTACTGGCCACCAATCCAAAACCCATTTTTGTTGAAAGGACATGCACATGCTTGGCCATTTTCGAATGACTTGATTGCTTTTCTTCCCTGCTCGGGTTGCCGAATCACGGGGTCAGACCCTTGCATTGTACGGGATGCTTTTGGATGAATGGAACTGCCAGTGAGGAAATTAAAAACGCCCTTAATCAGGAAAACTACGTACCGTGCGCCAAAATCTGCAGGGAAGACCAACACAGGGTTTCGGATTGTGGCACGTCGCGAGCTCAGTAGTCGGGCGCAGGCCGCCTTGGGAGTAGATTTAATCTTCAACTATGGACAGAAGACAAGTGAAGGCCAGGTACAGCAGAAAGGGTGTCACAATTCCACTCCTGTGCCTTGATACTTTGTTGAGTGGAGATCTTGCTGACGATCAGTGGTGTCAGCATGCATGTGATCTGAACCTTTCTGATGACTAACCCATCATGTTTGAAAGGTAGAAGGACAGCCCTCAGCCCGGCTGGACTTCACTGAAGTCAGTGCAGGCTTTAGCATGTCTATGTGCCCGCTGCATTCCAGCTAGACAACTCCGTGTCCTCCAGTGTGGCTATGAGGAAGGCCTCATGATCAGCACTGATTCAGCACCAGTGATTTTGGACATCATGATGATGTTGGCCATGATGCAAACAATTCTATTGATCATGCTGCATACTTCAATGCCTTGATGCACAAGGTCTCACAACAAGCATGTCCTCCCGCATGCACATCGTTTCCCCCTCACAAAATCTGTCTCTGGTTTGGTGGTCAGCTGGCGTGTTTTGCGGGCGTTCCCTCTTTCAGACACCACACCAGAGCGTCGCGCGCAAAACTTACAAAATTGGAAGACGCGTCCTCGTTCGCCGTCTGCTCCTCTTTCTTAAAGCCTCCAAGCCACCCAGCTTCTTTCTAAATCTGCAACCATGCGTGAGGTCATCTCTATCCATATCGGCCAGGCTGGAATCCAGGTGAGAAGAGCGGGAAGGCTGTGTCAAGCTCAGCTGATATTCCCCTGCATTGTTCATTGCATTCATTGTTCATTGCATTGCAGGCAAGAGATATCACCTTTGCGTTGCAGGCTCAGCAATTCGGCAGCTTGCATTTTGTCCCAGCTAACAACACCTTTTACTGATTCAGGTGGGAAACGCCTGCTGGGAGCTGTACTGCCTCGAGCACGGTGAGCTGCCTCATATTTTAGCCGACTGCTTGAACAGCATTTTGGTGCTGTGCCTGTGGCATTCCGAGCTCCCGAGGCTAGTGACTGCTGTTCACTCCAAATATCTACTTTTCAAGATGAATCAAGAGGGAGTGCCCTTTGAAAAGGGTGTAGATTGATAATGCATACGCAGCATTAGGAAAGGATTTATTGTGGTATAGACCATTCGTAGGCCGCAATGAGCAACGTGCTGACCTTGTTCTTTTCTGATCAATTCAGGCATCCAGCCCGATGGCCAGATGCCCAGCGACAAGACCATCGGCGGTGGAGACGACGCCTTCAACACCTTCTTTTCGGAGACTGGTGCTGGCAAGCACGTCCCCCGCTGCGTGTTCCTCGACCTCGAGGTGCATCCTCTTTGGAATCAGCATACTGCAATCAGCATGTAATCAGCTGTACTGCATCTTGTGACTCTGAAACAGGCATTCTTTCTGCTATATAGCTGGCCACGTCGATATAGAAAAGCATAGATCGTCACAGGCGGTGACAACAGCACTTTATGGCGCCAAGCTTTTGCTGATCAGCACCACTTTCCTTTGTCAGTCTATGGCTCCAGCCACCTGCAATCATCTACTCAGGCACCCAGGCAAATAGGCTGTTTGGCTCCGCTGTTTTAGCATATGTATTACATTGGCAGTGTCTCATTGGGCATCTATCCACTGTGCAAGTCTGACAGGGGGATCTTTGTGTTGCCTGCAGCCCACTGTGATTGATGAGGTCCGCACCGGCACCTACCGCCAGCTCTTCCACCCGGAGCAGCTCATCAGCGGCAAGGAGGATGCCGCCAACAACTTTGCCCGTGGACACTACACCATTGGCAAGGAGATCGTTGACCTCTGCCTGGACCGCATCCGCAAGCTGGCGGACAACTGCACTGGTGCGCGCAGAAGCATCTCTACCTGTGCTTCTCATCCTTGCATGCGATCACACCAGACACCTCCAGGCATTTAGCGCACTAGCAAAGCATGCATCCAGACCACCATTTTGAAAGTGGGACTCATTCAGCCCAAGGGATTGTCATGAATGGCTGCCATTCGTTGTGTTAGTCAGCCTGTCCCATTACATTGCTTCCAACCAGGAAATTGTCAATTTTATGCATGAATTTGATGCTCAAAGTCAGCACCCAGCATGATATTTACAGACAAATGGACTGATGGCAGCAATGTGTGCATGCATGCAGGCCTGCAGGGTTTCCTGGTGTTCAACGCTGTCGGTGGCGGCACTGGTTCCGGCCTGGGCTCCCTTCTGCTCGAGCGCCTGTCCGTCGACTACGGCAAGAAGTCCAAGCTCGGCTTCACCGTGTACCCCTCCCCCCAGGTCTGTCAGTGGGCCCCTCCTGCAGTGCTGACACCAGCAGCCTGTTGCTCAGCATGCATACCAAGCATCACAAGTGGAATTTTGCCTGCCTGCCACTCAGTGCAGATGAACTTTGGCGAAAATAATCTGCCAAAGTTCTCTGATTTGCTAAGTGACAATTGGTACAGTGACTGCATGCATCTTCAAAAGAAACCAATGCCACAATTTCATGCTGGACTGAGCATTGCCCTGGCTGCTGCCATTGCATGTTCAGCAGAATCGCTCATGCCATTACCCTGTGTACCACTGTTGAGTATTGACCTGCTGCCATGTGCTGCCCAGGTGTCCACAGCCGTGGTTGAGCCGTACAACTCTGTGCTGTCCACGCACTCGCTGCTGGAGCACACGGATGTCTCTGTCATGCTGGACAACGAGGCCGTCTATGACATCTGCCGCCGCTCCCTGGACATCGAGCGCCCCACCTACACCAACCTCAACAGGTGCATTTACCCCCATTCTACCCTGCAGTCTCAAATGTACAGAGCCCTTGCAAGCTGAATGCCCTTGTGCCCGAGGTTGGACCGTCTTTGCATCTCTACCTGTGCTGTGAAAAATCCCGAATTTGTGGCAGGTCAAGCTTAGCAACCAGTATGTCACAGAGCTGCTGCTTTGTCCCTGTTAGTTCTCCCTGAAAGGCCACTTTGCTCTTCCACGTATGGTATTGGCAGTGCAAAACCACAGACTGCAGAACCACAGACTACTAAGTTGAGTAGAACAATGCCCCAGCTGCATGCAGTCAAGAGTGCCCAAAGGTGCATGCTCGCACGGGCAATTCTAAAACACATTGTCACCAAGGAATGCCCCAAGCCTCCTGCAGTCAGGGTGCTCACAGGGCGCATGCATGCACTCAGGCGCAGGCAAAGCAGAACCACAGGTCACATTTTGAACAGAACATTGTCCCGTACTGCCTGGAGTCCTTGTGCTCACACGCTGATGCATGCATGCGTGCAGGCTGATTGCCCAGGTCATCTCCTCGCTGACGGCGTCCCTGCGCTTCGACGGCGCCCTCAACGTGGACGTGACCGAGTTCCAGACCAACTTGGTGCCCTACCCGCGCATCCACTTCATGCTCTCCTCCTACTCCCCGGTCATCTCCGCGGAGAAGGCCTACCACGAGCAGCTGTCAGTGGCCGAGATCACCAACTCCGCCTTCGAGCCTGCCTCCATGATGGCCAAGTGCGACCCGCGCCACGGCAAGGTGCGCTGCTTCTGCCTCGGACAGAAGTCCTCCTTGCTGATATGGCACGCTGCACCTGAGCCTACACAAAGAATGAGCCACCTCTGAATCAGCAACATAACTTCAAATAATTGCATGACAGTGAGCCACTGATCTCCCTGTAGATCTTGCTGATGATCTCCGCTGGGGTGTGGAGTAATAAGACCGATGAGTGCGTGACATGCATGCACCTGAGCTTGTTTATCCTCTTGCACAGAAACTTCTGCTGGCATGGCACTGAGCCTGAAAAATTACGTGGTCGTCTGGCATGCCGATAAAGCGCGTAGAGTAACCTGTGCTGATGCAAGCTCTGCTGGCGCGCAGTACATGGCGTGCTGCCTGATGTACCGCGGAGATGTGGTGCCCAAGGACGTGAACGCGGCCGTGGCGACCATCAAGACCAAGCGCACCATCCAGTTTGTGGACTGGTGCCCCACCGGCTTCAAGTGCGGCATCAACTACCAGCCCCCCACAGTTGTCCCGGGCGGTGACCTGGCCAAGGTCCAGCGCGCCGTCTGCATGATCTCCAACTCCACCGCCATCGCCGAGGTGCGCCGCTGTCTCCTCTTTTTGCTTGCACATACTGCAGTACTCGTTGTAAAACCCGCAATAAGTAAATATTTTTGGCCAAAAATAGTGTAAATATGACCCTATCTCCCTAATTATAAACCCTGTGATAATTTTGAGAGCACATTCCGAAAGCTCTTGACAAGCTCAATCCAATGGAGCATGACCCTGGTAATTTTGAGGTCAGGAAGACCTCTAAAACCTGCTTTGAAAAGTTTTCCACACCGACAGGGGTACGGGTTTCAGAATGAATACTACAGTATCTGTCCTCCCTTGCACTTAATGCCATGGTTTGTCTGCCGAGTATGTGGCTTTGCTGTGCATCAGTGCTGCAAAAATGCTGACAAGCAGCTGCCCTCTCTGCGGCATCCTGAAATATGCAAGTCATGGCTCAGTCTATGGGGCACTCGGTCTCTTGGAGCTCTAAAATAGTCTTCTCAAGCTCAAAAAAATAAGGCAAGAATTCAATATGTGCCAGACCAGGTCAATTCAAGTTGGGCTGACATTACATGTGCGCTTGTTGCATGGCAGGTGTTCTCCCGCCTGGACCACAAGTTCGATCTGATGTACGCCAAGCGCGCGTTTGTTCACTGGTACGTGGGCGAGGGAATGGAGGAGGGAGAATTCAGCGAGGCTCGCGAGGACCTGGCCGCCCTGGAGAAGGACTACGAAGAGGTGGGCTTCCAGTCTATTGAACAGTACCAGTGCAGAATTTTCTCCACATTGAGTACAACACATCGTTGGAATTCCAATGCTTTATACTCAAGAAAAACGATTCTTAAGTATTCGATGGCCCCACTGAAGCAGGCTTTCAGTCAACTCTGTATAGCAGTGCCGAGAGACATAATTTGATTGACACAAGTAACCAGAGACAAGCACAGCTACTCATTCTTTGTCTTTGTTCTGAATATGTCACTTTTGAACACCTTGCAATGGTCATTACGGGTACTGACTTCAGGGTGCTCGTCAAGTAATAACATGGTCTGATGAATCTAACTGATGACAGGTGGGCGCTGAGTCAGCCGAGGCCGATGGCGAGGACGAGGGTGAGGAGTACTAGATTGTGTGTTGCCTCCGCTGAGCTGAGATGAAGTTGCTCACGCCAGACTCGAGAGAAAGGGCTGCCTTGAAAGCGCACTTCATGCAGAGCAGTGATGTCCAATTTGCAGAATGGCACCCAGCTGAGGAGTACTAGATCATGTCCCTGCTGGAGCTGTGCTGAGGTGTTGCATTCTAATGCGGGCAGTTGGATATCGTTTTAATCAAGATCTCTCAGAAATGCCCGGGTGTGGCTTTGGCTGTGCAGAGGGTTGCCATGTAGAAACAGCAGCTAGATGAAACCCTGATCAAGAACCCTTCAGTGTAATTCACCTTCGGAATTTGAAGTCCTTCGAATGCATTGATGAGCTGCCAGTGCCACAGCAATGTGCAAAAGGTGCTTTTGGAACTGTCATCGGTATGCTTCAGACATGCATTCATAGCAGATGTGTTTTGCTCCTGTAAAGTGACCCCTGGATCCAGTCCAAAGTGGTGAGTGGCACATCAAACTGTAATGACAAGGGATAGCATTCATGTATGCGGATGCACTGGAGGCACTCATTTGATTTCAAATTAGCTTGTTGCTTCTCATCAAATGTTACTAACAGGTCTAGCAAGGTCTATAGTAGACCTGTTGCGCACCAAGACGACTCGACACCGAACCAGCGGACATAGTGGAAGCGCGTGACAAATGTCTACGATGGTCTCATACAAATTTTCAATGCCTTCTGGATGATACTTTTGGCGGCCATGTGTTCCTGTGTCCTTCCTCCTTCGTTTCTTTCATATCACCATTACTTCTTCGACCCCTCGCGTGGATTTTGTGCTTTATTACCCCTATTACACGACACTGCTCGGCTGTGTCGGCTGATGTCAACATGGATCTCACCCAGTCATGTCTACACGAGTGATTATCCTGGCTAGATCACGTGCAATATGCACATCAGACTAGACTGATGTGCCCCTTCTGTGAGCTTTCGTCTTAGTACGTTCCAATCATTAGGGTTCGGCTGGTAGTCGCAAGAAGGTGAAGGACAGGCCACGAAGGATGGATCTGTTCTGGTTGGTTGCCATAGGCACCACTGCTGTTGCTGGCGCTTCGTGGTGTCTCTATAGGGAGATTGTACCAACTGAGGAGCTTGTGGAGAAGCCCAGCATTGCCAATCCCGCATGTGGGCGAGGAGCTGTGCTCCTCGCACAGTACTTGGCACCCATCATAACCGTTACGTGCGCCCTTTGCCACGTTCAGGGGGATACGCCTGCGTGGGTTTTCCTTCGTATCTTCACGCCAGGTGCCGCAGGGCTGTGGGCGTCAGGCTTGCTAGGTCTGTCAGCCTTCGGCCTTTTCGCGGCAGCCAAGCGGACACTGAGCACACATTACTCGCCCCTTTACAAGTCCAAGGTCCCAGAAGGCTTGACCACAACGGGGCCCTATTGGTGTCATCAGACACCCCATCTACACAGCCAATATGACACTCCTTGCAGCTGCTACATTGATGACAGGTAGCCACCCATGCTAATCATTACAGCGATCTGCTGCTGTCCTTGTCTTGCTACTGGGGCAGCAACATGCAGCAGCAGGCGGATTTTCCCTGTGCAAGCCTGTACATATGCCATGTCAGCGGTGCAGTTGCCGCACTAAACCTTGAGCACGTTGAAGCTTCCTTGCAGAGCTTCCTTTGTCAGCCACATGCCCTACTTCAAGATGCCGACTGGTCTCAGGCGGTGTCTGTTGCGCAGGCTCCCTATGGAATGGCGGCATCCTCATTCTTCTGTGGATCACCTACACCCAAGCAGCATGCCTTGAGGAAACAGCCCTCAACAAAGCCTTCTGCTCGTATGCAGACTACATGGGCCGCACAGGTGTTGCGCCCACCCCCATGTACTCAGCGGTCATTAGCAAACACGACACACAATGCCCTGCATGGCACACTTGGAGTGGCCTGAGCGGACTATGTTATCATATAGCGCTTATTATAGCGTATTGTATAGCGTATTCATTTAGTGCTCCTGGGCCGGGGGATCATTGTGTTGTTGTTGCATGACGTGCACTTGTAAGACAGTCTTTTCTCCTATCTTCCGGCGCTCGCTCATGTCTGCATGCCTCTTTCTCTAATGTGTTCTTGGCGGCATGTGCATGTGTTGCAGGCTGCTTTGACACCATTTGGTAAACTCCTATAATGCCACACGGTTGATGATTGTTCCACAGGAAAGTTTCTGCCGCTCCTACCCACCTGGACGTACACGGGCATAATCAAATTCATCACCATAGCGGGGGGCACCAGCCTGGAGGCAAAGCAACTGGTGTCCGACACAGACCTGGCCTCTTTTCAGAAAAAGTTTGAGGCCCAGAGCGGGGCGAAGGTCAGCTTGAGGTATCTCAGGTGTGCCTTTAGCCCACCGCTGCATTCCAATGCGTTGCACTACCTGTATCAGTGCCCGTGCATTACACTAATGCGTCCGGCAGGTTCCCCATGGCCAAATACGTTTCTGGGACGCCCATAGTTCATGTTGGTATTTATCCTGCCCTTCCTACCGGGTGTTTTCATGTTGACAACGTTTGACAGGTCAAACTGGCCTAAGGTGCCAGTGGCTTCGATATTTGCTATTACCAAATTTTTGGGTGTATGGGCTGCTTCAAGACTTTCCCGGTGTGTGTTTCTCAGGAACGCCATTGTGATGGGGTACATAAAAAAGGACGGCCAAATGGCGGCAGGGTATGTTGTAAATGCAGTGCTGCCGCTGCGGTACTTTTCCTTTCTGCCGGAGCTTGAGCGTTGCCAGCTGCCGGGAGAGCCTGGAGAAGAGGACTTCGTCGAGATCACATGCATCTGGATTGATAAGCATCTCACCAGATACTGCGATCGCGGCGTGGTAAGCTCTGAGCTGTTTTTTAAACGAGGATATGCAGTGACAGACTGCTTACCTGAGCCTCAGGTGGCTCCCAAAAGGTCTCTACAATGTAATTAGTATATTGTATTATTGGTATCATTACACGCCTTTCCAATCTACGAGGATCAGGTGCGTTGAAGCACCGTTTCTATGACAGCCTTCCAACCTTCTCTATCTTGGCCTTTCCTCCACCAGGTCCAGAGATATGAGGAGCCAGGTCCTGTCTGACATAAGCATTCCAGAACTTGACAGGTCTACCTCTTCTGCCAGCACCAAGAAAATGTAATAACAAAAATTCATAATAATAATAATCTGAGGCCATAGAAAATCCCAAACGCTGCTAGCGGGATGAGTGGCCTGCCTGAGCCTGATGCAAAGGAATCAAAAATTTATACAATTAATAAAAGCATGATGTCATGCTGCACGCATGGAACACATCTTTGCTATGTGTGCTTAATTTACATGTACGTGGCGCCCTCAGTATCCCTCTGACATCTGTGCTGGTACAGAATTCAGCAGCGGGGCCTGGAAATCCTCGAGCAGCGTGAGATATCTAAAATATGTCAATTTATATCTTGCAGGTGTACCTTGACAGCGTGGAGGTGGCCAAGCGCAAATCAGACAAGCCGTACATCTTGGGCGGCAGCAACGTGCCACGCGTGCGCGAGCAACAGATGCATGCCTTCACAACGCCCCTCAGGTGCGGCTGCTGCTGTTAAGAGCGTTCTGGGCAGGGTACTATAAGATGCTGTGAAGGTACTAATTCGCCCTTGTCATGGCGAGTAAGGGCAGATGGTCAGACCTGTGTCCGGCTCCCCGAACTAGGCTTCCTTAGTAGGGACTTCCGTACCGAGTTTAAGACTAAGGTAGGACCAGCTATAAATAGTCCTAGTGGTTCTGGGCAGAATGTTGCAAAGGGGGACCTTATCACAGGTCTGCAATGAGCTTCAGTGCCCAGGAGTCGGAAGATCTGAAGCTGTCAATGGGTCCAACACATGCAAGCAATGAAGAAATCTGCGCAAAGATGGAAGCAGAGGAGAATGTTTGGCTAGCCAGGTATTTGTTGTTTCTTTTCCCGCGCGTTATTTCTGCCTGTGAGCATACCCTCGAGATCCCCTGCTGTGCACCTTCCCTCTAATACCAAAAGCATGCTTAATCTTAAGCATTTGATTAGCTTGATTGATAAGCATGTGATTGATTAAGCGAAAGCCTTGAGCTCCAGCACGTGGGCGCTTGACACAGGTCTCAGCGGAGTGCATGCGAACCTCTGTCAGTGAGTAGTAACAAAACAAAATGCCACCTTACAAGCACCCTCTTATTTGTTGCTTATCCGGTCCTACTGATCTGCACAGATCACAATGAGGGCGCCGTCTTTCGACGATGTCACATACTGATCATGTGCATTGTGTTCATGTGCTAATATACAGGTCGTTCGTGTCTGTCGTGCACAAACCTCCGTGCCCGTACTGGATCTACTACGGCAGCCCTGATGCTACCTTGATCCGGATGTGCAAAACCATGCTCAGTGTTGTATTCTGCGACATCGCTGCAGTATGCGGCCTGCACACCAACCATTCGGCCTTTTCTTACAAGCGCATGTACAAGACGCCTGCAAAGGGCACTGCAATCATCCAGTAGCAGTGTTTATCACGATGGAACCAGGATGGTACCAATTTAGCTTTGGCCCCGGCTGGTGGGGGCCGGTATAAATACTGAGCACTGTGTCCATGGCTGATTAGGTGTAGACCAAGCAGTATCTTGCTTGGATCTGGAAAGTCCAACACGGGGTAGGATTTTAGCAGCCTTGCATGCATGCTTGCAGATGCACCAAGCTTACCTCTGGCAGATGTATTCTTCCAGAAATAATAGTTATCAGAAGAATGCTGGCGTCTGGCAATTGAGCTTGCCGAGTACCAAAATTTGAATGCTTGAGATATTGACTCAGAATTAGGGTTGAGCAATGTACAGGTGCCTGTTCTACCCTCACTACACTTTTTCAATTATTTGAAATATTTCATTTTGAGCCTACGGGATGATTTAATTAATAATATATCCAGCCTGCAGGGAATTGCCTGCAAGTGCACCCCAGAATTACAATCCACTTGTTGTTGCCAATCTTGAAATTGTGGGATCAGAGTTGTCCACCCATTTAATGATAGCCTGTGGGCGTGCGGGGAACCCCTGCGGGAACCTGCATGTTTATGAATGAGTGGCAAAGAAAATGAGGATATTTAATGAACACTAGAGTAACTTGGTCAATTGTAGGTTTTTATTTAGTGCCCACAACAGAAAAGCAGTCTTGACAGCAAGCGTGTCTTTGCATATCTGCCTTTTTGAGTTCCACGTTGTGCCTTTATATGTATCACCATGTCAATTCGTCCTTATCATTTCCTATGTGGTGAATAATCACAAATGGTCGGGAATTTGTGGGATATCCCGATGTCAAGCTTTTGGGCAGATTACTTATCACCAAGAAATAGTGTAATAAGATAGGGAATTTATTATAGCATGTATCCTTTGCAAAGTGATTGCAACAAGGCTTCGAGAAATGCATGTCAAGCTGGCACCTTATGGCCGTAGCCCCATGCCCCCTGGATCACTCAGTCTCATGACACCTGCACGTGCACTTGCACACACCATGCGCACATGCTCACAGTGGGATCGGCAACTATAGATGGTCCACACATGCACCTTTGCGTCACATATGACACATGTTCAAGCTCAAGTGATAAAGCTAATGTGACTGATGCTGTGCAACCCCCTGCCTCTGTTTTCTGCAAATTTAAATGTAGATCTCCTTTGGGTAGGCTACAACCCACTGGAGCTGCACCAAACGGGGACAACTTGTACATGTGCAGGACTTGCTGCTTGTCATCAGGTCGATTGAACATGTTGCCAATATCATGTTGGGGAATAGTGTGCTCAGGTCTCTCCAAAGATTGGGACTTTACACTTAAGCATGCGCAATGCCGTATCAAGAGTGGCTTCAAGTAGCACACAGCAGTGAGCGCTTGTATACTTAGTGCGCACAGCGCTTGATAACCTTTGTGTCTCAGATTGTCTGAACAATGCTGCAGCATCTGATCTAATGTTCCCCTCAATCTAATCTCAAATGGCAGTATCCATGGAGCACCAGCAGACAGTTTGATGAGCATAATCTCTAGGCAATTAGCAGATGCGCTATTCTCCAGTATTTTCAAACGAGCATTAAAAAGGCAACATTTTCCAAAAAGTACTTGAAGGCAATTTCATCAAGTATCGAATGGCCTGGTTGCCAATCGTACACTACACGTTGTAGAGCAAAACTTTGCCAAATATGGCGGCTGTACTTGCACAGAAAGGAAGACAAATGCATATAGCAGTACCGATTTAAGGGAAAATCTGTGCTGAGAGAAAGAGCAAGTAATTTGACTGCTGCTTCATTCTACCGCTTAACAGACTGTTCAGAAGCTCAGCAACACTGTATCTGTGCTGTCTGTGCAAATTTCTGCACAAGAACATATCAGAAGCTGCACTCTGTAGCCTAGCGCTTTTTAATTTCACCTGGTGAAAGTTTGTTATGATGGCATCGTCCTCAGGGACAAGTCAGCACAAGGCAGAGTACTCTGCTACTACTCTGTATAGCTAGTGTCAAAACTTCACTCTTGTGAACTTATCTCCCCGGCTTAGGTCCCCTGTCAACCTGTGTTTCTCTGCCCTCTCACTTTTCTCTCTGTTTTCTGGAGCTGCTGTGAACTATCTTCTACGTATAAGTATCATTTTGAGCTGAGATGAGCACAGCACATCTCCAAACCAAGCACTTCCATATTTTGCTTGAAAGAGTGTCGGCGTCATCTGTTCTTTTGGCAAAAGAATTCTTGTTCAAAACAGATCTGCGCTGACAGCTGCATCTGGCTGCTGTGGCAGGGAAGTCACCCAGAAGGTGAAGGAGCTGGCATCATTTCCTTGTACCACTGCCTTTTCCAGAGTCTCTGCCGTCTCCAGATCCTGCTGCTCTTGCGCTGAAGGTTCTAGAACCACTTTTTTCCCGAAGACAACCTGCACAAAGCAACATGCTTCCAGTGAGCACCAGCAAAATGGGCAGCATGCTCCCACGGTCATGATAGTGAGCAGCTCAAACTAAGACAGCCCTTTCAGGAGAACAAGCTTGACAGGTGCAGAGGAAGATGTTCTTTGCAACCACTCTCTGAGAGTCAATGGGGCATCATGCATGCATGTGGTGGACATCTCCATGCAGACAACCGGTCTATCTGCAAGCTTGAAGATTGAGCAGAATAGGGCACCTGCTGGTCAGGTTGCAGGACGATCAGGTGGATGAATTGCTGGGCTTGGGGGCACTCTACATCCACTTTGGTTTGGGGCAGGGTGGCAGTCTCTTGTAACTGCCTGCTCTCTCTCCGACGCTTGCAGATCTTCGACGCCAGAACCAGCAGGCATATCAGGTTCATCATTGCTGGCACAATCACTGCAACACATTCCAAAACACGCTCATGATTGGCAAGGGATCAGCGCAGTTGACGTCACAGGATTCTGGGGACAACCTTCCAGCATAGCGTCAATGATGAAAGCACAGCAATCACCAAAGGCAGTACAGATGGTTCTGGAATAGAGAAAAGAATATTCTGAATGGCAACCCACCCACAATTGCGAGGAAAACGCCCGTTGCAGCCATCCTGGCGACACAAATGATTGGTCAACCAGTGGAAGCAGAAACGCTTGCGGGCGTACGCGCTCCGGGAACCCTCTGCAAATGCACCGAAATGGACGACTATTACACTTTGAAGGATATTATTGTTGTCTGGGACTGCTGCGGCCTATAAGAAATAAGTTGATCCGGAAAGCCCAGACTTCCTTTATAGAATTTCGACCACATCCATCAAGACTATGGGAAGAGCCATCAGCCTGTCTACCGACAAGAATTTGACATTACTGCCACCTACAAAGTGCGTATGCAAATGCAAACATTCAACACGTGTTCACTCCGGCAAATGCCCCCATCCACCCAGCTGGGCCCAACATGTGAGCAAGTGCGGATCATCCCGCAAGTGAAATGTCAAGTTGAAGAATCCACGAATTTGACTGACATCATGCGTTATAGTGCCACACTCGATGGATGTTCCTAAGGGCCCTTTCAGCTTGAACGCCTGCGCATGGGTACAAAGGTGCCAGCAGCGGGGCCGATACCTGAATACTTCTGAGCTGCTGAAATAACACAAGATATGGCTACTTCCAGAGCACAGCTTTTTTAGTGGAGGCTCTGAAAAGCCGTCGCAAAGTGTCTCAAACGTCCAAAAGCGGCACTGCTCCGTTGCCTGAGAAGTCCTGCCACTCCCTGCCAAACGATTTCCTTGTGAATCTAGCGACTCGAATCATCTCAATCATGAAGAGGGGTATGCAAGCCGACCCTGTGCGAGGCTGCCGGGACGTTGTCGCAGTCGGCCAATAAATATCTCATTGTGGGATTTGCTGACACGCGCGTTTGCAGGTGCCCTCTAGATAGAGAGTAACCGTCAGCTAGGTCTCTATCCTTGCAAGCTGCAATGCAATGCAGTTTGCAATTTTACCTCTAAGCATTAAAATCATCAATTGCAGAGTCTGTAAGCCGCCACACAAGGCCTTTAAGACTGCCCAAGATTCGATAAAATTACACGATTACACAGCTGCACATCATGTCCACATGCAAGCATGATGACTCAATCAAGCGAGAGCTCACAAGCATTTGGCGGGCCCTCATGGCCATGCCAGAGCTTCTTACAAACGCTTGGTAGCCAGTATTGAGGGTTACAGTGGCTGTAAGAATGTTTAGGTGGTCAATGAATATTTCTTCCTACGTCTGTTCATCTACAGGTGTTACATTTCAAGCTAAAACACTGGCATGCACAGGTCCTTCCTCACCCAATCTCGAGCGCACACCCTTGCTGAGGCATTCAGACATAGTCTTCCATGGTTTCTAACACACCAGCCGCGATATCTGCCGGTTCAAAACTGCTGAGTCATCATGACCCACCCCTCTGCGCGCAGTGCAAAGCAATTGCAAGACTCATGTGCCTCGGCTCCCTGCATCCGGGCTCTTCTTGCGGCTGCTGCGAAGACTCAGTTTGCCGGGCAGCGTTTCTGTCAGAAGGCCTGCAAAGGGGTCCGTGCTGCGGTGCCACAGGTTCTTCTTGTGCTTCCCTTTGTCGGCAGCGCCGTCCCCGGCTGATAAGTCCTTGTCGGCAAGGCGACTGATGCCATGAGCCTGATGCTGCCGGCTCCCAGTGATCCTGGTCTTTGCGGGGCTGGCGCCGGCTGAGTGCGTGGGCGGTGACTCACTGGGCGCCTGATCAGGCAGCGGGTGGGACCCCAGCTGTGGCATGTACCTGTGCCAGGAACACCAGCAGCCTTACTCCAACAAGAGTGGGAAGGTGAGAAACTTCCAGAATGAGAGAGAGGCTCTGACAAGTCAGATTTTGTCATGGCTTCCATTCAAGTGCCCACGAGTAGTGAACCCCTGTACTGCACTGTCAAAACTGCACAGAAAGCCTCCCGGAGAAATATGTGCAGAAGCAGAGCAGTAAAATTGTAAGGAACGTTTTGCAGCCGAGCAACACACCTGTGGGCAGACTGGGTAGGTATCAGTTTTGGCTTTGGCTCCTGTTGCGCATGTGAGGCCGTGGAGGGAACGCCCCCTTTCGGGCCATTCATGCTCCATGCATCTGCCGACGCCGCCCCTTGTGCGAAATCAGGCGCCATCGGTGCTCCCTTCACTGCACCTGCACTCCCGCATTTTAAATTATATCATTGGAAAATCCAAATTATTCAGAAGCAAGCTGCAAATCGTCCCCTGCAATTCCATGCACAGCTCTTCACATACATAGAGGCTGCCTGCAATCCACCCGACCTGCATAACTTGCAGAGTGCAGCACCTGGACGCTGACATGAGAGTGTGCCAATGCAGCAAGCGTGCAGCGAAGCAAGGCAACATTGCCATCGCACCATTCTGTGCGGCAGCAGGGTTGCCCTGTGAAATGGTCACCAGTCCAGCATCATAGGGGTCATGGCCCCCGCTCCATGCTGAGGCTGCTTGCTGCTGCTCCGTTCTGGCATCCTGAACGCAGGATAAAGCGAATTAAGACTAAGATACAGCAGCGGGCTCACACGCACCATGGCAGAGAATTTCAGCCACGCGGCCAACGTGATAGCATATCAGGAGGATCGCCAAATAAAAAGACTAAAATGGGGATGTGTTTGTGCCTCAGCAACAAGCCAGGGGGTCAGTAATTCAGCACTTCTGAGTGCCGTCTTTCAACAGCTCCACCATGACAGGGTCTATCATATCAAGTGATCCTCTTGCCTGAAAATATGACTGTCACGACCCATTTTTCACAAGCAGAATTCACGCAGTTTCCAGGAAGCTTCCTCACCCATGCGGACGATGATGGGGGCCAGACAACATCCACTGTTCCCATTGCTGCGCTGCTGCTAGGCCCATCCGTCGACCACACATGACTGCCGTCTGCAGCTGAAGAAACAGGCTGATCTTTCTGGAGCGAGGATGACTGGACAGATGCAGGCGCCTGATCTGGCTTTGGGGCTGAGCTGTCCCCCGCTGCGCTGGCGGCTGCTGTGGGGACATGCGGCATATCCATGTAGCTGATCTGCATATTGGCCTCCGCTTTGCGCCCTGCATGCAACAGTGCAACGTGCCTTAGATGCTAGGAAGACACCTCGCAGGCAAAGAGGGAGTCATTGCACGAGAATATTTCATCCTTTGCAAGATTGATGTCCGAGGAGGATGCTGCACGATAACTCATATGTATAAACAACACAATTGGCATGAAGAGACCTCTACTGCAGGCTTGAAGACCATTTACTGCAGGACAATTGATGAAAGATGTATATTTTCCATGCCTAAAGGTCGGCTGGCGGGGGGCGTAATAAGTACTGAGCACCGTGCCCACGATTGATTGGGTCTTGCTTGGATCTCGCTGGTCAAACAAGGGGTAGGATTGTGGCAGCTTGTAAGCAGAAAATACCATGCCTCTTGGCAGGAAACCTGTGTCCCGTAATTATAAAATTATAATATTGATACATGCTTTATGCAGGACGTTTCAGTTTGGGCAAGGCCACACCTTGTTGTTTGCCCTCTGCCTGTGCCTTGACAAGGGAGGCCTTCATGACCTGCAGCTGTTCAAATTGGAGGGACGCCTCTGCAGACCGCCCGCGTAGGCTGGCCAGCACCGGCCCTGCGACTACTTCCATCAGCCGGCACAGGTGCTGCTGATACACCCCGGCGTGGTGCATGGCTGTGAGTGGATGCACCCGCCCACTCCTGGAAGACATGCAGCATCCATCACAAGCTTTGCACCATCGGCTGCATGACTGCATCCATCCGCATGATACACGCCCCTCTGCCATGGCCGATCAGCATTGCAGCATTGACATTTGATGCATGCGCATGCAAGCTCTTGCTGCAGCAGGCATTTTTGAATAGGCCTTCAGAGAGCTTGGTCTCAGAGATGGGAGAGTCAGCAGCGCACTCTTCTCTGGCCGATTTTGACAAATTCCTTGCATATGAGAAGGGGTGAAAGTGACTTTTGGGAGTGAAAGAAGGCTCACTCGTCTGCAGCGGAGGAGACGGCGTCTGTGAAGGCCTGCCGCTCTTCTTCGAAGAGCACCTCCAGCAGAACGCGCAGCCCGTCAGGCTGGAGCCCAGGGTGCGCCAGCTCAGCGCCAACTGTCAAAGGGACCTCCCGCCGCGTCCACTGGCCCCCCGCTGACGCGCTCTGCCGAGCATCTGCGGCACATGGTGCTCACATGTCACAGTGATGTGGCAAAGGATGATGGATACGCCAATGCACGCCATCCTGTGCTCTTGCATGACATCGTGCTCACATGTACTGTCTGACAGATCAAGAATATCTGTGCTTTTGCTCCTGGAAACGGGAATGCCATGTATGTGTGCATGCGCAAGTCATGCATGCCATCATGAGGCAACAAAGCGGGGTTATTGATGTCTTCTTGTGCTTCTGCATGACACCATCTGCGCATGTTCAAGTCATGCATACTATCAAGAGGCAGATGCAGCAGCCTAGCATGAGTTGATCAGTCAGAATTCAGGAGGGACTGTCTTTGGTGTATGAGTGGTCTTGATACCTGCAGCTGAAGCAGCCAGCGCTTTGGCCATGGGAGAATCCACCCCATAGGAGTTGGTGGGGGACAGTGCATGCTGCGTCTGCTGCACAGACTGGAACGCTGTGACCTGAATCTGCTGTGTGCACTCTGCTGTATCCTGCAACATCATAGCGAGTTCTCATCGTTTTGCATGACCCCAGAAAGGCTCCTACAGCATTCCAGCATCCCCTTGTGCCATCTTGCTTGAGAATCGAGCACAATTGATCCTGGGTCTTTCTTCAGCAATTCCTACTCATCTGAATAGGGGGGTAACCGGTATGCATACCTGGTTGAAGGTCGACAGAATGATGCCAATGAAGCCCTCGTCGAGCATCTGGTAGGAGCCCTGAGTGCGCACATCCACGTGGCTGGGCAGCACTGTGATGTGAGGGTGGGAGTGATACCAGCCAATGACCCTCACTTTTGTCTGGCTCCCCTCAGATAGCTTCTCCCCAATTGCCATGGCTGAGGCTAGCTGCTCTGGACTGGCTTCCACCCGATCCTGCCATGCAGCAACCTCTGGCTCACACCAGGAACGACAGGCATCCTCTTACAAGTGCTGTAAGGGCATGGCAGCCAGATTATGCAGACCGGGCAACTCACAAGGACAAAAGACGCACCTTTCTTCGGTCTGTACGAATTTGAGGCATCGCCACCGAAATGTGGGCGACTGCTTCCCCATTCGTGCCATACTGAAGCAGGCAAGGCACCTCTTATAGATGCTCTTTATAGAAGGCTTGCAGAAATGATTTCAAATTTACAAAAAATAAAAAGTCATCCGCGACAAAGGCATGCAAGAGGAGGATCGCACATGCACATCGCCAAGGAGTAGGCCCATCACTTCCTCAGACTCGGTCGTCAAAGCGTGAGTGGCACAGACGCTGAAAACATCTGCAAATAAGAATTACAAGACTGGTGAGACACAGTCTCCGATAAAATATGATTTTGATTGTTTAGAGAAAACAAAGCAATCGCCAGAAGCTAATACCTGGAGTCAGCTCCACCCTGGTGAGCGCCATAGATGCTCAATTATGCATTAACACCAAATTTTACTTGTGCCTGATATGGTCACCTTCCTTTCATTGTACCTTTTAATTTCTGAAGAGAAGCGGAGTCAGTCTCAACTTCTTGCCAGCACGATGTGACTATGGGGTGACGTGAGCTGATGATGAATTTCGGCAAGCACTAGGCAGGCAACAATCCCTGGTGCTTCCAGGTGGCACCATCAAGAAACACGAGCTCGTCAGGCTGGAGCGCACTTCTTCATTCGATTGGACCGCGATGTCAGGTCCGATGAACTTCTTTTTGGCTGCCGTGCTGCTGTGCGCGGCCGCGCCACTGTGTCGAGCAGAAATCGACCTCCAGGTGTGGACTCTGCAGCAGTGAGACTGCTTTCCGCGATTCCATGTTGCTTGATCTGTCTTCGGTTGAGGTTCACTATCTATTTAGTAGGGTTAAAGGTCGTTTTGATGCTCCTTGCCAGCCACACAAAGCAACAGCAGGTCCTTTAAGCCGTCTCGGATCATCTGCAGCGATGCCCATAATATATAGCACGAGTAATCGTCCTGGATTTTCTGTGTTTGGTCCTTTTGCACAATGTTGTGGTATCAAAGCAAGCGTACAAGGCTTTCCTGGCCCGTTGCGTGCATGCAAATTGCAAGTGTTGGAAATTAGTAAACCTATATTGGAGCCCAGTGCTTTGCAAGGAGCAGCTGTTGCGATACAGCTTGCGCGTTTTGTGGTTCAAGAATGCAATTTCAAGTGACGTCTTCGTGTATTTGTATCGTTTCCAGGCTTGCCGAGGGCTAGCAAGCTTGTCGTTGCATCCTTTCTAGTTTAGGTGCAGTGGCTGACTAACGCAAGCGACTTGAGTTTGCCAGCTCACTCATCAAGACGTGGCTTTGCTTTGCTGGAGCCCAACACCTTCAAAACACTTTTTGCACCCCTTGATCAAGTATTTAGTAGAGCATCCTGGGCGGGTGCAGACTTACAAGAGCCAGTTGCTTCTGCCAAGCATGCATGCAGGGATCTCAATCTGCTTCTCGGGTGCGCTGCTGCAGGGAACAAACCAGGGTAGAGGGCTGAAGCAGCTGCCACCGCTGCCGATTTCTATACCGCTGCCGCCCTTTTTGACGGGCAACGGTGGCGGCGGTGGCCTACTGGGGGGTCTCCTGGGCGGGGGCCTCCCGGGGCCGCGGCAGCCGCCGTCGCTGCAGACGCAGCCGCGCGCCAACGCGTCGGCCACTGGCGGCTGCACGGCAACATTTGCCGGAGTGCTCGCGAGCCAGCCGGACCTCTTCTTCATCTCCTCGGCCCTGGGAATGAGCGGGTTCCAAAACAGCCTGCCCAGCCCCAGCCTGGGCCTCACCATCTTCGCGCCCAACAACGCCGGCTTCCTCAAGCTACTTGACGAACTGAGTACGCGCCCGCTGCGTGCACTCTTGAAAACTGGAGTTGCCTAACATTTCTGCGTGAAAAGTGAGATTCATGCCAGCAAACACAGGGATGGCTTTACGACAGGAGGATAATTCCAGAAAAGAGGTTAGAGGGCTTACCGGACAAGTTCTAGCCGTGTTGTGTGTTTTCTGGCAGAGAAGTAATTGTGAGAAGTATATCTTAAGCCGTCTGTTGGCTTTTCCATTTACGTGCTTGAGCTGCTGCTGTAATGTATTCGGTAGACCTACGGCCTTGCTGAAGTCACGGCCCCATATTGCATCTGCGCGCTTCAGAATTGTCTGCAACATAGGTTGCTAGCGGCTGATGCGCTGTGCTGGCTCTGTGCTGCACAGACCTGGGCCTGCTGGACCTGCTACAGCTGCAGGACAAGCTGCCGGGACTGCTCCTGTACCACGTCAGCCTGGGGGGCCTCAACGGAGACACCCTGCTGCAGCGGGGCTCCATTGACACTCTCCTCAGCCTGGCCACCGGGGATCCCTACCCCCTCAACTTCTCCGTTGACCCCACAAACGCCCAGCGGGTAAACACCCTTCCTTTCCCTAAGGATGCCTCACAAGTGATTTCCCCTGCTGACAACGTGATCGGCAAGGCTGTGGAACGCGCATCCGTGAGGCAGCCTCTTGTGGGCAGGCAACTGCGCATGCATGCTGGTGTTGGGCACCAGAAAACATATGCTTTGCTCCTATTTGGATCTAGCCATGTTGCTGCTTGTCGCTGAGTGTCTCTTTGCATGCATGCAGCTGGTGGTGTCGACCGTGCACCCGGGTAACCAAGCGCATACACTCAGAGCCATCAAGGTAGAGCCCGCAGCCTCTCAAACTATCCCTTGCATTCCTGCTCCAGTGACACAAGCAGTTATAACGCAGTCCGCTGGCATTGTGCCACTGCAGCATCTTCTTTGAGCCTGTACAGATGGTACCATATTAGGCGCCATACTCTGCGCACACATCTGAATGTTTCGGGTCTGTCAAATTTGGCCGGTTGCCGTTGATGCAGGTGTGCCAGTCGTACATCTACATTGTGGATGAGATTCTGCTGCCCACGCGGAACAACAGCCTCTCCTCTGTTCCTGCAGTGAACACAACTTTCCTGCAGTCGCTCATCGGCGCCGGCAGCAACGCTGCCCCCTCCACTGGCGCCTCCGGCGTTGGCACTATTACAGACCCGGTACATTTCTCACTTTCATTCGGAGGTTGCTGTTGCAAATGAAGGTGCAGGTCGCATGTGCTACAGTCAAGCTTGTTGTGTAGCACCATTGTTGCAGCTTGCATGACTTACATGCATCCATTTCTGTGAGGCAGATGAACGTACAGTCAAAGCAGCATGCAATGCACACCGACGGCATTGAGAGCTGAGGAAGAATGCAAGAAGCTGTTTGATATACTTGATAGTATCTTTACAAAACCATTCACCTAGACGCTGCAACTGGTGCTCACGAGGCGCAATTGTTGCAATCTTACAAAAGTCACCACATCTCTTTTTAAGAGGTGTCATTGTTTGATGTTAGCGGTTGAGTATGCAGCTGCACGTCGCTTCGCAGAGCTGTCAAATCACCAGTTAACAAATTGCAAATGTTGCGCTTAAAACAACAGTCACAGTGATATGTGCTTGTTTAAGTTTGATTGTTTATGGCGGTGGCATAACGCGACTTGCTGAGTGGGACTGCCTGTGGCTGCGCAGAGCTGCCAGACCAGCTTCCTGGCGGCTGCCCAGGCGACGCAGGGGCTGGACTTTTTGGTGCAGGCCATCCAGCGCGGCAACTTGGCCGACGTGTTGCCGGCTGCCGGCTCTGGCGCGACCGTTTTCGCGCCGAACAACGAGGCCTTCACCAACATGCTGCAGACCCTGAGTGCGCATCTTCCCTCTTCACACCCCTGAACCCTGTAATTTTTCTTATCGTGTGTTTTCAGAGTACGTTGTTCAGAAAGTGCTGCAGACCCAATTTCAGAAAAGCACCTTCTTGCTTCCACGTGAGTTGCGCCCTGTTATTGCTTGTGAGCACAAACAGCACAAATCGTGCTGCTGCTTTCATGTCCTGCATAGGTCCCTGTTGTAGGTGCAAATTTCTGCCAAATGGCTGGTTCCCTGAAGCCTGTTACTCTTAGCATCTATGTGAGTTCTTGCCTTGAGGCCTGTGTCTGCTAGCACCCGTGTGTGTTCTTGCCCTGAGGCCTGTGTCTGCTAGTGTCCATGTGCAGTTTGTTTTAACCAAAGCCATATTGCCGTGCCGCGCAGATCTGACCATTGTGGAGGCGCTGAATCTGGGAGACAAGCTTCAGAGCCTGCTGTACTACCACTTCCTGCCCTCCGCCTACACAGGCCCCCAGCTGGCAGACACGCAGACGCTGAATACTGATCTGGGCATCAGCACTGGAACTCCCTACAACCTCTCCTTCGGCCGCGCGCCCGACGGCACGGTGCGGAGTTAAATTGGAATTCAAATTCAAAAAGTGAAATGTAGGAGTTAGGCTTCTTTGCCACATGTAAATGTCTCGGGTGCTCTGTGTCCTGGCGCAGCATCCTTGCTGATACTGTTAATGACCAGGCTCTGATCAGCCATTTGTCAATGAAAAAACTGCCAGATACTCAAGCACGCGATGCTCAGAGGTCCTCGTGTCCAATTGTCACTCATATGCTGTTTGCATGAAATGATCGTTGGGTCCCAATTTCTTGTATGCTGCGCATGGCGTCCTGTGGGTGAACATTTCTCTTCATAAACCTTCAGGAATTTTGATAAGGAGTTGATATATGTGCATAGGTGCAAGTGGCGGGCCAGTACCCGGGCAACATAGCCAACGTCCTCAGCACGACCACCGTCTGCAACTCCATTGTGCACGTGATTGACCAGGTCTGTGGCTGCCTTCTTATCTGCATGTCTTTGCAGCAGTCCCAGAACATATTAACAGATCAACGTCTTGCCAGATGTTGCTACAGCATCTCTTTGCATTTCAACAAGCATTTCTTAGCTCTTGCACTATACTGTCCTGTGAATACTTAGGACCGTAACAGTAATACGCGGAACGCCGCAGCGGCATTGTGATTGAGACAAGTGACTCTCTGCGCTATGTACTGCTTGTTGCACATCAGGGGGGTCCAATTGAATATGTACTTTTGTTCTGTCCTGCAGGTGCTGCTGCCCACAAACTCGCTGGACACAGTCCCCCCTCCGGGCAGCGGGCTGACCGGCGGGCAGCCTGCCGGGCAGCCGGGCATCGGCAGCCTCTTCCCGGGGCTCAGGATCGGCAACAAGCAGACCAAGGCCACCGGCCGGTGCTCCCAGGCCTTCCTTGACGCCGCCAACAAGCAGAACCTCACCTTCCTAGTCCAGGTGTGTTTTCTTGGCCTCTTAAATGGGACAGATGATGTGAGAATGCTTCTCCCTTGGGACAGACAGATATTCCTACGTGTGTTCTTTGGGATCAGCTGTCAAAAGTCCTGGTGACCTCGCTGTATGAGACGAGCTTATAGGGCAAGAGTCCGACCCAGCTTGGAAGCTGCTGTTAATGCAGCACTTTCTGTGGCTTTGTATGAGAGAAACTTTACGGTGTTGGCAAAGAGCGCAATGGGGCCCGGTTTGTCATGAGTCCTGGTCAACATGCCAGTGCAGCTGTTGTTGTGCTCTTTGTCCGGCATTTTGAAGACTCTCTTATACCAGGCCACACAACATCCGCCAAGCTCATATCACGTCTGGATTTGACTCAAGAGTTATACTGTTGTGTATGCTTCGCTTGCAGGCCATCCAGGCCGGGAATCTGACCAACGAGCTGCCGGACTTCGCGGCTCCAAGCACTGCCTTCGCGCCAGTCAACAGCGCCTTCTACAAGATCATCACCGGCACAGGTGCGTGAAATCAAGCACATTACAGAGTCTTCTGGCTGGCCTTAGTAACCACCTCTAGGTGCATGATATGTTCGGGGTATCTTCGTTGAATTATTTTTTCTTCCATTGCACCTGCATTGCAACGGCTTCCGTTCTAGAGATGAACTTCAAGTTTAGAAGAGACCAACAGGGGTATGCAGATTGCACTGTCTGGCAATCTGCTAATACTGCACCTTTAAGCTTCGTGGGGAATGAGATGAATCTAGATGGGACTTTTGGTCTTGTGGTCTTGCACAGACCATGGGCGTCACCTGCGGCTTGTCCGCAGATGCATCTTGCCTTTAGTGCCAGGACCAACAAATGACCAACATCAAGTGATAAATTAGTAAGAAAATTTGTCATGACGCAGATTACGGTTTGGACAAGCTGGCGACAGCTGGCACCAGGCTGAAGAGTGTGCTATTGTACCACATCCACCCCAGCGGCTCGCTCACCCTTGGCCAGCTCAGCGCAGCAGGCAACCTGACTACGGTCCTGGGCCAGGATCTGAATGCCAACTACCCGCTGCAGGCCAGCACTAATACCACCAACGGGGTGAGCAGCCATTCAAATTGTCTGGCACTTCATTTCCAATCAATTTCCTCCTGTCTCCCTTTGCTCTGTACGAGTTTGCCCAGATTCTCTTGTCCCAGTTTCTATAGGGCACTTGCAGGGCTTCACAAGATCGAAGCAGTTCATGCCCTCTGAGTTCCCTTCTATGTGATTTTCTTAGGCCCGTGCGGCGCACAACCTTCTGCCTGGCAGCGGGACGCAGCTTTGTTGCGCACAGCTACAGGCATCAGTACAAGCAGGCTTATCAGCTCAACTGACGCTCCTGCTCCATGCCCCGATGAATCTTGACCTTGAATTTGCCTCTGAAGATATCCTTATTGCGTGCCTGCAGGCTGTCATCAGCGGGCTGTCCCCAGACAACACCGCCAACATCCTGGGCAGCTTCACTGTGTGCAATACCACAGTCTATTTGGTGGACACCGTGCTTCTGCCAGCAGCTACAATTGATGATATCCCCCAGATCAATGTCACCACTGTGACTGCAGCCAGCGCCACAGTTGTGTCCGCACCAGCACTCGCCCCCAAGACAGGTGTGTTCCTCCCCCTCTTATGCATCTTGGGCTGTTCGATGGCGTTTGTACACATGTTACGACAGCAGATATTGCGAGTCTTGTCAGTGAATGTGCAAAGCAAGCTTTGCCAGAAATCGATGCAAAATTTACCAGGTGCACTGGTGCCCGGGTGGACAGTCTGCAGTCCTGATCATTTTTTGCTGTTTTGCCTGGGCCTGTGAACGTTTGTGCGGGCTCTCTTTGACACGGCGAGCCGGCTGCAACCTCAGCGCCTGACAAGGTGCAATGCTGTGTGCAGGCGTCGTGTCCGCGAATTCTCTGCCGGCCACGAGGCAACCGCGCGCGCTGGCTCCCGCCCCAGCCGCTGCCGGGCTGCAGACACTGGCGCAGCCGCCGGCGCGCGCCGCTCGGCCGGCCACCGGTGCCGCCGCGGCTCCCGGCGCTCCCGCGCTCAACGGCGCTGCTTTTGGTGTGGGCTGGTGAGTGAGCTCTGCCCTTCTCGTCCTTTCTGCCTTCTGTAATGCCTTTTAATGTTCTTTGGCTGAGTCTGTGCTGGGCAAGAGTCTCTTCGGGAGATCAGACAGGACACCTACATGCACTGATAGTCACTGATAGTCAGTTGTGGCCCCTGGCCATGCAAAGATTCCTCTCTCCTGATCAGCTGCATGTTTTCTGCCAGGTACACGGGCTGCCCGGTGACATACCAATCCGGGCAATTGAGCGGGCAGGCCACGACTAACAATGCCGGAGCCTTCTCGATCCCCGTCACTGGCGCCACAAACTTCGCCAACGGCCTCATCAGCCTCCCCGCTGACTCACCCAATTGCGTGGATGCACTTACCAAGCTGCCACCGCCTTTCTCTCTTGGAGCACTCGTGCCAGCTGGCAAGGGTGAGAAATCTTTTCCAGTCTTTCCGATTTGAGAATGAATCTTGAGCTCCTTTGATACAATGTGTAATCGGCAGGAGATGCGTGAATGGTATGCAATTCTGACCCCTGATTTTGGCGGCATTTTGGCCTTTCTTCCTAATGAAGATCTAGGATGTAGCGCGCTGTTGCTTCTAAAATCTACCAAAATCTGGGATCCGCCCATTAAAGGATGCCAGCTTGAGGCCAGCTTGAGGAGCAGAGCTTTGCAGAAAATTGCGTAGTATACTCTATGCCAGGATCCAGCTTATACCTGACCAAAAAGTGGAAGGAGACAACTCTGACTGTTCAGTTGCAATCATCCCACAGGCAGCCAAGGCCCACTCGAGCAGCGAATGCGCAGGCTTTGACCGAATTGAGGACGCCTGTTTCAGCTGCAAAGCATCTGCAAATGATCCTTTGTGTTGTACCCGGCTGAACACACCGATTACATGCAAAAGATTCAGGAATCATTCTAAATGTTATATTGTATTGTCCCACAGGCAGCCAGGCGCCCACTCCATCTTTGAACGCGCTCACAACGATCGCGTACTACATCAAGCAGAACGTGGACTCTCCGCAGCTGACCTCAGTGCTTCCCCTCCTGGGCGGCGCTGCATTCACTGCTGACCAGTTGGACGTTCTCCTAGGCGTGGCCTTTGGAGTGTCCAATGCCGGCACCGCCATTCCTTCAACCAACTATGTCAACGGCCTCTTGGTGCGCGCCCATCATTGGCCCCTAATGGCCTCCTTTCTTACCCCTCAAGACCCCTGAAGACCCCTGATTGATTTAGAGTCCCCTGCCCTGAAGATCCCCCAATTGCACGTAACAGTGTGTACTGGTTGCCTTTTGCTTGTGATGTTTGCTCTGGGTGAAAAATCACCTGCATGGCAATGATGATCTGCCTGGGCCTGGGTGTTTCATCTGCATTGCGGGAATGTTTGGCTTTGCTGAGTCTACTGAATTCTGAATGTTGAAATCCTGGATGGGGCCTATCCAACACAAATTTACATGATTTGCGTAGGGGCCCCATCCAATGATTCAGTATGCATGAGTTCCCTGCCAGATGACATTGATCCCATTGGAGGTGAGAAAGGGTTGGCTGCGGAGGCAACGGTGAGCTTGACTTGATGTACATCTGTGTGCTTGATGCAGGGTGGGGACCTGAACGCGATGAAGCTGGAGGTGTTGAATGCTGAGCTGCTGAGCTCGCTCGCCATCGGCGCCCAGGTGCTCATCGCCCTGCGCCCCAACGGGCAGCAGCTCACCGTCGATCAGGTGAGCGTGCTATCTGCTGCTGCATCAATTTCGATTGCATCAAATTTTCTGCAGCTGTTGGCTTAGAAGTCTCCGTTAGTTTTTGAGGTCAGAAGACGCCTTCGATAGTGATTTGAGGTCAGAAGACAACAATGGAGATAAGGATGCAGTGAGATAAGGATGCAGTGCTCGGTCAGTGAATGGTGTGTCTGCAACCTGCTCGGCTACCATGTCTCTGTCATACGCTGCTTTACTTGCCAAGGCTCACGACGAGAAGCCGAGCAGCTCAATTGGCAATCAAAGCATCATGGATGGCGGTTATGTGCTGTGCTCCTTCATCTGCCTTTGATGTACTGCTATCAAGTTTGTATCGATTCCCTGGTATCTACTGTATCAAATGTCCTATTGCCTGAGTCTCCGGATCCTTGTGTTCCCTGCAGGCAGTCCAGGCGCTGTATCTCTCCACTCTTCCGGTGGGAGTCAGCGCAGTGACAGGCGGCGGCTCGTTCTCCCTGACATCAGCCGACGTCCTCTCCAAGACTTTTGACTCCGCGATCGCTAGCTTCAACACCCCGGCCCCGGCTGCTGCGGCCGGCACCGGCGGCGGTGCCGGCGGCCGGCGATTGGCGCAGGCCACCTCGGCCGCCCCTGCGCCCTCCCTGGTGCGTGCACTCTTGTACTTCTGAAGGTCTCAGCATCTGCACTTTCATGCTGTGCTGTATGTTGGATTATATTTTTATTTTAGGGTTTAGGGTTTACCTAACTTGTGTTGGTTTCCTTAGCAACCGTAAATTGGAACGGTCACGCGTTGCCATGCAACCTCGGAATAGGGGCTCTTGCGGCCGTCAGCACCTTGCAAAGGTCTGCATTGTGCAGCCAGGCTATTAGCTTTCGCGACTGTATACGAGCTTCTCATTCTTTCAAATATCGAAATGCTGTGCCCAGAAAACTTCTAGGCAATGCCTGATATCTGCATAGCATTTCAGACTTAGTTTCTTACTTGTTTTCCCACAGACCGCGGACCCGAGGATCCAGGCGGTTGGCACCACAACGGGCCAGCTCAACACAAAGCTGGAGGCGATCTCCACCAACTTTGCATCGGGTGCTGTCGACGGGAACACCGCTCTGAGCCAGATTGCGACAATCGTGAAAGTGGCTCAGTCGCAGATCGCACCAGCTGTCGCGCAGCTTCTGGGGGCCAGCCCCACGCTGACTGTGCAGGCCTTCCAGCAGGCTTACACTGGCAACGCCCTCAGCCGCCTCGTCGCCGCCTGAGCGCTGCGGCTGCACTGTGCATTTCAGCCCTTACACAGGGTCTGACCGTCATGACACCGTAATTTACACCGTAATGACGTGAGACCGCAATGACCGTCAACCGTAAGGCCCACAGCCCTAGCTGCACATGATGCAGTTTGTCGCTATCTGTCATGGAGCAGTGGCTGCATGTGATGCAGTGGATGCGCTGAGTGATGATCACTCACGATGAGCGTTCAGCGGTGACTGCATGTGGACATTTGAAGCCCTGCATGGGATGCCTGTCCTAATGTTCAGGCAGCCTGATGTTCCCAGAGAGAGGGCGTTGCCTCTCAGTGGCCTCTTCTAGATCCCAGCTTATTCCAGTCAGGCAAAGAAGAGGGGTGTGCAGTAGCAAAAGATTACTAACGAGTGTGAGGTTGAGTCTAAATGCTGTACTCAAGAACCATCAACTCCCAATTGTTCAGGGGAGGAACTCAAGACAAGCTGTGCCATTGAATCCCACCAGTTCTGGTTTCTTTGTGTTTTAAGAACCCGTTGTCAGCGCCAAAAATTCATTTGAATGGTCCCTTGTTTTTTTTGCTATAGGTATGCTTGAAGAGTATGGGCTCGCTGGTCAGTGCATGTTGCAATCAATCAAGAAGAAGCAGGCTTTTTACCTCTCACAGAGTGTGCGGCTTGAGTTATAACTAACTAATTAGTGCAGAAGTAATCTACACAATCTGAAATGATATATCTGTAAGGATAAGTGACATCAATTCAAAAGCAGAGGACTGAATTGGGTATGCATCCAAATGAAGCAGGAATTACAATATAGCTCTCAGTAACCTTTTGTGAAAACTTGTTTAAAATTACCAGTGCATGACACCCTTGATCATGACACACCCTATCATCAGTACTTACACGTCAACACTTAATCATCTGGGCAAACACGGCATTCATCACAGATCTGCTGTTCGGGTTCTTTCTCAGTCCTTGGAGCCATGTAATCTCTTTCTGCTCAGGGATCTCCGACAACATGCAGCAGGATTGAATCAGTCTCCATATATGCACTTCATGCTCGCCTTGCCACCAGCTTACAGGATTCATTTCTCTCTAGTCCTCCAAGTCAGATACGCTGTCCTGGCAGACGGCGTCTCGGTCCGGTCTTGATGACCGCCAGATGGTCAGTCAGGATCCAGGGGAAGCTGATGAGCCGCGCATCGAGCTCCCTGGTGCTCAGCGCTGCAGCCGGCCCGTAGCCGCTGTATGCCGGTGAGTAGGTCACATGATACCAAGCGCATGCTTTCTGCAGTGCGCGGCGCGATCTGGCCGCCAGTGGGCCGGGGAACTCTGCCCTGTTCTGCTCCTCAAATTCCCTGCAAGCAACCCTCAACCGTCAAGAGTCCTCATTTCTTATAGAGATGCCTCACAAAATTCCACACAAACCCCTGCAGGCCTAGCTATTCTTGGGGTCAGGAAGTCACATCAATCCAAGCGCGGTCAAGGCTGACACTATTTCCTGTGCCAGTCTTGGCACATGCTCAGATTGAGATGAAGCCTACAGTCCAGCTAGCACAGATGGGCTGTATCACCTGAATGCGCAATCATAACAGATCTTGTACAGCAAGAGCCTGCCCATCGAATCAAGGCAGACTTGATAGGGAGCCGAGGCAGAGCGCCAGTAATCTGCATGCTGCAGAATGATATAAACTGCATCGTGCATAACCATGCATCAGAGAGTACCGCGCTGCTCTCAACTTTGTGGCCTAGAACCCAACATCTATCAGGTGCCTCATGCCACTTCAGGCAAAGGCACAGAATGGCTCGATGCAGAGGGAGAGAATCACACACCTCAGGACCTTCTTGCGCAGGGCGCGCACAGCGTCGATGATCATGGTCTTCACGTCGCCCTTCTTGCGCCGGTGCTTGGCGAACTTTGAGATGCATCCGCTCACAATCTCGGCCTCATTGTGCACACCGTACTGGTTCATTATCTGGACCAGAGCGTGCTCGTACCGCGTCCGCGCCTCCTGTGCATGAGAGCATGAGTTTTTGCACCCGGGTGACATGGAGAGCTTGCATGTCTGTCAAGCTGAAGCAAGGAGAAGCATCTTCTGAGGACGGGCTGCCCTGTCACATGGCTGCAGTGGGCTTAAAGTCCTTCTGCGGCAAAATCTGCCATGCAGCATCAGGTGCAAGATGCAAATCGGTCACATGAATGTTCAAGTGCAAAGATGAAGTGTGCGCTCAATGCGAGTGAAATATGAGGGAGCACAGAGCACATTTGGCTGGACAACTCCACGCACCTGGGCTGCTGGGATGAACTGCTGAAAGCCCTCCACCATGATGTCTGGGTCCGGTTGCTCCAGCAAACTCTGTGATGGCACCCATCACGCATTCTTTAAGAAGCTTGTGTTGGTCTCGACATGCATGTTTATGTTCATCTTCATCATTGCGGTACGTTCAGCAGACAACGGCAGTCTGGAAGCAGGCTCAAGGGTACACAGGTAAGTTTTTTCGCCACCTGGTACCCTGAGCATTGCTTCAGACTGCTCAGGCCTGGGCCATACTGTAGCAATGCACAAGGGAGCATGCCACAAACATGCTATTACGGAACGACAGCTTCAGTGCCATTGCATATGGCATGCCAGCCAACTTCTTGACAAAGTAGCAAAATGTCCTGCCGGCTCGAGGGGTCCAGAGAGGAGGCGAGGATTCCAAGGTGACACAACTTTTGTCGTGCTAGCTTGGGACCAAGCTACCTCAGTGAAGACCGCTCAGTCCTGGGACGTCACTGGATCTATGTGACGCACTGAGGGTCGCTTTGCCACTTCTGCCTCAATTTGGGAGGACTTCAGCCTCAGAATCTTTTAAGTGCCCACGTATTGGTAGCATTACATCACTATGCGCTCACAAGGCACCGGCTGGCTGGGGTCAGTGCTAGATATCTCTACCGCCCCCAGCCAGATGGTCACCGCACGCAACAGGCGCCTGTGTGACCCCATCGAGGACTGGGCGTACTCACTGTGGAGCCACACAGAGGGCTCTAAGGGCCTCACGGGGATCTTTCTGCGAGAGGTATGTCTGGCTGGTGGGGGTCGCAAATGGCTGGCCCCACTAGCCAGACATACCTCTCGCATACAGATCCCCGTGAGGCCCTTAGAGCCCTCTGTGTGGCTCCACAGTCAGTACCCAGTCCTCAATGGGGTCACTGCGGCACCTGTTGCGTGCGGCGACTATCACGCACCTTGCCTTAAAAAAATATGGCAGGAAAAGCGTGAAAGAATCAGGACAATAATTATGCAAAGCCTGCCTGAGAGCACTTTAGCTTGAGCTCCTCAAAAAGATGCCTGCCAATGGTCACCAGAGGATCATGCTCTCACCGTCTCGCTGGCAATGTCGGACAGCAGAGGCGGCGTTGGCACAGTGATGGCTCTGAAGAGCTGTCCGATGATGGTGCTGCTTTCATGCGTCTCCTTGTTCTTTTTCATCATGAAATCTGGATAGCTGAGCGGGCGCAGGTCCCTGCTGAACTCCGCCGGCCGGCCGCTCTTTGTGAAGTCGACCGCGTTCGAGTGCAGGCGAGCCAGCTGCAGGCACTGCGAGCACTGAGCGCCCTGCACAGAAAGATACCTCGGGGTCAGTGCATCTGCGCCTGAAAGCATTACATTCTGAACTGGACTGTCTGGGGCCTCTGTGCAATTGGGGTGTGTTGCAGTCTGCATGCGGGCAAAGTTGATAATTAGGTGCAGGCATTATGGCGTCATGTTCAAATCTGCACACTGTGTAACTTAATGCGGCCATGGCTGGTCTTGCAGTCTGCATGCGCACGTAGAAAACCAAGGCCGGTGCTTCTCACCAGGCAGCGGCTGCGCTTGGCTTTGGAGGAAAATTGCGTGCAAAGGGGCCACATCTCCAAGCATGCATCAAGGAAAACAAACAGGCACAAAAGGCACAGCGTCCTCCCTTTACAGTAGATAGCTATCTGAACTATCAAATGGCAGACGCTATTAAAGTCAGGCAGGCGGTGTGCGCACGTCTGGCTTGATGTCGGCTGTAGCGAGGTGTGCATTCGCGATGATGCCGAGCAGATCATTGAAGATGTAGTCCATGAAGAACTGCGCCACGTCACCCACCTCCACCTTCTCCTGTGCAATCAAATGTCAGGTCAGCACAAAGTTGGCATTTTGCGTCCCAAAGGAAGTCGTGGTAGTGCAAGTCGATGATATCATCTGGAAGGGTGGCGGTAAACCTAGGCACCATTCAACGGCTCAAAGCATGATACCGATTCAGCCAAGCCTTGAAGCAGTGGGGGGATGCCCAGGTTCACAGACACTTTGCTCCATGGAGCAAAAACACGAGACTTGAGTATGGATGCGCCGGTGTGACTTGCCTCTAGACAGGAGAAGCGTGGAATATTGATACAGTAACAATAATAGAAATGAAGAAAACGAGGCTTGCCTGGCCTTCAGGGATGAGCACGGGGTCCTGGGAGTGAAAACTCATGGGCTCTCGGTTGGGCCCTGGGAAGAGCAGGCCGGGCTCCCAGGAAACAAAGTATTGGTCTCCGTCAAGGTCAGAGCCGGAGCACTCGTCCGGGTGGGGGCGTTGTCCTTTCTGGGGGAAGACCAGGCAGTTCACCAGATGGTGTAATTCTTCACGGTCCACCGCCTGCGCATGCATGAATAGGTGTTTTTATGGAAGTCACCTGAATGCAAAATTTCAGTGGAAATCTCCCTGCAATGAGACAATGGAAGCCACTGCAAAAGCCAGCAATACTCCGTGAAAGGGCAAAGTGACCATATGAGATAATTTGCACATCGTTATGCTGTCCTGCATCCTGATAAGACGTTTTTGCATGTGGGTGGCAACCTGAGAAAATGACTAGCCCATACAGAGGGCTGGCGACATGCGTTTCCATGACACCTAGCCTCCTGGCTGGCACTGCGTCTATTATTCATGCAAATCATCAACGTCTGCATGTGCCGGGACAGCCGGGGCCTTGCGGGTGACACTATTCACCATTCTTGCAGCGGGCCGGGTGAATTTAATGGACAGACACTGTCACCCAATCGGAACAGTCTGACCGAGCAAACGCAGGAGGCATGAGTTCTCTGGGACAGAGCCCTTGGCTGCCGTGCGGGTTCTCCAATAATTGCTCAAAACCCCAACCAATTGAGCAAGTGTAAGGCTCTGTTGAGGCTGTGATCCCCCCATCAAAAGCAAGAGGACAAGCATAGAAGTTTCTCGCACAGATCTGGGATAGTAAACCTGATCCTCGAAGTAGCAGGTTATTTATATTATTACACCGTTTTCCTGCCAAGAAGCAAGGTGCGTCCTGTAGACAAGCTGCAGTCAAAGGATGCCACAATCCTACCCCTTGTTGGACTCGCCAGTTCCAAGCGAGACCCAATCAACCGTGGGCACGGTGCTCAGTAATTATACCGCCCCCTGCCAGCCGGGGCCAAAATAAGATAGCAATCAATCTTGTTCCTGCCCCTGGCACCAGGGGAGCGAAACAAGGGGCGCGCCTGAAATTTGCGCACGTCCCCTGGATGGAAGCAGGGATTTTTGGCGACGACGACGGTGCCGGTCACTATCGCCGGCAGCGCCATGGTTGGCAAGCTGTTGACGCTCAGAAATACCTACATTTGAATCAAACCTTCAGACAGTAAATTCAAATGCATTGGTGTACTGCTTGGTTACAGTTCACCCCTACCAAGTCCAGTGGGTTACTGCATGCCTTTGTCCCGTGTACACTATCATTGGTAGCTATGGAACCACAGAGGACATTTGGATCCCTCTGGTCTTTGTATCCAAGGGGCGACGTCTGAGTTGGGGCAACCAGTCGGAGCATGCATTGTTGGGGGTTCGAAGAACAGCCCTGGTTCAGTTGGAATATTGTGAGCCTCAGAGCGCTATCCTTCAGTGAGCAAGTGATTGAATTTAAGTGTGGTGTGCGCACCTGGCCGGGCTCGAGAACCCCTTCCTCGTCCATGACTCCCATCAGCAAAGCTGCCTTGGGCACGCGCACGCGTGTCTTGGCCTTCAGGTCCTGCAATCACAGACGCCGTCACTTTTGTGCTCTGGAATTACGCACACTCAAGAGCATCGCAAGCAAACATTTCCCGCCCGTTATCACATCCCGCACGCCCAAGCTGCTACTACTCCTATCAATTTCACACCAGGTGGCCCCCAATACTGTCATGCATACTGAAGTGTCCTCTATCTAGCGTTGCAGAGGTGTCTGGATAATCAAAAGCGTCTTGCATCGGTCTGCTGACTCATGACCATGTGTTGATGTTATTTGCATCATGTGATGTCATCAAACAGGTCTCTGAAATGCAACAATAATAATACTAATTAATGAGTGGCTGTTTTACCTGCAGCAGGTGGGCACGCAGGCAGAGCAGGATGCTCTTCAGGTAGGGCTCCGTGCCCACGTCAAAGCCCGCCCTGATGATGTGCGCTGCCTCCAGCATTATCGCCGCATCACCCCCTGTGTGCACAAGTCTTTCTCCCATTTAGGCTTACAAATGGTGAGTGCTGATCAGCGCCTGCCTCAAGACACAGGAAGTTTGGATCAGTCTCATCACTGGAACCCACTGACCTGCTCAGCTCACTGCGGATGAGTCATCAACGCCTGCCTTTTTATCAAGAGGTGCTCCCTGATCGATAAGAGTCACTGCCTCGCCCAGATGATAATGGCGCTGATTAGCCTCTTGTGGGATCTGCCACTCTCGGTCGGAACCCCTAGTACATAAAAACAGTGGATTTTCGGGCCTGAAAGAAGTGCGCCAGAGAATAGGGGATCCGTACCCCCGTATTCCCTGAGCACCTTCAGCGCGATGTGCGGATCATAGAGCATGCCATCCAGATCCTGCAGCATGTCATCCTGCGCGCATGACACAGTCCACGCTGAATGGCTGAGACCAAAAGATGGCCCTGACATTGGTGGAGGCACTGTGGACATGTTCCCTTCAATATCTTGATTTAGGTGACTCGGGCAGGACAATCTAGCAAGTTGTAAATGTTCAACAGTGCAACCAGCAAGAAATGCCCAGATGGATATGATGTGTAGCGGCTCATTGAGGGACACTTGTGTGTGAGTCACTGCGCATCATTACCCTTCCAAGACTTTACTTGCAGGCTCAGCACCCAGATATGTGTAATTTATACCTCATGCCGATGTGTGTGTTCCTATGGTAGCGGATCATACTGGCAAAGATGCTGCCAAGAATGCCCCACGTACATCTCAGCTGCCGCCCTTATAGCCCAGTGGATTACAAAAATGGCAGACGTCTTTGAATAATTTCCCACCCTTATGCTTCCGCCCAGGGGACTGTGTTGGGCAGAGAATCTTCTCCTGCGGGGGGTCTCTAAAGGAACAAACTTTGTTTGGGGTTGCGTGCCAGAAGTACTGAGCATGCCAGCAGAATGCCAAGGGGGAAATAGAGAGCAAGGGCCTTAGAATGCAAAAGAATGGATGACTCGCAAGCTACTACTCGGTCCTTAAGGACCCAGATGACACAGCATTGCCCTCCAGTAATTGGGCACCATTGACACTTGATGAGATTGAGACAGAAGCATCGGAGTTGGCCAGACTTATTCAGGTTGAAGAGGGCGGTGCGCGCCTGCAGACGCTGGAAGACCGAGTTGGGGACGCCGAGGCACTTTTGCATGAGGAGGGTGACGATCTGGCGATTGAGGTAGCCCGGCACGTAGCGCGCGTAGTCGCAGATCTCCAGCATCTGAGCGCTGGCCTCGAACTTGTTCATGCTTGGCCGCACCTCAAACCTGCGCACCGCGCCACAGCCCCTTGAGTGTAGCCTCTACTGAGAAAATGCAAACAATCATGCACAGCCTGACAGGCTCCTCCGAATTTATTAGGTCACGATGGGTGCACAAGTTGCACATGACAAAGCAATGGGATTCTGCGCTGCTGCCCACTGGATTAATGGACCTGGCAAAGAAGGGTAGAGTTGCGACGTCATCTGGCATGTGTCCAACTAACACTTACCCGTCTTGTCAGTGCCGCAGATGCATGGAAAAAGTCACATGCAGAAAAACGATCCCACAGAAGTCTGTCCCTGGGTGATGCCCAGGCTGCATGTCCTGTGCAGAACCGTCATACAACATTCTTCTCTGGCCAAGAGCATGCAATTATAAGGAAATAAACTCTCCCCAAATAGTGGTTCCTTCGGAAGAGACAGATTGGAGGAGCTAAAACCTTTTGCCGCCGCCAGGTGCAGAGACACCATGGCAATGCTGCCGGCATAGCGCGTTTGGTACACACAGTGCAGCAGCCAGTAAGGCAGCTGCTCTTAGCTTGCTGATGAGAAGGAAGGTCCGAAATCCACAGACAGCCAATGTTGCCTAGCTAGGAGAGAGCCGAGAGAGCGCACTTCTTGCCGTGCAGGCCCAAATGTAGTGACACCATGCCCTGGCAGCCGGCGCAACTGGATCTTATGCGCAAGCTGCAGCCAGCTGGCCAGACACCAATTCTGGATAGTGCTTTTTCTGACATGCACATCACTGGACCATGCTGTCTAGCAAAAAGAAAGCGCACTTATTGCCGCGCGCAGCCCCATGTGCAGAGACACCATCCCTTTGCAGCCGGCGTAGCGGATCTAGTAAGCGCGCGGCAGCCACCTGGCCGGGCTTCAACCTTCTCATTTAACTTGCTGCTTTGACATGCCCAAAACTGCACCCATGCCGTCTAATGAGCATAGCCGCACCGTTTGCCACGGAGCCCCATGTGCAGAGACACCATCCCCTTGCAGCCGGCGTAGCGGATCTGGTACGCGCGCGGCAGCCAGCCGGCCGGGCAGCGTCCCAGCTGCTCCAGCCGGTCGGCCACCGCGCGGCTGAGCTCCACTGAGATGCGGCCGACGCCGTCCGAGAAGCAGTAGCCGTTGCGCTCCACGTCCGGCACCGTCTGCACCGTGTACGCCTGCGCGCATGTTGTGCCATCGACGCGCCCAGTGCATTGAAGCAAGCTCTTGCTGTAAGGCCAGCCACATTCACATCCCATGGAGATGATTTATGGATGCTGCTTTGCATCGTGATCAAAGGAGCGGATGGCTTTCAGGCCAAGAACAAGGCTTGATGCCTGCCTGTTTGATTTCTGGCCACACAACACACATGAGCAATGCAGATCACAAATACTGTGTCAGCATGCAACCTTCCCAAACTCAACCCTACACACAGGCTCAGAAGGTAAGGAATGCAGGGTACCGGCCCATGGAATGACATAATGGCATGCCAGGATGGCATGCCAGCACACAGCAGTTCCTCATTTTCAAGGGTATAGAATACCGACAAATATGTAAAGATAGCTTCCACGTCTTCAGCACCTATCTGCTCCACTTTGAGCTTATAGAAAGGCTGTGTGGTGATGACCATCGAGGGCATAGAGGCTTCCTTTGCGCGGGTGCAAATATGAATCACAGCCCACCCTACCCACCCTGACTGCCTGCTTTGCAAGTAACCTGAACCGCCCCATGGCAGACAGCAGAAAGAATTGTTGGAAAGTGGTAGCTGGGAGCATCAGTGGGACATTGGCTGAGGGTGCAAGATGGCATTTCAGCACACAGCATTTCCTCAAGCGTCACAATGGCACATGTACGCACTGGCTGACATGGAAGGTAGCTTCCTTGTCTGTTGGCATATATGTTCACGTCGGATGTGCCCTGACGAAAGGCCGTCAGCTCATGACCTGCAAGGCTCCTAAAACTCTTTTTCCCATGTGCCAAAAGAGGCCATAGCGCATCAAACACTAGTAGCGGTAAACTATCTTGACTGCCTACACTGGAAGGCCCCAAAGCAGACAAAAAAAGAAAAAACGCACCACAAAATAGTGAGATGACGCGGGCTCGAACCTGCAACTTGAGGGTGTCAACGGTGGAGGAGAAGCACTGCCCCATGCGCGCGGTGAACTTGGCGACGCAGCGGATGGCGTCAAAATCGCCCATCCATGCGCGGATGTCTGCCGCAGTAGGGCCGCTGTCAGGCGCAGCCCAGAACCAGGCCGACTGCTCCCTCACCTGCGTGCCATTCCCAGGGGTCCATGTTACTATCATCATTACACACTTTTCCTATCAAAGGACTGGTGCGTAGGCAGACAACTTGTCTGGGAGCTGCTCGAAGCTACAGGTAAAGGCAGCCAGATCCTACACTTTGTTTGCCTCGCCAGATCCAAGCAAGACTCAATCAAACGTGGGCACGGTACTCAGTACTTACACCGGCCCCCGCTAGTCGGGACATCCGTCTAAAATGCAGCATGGCAATGGCAGCAATGCTATGTATGTTCGAGTCATATTTGCGCTACAAGTTCGAACCACAAACACAAAACCTGGTCCATTTTGTAAGTGCTCCGAGCATGACGTCAGATGCCAACGCTGAACATGCTAGCACCAACTAGTGGCGAATGCTGGCAATCACACTTTTGAAGTGTGATCATAGTACCAACATTTGCAGGGCGAGCAGCAGGCGCCATGCCCTAGCAACTGAAGGTCAAACTCTGTTGAAGTTTGAGCTCTGGTGATTTGGGCCTTCACCTGGCCTGATGAGAACGCAAGCAGGTCAAAATGGCGGTCGGCAAGTTCCAAGCCATCCTTCAGGATGCCTTCCATCCTGCACCCCATAACACCCCTTTGCGTTGGATCTCTGTTAATTTTGAGAGCTACAATTTTGCAAACAAGATTTTTTTCAGTCTGTGGTGCCCAATTATCCTGATCCTCCCAGCATTCTGACTTTGCAGCGCTGCTAGCAGCATGGAGACATCAGGGGCGATCATAAACAAAAGTACCCCTCCATCAAAAGATAGAACACCCCTTCCACGAAGCACATCCAGCAGCAAAACAAACAGGGCAAGCAGCTGAAGGAACATTCTCAATCTCCCAAGCGGCACTAGGCCAGCGCTGCAGGCAGCCTGGAAAATATGAAGCACATTATAAAGCAGAAGCAATTAAAGAGACATTGTACATTCTACAATGCCCACCTGTCCATGTAGTCTTCCAGGCGAGGGATGTCATTGGCAAAGCAGAGGCGGCCGCCGTTCTCCTCGCAGAAAGTCACGCGCAGGAAGCGGTCCGAGTATTGGCGGTGGTGGCGGATTACGCGATTTGACAGCTCCACCTGCACACAGCAAACTCAGAGGTCAAACTTCTACGAAAGAACAGACTGCACAATGATGTGACTTCTAAGTTATGCGAGTAACCCCGAGATGTGATGCTTTGATGCTGTCCTGAGCATTGCAGGAAGTGCGCAAGTCAAGATGAGGTGACCAATCGCACACCATCTTGAACATCTATGCCATGAAGTGACCTGCTGCTCATGCGCCCGGGCCATGACAAGGCACACATTCAGAATAGCGCTCTGCTGGATTTCTGCTAGCGTGCAGGCAATCTGACACCAACTCTGGTACCCCCATACACCCTGCAATGCTGCTGGTAGCTCGCGTACAGAGGCAGTTTTATGTGTCTGAGAAACATCTGAGACACATGGATATGCCTTGGTACGGGAGCTACCAGCTGCAGGCGGCTTGTCTTGCCTACATCATGATGGAATGCTACAGGACGTAGCGCAGACATGAAATCCAGGTCCCAGTGATTCTTTGAGGTTCCATTTTGGAGGGAATTTGCCTCTGGCGCCAGGCAGACGATGCGCGTGGGCGTGACCAAAACACGCGCAATCAGCATCCCATACTCCGGCACAAACCTGCGCGCACCCCAAAACCCTACTGTTCAGGACCCTTGCTTATTATTATGGTTCCTGCACGGTCCTTTTGAAGGCTTACAGTTGGAAACTGCATTCCCTCGTATTCTCTAAGGCTGATTGAACTAGGACGGTGCATCCCACATAGCTTGTGCTGCAGGCCTATTCCACAGCCTGCAATAAAGTATTTTATGTTTGCCTGAGATTTTACAGATTAAATTCGTCTGATCCCTACTTCACCTTCCAGCCGCGCAGGGTATTGTCTCCCACATACTTTTGAGGATGGTAGAAAATGCCCTACTCTGCATGAAGGTGAAGCAGGAGTACCCAAAATCCGTGTTGAACATTTCAGTCTATAAGTTTTGAGCCAGATCAGGCTCATCCTGTGCATCAACATACACCTGGCAAAAGGCTGCATGCAGGACTGCCAGACACCTTATACAAAAACAGGAGGCTGCATTGCTTTCATGAGGGCTGGCTAGATAGCGCGCCTTTCGATGGGTTGTTTGGCCTGAAACATCTCCAGCAGAGGCTGGCAGTACACCATGAACGCCCTCTCCAAAATTGGCACGCGGATTTTGGCCGCCAAAACCAGCGCCAAAGCTTCCACAGCCACCACCTTCGCATTCAAATTCAAAATCTCAAATCTCAAACCCAAGTGCAAATTCAAATTCATGAAATTTGTTTGGGGGAGCGGCACTTCATGACTACAGGAGCGAGAATGAAATGCGAGTCTTGCTGCAGCAAACCATCTGCAAACATTTGAGAGGCACATCATAAGAATTCAAGGGAATTGTAGCATTTTATGACTGCAGAAACATCATTGGAGAGCGAGTCATTCTGCATGCAAGCAAGTGCCGAAACTTGCCCGACAGATAATAAGCACTGAAAGAAATTGCGGGGCTTCGAATAGCAGAAATAACATGGAAAGAGCAGGACTGAAGCTGTGAGGATGTAAAAGGTGGGGACCTCGGGGGTGTGCTTGGGCAGCAGGCGGGTGCAGAAGCCGATATCCAGCTGCGCGTCGCTGACGTGGCCCTGACTCAGCAGACAGTCCAGGTAGTAGCGCACCTGCGCGCAACACCAACCTCTTGCTTGGGGCAAACATACTATGAGTGGTGTTGCTGCAAGTGCCCTAGATTATTAGGTTCTTCGAATGGAGTCGCCCCGCTGTCCTGATGGTGGTTGACATTGCCTCTGCCGTACCTGTGTTATCACACGCTTTTCCGGCCGAAGGCAAGGTGCGTCTGCAGACAAGCTGCATGTAAAGGCTGCCAAATTCCTACCCCTTGTTGGACTCGCTAGGTCCAAGTAAGACCCAATCAACCGTGTGCACGGTGCTCAGTATTTGTACCGCCCCCCGCCAGCCGGTACCCGTGTGGGGTCAGATATATTATATCATATATATGAGAGAGGGGACCTCGGCCGGTATTGACAGCAACAGTGCAACAGCGCTCAAAGGTGCCCTCAATGGGAGCTGTCAGGGACAACTATAGTATCTTAAGCGGGTTTTGTGCTCTTGGTATCATTGAAAACCTTTAATCAATCGCCAGAAGAAGCTGCGTGGAGGTATCAAATACCGACGTGGTGCATCTACTCAGGTGTGCTCTGGCACTGAAACCAGTCCTAGTACATTATTAGCATTATCATACTCTCAATTGATTTGATCTCTAATCATTATTCTTATCAGCATGCCACGTGAAATTTTCCACAAGTTGAGAGGTAGCCATGCTGCACTGCGACGAGGGTCATTACTAATCTTCAGTAAACTTTGACTAATCTACGGTGGCAAACTTGCCTGGAAGGGAACGCCTCCTAGCAGGTACTCGGAGAGGTAGTCGCGCCGCGGCGCGGGGGTGACTGCACAGACGTCCCAGTCCTCGTCATCGGAGAGTATCCTGCACTGCCGCAGGCGATCCAGCAGGTGCCGCCTGCTTCCGCCCGGCTTCATGTCCTCGTCCGGACAGTCCAGCACCAGCCTGCGCACAACATTTTGTTAATATTAGTGATGATTACCGGTGTCGCATGCTGTTCTTGGCCTCCTGGGGTTGGGTTTGACCAGGAAGAAAACATTAGATGGTAGCTATAGTGGCAAGCTCTGAGCTGCAGCCTGCATGTGGTTCTCCTATCCCGTGGAAAGGTTTAACAAAAGTAGCATACCCACAGAGGCCCATTTCCACTTTCAAACTCCAGTGCTGTGAGACGCTTCGGCTGCAATTAGGCGTCTTTTAGCTCCAATTCACAGCTGTACTTATTGTGAGGATTAATTCTCGGCCCAATCAAAACCCAGGTTGGGGACGACCGTGAACCAGAGCTTCCTCCGCAGGCTTTGAGAGGGCCTCTACTACAATTCTGACCACCACATTCAAGCCCCACAGATAGGAGGCCATACCGCACTGCGGCTCTGACCGCAATCCAACAGCTGCAATGAAGCTTCTGTGTGTTCATCAGCTGACTCTGCAGGATTACAGCACCTGTAGGCGAAGCTGCGGCCGAAAGCGGCCTGCGGAGTGAAGTCGGTGGTGCGCAGCCAATCCAGGCCCTCCTTGACGCTGTAGTAATTCCGGACGCGCCCCCTGGACCCTCCAAGGGAATAACCGCCCCGGTCCCTCCTAGGGTCAAGCCGGTAGATACGCGGCGGCACTTTCACCGGGATCACAAGCGCTGCGTTCTGCGTGTCCGCGTCCGTGTGCAGCAGCGCTCGGCCGGCAATCTCCTTCAGCCGCAGCTGCAGGATACACACGGAGAGCTTGATTTTCTTTTTCTTTCAAGGGCAGGCATTTCTGAGAGGGGACCACCATATGATGAAGGCCGTGCTGAGTCACTAGTAATTTGGCTGCGTCATGCATCCACATCGTTACTGCCATCCAACAGGAAACAAAGGGGGGACTTTGTACAACGCGGAGAGAAGCTTGCATATTGCAAGCTGCAGTTCTAGTGCTGTCAGATTTGTTTTGCAGCGCCATCATCAGCACACATTGGAGACTTGGGTGAAAGGCCTGAGGAGTATGACTACACTAGCATGCGTCTTTGTGGCAGCGCATGACCACTTGCATTGTTGCATTGATGCATGCACAGCTCAGGCGGAGGGGATAAGCGCACCTCGACCCGATACAGCTGGCTGACATGTTCAAATTCAAATATGATCACCCGGCCGCGCATGTCAACCTGCATGGCCACCGGCAGCTTCTGCACGACCGCAAACTTGTGCCCGCTGCCCACAAGATTGCCCATCTCCAGCTGGACAGCTGTAAATAGCAGGCCTTGGATCTTGTCCCGGCCGATGCGCTTCGGCCTGTCTTCGGATATCCTGCATGCATGCGCGCGCATACCCTCTGTCACATGCCAGCACATGCCCAGCCTCGATCCTAGGCACGACTCAACATCACTTGATTACCGCTGACAATCGTGCCCTTCCTTCGGCAAGTGGCAGCTGCATGCAATAACTTTGCCATGCATGCGCAATCGCAGTTGCAACCAGCCAGTCAGGAAAGCCCGATGGTCTTCCAGAGTCAAAGAGGGAAGTTGCAGGGTGCAAGCCCCTTCCTCAGGCTCAAGAACACCATCGGGGAATTCCTGGGCATCTCATCTCAGCCCTTGGTCTTTGCCAACCGGCGCAAGACATATCAAGCAAGATCTGTGCATTTGGTGACTCGTTTTGCGCGGATGTATGCATTTCTTCTTCTTATTCTTGGAACACGACACCCTCATGCTGGAAAGACATACCATAGATGGAACCTGCAGCAGATGTCATTTGGGGCAGGCAGCTCGCGCACTACGTTGCCCTCATAGCCCAAGCTGCTGTCCAGCAGTCTCCTGGCGGCACCCCGTAAGGCAAAATGGACCTTGCCCACCCCCCTGCACCCCCATGCATGCCATTAAAATCACTCAACAGCTGTCACACATGCATTGCATGCCCCCTTCAGAACGTGCTCCCAAAGAGATCTTCTCAACATGACTGTAAGGGCTGCCGATATTCCTCTTGGACCCATAAGTTTCATTAGCAAAACCTGCAGCACAGCAGTAAACCATTTGCACCTGAAACATTCTGCAGTGCTGGAAAATTAACAACTGTCGACAAATTTTCGCAATTTATGAGGCAGTGAGGCAGCCTGTGAGGCAGCCACTGCAAGGCAGCCCTTCCTCCGTATGTTTGGCGATCGCTCTGCTTTGATGTCAGCATATAATTTTTTCTAAACCTTAAGGCCAGGATGCCAGAAATACATGTAGGTTTAGCACACATGTCCTCAGGAAGTAACAGCCTTGGTAAAGGCTTACATGTGGTTGCGCATTGACCTGCTGGCCTGCAGCCTGCACTCCAGAATGCGGCCGCCAGCGGGGTGCTGCTCAAAGAATCTGACGAGGTCTGCTGCGCTGACATGGTCCGCCACATTTCTCACGTTCAGGCAGGAGCCTATGCCCACTGCACAGGCGTCTGTGTTCGCCTCATCTGCAACAACAAAGAGACATCAGCTGCAGCACATCTACTTCAAACATGTTACTATTACATGCTTTTCCTGCCAAGAGGCAAGGTGCGTCCTGCAGACAAGCTGCAGTATGAGGCTTTCAAGAGCTGTGCTCTGTTGTGTGTGTCCAAAAGCTATGCTGCGGCGAGGACAGTCAGCGACTCATTCAGTCACATTACATTGCTTCCAGCCAAGCTTTGAGCTGATCTGATGCCTGACTCTGATTCTTCCTCGGAGAGTCAGCGCCCAGCATGACAGCCGAGCACTTGGAAATTAAGTTGGTGACACTCAACCAGATGATCCTGCCTGAAAGAAAGCAGGCCTGCTTGCGGATATGCTTAAGAGGCCGGCCGGCATTGGACAAATGTGGACAGGCAATCAGCAGATTTCTCCCTGCGGACAGCCCTGGCAGAGGCTTACATGCTGCATGGCTAAACAGCAACATTGAGCCCAATAAGGGCGCCCTCATGAAGGGCTACACGGCCAGCAGAGCTGAGTAATTGCAGATGCCACAGGTCCATGCACATGATGTCATGCATGCTGCCACAGGGGTAAGTTGGCCCACCTTCGGTGTTGATGAGCTGCTTCCTCTCTCTGAAGGCTGCCTCTTCGTTGAGGCCGCTGTGGCGAGCAAGCTGCACCAACTCCCACAGAGCTTCTGCTCCATGTCTCTCCTCCTCGGCTTCCTCGTCCAGAATGACAGGCCCCGGAAGTGCCCTGAGCACCACAGGTCACCATATTGATGCAGCATGGACACTGGCTGCCAATCAGGCACTGTTCATTCAGATCAGCCTGTAATGGGCTGATTCGGAGCTGGCCTGAGAACATCAAAGTCCGGAACCAGTTTGACATCCAGAGACTGCACCTGCCAGTTCAACACTAGTTTTCTAAAGAGCAGCACTCTAGCCTGCTGTGTGCACAAGGCGACGCGCACTGATGGACATGCATGCCTCATGTCAGGATAACTGACCTCACAAGTGAGGATAGCTGCTATCAGATCAGCTAAAAATTTGGTACTCTGCAAGATCTTTGCTGAGCATCGTGTCCTGCTGTAGAGTGGCAGCTTCCATGCTAAAGAGCATTCGTGCAGGAAGCGAAAAGTTTAGGTCCACGTTTGATGTCGTCCTGTTACGGAAGGCAACACTCTGCGACTCATGAGACGTGATGAGCACATTGTGATCACCTTCTTGTAGCATGCATTGCCGGTTCCTCAGTGTTATGGTCGCTCCTCGCTGTTTGGCCAAGTTCTCCAGTCGCTAGGGCTTCTCACGCGTGTACAAGCTCCCCTTTTAGGGACAAGACGCCTTGTTGGCGTTGCAAGGATTTTGAGTTGAGGCACGAGCTTCTGCTGGAAAGATCGAAACCGTGCCTGCCATGCTACTCTAAGCAAGCCCTTCTCTGGCTTGATACGGAATACAATCACTGCCTTGTCTGGCAGTATTGTGCAAGTTGGCAGTACTGCCTTATTGCACAGTTGCACCTGTGCAGTAAGTTTCTCATTAGAGGCTATGATGTGCTTCATGTCTGAGGGATTAGATCTGAGATCGTCGAGAGATGTTCCGTAAGATGCGGTTGGAATACAGCGAATCCTTGGATTGGACAATGTCCTGTTCAGGATCCATCAGATTTCTTCCTGACCAAGCCTCGACATCAAGAACATGTCAGCAAGACAGCTGCAGGTCCTATGAATACCACAGGACAACCCGTTGTCTCAAGCCGAGAATGTATGCATTTCCGCTGCGCCTAACAGCTGTACAGCTCATTACAAAACTGGAAGCCAGCATAATATTATAAACGTACAGAGAACCATCTGCGTAATTCTGCAATGAAGTTGACAAGTTGTGCTGATCAGCACACATCGCAATCTCTGGTGAGATGAGACATCGGGAGAAGTTGGCGGCTAAAGGTTCAGCAATCATCCGTTGCATGGCGGTTGTCAGAAACGCTGCTGAGAACCGTCTGCTAGCTTCCTTAGTCAACAACAGTGATGCCCATGTTCTTCGCTGTCCCCTCAATGATCCGCATGCCAGCCTCCACTGTAGTGGCATTCAAGTCCGGGAGCTTTGTGGTCGCAATTTCCTGCACACCAATAGCAACTGGAGAGTCAGCTCATAATTCAAGAACTTGACAAAGATAAGCATCACACAGATGGCAGGTTGTCAGAGCAGACTTGAGGACAGAATCGGCAGCACGAGGGACAAAATTGCCAATCCGCATGCCGCTCTGAATGACTCTGCTCTCTGAACTATTCTATCCACACACTGGCGCTCATCGTTATTCCCATGCACTCCTGGGCCAGCTGTTGTTCATGCTGTTGCAATGCAGCCTCGCGCAAGACTATCACTTTCCAAGCCCCTGGGCACCGGCTCTACCCTTCATCATCCATCCCCCATCATCCGATGCTGGTCTCAGACGCCAACGCTGAAACAATGCGACAAAAGGAAAACTACTGGCAGAAAGGGAAAGTACAAATGAGGAGCGCTGCAAATACTGAGCACCGTGCCCACGGTTGATTGGGTCTTGCTTGGATATGGCGGGCCTATCAAGGGGTGGCATGTTGTCAGCATATCTTGTCTTTCTTGTCTGCAGCAAAGCTGCTTTGACTGCAACAGGCTGCAGACGCACCTTGCCTCTTGGCAGATATGGCATGTACTCATGCTAATACTAGTATTGATGAGGAGCAGCATGTGCACACCTGGAGCTGTGCGCGGGTGACCTGGCCAACCTTAGCTGTGTTTGGGGTGCCAGATCCCTTCTGGACGCCAGCAGCCTTCTGCAGCAGCACTGACGCCGGCGGTGTCTTCAAGATGAATGTGAAGCTGCGGTCCTGCAGACACCAGCACACAGCACTTTCAGCCTCCCCCCCCCAGCCCCAAAGAGATCAAAATGCAGATCTGTAGTAGTATCGGCGTACACCTTGAATATAATTATGACGAGACATAATTAGGGCCCTTGCTCCGTGCTAATCGGCTGGCGTACACTGTTTGATACAGTAATGATGAGACACACTCAGGGAGCTTGCTCTATGCAGGTTGGCCGCATTTCAGTCTCACCTCGAAGCAGGTGATCTCAACGGGGATGACAGTGCCAACTTTGTCCTGGGTGGCAGCGTTGTACTCTTTGCAGAACTGCATGATGTTGAGACCCTGCAGTAGCCACGCACAGGAATAAGTATCAGCATTCACAGCCCTTGAAAAATTTCACTACACATCCTTGCAAAATGAGGTGGGGGTTAGGGATTACGCACCTTTGATCCCAGAGCAGGGCCCACCGGAGGTGCCGGGTTGGCCTTTCCAGCTTGGAGCGCCAGCTTAATCATACCCACCACTGCACACACATGATCCATAGAGTGGGCAGGAGTCTCATCGGAGTCCAGAACGGCAAGACAGAAGGTGATCGTATTTGGACTCCATTACTGAAGGTTGTCTCGCAAATCACAAGAATACTGCTCAACAAACGCAGATTGAATGTATTATGTCGCAACAAAGAAGGCACCTTTTGCTGCCATAACAGTCGTCCTTCGAGAGCCCTGTCCCTGCCGCGCATACTGACTGCTCTGCTGCAATCTGCATCCGCATATCGATTTGTGCTGACAGCTGCTGGTCGATGTTCCCAAGAATCCACTTCTCAACGAGATGGAACTTCTGCAGGCATGAGGTGAGCTTCTGGGAGCTGCAAGAGGCGCACCGACGGTAAAACCCGTAGCTTGCATGATTACCCCCTATTCGTAAAATATCTAACGTCTCTTTTCGACCCACCTCTTCGTTTGCTCCAAAGAAAATGCACCAGCGGCTGTGAGGTGGATAGGGATCCAGGTGGAGGCGTTCCGTTGCCGTCCTAAATTGGACACAGCATGTCCAAAAGCCATCAATGACAGGAGCACTTGCTGGAAGCAAAAACAGAATTTTGAACGAGGAAGGGGTTTCGTTGCAAGGCCAACATCGTTTCAGGGACTACCTTTTTCTTCTGCTGATGCAATGCATGGACACCTTCAAGCTGGATGTGATGCATGCACTGCACGCATATGCGCATTCAAACTTTAAAATGCCATCCTGTGGGATGCAGGTTCCTTCATTCTGTACCTGTATTTTAAAGATGAATGCCAGCTCAGCATTACATACTGTGCTGGGCGAGCACTAAGCAATTGATTGCAGTTGCAAACTGCAAAGCGCAATTGCAATCAACTTGCAACATTAAGTATCACCAAATGAGTCACTACATGCTCGTTGAAACAAGCTGCACCAGCCGCAATAGCACTGAGCTGAAAGAATCTTTCTTACACCTGGACATGTACAATTCACAACCTTTAATTCCTCGACAGAACCATCCCAGATAAAGTAATGAATGTTGGAGGGTTCACACTCTCCTCAAAAAATTCTCAGAAGCTGTCCTCCTCATCACTTGGACCCACTCCTCACTTAGGCATGGCAGGCTTGGCGTGCTCCCTCAGGAAGGCTGCAGCCACCTGGCTTCCATCGCAGACATAAAACCTGCAATCAGCCGCAGTCCTTTTCAGCTTGTCCCACAGTAAACATACCTCACAGCCTCACACACAACCTCTAAGTAATGGTCTAGATACAGTGGACATATAATCAGCCTTGTTGGCTGGCACGATGTAATGTTTCTCTCTCTCTCTCTCTCTCTCTCTCTCACACACACACACACAGTAAGCTTGCATCACGCAGTGACAGTGGGCACCAGCACCGTGACTTCATTCTGGAGATACATTGCTAACCTGACCTTGTCTCTAAATTTAATGAATCTCTTTCGCACATCTGACAGCGTGTCCTAATGCCACATGTACATGCAGTGGAGAGACTTAAATTTGGCATCCAATCAAAATCTGTCACCTGGGTTCATGTTGTTCTGAACATCATTACCGCTTAAGGCCCGTGTCCTATCAACTTGTCTAAATTCATACGGTGCAGAGCTGTAATTTTGAAGGCGGCAGGGTGAGGAATGGAGGCCCACCAGGAGAATCCAGTCATCAGCATGAACATGACGAGCATGGGGTTGTCTTGTGCCGGCACATGCCCGCACAATGCATCATGCACGAGAGGAGCATTTCTGACTGCGCCGCCCGTCAGCGCCCGAATAAAGAAGTCTGTGTTCTGGATGCAGTTGTTTGTGAGCGCGTGGTACTGCCGCGACTGAGCAAACTCCACAGCCTGCACGCAGCCATAAGCCATGAAGACCCATGCAGACTGGCATAAAACCTTTCTATAGATGGACACTTTGCAGGAATAAGTTCCTCCATATGGACACTCTGCAGGGATGTATTCGTAGGGCCTTGCAGTAGCACTGGGCATGATTGCTGCGCAGAGAGTCATTCCTGCCTTTCCAGGTGCTAAACAATGCACAGCCCTGTGTTGTGCAGGTTAGCTTGCCCTCTCCGTTTGAGACACAAGGGAGCAGGATGCCAACCTGGGAAAGAATGGCAGACTCGGCAGGGTGGTGTGGCACTTTGATGTGCAGGAAGGGCAGCGCAGCAGTGTCTTCTGGCAGCTCAGCTGGATCATGCAGCGCCAGGCTGCAGGGCACTGCCTCCATCAGATTGGCTGTCACGTCAGCCTCTCCTACCGGACCAAAGTCCAGTGACACGACCTGCGCACACCATCACTGGGTCTCAGCTGCGCTGATCCATATTTGCATGCGCTTCTTCAGTCTGCCCACTACCATGTGTTGCTCCAGGATATGGCCTGCCCAAATCCAAAACGAGCTGCAGAAACAAAGGCTTGAGACTGTAAAACACCAGCAATTTCACAGGCAATAGACATATGGAGTACCACATCTGATCAAGCATGCGCCTAGGTTGGGATCGTCCCTAGGTATTGCCTGTTGATCCTAATAGAAGAATGGGAGCATCTTGTGTGTTGATTTTGGCAGGAATAGAGGTAAAATTGGCAATAACCCACCTTCTCGCCAGCTTTCAGGTAAATTACTGTGTGAAGCAGGGCCGTTCCAGCCTGCTCCAGCATTTTTCCATGGTTCCCTCTTATGTGACGTTTGTGCAGGTACAATCCATCATCGACAATCTTGCTCACGCAGGCAAACTGGCTGGTGTCCAAGGTGGGTCTGAGCTGCTCCAGAAATTGGTGCCTGCAAGGATTTCTGCTGTCATTATATCACTTTTGACACCACAGTAGAGACATAAAAGTCGAACGGATGGGTCGATGACATCATCGCTGTGGCAACGCCAACAGCTTCCCAAAGAACATTCTAGAAAGCAAGATCAGGGGTTTCGAACTCAAGAAGGCCCATCAAACCACATCGAACGCTATATAAGCTTGTGTTCAGAATACTTACATAGATTCGCCAAAGGTTGGTCGCATGATCGGTGTTGCGAAAGCATCCGGAACAGCATCAGCAGTCAAGCACTTCTGCTGGACGGCGCTGTGGACCGCAGTAGCGGCCGCCATTGGTTGCACATCCCGTTCCACGCATACATCACTTGCAGGAGCCATGTTTGGGATGTTTGACGGTGATCAAGACCCAAGCTTCTGATATGGAATGGCAGCTCCTTCTGTCCAGGAAGTTGGGGCTGCGTTTCGAACTTTCCTTGCTCCTGATCGCGCCACGTCAAGAAGAGAGCTTCCGTCAGCATCCTGATCGCAGCAATGAAACAATTCTGTCCAAGAACTGCAGTCTTTGGATCCTACCCTTTTAAGTAACAAAAGTTTTCTTGCGAGGGTTGCACGATCGAAATACACATTTTAGGGGAAGCGAGGTCTAGAAGCTGACGCGCAAGGGTTTCATTTAAGCCAGTCACAAACTCGTTGCCGACACCCCTTTCAGTTGGCGACAATCAGCAATCTCGTTTCAGCCAATATATACTAATGTGCATCCGGTCTAAGCCCGATTGCTTGTCCAGGGAACGTGTGAAGATATCAAGGGCCCTGTGGGTTCAATGTTGATGTTGCGGCACTCACCGCCGCTTCTGGTGGCGCTGACAAGCAAGACTAGGAGAAATTTGAAGCGAGACATTGGATGTGCGTGCGCATACCCCGAGATCCCTTTCTATGCCGAGAATCGTCATGTCATTTATGTCGATGACAGAGCTGCGTTACAATCCGCACGTGACCACAACCCTCACAAACAGTCATCCTCTGGAGTGACTCACACAGAGTCTGGACTGACATCAGGCAATGCATCAGCACTACGTCACTCACTTGAAACCATGAATGATAAGATTTCTCTGCCTTGTGAATCATGTGGCCTGTCTGGTGAGCAGTGCATCACTGGATCCCAGCTCAGCGGGGGGCTGTTTCAAAACTCTTCACAGCATCCCCCTCTTTGTCACCCTCCATTAGCCGCATGCATGCAGGCACTTACTAAGTAGTACCTGTTTAACAAAGATCACGCAAGCTTTGATGAGCCGCTGCGGCCAAGGGAGGCACCGGTGCCTGAGAGGCAAGGTGCATCAGAACTTTCAAGGCTACTTTCGGTTACATGCGGATTCCGGAGACCTTCGGAAGGTGTGGGCGCATGTGAACCAGCTGGAACCTGGAGGTGCGCAATGCAGGAGCCATGAAGCAACAGGCTCTGAACATGCTGCAGACGGAGTTGGGAAAGTGGAGGCCGGGAGCAGGGAAGGATGAGAAGATCAAGTCCCTGCAGCATTAGACGGACTTTTAATGCCTGATGTCAAATGCTGGCACTTGACAAACATGCCAACTAGTGGGTCGATCACCAAGATATCGTCTGATCAGTTGCCAAATTGCGCTGTGAGAACCCGGGGAGCTGTGGGGAAGTTCTCCTCTGCACATACTATGTAGACGTACTCAGGCAGCATCTGCTTCCTGCAGCTTCCTGCAAATGTCAAAAAAAGCTGTCACAGCTGCTGGAACGGTGTTTTTGAACCCCATTTTAGCTCTCAAGACTCTCCCCAGCAAATGCTTTCAGCAGCTGCCCCAAGACTTCATTCCATGTTATTGAAAATTATAAAGAAAACCTTTCCAGCAGCTGCTCTCTGCTTCTTCCCGGGCCCGCTCCAGAGTTTTTCTTTCCAACTTTCAATTGAGTGCCCAGCACTAGATTTCGGCAGTTCTTCCAGAATATCGTTCCAAGTGTCCAAATAATCTCCCCAGCAGATGCTTTCAGCAGCTGCCCCAAGACTTCATTCCAAGTATTTGAAAATTAATAAGAAAACCTTTCCAGCAGCTGCTCTCTGCTTCTTTCCACTCTAGAGCTTGGTTTCTCACATTCAAATGAGTGCCCAGCACTTCGGCAATTGTTTTAGGACATCGTTCTAAGTGTCCAAATATTTTCCCCAGCAGCTGCTAAGTCAAAAGGTCTGCCTCCGGCACCTGCTCCAAATACTCCATTCCAAACTTCGGAAACAAAAGCGGATGGGCACCTCAGGCATAGGACAGCTTAAAAAGTGTGACATCCATATTGTCAATGAAAAAATATTGGCCGTTGTTGTCTGTGTTCTCGATCTGGTCCACATTCCCGCACCCGGGCGTCGTCACCAGCGTGGGTGGCTGGCCTGCCGTTGGGGCCACTGTGTAAGAGCACGCTGCCACAGCGATCGTCTGTAGGTAGCCTGTGATGACGACAGGGGCGGCGGCGGGCGCTTCAGAGGCTTGGAGGTAGCCAACATAGATGCTGTTGAGGGCAAAGCTGACGACAGTTGGTGCCGGCTGGATGGTGGCGGGTCCAGTCGGTGACCACACGGCAACGTTCGGCGGGGACTCAGGCACAATGCGGTAGGTGTTGTCAGGTCGCGACCATGTTCCGCCGCCATTCTCCACAGTCCCAAAGCCGTACCCAAATCTGAGGTTGAAGAAAGATGTGCGGGCGCCGAATTGATTTTCCGCAGGCAGATTTGAGCCGTTCTCGTTGACGTCGAAGGTGATGAGCTCTTGCGCTGCATGCATGCATGCCCAATGAGTCATCACCCTTATCAAGGCAATTGCAAGGTGCAATGCTTTGACTTGGGTGCTTCGCTTCATCTTTGACACCTCATGTGGCCTCTAAGGATTGCAGAGGCTTCAGGTATTCTGTGCTAAAGGTGCATCTGTTGAAGCAGTGACACATTTGCTAGCTAAAGAAGCCTGTTACATGCCAAAGATAATCATAACAGAAACCACTGGCAGGAACACACCTGCGGTTATCACTCCTACGCCCGTTCCACCTGCAGAATACCACAATGTAACGAAAAACTCTTTGGTATTGGCGTAGGCTACAGCAAGAAAAAACAGCATTCAAGGTACGCATGGTAGCTTTCTGAACACGATAATTCTTGCCTATTCTGACCATACAGCATGCATGCATGCTGCATGCAAATGAGATGCGCAGCACACTGTATTTTAGTCTCACGTGACTTTATAAGGGAAGCGCAGGCAGGCAGGCAGTGCAATTGTTGTCCATGCTGGAATTCAGATCTCTCTTCGGAGCCGGTCACTTTGCAGACTCACATAGAAGCTTGCATTTGAGCCATGTGCTTTCATTGCACTCAGCCAGGGAGCACACCTGTTGGGCCGGTGCCGCCAGTTGGGCCGGTGCCTCCAGTCGCACCAGTAAGGCCAGTGGCCCCTGTGGGTCCTGTAGGACATGCACAAGAAAGTGTGTCAGAAACCTGTTGCAAATGAGCTCCATCCCGCAGCATATGGATGAATGCAGAGTGGAGCAATAACAGTAACAACAACAACTTCTATGGGTAGTGACATACCTGCAGTTCCATTGAAGCCATTGATACCATCTGTTCCATTGAGACCCTGCGTTTTATACGTGCACATAATGCTTGTCCTTCGACAAATCGCAGCAATTGCAGCATGGGTTCCTGCAGCAAGTTAATTAATGGACGCATGAGAATTCATACACGATGTGACAAAACTTACTGGAGTGAAGGAGTTGACTTTTTCCACCAAATTATTGATTATGCTCTGTTCTTGCTGATTCTCGGCAGCCAGTTGAGCAACAGTGGTCTTCAAAGATTGAAGCTCATACTCGAGATGCTTGTTCTGAGCAAGGACGTAGGCCTTGCTTGCTGGGAAAAATCCATCGATGCCTGGGCCATTCACGAGGATATTTGAGAACCGTGTGCAGTACAAACATGTGCCAAGAAGTAAGAAGAAACCACCAAAACTCACTTCAGCATCAGGGTTTTGGTAAAGGAATGGCCAGAGCCATTCTTCAGTCTTGTTTAAATATCCGCACAGGATAAGTAGGCGCACCTTGAACAGCCGTCGAGTTCAGAACGTTCTCATACTCCACAGCAAAAGCACCTAGCGATACCCCGAACGTCCCGTCAAGTGTTTTCCATACTAACGGCTTCATGAGCAGTCACTGCGGTACAAAGCATCACCTATGTCTTTGGTCTTCATTATCGCCAGCAACATTGCGAAGGTTGGCAAACATGAAAGTGAAGTCCAGTAGCCCCCCGGTCTGCAAAGACATTCAAATAGTGAACTTGAGACAGGGTATCCCCAATGCGGGTTCTTTCCTGTACTGTCCAGTTCTTTTCTGCGCTTTGAAACTTTTCGTTTACATGTGTACCATTGCAAGTGCATTCAATCACGTGACTGCACTGCCTGCTCACCTTCGCTTTGCCATGGTCAAAACTTTATTGCACAGAGGTGACCTAGCTGCAGACCTTGAAGATGCGTGGCTGACTAAGTCTTATCCGAAGGGCATATGGACTTCGTTTAGGCTCGATACAGTAGCCCAAGAAAACGTTCTGCAACCTGTCCGAGGGTGAATTGAATGTCCTCACCTCAAGACCCTCGTTTTATAAGTCAGCTTCTATATAGGCCCTCAAGGCTGCCCGGACCTCAGATATTTTTCGGCCTCACAATCGCGACACACTTATTTCTTCACGTATGCTTTCCACTTGCAGTCAAACGGCTCCCGGATCGAGTTCTGATGCTGTAGATCGTTTAGCTTATAAATGCCTCAGGCGCAGACTGCGCTATAGATTATCTGGTTCATCTACCTCCAGTACCGGGGTTGTGGTTGGCTCTGCTTCGGGCCACAATGTCAGCGATTCAGGCTTTTCTCACTATAGTACATCACAGTATAATTGATATTGCCTCATATTGAACTCCTTTTGGCCTCGTAGTCACATAGGTTTCAACGCTTCGGGAAGCCCTAGAGAGGTGCTGCTCATAGCTCCCAGTGTCATTTAATTATAGACATACGTGAAGTGCGAAGTGAGTTACCTTCACATATTGACGTGCCAGAAATTTTAAATTACAGTATGAAAGGAAATTGAGATCGGGCATGGGCCACTCGGTGTTAATATTTGGCGACGACGGATTGTTGCTTTCACTTGGCTCAAGCGCTTTCCCATAGTAGCGTTGCAAGTGATGCTTATTACGTTGTAGCAAAGCAAGGTCTTTTAGATCAATTTCTTATGCTGGGTGCAGGTTCTTGAGCTTCCTCTTTGGCAACCACGCGACCATATCGGTCCTCTCCAGTGAGCACGGTGAGCAACTTCTTTGAAGCATGGTGATCATTTATCCGATTGAACTCCGGCAAATCTATGTAAGACTCACAGCAGGGCAGAGGACAGTGGCCCCATCCTGGAAGTGAATCGCTTCCAGGATGGGGCCATATATATTGAAGATGAATGCCAGCTCAGCGTTACATACTGTGCTGGGCGAGCACTGAGCAACTGATTGCAGGTGCAACCTGCAAAGCGCAATTGCAATCAATTTGCAACATTACGTATTACCAAATGAGTCCGTACATGCTTGCTGTAACAAGCTGCACCAGCCGCAATAGCAATGAGTTGAAATTATCCGTTATGCACCTGGACATGTGCAAATTCACAACCTTTACTCTCTCGACAGAACCATGATCTTCACAGATAAAGTAATGAATGTCGTTTACACTCTCCTCAAAAGATTCTCAGAAGCGGTCCTCCTCATCACTTGGACCCACTCCTCACTTAGGCATGGCAGGCTTGGCGTGCTCCCGCAAGAAGGCTGCAGCCGCCTGGCTTCCATCGCAGACATCAAACCTGCAATCAGCAGCAGTCCTTGTCAGCTTGTCCCACAATAGTCATAACTCGCAGCCTCAAACATAACCTCTAAATAATGGGCAGATACAGTGGACATCTAATCAGCCTTGTTGGCTGGCACGATGTAATGTTTCTCTCTCTCTTTCTCTCTCTCTCTCTCTCTCTCACACACACACACAGTAAGCTTGCCTCACGCAGCGACAGTGGGCACCAGCACCGTGACCTCATTGTGGAGTTACTTTGCTAATCCTGATCTTGTCTCTAAAATTAATGAATCTCTTTCGCATATCTGACAGCGTGTCCTAACGCCATATGTACATGCAGTGGAGAGACTTAAATTTGACATCCAATCAAACTCTGTCACCCGTGATCATGTTGTTCTGCACATCATTACCACTTAAGGCCCATGTCCTATCAACATGTCTGAAGTTAGAAGGTGCAGAGCTGTGACTTTGAAGGCGGCAGGGTGAGAAACGAAGGCGCACCAGGAGAATCCAGTCATCAGCATGAACATGACGAGCATGGGGTTGTCTTGTGCCGGCACATGCCCGCACAATGCGTCATGCACGAGAGGAGCATTTCTGACTGCGCCGCCCGTCAGCGCCCGAATAAAGAAGTCTGTGTTCTGGATGCAGTTGTTTGTGAACGCGTGGTACTGCCGCGACTGAGCAAACTCCACAGCCTGCACGCAGCCATAAGCCATGAAGACCCATGCAGACTGGCATAAAACCTTTCTATAGATGGACACTTTGCAGGAATGAGGTCCTCCATATGGACACTTTGCAGGGAAATTTTTGTAGGGCTTTGCAGTAGCACTGGGCATGATTGCCGCGCAGAGAGTCATTCCTGCCTTTCCACGTTCTAAACAATGCACAGCCTTGTGAAGTGCAGGTTGCTTGCCCTCTCCATTTGAGACACAAGGGAGCAGGATGCCAACCTGGGAAAGAATGGCAGACTCGGCAGGGTGGTGTGGCACTTTGATGTGCAGGAAGGGCAGCGCAGCAGTGTCTTCTGGCAGCTCAGCTGGATCATGCAGCGCCAGGCTGCAGGGCACTGCCTCCATCAGATTGGCTGTCACGTCTGCCTCTCCTACCGGACCAAAGTCCAATGACACGACCTGCGCACACCATCACTGGGTCTCAGCTGCGCTGATCCATATTTGCATGCGCTTCTTCAGTCTGCCCACTACCATGTGTTGCTCCAGGATATGGCCTGCCCAAATCCGAAACGAGCTGCAGAAACAAAGGCTTGAGACTGTAAAACACCAGCAATTTCACAGGCAATAGACATATGGAGTACTACATCTGATCAAGCATGCGCCTAGGTTGGGATCGTCCCTAGGTATTGCCTGTTGATCCTAATAGAAGAATGGGAGCATCTTGTGTGTTGATTTTGGCAGGAATAGAGGTAAAATTGGCAATAACCCACCTTCTCGCCAGCTTTCAGGTGAACTACTGTGTGAAGCAGGGCCGTTCCAGCCTACTCCAGCATTTTTCCATGGTTCCCTCTTATGTGACGTTTGTGCAGGTACAATCCATCATCGACAATCTTGCTCACGCAGGCAAACTGGCTGGTGTCCAAGGTGGGTCTGAGCTGCTCCAGAAATTGGTGCCTGCAAGGATATCTGCTGTCATTATATCACTTTTGACACCACAGTAGAGACATAAAAGTCGAACGGATGGGTCGATGACATCATCGCTGTGGCAACGCCAACAGCTTCCCAAAGAACGTTCTAGAAAGCAAGATCAGGTGTTTCAAACTCAAAAAGGCCCATCAAACCACATCGAACGCTATATAAGCTTGTGTTCAGAATACTTACATAGATTCGCCAAAGGTTGGTCGCATGATCGGTGTTGCGAAAGCATCCGGAACAGCATCAGCAGTCAAGCACTCCTGCTGGACGGCGCTGTGGACCGCAGTAGCGGCCGCCATTGGTTGCACATCCCGTTCCACGCATACATCACTTGCAGGAGCCATGTTTGGGATGCTTGACGGTAATCAAGACCCAAGCTTCTGATATGGAATGGCAGCTCCTTCTGTCCAGGAAGTTGGGGCTGCGTTTCGAACTTTCCTTGCTCCTGATCGCGCCACGTCAAGAAGAGAGCTTCCGTCAAGCTCGCACGAGTTAGCGCCGAGAAGCTGATCGCAGCAATGAAACAATCTGTCCAAAAACTGCAGTCATTGCAAGTTTGAAAGTCTCCATTGCAATTGAGCAACAGCGTGAAGGTTGCCTTATAATCCGGCTGCAGATAAAATTCTTGAGCAATCTCGGCGGGATCTTGCAAAATTCCTGAGTATCAGCTTGGAATTGCGCTGATTCTCGTCTTGATAAGGGATCAAAGCAGCTTCACTTGCTGAATCTGGAGGATCTGTAAATGATATCAAGAACTGTTCATTGTCATGGCCCCTCGAACCTGGCAAATATACAACGTAGTGCGCCCAGAAGGATGCAGATAACCACCAGTGTACCCAGACGAAACTTCAGGAATGCAGATATGACATCCGGGAGAAGGCATCGCGTATTGTCCGCAGCTAATGCTGTGCAAGAAGCGGAAAGTGCAGCATCAACTTCACAGTTTATTCAGGTCCACTCCTGAATTCCTGTCTTTGACCTTTGACCTGCTGATTGGCGACATCTTGCATTGAAAATTTTCGTTCCCGTCTCAAATTCATTGTTGCAATACGCCGCACATGTCACAGAGCAGTCTGGGCGATATGCCTCTGCTAGATGGTGCTCACTCGTGGGGTATTGCTGCAGGAACGCATGGAGTTCCTGAAGGAGGATCTTACTCACCTATTCGATGAACAAGGGATTGACCAGTCACAGTACGATGATGTGGTACGCCCCATGCATTGGCAGCTCAGCATCTAACACAAGTGGCCCTGATATCAGCCCTTTGATCAAATCGTCCCATGCAGATTTTCTGTGCAGCCTTTCATGTGCTAAACATTTTATGTTGGGGGCCGCAGGTTGAATTCAGAGACCCCATCACATCATACAATGAGGCCAAAGGTAGGAATTTCTCCTTGCTGGCCTCTGCATGTCCTGCAGATCCCAATTTGTGACGAGTACTACATATCTATTCACCCCAATCCCTGCTATGCAAGAAAGGGTTTGCTGTGCTTGGAGATACGATGTATGCGTATCGGTGCTGGACGGCAGGATTTTGTAGGCCCTGCAGATTTGGCTGCAAACGGCCTGCGTGTGTATGCCCTATGGCCTCTGGCTTTAGGTCTGCCAACCTGTAATTATTAATTTCTGTAATGCTGGGGTGCAGGGTACATGTTCAACATAGCCATGCTGAAGAGGGTCTTTGCGCCGAGCTTTCAGCTGCATGACATAAAGCAGACGGGTGACTATGAGGTGACTACGCGCTGGACAATGGCCATGCAAGTCACCCTCACGAGGGGTACACCTATCAGCCGCTTCTGGGATCCCAAGCTCGTCTTCACTGGGACCTCTGTCATGGGTATTAACCCCTCCAACGGTAATCGACCCCTTCTGGGCCCCCAAACCTCAAGTGGTAACGCAGTCTGTCAAATCCCTTGTTAGACATAGTATCCGCTGGCAGCCTCAGGGATTCTTAAGAGTCTTTGTGAAATTTAGCACCCCTTGCCAGGCTCAGGGGACTGTAAATCTCTGATGCTCTGATGCAGCAGGCACACACTCTCATGGGACGAAAGGCAGTTTTTCTCTTGAGTAGTATTCTATCCCCATTTGCCTTTGTGCATGAATGCCGATGTAATTTTTAAAAGGGGTTATCTGTGATCCGTGCTTATCAGATTGTGATGCAATGATCACTCTGGGACACGAATATGATGGGTTTGGGTTGTGCGCAGGCAAGTTCAACCGGCATTTGGATTACTGGGATGCGATTGACAACCAGCAGTATTTCAGCTGGGAAGCTTTTGGCCACGTGTTGCAGCAGATGACAGATATCTCCAGGACACCCAAAGACCTGCCCACCCCTTCCTACAGCATCCTTAAAAAGTTCAAGGACTTTGAGGTTCGCAGGTGGGCTTCCTTTCCCCAGCTCCCTTAATTGGAGGCTCTAATCCCCACATAATCGAACAGCTATGATAAAGGAAACTGAACCGAACTGAATGGAGAAAAGAGCATAATCATCACTTGTGTGCGCGCGTGTTTAAGACAATCCTGCTAGTCCCTCAAGGAACATGTTAATAGCTTGCCTGGGCATCTACATTGCAAGAGCTGAGCTGTGTGCGTTGAGGGCAGCAGACGCTGTTAATAGGACTGTGGTCAGCTGTAGCGAGTAAGAGGATGTGGGTGTGCAGGTATGACAGGATGCTTGTGGCAGAGGCTGACATGGACAGCAGAGGGCCTGCAGCGTCGACAAGCACTTCAGGTGTTGCACCACTAGATCCACCATAACAGAATTAACATTGTTGCTATTCCCTTGTTGGGCATTTAGAACTCACACGGACCGGATAGCAAGCATGCCTTGACGGATCAGGGACTCAACTCAAAATATCCAGTTCAATTGCATTCAGTTCAGTTCAAAAAAGGTTGCAGCATCATCCAGGGTTCTATTCTCTATGATCCTAACAGGGTGACATGTGCGACATCAGGTCAAGATGGTGGCAGCCCGGCGGGCAAGGGGGATGGGGCGTTCAACACGCTGGCAAAGTTCATCTTTGGAGGGAACGCTGCAAACGCGCGCATGCGCATGACTACGCCGGTCTTCTCAGACAACCGGGGCGCCATGCAGTTTGTCATAGAGCCCAGCTACCAGGTGAGGGCCCAAAGTTTTTCAGGCCAGCATCTCCCTTGTTGCTTTTTTGATTTGCATGCTTTTTTTATTTGCATGCAAGAAATGTCAAATCAGAGCTGCTCCGCTCTTCCTTCTGCCCAATTCATCTGTCATGCCTGGGCACAAATAGAAAGCGCATGCTCTCTGTCGCATAGCAGAGCTGCACAGGCCACGAATGCCTTGTTATCCCTTTCTGAGCAGACAAAGGAAGGTGTTGCATTGCATTTAAAACGTTGGCCTGCATGCTGCACTTCGTGGTGTTGCGTGCAAATGGTAAGTCGCATTATTCTGGGTCCAATACCGCCCTGGCTGGCGGGGGCGGTTTAAATACTGACCACCGTGCCCACGGTTGATTGGGACTTGCTTGGAACTGGCGAGGCCATCAAGTGGCAGGAGATGTCGCAGCCTGTACCTGCAGCTTATTTGCAGACGCACCTTGCCTTTGGCAGAAACAGCGTGTGAGATGATGTTGAATATAGTATCTGTGGGTGCAGGATGTTTCCAGCGTGCCATCACCTCAGACAGACAGTGTGAGGGTCAGGGAAAGGAGTGAGGGTCTTTATGCGGTTGCTAGCTTCTCGGGGGTTGCTGATCCGCAGAACGCTGCTGAGAGGGAATCTGCACTCAGACAAGCGATGCAGAAAAGGGGCACTGTTGCTGATGGGTCTGACTGGCTGTTGGCCAGATATAATGACCCTTCCACTAGGCCCGCCTTCAGGAGGAACGAAGTGCTCATACCAGTGAAGGAATTTGAACTTTGGTGACCGTTGTCACAGTGATTCGTGTGCGAATCGTGTGCGCATTTGCCTGTGTTTGGTGTATTCAAAATGAAGCATTGTCATGAGAGACAACACCAGTGTGCATCTCCTGGGTGATTTCTCACTCCGCTTTTAGATTGCCACCATGTAATAGAAGCTGAATTGGCTGGTAGTACCTGGGAAACATAGAGCATTTTGCATCTCCGAGATTTGAGTCAAATGGATGCATTGTGAGATCAAAACTTGACGTGATGCCCTCACATATATGCGTCTTTTTCATGTGAGAAATTTCTTAAAGGCTTCTACTTGGGGCTGCTGCTTGCCAGGATGATGAAGAGTAAGCACCATTTCCATCATGGCAAATGATACTGTCAGACGGTTTATCTGGCGAATCTCGTTTTGGGGGGAAAGGCTTTATTACTCGAGGACCTAGCGGCTTCATCCAGCTTCGCCTTCTCCAGACACTTCCGCATCAAAGTCATTGATCATCCGCAAACCAACCTTCTGACCTGCACGCTTATATTTCCATCGCCGCCCAGTTTGCTCGAGTGGATACTCGTGCCTTCGCCATCATCGCGCACCAAGCAGCTTGAAACTTGAGGTGCGTTCCGGTCTGTGCAGGCTACAGAGCGGGTGATGTTGTGCTTGTGCATGAGGATCTTCGACAGTTTTAAGCATCCTGAAGGCCCAAGAACCCATCTGGAAATAAATGGGGGCAGCCTCTTGCGACTGTGTGGTGGCTTCTGTATGCACAGAGGTTGGTGACATTGCGGGGCCAGCACCACCTTCTGCGGCTGCTTACCTGATGCTGTAGCGAATTCTGTACCGATTACTTTGCTGCCTACGTATGTGTGGTACAATAGGAAAAGCTGCCCGCCTTTATCGTTTTGGAATATATTCCCTTGTGGGGACCGGCATGGGTCACGCCTTGACCATGGGCCCTCCCAGAGCTTCACATGACGCAGTCCGTTTCCGTGCAGGGATTCATTTAACTTAGGTGGTCTAGGTGTGTACTTTGACAAAGCGCAATGATCACAGGCGTTGCCAAAGATCGGTGCTGGGGGACCATCGACACGCCCCATCACACGAGGCAGCTGCCCTGACAGCTGCTGTGCTTACGCAGGGTCCCTGAGAGCAATCGCAATGGCTTTTTAAACGCTGCCTCGCCCAAGATGCAAAGAAGCCAGCACTATCACCAGCCCCCAAGAGCTACACAGCAGCAGTATACAGCACTCCCAGCGTGCAGCAGCCTCCAATCCAGCCCACACAGAGCCTCGTGCCAGCAGATATCATGTCGCGACTGCTCTCGGAGCTCTCCGTGTCTAGTTCAGCACCGACGCCGTCTCCGAGCATGGCCCCAGCCTTTGCCCCTGGACCTGCACCACCCTCATCCCAGGGCGGTCTCACCGTGGAGATTCTTTTAGCCAGTGAGTCCTCAGCCACTCCATCCTGCTTGCAGACACGTCTGTTTTTTCTTGGTGTCCATGCAGCCATGCAAATGCCTTCAGCATTCCATATGCCAACCTGTGGGGGCCGTTCCTCTCAAATCTGTCTATGGGATTTGTGCCCATGTGCGTTTGAGGCTTCAGCTTACCTGCTTTGGGATGCCAATATAGCAATTGGGAATGGAGAGGCTGTGCAAGACGCCCATGAAATGCCTCTAGCTCAGGGCAGCAAATTCCCGCTGACTTTGGAAGATTACACTCCGGAATAAGTTCCCACATTTTAGAGAGCTATGTTTCATTTTTATGTTATGACACGCTCTTCCTGCCAAATGGCAAGTGCGTCCTGCAGACAAGCTGCAGTTAAAGGCTGCCACAATCCCACCTCTTGTTGGACCCGCCAGACCCAAGCAATTGTTTGATGAAAGGCTGCAAATCGTAAAGGAGTAACTCTTGTGGGTGCAGTTGCTGTGGCCAGCTTCTTGCTGGTCGCGATGTTTGTGGGAATTGCACGATTTATGTTCCTGCACCTGAACAACTTCGAGGCCCGCGCCACTGAGAGGGCAGCAGCAGAGGCGGCAGCAGAGGCGGCAGCTTCCGCTGAGAAGGAAGCTGGCGGCGCCAGGAAGCACCTGCAGCGAGTCACCCCTGTCATTGTCATCCAGCCTGGCCAGGAGGTACGCTGCAGACTGACAAGTATTCAAAAAGCCATTCGTAAATCTGCCCGATCTGTGATGCATATGCGACTTGAATTTGTTTGACAGTCTGGCAAGGAGGTCTTCTGGTTTTTTATTGAAGCATGTATCCAAGTGTTGTGCTTACAGATGGGGTCTTAAGGAGCGTTACAGCTGCTTACTGTTCCTGCGTATGGCTTAGCCGCCTCAGTCTATTATATTATCTGCCCAGTTCACTTCTCCGCGCAGAGATGCCATTTGCTGGTCATCAAATATTTGGGAGGGGATTCGCTGCTAGCAGCGCTGATCTCCAATTCTGATGTCATGCAGATTCTGTACGGGCTGAAGGAGCGCCCCACCGCCGGAGAGGGCTGCCCAGAGGTCCACATCAGCGTTGACTCATCAGCGCCACCTCAGCACCCATCACAGGCCCCAAAGACCCCCAAGGGTGCCTACAAAGTCAGGACATTCTATGTGGTGAACATTCCGGACCTTTCACAGCCTTCCTGCCCAACGGACATAGATGCTGGGGAGGTGCTAAAGAAGATCCAGGTGGCAAAGGAGCATGTGCGCGCACATGTATGCCGCGATTCTGTCAGCTCTTGCCAAGCATGACTCACTAGAGATTATGCATTGCTTATGTTTACAACCCGGAGAGGTTGCCCTTCTAGCGCAGCATGAGGCTCATAATATTATTTTTTTGCCAGAGACTCGAGGAGCGGCACTGCAAAGAAGCTTGCATTGCAAGGCGGCAGACAAAAAGTATTGCTCAGCAGTGAGAGTAGCATGGGAGTTTCTTGTGCCTTCACCTTATGGGCCATGCTGTGTTCCGTTCTGAACAGGCATCTGAGAAGAATATCACATGCTATACGGTGTTCTTGGGACATTATTTTATTGACAGTTTACAGATCTGGTTCCATTCTGACCTTGCCATTGATTCCCCTTGCAGCCGAGGAGGTCCTTCCTTTGGCCTGATTGTACAGAAGAGGGTGCTGCACAAAAAGGTCCCACAGCATTTGCGTTCAGAACTTTGTATAGAACCCCTACGCAGACATAAGATGTGTCTTGATTTGATAACGCCTTCATATCTGCAATATGGCCTGGGAGTCAGGTTTTATGTCAACAGTTCAAGTGTTTGGATTTTTTGTCGATAGGTCATGTGTCATTTGAAGACCTGTACAGATCAAGCTGCGCAGCATGCCATGGAGCTTCCTATGGTTTTGGTGGGACCTTCCATTTTTAAAGGAATGCATGCGTGCTCGCTAATGCATGAAAACTAGGTAATGGACAATTTGGCACGAGATCCTTCACTGATCTGTTATCGTGAAGGAGGTTCAACAAAGTCAAGGAAGCTGCACTTTGATGTCTCAGATGAACAGTCAAAAACCCGGTCAACATATTGTCAGCTGCCCAGCTCTTCTGACACTGCTAACACACAGGGAGGCAACACAGCCAAGAAGCCCAGCTGGCCACTACCCGTCCCACGTTTCTATAAAAAGCATTGCCTTACTGCCGCGTTCTGAAAATAACCCCGCTTGCGCTGTGCTGCTGCATGTTCCTGCAAATGTCCGATCATCTCAGTCGCGTCAGCTCTGCCAGACCCCCCCGGCCCCCCCGCCGCACGCCCTCCTTCTTCCGGCGTACCTTCCCCCTGGAAACTGAGCTGCCCGCTGACTGGATTGTCTGCTCCAACAGCTCCTGGTCTGACAGCTGCGGCATCCCCGGCGCGCCTGCACAAACAAGAAGAAGCTCTGCTTCAAGATGCAAGCGGTAGTTTGCCAACAGGCCTAATAGCTACACTATCTGACTTTGGCATTATAGATCTCCAGGATCCGTTCCTCTGGCCCTCGCACGCACAAAGACACAGTGCGGCAAGCTCTCCAGACATCCAGAAGCCACATCTTTGCAGATCATGGGAATCTGCAAGCCAATGAAGACGAGCTTCCTCTCTGCGAGGAGTCGAAATCTGCATGCAAGGTCTTCTAAGGGTCGGGAGGAGAGCAGAAGACTTTGCTGCTCAAGAGCATGCCTGCGGAGACCAGATGTCTCTCTCTCTCTCTCTCTCTCTCTCTCTCCACACAAGAAAGAGCTAAAGGCATGGTGTTCGGGGGTCGGGAATAAAGCAGCAGGGCAGGGGATACTGAAGGCAACCCCCTGGGATTTCAGTACCCTCTGAGCAGAGGCAAAAGAGGGTCTTGGAGGACAGCGCACCGCCGCCCATTTTCATCATCTTGGAGAGGGATTGCATTTTGGCGCGCATGCCGCCAAAGGTGCCGATCATATTAGTCACGTCAACCTCGATCCGGCCGGCCCCGCGCGCGATCCGCCGCCGCCGCGACGCCGTCTACGCGTGTTATCAAATCGTCAGTAAATTGTTGTCGAGGATCAGACATCGGCACAGCAAGTCAGAGATAAACACAGCCATGCGGCTTACAGTCGTTTGCACCAACAGCCAGCATGAATACTTCTGAAGCCAGCACAGCAGCGGCAGAAGGCTCTTGTTATAAAGGCCTGACTCTGTTGGAGGTGTGAGCCAGGAAAGGTGCAAAGTGGATTTGCACTCCCGATGAGACACACAGCTTGGGCGTAGTAATCAGAGAGAAAAATACGGACAATTGAGGGTGTGAGACCTGTCAAAGCGCAAAAGTTTACGCAAAGCACACCCACCTTGGCGAGGAGGTCTGGGTTGGTCCGCTCCTCGGGAGTCATGCTGTTTATGAGCGCTTCAAACATCTTGAACTGCTTCTCCGCCTCATTCAGCTGCTTCTCCGTGATCTGGTTCATGCCTGCATGGAGATAATCACTCGTGCTCGCTAGTGAAGAACGCCTTGACAAAGTGACCTGCTTGCAAGCTCAGATAGGGGCTATTAAGAGGTCCAAAAGATGACCCCAACCACAACACGACAGCATTAAATAACATTTCAAGCATCGAGCAACTGGCAATTGTGACTTCTTTGCCCACCTCTCGTCCGCCCAATCAAATGCAAGTTCAAGAAAATTGAAGTGCATGCAAACACTAGCACAAAAGCTAACAGCTGACTCACCCGGGAGCATCTTCATGATCTGCCCCATGCTGCCCATGCCCGAGACCATCTTGTACTGCTTCAGGAAATCATTGAAGTCGAATTTGGCGCTGAGCATGCGCTTGGTGATCTCTGCAGCGTCCTCCTCTTTGATGGACGCCTCTGCCTTCTCCACCAGCGTTAGCACATCCCCCATGCCTGCACAAGGGACTAGTTGGTTCCAATCATGTCTGAAGTGGGAATTGATGCATGCATGCCTGCATTGAAGAGGTTGGGCGCAAGGCTGTCTCAACCTTCAAGCCAGCTTCCCGTTGCTATCTTCTCCTTCAGAGTACGAAACATCAACAGCGTTTTGTTCTGCCTTTGCAGGCCTTCCTCTTCAGGGCATGCTCCTAAGAGCAGGCTTCAGGAACCGGCACACACAGTGATAAGACTCGCAGTACGAGCAGCCCTCGAACTTCAGGCAAGCTGTGCGCAAGAAATCTTGACATCGTAACACTTGCAGTCAGAAAGCGACATGCAGCAAGAGAAGGTAGTTGTGGGCAGTATTGAGCGACGCCAAAATGAGCAATGGCAGGAGAAGACAGCCCGCAAAGAGACTGAGGTGGAGCACTGAAAATAACCGAGGATGCGCGAGGCAATGCGGTCAGGGTAGAAGGGCTCCAGAGCCTCCAGTTTTTCTCCTGTGCCCACAAACTTGATGGGCTTGCCGGACACCGCCTTCACGCTCAGCGCCGCTCCTCCGCGGCTGTCACCGTCCATCTTTGTGAGAATGGCGCCTGCAGCATATGCAACGCAAGAATAAACTTTTTGAGAAGATGTTTGTGCAAAACCCAACTCTTGGTAAGGCAAGGAGGGTTGGTACATCGTTTGCTGATTGCTTATTTTTTGACCCCGGCATTGATTTCAGAATTGCACGTTGCTGCAGCCAAGTGTTGCACATCTGAGCAGTCTGCTGAGCATGCGTTCCACTAGGGACATAATGCAGATTGAGCCAGCAGATTTCTTGGAAAGGAGGACGCCCCCACAGGCTGGCTTTCCGGTTGTGGCATGATTCTGACAGACATGTGGTCTCAGTGACTGCAGGCAGTACAATGAAGTGGGCGCACCGGTGATCTCTGCGGCCTCGTTGAAGGCTTTGACGAGGCCAGCAGCCTCCTGGCCGGTCATGGCGTCCACAACCAGGAGTGTATCTGATGGCTGCACCGTCGCCTGCACCTCCCGCAGCTCGCTCATCATGTTGGCGTCAATCTGCGCACAGCCAGCACAGCCCCGTCAGCATTATTACCCTTACGAATCCACAAATTGGTACCCCCGCCCCTGATGAGTACGATCCTCGTCATCCTGCAGGTTTGCGGAAAGATGTTGTTGCAAACACAGGGTTCCTTGCGTCCTCAGAGTTATTCCTCAGCAAGCAGTGCTTCCAATGATACTTGGTGACATGCAGGTGCAGAGATTAGCCATGCAAAGTTCATTGACCTGTAGATTCCGAGCTGATGATTTTTAATAGATGTTCACAAGAGTCAACATCACAATGACAGCAGGCATGATCAGGCACCTGCAGGCGTCCAGCTGTGTCCACGATGATGGCGTCAAAGTCCTCAGCGCGAGCCTTGGCGAGTCCCCTCCTCGCAATCTCCGCCGGCTTTGCATCCGTGCCCATCTCAAACACAGGCACCTGCGTTTGCATGGCGGGTACAATTCAGCACATCAGCATGCTGTGCAAGATGCTCATGATTCTCACAGATCCCTGATGCACTGCTCCCGTGCATCCAAGGCATCAGATTGAGGATGACGGATTGTTGCTGCTGGCATTGTATCCTCAATATCTGCTCATGCTCACATGCCTGCAGTCTTCGTAAGTGAACCCACAGCTGGTGATGTACACCAACGTACAGGTGAATGAATGATTCTTTTCACCTTTATTTTCTGCCCTCCTTCAGTCTGTGTGAGCAGTAGCAGTCAATCTTGGATTGCAAGTTTACGCCTGGGTGTAAAACAGAGTACTAAAACGAGTCTGGCCATTTGAGCTTTCCCATGATGGCAGGAGAGCTGGCAGCTAAGGCAGCGCACATTGATGCGCTCTCCCAGGCTGACGAGCTGGTCGATGGCGGCCGGCCGGTACACATCGGTGGCCACCATGAGGACTCGCTTGTTGCGCTTCTGCAGCGCCAACGCCAGCTTCCCACACGCCGTCGTCTTTCCCACTCCCTGCAGGCCCGCCATCAGGATGACCTGCGCAGGGGTACACCAACTCCCCAGCTCACGCTACCAGCCAGGTGTGGAAGTGTTATACGTTACAGACTTCGTGAGACACTGGCATCTAAAAGGCGCTTCAAGGACACTCAGTAGATTTACATGATGAGGAAGTCATTGAGGGACGCTTGATGCAACTCAGTCAACATTCACAATACTGCGCGGCAGAATCTATATGTCTGGCAACGACAGAAAATAAGCACCTGGGGGCCGTCCTTGGGGTCATTGAGGTCCTGCTGCTGGCCGCCCATGAGCTCTACGAGCTGATCATTGACTACCTTCACCAGCTGCTGGTCCGGCCGCACCCCCTTTAGAACCTTGGTCCCCAGCGCTGTCTCCTCCACACTCTTCACAAACTGCCTCACCACTGGCAAACTCACCTGCGCGACGCATGACCGGCCTGAGAATCACGCATTGCGCCCTTCATTCCACACCATCATAGCTGCACTCGCGAAATTAGCTTTGGCTGTGGGATCCATCAGAATGAGGTTTGCGATGGGCCAGGAGACATCCCCGCATGCATGCATGAACAGCGGGCAATTGGCATGCATGGCACATCACAGATGCATGCAGATGTCGGGCTCCGGTGGCTGTGCATAGCAGGATTCCAGGGGAAGTCTGCAGATGGCTCACGTCTGCTTCTAGAAGGGCTCGCCGGATCTCCCGCATGGGTGTTTTGATGTTGTCCGCTGTGAGCTTGCCATCCTTCCTGACAGTGTCCCACACTCCCTCCAGTCTCTGGCTGAGGTTGTCGAACATGCCGGCTCGTACAACCGTGCATGATCCTCTCTGCGTGAAGTACATTCAAACGCCTCAGGTATGACAGGTGGCCTGCTGGTAATGTGGCCAAGAAAGTGACAAGACTGACGGCACATATGTAAAACCACAAATTCCGGGCTCAAACGTCCTTTAATCTAAATCTGGTGACGACAGGGCTGTGAGTCTACGCAGACGACAGTTACCTGCTGCAGGATTGGAGGCTTCAGCTGCAGCTTTGTCGAGACCAAGGCATTCCTCCGCCATGATAGCGCTTGATGCTGGGAGGTACGATTTCTGTTGCTTGTGGATGGCAGTGCTGTGCAGTGAGACGCATGTGCCGAGGTTCTGCTGTGTGCGAAATGGGGATCTGCTATGTGATAACTGCAACTTGGGATAGGCAAAGACCCCATTTTAACTTACACATGCAACGATTCTAAATGGCAGTCAATATGTTGCAATACATCATACGTTCTATTCTGAAACGTAGTAAGTTGGCTTCTGCTGCGCTTTTCATCTGATCTCATCCTGAAGCCCTACAGGACCCTTTCAACTGTTGCAACTCCCTTCCAACCAATACCCTACCACCTCGGCATGCATACGCCAATAGAACCTTGAAACTTGGTGGTGTTCGCGTGAGGTGACTTCAAACTTTTGAAGCGGACATTCTTCATATGTCTGCGCTGTGGATCACCAAGCCGCTGCCACCTTGGAGCCCATAAAAGCTTTAGGCGAAGGCGAAGTGTAGCAAGATGATGGGGGTGAAGAAGTATATCGGGCTGAGCACTGTGGCAGCATTGGGAGTTGTGTATCATGCATTCAGCACCCGGGAACAGTGAGAGCTCTTGCCTGATTGCAAATCCACCAATGTGTTTTGTGTCATCACTTGTGATTCCCGTTTTTTTGTGTATAGTTCGTTCATATGTCAGGCCCTAGCCTGCAATGCCTGCTTAATCTTCAGCGCTCAGGAATCGAAACTCGAAAGCAATTTCCAATGTGACCAGAAGCACTGCGTATATGACTTCTTCCACATTCAAGTCAGGCTTTGACTGACAAGTTGAGTGCCCCTGTAGGTTCTTCCCTTCAGTCTACTACCTGTCCACGTCCAAGATTGCCATCGCTGTCCTGGGAAACTTTGCGTTCGCCGCTGCCCTGTGCATCTATTTCCTCCTCACTAAGGTGCTGTACCCTCTGCTTGAAGCACTCCTCAGCAAGCGGCCCTATGAGCAAGCTCAACCTCCGGAAATTCTTGCTCGCTTGAGTAGAAACGTCCTTTTTTTGACAATGTTGTGATTGTAGATCTTCCTGGGGACATTGAGGGAGGCCGAGGTGGAGCGCATCAACAACAGGATCAGCCAGGCAGTCATGGAGACCTGCCTGGCCATGACCATCTTTCGCGACGAGTTCAATGTCAATTTCGTGGCCATGTTCACGATCTTGACCTTCATCAAGGTCTTCCACTGGCTGGTGCAAGACCGAGTGGACTACATTGAAACCACTCCCACAGTCTCTCGGCTGTCCCATGCTCGCATCCTCGTCTTCATGGGCATCCTCCTGGTGAGGCTGCTGTCAACTTAACGGGAACAATGGTTACAGCGCAGAGCTTTGCATACTTGCCTCACATTAAGCACTTTATATTCCTAATGTGTGCTTCCTGTTATGTACTTAATATTCCCAAGTGCGTTGCCTCTGGTCATGCACTTCATCTTGGCAACTGCATGGCCTGTGCTTGGTGACCATAGCACATCAGCATGTGATCGTGGCCTCGTGTGCTTGCAGAGCGTGGACAGTGCTTTCCTGCAGTACCTCATCAGCAAGACCCTCGCAAAGAGCGCCAGTGTGCACCTCCTTTTTGCCTTCGAGTACATCATCCAGGTCCGGGACTCTGCAATTTCCATTTCATTTCTGCTGTGAACATCTCTCAATTTTCCATGCTGCCTTTCTCCATGTCCGTGAGTCTAACTCTGTGGGTTTCCAAGACTTCCCTTCAAACTCTTCCGTGCTTGAAGATTCTCTCGGCTGCGCATGCAACACTGAACTGCACCTTGTGTTGCTAAGCAGGCGTCGGTGATCGTGTCGACCTTCCTCAAGTACGTGCTGTCGATGATCGACAACTACATGGAAGGGCGCTGGGAGCACAAGGGAGTCTATGTGTTCTACTTGGAGCTCGTGACTGACATGCTTCACCTGCTCGTCTACCTGGTCTTCTTTGTCATCGTCTTCACCAACTATGGCCTGCCTCTCCACCTGGTGACTCCCGTCTTCACGCATGCATGCCATGTGGAAGGCCTGACGTGAATCACATCCTACCACAGCCGTGCGGGTTTTCAAGCTTACTTTCTGCAGCGTCTCAGCAAATGAAACAGCAGCATACATTCATACAAGAACCCGTAGCGAACATGGTTATCTGGACATAGCTTCTGCAAGGGAAGCAAAGGCGAGTGCGTGAATATAAGGCCAGAGCAGGCAGCAGGTAGTATTACCATATTGTTGAGCAAACTTGCCAGAGGTTACCAAAGTATACTTTTAAGGGCTGATCAGAGGAGGGCTAATCATTGCAACAGGTTACCGTTGTCAGCACCATATTTCACGCACCCCTCCAAATGCGTGAAATGTCTGGACCTGTTTTCCTGGGTCTTTCCTTCCTTGTAATGATGTTTCATCATCACCAATGTGTCAGGCGCGGCGATCGCTTTCCAATACTGGTCTCAAGATTGTCATAGGGGTTATATTTTGCATTTTAGGGTCTTAAATTTTCGACCCTTTTAAGAGAAAAATAAACCCGGGAAATATGGTGCTGACCACGGTACATTTGAAAGGGACCCTACTTGACTGAGGATGCATGTGGTGCCCGTGCGCGAAGGTGCGCGACCTATACTGGACGTTCCGCAACTTCCGGAACCGTGTGGCCGATTTCCTGCGGTACCGCCGCGTGACGGCCAACATGGACGAGCGCTTCGGCGACGCCACAGCCGAGGACCTGGCGCGCTGCGACGGCATCTGCATCATCTGCCGCGAAGACCTCGCCCCCGGCGCGCGCAACAAGAAGCTGCCCTGCAACCACGTCTTCCACATGCACTGCCTGCGGTGCGCGGTTCTCCGAACTTTGTTGCTTGTAATACTCTGGACCCCAAGGCCTCAGATGAACACTACTTGGAGCACTTGTCGTGCGCTGCCTCCCCTTGCACAACCTTCTCTTAGATAATATTGCGTTTCAACATCACAGTAGAGTACCAGAAAGATAGTGCATCAATTGCTCTCCCTGCCTCCTGTTATTCCTGCCCTGCCATCCCCTAGCTTTACTTCTTCTTCTGTGCCCGTGCCAGCTCCTACTGATGGTCGATCATTGCATGGCGCTGGTACTAAAATGCCGAAGTGTTTCTCTATGCAGGCTTTGTTTCTGATATTCTCTGACTTGGTACAATTTCTTATGCTTGAATGTTCTATGCTCACAGGTCATGGCTGGAGCGGCAGCAGAATTGCCCCACCTGCCGAGCGTCAGTCTTCCGGCAGCCGGGGCCTCTCGAGCAGGTGAGCAGGCAGAACCAGGGCGCTCAGCAGCAGCCTGCTCAGGCGGTGCGCCACTCTCTTGTCTTCATACCCCATCTTCTATCAGACGCTCCCTCAACTTCTTGGGAGCACCTCTGCATTGGCGGTGTTATTTGGACTCCAAGAGAGCCCAGGGAGCACTATATCTAATTCCCTGAAGTTAGAAATGATGATAAAGGCAGTATCCCCTGAAGCTTTAATGGTAAGGGGGCTCAGGTTTATATAAAATATGGGGGGCGGTGTCCTGGTAGCAGGGAGTGGCAGGCAACAATGCGGCCGGGCAGCAGCGCGCTGGGGCACCGGGGGGCCAAGCACAGGTGCAGGAGGACAATGCAGCGGCGGCGGCGATGCGGCCGCGGAATCGACGCGCGGCTGCGGCAGCGGCCGCGGCAAGAGCCGCTGCCGGCGGCGTCGCCCCTCAGTCTGCGCCGCGCGGCCCGGACGGCCGGCGCCTGCCGCGCGGTGTGGCCGCGCCTGCGCAGCCCGGTGCGGGCTTCCTCTTTCGTGCTGTGTCACTGCTCGTCAAACCTGCCTCTGACAGCACATCAAGTACCTTTGCAGTGAAACTCGTCTGAGTGCATGTGGATGGCATATCATGCTTGCTCCCTCGAGGCAAGAAATATTTTTGCACAGTTGCATTTGACAGATCAATAGTGACATGAAGCAGCTAAGCAGTGTGAACGACTTACTTGGAGCCATAACGGATTGCTGGCAATATGGATAACGACAGCTTATAGGACTGAGTATAATTTCTTCTCTGGCGCACAGGTGTGGGCCAGGCGATGCCGCAGCCGATGCAGGCGCAGGCGTATCCGATCGCGTACCCTGGCGGTAACTACGGGTACGTGTGGAACCTGCCGCAGTGGGCGCCCGCCACCTCGATGGCGCTCTTCGTGCCGGGCCACATGCAGTACGCCGGGCAGCAGGCGCCCGACTCATTCATGCCCGCCGGCAGCCAGGTGAGCTTGTGCATCATAGCTCCTGCGATGCGCCACCCCGCACTTATCACAGAAATAGGTGGTCTCTGAGCTTGGGCTGGTCTTGCAGCTCTTCTGTCGCTGACAGCAGGATTGCTGGGATTATTTTGAAGCCCATAGTTGCACTTGATCTGAAAAGGGTGTAGGATCTTTAGGGAGGCCTGTCTCTCCCCCATGCAAAGGAAGGCCATTCACAGGAAGCTGTCTTGGAAGCACCATAAAGGCGTCACTGGGCAATTGGTGGGGAGTGATCAAATTATAGTTCAACAACAGTTGAGAAACCCGAAAGTATATTGCCCCCAACATGCGTCGCTGGAGAATGACTAAAAGACTTGTGCATGCATGCAGGGGCTGGCGCTGCCGATTCTGCCGATGGTGCTGCCGCCGGCGATCCAGGCGCTGATGCAGAGCGCACCTAATTCCACGCCCGAGCAGCAGGCGCACCAAGCCGCCGCCGCAGCCGCCGCGGCCGCCGCCGTAATGTCATCCCCATACTCCGCCATGATGCTGCCTCCCTCCATCCTGCCCATGGGTGCGCGCAGATTCTTCCAGTTTGTTTGCAGCCGGCCTGCCTAGTAGCGTGACTGCTGTACATAAGTAAGGCCGCAACAGGAAAATATATATTTCATCTTCTTTCATTTCTTCTGTTGCTGGACGTGCAAGGCCCCTCAGGAAAGATTATGCTGTGAGAAGCAGCAGGAATAAAGAAAGTGGACGCAAAGACACTTGTAAACCCTGATCAGAATTTTAGTTGCAGGTCCTCTGTTCAAGTCAAGTGCAGTCAACACAAAATGTCAAGTATGCCAGGGACTGGCTGAGAATCTGACTGTATTTTTTGGGCAGGCATGCACCCGGGCGGGCCACCAGGGGGCGTGGGCAGCACGCCGATGAGCCAGGAGGCGACGGCTGTGGCGGCCGGCAATGCGGCGGCCGCCGCGGCTGCCGCCGTGTTGCAGCGCGGCGGCGCGCAGGCATCTGTGGAGACCATGGAGCAGGTGCCGTGCCCTGCTACTCGCTGATGAACATCCCCAAAGCTATATTGAGCTGCCAGACTTGGCATGTTTGTAGCTGGTCGGTCGGCAAGATTTTCCCGTTCTTATGCTCTTAATGCACGCAGCGCCGTGTTATGAAGAGCATGGTAGAGGCATAACACTGCCCTGGAACCGCGAGCAAACATGCCAGACCTGTTGTTGAATATGGGTCAGTTGATTGTGATTGTTCTCTTACTGATCCAGGACCAGCAACAGGCCTTGTGAAGGTGAATGCAATAGTGCCGAAGTAAGTCTGAGCCCCAATTGCATGGCGCGCAGGTGCTGATGCAGCAGCGGGACCTGGTGCAGGCGCAGATCGAGCGCCTGCACGCGCACATGGAGCAGCAGGGCTCCTCCGCAGCAGGCGCAGCCGCAGCCGCGCCGCCGGCCGTGACAACGCCGCTCAACGGTGCCGGTGGAGGGAACGCGCGCCGGCCGGCCGTGGCGGCGGCGGCTGCCGCCCCCGGGCCCTCCAGCTCTGCAGATGGCCTGGCGCCGTCTCTTCCCCAGCAGAACGGCGCTGCGGTGATGCCCCTAGTTCATGTTTCAGCGTCTATGGTCCTATCGTTGCAGGATGCTAACTTCGATGACTTTGTCTGGCTGGGCGTTGCAGTAGAGTGTTTGTGAGCATTTCAAATCTTGCAACCGCGTCCCCCTGTAGGCACCTCAAGTGCCGATTGTGAACATGGCTGTTGTTCACCTGTGGGGGTGCAGAATGCTGCCCTGGACTGGGCACTGAAGATTGGGTCTTCGACAGAAATCCAGGCTAAGAAAAAGTATTTAGGTAGGCAATGTTTGTGCTCAGGTGCTTATGTGCTAATCCTTGTGTGTGACTCTGGCAGGGGTCAAGCAGTGCAGAGGCCGAGAGCAAGCAGCAGCAGAAGGCCGCATCCAGCGCGTCGTCAGCATCAGCTGACACACTGAACGGGTCTGCAAGCGGGAGGTTGGACACGCCAGATGCAGATCCAAGCAATGGCGAGGAGCCATCAGAAGCAGAGGAGATACGGCAGCGACGGCTGCGCCGCTTCAACGCCTAGACACTCGACTGTCCAATTTGCAGATGATGTAGCAGTGCGGTGTGCCAGTCTTGTAAGCAACTTTTCAAACCAGCCCAAGAGGTAGGATTGCAGGGGATGTGTTGTTCTAGACGAAGACTGCCTTGATCAGCCCTCATAAGCCAAGTTTTTGAGGCAGCCCGATATTCTTTGTGTCATTCACTCATCCAGAATGGGGCTATGCCTTGTACGAAGGAGTGAGATTTGCGGTTAGCAACTCATCACATTATCTCCTTCAGCTGCAGGTCTTCTCTTCACATCAAGATTTGAAAGGTGGTTGCAGGATCCTGCCTGGATGTCAGCATACGATATTCTCTGACAACCTTGGCTTCCAAAGATACCTGGACAGTGTGAAATCGATGCGATTGCAGGCAAAGAACATACATAGATCCATGGCTAACATGGCAAATTAAAGTGTGCAACATCATGGGCAGGATCCGGTGCTTGCCCTCTTGAGCATTGCAGCAACTCAGCATCAAGCGGGATTCTTAATGTCATGAAGATCGAATTCGAATTGTCTACAAAGCAGCACAATCCTCCCTTGCCACAGCATATGTACAGGTCCAGAGCAATCTCGCATCTGCGCCAATCACTCGCCTTCGTAGGGGCACATCAGCAAGGCTTCTCTGCCATATTGAAGGATTAGGATACCCGCAAGCCATCTTGGGAACACAAAATGTTCACATGTCTCTGGGCCAAAGCAATCCTACTCTACATATTATTCTCCCTCCGCTCCAGCTAGCACTACATCTTGGTACATCCGCCCTTTGCGGCCCTCCACTCCCCTACTTTGCATTTCACCTAAGCCTAACCGACCGACAAAACACAGTTTCCTTCAGACTGCCATTTGACACAGCGTAGGATCCAAAATCCCCTTCCTGATGCCCCGTTTTTCCTGATACAACAGCTGGCAAAGCTTCCTTCTAAAGCCCACTGTCGCATTCTTGAGATCTTTTCTTGCTGCCAAGACATGCTTCCAGAGGGTGATAGACCCGGGCCCATCTGGCTGCCTGCTGAGTGCTGGTCCATCGTCCTAGATCCTTTCTCACATGGACTTGCGCACTCCCCTTGGCTTCACAGGCGCTGGCAGGGACAGCCGGCGGCCTGACTTGCCACGGCTGCAATCCAGGCGGCCAAACCATTTCAGAGCCTCATTCTCCTTGGCGCCGACCTTGCCCGGCTCGCTTGAGGCTGATGAGAGCGGGCGCGTGCTGTGCTTCTGCACTCCCCGGCTGCTCTCCAGCTGCGAGTAGGCGTACAGCGGCGTGCGCGCCAGCTTCGCCCTGACTGCTGCCTGCGCATGCAACACACAAATGTCCCTTCAATAAATTTGACAGCAGGCAAAAGCGAGCCAGCTCAGGTTAGTCACAACTCGGGGGATGAAGGTGAGAGCCAGGCACGAAATGGCCCTGTCATAGTGCTTCATACACATCTCTTTGAAGAACCGAAATAGCAGGGAATGAGGGGGGTCAGAGATGACATCAACGTAAGAACAAGTAGACATTTCCGACATCCCATAGCTTCCATCTAATCCCTACTTGATTGCCCAGCAACACACAGTCAGAGAGTAGGCAGCAGAAAAAGGGGCAGTGCAGGTACCAACCTGCCGTCTGCTCTGCGGTGAGGTCTCTGTGTCTGCAATGCTGCGCCCCTCCCACACTGGCCTGGCCGCAAAAGATGGCGAGGGCATGCTCGGGGACGGCAGCGCGGGTGCCACAGTTCCACTTTCCACTTGCAGCTGCCTGTTACCAAATCGGTAACAAGCTCAGATATCCATGTGAGTCTCCCTTCCCCAATGTCCAGGCAGCATGTGTTATTGCTCAAACAAATCAAGGCCAGGGCTTATTCAATACTCTATACAGTAATACAGGAAGAGTCATGCCTGTCAATTTTATTGAGCACGTACCACAGGGAATGGTGGCCCAGTGTACTCTCGACATGTGCGACGAGAAAATGGCTGGGTAATATGCACACCTCTTAATGAGCTTGAGGTAGGGGGCAGCCGCAAAGGTGGGGATGCGGTCTGTGGAGAAGGCGCGCACTGCACCGCTGCTGCTGACAGGAGACTTGCGATTGCGGCAGTCATTCAGCTGGGATCCACTGCCGCCAACCTTCTGCTGTGCCAACGTCCCTGCACAAACAGACCGTATGGATCATTGTCATCCAGATCGCCTTGAGTGACATAAAAAGTGCATTTCCAAATTTGCAATATAGCGTTCAACGCTGCACTCAGGTACAGGCCTCACCATGTGTTGTGGTCAATTTGCGGAAGGCAATTGTCTTTGCTGGAGCATGTGGGTTGCCTACTGGCCCTGCATATGCGTAAGAAAGTAGCGTAACCACAAGGAATTTCTGCCAACGAATTGTGTGTTATATGCACAATTTCACAATATTAATGTGAGCTCTGAGCGCTACAACGGACACCCACGCCAGCGCAAGTCTGCCCCATGAGAGTCTCACATAATTCAACAAGAGTTTTGCAGCTTCCTTGAAGCCAAAAGGTCTGCATAGAGGGGGCATCTGGGCTGATTTGCAGCAGAAACGTTCTGGCCCCTCACCGTGCCAGAGGACTTTGAGTGCTCGTCCAGCCCTTGGTATTTTGACCCGCGGCATTGCTTATGACAACGGTGTGGCCTCTGTAGGCTACTTTGATCAAATGACTTGAAATTTTGCCGACGCGTTTCCAGGTATAGCGCCCTGTGAGAACGCCAAGCGTCACACCCCGATCAAGGCTGCCTCCCTGCAGGCAGCGGAAGGCCGCTAGCCTGTCATTGTGCTAAAAAGGATGGGCTTTGGGATCCACACAGTTTCTGAGCTGAGCATTCCCGAGGCAGCTTCCTCGAGACTCGGAGATATCCGTCGTTTCGATGTTTCTTTCCCTTGCCAGGGTTTAGAAATTGGGGGGAACAGAAGCCCTACACCTCAAGGAAAAGCTAGGCAGAAGAAGGAAGTTTTGCTGGCTGCATTCGATGCGACAAGATCTAGAACGAGAATGTTCAGTGAGTATCTGTTCGTATGTGCTTACCACCTGCAGCCCATTGTCTCGGTAATGAAGGGCAGGGTCATAAAACATGTCGTTCGGTTGTTCCGGGACTTCCTTGTCACTTGCCTTCTCGGAAGGCATGGAATCTGGATCATATCCTGACATATGGCCTTGTTGAATGTCCTTGTTCACAAGCCTTCAGCGATATCAAGTGGTCTGTACAGTGTACAGAGTCTATTCGGAGATGAAAATTCAATCGGATGCAACTGGAACCAACTTGCAAAACAGGGTGTTGTTATAAATATCTTCATACTCAAAATACATCGTAACAAGGGATGTACGCGAACATCAAGGAGCTCTGATATCAACATTGCTGCAATTGCATTACATGGATCAAGCCTGAGGACCAGCGCAACCGGCAACTCAGCACCCTTAACTGTTTGGGGCCGCGCACACGATGGGCAAACTCTCCGTGATATTCCTTGCCAGTGAAATCTACATGACGTCAGTGGAGACCGTGGAGACCAACAAGAGACACAACAGCAACATCCCTTGTCACAAACTTGTCATGTTGCAGCCTAGACTGTACCTCAGCTCACACACATAACTGTTGGTGTACACCAAGGACTAAAACCCCCTACACTTGCAGCGCATTCTCAGTGAGACATCAATATTAATAGAGCATGGTCATGAATCACCATCACCGCTAATTGGGTGTATTGGGACGTTGTCATGAGCAAATCCACGAAGATCGCAGTAAAAAATCTCAGCACAGATGCGTACCAAAAGTGCGAGCACTCCGAAAATTCTTCCAACAGTCTCAGGCACGGAATGGCACATGTGCAAAGAGCACGTCATGAGTCATCCGTAGTCATTGCCGCCACTCAGTGAGTGTAGCGCGGTGTTGTCATGGGCGAGAAGCGAGCAGAGGAAGTGGAAGAGCGCGACCCCAGAGAGGACCTCGAGGAACTGGGCTCGCTCAGTTCTGCCACGTAGGCGGCCAGCGCGCCTGTCGGGCCGCTGCTGCGGCTCTGCCGCCGCCATGTCGCGCCGCTGTCTCCTGCAGATTCCGGATACGATGTAATACATCAGACACTTGCCAGCACTACCCAACAAAGAGAAATGCAGACATCCAGGTAGAGCGTCAGAGATGCTGCCTTGCATGTGAACATGCAAGAGGAATTGAATGAATCCTATACTAACTGCATGATTTGATCGGGAAGGAAACAAGCCTATTATCTATTTGATGTGGAATGTCGATGAAATGTCGAGTGTCAAGCTCTTTCAAGCGCAAAGGTCCCCATGTCCACAGGAGGGCCTGAGCAGGCACGCTGGCATTCTTCCACAGCACACGAGTCCGTGCTGTGCAAAACAGAAAAATGACGAAAAATAGCGCACCGTTGGACGTGAGGGCCGAATCGGTGACCGGGCGCGAAGATGTCGACAGCCCCTCGCGCAGCCGCTTGTTGTCGGCCTCCAGATTGCGCACCGCCGCCTGCAGCTGGGTCAGCCGCCGCCGCTGCTCTTCCGCTGACGTGGACCCCGGCGATGCTGACATGGTGATCCTCGGCGCTGATGTGGCGCCGCTGCGGCCTGTTGTGGCACCGCCTTGCATGCCCTCCAGCAGCTCCTGCAGCGGGAAGTGATTGGTCGTTGGATGTCACTTGAATTTGTAACCTACTTTGTCTGGCTCAACTGTCTGCGAATCTTACACACTTCAGTCCTGATACTGCCAAGGGACTCCGCATCATTTAGAATCCCCTGACTGTGTACATGCCGCAGATTCAACTGACAAGCTGCTGCATTACCGCTGCTTTAGCCCTTGAACTGATCACCCTCTCAACAACTAATTCTACATGGCCTGAGGTGACCTCCGAAGGTGTCCAGGTGGTATCCTGCTAACCTTGGAACGCATCTGGCGTGACTTGCTGCATTCAACTTAAGAGACAAGAAAAGATGAACAGGACAGAGGAGCTCACCTCGAAATCGCGCTCGGCTTTTTCGCGCTGCGCTCGTTCGTGCGCCAGCTCAAGCGCCAGCCTGGCGGCCTCCACGTCAGCGTCGGTGGGGGCGCCCCTGAACGCCGTGCCTGCCGCACTGCCTGCATAATCGCATATTCCATCATGCCATCTGCCATGCCCACAAACATCTGACCGCCACAATCATTTGCTCCTTCCTGCTTAAAACACTGTATGTTCAGGCGTCTCACCTATCGTCGACATCCTGACTGACATCAGTCAGGCGGTCTCCTTTGGGCAAATCAACTGCTGCAGCTGTGCAGCATGTGGTTGGAGCATTCAGTATATCTGTTTGCTTGTGCCCGGCTGCGGGATGCAAGTGTGCGGGATGCAAGTGTACGCACCTGAGCAGGCGAATGATGAAGACTCCGAGGGTGACTGCGGCGGCCGGGGCGGCTGGCGTCCTGCCCTCAGCACTGCGTTTGCTTTCTCCAGCGCAGCCCTCTCCGCATCAACCTGCGTGAATTATGCACGGATCTGTCAGTCTGGCTTTAACATACACCGCTCCCCAACATAAGGGGTATGAGACTCAAAATTGCTGGTATCCTCAGATTAAGACCACTCCCTCAGGATGCTTGTGAAGAGCATCCTGGAGAACTTACACGGACAAGAACGGTAATGTTCTTTTTGGACCAGGCTCACCAGAAGAAGTGCAAAATTCCCTGCTTTGCTGCTTACCCGAAAACCGGTGGATGTAGAGAAAGGATGCACAAACTCAAGAGCGAGCGAGCATCAGAACAAGAAGAAAGGGCTGCATCGCTGTAGTCAAATCAGTGGAGTGAAAAAGTATAAGATGGGTGAGTCACCTTGCTGACGAGGTCCAGCAGGCGCCCGTTCTCCTCTTGCGAGGCCGCCAGGTCAGCTCGCGCTGCCGCCAGCGCAGCCGCCCCTGCACTCGCATCCACGTTGCCGAACGCCCAGTTCTGCGCGGCCGCGTCCCCCGAGTTGGCCGCCCTGCACGAGTGCCAGGATGTTGTCGCTCACATGTGCACATGCAGTGGGGCACGCATTGATCTGACACTCTCGGCACCGCCTGAAGCTCTGTATACGCGGTATCAGAGCTTGCAACGAGTTATCTATTTGCAACCGTCCAATCGCATATCGCCCGCCGCCATCTGTACAATGCATGGTGTGGGGATTTTGTGTTGTTGCAGAAGCTGCTAGCTAGCCTTACTGAGGTACTGGCAAGTCACCCATACGGGATAGACTACAAGATACACCACAATTCCAAGACGAAAGCCCTTGGCACAATTGCTGAGCAAGTAGACAGGCGAGCGGAAGAGCAGTGAGTTGTGCCTACAACATGTCAATGATCTGAGACAAGTGAGCAGCAAGGACTGACCGGATGGCGGCATTGAGGGCGTTGCGTTCGGCGCGGGCTGCTTGCAGAGCGGATTGCAGAGTGGCGTTGTCGACGCGCGTCTGCCGCAGCGATTCGCGCGCGCTGTCAGCCTCGGCCTCTGCGGTCGCCAGCCTCGCCTCCAGCGCTGCGGCCCTCTCCGCCAGCCTGCACACATGAGAAGGATCAACTCCAAATTCGAAATGGCAAGACAACAATAATGTGCCCACCAGCCTGCACCGCAACATGGCACCAATACTTGATGTGGACCCTTCAGTGCTTCTTTGCGGCGTTGCACCCTCGCGCAGTTCTTCAATATGCTTTTCAGCACCGCACCCACAAAGCTGCATTTGGGCCCCCAATGATGGGTTCTGCGGAGATGGCTGTGAACCTAATAGTGGTTCCAGTGGATACAAGAGAATCCAGAGCAGATATATCTCAATGGATGGTGAAAGAGAGAGATCTGTGGGGTGTGCCTGGAGAAGGCGGCAGGGTCGGGTCCGGGCGGCCCGCCCGGCAGGGGTCCGGGCAGGCGGGCAGCGTTGTGGGCAGCAAAGTGGCTGGCGCGCAGTCGGGTGAGCAGCGTTTCCAGGTCTGCCACGCGCGTTCCCTCCAGCGCCAGCTGCCGCCGCAGCCCCTCCGCCTGCGCCTCGACAAATTCCACTATTATTTTGACAGGTCGACAATCTCAAAGCCAGAGGCCATAGGGCATACACGTAGGGCATCTGCAGCCACATCTGCAGGGCCTACAAATGTCTGCAGCCCAGTAGTACTGTTTCGCATTTCATGAAAATCCCCATTCCCTCTTCAAAACTCCCTAGTGAGACGCACGTTCCTGTGTTTTCACTTGTATTATCCCACACTGTCTTCTGCCGGAATGAGCAAGCTGAAGCTGCGAATAAAGGCTGTTGCACATGCTGGGCATTCAAAACTCCCCTACACTTGGAACCATCAGTGCTCCAAGGCCTGCCGTAAAGAACATGCAGATCCCCATTTTCTCAGGTCAAGGTCTTAGTGCGTGATTTACTGGAAATCTGAGTAATGTGGAACACCTGCGCCTCAGCTTCCTCACAGCGCGCCCCGGTCTCCCGCAGCGTCCCCTCCATCGCCGCCATCTGCCGCTGAGCGCCCTCCCGCTGCCTCTCCACCTCAAACCGCGCCTGAGACCAAAATAACATTATCAGACATGAAATGTTTCGATTCCTAAGGATCATTAAGAAGTTTGGAGCTTGTCTGCGTGACTCGCTTCTCTTTGGAGACGTAAACAAAGCAGCAATATACCCTTGGATTGGGCTCCGGGGCATATACCAGAACAAGCTGCATGCTCTACCATGCTCTCGGCCTCACACAAAGTGCATGGAGTGAGGTGTTCTCCGTGCTAATTCAAAGCTATGCAGTACAATGCAGATCATGATCTTCTGAAAGATTGTTAATGGCAAACGAGAAGAAAAGAACCTGTTCGGAGTTGCGAAGGGCGTCGAGCAGCGACTGGCGCTCGCGTTCGGCATCGTCCTTGTCAGCTGCCGCCCTGCTGACTTGGCGGCTGAGCTCCGCCACCTGGCGCTCCCACGCCTGCCCTCACGCGCAGCGCCAGATCAGGCCTCCAAATTCTCGAATATTGTAACTTTTCATGTTAATGAATATAGAAATTTCACACCTTTATAGCTCATGCATGCACTTGACACCAATAATACAGGAACGAACTCAGTTGCCTTTACTTATTTGGAGAAGTTCTAGATCATCTGCCCACTGAGATGCTTTGGCTTGCTACAGCGCTGCAACGTAGGTGACTTCAGAACACTGCCAAGACTGGGACAAGACACATGCATGGCTGCACTTGTGCATCTATTGTGCCCATTTTAAGAAGAGCAGTGGTCACCTGGACGTCGAGAGCGGTCTGGTTGAGTTGGGCCTGAGCCTTGGAGTGGGCTTCGCGCATGGCGGCCAGCTCAGCGGCCTGTCCGGCAGCGTGCCCATCCCGGGCAGCCAGCTTCCTGCCCAGCGCGCCCGCACTGCCCTGCGCCCCCCGCAGTTCCGCAGCCAGCGCCTGAACAGGCCCCCAAATCCCCATGAGACACAAGCAGAGTATCAATTGGCCAGGCTTTGCAAGTCTGGGAGCAGACCGAACGGCTATTTGCTTGGCGCGCATCCTATCCAATATGTTAATCATGAGATATATCATCCTGGTGAGCGAGCAGCCCAATCCCCCAACCACCACAAGAAATACTCCAAGCAGTTTTCAGCCGGCTGATGCACCCTTCTGACAGGGCAAGTATCTACAGCAAGTCCCGCTGTAAGTCCTTCTCACCAATCTTCTTTGACTCTGCGCTATGACCTAGAATTGGTGCAAGAGAGGCTCGTGTGCTTGCCCTCAATCCCCGTCTCACTTGTCATTTTGCACTGTGCTTGAGGGAATTTCAGGGCACCTCATAGGTCTTGCGCAGCCGCTCGGTCTCAGCGTCGGCGGCCCGGGCGGCAGCCTCGGCGGCGGCTGCGCGCGGGGTGATTTAATAAAATTACACGATACGATCACAAATGAATCCTGGAGAATCTGCTTTTAAGTTTGTGATATGCGCACAGCGTATGTCTTCCGCAGACGCTCGGTCTCAGCGTCAGCGGCCTGGGCGGCAGCCTCGGCGGCGGCCGCGCGCGGGGTGAATAATAAAATTACAGGATATGATCACAAACGAATCCTGGAGATCCGGGTTTATGGGTGTGATGTGCGCACCTCGTATGTCTTGCGCAGACGCACGGTTTCAGCGTCGGCGGCGCGGGCGGCGGCCTCGGCGGCGGCTGCGCGCGTGCCGGCGGCCCCGGCCTCCTCGCGCCAGGCGTCGCGCTCAGTGGCGGCCGATATGGCCTGCCCGCCGATGACCTGGTTCTCGCGCACGAGCGCTTCAAGGTCGTCCGACACTGCGTGCAGCTCGTCCCTCAACTCGCGATTGTCCGCCTCGAGCGTCTGTAAACCAGGATGAAAGGTTTCAATCCTGTGAAATGAGGACATCTTGGGGGTACATGTAGCCATGTCAACTGAATGGCGACTGGTGAGAGGCACACTGTGGAGACATTTATTGGGCGTCTGACAGTACGGTCCAAAGAAAGCCCGCAAGTCAGGCTGCAACTATGCCCAAGGATTGGCACTGAGCCATCCCTTGGAGGCATACAGGGGGGGCAGCCCGCTTGGAATCTTGTCTAAGGGATGGCAAGTGAACCATTCTTAAGGGCAAGCAGTGTATATAAACATGGATTCTTATACTTTTTCTTTGGCCACCTTGCTCATTTCTGATTCCTGAATTTTGCTCAGTCGCGTGAGTGTCAGGCTCTACTTTTACTTTTGCTGCTTGTTGGCACCACCAGTGATGTCAGCACCTTTCACAGGAAGTGTCCATTGTTTATATGAAGGCAGCGCACTCAGGCAGGGAGGATGGGCCACCTGCGAGGTCTGCAGCGCTGCGTCCCTCTTCTGCTCGGCGAGCGCCAGCGCTTGCCGAGCCGACTGCAGCTGCCCGGCAGCTGCGGCGGAAGCTGCCTCCGCCTGGGCAGCCCGCTGCGTTGCCTCCTCTGCCCGCTCCTGGGCAGCTGCAACCTCCTACATGCCGAGCACTACTCTGTCATTACTCTGCATTGACGTACTCCCAGGCGCATCAAGTTCTTATTCCAGAATGCTTCTGCCATTGTCAGAAGTGAGTACCTGCTCCAAGACGGCTGCAGCCTCGGTCTTGGACGCCAACTCAGCAGCGAGGTTGTCCCGTGTTGTGCCAAGCTCTTGCAACTGCGCCTGCAATCTCTGTGACTGTGCCATTACTTCGTCTGCGTGCTTTTTAAGGAATGCGTTTGGTGTTGCTAGCTGTGTAGCTTTCTCCTCCGGCGCTGTGTCCCCACTCTCCACAGCCTGTCCACAAGGCAAATTCTCTGGTGTTGCCACCATCAATGCTCGCTTGGCCTGTAGATATCACCACATGACAGATCCATAAGCCGTATAATGCAACTTTATGTCTTGCAGAATCTACAAAAAGAAGGACCCCAAAAGTGTTTCCTGCAAGTCATTGCCGTCTGCAAAAGCAACTAAATATATGGAATGAGCAACGAGCGTGATTGGCCTTCAAAGCATCTCTGTATAGCACAATGGCAATCAAACCTTTTGACATTGGGAAGCACCTGCGCGGGTGGCGTCGCTGGCGCGGCGGCCGGCGACGGCCGCTCGGCGAGCGCCGTTTGCAGCCGATCGGCCTCGGAGCGTGCATTGGCGGCGGCTGCGCGTGCGGCGTCACGGTCAGCCGCCAGGCCCTTGAGCGCGGCTATGAGCTCGTCGGCCTGCGCCTGCGCCTGCAGCACCGCCGCCCGCAGCTTGTCCCGGTCCGCCTCCGCCGTCAAGAGCCGCTGCCTACACGACAGAATATACGCAATCATGCAAGTACAGTCAGACACCTTCACAGATCGACCAGGCTTGGCAGGAAATCTGCAATTTCAGTAATTTGGTTTTGAAACACCTCTGCTAGCGCGGCTGCAGAGCTGGTGCCAATCGCGAGCTCGATTTAGGCAGATTGAGACGTCCCAACCCCTTGGCAGAAACTCTCCCTGGCAAATCATTTTTTGTAGCGTGCAATGAACAGCAAAGGAAACATTGTTAAAGGACAAGCTGGTAAATTCAGTAGCAACGAGAGTTCACCTGAGCAAGAGCGTATCGCTGTTCTCCGCAGAGTCGGCACTGCGCGCTCTGACGGCCGCCTCCTCGATAAGCACTGCCTTCTCATCCTCCAGGAACTGAACCTGTGCATGCATGCCAACACGATATCAGCATGCGATCTCAGCACTGACAGCTATTTGACTCCTCAAAAGTGTCACTTCTGCAGGGACGCCCTTGCTCTGGGATAAGTGATCCTTGGGGGAAAGCGAGGATGGAAGAGGCATATCATGGGAACCAAAGATACTAGAGAAAGCTATGCGACCCTCTGGTAGGGAGGAGGCCACTTCGCTGCAACAACCCAGCCCGCATGGCTTTGTTGGCATTGACAGGGGGGAAAAGGCGTGCACACGATGTACCAATAGCTGGTTTATGTGGCATATCCACACAAGCGCCTTGAGAAAAGGCGCTTACCTGGCTGCGCAGCTGCGTGGCTTCGTGCTGCACAGACTCCCGCTGCGCGGCGGCCGCCGCCGCATCGGCCTGCGCCGTGGCAAGGCATTCCCTGAGCTCCGCCACCTCAGCGGCCGCCGCCCGGGGCGGACCCCCCGCCGCCACTGTAGGGGACGGAACCCCCGCCGCCTCCGCCGCGCCTGTGGTGCGCAGCTGCGCCACGGCTCCCTCCACCTCCCCAAGCCGCTCCTTCAGCCGCTCAACCTGCAACGCAGAAAGTGATAGCAATTCACTGTGCTCAGGCATACCCCTAATTGTTGTAAAATCAAGTTCTCCACAATGGCAGGTAGTCTCCCTCCGTAATCTCTATTTCTTAAAGTCTTAGACTGACAGCAGTTATTGGGTTGAAAGTGACAAATTATCGAGAGTACTGTTCTGAGAGCCAACCCAACCCAACTTCCACAGGACATGTCGGTGGCTGTATATATTTCTTGGAATGCAATAATTTATAGCCAATAGATGTGTCCCATGATCCGGGCCGTACCGCAAGAAAAAGTGGTTCCTGAAAAGCATGCAGTTGCAGAAGTGGGTTGGGCAGGTCACCTGCGCGTTCCCTTCGTCGCGCTCGGCCTCCAGGCGGCCCAGCGCATCGGCGCGCTGCTGCAGCTCCGCGGCCGCCTCACTCAGCCGCTGCTCCGCCAACGCCAGCGCTCGGCTTGTCTCCGGCAAATTCTCCTGTTTAGCGGGAAACGAAACCAGCAATCCACTCAGCACACACCTTGCGATGCAGCACCAGTTAGTCTGGCGCGCGCATTGTCTCTCATGTCTTAACTGTTTCTGTGTGAGTGCCTTAAACCAAAGTAGGAGAATAACGCGAATGTGCTTCTACTCATGATGTCCAGAGTCCCAATTGGGTCCTGATGCCCCAGGGTCGGAGTGGCTTTGTTGGAGAACCATATGATCAAGCTGCTGTAGTTGGAATCAAAGTCAGTTTACTGGTATCGGACGGAAAGCCACAGTTCTATCTGCACGCACCGCTCAACTCTTGGAAAATTAATTTGTCTTATGGGGCCTCTCATCATGATCTTTACATACAAAAAATGGCTGACCTTGTCTCCCGCGGAGCGCCCATTTGTCAGGCCATTGCGCCTGGGCAGCCCGGATTGGGCCTGGGCACGCTTGAGGGCAGCCTTCAATTCTCCTGTCTCCCGTGCGAGGGCGTTCCCGTCCCTCACCGCCTCCCGTAGCCGCGCCTCCAGCTGTGCACATGAATTAACGCTGATGTGAGCATTGCTGGAATTTGATGATGTCAGCACCGCTGATGTTCCAACCAGCATGCTGATGTCATACAGGCTTGTCATGAGGCTGTGTGGCGCTGTTCCCTTTGCGTATGCTTACGTATGAGCGGTTGTAACGATTTTAGGCATGTCGATACGGGCCTGTCACAGGAGCATAGCTGGCCTCTATTTGTGGAAAGTGTGGTAGGCATTGAGCAGTGGATGGATGCAGGGGAGTGCAAATATGTGACCCAGGAAGATTTACTTCTTGGCGGGCCTGCTCGGACTCTCCCAGGAGATGGGTTGCGTCTTCGCGCCTGGACAGCTCTGAGCGAGCGCCTGCAACCTGCCCTGTCAAGAACTCCACCTGCACAATATGCTCCTCTGTCACTTGCAACGTGCAGCATGATTGGAATATTGAATTGCATGTAGATGTCCTCTGGATGCCTGAAGAGCCCCAAGAGGAGTGTTGAAGCTGCCAAAGCCCTGCAGCTAATTGTGCCAGGCACTCCTGCTAGTTTATAGTACCGACAATCGCAATGCCCTCCAGAAACTGGTACAGCCTCATTTTGTGTGGGGCGAAGAGTGTCTTGTAGAAGAGGCTGAAAGCCACACCTGCTCGTTGAGCTGAAGTATGAGGTTCTCCTGGGCCTCGCTGCGATACTGCAGGGCCGTCACATCCACGTCTCTGATGGTGGCGGCCTCCGCGCCCAGTCGCACTATCTCCACCTCCCTCTTTTCAACTGCCTCCTGCACAAAGTATAAAGGATTGGTTGTTCAGGCATGGTCCCATCTAGGACAGCTGGAGGTGCGTGTTGCCTGGATCTTAATGGTCCAGGGTGAACGTTTGAAAACATGCTCCCCACTAGCGCTTGTTTACACGACTCTGCTAGGGGCTGCTTTCCTATTATGATGGTCTCCTGGGCTCTCGCAAGTCTATCATATGAGAGAATGACGGGCAGATCGGTCAGCTGATCAGTTGCTTTTCTGAGCCACAAGGCTGTGTGAAATCTATGCAAGCGTTTGCCTCATGCCTTTGTTTGACTAAAATGATCCTTCAGAACGTCCACTCGCCCAGAAAGAAGTTATCAATAAATCATTAAAGGCCACGGCTGCTACCTGCATGGCCTGCAGCTCTGCCTGTGCGGCTGCAAGCTGGCCGTCCCTCGAGCGCATGGCGGCCTCCAGCGATGCCACACGCGTGTTCGCCGCCTTCAGCAGATCTATGCCGCCGCCGGCCGGGGAGCCGGGCGCCGGCCGCGGCAGCTGCGCGGCAGCTGCCGGCTCCAGTGGCGCCTCCAGGTGAAGCCTGGTGGCGCCTCTCGCCTCGTCATCTGCCGATGCAGAAAATTGTTTTAACACGCTGAATCCATGTCTGTGAGATCTCACCAGCGGTACAGAGCGGCCCGAGCACAGGCTGCAGATACCTTGTCAGATGATAAGCGCTTTCATTCTACCTAGTCTTTGCAGCACTGCCTCTCGATAGGAGGCTCCCATCAGGAGTTGCAAAGAGTATATGAAGCATGGCGTCAAGAACAGGAAGACTCACCGCTGTCATCTTCAGTGAGAAACTGCTGCAGGCGCTGCTTGAGGCCCCCATTCTCCTTCTCCAAGCCCAGGACCCGCTGCTGGGTGCTCTGCTTCCAGAAGGACAGCTGAGAGATCTGCTCCTCAAAGGCCTGCACCCAGACACAATTGCCAAAGCTTTGCCTCAGGGAGATCTTCTAACATTCGCAGCCACAAGAGGTTGTGCACCCATTTCACGAATTGGCTGTCAGTTTTGCAGGCTGTGGAAGGAGCAGAAAACAAAAGTTGAAGTGATTGACAGAGAGGAATGCACCTTGAGCTGTGTGTAATGCGCGCGTTCTCGCCGGTCAGAGTGCTCGGTCTCTTTGATGAGGCGCAGGTGAAGCTGGTTGTTCTCGCCTGCCAGCCTGCTGCAGTCCTTCTGCAGCACCTCAACCTGAGCAGAGACGCAAGCACATACCCTGATATTGAACTGCCATGAGATTTAAAATAGGACTGCCTTCTATCGTCCGTGATGTAAGTTGCTGTAACGCAGGGTGATCAGTATGTTGGAACACCTTGTCATTCAGACTGGAGATGTGGTGGTGGTGCGTCAGGGACTGCTGCTTGAGGCCCCTGTAGCTCTCTGTCGTGTGCACGAGATCGTCAACTAATCTCTGCACCAGGGGGGCGCTGTGCTCGTCCACAGGCTCCATATAGCTCAGAGCATCGAGCTTCCGTTTCAAGAGCTGAAGTGCTTGCTGTTCCATCTTGTATACTAAATGCACTGCATATCCGCCACGAGTATCGTTAAGGTCCACTGCCGCCCTTAATGCTGCGACCAGTTTTATTCGATCATCCACAAGTCTGCCTTACAGTCCAGGATGTGTCCACCGTGAATGCATCCACTGATACCAGAGATGGATCACGTGCTGAATCTGCCCAACAAGTACTCTGATGTGCCAACCGATCCTCTAAGGGCATCATTGATATCAAGATACATCGGTTTTTCACAAATGCCTGGGAAATCACAGCACGTGCTGAAACATCCAAGAAGATGTGGATTACTAAAATTCGTTTTGTGGATAGGATGTTCGATGCGGGTCAGAAGATGCAATAAAGCATCACTTTTCCGCTTGCAATTTTGCAGTACGCACGCCTACTCGAGTCACTCGGCGGAGGAATTATAGCACCTAACGGCTCTGGACATGTTTTGGCGGGTATGCGTGTCACATCTACGACGGCGCATCGGGGCGACACGTCAAGTACAAGCTAGTCTCGGAGAGCTCACACAGGATGTTTGTCGCGAAAGGAGATTCATGTCAATACTCCTATGATCGCTTTGTGCATTGTGATGGCTTGTGGAGATATGAATGCAGACGTCAGTCTTGTGGCTGCAGGATAAGACGGAGCACGGCTCGCACCTTGCGAAACCAACACTGCTGAAGCTATCCTAGCAGGGACTGTCCTACTTACAGATTCAGGGGTTTTGGGCTCGTATCGATCTTCACTAGTGTCCAGAACGGACGTGAGAATCCAAATCAGCAGGTAGGATTTTTCCTGGCTTTCTGCTCTCGCAGTCTGAGAGAGCGTTTCTACATCGTCACGCGGGAGAAGATTTGTGAACAGTACGATTGGTAAATCGATGCGAGTGCAGCAATTAGGGACAGATGCTTCCTTGCGGCAAAACAGACCCAGTGCAGGCGTTGCAGAAGAGGACCCTGTACGACGGTATGTCACATCGGAGACGATCGAGGGTGCCCGAGGCGCTCCGGATCTTCCAGAGTCTCTCTAAATAACCCAACTGTGACATGCATGTGCCACTGCCAGTGATTGCAGTGACTCAAGCATCCTGCAGACTGTCTAGTCCAAATGTTCCCGCAAGTAGTTCACAAACATGCGCCGGGCAGACTGCCTGTCAGGCAACCGTGAGGCGAGGCTCTGCGTGGACATCTTCAGAAACACCCTCTTGTGCCGCCGAAGCTCTGCCAGTGTCACAGGCCTATTAAGCTGCAGAGCATCCACTTCTTCGCCCATCTGTACCCTCCCTGCTGCACTGCTGCCAGCCAACTCCTGCAGAGCAACCAAACTCCCCGTGAGACAAGAAAGAATGTCTTCCTCTGCAGCATTCCCCTGTTCAGGAAATGCTGCTAATTTCAAGATTTCCCTCCCTTACACCACCAAATGCCAACCCAAGTGCATATCAGACACATGTGAGGCCTGCCTGGAGAGAAATGAATTTTCTGTGGCTTGTCCACAAGGCTGAGGAGCCTGGAAAAGGCTTCCATGCAGGGAGCCCTGCTCACTGGCATCTCAAGGGAGCTCTGCCAGCAATATCTGACACTGCCACACAGTCAGGCAACTAGGCTGGCCGCTGGTAAAAACATGCAGCGGTTGGTGCCTACTGTTGCTACCATGTGGCAAGTCTAGTTTGCCTGGAGCTGGGCTGCAGGCACACCTATGCCTCTCATGCCTCCATGCGTTTAGAACTATCACTAATAATATCAGGCAGGTGCCTGCACCTGCGCGGCGCAGATGCGGCCGATGACGTCCTGCGCGCCGCCGTCGATCTCATGCAACAGGTTAGTCGCCGACAGCGGCGCATTAGTCGTCGCCTGCGTCGGCTGCAGCTGCTTGGCCACCACCGAGCGCTGCCGCGGGCCGGCCTCCTCCGTCAGTGATTCAACCACCCCCTGCGCATGCTTCAGGTATTTCATTTGATACGGAGTTTGCAGAGAGAGGTTGCTCATCCACATTATGAAGCTGCGCAGACGGCATCAGAAGACCCTGCCCTGAATGCTCTTGGGCGCGGTCTTGGGCGCAAAAATCCAAACTGCTTGTAAGGATCAGAGCATACCAGATCAGAGCATATTATATTCAGGGAGAAAAGTACATTACTTATCTAGCTGCATGGTGCAGTCCGAGCACAAATACCCTTACAATAGCATGGGCAGCCATGCCTGTTGTTCAAAAGCCTGACCAGAATTCCCAGAGGCCCAAGCGTTCTGGGAGTCACTGGGCAGGATACATCCAAGCACTGCGCACCTGCAAGACTGCTTTGCCAGACGCTTGGGCAAGCATCCCGGGCGGTACACACAAACCCGGGGTGACACGATTACCACATCTACTGCTGCGCACCTGCAAGACCGGCTGCATGGTGTCTTTCCCCTGATCAGGTGCCAGCCTGAAGAGCGGTGCATCCCACCGCTGCCGCGCGTCCGGCTCCTCATAGCGCCTCCACAGGTCCTCAAACACTTCTGCGCTGTAGGCGTCCTTGCCTTGTGCCCTTTCCTCATTCCATGCCCACGCCTGCAGCACGTGAGATATGCAAATGCCTCCCTATTTTGTTGTCCTGCTGTGGCGCAAAATACCAGGACAAAGATACGCAAAGGGAAGAATGGCATCCTTGGAGTAATCTGCAAGTGCATGGATGTCATGCTGGGCACTGGGTGAGAATGAAAGTCGGACATTGGATGAGTTAGAAGCTGGCTGATAGTGATGCTAGCTGACCTGCTCCTTGGGCACTGCGCAGTGCACCACACAGCAGCGCGTGCCGGCCGCCCGGGCGATACACCACAGCTCATACCTGTGGGCCCAGTACAGCTCAGATCCAAGCTCATCGAGGACGATGTACTTGAGAGGGGGAAGGAACAGCGTGCCATGGTATAGGGCTGAATGATGGTGAGGAAGGAGCTCACCTGTAGCCCTTGATGTTGTTCAGGGAGTCTAGGATGATGAAGTGCCTCTTAGATATGGATCTCTCCACTGCGGATTTCAATTTACCCCTCGTATTCTTCTCACTGACCGTGTCTGCAAGCAAGGCAGAACTGTCAGCAGCTGCTGGTCTTCGACATGCCATGATGGCTAATACACGTCAGGCTCTAGGTCCATAGGATGACCATTTACCCCTGTAACTCTGGTTGCGAGTCATGCTGAGGCCAGGCTCGTCTATGATGATCACTTCCAGGCCCTTTCCCACCAGCATCTGCGTGAGCTCAGCAGCCACTGTAGATTTGCCACTGCAGGGCTGTCCCGAAATGACCAGCAATGCCATGGGTATGACCTCACTATTCGATTAGTCAATTTTTTGTTGCGTCTGATCTCCCCATTTAGCTTTGGCCTTGAACAATTTCTTATGGAACTGTTGGAAGCAGATGGCCAACGGGCAGTCGCGACAAGTGATCAAGGTGCGTTCATCCCAATAAACAGGTCTTCCAGGCTTTTAGCTAGCCTGTGAAATTAAAACCGTACGTCAACAGATTGCTTGTCCGAGCAAAAGAGCTAACTTGTAGCTTCCTAGCAAGAGGAAGCCAGCCGAATAGCACGTGCGCAGACTGCATCACTGATTGGCAATCAGCCGGACTTCGGGGCCAAAGTCTACAAAAATACCCCAAGTAAAGTTTCGTATATCTTTGTTTTGAGTTCCTTTCACCGCCCTTCATTCCGTGAGCCCTCCTACAAACAATTGGAGAGTCCAGATCAAGGCAGCTCTTTTGGCTGATAATCGGATCGAAGTTGTCTCTACGCACCTCATAATATGCGTCGCCTGAAACACAAGCACACGAGACGGGCGGTCCAGTTTTACGAAATCAATTATGGATTCCGGAAACCTTTCAAGGTGCCTGCAAAGCAAGTTCCCCGGTGTCTCTCCTGAATAGCACAATCGAGATCTGGACGTTTTAACAATATCTTTTATTTGCAGGTGATCCTGGATGGCAACTTCGTGCACGCTCTCAGAGAATCCCAGTGCGCCCCTGCTGCAGTTGTTCAACACATCTTGGTCCCTCTCAGTGTAATTCTTGACGCTGACTGCAGCATTCCGCATAGCGTGATTAAGGTTACCAAGGTCTTCACGTTCCAATTGTTGTGCCTTGCAGCATGGGGGACCCAGCTGAGATCCTGGCGAAGCTGCTAGGCGGCCCAGTCAAGCTATATGTTACCAGATGCTCACTGCTGGAGCTCAAAGGCTTGGGCAACGACTTTTCAGGTGTGAAAACGCTGCCTGACTTGACACCTATAATCTTGAAATGCTCAATACTCTTTGGGACCCCAATCCTATTAAAAAAGTCCCACTTCTAAAGGTTGGGAATGTGATCAGGGACGTATGGAGCTGCCAGGAAGGCAGGTCTGCACCTGTCCTGTGGACACGATGATCAGGCGCTCAGCACAACGGACTGCATACTGGACAACATAGGCAAGCATTGACAGCATTGACCTCTCTGCATGTCCATTTCCTGATAGTGCATCGATGTCTATGGACCCTGATATGAAGATGATGTATATGCTGTCAAGCATTGCAACCCTGCCAAAATGGCCACCTTTACTAATGTCAGACAAGAAAGTAGGCCACTTGGGTTGTGAACCTAAGAAGGTCACAAGAGAAGGAATGTGGTGCAATTGTGCACATATTGTTCTATGCAGGGATGGACAATCAGGAGCACTACTTTGTAGCAACCCAGGACAAAGCCCTCCGGGTGGCTCTGGGCAAACTGCCTGGTGGAGCTTCGGTGTTTGCGAATGTGAACGGCGTCCAAATGGAGCAGCCCTCGGAAGCACAGAGACGAGCCATGAAACAGGTGACCGCTGTTTTTTTATCATCATTACTGTTGCAGATTTTCCAGTGGTCAAGGACTAGGTACATCAAGCATCACCTGAAATATTGCTCTCCAGTCTTCTCGATATTTGCATGCTGTAGCCTGCTCTTGATGCGATATACAAACCTGCAGAATGAGCTTCTTCACCCTTCTTCAGATTCCAAAAGCAATATGCTGTTGGAAACACTTTAAAGGATTCCTCCTTACACTGGGCCTGCTCTGATGTGAACCAGAGCCTGTGCATGAACTATTATCGGCGTTGAGAGAATGCCTCTTGGCGGAACATCAAGTAGTACAACTGCTACTATTACGCACGATTCAGTATTACGCCTTGCACAGCATTGACATGTGAGGGTCATGTGCAGGTGGATGACAGCAACATGGGGGTGCAGAAGCATGAGCTGAGTCAGCATGCACTTGCTGAGCTGGCAGAGCTGCAAAAGGGGCCCAAAGAGAAGAGCATATTCCGGCGCAGTGGGGCCAAAGGACCCAACCCTCTGTCCATGAAAAAGAAAAAGCGGCCTGCGCCAGATCAGGCGCAGAAGCAGGGCGCAGAGCAGAGCGCGGAGAAGCCCAAAAGGAAAAGAGTCAGGAAACGGAACAAGGATCAGAGCAGTCAGGCCGAGGAAAGTTGACAGAGCAGTCCAGCCGAGGAAAGTGATGTTTGGATGCGGAGTGCATGCAGGAAAGTGTTGAGAGTGTTAAGGAGAGGAAGGCCGTTGCACGAGAAAGCCTGGATTGCCAATAATGAACGCCAAGCACCTGACACTATCGTGTTGCAATTAAGTTGTATGCCCTTCTTGTTCAGTGGTGTAAATTTCCCAGTCTTGAAAGGATCGGTGATACGCAGTTGGTCACAATTTCTTAAGATCTAGGTCAATGCTGTCAGTCAATAAGCATACCATCCACATTGCGTCATCACAGCACACCACGAAGTCATGTCTCTGTTCCTTGCATACATATGACTGCAACAAGCAACTGTTGCGGGTCCTATGACCTTTTTGACAGGTCGTATCAGCATTGCCACAGTACAAACAATACAAGTCTTCACGTCTTCAAAAATAGTATTCAAATTCAATTTCTAAAGCACAGCTTCCTCGCGCTTCCGCCGGGCGGCGCGCTTGGCAGCTGCCGCGCGGCCGCCGCCTCGGACTAGAACCACAAAGCCGACAATGGCAACCAGCGCGACGCATAGACCCCCTATGAGACCCTTGCGGCTCCCCGGGGCGTCGAACACCTGCGCCGCACCATTTAGTCAGTCATATGCCATCAATTTCACTCATTCTCGGGCTGACTGCATGCTTGACTAGCATCACCAGAGCCAGCATGATATACCAACAATCTGGAGATACGGACACCTGAGGTGTCATTGCAAAGCAGAAAACATCAGGAGCTACGCTATCAGGGGGGAGCAGCGGCCACAAAGACACATCAGATTTGGTGGCCCTAACAGGGCAATCGGATGGGGCCAGGGAAGAGACGATTGCTCTCCAGCAACAAGATGCTGTGCAGCACATGTCTCGGTAATGAAAGAAATCAGCTTTTCCGAGCGAGCTTCCCTTGGGGCCAAATTGTGTCTGATTGGCCGCGCAAGGGGCCACTATTCTCAAAGTGCAAGCTGTTCTGCGTAAGTGTCCTCTGACAAGACCATTCCACCGGAAAGAAAGTGCATCACCCGCAGCCTCGCCGCCTCGCTCATGCGGTTCTGCCACCCCTGCACCGCCGCCCCCAGCCGCCTGTCTGGAGACGCGTTCCCTCCATCTGACACTCCCTCCCTGCTGCTGCGCGTCGCGCCGGGCTCCACCTGCAGTTAGTCATGTCACCCGGTTCAAAACCTATATTTCAAATTTTCACATTTCAAGTTGGAGAACAAGCGCATCAGGGTTGAGTTCTGCATGAGTGGCCGGGAATCAAGGTCATGCCCCACAACAAAGGGGAGTCAAGAAGCAAGACAAAGGCACAGCGAATCCGGGCGATTCAAGAGATCAACTCAAAAAATACATAGCAAGAAAACCGGCCTGTTTGGGCGGGATTGGGAACTGATTGGCGCACCTTGCGGCCCCCGCTATGGGGTTGTGTGTTGGTGCGTGGGATGGCTGGGTGTGAGGGCAGCAGCTCTAGGAGCGCAAATATTCCATCAGCCCAACTTGTCACGACCTGTGCGCACCAATAAGGGGACAGCTTTCAGCGGATAAGGCAACTCTAATTGTATATGCAATTTCTTTTTAATGCGTGCATTTGACCTGCATGCAGAGTCATGGAGACACTGATACACCCTAAGCCTCAGGGGTTGAGCAAGGGGTCATTGACAGCTGCACAGGTGGCCTCATCAGACGAGCTGGGTGCAGCATGAGTTTCACAGTGTGTGGCAAGCTCAGAGGATGGAGTTAAGAAGCTGCCAAAATGCCATACCACTCAACACCTCCTTTCCAGCTTGCAAGACAAATTCAGATGCAAGCTGCACCCAGATCAGCCACCAGTATATTTCAAGTTTTATTTCTGCTAAAAGTATAGTGCATGCATGCTTATTACCAGAGAAGCTACATCACAACTTGCCTCATCACAGGTTACATCAGGGGCCGCACCTTGTCGAAGGCTTCAAGGCTGACGGGGTTGAACATACGGAAGCAATCATTGAAGTGCGCGTCGTTGTCCCCATAGATTTCCCACGTGAATGACAACGGAACCTTCAGCCTCTCGTACATGTAGTCCGTCGCAGTGCCATGTGCCAAATATCCTGCATGCATTCATCATTTTATCATGCATTTTTAAAATTTCATGGAGCGTGCGACACATGCTTTTTCCAGGGCATGTACGCTCAATCGTTGAAGGGGCGTGCTTGCTGGCCTGCAAATTGCTGTCATATCTGTTCAAACAAGCGGTGTGAGCACACTGTGTCAGGTCACAGATAAGTGGCAACTTGCTGAACAGCATGCATGCCTCTTTGGACTGGCCTGAGCCAGTGCTAGCCCCACACAGAAGCACTTCCTACTCTCAAGATGCCGTAATGATAGGTGCAAACAAAACACACTGCAGTAAGTTTGGAGCTTGGGAACCCACCCACTGACTTCCCTCCCGATCCCAATGCGCAGCGTCCGCCGCAAGTGACGTTGTTGAGCTTCTCAAGCACCTGCGCAGTTTCAATGGATTTGCTCTCACGCAGAACAGGGCCCCACCAAAGAGCGTGTGCCCTTGCCAGCATATGCCCAGCAGAAGTCGGCGCACATGTACACATGATGTCATGCAGTCAGGCACTCCCTGCAGATAACCCACGGATGCATGCTGAAGAATGTGGTTCAAAGATGATGATGCCCACCTGCAGAGTGGCTTGCGCGACCTCCCCAGTGGGGATATGTGGGAGATGGTCATAAGGCATGAACAGCGCCTCCATCCCCGAGTGCGCGTTCATCCACACATGCGGCTTGAACTTCCGCGCGAGCGCCAACAAAGCTGCCGCCTCTGGCTCGCTGCATTGCACAAATACTGAAGTTGAATTAGACCCCATTCTTTAGCCGGCAGTCATACTTTTCTTACACAAATTGCACTCCCTTTCTGGAACATTGAGTAGTAGGTGGCACTGTTGGTGTCAAGAAAACAGTAGATGCCTGACGCCCATCATGAATCTGTGATAGGATGATGATTCTCTACAATTCATGAACAAAGTGACATGCTGAAGTCACAGAAGCAGTGCGTGGTGCATGCAAATTGCGACAGCATGATAAACAGCATGAGGTGGCAGCACAAGGACTTGCCTGAAGGGCTTGGTGCCGGGATATTCCTCATTGGGGTCATAATCCTTCTCCTTGTGCCCCCAGTGAACCTCCCAGTTCCTGTTGGTGTCAACTCCGCGCCCATTCTTGCGCTCGCATAAATTTCCCCCCTCCACTAGGTCCCGCCCCTTCTCATTCTCCATCGGCACAATCTGCGCATCAGCAACCACCATATTGCATGCATGCATGTATGACATTCAGATTCGAATTTCAGAATCAAAGACAATACGGGGCAATCCCTCATGCCGCCTGCGGACTGTGAGATAAGCTAATCCTCTAGATAGGATAAGAAAAAATAATGTAATGTCTGTGGCATCTGGATATCTGGACATGTGCAGGACTGTCAATATGAAGGGGCCTTGTGCGGCGTGTCTTACAGCAGGCGTGCACAGAGCTGTGGTATGCTTTAAACGAGTCGATTGGTCATCAGCAAGTCACCTTGAAGACTGTATTGTGGAGCAGGGCCTTCAGCCGGGCCTTGCCAGGTCCCCCAGGTCGGTCCCCTCGCTCCAGCTCAGCTGAGGGGTCCGCCAGAATCTGCAGCAGCCGCAGCGCCACCTCCACCGTTATCAGCTCCCTCCCATGCTCCCCGTAATTCTGCCACAGCGCAAGAGAAATGGGCTTCAAGAACACCCCTCAAATGGGAGGGAAAGAGCTCTTCTAATGTCTTCCTCATCCTTTTGTGGGAGTTGGTAATGCACTAACATCTCAACATCAATTTCATGACGAATATCAGAGCTGATGATGTTGGCAGCATCAACTGCATCGCTGAGAAAGCAATCCTGCAGGATCAAGTCTTGCACACAGAGATAAAGGCGAGTTTCTCACCAGCAGGAGCCGCATCTTTTTGTCATGATCCCTGGTATGTCCTCCAGGCTCCACAGTCACGACCTGGACATTCAGCAATCAGAATCAGCACTGTATGCCAAAATACGTGGTTTGGCAACGCATGACAATGCTGGAAAATGTTCAGAACTCATGGCATCACTGTGCATGGTGCAGCTGTTGGGTCGCACCTTCAATGACGACCGGTAGGGCGGGTCCGAGACTTCGTCTGAGATGGCCAGAACGTCCAACTGCATCAGAAAACGGGGAATCGGTCATTTTCCTCAGAAGTTGTCAAACTAAGTCATTCACATGGTGCGTGGGTCTCGCATGCAGCCCTTCCCACCTTCATTATCTGGGCATTTGCCTTGACCAAGTTCTCAACCTCTTCGAACACCTGATCTCTGCATCACATCAGTAAAGAGGTTCAGTATGATAGTGCGTAATGTACTGTGTAAAAACTAATCAAAATGTCATGTACGATCAGAACAGTAGCACAGTTCTAGGTAGTCAGGGTACCAGAACTCGTACTTTGTATGATATATGGAGAAGTCCGGCATGGCAAACTGATCCGGGGAAGTATTCGCTGCTCCCAACTGTAAAGTCGCCAATCCAAGGCAGAGTAAGCCCTGCAACAGTACAGCTCTGCCAACTCCATTTGTTCCTGGCTGCATTAGACTTGGTCCCTGTTGTGCCCCTGCTGCATGGAGCTTGCAGGCTTGTAAGAAGCCGTGCAATTCTCAAAATTGTACAAGGATTTCAAAAACTATCACAACTTTCGGCAGACTGACGAAAGAAGCCTGATGAAGTACACTCATACGGCCATCGGAAGCAAACTAGCTTTTACACCCCAAATAAAACCACACGTACTGCAGTCCTCCAATAACTTCAGATTGTTTGAGAAACAATATTGATATATATGTTCAACAAGACAGAGGTAAAGAGCCGCTGATAGATCAGTTCATATATTTGACACTTGAAAGATGACGCGACATGTGCAGATCCCATGCATGCGATGGATATGATTATTTGTCTTTTGAACTATCAATTTTCGATGAGCATCTTCCTGCTCGACGCGCATTGTGCTGGCCCCAGACCTCTCCCCGCCACGTGGCAATGACCAGCCGCTTCCCACAAATGACGAAGCATTTTGTCCTCATTCCGAGCTCATCTCATGTTAACAGCAGGATTTAAATACTTCTAGGATAATTCAAGGAATTCACAGATCACGCTGACGTCCACTCAAACTGCCCCAATCAATCTTTACAGGGCCCACCTAACAAACAGTTTATTGCTCCCTAAATCGGAGGGTATTCTGCAGCAACATTATTACAAATGCGACAGTAATGCAATCTCGATTTGAGGGTTGATGCGTGTTTGATTGAGGACGAGGTCTTTCAGACCGACCATTCCCATCACAGCAGCTGTAAGGCCTTCTCAGATTGTTCCTTTGAGCATTCTGGAGATAGTAACTTTTCCTTTCAACATGATCCTAAACTAGCAATTGGATGAGAACTGATTTGTCCGATATCAGGCTTGCAGATTTTCCAAAGTGATCTGAGCAAGCAGTCCTCTCTTCTGTGCAGGATGGCCACGCTAGGGGAAAATCGGAGAGTCCCTCAGGTGCAGATACGGGATCTGAGAGATGATTTCTGCGAGTTCGTGCTCAGCGACACAGATCCTTCAGTGGCCAATGCCTTGCGACGCATCATGCTTGTGGAAGTGAGTGCCCTCATCTCGAATAATTCGCTGTCCAATACTACTGCTAATCTATAGCAGTATTTCTCATTTTTCACCGTACCTTCAATTCGTGGCACCATATGCATGACTAGCTGTGACACCATTGGGCACACCTGTCACAGGTACCCACAATAGCAATCGACCTGGTGGAGATAGAGGAGAACACAACAGTGCTCAATGATGAATTCATTGCTCACCGGCTTGGGCTGATTCCCCTCGTCAGCAGCGCAGTAGGTGGCATGAAGGTGCCCCCGCTCCCCCACCTGCCAGCAATTCCATGCATCATGCATGTGCATTATCAAGTTCGCTTGCTAGGACTTTACCGTGCCAGGTGCAGTCCCATCTCCTTCAGCACAACAGATTTGCATGGGGACTGTGATGCTGCGCCACACCCACTGCATAGACTGGTCAGAGGTGCATGCTGCAGCGGTGAGCTGAGCTGTCGCTGCAAGGATCTGATGAGAAGCCTGCTGTCCTTGCTGACAGGGAGTGTTTGAGGACGCTGGGGAGGCGGATTTCTTGGACGTGGAGATGACCCTGAACGTGAAGTGCACGAGCGAGGACACGATGGAAGTGACCAGCAATGACCTGCAACTGGACGCAAACCACCCTGATGTCCGCCCTGTGGGTGAGCCAGATGCACATGCTGCAGATACTTGCTGTTGGTGCCTCTAATGATGCTGCCCGGTGCCGATTTGTGGAAGGCCTTCACATGGATTATCTGTATTCCTGAGAAAGTACCTTGTCCCCTGTCACACTAGTTGATTGGATGTAGCAGCTCTTGCACACCTTGGCTCTCATGCTCTAATTCGCAAGGAGCGGGCAAAACCAGAAGAGGAAATTCAGGATTCTGTCGGGTCGGGCCTGACATGCATTGATGGAGAATCTGCCAAGGCAGGGAAGGATGGAGGGGAAGAATTGAGATTTCTTGCAAAGCACCTAGCTTTCTGAGGCTTGAAGAGGCATTAGCACTGATTTTGCAATGATCGTAGAAATAAAGTTTGTGGCCGGCAGGCTACGTTCCGGGTGGGTATGACCCAGAGAATCGGGGCATTCTGCTGGTGAAGATGCGCAAGAACCAGGAGCTGCGCCTGAAAGCCATCGCGCGCAAGGGCATCGGCAAGGTGCACCCTCCCTTCCCTAGCCACTTTTAGGAGTTTCAACTTGAATTGGCACATCCATGTCAAGCAGGGGCCTTGTCCATGCCCCTCTTGCACCCTGAGAGCCTCTTATCCTGCCTTCTCCAAGGCAGGGGTCCGCCCCTATTACCCCTGCATGCCGCCTCAAGACATCCTTCAGCCACTTGTTGTCAATAGGGCGTCACTAGCACAAAGAGCTTATCTGTGTATTCAAAGCCGTGCAAAGGGCTTGCTCGTCACCCTGGCCCATTGGGGACATCCTGCTGAGAGAGCTCTCATCCTCTGGGGCAGGCGTGCAACGCTCTACGTCTACATCCCAGCCATGATCAGGCTCATATTATTGCTGCTCCAAGGCTGTGGCTCGCTCGTCGTGAAGGCCCAGGGAACTGAGCTCAAGCTCCTGTTCGAATTTGAATTTGAATTTGCAACCTGCCAGGATCATGCGAAGTGGATACCTGTGGCGACGGTGAGCTTCCAGTACATGCCAGAGATTACCATCAACCGGGCGCTGATGGATACTCTGACAGAAGAGCAGAAGGAGGACTGGGTCAAGGCCACGCCCAACCCAGTCTTCCGCTACAACAACATCACCAAGCAGGTGTTGCTTTGCCCCTATCAAAACTTTCTTGGCAAGTTGAACTTAGCAGAAGCTGACTTTTGCCTTCAAGACAGTGTGCAAAGTTCTGGGCGAAATCCTTTTCAAAGGATGTATTTGCAGCAAACTCACCCAGCAGGTGCTGCTCTTGCCTTCACCAGGGCTCTGTGTGAGGCCTCAAATCACATAAACTTGGTCAATGGCAAATGGAGATGTGCGCTTACAGGATAGTGTTCAACACTGCTTGTCTTTTTGTCCCTGCTTACATAATACTGTGCTTGCGAAATTCTGTGCTCATGAGCACCTTGCTCGACAGCAATCATGACCGACAAGAGCTTCGTTCTAAATTTTCTGGTCTCACTTGGCCTCGACATTTTACCTTGTGGCCTTAGATTCTGGCTTGCTGAGTGCAGGTGGAGTTGGACGACGTGGAGCAGTACAGATACGATGGGGAGGCAGAAGCAAAGGCAGAGGAGCTGGGCAAGCCAGGCTTAGTCACCATCAAGGAGCGCCAGGTGGGCATCCCTCATCATATACTGATATGATACACCTAAATGTGCATATGCCAGAGGCCGTGGCTGCCTCTGGGCAGGCCATCTCATGAAAGCTGTTCGGCTGGAAGCAGATGAGACACATCAGAAGACATGACTCATGCCATGGCAAGTCTCGGGATGACTGCTGATTGGATATTTACTCATACGTGTCAAGGGAACATAGTGGCGCCTATGTGATCTTGTTGCTGATTAGCCAGCATGCTCATGAAGATGTGGCTTGGCTCGGGCATGGCCCCTGCCCCCTTGGGCCTGGCAACATGGCCCAAGTGATGCTCTTGATGCCGCTGTTGCTTCTACCAAGTCTTTGGACCAAGAGGTATCTGAAGAGTCTATGCCCTTGTGCAGGACATGTTCATTTTCCGAGTGGAGGGGACGGGCGTGCTGAGGGCGGAGGACGTGGTGCTGACGGCGCTGGAGGTGCTCATGCGCAAACTGCGCAACCTGCAGGAAGCCCTGCCGCAGCAGGACGACGGCACCGCCTGATTTTGCTGGCGCGCGCTGATGTGGCGCGTAGCTTATCTGGCGTGCGACTTATGCGGCTCACCGCCCAAAAGAGAAGACGGCGTTGGTGCGGTTACTTTTGGCCTGATTGGTACCCGATCTGGCGCACTGCCCCAAACTTGAATGGCAGTGGCACAGCCTGATCTGGCGTGGCTGATGTGGCATGCAGCTGATGTGGCATGCAGCTGATGTGGCGCACGGCCTGACTTGACATTGCATGCTGATGTGGCATGCACTTGATGTAGCATGCAGCTGATGTGGTGCATAAGAGTAGCAGAAGGGCACCATTCCCAGTGTTGAGAGATTCTGATGCAGAAGCACGAGGGACTAGAGTGAGCCAGGGAGTGCATTTAACAGAACTGCAATCTCTCTGGAACCTGATCTGTGAAGAGAGAGGATGGCGTACCTGGCAGCTGCAGACGAAGCAGAAAAAATCTTGCTGTGCCATCTAATGCTGATTGTGTGAGAGTTTGTGTGTGAGGAGAGTGACCGTTGGAAGCTTGAGGTCAAGAGCGAATTCTGTTTTCTACATTGGCACCGCACCAGAGTGGCAATCTTACAGCGCTAGCTGGCAAGCTTACTATGCCTGCAGGCTTGTAGCATATTGTTGTGATCACAGAAATATAAAATCCCGATCGCAGCAACCCGCTCAGACACTTCATGATCATGCTGCCATTGACTCGCCGCCAAGAAGTCTTCACAACCACTACTGCACAATGTTCAACAACCCTGCCTTCACGGCACCATCTTTCTTGCCACTGCAATGACAACAAGCAGCAATGTAAGCAGTGCTCAGTAATCTGAACAGCAGCCTAATCTACTAGTGATAATTCCATCGCCGCTGTGTGGTCACATCAGCTGCCGCTTCAGCTGCAACCTCCTGAGCCACTGCCTTCCCTGCCGCTGCAAGGCAATCCATGCATGCGCCGCCGCAGCAAGAGCGGCAGAGGGTTCCAAGTCTAGCAGGATACCAAAAGTTGTAAATGAGACTTGTCCCCTTTCTTGACGCCCACGCGATGCCCCGCCGCTTCAGTGCACAGCAAAAATGGTCCTTCCAATCATCTCTCATTTTCGTGCCAGAAGCTGCAAACCTTGGAACAGCAGAGACAAAGGCGTTCATGTCCGCGAAAGTGAGCGTCAGATCTTTGGAAGCATCAAAGGATGCCTGTTCCCATGACACTCTGGCAGGGAGAAATATTCCTAGTGACACGCCGCTTACTGCAACCTTGTGCAAATGAGCTAATGGCTTTAGGTTCAGAGTGGCTCCCGCACAACCAAAGGCTGGCTCGTATCTGATGGCCACAATGGAAAGATTCTGCAGCGGGTTCAAAAAATCCAACCTCAGCCTCTCGAATATTCCTTCATTATGAAATCCGCTTACCAACACACCAATTCCCCGGACACTGGATAGGACAGGTTCCCACACCCTTGCTTTCATATTGAGATCGCCATAATCTTGGAGGTGCAGACAGCAGGAGGGAGGAAGCTCCAGTCTTTGTGGTGTCACATTCTTCAGCACAAGAACCTTGAGCTGCAGCAGCCTGTCTAAAAGCAAAGGAGGTGCAGTGTTATATGAGCCTCGACCGCGTAATGATGCAGTCTGCAGCGCCACAGCACCGGCCAACGCACAGGAAATATTCCCAAAATCATGATAAAACTCAAGAACGAGGTGCCTCAAATTTGCCAGTGGTGGTAACCATGGATAACTACCCACATAGGCCTCTAGGACTTCAAGAGTATGGGCTTGAGTGAGCACCCATGGCAGACAGGAGGCTGTTTCCGCCCCAGGATTAGGTGAAAGGATGCGAAGCTGCCTTAGATGACTGAAGTGCCGGCCAGATTGGCACACGAAGTCTGCGATGGCGTCCAGGCAGCTGGAAGGCAGCGTCAGGACTTCTGCCCTGCCCAGCTTTGTGCATGCCCACTTGATCCCTGCAAATCATGACCGCATCAAGCACGACAGGACAGTGTTCTCCTGCAGCTGGCGAGATTTTCAGAGCCTGAGCGATCTGGATGTTTAGCAAGCTCACCTGCACCCGAGACGCTCCTTGGCAGGTTTATAAGATTGAGGCGTACAGCCAGGGTAGAGCGGCAAGTCCCTGATACCCTGACCCAATCTCGTGTCGAGAGGTGGGCTGCAATCTTGGCCCATACTTCCACAGGCAACTCGGTGTCTCTTTGCCTTCTTTTAGGCATCCTGTATGCGAATCAGACGTCAGAAAGGAAAAACAGATGAAAGTACTCTTCCGATGCACTGATCACTGAGCATTTGAAGCAGGCAGGAGGTCCTTGGCATTGTGGCAGGGACTTGGCAGGCACCTGAAAACGACTTTTCCGACATTGGGGTCATATTTCCACATTGCGGTGTACTTGAAAGAAATCAAGAAGGTTCTCTTGGCGACTCCTTCCGACGAAGCAGTCTCATGCCATTGTCCTGAAATTCCAGCGTGAGAAATTTGACTTTGGGCTGCCCAATTGGGCTTGCACGGGCAAGGTGCGCTTCCTTAATTCTGAATTTGAACTTTGCCCCTCTAAGGAGCTAGAAAACCCCCCTAAAACCTACCAAGATAAAGAGAGGGAATGTATTAAATTAGCATGTACATGAGAGCACCGTGCACCTTATTTTCTTACATCTCAAAGTCATATTTTCTGAGCCTATGCAAGCTGTACAGGCCCTAGGGAGTCCTATGGAGATATTATAACTGTTCTGTAAACACTTTGTACTGTCGTTTACCCCCGAGGAGTTGTCATCACTTCAAGCCCAATAGGTGTAGGTGTCTATGGAGGGTGCCACGGCTGGCTCAAGCGAACCTGCTGGTCTTAGTAGTACTGAGCAGAATGAAGAGATAACTGAAGCCATTCCTGCGACGGATAATGGCGATGGACCTGATGCCAACCCATCCGCAAATACAACTAAACGCAAACGCCGGACAAATGAGGAGATATCGCTGCAGGGTATCATCACCTCCAAGAAAAGGAGGAATGAAGAAGAGAAAAACGGGCTAAAAATTGTGATGGATAAGCTCGTCCACATACACAGGTGCCTGCCTCTGCCTGCAGAACATCTTATTATGTTCCTCAGCCCACAGCTGACAGCCTTTGCTAAATTTGAATTGATTTGCAGGACCTGCGGCTTAGATTTCATGCTGGTCACTGTGAACACCAGTAATGATATAAAGAGCAGAGCCAGCAAGGGGCTGGCAGGGCTTGCCGGCCCCAACTGGCTGAACATAGAGGAGGTGTTGCCCGCCTTCCAAGTTCAGGCGAAGATGCAGGTGTGAAATGCTCTAACTCGATTCATTATGATGTGAAAGTATGGCTCTCCTGCACTGCTACTGGAAACTCTGTCTGACCCATCACTGTGTAGGTGCGATTGGCAGAGCAGGCCCAGCGCTTCAAAGATCAGACGTTTGAGCAATTGGAGAAGTTAGTGCAAATCAAAGTGTTGGAGGAATTCTTGGATGTGGCCATCAAGGGCAGAAAAGGGAAGCTGCCTTACAACAGCCTGCCAGATCATGACAGCGTGGTGAGAATTGCGCCGTGGTTCCCTGCTGATGTTGTATACAAGCGGCCTCGTGAGATGGAGCCTGTAGAATCAGCAGAGGTTTTCAAAGCCATCATGGAGCATGCAGCCCAGCCAGCCAATGATTTGCTCTTGAAGCGCCTGACCGCAAAGGTGGGCAGTCTTGGGTTTGACCCGCTCGCCCAGCAGGCAATCCTTGCTGCAATGCGACGTTTCAACGGCTCAGTGGGCAATGATGAGGTGCAGCAGGACGTTGCAGGTGAGATTCACTGACCCTCAAGAAGAGTCAAATTTCCTACATAAACTTTATAGTTTCTACACAAGTGACACCGACACCTGTAGGTGCCATGCACCCGATTCAGTTGAGTCGTAGCTTAGCTCCCTTGTTGCAGGTGATGCTATTGCGCCTGGAGTTGTGAAGGTGGATGGACAGTGGCTGCTGGACGGAGAGGGCACAACACAGGGAGGCATCAAACAATGCCAAGTCAGCCTACTACCACAGGCAGAGCATAACAAGATGTATGTGCGGGACGGCACTATCACTTTGTGCAGAACCACAATAGCCCTGCATGACCTGCACAACGCTGCGCACGCTGCTGGAGGTATTGCTGTGGTAAGTCACGCTTGAGGCTGTTGCTCTCAATTCTTACAGGTGACCCATTATGAGATCTGTGGATGGGCTTCACTGATCTGAATGAAGCTTGCTCTGTAGGTCAAGAAGATCAATCCAATTGGAAAGAAGAAGAAAAGATTGAGGGTGGCCTTAGGTATCAATCAGGACAATTTCCGTTTCAAGGCAATCTTGGAAGCTTACCGCAAGTACATAACACCCTTACTGGTGCCAGGCACTGGCGAAGGTGATCAGCACTCTCTTTATCACGCCCCTGTGAGGGATTGGCTGTGTCCCTTACTGACTTTTGCAAAAATGCTGGTCAGTGCAAAAATAATTTTGTGGCTCAGAATAGTTCTTTCATCTCACATCTGGTGTGGTTGGGCTCAGTGAGCAGTGAGGGGACCCCAGATGCCACAGCAAGTGGTGAGGATGCTCAGCTCAGCGCTGGGGCTGTGCCGGACGGCGGTGCAGATGTCGCTGAGGGTGGAGCTGCCAGTGAGCTTGCGGCCAGCGGGGGCTGTCAAGGCAGAGATCTGCCTGTTCCGAGCGACAGTCCAGCGGATGGGGCTGGCGCCGCCGCAGATCTTGGGGGCGATGCGGGTGTGCAGGTCAGTGGTGGAACCGGGGTTGCCACAGAAGGCGGGGATGGCGTTGCTGGGGACCTTGATGCAGCGGCCTGCTCAATGGAGGAGCGCAGCACCGTCAGGCAGCTGAGGCAGAGTGCGCCCCTAATAAAAGCATAGCACGAACTTGACAGCGAGCTTGTTTAAGCATATTATCTTGTTCACGTACCAAGAATGCATGCATTACTCCATGTGCGCAAGAAATGAGGTGCCTGATGCCTCT